TGCCGTGGGGCATCTTTGCGCCTTGGCACGCACGACTGCCGCTCACGAGGAGGGGGGGTCGTCATTTGTGTTTATGGGGGCCGATGCGTGCCACCATGTTGGTGTTCTACGGCCAAGCGCGTATCATCCGCTGCCATCTGGCGAGAAGCTCCAACAGTTCCTGGGGCAAGATTCGGCGCTTTGTCCCGGTCTCCTCCTGGATTCGTGCCTCTCCAGCAAATCAGACCCTTTTTTCGAGGTGGCCGCCCCGAGTGTCATCTTCCCAGACAAGGATGCGTCCTTCGACACTGTTAGCAAGATACAGCAGCTGGATGGGCTGGAAAGCGTTTTTGTAGTGATGGCTCATGACGTGTCGATACGAGACACAATTCCGTTATTCCCTAACAGAATCAATTCGTGGAAGACATCCGGAATCAAGGGGAACTCCCGTTGGGCTTTTTGTCGGGATCTATATAGCCCTGAAAAATGACACGAACGCAGGGAGCTTTGGATGCCCAATTGCTTGTGCAGCTTGACTTCCAACATTGTTCCATCTTCATCCCAACTGTGCAGATTAGGAAAAAAAATGACCAAAGCTTCCTCACAGTCATCACCTACGAATCAGCAGAAGAAACTGTTGGGAAACGATTTGTTTCGAGAATTGGGGGTGTTTAAGCGTTTATCACTGTATGAAGGGACTGGATGCATATTGCTCAAGAAGCATATGTGTACAGAATAAAGACGAGACCACTTCGAGAATTGGAGAATGTGTTCGGCCTATCCTAGAGCTAATCTGGCGTACGAAACTGCCTCTTTGATCCAAAGTCCCACATGCATTCTTTGAAATCGAACAGCCTCAGATTCTCCAGACCATCTCTAGATGGATTGGTGTCGTTTCCACAGCGCTGAAAGACACTCATCCTCCACAATTTCCAAAAAATGGCGAATCTCATCAAAAGAAGACTTCTCTCTCAAGCCATCATTCGTCCTATTCACACCTTACGCACCGAATACCGATATTGGCAAAAGCGCAAAGTCTTGGGGGCGTTCGGGTCTCCCGTCACTTCCTTCCTCTTCGCCCAGTAATTGTCGTCGATGTCGAGAATCTTCAGGTCCACCACCTCGGCAGTGGTCACCCATTTCGTCCCCGTCAATTCGCCAACCTCATCCCACAGGGCCTGCCACGTCGATGGAGTGTGCAGAAAGCGCTTGAGCTTGTCCAAAGTCCAAGTCTCAAACGGGTCCAGGGGCTCAGCTTGGCCCGTGTGACGGCCGACAATGAGCGCGTTCTTGGCGTCCGGCTTGAAGAACTTGACCAGACGCGTTGCCAGCTTGATCTGCTCCTCGCGATTGAACAAGTGGAAGAGGAATGTGCCATGGATGATGTCCACCTTGCCATCTAGGACGTCAAGCGACGTGTCCGAGTGATCCAGCATGTCGCCCGTGACGAACTTAAGGCCGCACTTGCCCTCGTCCTTGAACAGATCGTAGCCTTGCTCAATGAACTTGGGATACAGGTCCGTACCAATCAGGTTCTCGGCAGGTGCACCATCATAGAGGAGATGACGGAGCACCTGACCGAAGCAGCATCCGGCGTCCAGAAAGACATCGCCTGACTTGATGCGGGAGAGGATCTCGGGATACTCAGGAAACGTTTCCAAGTAGTCTGCCAAGAAGCGCCATGACCCGATACATGGGTATGGGAAGACTTCCCATGCCTTGGTCCTCTACAGTGTGAAGGAGTCAGCTTTGGCATTACACTGAACCAGGAGCCATGGAAAGATGTGCCTTACAATATCGTGAACATGCTCCTCAACTTTGTCCGCAGGTATACCGCTGTATTCCCTCAAGAGCTTGAACGTCTTGTCAATGTTCTTTCGGTCCTCCGGCAAATCCTTATCATAATGCCAATCGCGTGGGTACGCAGCACCTCCCCGCTGAAAGTCCTCGGTGGCAAGGGTAGACATATCGTATAGGTTGGTTTGAGGAAAGAAGACGATTCAAATTCTAGAATGAAGGGCCGGTTGACATTCGAGAGGGTTAATCTACGTGTGTGATGGTCGAGCTTTAATTTATGTCAGTGCTATCCAAGTTGCATACTTCGCCCAGGTTCTACCAAGTGAGACGAATACGCAGGCAACATCTCTGACGGCTTCAGGGCTTCTGGCCGGCTGAACTTCGGCACCACATTTGGTGCTGGTCTTACACTATCCACCCTGTCCCTCTCGTTTGCGCCAACCCGGGTTCCCGGAATCTCCCAGGTTTCCTATGTCCTATGCGGATTCTAGATTGAACCCTGCATTTGACCCCTACAGCTAGGTACTGAGTTTGGGACACCGAGGGCACGTGTGGACCTGGGCACTCCTGAGTCTTAACCTCTGGTTCTAGACCACAACTCTTCAAGCATCCCAAACTTTAAATTGTGTAACCTTTCCGTTGATAATTTTGGGCCGATCAGGTCACACGTTGCTCAATTTGCTGACCAAAGCGATTTCGGCTGGAGATGACTCTAGGTAGGGATTGGAATGTCTGTAGGTGGAACGATTATGCCATGTGGAGTTCAAAGTACGTGTACAGGTAGCCAACGAAGTGAGGCTCCCCAGCGTTTTACTCAAGTCAAGCCAACCCAAGCTAGAGGCCCTCGGCTCTCGCTCGCTCTCAAATACACCGCTTCTCTCCTCGCTATCTATTCGCAACGCGCGCTTAGTCTCCATTAATTTCTGTACGTCTTCGGGTACGTACTTTGAAACTGATATTATAAACTGTCTGGACACTTTTTGGTCATTTAATAATAGACTAGACGTTGTGAAGAACGTGTTATTTCCGTTAATAGAGATTGATTTAGCTGGATGGCCCTCGCCATAGACACAAGGCTCATTCATGCGAGCAATGCCCTCCCCCTCCCCCCTGTGTGAAGGGAAAAGGAAGGCTGGCTGCGACTTGCGAATGCGAGCGAGCTGGCGGTAAGCTGACGACCCGAGTCAAACGCCCTATGTTGGCTAGTCAAGCGAGTGACTGCGGGACCAACCTTAATACAAAGCTTGACATTACTCACTCGTCTTTTCGGCCCCCATGAGAGCTCCGGCCCGATGGAGGTGGATCCTGCTGCCGCGGTCAGCTCAGTTGCGACCGTACAGACACGCTCGGCAGTGATGGGCCCCGCCAAAATTAAACGCGGCAAAGCCTTATCTGTGGAGGTCGAGCCAGAAAAGACTTTGCTGAGCCACAGGGACCCCTGACCCCTAAATCCTATTAGGTGGGCATCTCGTAATCCCTTTGCGCCGCGCGCCTACACACAGTGTACTATGTCAGCTTGTACTAAGTGGTTTATTTCCCCAGTACCCTTGATTTTAATGTTTAAATACACCTACCTACTATACACCTTATCTATATTATTTAATATTAAGAACTCTTTTTATATTAGCTAGATTTATAATAAACAGGGTTTATTAATGTTATATATATATATATATATATTTAAAGAAATGCTTTCTTTAATAAATAAATGTTATGGGCTTGGCCCCAAAGGGGCTGCAGGCTGGCTAGCGCCTTCTCCCATAAGCTGCAAAGCAGCAACCTTTTAACCATTAAGCCAAAAGGTACGTAATAATCCAAGCTCCCTTGGATTATCTAGCCACACTATATAAGGCTTGGGCAATAGCCCAAGCCCATTACAATAAACAATAAAATATTTTTTTTAAAAACTTTAAATAAATATTAAAAGACAGCTTAAAGAAAATATTAATAACTTGAAAAAAGTAGTTTTAAAAAATAATTCATTAATAGGAGTCAGCGTACGCCCACCCAGCTTCTACAGTACGCCCACCCAGCTTCCAACGTTAGCCCACCCAGTATAAGGAAATTAGCTGCATACGTTATAAAATATTAATACTACGGGGTTCTTAACAAGCCAGGGTAGCTATTTTCCAATTTAAGTAATACTTTAAAAATACAAGCCCCTAAAGCCTAGAGCCCCCAAAGCCCCTAAAGCCCCCAGAGCCCCCAGAGCCCCTAGAGCCCCCAGAGCCCCCAAAGCCCCCAGAGGGCCCCAGGGCGCCCAGAGCGGCCCCAAAGCCCCCAAAGGGCCCCAAAGCGCCCAGAGCCCCCAGAGCGCCCAAAGGGCCCCAAAGCGCTTAAAGGGCGCAAAGCGCTTAAAGGGCGCAAAGGGCGTAAAGGGCGCAGAGCGCTTAAATGGCGCAGAAAGCTTAGAGGGCGCAAAGAGTGCTAAGGGCGGCAAGGGCGGCAAGGGCAAATAAGGGCGCTAAGGGGGCAAAGGGTAAAAGGGTAAAAGTAACTTTTAAGTTGCAAATAAAGGGGTAGTTATAAGACCCTTTTAAAATAACTATAGCTTTGTTAACTTAGGAACCTTGCAATACTTATATTTTAATATAAATGCAGTTAATTTTCTTATATTAGGTGGGCTAACGCTGGAAGCTAGGTAGGCGTATTGTAGAAGCTGGATGGGCGTATGCTAACTTATTAATAGTCTTATAAAAGATATTAATACTTTAATTTAAAAAATGTTTTAAGGTTTATTTTAAAATTAATATTTTAAAGGACTTTATATTAAGTAAAATAAACCTTTAAAATAAAGAAAATTATATTTATATATAATTTAAATTCGTATATAATAGCTATATAAAGATTATAATATTAAGAACTTTAAATACACTTTTTTAATTAAATATAGCGGGTTTTGGTGGGAAATGGGCGTTGTATGTGAGACTTTTGACGGCCCACAGTACTTCATACCTCTTTCAGACCTACCAGACCAGCTGAATTGAAAGCGTCGCTTAGAGGGTCCAAATTGCTGAAGTTGCAAGGACCCACTGCTGTCGCTGGACATGGCGAGGAGGCTTTATCTAGCGGGGGCACCATAGTATCCGTTCCATTCAACCCACCGGGTGTTCCGAAGGCCAAACCGGTGGCCAGTTCGTAGTTAACCTTGCCCTAGGTCGAGGTAAAATCCAAACCTTGTGCAACGAAGCATCACCTTACCAGAAACGGTTCTCGTGGTCGAAATGGCTCGCGCAAGACGAAGTTGGACAAGCAAGGAAGACGAACTTCTGCGTCAGGCAGTGATGGCTGGTAAGGCCCTCCATTAGCTTCCGGTACTCAAGCGGAATGCCCCTTTCGTCCGCCCCCCCCCCCCCGGTGGAGTAACCAATTGACATGTTAGCTCATCAGCTGAACAACAACGCCAACCTCTTCGTTGGCGCGAGCTTGCGAAGGCCGTCCCTGGGAGATCCAACAAGGACTGCCGCCGGCGGTGGTGGAATAGTCTCGCGGACGGCAGGACCATGGGCCTTTGGTCCGAGAACGAGGACGAGCGTCTGATTGCCGCTATCCAGCGCTGGGGCACGAATTGGACCAAAGTGGCTGCCGAGGTCGGGTCAAGAAGTGCAGATCAGTGCTCAAGTCACTGGAACCATGTCCTGGATCCTAAAATCAATTACTGCGACTGGACACCCGAGGAGGTGTGTTTACCCCCAAAGCACCCTCGACCACAAATATGACAACAGGGCAGACTGACTGGTGTCATCAGGACGCAGACCTCCTCCACGAAGTTCTGACCAACGGTACCAAGTGGGCACAAATCGCGAGCTATCACACTCCAACTAGGACCACTCTTGCACTCAAGAATCGGTACTCTACTTTGAGGGTCAAGAACGAGAACAGAAGCCGAACACGCCAAACTCACCCTAGTCCATCCTCCGGACATGCAACACTGCAAAGCATCCACGCTCAGGCGAGTTTAAGAAACTCCGAGGGGGTCAGCACATCCAATTCGAGCGATAACAGCGAATCCATGCGATCCGATGACGCGGAAGAGGAGGAAGAGGAAAGAGAACCCGTGAAAGAAAATGGCAAAGTAATACGTACGTGGCTCGAGGACGTTAGCAGCGACATGGACGTCCAAAACGACGGCGGCATGGATACGCGCCCCTCTCGGCCAAGTGGCACTACGCCTGTGAGAATGGAGGGGATCAATGTTTCGATGCCAGACAATACAGCCTGGTATGAGTACCCGAAGGAGAGCGTCCTTCCGACTCCAGACATGAACGAGGACAGTGGCATAGCTATGGAGGATTATTTGCAACTCGACCCGGCTCTGCTGCGAGGCCAAGCTACAGAGCCACCCTTCAACTTGCCCGCAGGTTGCTACTTTGACCAACAGCAGCCGACTCCACAGCAGCCGACTCCACATAAGCGGAATACATCTCACCTCCCACACGGGTTGAGCACTGCAAATCATCCCCTTTCAGACACCGCTGGATGCACTCAACCTGCCCATGCAACTTCGCTGGACGGAAGCAACAAGGTCCCGGAGTGCAATGACTGGGCCATGGGAAACAAGACCTCCTCTGTATCCAAATCGACACCTTCTTTCCCATCACTCGCGCCACATGATGGGACACCACCAGCACCAAAGTCGACAAAGTTCCGAGTGTCAATATCACTCACATGCGATGAGGCGCAGCTGGCTTCAGCCCTGACACAGCTGACCAATTTTGGGACTGGCTTATCTATCAGTGTGGAAAAATATGATTAGGGAAATATATCCCACAGTTGCTGTTGTAAAGTCTCGTCCCAGGGCTGGGACTTGAATTACCTTTACTTCGATCCCTAGTGTAGTTTCCCGGCACATATAGTTAATAGCTGGTTGTAACGCCTACATATGTATCATTAGAAACTCATCAAGTTCTTTGGAAAGCGAGTCTAGGTGCAGTTGCTATCTAAGCAAGTGAGTATGAAATCCGATGGGTGATGAAGCGTGACCATCGAAACGGCGAAGTTATACAAACTCCAGATTGGGAAGACTCTGCAAGTAGTTGCTCAGGATCCGGCACATTTTATGAAAAATAAAGGGATGATGTCATACGCAAATCTGCTGCGGCTTGCATACAGGTCTGTGCCAGTTGACCAGTTGAATGACTCAAAAAATCACAGGTCTTCCCATGCCTTAGAAGCTATTCAGGATTCAAAGTAAATCCCGGTATTGCCGTGAGGCGATAGCACTACAACCTACACAAATTCATGCAGACATCCCAGTGAAGCTCGCACTAAATAATAATGCTAGTTTTAACCACATATAGGATTCCTATATTAAAAAAAATAATCTAGCTACACCAATTCTCATGCTATGTTCTAAGGCTGGTGGATTATAATTCCTGTCCAATTTACGCAGCATTGTGTACTTGATTGGTTGATTTAGCTAATTAACTTCTTAATTAACTTAAATAAAAGAAGTATAATTAGGGGTCAGTAAATGTGTTTATCTACTATATGGATAGCTAAGTTGATAGCTAATTCGACAGCTAAGTCGATAGCTAAGTCGATTAACTGATTAATCGACTTGCCCGTCGCTTGAGAAGTCGACCTGTTAAACTTCTGTCGATATCGCTCCCGCGATTTCCTCTTGCGTTTCCTTGCTGCTGTCGCAGCCGCAGCCGCAGCCGCTGTTGCAGTAATGCAACCCCGGCTGGAAGTCGGCATGACTGGCGAGGACTGTTGAGCTCCGGAGATTGCTTCAGGGATGCGCGCACGGGAATCGAGGCAAGCCCCGATACCGCGCTGTCCGGCTACGTGTTTTGTCGCTCCCCGCTCAGTCTGCGTAGCCATGAATTTCGAGACCGAGACGTTTCTCAATCCCCATTTGCGCAGCTTCATCGACTGCGCCGCCAACCTCTTGTCTCGTAAGCCACCGGAGCGAGTGCTCGATGAACTTGCCTACGACTGCAGCGATCCTCAGTCTAGATGCTACGGCCTGCGAGCATCCCGAAGACATGATGAGCCTAGAGGATATATCTCACTTCCTGGTCACGCAACGGAGAGGAGAGCAGTATGAGAAAGGGGCACCAGTTCCTATATAGCAACTACACTTCTACATCTATTTAAAGAACAGGCCGTTTCTGGTACTGTATTCATTCAACACGCCCCAGTCCGGAAACTCGGCTTCACTCCCCCACCTCCGGTCGTTTTTCGATCCTTGCATAAAGACCCTTCTGGAAGAAGAACCACGAGTTCTCATACTGGAACCTGTGGGGATCCACGACATGTATCTACGTGATGTTAGGACTGCAACTATTAAGCCAGGCATTTGTGGGGGACTCACATCATAGTTGGCTATGAGAAATGCCAAGATCTTCTTGATTTCTAGAATGCCCACATACCTGCCGATGCAGATGCGCCGCCCACCGCCGAACTTTGGCAGCACAGTCAGCAAGCGCGCCACGTAGAGAAACCAGGGGAAAGCGAAGCTAGATTCAGGGACGTGAACATCATGAAAAAGTACTTACTGTGAGAATTCCGGCCTCCAACTTTCTTTTGTGAGCCTCGTCCTTCTCGAGCCATCGCTCCGGCCTCCAGAATTCAGCATCGTCTCCGAACCAGCCCTTGTGCCGGTTCACGACGTAGGCATTGCCGCCGACATCAGTGCCCTCCGGTAGATGTTGGCCTGCGATTGTGATGCCGCCCTTTGGTACAACGCGCTCGAAGGGAAGGGCGAAGGGCGGGTGCATGCGGATTCCCTCCAGAACGCAGGCGTCCAGGTACGGCAGGTTCCGGATCTCAGTCCATGTTGGGTATGGCCGTGAGACATTGGCATCCTTCAGTTCTTTGAAGAGCTTCTCGAACGTGTGAGGGTATACCAGGAGGCTGTACATGGTCGTGCGCATGAGACTCCCCACCGAATCAGAGCCAGCGATGACATTGGAAAACGTCCATGCAGCCGGAGCCCTATTACAAAAGTCAAAACTGCCCACACTTCAAGTTGTCGACTGTACGGGATTTGACTGACGACGGGGGTAGCGAAGGGTCTTGCTGCGACACCTCAACATATCTTGTGAGAAAGTCCGACCCACGAGCATATTTGTCATTTTCCACGTCCCTCTTCTCGACATTGTTGGCGAGCGCTTCCCTCTTCTCGGCAATGGCTTTTGCTACAAACCCCATAATGCTCATCGATGCTTGGAGCCCCAAAGCGCGTTGGATGGCGTCGCCCACGCGGTTCTTCCGGAGGAGCCAGTCGATCTTTGGCATTTGCGTAAACTTTATGATCATCAATGTCAGTTCATACCTTGGTCTCGTTCTTCAGCATTTATGACCGGGGCAGCCTACCGGTGCAGAGGTTCGCATGAAAAACACAATGCTAGCTAGCATGCCTCCGACATCCTTGCCTGTGTCCAGGAATCCATAACGCTTCGAAAATGTCAAAGTCCCCATGACATCGAACGCGAAGAACTGAAGCCAATCGCCTAGATTAAACACTTGGTCGTTGCCAACGAATTTCTCCTCCAGCTTCTCGTGTATGCATTCGAGGACTTCGTTGACGCGAGGTTCCAGGGATGGTACATTGGCAAGCGTAAACAGAGGCGCGATAGGCGTCTTGAGCTTCTTGTGGACCTCGTCGCTTGTGGTGTTGAAGATGGCTTCCAATGCACCCCCATTTGGAGTGTAGGCCTGAAGCGTTGGGTAGAAATCTGACTGAAAAACGGGCACGTTAGACTATGGCAGTAAGAGAGGAGAGCAAATTCGGCGAGAAAGCCCTCACCTTGGGAAATCCTGTTCGCGCGGTGTATATCGTGGGGATGAGTTCCGGATTGTGGATGGAGACCGTGTTTGGGCCAATGCGCACAAGTTCGCCATATTTCTCATGCGCTTCTTGAAGGATTAGGTGAGCGCGTTTGGTCTTCACCCAGTAAACCCTCTGGAAGTTCGTGAACTTTGCAAAGAATGGCCCGGGAATATGACGGAGACGCCACCATGTCCGCCCAAGCTGCAGGACCACAAGCAGTACCACTGCAGCGGCAGCGAGCAACGAGGGACTACAATCTGCCAAGGTCAGGTTGGCAGGCATAATGACGGGCATGTTAGACTTCTTGCCAGCATACAGGCATGCAATGCAAAGGCTGTCTACGGACTTGAACAGATGCAGTGGGATGAGATCCACCATACATTTCAAATAGGTAATATGGTGGGTGTTCTTGCCTCCTGCTTGAAGCTCGGATGAATTCGGTCGGCCCTGGTGGAGTTGATGTTTTTACCCAGGTACACCCAAGCCTGCATATAAGGACCCTCGACACAGGTCTAACCTCTGTACCTGTTCTCAATCACGGACCTTGCTCCGATACGTAACTAAAGCAGTGTGCATTACGCGACAATATGTCCCACTTTGGCAGCAGCAATAACCATGACATTAAATTCGCCATACGATACCTTCCTTGCGAATGGGTGCTAGGTTTCCAGGCCGTGGGGCCGCTGTTCAAACTGCTGTTTAGGCCATGTCGGCACCGAGTACACGGGGACTACTTGCGACAGCCTTCTCTCCGGAGCATTAGGGGCCCACTCACTTAGACATGCACAATTGCCACTACCTGGGAAACAGGCGACAGTGATCTCGGCAATTTGTTGCAAAGCACCTCCGGAGTCCGCTTCTACTCACTGACGTGATAGTACCCTGTGAAGCTTTGACCTGATCCGGCCACCCGCTGGTCCGGGCCACGCCATTTTTTGTGCAGACACACTATAGAACACCCACTTTTCAGCCCCCCTCTAAAAATCTCAAGTAAATCCTAGTAACCCGAAACCTAAGTTTATTATATAAGATTTTAATTATATGTATGACAGAATTTAAAATTTATATTTATAATATTTTAAAGCTAAATTTAAAGAAATAACTTGAATTACTAGTAAAACGCATGCAATTTATAATATAATTAAATGAAATGTAAAAGTAAATAAAAAGTGTTATATACAATTAAACTCACTACTGAAAGCCATATTTAAAGCTAACTATGTCCTTTTATACCTGTAGAATATTTATCAGCTTTTGTGTCAGTGATTTAAGTGTCATTTGTGTCATATGCGACTGAGTACTGGAATGCACATGCACAAAACGGGACCAGCACATGCCAGGCAGTAACCATTCATACTTCTGTCATCTACAAGCTTTCAAACAAATCTCCTCAACGGTGTCTTGTTGCATACTCCAAACCATCATGCCTTTCAACAATGCTGCCAAGGAGTTTCGCGTGGCCCTATTTGGGCCACAAAGAACTGTTTGGACACCGCGGGACGTTGAAGATCTCCAGTCTGCCTTCCGAGAAGATGCGCGCCTCGAATTCCTGCACAAGACACTAGGCACACTCCCCTCGTTATGGCCACAGGTCCGACAAGCATACGGCTCGCCAGACTTCCCGGCCGCAGCAAAGCTTCAAAGATTGCAAGAAATTGTGGCTGGTTCCAGCAGCATAGACGATACAGTGCTGTCAAACACAGAACTGGCGCCGCTCACGGTCATCACACAGGTTGTCGACCTAATTCAGCAACACGGCACCAGCCTGGAAGACTTCGGGGCAGCGCAGGGCTTTTGTGTTGGGTTTCTCTCAGCTGCGTCCTATTCCTCAGCTCGAGACTGGCAGCACTTTGAAAGAAATGTCTCCAATGCCGTTCGACTAGCTGCCTGTTTTGGCATTGCAGTTGACATGGAGCAAGCTGCCTCGCCAGTTAAGGTCGTGTCAGTGCGTTGCAGGACGCCGGCAGAGAGAGCGACCCTGGACACATGCTTGGACCGTTTCCCTGACGTAAGTCTGCATTTCTTGACACAAAGAAAACCATGTCCAGAACTTGAAGGCTGACGAAACTCGCTAGGCTTACATATCCTGCGTGACTGAGGATAGGAATCTCACCATCACGTTGCCACATGCCAACGAAGCTGATTTAAGTTCGCTTTTGAGGAAGGCCGACATCGCCACGACAGTGATTGGTCTGCAAGGGAGCTATCACCATCAAAAACACAGCGAGACCTCCAAGGCTCTCGTCAGCCTTTACGCGCAGCATGAAAATCTTCGACTGCCCGAGGCCACCGAGCTGCGGCTACCACTTCGTTCCACAGCTGACGCTGACCTCATCACCACCGGCGCTCTTCACGATATTGCGACACAGCTGATCCTTAGCCAACGTGCCAACTGGTTTGAGACGGTGAAGAACACCGTGGGCCACCTGAGCCCAGATCAGACTGCGATAGCCAGCTTTGGCTCCGAAACATGTCTCCCTAAATCCCTGGCGAGATGTAAACAGCAGACACGTCCCGGTAAGCCCACCGTGACGGAAGAGATCGCCGTCGTGGGCATGTCTTGTAGGTTTCCTCAGTCTGAGAGCCTCGAGTCGTTTTGGCGGCTTCTCGAGGAGGGCGGCACGTGCATTGATAATATGCCCGCCGATCGCTTCGACCCTGCGCAGCTGCAGCGTGAGCCCAAGTTGGACACGTTCTGGGGCAACTTTATCGACCGGCCAGACGTTTTTGACCACAAGTTCTTTGGGATTTCGGGCCGCGAGGCAAAGTCGATGGACCCTCAGCAGCGACTCGCCCTCCAGCTTGCATATGAGGCGATGTCATCGTCTGGATACTGCAGTAAACCGTCTGCCATGCGCGTGAAAGATGTTGGCTGCTATCTCGGCGTGGGCGCTGTCGACTATGAGGACAACGTGGCCTCCCACACTGCCAATGCCTTCGCAGCGACCGGCATCTTGCGGGCTTTCATTAGCGGCCGCATCAGCCATCACTTCGGCTGGGAGGGTCCTTCTCTTACAGTGGACACAGCATGTTCCTCCTCTGCTGTAGCCATACATACTGCCTGCAAAGCTCTTCTCGGCGGGGAGTGTTCCATGGCGCTTGCTGGCGGCGTCAATGTCATCACCAGCCCCTCTCTCCATCAGAACCTGGCCGGAGCATCCTTCCTAAATCCGAAGGGGTCCTCCAGGGCTTTCGATGCTGATGCCGGTGGATACTGTCGCGGAGAAGGGGCGGGAATGGTTGTGTTGAAAAAACTGTCCACAGCTTTGGCTGACGGCGACGTTGTGATTGGAGTCATCGCATCCTCAGCGGTCAACCAGAACTCAAGCTGCAGCCCGATCACCGTTCCGCACTCAGATTCGCAAAGTACTTTGTACAAGCGGGTGCTCAACGACGCCGGCATACAGCCTCAGGATGTAACATACGTAGAGGCGCATGGGACTGGTGAGCCCTCAAACACCCCTGCCCAGTCTCTTTGCCTCTTGATCAAATTGACGCTGACATTGCACATAGGTACTCAAGTCGGCGACCCGATTGAATACGAGAGCATTCGGTCCGCTCTTACTGGTCCCCTGCGCACCGAGCAGTTGTATGTTGGCTCGGTCAAGGATAACATCGGTCATGCTGAGGCCGCCTCAGGAGCAGCCGGGGTCATCAAATGTCTACTCATGATGCATCACAAGACGATACCAAAGCAGGCAAACTTCACTTCCATCAACCCAAAGATCAGAAGCTCAGCCGAGGACCGCATCACTGTATCGACGAAAACAGTTCCATGGACCTCGAGCAAGCACATCGCCCTGGTCAACAACTATGGAGCAGCCGGAAGCAACGCAGCCATTCTCATCCGCGCTCATCCAGTCGAGAGGAGGCGCGCGGCAACCATGACCCCAACCGTCCATCCCATTCTTTTTTTCCACCCCATTCTCCTTTCGGCAAAGACGGCGACCAGCCTTAACTCGTACGCGGAAGCTCTAAAGACGTATCTTTCCAAAGGCACAGCATCCCTTAGCGACATTGCTTACAACATAGCACAAGCCCACGATGTGTCATTGAACTGCCGTGTCGGCTTTGTTTCCGATGCGGTTGACAGCACAATATCCAGCCTGAGCAGGACGAAGACATTTGATGCAAACAAGAGTCCCGTAATCTTGTGTTTTGGCGGCCAGACGGGGCGAACTGTAACTGCCTCGAAGGAGCTCTATACCAGCAGCGATCTTTTCCAAAAGCACTTGGTAAGTGATTGCCCCCCCCCCTCCCCTCTCCGTTGACGGTCTGCCTGCTTAGAATTAATGGACGGCTGACTCTCCATGTTTAGGATGAGTGCGACTCGGTCTGCAGACGACTAGGTTACCCCAGCCTCTTTCCCGGTATTTTCGAGCAAGACGAGATTCAAGACACTGTTTTGCTCCACTGCAGGCTTCTGTCCCTGCAGGTGTCGTGCGCGAGAAGCTGGATCGACTCTGGCCTGCAGGTCGACACCCTGCTCGGCCATAGCTTCGGCCAGCTGACCGCGCTCTGTGTGGCCGGCTCCGTTTCTCTCGAGGATACTTTCCGGCTCGTCGCAGGCAGGGCCCTCCTGGTCCGGGATGCCTGGGGCCCTGACCACGGTGCGATGCTGGCGGTGGAGTGCACCAGGGCCGATCTCGATCACGTCGTCTCCCAGGTCAACTCGGGAGACGGTCTACGCATGGAAGTCGCATGCTACAACGGCCCGCAGCAGTTCGTGCTCGCCGGGGACGCCCCCTCCGTTGCGAGAGCTGCAGAGCTGTGCCGCAGTTTCAAGGTGCACGAGCTGAGCAACACCCACGCGTACCACTCTCACCTTACGGACGTGATACTGAGGGACCTGTCGAAGATTGCTGGTTCCGTCAAGGTCCAGCCACCTCGCATCCCCATCGAGACCTGCACCCTTCATGAGACATGGACCGACTTCACAGCCGAGGCCATAGTGAATCACACACGACAGCCTGTATTTTTCGACAAGGCTGTGAGTCGTATCGCAAGTCGTTTCCCCGGGGCCATCTGGGTTGAATCAGGATCGGCAACACCCATTATCGCCATGGCCAAACGAGCCATCAACACAGCGGACCGATCTGACGTCTTCTTGCCAATGCAGCTGGGCACAGTGGATGCCATGAGAAACTTGGCAAAGGCAGCCTGTGAGCTGTGGAAGGCAGGCTCGGCCGCTCAATACTGGCTCCACCATCGATCGTCCGGGTATCGCTACCAGAAGGTGAACCTGCCACCATACCAGTTCGAACAGACGTCTCATTGGCTCTCGCTGGGGCAAAGGCTATCACCAGCCACGCCCGAGACCATCAAGGCTCCGCAGCTTGTCAAATTGGTGAAACACGATCGAGCAAGCGGAGAGCTCATCCTGGAGGTGAACACATCTGGTGACACATTTCAACTGGCTGCGAGTGGCCACGCAGTCGCTGGTCAGAACCTGTGTCCGGCATCCATGTACATGGAGATTGTCGCCCAATCTGCCAGTCTAGACGCACATCGCACCAGTTCCAAACAAAAGTGTGTGCCGCATATTGAGTCCCTAACGATGCTAGCTCCTCTGGGGACTGGCGATAGAACCGTGGTGCGCGTGCACCTCCACCAGACGGCACCGGAATCGTGGGAATTTGTCATCAGCAGCCAAGCGACCGCCAGCTCGCGACCAGGCGATGTGCCGACCAGGCATGCCACCGGTTCCTTTTCGTGGCAGCAGGCCGACGACGCCATGGCGGAACGACGACTCCGGGTGCTCGGCCGCCTGGGGACAAGCCAGACCTCTGCATCAGCAATGGCTACCGGTATGAGTGGGGTGATGGTATATGACATGTTCTCAAACGTCGTTGACTATGCCGACTACTACCGGGGTGTCCACAGCATATCTGCGTCTCACAACGTGGCTACCGCTACGGTCAGGGTCCCGGCAAAGCAGCACGAGCTGATTGATGCGGGCATCACGGATCCCATCATGTTGGACAACTTTCTCCAGGTTGCTGGAATTCACACCAACTGCTTGGCACCCAGAGATAAGGGACTTGTATTAATGTGCACCTCTATAGACGAGATCATTTTCACCCCGTCTTGCGTGGACGAGAGGAGCGCTGACCGCGAGTGGATTGTACACACACGGTTCGACGAGGACACGCCCGCCAACACGAGGACGAATGACATATTCGTGTGTGAGGCCACAACCGGTCAGATTGTCATGGCCGTCCTCGGGGCAAACTTCAAAGGTGTCCCACTCAAGTCTCTCGCAAAGAGCCTCACCAGGCTCAACAAACCCACGGCCGCAGTGGCCGAGCAACAGCCAGTCACACCAAATGCCACGGTGGATTCAGGCTACGCATCGGAGCGAAGTGATTCAGAATGGGCGCCTGCTCAAAAGATCGCCCCCGGCACGGTCCAAGCCACCCAGCTGGATCCGCTCGCGGCCACTGTCGGTACTGCCGGACCGAATGACGCCTTGTCCAAGTTGCAAACGATGCTAAGCGAGATCATTGAGATACCCGTGGACGAGGTGACCCCAGCCTCTTCACTGGACGATCTTGGCATCGACTCTCTGCTCATAACAGAGGTGTTGGCCGAGATCAAGACCCGTTTTGGGGTTGTCGTCGCGCAGGAGAAGCTGGCCAATTGTGCCGATGTGCGCGGGGTGGCAGATCTTTTGGGTGGAGGCGAGCCCCAGCGACGAGAGAAGATGCCAGGAGCCTCGACCTCGGAAGTTTCTCGCGCCAGCAACTCGGTCAGGTCACTCCGCGATAGCCATGTCGTCCCTCCTGCCACGGGCTCCACCGACAAGGAAGCCTCGGGCGGCACGCCTCTTGCAGTCGCAGGTCGCCGCGTCTTTTCCGAGACGATAGTTTCCTACGACAAGCACGCCCAAGACACAGGCTTTACCGACTTCTACGCCGACGTCTTCCCCACCCAATCCGCCCTCGTGGTGCAATACGTCTTGACAGCATTCGCCTCCCTCGGCTGTGACCTAGCATCTGTCGTCCCCGGTGCCACGCTCCCGCCCATCGAAGCGCTCCCGAGGCACGCCAAGGTCATGGTTCAGCTGCACGATATCCTGGCCACGGCCGGCCTGCTCAGCAAACGGGCAGGCGGAGGGTTTGTCCGCACACAGCTACCCGTCCCCACAGTCCCTGCGTCTGTTCTCAAGGACGAGCTGCTACAAAAGTTCCCCAAGCACACCTCAGAAACTATGCTCCTCCACTCCACAGGCCACCAGCTGGCCGACTGCCTGACAGGACGTGTCGACCCGGTCTCGGTCCTCTTTGGGAACGCGGCTGCCCGTGAGCTTCTCGGAGACGTCTACACCAACGCGCCCATGTTCAAGACCGGAACGCTCGTGCTGTCTCAGTACCTGTCATCCCTCCTCAAAGACATGGGCGGAAAGCGAGAGCTCAGGATACTCGAGCTTGGTGCAGGCACGGGAGGGACGACCAAGAATGTTGTCGAGACCCTGGTCGCTCTGGGCCACAAATTCACCTACACATTCACGGACCTATCGTCTTCGCTCGTGGCAGCAGCAAGACGCAAGTTTTCGAAGTGGTCGTTCATGGAGTACAGAGTGGTTGATATCGAGAAGGACACTCACCCTGACTTTGTCGGCAAGTACGATATCATCCTGTCGACAAACTGCATCCACGCCACAAGAGACCTCGTGAACTCGACATCCCACATCCGCGAGATGCTGAAGCCAGACGGGCTGCTCTGTCTGGTGGAGTTGACGCAGAACCTCTACTGGTTCGACCTCGTCTTTGGGCTCCTGGAGGGATGGTGGCTGTCCTCTGACGGCCGGCGGCATGCCCTGGCGAGCGAGGAGCTGTGGAGGAAGGACCTCCTCGAGGCGGGCTACAAGTGGGTCGACTGGAGCCGCAGCTCGACCAGGGAGTCTCGGCTCCTCAGGGTCATCACGGCGTCCCCATTCGACACTCCCCCGCGCATGGAGACGGTTCAGTTCAAGGAGGTCGACGGCCTGAGACTCTACGCCGACATTTACTATCCAGGCGAGCTCGTCGAGCCCGGAAAGACACTTCCCGTAGGTGAGACTGCCATCACCTATTTACTTTGCACAGTTCAACGCAGCCACAGACTGACAATTTCCACGCAGCGCTCATGATTCACGGTGGCGGCCACATTATGCTTTCGAGGCACGACATCCGCGCAGACCAGACCGCCATGCTCCTGGACGCCGGCTTCCTCCCCATCAGCATCGACTACAGGCTCTGTCCCGAGACGACCTTGCCCGAGGGGCCAATGACTGACGTCGTCGACAGCCTGCACTGGGTCCGCACCACACTGCCCCACGTCGCCCTGTCCAGACCAGACATATCCATAGACGCGTCCAAGGTCGTCGCCGTGGGCTGGTCCACGGGCGGCCACCTCGCCACGACACTAGCCTGGACGTCAAAGGCCCGCGGGGTCCAGCCCCCGCAGGCCATCCTCGCCCTGTATTGCCCGCTAGACTACGAAGATCCCTTCTGGACGCGCCCCAACATCCCCGAGGGCGCCGGAGGCCCGGCCGCGCAGCCGGCCGCGGCGGGGGCGGGGGCGGGGGCGGGCCCACCGTTCGAGCTCGACGAGCAGGTCTGGGCCGGGGGCGTCTTCGACGCGCCCATCACCGGGTACAACGTCGCCCCCGGCAAGAGGGCGCTGGGCGGCTGGCTCGCGCCCTCGGACCCGCGCAGCCGGCTGGCGCTGCACATGAACTGCGGCGGCCGCACGCTGCACGTCCTGCTCGCGGGGCTGGACAGGGGGGCGCGCGGGGGCCCCGCCGCCGCGGCGCCGGCGCCGGCCGACATCGCGGCGGTCAGCCCGCTGGCGCAGGTCAGGGCCGGCAACTACGCGGCGCCGACTTTTATCCTGCACCCGCGGGGGGATGACCTGATCCCGTGGCGGCAGGCCCAGAGGACGTGGGAGGCGCTGCGGGAGGCTCACGTCGATGCCGAGTTGAGGATCGTGGAGGGCGTGGGTCACTTGTTCGACCTGGGAGGGCTGCAGAGGGTTCGCAGTGCGGCTGCTAGGCAGGCTGTCGTGGATGGCTACGGCTTCTTGTGTCGGCATGTGGGTTTGGAGTTGCGCACATGATTGCACGAATGGGTTTTTTATCTCTGTACATTGTTAATTGGGGATTGAGCTTGGTACACACACTATGATACCTGTTCAGCGTCTTCGCATGAGCCCGATTGATTGTAAGGGCATACTACCTCTGCCCTCTGGGAAGTTCTGGCGCACAAGATCTGAGGTGATGATGGCTACTGCCAATTTGCGATACCCTCATCAGGAGGCCGTGTTTTTTGACCCAGGGGTAGAGGTGCAGTTATCATGCGCACTGTCCCACTGGCTGAGAAAGGCACCGGGAAAAGCAGCACGCTTTCCCCGAAGGCGAGGTCAAATCTTGAGGCGTGTCACCTACGGTCGTACAACAAACGCACTATGGCTGCATGAAAAAGGCAAGATGAGGGTTGCATAGCTCTAGAAAAGGACAAAGAGCGGCGCAAAAGCACAGTCCCCATCCCAGCCCCTACTTAGGTATCTCTCGGTGATCATTTCAGCTGTACATATGTACTCCATGATTGTCATCATTGCGCGAGTTTTGTCATGGAATGTCGGACAGTCTTGAGCCGTGTGTACAATGGTCTTCTAGGTATATTGCGCTCTATTATGTACATCGCCACGTCAAGCTTTGCCATCACGCGATGCCCCTCAGTTCTGCCTCGGTCAACTCGGGATAGGGCATGATGGGGGCCATCTTGTCGTTCTTGCTCCCAGCAGGCGCGACATTCTTGATCCGCAACCCCCTCGCGGGGTCGGTGACGAACTTGTGCAACTCCTCCCAGTCTCTGCACATCATGGCCTGGTCGTCCGTCGCGTGGCCGTTCTTGTAACCGCTGACGTAGGACAAGGGCTGGGCGTCCGCCATGCACATGACGGCGTCGCGGAGGGTGTTGATGCAGTGTGCCACGTGCCCGGCCGTCCACAGGGAGTCGTTGGTCCGCCCGTAGTGGTAGGTAAACTCCTCGGAGATGACGAACTACAGCAGGACAAGGGTTTCCAGGTTAGCCTGCGTTCGAAGAGTGCGAGGATCTTCAAGGGAAGCCCCCCCCCCCCCGAGGGGAGGGTGGTGAAAGTGGTCCATACTATGCAATGCATTTGGTGGAAGCCGCGTATGGCGTAGAGTTCCCTGCCGTCTTCAAGGGGATCCCAGGGCCAGAACGTTGGCAACTCGGCGGTGGTGCCGTCGGGCTTGATTCGCTTGGCACGGGGCTCATCTGGCCGGACAAATATGCTGGAACCTGCGATCGAGGCCCAAGAGGTCAACCGTGACATCTTGGCAAACAAGAAACATCTAGACTCACTATTGTGCATGAGCTTCTGGTGGTTGATTATAGCCATTGACTTGTCAAAGTCGTCGAATATGTCCTCGGGCATATAGTAAGGGTGGTCGTGACCCCAGTAGGTCGGCTTTAATGGGTACCCGACTCCTAATGCCACGATGTATCTTAGTAACGGCAGGTGTGGTTGAGGGCCTCTCTGCGTCTCTGTTGGACTTGACGTACCATTGGGAACAATCCCGTTCCAGTCCTCGCCTAGCAGACCGCTCCATTCAAGATCGCGATATGTGGCGTGCGGGTGTGGTGCGTCGCCGTCGCGGAACAGCCAGATCAAAAAGAACAAGCCTTGGAAGGCATGGGTGACATAGAATCCGGTGCGATATAATCTCAGCTTCTTCTTGATCTTTGCCAACTCAATCATGGACGATTTGTCGGGCGTGGGTTGGGTATCATCGTCGCCTTGTAAATCAACAGACTTGTATGCAATTTCATCTCGGTCGGAACTGCGCCCGTACGCAAATATCTTGGAGAATGGAAACATTTCAGATGATGAACGCAATGTCGTAAAACTTGACGGGGATGCTAAGGTGTTGAATCCAAAGAATCACCAGGTTGCAGAGTTCAGAGTCATGGGGAATCACATTTGGGCGTGGTCAGCAAAACCGTGCCCTTGTATATATACCGCAGTGCAGCACCAGATATAGCATATATTACAAACGTTTTTGGCGTTATATTCTACCCATGTTTCAGCTATAAAGATTATATAATTGTTTAAATTATGCAAACCTTAATTTTTAATAATTTATTTAAATGCTTTAATTTATTTAATAATTACTTCAGTATGTATTTCAACTTTGACAGGGACTGAACTTAGATTAAAAATATTTCTGAATTTTTTAATAAATGAAATACAAAAACTTTTATTAAATTCACGATAATTTTCCGGCGTAGGTGTAGGTGGTCTGGAATAGACAGAAAACAGTTAACCACTCCTGTTGGAGGTCAAGGGCTTACGTAATACGAGCGTATCATCTTCCTGTCTGAGTCTCATGCTACGGAGTACAATGTGGTATTGTTACGGTAGAAGTGGATGTGTACACTGAGCTGATTCACAAAACACCCATGAATAGCGACAGTGTATGAAGAGCCTGTCTGATTAGAGTTGCCAATGCTAGCTGAGGAAATGGCTTGGCAGTGACAGACCCCCACAGTGACGCTCCCAAAACTCGTTATTTCACTGGGCACAATGCGTTTTTACGGGGTGCAAAAACAGGTGGCTTCCGGGTAGAGATACGGGGTTGTCTACTCCAGTGGACTCCAAGCTTCGAATGTTCCTTACCTGGAGGTTGGTTTGTGCAGTTTACTCGGGCCTGGCCAGTTCGTTTGTTGCAGTTTACTTGGGCCTGGCCAGGTGAGTCGGTTCGTGCGGCTTACTCGGGTCTGGCGGTACTGGGTCACAGACCCACCGCGCGCGCACTCATAGCTACTGCGCACTGAAATACTTGTGCTGCCTTAAAAATATCCTGTTCGTCCCGGGGCTCCCGGGTGCTGGTGGCTGTACACGACCATGAAGATCGACCATGATATTTGCGCTGAAGGATCATAAATCTAGGGTTTAAACGCAATCCAGATATATCGCGAACCCCATATGCAAGTCAGGTTCGGGCCGCGGGCGTACGATTGATGTAGAAGATCTTTGCATAGAACTGCGCAATGTGTTGGTAATACCCTTGGCTTTTGGAAATGCTCCTCATCTGTGTGTGATTTCGAGTCATCACCCTCATTTGACCTTGTCTGCCCTTACCAAGCCCTAGGCTGGTTATCATTGCGAGGTGTTTTCATCGTGACCAACTTGCTGGCCGGTGCTAGAGAACAAGGTTCGACAAAAGATGGCTTCTTCTCAAGAAAACGTAAGCTGGCTTGATATGCCCAAAAAGGGACAGCTAGGGATTCTGTTCCTGTTGCGTTTTGCGGAGCCCTGTGTTAGGTCGTCTGCCTCTGTAAGTGAGCGTCCTCGGCTGATAATACGGCTGATAATACCTACATTGCCTTGCGAATGCTCGTCGCAATCACCAAGCTCACGATGAACTTGGATAGACGTACCTCTACTTTCAATTGAAAAATCTGGACTCTTCGCTCTCATCTGGGCAAATTGTTAGCCAGTCGGCCGCAGTATCAACTGCCTACATCATTGGACAGTGCTTGTCATCACTGTGGATCAGCGAGCTTGCAGACAACCCAAAATATGGTCGCAAAGGCGTTCTCCTGCTTGGCACAGCAGCTTCAGGTAAGTTTGTACTTCGAGGGAAAGATTCCCATTGTCTGACATCGATATTAACATGGTGTGTTTCCAGTCATCAGTTCTTCACTCCTGGGGTTCACCCGTCATTTTTATCAACTGGTGCTTCTGTGGGGTCTTGAAGGTATCTTCAATGGCAACGTAGCCACGGCCAGAACTGTAATAACTGAGATCGTGGGTGAGACGAAGTAGGCATCAATCCATCTCTAGTCTTTCTTTTTTTGCGTTATGCGAGTGATAGTACCTAGGCTGCTGACTGAAGTGTACTGGCCAACAGATTCCTCTCCAGAGCATTTGTCATGACCACTATGGCTGCCACTTTGTCAACCCTCTTGAGTCCACTTATGGGAGGCCAGCTGGCCGACCTTGCGAGTACGTATCCTGAGAAATACGGGAACAACGCATTCCTCAAGAAGTATCCCTACGCAACACCCGCTTTTGTCAATGCTTCAATGTTGCTCATAACATTCATGGCGATTTTCTTCTTCCTTGAAGAGGTATGTCCTCCAATGGCGCCCTGGACGTACGTTTCCGGTGTGCTGACAATAATCCACGATCCAAGACACATCCTCAGAAGAGGGGTGGCCCCGACATTGGTCTAGCGATCTCAAGAAAGGTTTTATCGTGTTTCTACAGTCAGAAGAGTCACAGTGCCTCGTATCCGCCATTGGACGACGAGAATTCAACGGAAATGGAGGCTGTGCCTTTCATCATAGGGGATGACGAGGAAGCGGAGGATCCAAACAACTCGGACAACGAATACGATGACGGGAAGCAAGGAAAGAAGGAGGGCAGGTCGCTTACGCCCCTCCCCGAGAAGAAAAAGGCCCCCCCGGTTCTTCCGTTCCGGCGGATTTGGACCCGTAATTTCGTCCTCATGCTCGCGGTATCTGCCATACACGACAGCCACATAGGGGCGTACACCGTACTCTGGGTCAATTTCCTCAGCGATCCCCCGGCGAACGGTGTCCACGACCGTCTTCCCTTCCGCTTTTCCGGCGGTCCGGGGATGACGCCCTCCGAGATTGGCTTCACACTGTCGATCGTCGGTGCATGTGGCCTGCCGGTTCAGTTCTTCGTGTACCCTAAAATCATCCACAAGCTGGGTGCTGTGAAAGCCTGGCGTCTTTTCATGCGAGGGTTGCCCATCATATACAGCGCTGCTCCGTTCGTCGCCGTCGTCAGTAAGCTCACGAAACCGGCGACGATGGAGCATGGGCAGCCTCCGGCTGTCTGGATGCTCATCACCTTGATACAAGTCACGCTGATCTTCTGCGCGGTCTTCGTCACACCCACGGCGCTTATGCTCATCAGACTGTGAGTGACCGCCTGCCTGCCCTCTCGTCCCCCTACTGTCTATATCTGTGGCAAAAGCTTAACACATGTCATGCACTGCAGTGCGTGCCCTCACCCGTCAGCCCTGGCGCGGACGCACAGCATTTCGTATGTGGCTAGCGGCGTGGGCCGTGCTGTCGGGTCGTCACTCGGGGCCCTTGTTTACAGCTATGGGACGTCTCACTCATTCACGGGCTTGGCCTTCTGGTCGGCAGCAGCCGTGGCAGTGTGCGTGTGTTGTCTGGCCATGGCGTGCAAGCAAGGCGATGGGCACGAGATTTGGCTTGACGGAGATGAAGAGTAACTACCTGGGTGCTTACTGTCGGGAAGATACTAGTTTGGAGATATCACAGCAGAATCTCGCACTTCTGCTTCCTCGCGAGAAAGGCCCATTTCTCGGCGTGAATATTACAGTACCTCATAGTCAGCATACCCCTGCTGAGAGCGGCTGGGAGCTCCCGGCTGGCATCAAGAAGGAGCTCGACCGCGCGCACATGGGCCGGCGCTTCGCCGTGCTGTCCCGAGGGAAATACTGCCTCGGCCCCGCTGCTGTGAAGTCGGACGATGTCTGCGGTATCGTCGTCGGACCAATGCTGCCGCCTCTCATCCTCCGTGCTGCCGGTAGCACTTCCGGGTAGTACAAAATCATTGGGCCCGTGTATGTCTCGGGGGTGAGCAATGAGGAGGGCAGGTTTTGTTCACACCAGCTCGGAGGTCGCAAATCTTGTTGTGGGTGGTCCCAGGGCTCGGATGACTCCGAAGACATATTCCTCTGTTGATTGAGCTGAACAGCAAACACATATCTAATGCTGAATCTGCTTTGTAATTTGCTGTAAGTTAACTGCTGTTCATTCTATATCCTGCTCAAGGTGGCAAACAATGTATGTAGCTGGTATCTCCTTCTGATAGTAATTGGTTGTTCCATTCCTACTTTCTACCGTCAGCTCGTAGTTACTGTCAATTTTCTGTCGTGTACGACAAAGTCGATAGTGGCGTAATAATCATCAAAGCTCATTTTCCGGCGCCATCGGACCTCAAGAACTTCAAATATCCCTCCTCGTCCTGCCCAAAACGTGCCCACATCCCCTTAGAGCTATTGTCCAGGTCCGTCGGTGCCCCCACCCCCTGAATCTCCTCATCCGTCCAGCCGTGGAGCCCAAAAGCCAGCAAAGCCATAGAAGAAGCTTTCAGCAGCGGCTGCCTCCGCGTCAACACGATCGACACCCCGAGAAGCACCGCCGTCGCAACGACCTCGACGACGGTAACGAGGATCCAGGGCCAGCGAACGTGATAGTACGTCTCGCGGTACCTAGCCATCCCCTCCACTGTCGTCGCCATAGTGTTGTCCTTTCCGGCACTCCTCAGCTGCGCGGTCAGGGTGTCGGCGATGTTGGTCGTCAGGTTCGCCAGGTCGGTGAGGTACATGAACTCCGCGAGGTTCAGGGAGTCCTCCACCATCTGCTGCCTCGTCGCGGAGCGCAGCTCGCGGGTGAAGAGGGTCGTGATGTAGGCGAAGAGGCCCCTGTCGACGGAGATGGAGATGTTGAACTCGGGGGTTGACGAACCGGGCTCCTTATAATAGGCGTATGAGGGATTGAGACCCACGTAGAGCGAATTCTCCGCGAACAATTCAAGATCCTGCGTGGTCACGTTTGCGTGGCGGAGGCCGGATGGCGACGCGGTGGCGTTGTGGAAGGTCTTCTTGCACCAGTTCCAGGACATCGAGTAGACCTCGGATGTGAACGTGGTGGAATTCGTGGTGTTAACCGCGAACAACGTGCTGCCGTCTACATTGGGAGTGGAGTTGAAGAGCGATGTCGACCCCGTCCGACCTGCGTCGAGGCGTAGTTCGAGGGGAAGACTGTCTGGGAATTCGTAGGTGCAATAGATATCACCGCCAGCGCTAGAGCGACCACGGGTCTCGCAGCTTCGATTGTATGACTGGGTACCGGTCAGGTTCTGGAAAGTCCCACAGACGGCTAGAGTATCGAATTCGTCCCAGGAACATTCAGTCGCGGGCTCTGGGCAGTGGAACTCCACAGTCGGAGGGGACCCTGCAGCGCCATTCAGAATCGAGGTCTGGAGTTCCAGCGTGTGCAAGTTTGGCTCGTGTGGCGCTCCTAATACAAGTCAGTATGCTTTTGAGACAGGAAATAATAAGAGTGTCCTCTCACGCACCATTATAACCCTGAAATGAGGTGGCAACCAGAGCTCTCGAGGAGTAATTTTGGGCTTGCCCAACGAGTGCCGTGGTGTTTGTCATGTAGGCCAATTTAGTGCGAGTCTCGATCGTCTGCTGGGTACTTGGCTCGATGCCCAATGCTACCAGAGTGACGATGGCGAAGGCCCACGCACTGAGGACTTTGGCGCGTCCGGTAATCAGCAGTATGAACGAGCCCCAGGGGCCACGGCTGGCGTCGTCATACAGTTGGAGATGGTCAAGCGGATTTGCCCGGTACTGGAAATGGTCCCATTTCATCTGGCTGAGACAAGCAGCGATGGGGACCATCATGGCGGTCTTGGTGACGTTGGTCAAGATGGAGAGTAGGGTGTTGGGCAGGATCGCATACGGCCACTCCTCCACCGCCAGATTGTCGACCTTCAACAGCACCGGGATCAGGAGGGCAGTACTGATGAGGCTCAATATCATCGCGCCGACCTCCCACCACCACCACCCTCCGAGTTGGAGTTGAGGTACTCCAGACGCTCTTGAGCCATGCCGATCTTGACTCGATTTCGAACGACTAGCCTCTGTCGAAGTCATACTCGGCCGTTCATGACCGGCAGTCTGTCGGCCGCTTTCGGCGTCAGAAGGCTCTGCCATTAGTGGCGCGCCCGGGGAGGGTGTGTCGTCCTATTCCATACACTATTAACTACCAGACCAAAACGTTCAATAAGATGCAAACTCACTGGCATATGGCCCAATATAGCTGTGAGGCTTGGTGAAGTCAAAACGGATCAGGATGACCTGATACTCTCACTATTGCGATCACACTGCTAAGGAATGTGAACGATATGTTTGAGACAGACAAGTATACTGAGCCGCCTTTGCCTTCCAGGCTGGATCCGAATAGGTATGTATATGAGGTTACCTTGAAATAAGTTCAAAATCGATGTTTTTGAAGGTGCAGAATGGGAGCTGATCAGGCAGCCGTAATAAGGCTTTCGGGATCCACATAGGCGTTGTAAAAGAGGCGCTGCCGAAGTTAAAGATCGTCTGATGGAGCACTGCTCGCTTACACCTTACAAGGTCGCGAATCCTTCCCTGCAGATCGGTCATTGGCTAACGCATTCCTCAGGTATTTCTCACTAAGAATTGTTACTGCAAGTGGAACAACGTTGCAGGGTATAGCGAGGTGTCCCCATATTTTTCACACATCTCTAGTCCTCGCAACCAATCGATAATATGCCCGTATTTTCCTCGAAAAAAAGAAGTAAGATCAATATGCGGAAAACGGGAGGATGTGGGGACATTGTTCAGCTCGAAAGCCTTAGTGAGACCACATCGAACACTGCAGTCCAGTAAATCGCAGTATTGATTCGGCCCCATCCATGAGTCAGCCAGCTGCTGAATCAAAATACCTATCCTCAGCCGGCGCTCGACAATTTGTATATCGAGGCTGTATTCGCGTAAGGATATGGAGCTATGGTCACTCATGGCAAGTGACCAAATCAGTAATCAGTTGGCTCCGTTTGTCCCCGGCTTATTTGGAAAGCAAACCGGCTACAAAATTACACGTAGCTGGGTTCATTGTATCATACAGTCGAGGTGCTTGAGAGTGGGATATTCACACCCAGGAATCGCGGAGGGCCGGAATGGGATCCTGCCAGCTTCTCCAGATAGACGGCCTCCGTGTGGGACTAGTCTTTTGTGGTCTTTGAATAACGCCGTATGTGGCCGGAAGTGTTGCTGGGCTGTTTCCACGATACCCACTGAAAAACCCTCCAGGACGTAGACAAATCTTGAAGGGGCATTCTCATTGATTGTCACGAGAATTCCGGAGCCGCGTGACCTAGCATCTTTGAACTCGGTGGCAGGAGCAAAAGTGTCGTCGGAGTGCAACTAGCATTCCACGACTCTCGATTCAGACAAAGTCCGTAGCAGCGTTGGCTGCGCCTCCATTGATATCGCTAGCCAGGGCCTGGTGACTGCTGTTCTGGGACGGTCAGAAAAGTGTCTTTCCGTCGTTGTCCAAGGAGCCACCTCCTACATTTATTCCATTTCTGTCCATTAAATTGCTTCTCTGAAACGTTTGTTTTTTTTCTCCCCAACCCCCCCCCCCCACATGATCAAAATCCATTTGTTCAAAGCTATAGAGGAGCGAAGAATCTGTACTCTGTTTACGTATATAGCCCTCCCCCCTTGTCACATGGAACCCCATGATAATATGTGCAAAGTGATCATCAATATTTTAGTTCCATTGAGCAGGGCTCAGCAGTTTTGAATTCGTCAACATTACTCTCGTATGCAATCAATCGCACCATTTTGGCGCTAGTGACCTGCATAAGACACACAACACCCTTTTTCTTCCTTACTTCATTTTTCATATATTTTCACCTTTTGCGTAATGAATACCTTTTTAATTTAATCATAGCCTATATTAAAAGAAAGCTGCTTCTTTTTTAATTTTTTTAATATTTCTTTAAGGAGAATAAAGGAAATATTAAGGGTGTGAAGTGTAATAATATGTGAATTTAAAGAAAACCCAAAATTTTAAAGAGGGTGGTGCTTTTAGCAACTTTTAATATATTTACTTTCTCGCCCTAGTGATTTCAATATAACTCCTAACTTTTAATACCCTTTTAATTCCTCTTTATTTTTAACTTTAATTTAAATATAATTTTTTTTCCTTTATGCACTTAATTTAATAGCGAAATAAAAAAATTAATTAAAAAAGAAGCAGCTTTCTTTTTATATATGTTTTACATAAATTAAAGCTAAATTGAGAAACTTAATAAAAGTGAGCAAGAGAAAGGGTATGGTGTGTCTTATGTAGGTCACTAGCGCCAAAATGGTACGATTGATTGCATGTGAGAGTAGGGTTAGGGCTGTTGACAACCGTTGCAATGTTGATTCTAACCACAACAAATCGCAAACAATTTATTTAACCTCGATTTCAGCGCACTTCGAAAATTAAAGGTCCTTGGGAGATATCCTCCAGATCATTTACTTGTTTCACGCTGCGCATAACTCATCGACATCCCTCGGAACGACAACCAGCATTATATCAGCATGGGTTCGGACAGGCTTGCCCTGCTCATCGACGGCGACAACGTCTCAGCAAAGGTGATCACGGGCGTCCTGGCCGAGATCGCCAAGCATGGCACCGCGGGCGTGAGGCGGATATACGGCGACTGGACGCAGCCCAACCTGGGGCCCTGGAAGCGGTGCCTCCTCGAGCACTCGATCCAGCCGGTGCAGCAGTTCGCCTACACGACGGGCAAGAACGCCACCGACGGCGCCATGATCATCGACGCCATGGACCTGCTGTACACGGGCCGCTTCACGGGCTTCTGCCTCGTCTCGAGCGACAGCGACTTCACCCGCCTCGCCGTGCGCATCCGCGAGCAGGGCCTCGCCGTCTACGGCTTCGGCGAGGCCAAGACGCCGCGCCCCTTTATCAGCGCCTGCGACAGGTTCTACTACTTCCACGCCCTGGAGGCGGTGCCGCCGCCGCCCGACGAGACGGCGCCGCCCACCACCCTCAACGCTGACGCCGTCGCAGATGCCGCTGCTGCCCGGCGGCCTGTCGTCCCAGCGATCCAGGGCAGCCAGGCCGGCGCGGGCGTCTCGCCGACCACCACAGCACCCGGCCCCTCCGGTGCCGCGACCGGCAGGCTGGACGCTGAGGCCCTCAGGATCCTGAGGATGGCCGTGGATGCCTGCGCGGAGGACGACGGCCACGCGAACCTGGCCACCGTCGGCAGTTACCTCACCAAGCAGTCGCCCGACTTCAACGCCGCCAACTATGGCTTCAGCAAGCTGCGCGAGCTGGCGGAGGCCTCTGGGATTCTCAACGTGGAGCTCGTCCGACGGCCTAACGCGGCGCCGATATGCATGGTGCAGCTCAGCGATACATCCAAGAGGGAGAAGCGGCGGCGTTTGACTTAGGTGGTCCCAAGAGACGGTTCTTCAGATCATGGGAAGGGCATGTGGACATTCTACACTACTACAGTTGTCTACTAGAGAAGATCAGACACCAAAGTTTTGATTCAATATCAAAGACAGCTTTTCTAATTGATACGTGTATTAATTCTACAATGTTTTGGACCTCTTGATTGCGCCACAAAAAGATCCGGGATTGTGAACCGTCTTGTGCAGCAAGTGAGAAGTACGTTGGAGAAATTCAGCGCTCATTTAGATGAGGTCAGATACATGCGGCAGCCCTATCAGATATGGATGAGACATGCCAGTTCACACCTCCAGCCCGGCGAATACGGGCAGATGACGACGACTGGGCCCAGGCTGACGATCCTCACCGAGTGTGGTGTGCTGTTTCCAGTCTTGACCAAAACAGTCCGAGAGGAGTCCCTCAGATATATTCGATAACGTAAAAAGCTCAGTCCTGCATCTGCAGTCTGTTTGCTTATGTCGTACAAATATGCAAACCGCACTTGTGGGTTGGCCGTGTGTGGGGTCAGATTGTCTCCGGCTCCCGCCCCCTTGCCATGCTACATAAGCGACGTCACTAGAGCCAAGATGTAAGACGGGCATACTTGCCCCCTCGCGAGTGTGGTGAGAATGTAAACAAATACCCATCCGTCCCCCTCGCTCCTCCTCTTCAGCTAGTCTTTCCTCTTGTACATGGTGCCAATTGACATTAGATTGGTTGTAACCCGGATATGAAGATGCGTCCTTCAGCCCAACTTGCACTCGGCGCGCTGTGCGCCACGGCGGCGCGGGGTGAGTCTCAGGAGCCCATCTCGGGTGATGATGATAAGAGCGTACGGGGCAGCCCGTTCACCAAGGGGTATGAGAAACATGTCGGCGAGCTGTTGGAGAAGTGGCATGTGCCCGGCGTGGCAATCGGCATCGTGGACGGGGACGATATCTGGACCGAGGTAGGTCGTGGCCACACTCCCTGATGGGCCATGGAACCAAGTCGGCAAGCTCAACGTCGTCAAGTGACACAGGGGCTATTCAACTCGACAAGGTGCAATGATGAGACCACGCCGGTCTAACATGGTGGCCTCATAAACATCAGCCATGAGCAAAGAAAAGGAATAATGCTAACAGCCCCCAGGGCTTCGGCATCGCAACCTACCCATCCACCCCAGTGACCCCCTCAACCCTCTTCTACTGCGCCAGCACATCCAAGGCCTTCACGGCCGCGGCGCTGAGCATCATGATCGACTCGGGCAACTACACGGCGCCCGCGGTGCACGGGCAAGCCCTGGCCTGGGACACCCCGATCCACAACCTCATCCCGGAGGACTTCGTGCTGACCGACGCCTGGGCGACGACGCACATCACCCTCGAGGACGCCCTGAGCCACCGCACGGGTCTCCCACGGCACGACAAGGCGTCCACCCACCGCGTGGTCGCCGACCCGGCCGACGGGACGAAGCGCAACGCCACCGTCCGCGACGGCGTGCGGTTCCTGCGGTACCTCCCCCTGAACGAGCCGCCCCGCACCAAGTGGCAATACTGCAACCAGATGTACGTGGTGGCCACGCACGTCATCGAGACCCTCACGGGCGGGCGCTGGCTCGGCGACGTGCTGCGCGGGTGGATCTGGGAGCCCCTGGGGATGCGGTCGACCTACTTCTCTTTGCCGGACGCGCTGGCGGCGCCGGAGCACTTCGCGGGCGGGTACGCGTGGGACAAGGAGAAGGAAGAGTTCTCCAGCGTGCCGTTCATGCCCGTCGACGAGGTCGGCGGCGCGGGCAGCGTCATCTCCAACGTCGACGACTACACCAAGTGGGTCAGGAGCCTGCTGCGCGAGGACGGGCCCGTGCCCAAGAGCGGCCACGAGGCCGTCAAGACGCCGCGCGCCATCGTCAAGCCCCTGGACATGCTGCCGTCCGCAGAGGGGCCGTACGACACCCCGGAGCTGTACGCGCTGGGCTGGGAGACCACGAGCTACAGGGGCCACAGGTTCTGGACGCACGCTGGCGGGATGCACGCCTACGGGGCGGAAGTTTTCTTCTTCCCGGATCTCGACTTTGGTGTCGTTGCACTGGGCAATACGGCGGGGTCATCCAACATCGTGGAGCTGCTCCTGATCTGGGAGCTGGTCGACGAGAAGCTGGGCATTCCCCAGAGTGAGAGATACAACTGGACAGCAAGGTAGGTCTCCCAGTACGGTGCTACAGGGCGACAACCCCCCTGGGCAGTGATTGATCGAGTGACACTGACATTATTCCGCCTAGTTTCGAGGGATTCGAGAACATGACGGACGCAAAGCTCGAAAAGGCCATCGACAAGTACTACCCAGACCGGCCCGCGCACAGCATCCCGCCGTCCCTGCCACTGGAGGCCTACGCGGGGACATACTTCCACCCGGGCTACCTGAACTTCACGCTGGAGCTGGTGGGCTCGGGACAGAAGACGAACCGGGCCAAGGCCGCCCTCACGGCGGAGCGGCCGGACGCGACCTGGCCCTCCTACAACGAGTTCGAGCACGTGTCAGGAGAGTACTGGATGATATTCATGTATACACTAAACCAGCCGGCGGGCGTCATCGGGGAGTACGCGCCGGCGCAGTTCCGCGTCGGCGCGGATGGGAAGGCCGACGCGCTGGGGGTGACGTGGATATCTATCGACCTCTCGGGTGATGACACTATCGAGGGCCTCGTGTGGTTCGAAAGGATCGAGTAGAGCAGGCCAGAGTAGAGTGGCAGTAGAGTAGTAGTAGTAGTAGTAGTATCTGTGTCACTGTGTTCGTTCTGAGTTAGCCTCGAGGTCAAGACAAAGAAGCTTTCAGTAAACGAGGAATGATAGTTGTGTGCAAAAATTCAGACTGTTGAGCTTGATAAGTTGGATCAACATGGGTTTGACTTTCAGTTGGCCGTTCTTAATGGAAAATTGTTTCATCATTTTGCGAGCGAGAGCAAGGAGAATCAATGCGAGGGCGCTTACCTTGACACAGACTCAATTGTGCGATGCGTGGTCTGGAAAACCCTCGAGGAGCCCTCGAGGTCGCCTTTGTGGGAGGAGGGAGGAAGAGGGCGAGCTCGAAAATTTGCAAGCAGTCTAGATATGGGAGGGACAAGCGGGACCGCATCTGCTTACCTAAGTGGACTTGCCCAGAGGCGGTCCCAAGCCCCAACCCTGGCGACTACATTTGTCCATAGGAGGGGGGTAAATGGGGTGGAAGGGGATGGGCAGTTCGACGATGAGTTTACTTTTTCTTTCTTCCACAACACTGGATGGAAATTCTATCACAGTCACATGTGGTAATTTTTGCATATAGTGCACCAAATCTTTAGGTAGTTAGGCAGTGAAGCAAGCCGGAATGGTCGAGGCATGCCAGCACAATTCCCACGTACGTCTCGTTTGACACCTGCAAACTCACGTGTGTGCCTGTATGGCTGATGCCTTTTTCATCTTCCGTTGCTGCTGCGTTCCAAAGGTGAATGTGCTTGTCCTCGTCCCATGGCCTTTCTTCTCGGCATCGTATGTAATTTGTCTTCCAATTGCCGGCCGGAGCCTGCTGCTTGTTACTTTTGTCCTTAGACGCCAGGAAAGCGAGGCAAACCATGGCTTGTTCTGTCTTGAGTTCTCACGGTAGTCGAGGTTTTGTGTAAAGTTTTGCTACAAGCAAAGTTCTCACAGTTGCCAGTAAGCCGAGATGATCAATAGTCCTGCTCGTCAGTAGATGAGATGAGTTATGCAGTTTTCGAGAATATTGGACGTACCGAGCCTCTATTTTCGAGGCCTCTCTTTTTTTTTTTTCTCTCTTTCCTATTCAAATTTTGTGAATGAGTGGGGGGATCTAGAGATCTGCCTTCTCATACAAAAATGAAGTGCACTTCAACGTTATGTACGCACGTTGAAGGATGCCGTATGAGAGGGAGGAAACACCATCTGACGACGGGTGCATGACAAAGAGGACCCTTGCTTAACGGTGCGATTCAAAACCTATGGAGTATAAGGAGGCACATCATTCTCCTGAATGCAAGGCCGGCGGACCCGGAAAGCTTGCAGTTCTGCCGCCACCTTGAGGTTGAACTTTGAAGCCGAGACTCTGCCTCTTATCACGAGAGGAAAGAAGAGACACACCAAGCCACAGCGATACAATTCCCAAGGCAGGCAGACAGCCAGTCACTCCATGCCATGCCATGCCATGCCATGCCATGCCATATATTCAACCGTCGAGCACCGCCCAACCACCTCTATGAGAACTGACATGAGAGACACGGACCAAGAACACCCAATATCTCCAATACCGAACCGGGGCCCGATCAGAAGAAGCCATCTAGTACCATCAAACCTCTGGGCTCGCGAGGTGTCCATATTCCCTTTTCTATCCACAAAGCAAGCCCTGGCCTGGCTGCTTGGCCACATCCATTCCTGGGACCACGGGGTGAGCGCACTCGTTCACATTTGTCTCCCGTCGCTGCCACAAAAAACAACCAGACAACCAACCACCTCCTCGCGCCAGCGTCTCCAGAACAATCCTCTCGGTCCCCCTCCCTTCCTGCCATCCGTAGGAAGCTGCCTCAGTGGCGGTCATGTCCATCCAGTTTTGATCGGTCCCCGATGTCTATTCCCTATCCGTGTTCGGCTTGGGGGCATATGGGGCTTTCCACCTCCACCTGACAGGAGCGCAAGCAGAAGGCGACATGCCCGTGATTCGTACGCACGATTTGTTGTGGATTTGGGAAACGCATCCAGATCCGCACCGGACAGGAGCGTAAAACCTTTTCGCCGAATTGATTTTGGTATATTGGGGTATTTACATATGACGACTCCGTTTGCTTCTCCAGTTGGGAGTCCCCTGCTCCCAGCAAGAGGTAAATAAGAAAGGTTTGGCTCGTGGAGCGTCTGGTGTTCACTCCTTATACCAGTTGATATCGAGGAGCCTGGCACACAGGTTGCGGGATATTCGAGCTCCCCGTTCAGGTGGCAGATACTGTGCTGGTGTTCCAGTTTCTGAAGGATGCATGCAGCATCCCAGGCCCATATGAGACAATCCTCAAGGCTAGCTCGCTGGGGTTCCACTGTTGGGGAACATATTCCAGGACCAGATCTGCAGCTACAGCTGTAATCTCAGATTGGGGTCAGCGTGACGCTCTATAGCTCCTCCTCCTCCTCATGTGTCTGGGCAGCCTGCGCGGAGCGCGCAAGAGGGGCCGCAGGCACTGCAGGCGCAGACGTGGAGGCCTTCGGCTGGGAGACCCCCAGAGCGGGCTGGGACGGTTGCCCTGACCCGTCGTCCAGGGTGCCGGCGCGTTGCTTCTTGAGCGGACTGCCGACAGCCGTGGCGTCTTCCGAAAGGTTCTGCGGGAAGAACGAGGGCGGCGCAAGGCCAGAGGTACGGGAGGCGTCGCCGCCGAATATCATGTTGGGAGGGGAGGTTGCTGCGCTCAGGTTGGGGGATTTAGGGTCGGGTGAGGCGGTCCCCTCTGGTTCCGCTGATCGTTGACGCTTGAGCTGCAGAGGCTGTCAGAATTGCAGAGGCGAAGAGCAGGTGACATGAATAAGCATACCTTGATACGATCAACACCATCCGCTAGTTCGCCCGTAAACTTGACATCCTCCGGCGCGGTACTCGGCTTGACTTCCTTATCGTCAATGTCCTCCATCTTGCCCAGAATCTCAGGCTCGTCGTCGTCTTCTTCCGAGTCCTCGTCCATAGCGCCCAGACTACCGTTCGACTTCTTGCGACCCTTCCTCCTCTTGGACGACTCTGCTGTCTGATCTCTGAAGGCGGAGAAGCCCACCGTCCCGGTAGTCTTGAGAGGGCCAAGATTGGAGAAGTCCAGCTGGCCGGACCGTCGCTTCGCTGCGGCGGGAGTGGTTGCCTGCGCCTTGGCCGAGGGCAGAACTCCCATCTTTTGCAGTTGGCCTGTGTTTACTGGTTAGCTGGTGCTCTGGCGGCGCCTGGGAAATGTGCACTTACGCTCGCCACGGTAGTAGAAGGTAAAGGTTGCGTAGGGCTTCTCTGGCCCATCGATACCGGTCACGGTCTGTGTGCTGATCGTCTTGGGATCCAGGGTCTTGGGCTTCGCAAAGCTCGTGGTATGCTCGACATCCGCATCCACCCCGTTGGAATTTCCGCCATTAACCTCGTCGTCATCGTCGTGTGCACCGAACTGTGGGGAGTATTCGCCCTTCTTGATCTCACCAGATGCTATCACGCGGAACATGGCGACCTTGATCTGCCCTGCCGCCTCGGGGAACTCGTCGTCCGAATCAGACAAGGAGTCCTCGTCAAACACGGCCTCGACAGGACTTCCCTCGTCGTTTCCGTAGCGGAAGGTATCTCGCGGTCCATTTGACGAGCCGCCCAGCAGAGCTCCCATGCCTTCTCCTCTCTGCTTCCTACGCCGGCGCTCGAACTTCTGTCGGCGCTTCTCCAGCCGCTCCTCGGCGTCGTGGCCTTGGAGGTCCAGGCCGTTGAGCCAGCGTTCCAGGCCAACCTCACGGAACAGGAATTCCCTCTCGGCCAGCCCTCCGCCCTCGGCATCGGGTACCTGGACCCACCTGCTGTTAACCCAGGTCTCTTCTCCTGGCCTGAGCAGTGTTGCCACCTCTTCCTTTGCGCGACCGTCGAAGTAGATATAGGCGGCGACGGTCTCGTTCTCGCTGTTGGTCATGGGGATGTATGGGTTGACGCCGTTGCCCGCCCTGCTGGAGGCCATATCCCTGGCGGCATACTGCGGTGTGGGCTCGGGATTGTCCTGGGTCGGGCGGGGGGTCGAGTACGGGATGGGCAGGCCGGGCGTCAGCAAGGTGATGGAGATGGCGAACTTTGCGGATTCGGTCTTGCCAGAGTCCTCGCTCAGAGTGGGGCTGGGTACGGGTATGAAAGTGTTGATCCTGGAGAATCTGGACTGCTTCTGCATGCCGTGCTCTGGGAGCGGGGTCCCGTTGGCATGGATGCTCACCGCAATGCCCTTGAAGCAGGGCATTTTGGCGGCGGGATCGGTCGTTTGCTCGAGGAAAGGCGAGGTCGGGGCGGGGCTCGAAAGCGCTGGCCAGGTATGTGAGGCGGTGCTTTACCAGGCCAGTCAGTGGTTTGCTTCAGGAGGGTGTCGAAGTAGGTGCGCGGCAGCTTTTTGGTGGGTTGGCTCGGCTCAGCGACCCTTGGGGCGGGTTCGTTACTCGAGCAACGGGATCTCGGGTGGACTTGTCGAAGGATGTTCGTCGATTTGTTGTGCACCGGCCCACCAACAGGGGATCGCCAGCCAGACAGACACAGGCAGGCAAAGCGACTGTTGAACAGCTAGACAGGCGGTGCAAAGCAAGGTATTGTCGCCCTGACAGACACTCGGACAATATCCAGGTCGTGCGGAGGGGCGGTAGGGTTGCAAAAAAGAGGCGAGCGGTTGAGGGCAGGCGTAGGTAGGTTGACGCTGCTTGGGTGAAGCTAGCCCGAGTTGGAGAAGGCGGGCGCGGGTGAAAGCGTGGCGTGGGCGTGGCCAAGTCAAGTGCTCGAGTTGGTGGGTTTGGTAGCAGTAGATTGTGACTCTGGTTGATGGCTGACCTGACTTGACTTGGGTCGGGGTCGGAGTCGTCTAGCCGTGACCAAGCAGCAACGCACACAGGACAGTCCACGACGCTTGTCCAACGGCGCTCGACTGGGCCCGTGAGAGGGCGCAAGGAGGGGGGAGCAGGCGGCGGGCAGACACGGGAACTGGCTCTCAGCGGCGTAGCACTGAACACGGTGAGGCTGAAGCGAGGGCCATCTGACGACGCAGAGTAGCAGCCGACAAGAGAAATCAACGATGGATAGGATGAGCTTTCCCGGTCGGCAGCTGCTTGCTCCAAGCTGGGATCATCCAGCACGCCAGATGTGAAAAGTCACTGCCCCGCCGTGTTTTGCCGGTGGGGTACCTGCGGGCGGGACGGACCTGGAACCTTTGGACACATTCCAGCTTGTGTGACCGGGGGGAGGGGGCTATCGTGGGGCCAAGGGGTTCGGGTCTGTGGAGCCTGGACAACTCGCTCAGACGAACACAGACGTCCACGTAATTATCTGAGGCCCATGGCTTCTGCTGGTTGTATAATGTCGGCCATATTCCTAGGTTCCATTCATATATACGAAATACACCAGCCAGGCTCCCTTGGTTGGCAGCTCAAGTCGTCACCTAGATGTATGCACACACCAATGTAGCAGCCTCAAGCGATATATCTCTACCTCTTGATTTCAGTAGACACGATACAAATACAATTCTCTCATGGATCTCGAGTCCTATGCTTTCCAGTCTGTCTCCCTCTTTGACGTACTCGCGCTACTCGTGGAATTCAGCAGTGCGTACTAACTGCACAAATACAATAATTTCGATATACATTGTAAACAAGACGCCCAGCACAGGCTATCATTTTCTCCATCATGTAATTCTTCTAGGACATAGTGGAATGCGATCATGGCAGCGGATTCGCGTGCTTTGCAAACGCCCAAGATATTACAAATTTTCCAGTGGAAAGTCCCCCGCCCATTTGGGCGTCCATTTGCCGAGATTCTTCAAATGTGAGCTGCTTGGGAATAAAGCTAGCAATGCAACCGAGATTTGGGCGCCAAGGGTTTGTTCGCAGGATTCTTTGAAAGAAGCGAAAAAGCAAGGACTACAATGGTATGCGGCATGGGTGGAAAAATCTCCATCCTGTACAAAGCAGCACAATTTCATCCTCATAACATTCAGCCGAATTATAGTGTTCAGTCCGACAAGGTTAGGTAAACTGTGATGTTCTCCGCGATTTCTGAGTTTACAATAGCACTTGAGTCTGACACGAACACTGCATAATTTTACTTGCACAGATGTGGGAAACACCACACACATGCTCTGGTTGTCCAAGATCGACCTGGAAGCCCGCCGGAGCCGAGGTTCGAGACTCGTGAGGTTAATTGTATACGCCGCCGGAAGGGACGAAGATGGATTAGGCTAGAAACAGCAAAATCAACGAGGCAGAACGCCAGGCTGCCCAATACTTAAACTGAGAGCCAATCTAAGCTCAGCAGTTCCCGAGGTCCTCGAAAGAGGTACAATTGGGACTTGGTGAAGTGGCGACACTTCGACATTCAACAGAAGACATTCCACGGTGAGCATCTCCACAAACGGCAAGCAAGCCTCCAGACCTCCTACGAGTGATGTATTGAGATTCTCAACGCATTTCGTTCAGCCAATCTAAAATGTTCTCTTGTGCCTGGGGGGTATCAAACACATTTTCACACCAAAACCCAGCATCTCCCATGAACGCCGTGCTGTCTCAACAACAAATTTGACACACCAATCACCACAGTCGTCCGCATTAGAAGCCAAGCCATCACAGCCTCCCCACACATCAGTTACCGGCCAGCCTCCTCAAAGATGTCCTCCTCCTCACGTTCCCAGCGCTGTCCCTCTCGCTGAAGCTCGTCCCGATGCCCGAATCTCGCCCCTGCGGGTCCTCCTCGCGGTACTCATCCCCGAACGCCTCGTCCTCGACGTCCGCCTCGCCGCCGACGTCGGCCTGCGGCTGCTGCGGGAGGGCCCCCTCGACGGCGCTAGCGTGCCCCGACTCCGGCTCATAGCGGAGTGGGGGCTGCTGCGAGGACGTAGGGAACGTCATGGGCACGTCGTCGAGCGCCTTGCCGCGGCCGTGGCCCTCCTGCTTGATCCGAGGGTTGCGGCCTTCCTCCTCCTTTATCAGACCCGGGGGAGTCCCGCCTCGGCTGCCACCTCCGAAGACGACGCTCCAGAGAACCTTGGCGGCCACCGCCGTGGCAGCGAGGAAGAACACCTCGGACACCCAGAACAGCGCCGTGAACAGCACGAAGCTGGTGATCCACCAGGTGTGCATGAACCAGCGCAGGCCGCCCAGCTGCGCCGTGACGGTGACGAGCACGTCGTAGACCTGCAGGCCCTGGCCGGCCTGGACGTCCAGCACCAGGCCCGTGGGCATCATCTTGCCCGGGCGGAACTCGAGCCTCTCGACCATGGGCACCACGAGCTTCGTCGTCTCGGACGCGGGGACGAAGACGTGGTAGGCCAGGAGGAGCACGCGCTTCGCGAGGGAGACCAAGGGGTCGGTGTACGGGATGATGGCCGGCCTGGTGGACGTGAAGAGGATGTTCCTGTCGGCGAGGACGCTCTGGGGCGCCGGGACGACGGTGGGCATTGGGTGTTTCCCCGTCGCTGTCGACGTGATCTTGCTGGCCGGGGCCTGGGCGTTGTCGAGGAGGTGTAGCGCGAGCATGAAGTTGCCGCGGGCGAGGTTGGTGGGCGAGTTGGGCAGTTTCAGCGTCACGGAGATATCGTAGTCTTGGTAGTCTTTGAAGTTGGCGCCAGACAGGGAGGCGACGCCGTAGGGGTTGAGCTCGTACCTGTGCAACACATGGCCATTAGCTTCCAGTACTTCCTGCACACAATGAAGCAGAAAGGGGGTGGGGGAGGTGTCACGCCACCTACCCATACTGTAGATGCACTGGTACGGTCATGACCTGATCCGGTAGGTACTCGTGATAGAACGCGAGGTATCCCACACAGGCGAATCCAAACAGGACGGAAGACAGGAATGCAAACAGCAAGGTCGTCAGCACGGTGCGTTGCGCGGTCTTGGACGTGACGGCATTGTAGACGGTGTTGACGATATCGACAACCGCGTTGTACGTGCCCCTCGCGTACTCGACGCTGTCGTTGATGTAGTCCATGGTCCTGCGCGCCGCCAGCAGACACTGGTGGCGGGCGAGGCTTGAGCAGCGGGATCGCGGGCCCCCAGGCTGGTTGAATGCGTCCGCGGGAGAGGACGACGGCGGGGGAGTCGAGGACAGGAAGGAGGGCGACGTGTTCGGAGCCTGGGCCTGGGCATAGGCGTGGGCATTGACCGGGGCCTGGTCCCGGTCCTGGTTGTGGTGATGAGCTGGGAGGCTGCTCCTGTGGTTTTGGATCGCGGGTCGGGCTGGGTGAAGAATGGAGTTGGGACGCGGTCGCGAAGGGAGGTCAAAAGTTGGGGAATTTGGCTCGACGTCATTGTGGTGGTCCTGCCAGGGGTCATCGCTCTCGCCGCCTGGGGCTTCTTCCCCAAGGGCCGCCCAGCGGGCCTCGTCCTCAGAATCCCCAATACAGCTCATGCTGCAATTCGGCAACGGTGCCATGGCTTCAGGGCAGGATTACGAAGAGCAGCTCTGAACAGGAACAACTGCTGCTCGTCTCTTGTGGTCATTCTTATGATCAGCCAACCCAAGTTTCCAGTCTTGGATGCTGTAGGATATGCACCTGACCATCACTTGCAGCAGTTGAGGGCAGTCAAATGCAGACTGAAAGGATAATATCACCAGTGAGACAACCCCTTGAGGGCCTAAACATCAATTTTCGGGTACGAGTTCAACATCTCTTTGATTCCTTGCCCCATCCCTCCAGTTCTCATTCTTCATACATCCATGCATGTCCTGATTGCATATAGACATCAAAACCATCAAAGCATCAAAGCATTCCATCATCCTCATGAACGTCCAGTAGTACATGGCTTAGAGCCCTGTCCTGAATCAATCCAACTCAAAGCATTGCAATCCAATCCAATCCAACAAACCCAGGCCAGAAAGCAGAGTCAGGGGCCTTCCTCCTTTGCTCGCCTTCAGCCTGGGTGATGCCTTTGCGCCTGCAGAAAAGACCAGAGACCAAACAAGAAACACGAGAGAATTATGTGCGTCAACTGAAAAGACATCCAACTCCTCCTGATGCCGGGGCTTTTCGCACTGGTTTGAGGGCGTCAGATGGTCCTCGATGCTGGTATCTTCTAAATCGCTTGCAGGTAGTTGCTCGGGACCAGCCCGGGCTGGCCGTTGGCGCCGTGTACTTCGGCCTCCCACCACCCATCGTCCTGGTGGCGGAGGACGGCAAGTATGTCCCCCTTGTTGAATCCGAGCTCCTCGGGGATGGCAGCTTGATACATGTACATGGCGCGTGCTGGCGAGACGAGGTTAGTCGCACGAAGATTGGAATGGCAGTCGAGGATTGCTTAGCTTACCGAAATGCAGAATCAGTCTGCCGTCCTGTGTATACTGCCTGCCTCCGTCGGCAACGCTCTTGCTGCGCTGCCTAGATGCAGGGGCCATCGCTCCCGGCGGCTCGTAAAGACCCATAGCCCTGTTCCCTTGGCTTGTTCCTGGTCGCCCGCCACGTCCCCTCGTCGACCCGCCATACGAGTCATCGGTAGGCGCCGGTGACAGCCCCCTAGGCATTTCACCGCCCGGATACGCACCATAGGTGCTGCCAGCCCTACTAGCAGGTCGGCCGTAGTCAGCAGTTCCACGGAACGGGAGCGGTGAGGCTGCGCGAGGCATGTCGTTGGGCGTATTCTGGCGGTAAAAGCCTTGGGCCGAGTTCCTAGCGTCCATTTGAGCAGATCCCTGACGCGAATCCATGCTGCCACGCTGGCTTCCTGCATACGGGTTGGGTGATGTCGACCTGTTGTTCATGCCCGGCAGCGGAGAGGCGCTCCGAGGCGGGGCGGGAGATGCAGCTCGTGGCATGTCGCTACCTCGCGTCGGTGGCCGGGAAGGTGATCTGTAGCCACCTGATCCGGGTCTGTCTCCTGAGAAGAGACTGCGCGTCTGTTGCGTGTATTTCTGTGAGGTCTGCTTCATTGCCTTGGAGGTGACCGCCGGCGATGGAACGCCCAGTCTGTGAATGGGCTGGTCATAGGATGGAGGAGGCGTCCCTCTCATACCGGACGCGGCCGCACTGTTGTTGCTGAGCGGTGGCACTGATCGTGAGAACGGCTGCGACCCTGGGGCAGGGGTGGCAATTCCGTGGTAGTGGTCCGCAGACATGCGAATGGAAGATTGCTTGCCCAGGGTCACCCCCTTGAGCTCTGCCAGGGCTTGTGCGATCGGGTCATCGTCCTGCGCCTCAGGCTCGGGTGCGGGCTTTTGTCTGCCCGGCAGCTTCACGGGCAGCACATTCTCCCCGATGTTGATGGCTACATCAGCATTGGCGTCTATCGGATCGGGGCTGGCGACTGATCTATCCGGCAAGAGGTTCTGTGGGATGTCGCGATCAGAGTTCCTCGCGCTGTTGCCAGGGTGCCAAGTGTTCCTGTTGTTTGATGGAACCTCTCGAGCGTCCCGGGTGCTCTTCCGTCTGCTGAAGGGACTGTGATTTTGGAAGAACCCACTTCTCTTCTGCCTCACCTTCCTGTCTCCTCCCGAGGCTGGTGACGCAGGTGGGATCACGGCGTCTTGCTTGACTGGAGACGTCTTGCCGCTCATTGGGTCTCGACTCGAGTAGGACGTCGGGGCTGAATAGTCACTATGCTCATCTCTGCTCGTTGGCCGCTCAGAGCCTGACGTTCCACTACTAAGTTGCGAGCCTAGATCTGAGCCGTTCGGGTTCCCAGTAGTGCGGCAGAGCATAGTCATACCGTCCATTGGGTATGGATCATGAGGCACGGGTGCAAACTCATTGGGATCAAACTGTGCTTCGTTAGGTTTCTGCAAATCATGGCCATCACGAGACGTGTTTTGCATTCGCGCCGAGTGGGCACTGACCTCTGGGGGCGTGGGCCTCTGCAGGTCCCGAGGCAAATCCCTGCTACTCCGAGGCTCGCTGCCTTGCGGCGGAAGCCTCTGTGGTGTTATTGTGCGCTCTCGGCTGCTCGGTGCCCCAAAGTCATGGCCCAGCTCTTTTGCCAAGGCGGAGGTTGGGTCATGATGGGATTCGTAGGTGGACGGTTGCGGCGATGATGAACGGAAGGCCGGGTTGATACTGCGAGGGAACTGGGCAACCGAGTATGCTTCGTCGTCCTCCTCCTCGACCGGGGTCTCGACGTCTCCACGGCAGAAGTTGATGTACTTTGGTGGGTCTGGGATCTCTTGTCCAGTTCCCTTCTCTCGGATGAAGGTAATGATGTCCTTCTCGACTTCCATCTTCTCCAAGGACAGCCGCACCTTCTCGCACGAAGCGTCGTCGCTAACACAGACGGTCGAGGCGATGTTGGCGAAGGTCCAGAGACTGCTCTTGGTAAAGTCGAGGCGTTCCTCCTCAAGGTCTTGGAACTTGTCGGCTGCTGCCTTCCACTCCCGGTTCCACCGCACGGTGGTCTCTTCCAAGGCCTTGACTGCGGCCTCATACTCGGAATTCGACGTTGCCAGGCTGATCTGTGTCTTCTCGAGCTTGGCCTTGTTCTTACGCTCCTCTTGGCCCATGACCATGTGGCCCTGGGCGAGGTAGCCCTTGATCTTGAGGCACTCCTGCTCGTACCGGTCTCTTGTCTGTAAGGTGTCAGCGCCGACGTTCCTGTGGTGGAAGCATGGTGGCAGCATGTTGGCAGGGTACCAAGTCACGTACCTTGTTGACCAGCGCGGTCTGTTGCTGCTTCACCTTGAGCAGCTTCTCGATTGTGTTTTGGACAATCTTCCGCCTCTCTTTCATGCCGCCCGCAAAGGCAGCCAGCGGCTCTTCCAGTTCTGACCTCATCTGGGCTGCATTGTTCTGGTGCTGCTTTGCCATGCACTCGACCTCGCCGCGGACAGTATCCAGCGAGGTCTTCAGACTGCCCATCTCCTGGGAGCCGAGCGACTTCCGGCAGAGGGACAGCAGCTTGCGGGCATATTCATCCTCGATGGAGGCGCGTGTGGCATAGAACGATCGCAGCTCGTCGCAGGTCTGCTTGGCGGCATGCATGCGCTCGAGCATGGGTGGGACTCCGGCATCTTCTTTGCCCCAGAAGTTGTTGGCGACTGTATGCGCGCGATCGACGTTAGCCTTAACGGTCAAGTGAAAGTGGACATATGGAGGGCTGGGAGAGGATAGGGGGTCTCCATACAAGAGAGGGTGACCGTGGGTCCCTCAGAGGTTACTGACGGCATGATGCCTCTGTGCTGCCCAGCGCCCTCTCACTGTTGTCCTGCCGCCGCTTTGGTATGGTGATTGTGGCACTCTGTCTGTTCGTCGGGGTTGGCGACGACGTGCTGCTGTATGTGTGTTTACCTTGGCTAGATATGCTCGATAGTGATGCGGCCAGAGCCCGACAAAGTCCAGTCTCGTCAGTACGGCAGAGAAAGGAAAACTGTGTGCCTTAATCGAAGTCGGACAGCCGACGTTTGGGGAGCAAGAGTGCCAGGTAGCAGCAGCAAGCAGTTGCAGGCACTGGTGCAGGCGACCAGGGTGCCAAGCAGGAAGGAAGTATTGGGAGGCTGGGAAAGCTCCTGCACTGTTTACTGAGACCCAGTTCTGTCGGGGCAACGACCCCTCCCGCCTGCTACCTATTGGACAGCGAGCCTCTGCGGTTCGTCCCGTTGGCTTCTTAGCGCCATTCAGCCGCGCTAAAAACGAACTGCAGGATCCAGCCACCGCAATCGTGATTGCCAAAACCGGATTCGACGGAGCCGGCCTGGGCTCGTCATCTACAGTACTGCACAAAGTACGTACTGTAGGCACACACCTAGGGGATTCTGTCAGTATGATTTCCTTTCGAGGTATGGATTTCGATGATAGACTTCCACAGGGCTGATGCTCCTCCAATTTGTACCTACATTGGCGAAGACGACAGATGCAGGGTCCTGCCTGGGTCAGCCCACTTGGCGTCAGGTTGCATTTGTGTGAGAGAGACCACGAGCAATCGCCATATCGAGTCTGTCAGAGTATCTGACTACCGATACAACAACCACATCCTCGCTGTCTTGAACGGGATACGGTTTGCATGGAACACATGGCACGTGGCATGCCGAAGGGCGTGATCTCGCACGTTTGCGGGATGGGATTGGTGCTTGGAATTTGAAAAGCTCATGACTGCCAAGGGTTCGGCCACAGTTCCGAGAACATCAAGCTAGTAGGTATTGATCACTGTGTACCACAACGTGTTACAATCACAGAACAGTTCTACTGTAATGGGGACTTGTATGCACTAAGTACAGAAAACTCTCTGCTCGAGGACAAAGGCTCTAGTGCTGTACCACCGTCGATGCTTAGTGGAATGCTACTGCTGATCTCCCGAGTAAGTGCACCAGCAGAGCTGACAGACGAACACAGCACCGCGTCTACCAAATGCCCAGGACCAACGAGTCACCCGAAACTGCATGACCTGAGGTCGGCAGTGAGGGAATAGACTACAAGAACAAAGAAGCAGACTTGTGACCATATCAAAAAGGTGCAACCCAGGCCAGGAGAGCAGCATCCAACACATTCGTACAGTAAGGATGAGACATGCGAAGTCGGCTGTCAAGCAAGTGTCAGTTCGCTTGCCCGGTTCGCTTGCCAGTCCTGTGTTTACATATTGAACAGGGCCATTCTCTCCGAGCCTGATTCAAGGCATGGATGTTCTCACCACACAGTTTCAGTTGGAGCCGTGAGAAGTAGCCAAACAACTCCCTCTTTTTGTTCTCCTACTGTGGCATTGTCTAGACGTCTCAGTGTGTTCCGTGCAGTTGCAGCCTTCACAGCCTTCGGCTGCGACCTTCCAACTGCACCAACACACACCATTCTCAACAACTACACACCAATCAACCCGTACGGGAAAGCCAACCGACACTAATCAGTTGCCCATAGGCTTCTAACAGCTAGGTAAATCATCTAAGCTGCTTAGACGTCAAGTCTGAAGCAGACGAATCGGCAACGCTGCGTTGCCGTCACAGCCTGAAGAAGGCGAGCCGTTCGGGCTGCTCAGGCGCAAACGACAACCTCGACCCCTTCATTTTCCAAGCTCGAAAACACCACGTCGCCTCTCTCTTGCGACACCATCACGTCGAAAGCCTCACTCGTGATACCCTCCTCAAGCCCGTGCTGCCCTCTCGACCCATCGCACGGAAATCTCAAGTCAGCGCAGCCCTCTCGGCACTTGCGCGCACTCACGGCCCTTGCGTACCCTCAAGCTCAGCACCTCGAACATCTCTGGGGCCCGCGACCCCTTGAAACCCCTGGAAGACCCGAAATTCAGGCCCAAATCAAACGTCTCCCTATAAGTCACACAAACGACGATTTGCACACTTCTGAGCAATTTGCACGTTTGCAACGTTTGCACGCAAACGGGCCCAACGCACACTTCAGTGTTGGCAGGGCATACCAGTCAGCTCCTGAAAAACGACCTTCGAGCCGTCTGTGACCGCAAGGGGCCAAGTACAGGAATTTGGGTGGCACACCATACAACTTCGTGGCTAAAACTCCTTGACCTCTCCTTTAGCCCACCGTCAACCCTTTCGACCGGCACTTCGACCTCTCTCGAGACCCGCTTCGAGACCCTTCCTCTCGAGACCCTTCCTCTCGAGACCCTTCCTCTCTCTCGACAAGCCTCTCTCCTTCCCAACGCCCTCGTCAACCTTCTTCCTGATCGACAGTAACAACACAAGAAGCTATCCTCTGCTTGTCAGACTGCGCAACAATCGTGTCCGCTTGCCGAAGACCACCACCTCCGGGTGAATGTGTACTTGAGCCGGTCATAAGCCGCAGCGATTGCATGATCAAACGCAATCGCCACAAGGCATTATTTCCTTCCTCGCCTCACCCTTCTCGAGATGTTTGACGGCGATCGACTGGCGTTGTCGCTGTCCACCTCTTCCAAGTCCTCGCCGTCTCCGTCAGAGACTTCGCCAACTTCATTGTACGAGAAAGCCAACCGACACTCAAGGGAGATTATCCTACAAGCAGACATTCCACAAGGCTTCATCTCACAGGCGCTTACCCAATACCCAGGACAGCAACTACAACTCTGGCAATACCTACCTTGCTAGATAATATGGACAACTTTCAGCAGAGGCTTAGCAAGGCCAAATCTGAGCAGGATCAGTCATACTTCACAAAGGGAGAAGGGAAAAGAGCTGAGGTCTGGTTCAATTCCGGTAAGCAGACAAGACTGGTCGAATCCATGCAACGTGAAGGGCCCATAATCAAACAGTTCTGGTATAGCCAGGATTGCACCCCCGAGAACCTTATTAACCAAGTTACGAAATCAACCTTAGTTGCCATCGATATTGGCAACTATCAGTTAGATACTGCTGTTGACGTTGGTGTTGCTATCCTACCTACCTTCCCTAATCATCCTTTAGAGGAAGGTGTTGCTGGCCTCTTTAAATATGGAGCTTGTATCCATAATTTTTGTACGCCGACTTGAGGATCGTTGCCAGTTATAGACTTTAAGCCTTTACGGTTTGGACCTGAGGAAACTCTTGAGGTTGGGGAGATAAAAGAGAATCTTCTTAAGATGTTGAAGCAGGCAAAAAGAGAGGCAGATAGCCTAGGAAATAAGCTGGCCCTTATTCTATTTAACGCTAGGGGTGATTTCAAAGCCATTATACGATTATTTCCAGAGATCGTTGAACTATTTGCTTGGTGGACTAATATATAGGCTGTTGCTAGGAAGATGGTAATGAGGGATAAGGATGCTTTTAAGCAGGTATCCCCCTCCCTTAGTGAGACATTAGCAGCACTTGGATATCAGGCTTTGCGTCATGGTGGGACTTCTCAACGCTTCCCAAAACACAAATCTTCACATAATGCAGCTCGTACTCTTATAGCTATTATAGGTATAGTAACAAAACTTAGAGCTGGCGAGAAGCTTATAATTTAGGAACACAAGAAGAAGTCTAATCTAAAGAAGATTCAGACTAGCCGACCACAACCTCCCAAGCTATTTCTATTCATTGCTAATATTAAGATAGAAAAGGGTGTTTATCCAACACCATGCAAGTATTGAAGATGCAGGAATCTCTGGGATATCTTTGCTATATATAAACCTAATGCTATAGGCAGGAGAATTTGCCATAGTAATAGCAACTGGAGAAATTGGTTTTATAAGTGCAAGGGTGGTTGTGGGGCTTGTATCTGGATTTTAATCCCGAATAGGGTGCTGGTAAAGCAGCTGGTGAAGAATTTTAATGGAAAACAAATGCAGAACGGCAGGCTTGTGGTGAAGGATACATCTATCCTTGTGGAAGCTGCCCATATTGAGGGATAGACTGATTGTAAGTAGAAGACTATGCTAGTTTTCTTGACCGCTCTGATAAACCTTCCTCTATCTCCTCCACTATCACGTTACCCAGCTAATAACCATTTGCAACAATCAGGGTGAACAATAGTATGATATGTTATTCGGTTTTAGTTCCCAGGGCTCAATTCGGATTATAATTACCTTTGCAACCCTAGCTTTCAACTTAGAACAATGTCACGGTGGGCGAGTGGTCTAAGCCGTTTACCTCATATTTAAGTATGAGATAGTTTCTTGGACGCGACTGGAATCGAACCAGGTTCTCTGCTGGACAATGAGACAGACATGTTACCATTACCCACACGCCCTGCATGGTCATGTTATGTGATACTTTATATCTCTGAATCCAAGCAGGATGACTGGAACTTACCATCGCCTCCTCACAGCACTCCGGGCGACTCCCGTTCATGGGAGGCCGTGCCTCAATTCCCCTCTGGTCGATCCTCAATTAAGCCACGTACCTGGCGGTTGGCCTTGCTCAAGATCCAGGCGGCCGGCATAAGGATGTTGGCCGGCCGCCTGGATGCACACTTGTTGTTATTTCATCCGGGGCAGGTTTAGCCGAGTCCCCCCAAACTCGGTACCTAGAGAGCACATTAGACTCACCCTCTCCTCACTGTAGCACGGTCACATTCTGACCTCAAAGCTATTACAGCTGCAGGGCCTGCTCGATGGGAGGGCGACTATAAAGGTAGGTAGGTAGGTAGATGGTATCATCTTACCCATAACTCCATGGTCGCCCACCTGGTCCCGATATCTGAGTGCTCCTTGGTCTTTTGATGCTCTGGCCTGGTTGACTCGGAACTTTGGCAGAAGGAAGAGATCTGGGTTCCTAGGTAGGTATGTGGTCCAGAAATTCCCATTGAAGCGATTAGTGTTTGCCCTGTGATATACATGGGCTTCCCACTGCTATTCCCAGAATCTTGGGTGGGAGATCAGCATTGGTGTTGTCCCTCTCACAAAGAGTCCGAGATGATCAGCCTCAAAAAGCTGTTGTTGAATCCCTGGGGTGAGGATGGCAGGTGGGGGTCTTCTTGGCCTAGCTTACCCCAAGAGGAGTACATGGGTACATGATCTCCTCAGGCAGCTGTGCAGAGTGAAGCTCTGCAATTTAGCCGGCCGGCAACCGACCAAGCCCCACCTGAGGCTGTCCAGGCAGCCTGAGTGGTCACAGAGCCCCCCTGGCTCCTGGCTCAAGGCTGACTGGGTGGACCAGACGGACTGGACTGGTCTTGCAGAGCAGTGACTGGCCGGTCTTGTTAGACTACCTGGTACTGTAGGCGTGTGCCTATGGGACAAACACCTCCAATGACCCGCCTGGCCTCTGCATGGGCAAGCAAACTCGAGAGTAGCTGTCACCCCGACATCCCAGGTTGAAGCTCACAGAAGGACAGACAACATCGGCGTCGCCCTGCCTCACCAATCCTCCTGTGACCCCGTTCTTAAGTCTGTATCCATTGTCTGTACCGGGACAGCACATGTGACCCCCTCAACCCCGCTGCTTGTCCCCCCTGGTCCAGTGCGACAGGTCCAAGTCCGACCTCTCCAGAGCTCCACGACCCGCCGTCGACCCGACCACCAAGACCACGAATCCCAAGCTCAACCCTCACCCTCTTCTCCTGCCGACAACAACAACAACCACAATACCCAGACCTAACCCTGCCGACCACCGACTTGAAGTCAACAGCCAGCATCTGCCAGCTACCAGCCCCACTGTATTCAAGCTCCGTCGCGACACCCTGTTGGGCTTTTGAAGGTGCCTGGTGGTGAAGGCCGTCTCGATTTCGATTCCGAATCCGATCTCCCATCTCCATCTCCATCTCTCCTCTCGCCCACCCCAATCCCATCCTTGCCGAGGACACCTACGAACTAAACCCCAACATCCTCCACTCAGTGCAGCGGCGCGGCTCTGTCCTTTCGGATAGCAGAACCGTCTTCGCCCCGCCTCCCCTCCATCCAACACCCATGCTCCCACGATCGTCGGGAACATTTTCTCCCACTCCTCCACAAGGTCTACAGACAGGAATCTCCCACTCCCCACATCCGTCGCAGGCAGGTGTGCTGAGTGCGGGTGCCAGCCCGAGTACCAGCAGCCCCACTGGGAACTACGCCGTGTCCAAGATCACAATCGCCCAGGTCTATGTGCTCTTGAGCACCCTGAAGGCGAAGAAGGACGACCCGGCCGAGTACGAGAACAAGGTCAATCGGCTCAACAAGGTACGCAACTTCTATCCTTCGCCTTCACCTTCGCCTGTGCTGCTGCTTCTGCTGCCAAGGCCGCGCCCAACGCCTGCAACGGTCGTCCCGCCTCCATCTCTACCTTGTCGTCCTCTTGCACCACTTCCTCGATTCCCAATGTCAAAGTGTCTCATGCTCCTCCTCCTCGCACTCCTCGTTCTCGTCTCCTTCCTTGCCCTGAATCCTGCACTCTCTCCTTCTGTCTGTCGCACGTGCTAACAGCACTGACCTCGCAGCTCATCGATGAAAACGGTATGGAGGTCTTTACGAAATACTTCACCAAGCTGGTGCATACCAGCGCGTCCCAGATCTTCCCAGGCACAAGTAGGCCTATAGGCAGTGCGACGAATACCGGCAGTTATTCGTTACTACTGGAGGAGATGCGCAAGATATCCCACGATGTGGATCAAGCGACGAAAATCTCTGAGTCCATCGAGACCGGGACAGAGGACATTTTCCGCGACTTCGATCTGTCCACATTCATGGAACACTTCAGATTGGACGCCCTGGAGAAGACAATATTAGCTCTGGCATTCAAGCTGGGCAGCCGGCCCGATTTAAAGGCAAAAGGTATGCCACGGTTCCGTGACCAACCTAGTTACCGTAAAGCAGCAGCGGTGGCAGCTACTAACACAAGATTCATAGCTGATGCCATCCTCTCCACCAACTATCCGACCTTCATCGCCATCCTTTCGCAACCGGACGGAGACCATTCCGACTTGAGCCCCCACTTCCTATCTGTCATCATCGACCGACTCATCCAATACCACCCCCCGAACTTCAACTCCTCGGCACACCGGGAGCTGTTCTCCAAAGTCGACACCAGATATGTACAGCTCGACATGGCGACTCCTTCCGAGGTTCTTGCCGCCCTTGACCTTAACAGGGTCCTAGTCGACAAGCCACCGAATGCCCTGGCGTTGTACATTCAAAAAGTCGGTCCTGACTTCACGCGTGACGAGGAATCCTGTGCCAGGTTCCTTCAAGAACGGCCGCCATCTGTGCAGCTCAGCGCGGAACAGGTTTCCAACGCGCTTTGGTGGACCGCCATCAGTCAGACCCCCCAGCAAAGCCCGACCGTCCTGGTCGCCGGTCTTCGACGGGCCCTGCCTTCGGCCTTCAGATGGCAAGACGTGCTGTCATACTTTGACCAGCCCAGCGCCCGGATCTCACCTCCCCAGTTCCTGCGGCTATACAGAGCCCTACACATGGTCGCGCTGGATGATGATGGATCTAGCTTCGATATCCAGAACCTTTGGGGTGGAAACTGGGCGAACGCGGACGCCCATCTATCTTTTGTCTGTGCCTTTGGCAGCCTCACTCCAGAAGAGCTGGATGCGACTACGATACCGGGCCTCCGACCAACCTTCACCTTGGCCGAATACGCGCAATCCCCGGCACCTGTGCGCGAACGGGCTGCATATGCAGTTAGACATCCTCTTGTCTCTGTTGACGCGCTCACGGCTGTCTTTGGGGTGGCTCTCAGTTCGCAACACGCTTCGCAAACAACCGAGGCCAAACGATTATTCAACGAAGTAGTCGTGCCCAATCTCGATATATTCGTGGTCTCCGCCTTTGGTGTACCGAAGCCGTGGCCTGAAATGGCGAATGATACTCTGACCACTTTGTTTGAGACGTTCTTATTCAAACAGCAGGAAGGTTATCAATTCGCCCTTGACAGCCTCTGGCGCAAAGACAAGGATTTCGTCAAGCAAAAGATCAGTGACGCGCATGTACGACGGCCTATGGACTTACCACTCTACCTCGAGCACGCTGAGTATCACGGCTGGCTGGACGAGTTTGTATACGAGTTCAGCGGAATTGGTCTGGACCTCGCAGCCTTTGCGCACGGGCAAGGCCGACTCGACATTGACCAGTGGACGAGAACCAACGCCACCAGGGGCGCCGATGTTGTTCCAGCCCTTCTCCAATTTGTTAACATCAAGGCGGACATGGAGACGAGATATCAGCGACAACAAGGAGGCCAGGGTCTGCTCAGAACGACACCTCTCCAGGTGAAGACGGTGTACCACTTCCTGGGCTTCTTGAGCGAGTTCTGCACTCCACAGCTTAAGGAATGGAGGGATTGCCAGCGGCAGTGTACGATTGCCTACCCACGTCTCATCAACTACGGCGGTCCCTACGATGCCATTATCGATTTGAATGGCGCCGACGGCAATAACCTCCCCTTGGCTGCCATTAGTAGAATGGAGGACCATTACAAGAGCATGTACAGCGGGGAGACTCAAGTTAGAGACATCGTGGAGGCTCTTGAGCGCTACAAGCATTCCCGTGACCCTCTGGATCAAGACATTTTCGCCTGTATGATCCACGGCCTGTTCGACGAGTTCGTGCATTACCCCAGCTACCCGATCGATGCACTTGCAAGGACTGCGGTCTTGTTTGGCGGCGTCATTTCCAGAAAACTCATCGATGGCACGCCCCAGCAGGCTGGCCTCGGAATGATCTTGGAAGCGATTAGGGATTATCCCACCGAACACAACATGCACAAATTCGGCCTGCAGGCGTTGATGCAGCTCTATACCCGCTTCCCAGAGTGGCCGAGCTTCTCTCGGCAGCTCCTTCAGATCAGCAGCCTGCAAGGCACAGAAGCCTGGAGGAAAGCTGAGAATGTGGTCAGGGATCAGGAAGAGGACGCCACATTTCAGCAAAATGGCGGGGACATCGCCCTCAATCACGATTCTCTCACGAACGGCAACGTGGCTGAGGCCGCGGAGCAGCAATTCTCCCCCTTTGCTTCAATCAATGTGGACCCCACGCCTGCTGGCGCTTCTTTTGAGGACCCAACGGACGACACCCAGGACAAGATCCAGTTTGCACTCAACAATATGGACCAGGCGTCACTGAAATCTCGATTTGACACAATTCGGGAATCCCTCGAGCAGAAGCATCAGCAGTGGTTTGCCAGTCACCTTGTCAGGGATCGGGCAAAGGTGCAGCCCAATCTCCATCAAATGTACCTGGACGTGGTGAAGCTCTTTGAGGACAGCATGTTGTGGGCCGAGGTCCAGAGGGCGACTTTGAGTTGCGTTGCCCAGATGCTGAACTCGGAATCAACCATGCACAGCTCCACGGAGCGAACCCAGCTGAAGAACCTGGGTGGTTGGCTAGGCATGCTAACTCTGGCTCGGGACAAACCTATCAGGCACCGGAACATCGCCTTCAAGCAGCTACTAATCGAGGCACACGACACAAAGAGACTAATAGTTGTAATACCCTTTGTGTGCAAAGTGCTGGGCCAAGGCGCATCATCGATGGTCTTCCGTCCGCCGAATCCCTGGCTGATGGACATCATCCATCTACTAATCGAGCTCTACCACAACGCAGAACTCAAACTGAACCTCAAGTTCGAGATTGAGGTACTGTGTAAGACCTTGAGTCTGGATCACAAGAGCATTGAGCCATCCGGCGAGATCCAGAATCGTGTGGTCGCGGAGGAGGCCACCCAGGTCACGGTACCCGATGGGTTGGAAGCTTTCGACAACCTCTCTCTCAATGGTATTGGACAAGGTGTGGTCAGCAACCTGCTGCCGCATGCTGTGGCACCAACTATTCCCGACCTGCATTCGCGTCTCAACATCCCCCCTGCGAACGAGATGGTTGTGAGCAACAGCCGTTTGCGTGACATTGTTCATACCGCGTTCAACAAGGCATTGCAAGATATCATTCAGCCTGTTGTCGACAGGTCTGTCACCATTGCTGCCATCAGCACGCATCAGATGATACGCAAGGACTTCGCAACGGAACCCGATGAACATCGCATCAGGAACTCGGCCATCAGCATGGTCAAAGCGACCGCAGGCAGCTTGGCTCTTGTCACTTCCAAGGAGCCCCTGCGTGCCAACTTCACCAACTACATGCGCCAGCTCTCAACTGACCTCCAGGGTGGGCTGCCGGAGGGGACAATCATCATGTGTGTCAACTCGAACCTCGAGCTCGCTTCCAGTGTGATTGAAGATGCAGCCGAGAGGCGTGCGATTCCCGAGATCGAAGACCTGATTGAGCCCGAGCTGGACGCTCGCCGGCGTCATCGACTGCAGAGGCCCAACCAGCCCTATGTGGATGCCTCACTCAACCGATGGGCCATGACGATGCCGGATCCCTACAAGATGGCACCTAGTCTTAGCGGCCTGAGCCCGGAACAAATGGCTATTTACGAGGAGTTTCAGCGACAACCTCGGCCGGCCACGACCACCACAACTCCTTCTCACATTGCCTCGACCTCTGATGCAACGAGGTCAATGGCGAACGAGATTCTTTCGGACCAGTACAATTCTGTGCCATCTGCCCCCACGCCTGCCGAAACCCCCTCCATGCCTCCACTGGCTGGACACACCCAGACCTACCCTCATGCACACGCGGGTCTGACCAATGGACGACAGCCCGCTCTCAGCCAGGTTGACGCTAGGGTACTCGTCGAACGGGTCAGCAAGCTCCTTTTCGAGCTGCAGCGTGCAGCAACGGAGGCGCCCGAAGAGCATTACGAGGATCTGCCGAGGGGGCATACCGTCCTCGATACGATGGATGTCCTCATCTCGAATGTGATCAAAGCTCGAACGTCAACAACGGACGATCCCACACCCCATGTTGTTGAGCAGATCTGCAACGTCCTTCTTGGTCCGTTGGAGGACAGCCTTGCAATCGAGACTTTTGCCCACGCCCTCAGCACTATTCGAAGGATGGGAGGCCCGGTTCTGAGCGACTTTGCAGTGCAACTCTTCCGGCGCCAAGATGGGTCCACGTTTCTGCGTCTCCCCATGATCAAGGCCTTCATTGGCACGGATCTGCTTGACTGGCGCACCCTGGACGAAGCCCTCTCCGCATCCATCAGATCGCAAGAAGAGGGGAGCCTTCAGATGCTTGATCAAATCATCAAGGCAACAGTTTTGAGTGAGACACCTATGGCTCTTTTTGCCAACTTGGGCTCCAGCCTGGAGGTTGCTTACGCTTGGATCGTTGCGGAACCTGCAGTTCCAGGTGGCGAGGACTTGAAAGCGACTCTTGATGCTGCTCGCGAGCAACGCAGTCAAGCCCAAAACCGTGAGCAAATCGAGTACGTCTTCGATGAATGGGTGCACCGCTTCCGGAACACGGCGGTGACCGACAAGCTCGCCCGCAACTTTGTGAAGCAGTTGAACGATACCGGTATCGTCAGGTCCAAAGATGACCTACTGGTTCTCATCCGCATCGCCCTGGACAGCTCGGTGGCGCAGTTCGAAAACGCCATTGCCTCTGGCAGCAGCATTGACGACGGGTACATCTGGGTGAACGCACTAGTAGCACTCGTCATGGCTTTTGTCAAGGCCACCGGGTTTGACGACACTGATCCGAAGTCAAGCCCTGCATCCCTGTTGGCTTCCGTATGGGCGCTTGCCACGATGATTCTCAACCATCATACAAGGAAGCGTGGGGAACTCTTCAACCAGAGGGTCTTCTTCCGCTTCTTCTCTCAGCTGCTCCACGAGTCTGGGGCGTTCTTCGAGCAGCTTGGCGAGCCTCACAAGGATGAGATGCTCTTAAAGGTTGCGCCACTGCTCTCGTCGCTTGGGCCCGCGATGTTCCCAGGTTTCTTCTATGGTTGGCTCGGCCTGATTCATCACGCGGCTTTCCTCCCGTCCATCATGGACATGGAGGGTGATGCCGGGTGGGCGCCGTACACGAGACTCATCCAGCAGCTGTTGGAGTTTGTGGGCGAACAGTTGAACACGGCGCAACTGCCTGACGTCATTCACAAGCCTTACGAGGCTGCTGTCAAGTTACTCATTACACTTCAGCATGACTACCCACAATACCTGGCGGCCAACTCGTCCGCACTTCTAGCAAGCATACCACCACACTGTACCCAGCTGATCAACACGATCTTGTTTGCATCCGTCAGCAAGATGCCGGATCCAATGACGGCTGGGCTGGACGCTGCCGGCAACCAGTCCGGCCCCTCGCATGAAGGCGGGAATCCTACTGCATTCCTCCAGAGCATTGGCCTCTTAGACATCCTCAACTCGGCCCTGGAGAAGGGACCCTCGGAAGATGCGGTGGCCCACATGACACACGCAATCACGCGAGGGGATGGAAGGACGGGCTTTGGCCCCGCCCTCATCAACGCGAACCTGGGTGTGATCGACGCAATCACGGCATACATCGGTAAGCATGCGGTACAGCTTGCGGCGGCAGGGCAGCCGGCGTTTGAGCCCGGTTCGTCGGCCCTGGTGACGCTGTCGATGCTTGTGCACGAGCTGGCAGCGGAGCCGCGGCACTACCTGCTGCTGAGCATGCTCAACCACCTGCGCGAGCCGAACGCGGATATGGAGTTCTTCAGCAAGTCCCTGCTGGAGATATTCTCGCACGACCTGTCGGACCCGGAGGAGACTGAGATCCGCGAGCAAATCGCGCGGGTGCTCCTGGAGCGGCTGATAGGGTTCTGGCCCCAGCCGTGGGGCCTGCTGATCACGGTGGTGGAGCTGGTCAAGAACGACAAGTACATGTTCTTTGAGCTCCCATTCATCAAGCAGACTCCCGAGGTAAGCGGTTCCCCTGGACGATGCCCCATCGATATCTGCGTGACTAACCTCTTCTTCTTCTTCTTAGGTTGCCCAGCGCTTTGCGGAGATAGTTACTGCGCACAGCTAGAAGGTGGCGAAGTGGACGAGCCGAGTGACACGAGAAGGCGCGACGGACACTTTTGGATTTTTGACCTTGACGGCGCAGGCACAGCGGGGTGAGGAATCAAAAGCAACTTCATGATCTTGCGGAGACGGGGATTGCATTGAACGAGTTCTCCCTCTTTCACCAGTAAACAAAATGGGATGGATCACAAAAGAAAAGGGATTGGCTGAGTGAAAGATTGTCGGAGGGGAGTTGGGCGTTGGGCAAGGAAGGACGGATTGATTTGCATTCATTCACGCATTGATTCGTTCATGACTCGGGGAAAGGTGTGGTCATCACCACCCCACGCAGAAGCATATGCTCTGTCCGAATGTTTATGACAGCGGGTCGACAGGGACGAAGAAGGGCAGCTGGGTGGTGTTGGGTCGACAGGGACGAAGAAGGGCAGCTGGGTGGTGTTTGTGTGTGTGTATCTCTCTGGTCACGGTGTATGGGAGTGGGAGTGAGCATGGGTGGGTGTAGGCATTCACGTATAATGTATGAGTACCGGACCTTGTAATGAAATGACAGACAGCCATGGGGCTTGTGGCCACCAGCCAGCCTACCATCCATCCATCGAATGTCATCTCTTGTTGTCTATATGTTGGCTTGTTTGTGGCTCATCGCGATAGTGTAGTATATGCAGGCATGGTCTCGCTGCATACCTGCCTACCCTCCTTCCTTCTGTCGATAGGAGCGCTTTGTGCACGACTCCTCTTTATCTTTGCCCTTATTCCCATGTGTCTCTGTGTGGCGTTCTCTATGCTACCCCCGTACCCCAAGCCAGCCAGCCTCTCCGTGACAGCTGCAACACTAATCATGCGGCATGTCTCGTGTACCACGTATCAAAGACGGGCGGGTTTGAGATCGAACGACAGCTTCTGGATGTCTCCTGTGCATCGTGACAGCTTCTGGGCTGTCTGTCTCCTGTGCATCATGTCATATCATCGCCGGGCGGCGTGGGATTGGATGAGTGCATTCTCTCTCACTCACACTCACACTCGCTTACACGTGGCTGGCGGAGTTAGCCGATCTGGGCTATTTTGACTAGGGTATGCGGGTCTCGCATGCTGTCAGTCAGTTTGAGGTCGTCAATTATCCGTCAGTTATCAGTCATCGGCAGTACATGGTCAGTTAGTCCGTCGTGGGTTCGTCCGTAGGTCAGGGGCAGGACGACGACAGCCGCTGGGACGGATCAGAACAGAGACCCCCGGGTGGGGGAGGGCAGAAGAAGCAGATAAGAAAAGAAGAAACTGCAAGTTATTGGGAGCCAATGGGTGGGTGAGGTCAGCAGCTGAGCGAGGGTTGGGTGTTGATGGGCGAGTGAGGTGCGGTTATGACCAGACCACGCATGCCATACCTTTCTCCTGACCCCTTTCCTTTCATTTTTGCCTCACCCTTCCTCCGCAGCCAAATCGGGCAATCCATCAGTCATGCTGTGCAATGTGGCCTGCTCTAGCGGGCCCAGGAATACGATGTCTGCTTGTCGATGCGGGGGAGATGGGCAATTGAGAATTGGATGTTTTGCTTTTTGGCCTCGTGACGGGCGAATTGTCTGAGCAGCAAGGGGTGGGGTTTGGGCATGAGTTGCTCGCTTAGGCTCCTATCCGATGGGCGTGTTCTTCAGAGGCGGTCAGTCAGGTAGACTAGGGCGCTGCAGGTCGTCGGTCTGGCTGCAAGGAACCCAAGGAATGAATCTAAATCCCCAGGTGTGCCGCGTTGTCACGTGCGCACGGGCTGCACTGCACCTGCCACCTGCGCCTTGCACTACTCGCACTCGCACTCGCGATCGACCCCATGCGATCCATTCCAACGACGTCGCCCATTCAACAACTCTTGACCGTCCCACCGCATCCAAGAGCTTCAGATCCTTTCTGCTAAGCCCTATCTGGACACTGCTGGAATCGGAAGCTCGATTCCGGACCGCGCAGCCGGGCCAGCAAGGTCGCCGAGATCGAGCCAATCCAGCCTACCGCCTCTATCTTCTCCCAGCGCTACTTCCTGCCACATCAGATACCTGGAGCCCAATCGTGGGAGACTCAAGTGAGTCGGGCTGGACTGCAGTGTTCTGGGTCGGCTTGGGCTGGGCTTGGGCTTGGGCTGGGCTTGGCTGACCTGCGCTGGTCGTTTTCGACCGGAGACGCCTCTGGGATGTGGTCGTGACAGCGCGGGTGAGCCTATCTCTGCACCATGCCTGTATCACAGCATCTGAGGCGAGGCATCCACGCTGCCTTGCCCAAATGGGAAACACGGAACGGATTGCCATCAAGGTCAGCATCATGGATCCTGCAGCATGGCACGGCGGTGTCGGCAGCAACGGCACGCTCCGTGAGGCCGTCCTTGTCGAGATGCGCCCCTCCTAAAGCACGGATGGTCCACTCGTCAACGCCTAGGTCTCGCGCCAAGGTAAAGGCAAAGGGAGAAGCAAGGCCTCTCTCAGAACTTGCAGAGACGTACAGGAAACAACTCGTCGTTTTCGGCCTCGGTGTGGCGGTCATGGGCGCATACATCGCCATGCTCATCCGCAGCATGACCAGGGACCCCTGTGCCGACCAGACGCCGCATGGCCAGCACAGTGACGTCCCCTCTGGTCGGCCTCTGGACCTTCGATCCGGCAAGATCACCGCCTCAGCCTTTGATCGGGAGCAGGATTGGAACGAGTGGATCATGGGTATCACGGGCCTGCGCAAGCTCATGGGTGGGCTCGCAAGGGGCCACGTCCTCGAGGTCGCAGTGGGCACCGGCCGCAACATCGAGTACATGGACTGGGACGAGATCAAGAGCGCCGCCCCGCGCCCCGCGGACGAAGGGACCGGCTTCGCGCCAAACCCCAGGTCGCCAGACGAGCTGCACAGGGACCGTGTGAAGAGGAGGATGGACAAGGGAAAGAAGGGCCTGGTCCTGCCGGGGGACGACGCCCCAGAGGTCTTGAGCTTCACCGGCATCGATGTGTCTGCCGATGTGCTGGAGGTGACCTGGACGAAGCTGAAGAAGGCCGTGCCAGAGCTGATCCCCAGACGCAGAAGGAAAGCAAGTGAAGGGCAGGAGACACAGCATGAGAGACATCAGCAGCAGCAGCAGCAGCAGACGTCTGTTGAAGAAAAGAAGCCCGTTACGTTTCGGAACCCGTTGAAGGCCTTGTCAGAATCCAAGATGCCGGCTCCTGCACGACATCCTGCGTCTGCTGATGCGAGCCAGTCAGGGGATCAGGCCCTGGCTGCCAATATTGGCAGTGGCCGCATCCGCCTGTTCAAGTCGGATGCACAGTCCCAGCTTCCCTCTCCACCGTCTATGCTAGCCCCGGATGCTGCAACGACGTTACCCGCGCCGCGCTACTTCGATACCATCCTTCAAAACTTCGCAATCTGTTCCGTGGCTGACCCACACAAGTTGCTAGCCAACATGGCCCGCGTGCTACGGCCCGGTTCCGGCCGTATCTATCTTTTGGAGCACGGGCGCGGCCGTTACGATTGGATCAACGGCCTGCTGGACAAGTTCGCCCCCTCGCACTTCGACAGGTACGGGTGCTGGTGGAACAGAGACATCGAGGAGGCTGTGCGAAGGGCCGAGAGGGAGGTCCCGGGGCTCGAGGTTGTCAGAATCGAAAGGCCCCTCTGGACACAGGGCGGCACCATGTACTGGATCGAGCTCAGGGTCAACGCGCAGAAGGAACACGGAAGCGGCAGCGGCAGCGGCAGCACGCCAGCGGATGCTCCTGGGCAGCCCACATCCCGGCTCGCCTCGTGATCTCGTGGTACTGCGGCGTTGGAGACCAGGGAGAGGCTGAAGACACAACGCGCCGGAGAAATGTTTCTGACGTGGACCGCTAGTTCTAAGCGACCAGGACGGGCCGTGCCTAGATTCGCTGATGGATCTGCAGCACGCCGTCCGATCAGATCGAAAGGATGTGACCTCAGGACGCATCCTAGCGGGCTGCAGCATCGGCTCGGCAATCGAACAACCCATGTGTTGCGTCTCGTGCGGTGCATCAAATCAACCTCCTGTGCGCGTAGATGCAGCCAAACGACCATGTAACCGGACGGAAGGACGTTCGAAGGAAATCAGAGCCGATGACCGGAACGATGCCCCCGTTTTTCGTTGTTGCTTTTTCTTCAATGGCGCAGCAGGCCAGGTAAAAACATCCCCGTAACGGTCGGGGACGATGGATGGACCCAGCACCTCGGGCATGCTTTTCTATTCCTGCCATGCATGCTATACCAGCCTATCGACCTCGCTCACCGACTGAAAGGCCCCAGGGGGTTATATAACTGTAACATAAAAAAAGAGGCAGCAAGTGACGAAAAGAACAGCCGAATCCCCCCTCCACACCGAGGAAAAGGGTCTTTTTCGATACCCAGTAAGTATCCTCACCGGATCCAATGTTGGACAAGTGTGGATTTTTCCCATGTGACACGCGGTTGGCCCATCTTGTGTGCTGAGTACCTCGCTGGACGGGCAATGATTCATCCAGCCACCCGAGAGCAGGGTGAGACAATCGTGGCCGCTTCCCCCCCCCCCCCCCCCCCCCCCAACCAAAGGCCGTTTTCTCGCCAAATGAGCCGTGGGATACCGCAGGATGCACATCCACAACGGCCCATCCTGTCGTCTCCTGAAACGGACATCGTCACCGCTCCCCCGAGTGCGCCCATCTTCCCAGTCCCACAGCGGGCGGCTCTGCGCCAGGAAAAGAAGCCATCGTCAAAACGACAAGGAAGAAGCAGCACCAAGCAACGCCCAATCAAACCAGGCGAAAAGCAACAGTCAATGACGCTCCCGGGAGGGGACGGACCGGCTGCCCGCGTACAGATCGCATCTCTCTGGCAAATGACAGGGTCGTCGATCGATGTCTTCTTGGAGTGGATCCTGTCTCACGGTGGTGATGAGAGCAGATCAAAACAAAGTTGCATGTTCGACCGCCATCTCAACCCACAAGGGCCATCTGCGTAGACAGGCAGGCAGGCAAGCAGCCAACCAGCCAGCCAGGTTGATCGGGGATGAAGACGAGAGCGCCTCAATCGCTCACCTTCAACCGAACGCGGAGAGGGAGTTCATTTCTAAAAACACATATATAGAGGTAGGTCGGTATGTATGTATGCACACAAACTCACGATGATCCCGCGAGATATACGCGTCACACACGGCAGGTGCGTTGCTCAGTGACATTGTTCGCCCCTTCACTTGCCTTCCTTCCTTGTTCACGATGCCAGATGATGCCATCGAACCTTCCACATCTTTGCCTGAGACCATCCGCCGCACCCTCGCGGCCGCCCCCTCCTTCCCTGACAGGTCGAGCTGCATCACACCCGCATCCAGCAACCTCGAAACACGGGCGCAACCCGACAACGACGACAACCATAGACCTGAGCCGCATCATAAACCCTCCAGGCCGTCGCATCCGCACCTAGATCACATCTCTCGCTCCTCTCGCCCACGCATCTATTTCCCAAGTATAGCTTACGTGTGAGGAATCACACAAAAAGACGGCATCACAGCCAGGACCTTCACAAGATCACGGACAAAGCCCAAGCAGGAGCACAGCAAGCGACCTGCGCCCGGTCTGCCAACCCGTGGGTGCCGGCAGCTCCTGACGATGCGCCTCTCCGTGTCCAAGTCCACAGCCCGCATTGGACAAGTCGAGATCCGAGGCGTCCAGCAAGTCGTCGAGTTCGAGGCCAGAGACCGCCAGCCCAGCAGAAGAACGCGCCATGGCCAGCAGCCAACCCAGGCCGTCTCTCCCGAGGCCATCGACGCAGTTCAGTCCAGGACGGCCATTGTTGTCCCGTGCAAGGACGAGCCTGTCGATCGAATCATCAGCGTGTGGGCTGGAATCCCGGCAGGCAGCCTCATAATCTTGGTCTCAGCATCTGCAGAGTACAGGTACGCCCGTGAGAGGGACGCGCTGGCCAGGTTCTGCCGTGACACGGGACGGGACGGCATCAGCGTCCACCAGCGCGACGGCCAGCTTGCCAAGGCCCTGAGTGAGATCGGAATGACGAGACTGCTGGGCGATGACGGCCTCGTCCACGAGGGGAAGGGCGAGGCGCTGGTCATCGGGATCGCTCTCGCTGCTGCTGCACCAGGCCCGGAGGCTGCCGACAGTAGAGACCCTTCTGCCCACACCCGCACTCACCAGCAGTGCCACGGCCACAACAAGAACGGAGAGAGAAATGGCAGGATCAACGGCCAAGAGACAAATGTGCGGTGTAGCCACGACTGCCCGCGTGGCACCATGAACGGGTGCGGACAGCAATTCCGCGGCGCCTGCGCGGCCAGAGACAGCGGCATTTGCCGTAACAAGCAATCTCGTGGCTATGCAGCCAGGGACGGCGGTAGTACCAGCTACTACAAGTACATCGGCTTCATCGACGCAGACAACTTTGTCACCGGCAGTGTCTCGGAGTACTGCAAGGCCTTCAGTGCCGGGTTCCACCTCGCTTCAGCGCAGGATGCCATGGTGCGTATCAACTGGGGCAGCAAGCCGAAGGTCCACAACGGCAAGCTCGTCTTCAAGACCTCGGGCCGGAGCAGCGAGGTCGTGAACCGGCACTTCAACCAACTCCTCAACCAGCTCGAGAAAAGGGGAACTTGCACCTTCAGCGGCGAGGCCTGCGAGCGCATCGAGAACGACCACGGCGACATGGAACTGCACCACATCTGCACTGGCAATGCGGGCGAGCACGCAATGACCATGTCGCTAGCGCTGAAGCTGAACCTAGCAGGCGGCTATGCCATTGAGCCCTTCCACTTCCTCGACATCTTTGATCGCTTCGCCGGCGACCACAAGGTCAAGTCAGCCCCTGCCTCCCTGATGCGGGAGCCGCATTCGGCCCTCTCCACAGTATCCTCGTCGCCATCGTTGACCCCTGTTGGCACTTCACCCTGCTCGTCTCCAATTTCGGAGCCAACCACGGCTACTTCTCTGTTTCCTGTCTCGTCTGAGGCTGCTGCATCGGCTGTTGACCAGAGACTACTGGCCTACGGCACGGAGACGCCTACGGCTCCCCCCAAGGTACAGATCCTCCAGATCCGCACCATGAACCCACACTTCCATGACACCAGCAAAGGCGAAGCCCATATAATTCGCATGTGGATGCAGGGCCTCTCGGCCATGTACCACAGCCCATTGGCAGAAGATTTTACCGAGTTCAAGGACGGGCTGTGGGAGGCGATCCTGGCAGGGGGAGTCAAAATCGGCGGCGGTCCTAAGTATGACTCCTTCCCACCCACCCCACCGCTCACCAACCCGTGCTCGACAGGTTCTCCCTCCGACCAAGGTACAATAAATTCCAATAACGCAAACCTCGCGCCTGCGGAGTGCAGGATCTATCCGGCCGCGGAAGAATTTGACCTGGCCATGCTCAGGGAAAGACTACTGCGCGACAGCACGCTCTTCTGGTGGTCAGGCGACCTTGAAGAGGAGACGCTGGAAGACGAAGACCGGGTTGATTACCACCTCCAGGACATCGCTAGTGCTAGCGGCGTCACCAGCGACGAACCTGTCCAAGAAATGCGGCCGCAGCGCCTGCTTAGGAGGGACTCGGGCGTCGACTTTGGCATGGACGGTGCCGACCAGGCAGAATTCACCGAGGATGCTGTCCCCGACTTTGACCTGGGCGAATCTCCCTCCACAAAGAGCCGGCTAGATACGGTGGAACATGGCTATTGTCTTCGAGAACCAACAGCAATCACAACCACAACGCCGTCGCCGTTAAAATACGCCCGTGTTTGACGCGTGATCGTGCCTGTGGTTGACGCCAGCAGAGTCTACGAGCACCAGCCCCCCACCTGCCCGGCTCGCCGTGTCTTTCCCTAGGACGAGCTGCCCAGGACACGGCGTTCGTGGCGTCTAGGCTTGCAGCTGCCATGTCGGCGGTGGGTGGGACGACAGTGACGATGCTGCCGAGGCTTGAGCCCCTCCTGGTGGTTCTAGATCCGGACGGGTGGGCGACCTCGCCGTTCCCCGGCCGCAAGCGAGTAGATCGGTCGTGGGAGCATAGATGGTGTGCCCCTTCTCGAAAAGACCTATGCATGTACGCATGCATGCATTCATGCAACGACGGCCAGGAGTGGCGGGGCCGGCGACTAGGTGCTGCCAGGGGAAAGATAGATTGGAGCACAACAGGGTGCCCAAATGGAAAACGGAAGGGGTACTCATCAGGTGTCGCATGCAAGCCACCAGGAGTTAGACCGCCTCTGCTTACATGGCGTTTCCTTTTTTGGGGAGGCTGCTTTTTTCTTCTTCTTTGGTTTCCTCGCCCGCCGTTGATTGGTTCCTATTCTATCACGGCAATGGACTACTGCATGGGGCTTGGGGGTTTGGAATTGGAATTGGCATTGGGGGGGGACCGGAAAAGGAAAATTGGGGCGGGGTTGTTGCACATACCACGGGGCATGTCAACGGGGTTATTTTCGCGTTTGCACTGGCTGGCATTATAATGAGGGAGAGAACGTGGACGTGCGCGTACAACGCGTGAAAAGAGGACTGGAAGAACAGGACAGAAAAATTGAACAACAGGGGTCTGGAGCCTGGGGTGCCTTTTCTTGACGATGGATGGGATTGGGTTTCGGATTGGTGTGTACGGTGTGTGTGTGTGTGTGCCGGGCGGCGTTCTTTGAGGTTGGGACTGCAACGGGGGGAGACTGGCTCGGATCCGAGGGCGGACGGACCGGGAATAACGTGGGTTTACGGGGCCCACGGGGGATGACACTACAGACACACGCACGCACAGGAACTGGACTGGACTGGACAGTACGGACGGCACTGGACAGTGCAGGGCGGGATGAGAGAGACAGGCAGATGCAGAATACAGAGAGATAGATGGATTGTGAGAGGTTGAAGGTAGGCAGTGGAAATAACAATACCGGGCGCCTCCCTATGCTGTCTTTCTTCTCCTGCCTCTTTGATTTGGATTTACTGGTGACTGGGCTCATTTCGAGTGGGCTTGACTGGCAATGCGGTTCCTCAGCCTTGCTGCCGTAGAGGTTTGTATGGTGGGTTTGATGAGGTATTGTTTACACGATAGCGAGTAATCAGTGACTACCTACTATCTGGGGTGGGCTGAGTTGCTAAAGCCAATGTGTGGTTATGTGTCTGTGTATTGGGTATTTGGATGGTTATGTTTGCAGGTGGGTTCCTGGATAATATGGGTCTACGGATTTGAGACCATGTCTATGGAGGTCTATATGTTGAGAGAGGAACGTGGGGAATCAATCCGATTACACTGCAACACACAGGCCCATTTTGGTTGGGCTAGTAAGTGGGCTCATGGTTCGTGGGGGTTTGCTGGGGTGGACTGTGTTGAGGCGGTTGAAGGAAAATATAATATTGGATCGTGGAAAACATATTGGTTGGCAAGGAGGAGGATGAGGATGGATGGATGGATTCATCACGATGGGGCCTCGCGGGTCCAATGTGTGCTGTGATGTGATGTGAAGTGTGATGTGTCGCCTGTCTGCCCACCAGCACCCCCGTGTCAATCAACAATGCCTCTTCTCCCCTTACCCTCTCGCATCTTTCCTCTCTCTCCTTCAAGGATGGCATTGGGCAAGTTACATGGCTGGAGAGGGGCTTGGGCCGGGCCCATTGGGACCCCGCGACGGCGGTGAAGGGCAAGAGCAAGAGGGCAGAGCATTGACGGCGCGGGGGTTTATCTGGTCCGGGGATATATTCCAAGTGGACCCCGATTCCATGCGGCTTCCGGGTCAACAGGGACGAACCAAAACATTCAAGACGCAGCGACACAGCACAGCCCGCAATAGGTGATGGACTTGCCGGCTGGCTGGCTGGCTTCTGCAGGACCCAGCTGTGTGGAGATGAGCAACACGGCTGTTTTGAGAAAGAACCTCAACATTTCCATTTCGTCGTCGTCGTCTCGAGCCCCTCCCTTACTCATCCGGTTCTTATTCGCGGTACGCTGGGGGCGGCGGCACGCCCCGTCTTTGATCTGAGGCGGGGCTCCAGCTCGCGCGCGTGTCGCCCCAGGAATAGCAAGAAAAGCACGATGCTCACATGCATTACACACACCACGCGGGGCAGATAGACATAGCTACGTACACACGTACGCACATGCAGACGTATGTAGGGTGAGTGGCTAGAGAAAGTGGACTCGGCAGGTGAGCTGTCCATGCCTCTGCAGCGCCTCGCATGATCCCATCTCGAAACTTACCGCCGCGGCGAGGTGGGGTGCGTGGGTAGCTTCTGTGTGCGTCTCACTGTCTTTTTTTTTTTCTTTCTTCTTCTTTCTGCCCTGCAGAATAAAGAGGGGAAAGAGAAGAGGGGGACCCCTAGATTATCTTGCTGTCAATGCGTTTGCCGCCGCCCCGTTGTAATGATGATGATGAGGGAACAGGAGGAGAGAACAGGAGAGGAGAAGGGAGAGGACGGGGCAGGATTAACCACGCTCGAGCCACGCCAGCCACGAACACCACAGTGGCCACCACAGGCGACCCAGATCGCCCCCAGTCGTGGCGTTGCGTTGTCGCCGATGATGAACGGTGATGAGATATCGCAGACAGAGGAGGGGGTTCTGGAACAAACGCCATGGCTCAACTCTTGGGCTTCCACGAGTCAGTGGCAGGCGTTCCTCGTCGGAAACAAGCCCTGCCGCCTTACTCGAGCCGTTTCTCGTCTCATCTCTCTCCCACCCTCTGCCTGCCCTCTGCGCGGATGTCCTGGATGTCCCGGATGGAATGATCTGATACACTCAAGAAAGAGCCTCCGCCCACTCTATCGACCGTAACCTCGATGCTTTCGCATGCATGTCATGTTACCATTACCGGCCCCACGGGCAGAAATTGCATGTCCGCCATGTACGTACCGTAAAACGCTAGCAACACAAACGCGCAAAGCATGACTCTCATCACCCCCTGCCCCCTGCCCCCGATTCGCGAACAGATGATAGGCCAATGGCTGCTGTGCTCCCCAAAACCGAAGGAAAAGAACAAGACAAAACAGAAAAAGGCCGGGCCTCGGACGGGGGTCGGACCCGGGCTCTGGGCCCGGACCCAACCGAAAAAAAGAAAAAAAGAAAAAAAAAAGGAAAATCACAGAGAGACGAACGAACCACCCAAGCGCCGGGCCAACCGAGCAACCAGCCCAACTCAACTAACATTAGGACCATGGCCCTAGCCGCCCGCCTGTCAGAAAGAAAAGAAAAAAAGGACGATCACTGACATGAACAGGCGCTTGTAATACTGTAATAGCCCCGTCAGACTGACGAGGCGGCTGCGAGCACCCCATTTCTGGCTTGGCGGGACGGCCCCAGGAAAGCTTAGGGTTGGCTGGGCTTGAACTTAGTGGACTCGAACCATGAGCCAACATTGAAACCGGTGGGCGGAAACCTTGAGCTAGATTATTAGATGCTGTAGATACTGTACGTACTGTGAGTACTTATGCATGTCATGATGCATGCCCGATGTATTGACTTTCTGGCTGAGCATCTAGCCTGCCTGCCTGCCTGCCTGCCTAGGCCGGCAGCCGATGCTTCTCGCTCGCCATCACGACGGCATGACCAGGCGAGTTGCATCATCTGACTCTCGCAGTAGCATGAGTGTGAGGGTGACCTTGTACATGCTGGTTCCAAAAAAGAGCAAATCCAAATGAAGGGAGAATTCTTTGCATTGGTTTTGTTGCGCCGTTTTTCCTTCTCGAGAGAGCCCCAAAATGCACTTTTGAAGCTTTTGTGTTTGCCTGGTGCCCCCCTTTTCGCTTGAACCAACCCCCGAACCCCTTCCCTCCCATCACCCCCTCTCACAAGCATCTACATCTCTAAAAGGGGTAATCTAGAGTGCCAAAATGAGTCTGTTTCCTCCCCAGCCTGTCCCATGTCTCGCTCAAAATAAAGTCATAATGTACATATACAGTAGCTTCCAGCTCAGTAGAGACATTCCCCGGGATTATAATCGTTACATCGTTCGTAGAATAGATGAGCAGTGTAGGTGGCGTGTGATCAGACATCGCCAGGTAGACACAACAGGCCGGTTGGGTCTCTGAAGGTCTGCCGTTCAAGAGTGGCGTTCGGACCAACCAATCAATGGCGGCGCGCATAAACAAAACTCGTGCTCAGCTGCAGCCTTAATAGTCGTTCAGCAGGCAGTCGAGCTCGTCGAGCTCGATCGTCTCCGGGCTCCGGTCCCATTCCAAGAGGCTGTCGAGCTTGGCCCAGCCGTCCATCTCACCCTCCTTCTTGGTGCTAATGGAGAAGGCAGGGCGCATCGCCGGGCTGGCCATGAAGGCCATCGGTGGGGGGTTCGTGGCGGCGGCACCGGCCTTGGGCTCGCCAAACAGGCTGTCGTCCTTGGCGTGCTCGTCCAGCTCCGTGCTCTGGACGACGAGCTCCGACTTGACGGGCAGCAGCTCGCCGCTGAGCTTGCGTTTTTGCAGGCCGTCGGCCGTCTGGGTGAACTCCTTCTCGTCCTTCTCGAGCGGCGGCGACGCCCCTCGTTGGGTCTGCACCGGCAGGACGAGGGTGGGGATCTGGCGCCCAGAGAAGGACCCGACGGGGGTGGCGGGCATGGGCATGTCATCGTCGACGTCGTCGAACTCGGGCGACGACAGGTCCACCTCGGGCGAGGGGCTGAGCTCTCTCCTCCGATCGTCATCGGCGTCCTCCGACGCCGACGTCGCGCTCGGCGTGACAAGTGTGCGCGCATGCGCCGCGGCCAGGGCTGCCATGGTCGGCTCGGGCAGGGGCCCGTGGGGGCATGTTGTGAGGTAGAAGTAGGTCCTGCGCGGGTGGACTGTCTCGAGCTCCTTGGCCATGGGGCAAGGGTTATTTGCGTTCCAGCAGGAGCGCTTGAGGTAGGTTGACAGTCGCGAGGAGATGATCGCGGAGGGATTTGCGGATCTGAAAGGGCAGTGTTAGTATCATTAGCGACGATGCGAATCAAGGGCGTGCACGGCGCGGCGCGGCGCGATGCGAGATGCAGGATGCAGGATGCAGAAAGGGCGCGAGGAAACGTACTGTTGGACGATCTTGAGCTGTTGCATCAGGACGGGGACGAGCTCCTTGACTATGTGGGGGCGGTTGCCCGCAGTCTGGAGCTGGACGATGACGGCCTCAACGATCTCGTCGTTGACGGTGCTCAGGTCGACCTTTGTGGAGGGCGTGGCCGGGTCGGCGGCGTCCTTCATCTCGACGGAGGATGCTCTGGATCTTGGCGGAGACGGGGGCAGCTTATTTGCGGCGGGCTGATGGCGCTTGGCGGCGGGCGTGTCGTCGCCAGCATGCGAGCGCTTTATCTTCTTGGAGGCATGGGTCTGAGCGTCCATGTCGGCGGGGGTGGAGGGGCTCCGTGGGGAGTGGAAGGAGGGCGAGTTCGTCATCGATGATGATGCTGAGGATGTGGAGGAAGATGCGCTATGGCTTTGGCTAGGCGAGAGTCGACTTGCAGCGGCGGCAGCTCTGGCGGCGTCGCGTTCTGCCAGGGTGACGGGGACGTGGATTCCCAGGGAGGGCAGAGAGAGCGACTTGCGACGGGTATTGTAGGGCATTTTGAAGGTGGTTGCGAGTCGGGTCTTCTAAAACGTCGAGGGTATCTTTTTCAAACGCACGAGCGAACCCCGGGTGTCTAGGCGTCCGTTTGTCTTGTTTTGGGCCGAGTATGTATGTATGGACGGGATGTGTATGTATTGTATGTATGCAGCGGCAGAATTGCGTCCAGGCGGGGGGACGCTTGCGCAGAGGGTAAGATATGCAGGCGCGAGGGCAATACAGTACAGTACAGGACGATGGTACAGAGGGAGAGAGCGAGGGAAGATGGATGTGTGAATGGATGGATGGATGGATGGATGGATGGTTCAGAGTTGGGTTGTGCAGCGCATGTGAAGGGAAGTGCAGCACGGTGAAGGAGGACGAAGGGATGGATGGGATGGATGGGGATGGGATGGTACGGCAGGGCGAGCGAGTGGTACGGGTACGGTGCGGGCTGTGTGGTTACGGCAAGGTAAGGCAGGGAAAGGTATTCGTGGTGTGGTGGGTGGTCTGGGCTGAGTTTGAGTTGGGCTGCTCTGGTCGGAAAGAGGTAGGCGGGCAGGCGGGCAGGAGCTGGAAAGCTGGGAGCTGGGGGAGCTGGGGGGCAAGAGCAGGGGGGAGGGAGACAGAAAGGTGGCGGGCGGCGCACACCCACGCACTTGGACTCACACGACAGCGACAAACTTTCCTCGTCCGTTCATTCGCCCGTCCTTGGCCCCAGGGTTGCCACGGCACTACGGGCGGTACCTGACATGAACGGCAGAATCATGTGGTAGGTCCTTGTACCTGGCCTGGTAGCCATGACAGCCAAGCAGCGGTTAGGGTACTGTAGGAATGCACCAAGGGGGTAGGGGGGAGGGGAGGGGGGCATGAGACGGCCGGAGAGACACGGACTGACGACCTGACCACTGTCTGGACTGCGCGAGAAAGAACTGCGGGAAAAAAAAAAAAGAGTGGGAAGGTGCGAGTCTGCGGGCCCGACAGGGGGCCCCTTCACAATCCATGACACTTGCATTAGCGCGTCTGCAGCTTCCATGCCAACCCCAGTCACAGCCCCGTCACCACAGCTCGATCCGACCCACTCCCTGCCCGAAACGGTTTGACGCCGAACACGAAGGGGAAAGGGAGACGGAAAAAAAAAAAAAAAAAAAAAAAAAAAAAAAAAAAAGAAGAAGCCGACATGGTGTCGAACAATGCCATGCCCCCGTCCCCCGGCTGGTTTCTGTGACGATGCCTCCTCGTCTCGGTCTGAAAAAGGCGGTAAGCCGATTCCGCCGGCATTATTGTTGTCATCATCATCATCATTGTTATCTGGGATGGCTGTATGGGCGGACTGGGTGAGGGAAGGTGTGGGTGTGAGAATTGGGTGGGATGGCCTCGACTGAGATCAGAGACATGCTGATATGCGGGACTGTATTGGGGACGGATTTGTTCGCGTCGAGGGCAAGGCATCAGTCAATGCATCAATCAACCAGTCTGCCAGTCAATCAAATGCGGGTGAAGCTGCGGGTGGCCAGCGGACTGCTGACTGCTGACGACTACAGTAGACTCCATACCTGCGTGTGTGCGTGCCTAGGCAGGTGGTGAGAAGTGAGAGCAGCCAACTGCCGTTCTCCTGCGTTGTCTAGGCTGTCAACTGGTTCGTGCTAGTCGTCCGTTTGCTGTCATGCTGCCTGCCTTCTCTGCCTCTCCCGCCCCCCGTTTGGAGCAGACCATCTATTTCTCTCGTTGCGCCGGTACGTACCTCTGACCAGCGCTCCACACAGACACGCGCACACCACACCACACACACCACCACGCATCCTCAGATCGCACACATCACAGTGAGCAATGGGCCCAGGTGACAGCACCAAGAACGGGTACCGGTCTGCACTCTACCCAAAGAGGCCTCGTTTCAGCCTTTCTCCCTTCGCTAGCCCGCTGACTGTGCAGGTTATAGACGCCGTGCAATTTCGAGAGGTTCATTCATCTCACTTGCATGTCTCACCCTCAGCATCGTCAGAGGGGAAGATCGCAACTGTCGGGGCCTCGGGGAGCAGTGCATCCACTAACTACAGTATGTAGGTCATGAAATGAAATGAAATCACACACAGCACAGGCGCACAGTAGATCACATACACAGACACAGTAGTTCGGCTGTGCCACCCAGCCTTTGCCTTTGCCAATCTCCCGATCCCCAGTGACCAATGGCGAGGGCCGAAATTGATGGTCACGAAGGGGAACAAGAGACAGGTGAGGGAAAACGAAGGGAAAAGTTGAGCAGGAAAAAATCTGAGCACCTTGACATGGATCTCGTCTCCGACAAGTGGCCAGTGACCAGCAAAATCAGTCACGGTAGTCCCAGTCCAGAGCCCCAGTCTCCCAGATGCGGAGCCCGTGGGAATGGAAAGCTCGGCTCTCTGCCAGTTCTTGCCAGTTCTGCTCTCTCCAGAACCGAGTGCCCACCCTAGATAAAATGGGCAGATAGACAGACGGATGGGCTGCAGATGCAGTGACATCAAGATTTGTGGGCCCCATCGCCGCCCCTTGCTCTTTCCCTTTGCGTGGCTTTTCCTCCCAAGCTCTTGCCCAGGCCGACCAATAGGCGGCCGGCCAGGACCGGGCGACGGGCCACCTTCGAGAAGAATTCCATGGCCCCAGACGGCCGGTCCCCATACCCTTGTTTTGTTCATGGTCTGGGTGAGTTGAGAGAAGGACAGCACTTTTCTTGGTTGTCGCCCAGTCTCTCTCTGCCGCCGGTTCTGTCAGCCCGGTCTCTCTGCCAGGTAGTCAACAGAGAAGATCACTGACGAAACAATTGGACCACTGCCCCGTTTTCTCGTCAGGTCCCTCCTCAGGCCATCCCGTTTCGCCTCTCCTATGCGTGGCAGTTATTTCTGTGGACCCTCCAAAACTCCTCACCTCGTTGGCCGATTGGGTCACGGTATCCTCTTTCAGTCCTGCGTATCCAGTTCCCAAGTCAGTCAATCAGTCAGTCAGCCAGTCAGTCAATGGCAGGTAGGGCAAGGGGTCTTTCTTGATCCCCTTCCTTCATCATCCCCAGGTTTGATTTTTTTTAGGGGTCCTGCTCGTGCATGTCCCGAGGTTCTCGTCAACCGGGACCTCGACGCAGGTGGACATGGCCCTCCCTGCCAGCGAACGGAGCATTGGGTGGCCACCCCTGGCCGCAGCACCACTCGGCTATCTCCATCAGCTTCCGGCTAGACCAGACCAAAACTTGTCCTGCTCCTGTTCCATCCGGCCAACAGGCTCGTCAGCTTGCCAGCTTGCCCTGCCCAGCCTGCCTGCAGATGCTGAACGCAGTAATAAGGGGGGCATCGCGCTAACAGTCACAAGGTGCCCTGCCATGACTTCATGATACGACCACGGCGCCAGGTCGCCCAGCGGAATAGCCGCGATCGACTTGCGCGGAGGGGAGAAGGCTCTCTCTCGCCCAGTCCTGCCCGCCTCCGCCTGCCAGCTCTAGGTCCCCAAGGCGCTGGCGTAGCTAGCTACTGCAGGTGCAGGGCCGACTGCCATCGGGCCATCACTTGCACTGAACCATCCGCCTTGCCCCTTCCAAGCTCTCCCCCTGGCAGTGAGCCAGCCGCACACTACAACCACATACAATGCGACACAATGCGAACCCGTCTCCCCGTTTGGGACGCGGGCAGTGGCAGCGCGCAGCCGAAGGCGGTGACAGACCGTCAGTTTCGGGGCGCTGGCTGCTTCACCCTTGCTTGCATTGAATCCTGGGCCCGGGCAAGTTCAACGGCGCAGCCCAGGCCGCTAGGCGTGCACGACGTCGCTTCTCTCCTGAGACGACGCAATCTACCTATAACGCCTCCCCCAATATAACCCCATCTCGCATCGGTGTTTCTCTTTATGTGGGCTGGACATCGATCTGCTCCGTACTTCTGGCCCATAACCCGGCCGAAACTGCCCAAGGGCCGTCCGTGAGAAGGCTTCGCTGCCAGTCTATACCGCCACTTATGCATGCATTGTTCTTCCAGAGGCCAGACCGAAGAGACATGGTCCAACCACTAATTATGACTTCCCTGCCAGCTGCGTCCATCCCGAATCCCCTCATGCCTCACCGAGCTCGAGTCATTCCCTGACGCCTCCCAAGCCCGGGGCATCAGATCAGGGCAGAGGAGGCATCAAGTGTACCCCGCACCCCAGACAAAGGACTCTCTGGCGATTGACAAGACCAAGACGCACGTACGACAGAACGGCCCATTCCTACCGCCTGGGTGGTGGCGAAATTCATGGGTGTTGGTTGAATCCCGGCCGGTGATCATCGCCGTGTTCCTTCGCTTGTTTTGGAGAGGGAAGGGGGACCGGGGATGTTTCATCGAAACAACCACCACCACCATCACCGCCTGCCGCAGCGTGCGAGCGCAGGTCCGGGGGGTTGGGGGAGAGTGCCATTGCTTGACGAGAACGATAACGGTTCATGAAGGATCACGATCACCTCTCGCAATCCCTGTTTCTGTACCATTCCCCTGTCTACGCCGGGTAAGGTTGACCTCTTGCGGTGAAGGGGTCGGGCAAGCAGCACAAGTAAATGCAAGGCCAAGAAGAGCTATCAGTAAACGGGAAGTTTATTGATGCGCCTTAGTGCCCCGTGAGCTTGATGAGATATCAATTGCTATAACTTTCATGGATGAGACTATCCGAGCACTCATGTTTTCCCGCTGTGGGATGCGGTGATGGTTAGGTCAGTTGGCTTTCCTCGACGCCGTTCAATTGCGCTGCCACCTAAACCCCCCATAACCCCACGTCCCTGGTGTTCTCCCCTAACCCTCATGACGTCCTGGTTCTTCGGGTGGCACCCGCCGTGTCTACACGCCATTTCAATGACAACGGTGTTTCTATGAACAATTGACGAGTATGCTATCCTCCGAGGTGTCTGGAATGCCCCTGGGTTCATACAGCCCTGAGATGCGATGCACCTAGGGAAGGCCGAGGTTCTTTTTTAATGTGAAAGGTCGCCGCCTCAGAGTTGGCCGCGCGTTAATAGATCGTCCCACCAGAAACTGAGATGTATCAGAAAAATGGGAACACGATGGAGACTGCGTGTACCCATGCTCTCCAATTCCCCCTTCTCTGGGAGGCGTCTAGCATCTCATTATCAGATGTGAATGCTCTCTATATATATATATATATATTTGGCGAGGGCAAACGTGGACTGAGGTTGCAAGGAAGCGGCGTCTTTTGTGCTCACTGATTATTTGAAAAGGGTTCTGCTTCTCCTGTTGGGTGGTTCCTAGCAAGCACATAGCAAAGCATGGTGTGGGATATACCTAGTTGTAATTCAGTAGGTACGGTGCTAGTCCAGTGTTTCTTGTTGGACAAGGCTTTGTGAGCACGTTGTACACTCACTCATGAATACGGGAAGACTGTATCTACTGCAATAATACGAGAGGATTTGAACACTCCTTTGTGAATGAAAGAGGAATACAACACCAAGTGATGTCGTTACAAGTCAGCTGAACTTAGGTCTTCTTTTTACATTGTCCCTTTTCTGTTAGTTTGCCATATCGCAGGATAAAGCAATAGTCCCTACTCAAGAAAGCCCTTCATCAATCTAGATGTCCCTGTACGGACTTGGCTGAAGTAAACCGACAAAGAGGCATGAAGGCGGTCAAATGTATCACAATCAACTTGTTTCTTACCACAGTTAGTACGACGTCAAGTAAGCAAGGTTCGATCATGGGTGAAAAAAGAGAGCCAGATTCATATGACAGCCACTTGGTTTCATCGTTGTTCTGCAGCTGGTCAACCTGAGTAAAAGATACAGACGGCTTCCCTGGTCAGTACATGAACATTACAAGATTTCGTATTTATGCCGATTCTGGCGAGGAAACCTGTTACAGGGGGGCATTATTGCCGGAAACAACTGAGAACTGAAGATAGTTGCAGAATTCCACAAGTTTTCTTGAATGAAAGGGATTATGTTCGAAAACTCCATCCTGTGTTTCAATCATGAGCGCTCATAGACGGCCTAGCTCTCGTTGTAGATTTGTTTTTTTCTTTTCTAATCAGCTCTTCCGTATTGGATTTCACAAGATGCTTTCATGGAGGAACCATCAGCTTCGTGTTTGGTATCCGTTTGCTTTTACTTATGGGCAAATAGGGGTGGCTAGCTGACAAGCAGTCTCAGTTTTGTAAGGATACCCAATGACACAACTCAACTCAGTCAATTTCAAACACGAGCTCGCTGATTCCTGCCAATGGCCCCTGGAGATCCTTCTGTAAACGTGACCATGGCAGGCATGGCAGCAAGGTCTTGGCACGGAATGGAATTGCTCAAATCGACTGCTGTGTAACCACCCTTCTTCTCTACTTCCAAATGTTCAGGCGAACCGGTGCCCGATCCGGTCAGGTCCTCACCAGTCAGACAACCTTTCCGGAATCGGCCGCCTGCGTCGATCAGCCAGTCGGGTGATAACACCAAAATAAGGGTATCCCTCTTCAGGACTCGCGTCTTGTACGACACGAATTCAGTGAGGGGAGCCTCAAGAGCCTGGGCAAGTTGCAATCACCTGAAAACTACTTCGAAGACTCCCCGAGGAAGCGTCTGCCTCCAGGTCGTAGCATGATATGTCCTCGGTCTTAACCCACTGATCTAAAGCCAAAAAGTGCCGCAGAAGACCTTTTCCCTTACTCAGCACAGGATAATGGAAGGTTGTGTCCCACGGATCGACGTCGGTGTGCTAACCCACCAAGATATTCCGGATCATTGATGCCGTGTATTCCCATCAGGGTGGTCTGTTCAAGCTTGAACTTAATCGACACCGGGCGAGGGACATGATCTAGTTTTTTTGGTTCTGGACACATGTATGTAGCCGACTCAGAGGTGACCTGGGTATAAGTCGGCTCTATGGTGGATAATGCATTCGCTTGAAATGAATTCGACTTCGTGTAGGGTATGCGGCGGAATCTCTAGGTTTACTACCTGGTGTGATGTTGCATCTAAACTCAGCAGCAAGGGGCTGAAAGGGCCGTCTCGTTGCGTACTCGTACTTGGCATACGGTTGCGTGATGCTCAATCAAGAGCGTCGAAACTGTGACAGTGTTGATGTGAGCGCTCAATTCAGGGACCGAGAAGTCCCATGCGAAAATCGATCACATCGAGTAGCTCGTGTTATTGGCTAGTGGCGCACCTGTGTTCAAGTCCACCTTATTTCTATTAGTCGAGAACATGCCGTCCCGTCATGAAGTCTTTCGAGCCCGTCTGTTTCGCTTATATCGCGGAATAGGCTGGCGCTCTTCCGAACAAACTGTAACCGGAGAATTCTTTTTGTAAAATCTGTGACTGAGGCAGTCGTGATCTCACGCATGATAATTCTTTTTCTTACCCTGAGCATAAACTTGGTAATCTCAGACCTCTTGGTTGGAAAGAAGGATTCGTGTCGTCTTCACTTTTCTATTCGAATGGCCGGAATCGACCCTGATTCTGCATCCAAGCTTTTCCTACTAGATGGTACGACAATGAGAATATAGTTGTCAACGTCGCCAACTCAACACTGACCGAAATCTCAACACCCCTCCTCTTCCCAACTCATTGGCCAAAGCAATTGGAAGCGTGAATATCCGCATAAGTGAAAGAACTTCGTGCTCGTATTTGAATAATATAATGCAGCAGGATTTCAAAATTTATCTCAAGACAGTTTCTGTGTCTCTCATAATATCTTCTTCTCAAAGTCCCTTACCAACCACACCTACCCTTCAATTGCCAACTCACGGCAGTCGCACCTGTCCTCTTTGCTTCATGAAGCCACAATTATTTTTCTCACGTGGCTTTCGATCGGTCACCAAGAAAATGGCCGATGATAGCTTGGGACGTTCACGGTAATGCTTCGGTTCTTCACCGCCTACGTACGATAGCTTCACAGCGGTTGATACAGCTTTCTCAACATGGCTCCCTTGAATACAACAGATCTCGAGCGGAAAGCAGCAACTGGAAACTGCAGATCTCCTCATAGACTTGACGTTTGAGTCAGCGGATTCGTCCCTTTTGGGTGCCTGGGTATCCACATGCAGTCTCGCGTGACAACCTTGTCAAGTTCAAGATATGGGGTAATTATTTCTATTTACGAGATGCTTGCATCGCTTTGGCCTTCGAGCTTCACCGGAAAAGAATAACTCCTTCTGAGAGGACAAGAACCCTCTTTCATACTGGAACTTTAGGTACGCGTATCCTCAGACTGCTGGAGGGATCTGTACCGCGGACTAGACCTTCCGGGCTTCTGACGGCATCCCCGCCGCTCGACCCGTCGAACGCAGCGCCCAGTCTAAAGTCTCAATCATCTTAACATGTCGATCTCCTATGCCGTATGCTGTACGACAGAGGCTTGGGCTCTTGGTTTCATCACCCCCACAACTCGTGTGTTTCATGGCCGCCCGTCAATCTGGGTGGCCTTAGCGCTGGGTATAATGTCGCCGGCATATGTCATGCATAATCAGAGCACAGACGTGGCTGACTCTCTGAATAGTGTGGGGACAGGCACAACACCACAATGCAAGTAGCTATAGATTATAGCTAGTTGACAACTACTAGCCGTTGATAGTTGTAGAGACCTGGCTGTCCCCGGCCGAGATTTTCGTGCTGCTTTTGTGATCGCATGACAGTATACACGCAACAGCGGCTGTCACATCGCGAGAGCGAGCTCAATGAAAGCGTCACTTGCGGGTGAAGTACACTAGTTTAACCTATATACAGATAATTGCGAAGACTAGATACTTGCGCAACTCCGCTCAACCGGGGTGGCTGCGGTTACTCTCTGGGTCAGCCGAGAACCCACTGTCCCCGACTGATGGCCCGAGTTTCGTAGGAGTCGCCACCATCAAAGGCTGTTGCACCACCGCCGTGTCGTCCGTCGCTGATCTCGACGGGCCGGACTGTTGCGAGCGCCTCACGTAGGCGTTTGCGTTTGCGGGCTTTTTGGTTGCCGTGTGCTCGTTCGAAGTGAGCCAGTGCATTACGATTGCAGAAAATAGGACTAGAAGACGGACGATCCGTCAGTACCATGAGTCTGGAATCAAGAAGATGAAGAAATGCGACTCACTGTCGCTGTTGCAGCACATCAGGCACAGCCAAGACTCTTCCCCGTTGAGAGCCATTAATACGGTCAAGTTCCTGAGAGCTCAAAGCGTTAGCTATTTGGTCGCAAATAGTGCTTTTGAATCACGTACGTGATGCTGCTGACCAGTGTACAACAAGAGCCGATGAACGTCTTCTTCGCCAGCCTCCTCAATCTGACATTGGCCGGTGTCCTCTGAAACTGCAGGCTTTGCAACATCGTCTCAAATGTGCCTGTTTTCCACACCTCGGACCATTTGATTGTTGGCAAGCCTTGAGTAATCATTAGCAAGGCATCGAACGATAGGAATGGTTTCCTGACTTACTTGTCAGTGGGACGAGAAAGGACAAAGTTAGGTATACCTATGAGTCTGTGTTAATCTTGCGTAAAAGAATTTAGACGTTAACAGAATCGTCGCAGATGGAGTTTACATACGTTGACAAGCGCATCAAAAGAAATCAGTGGTATGATGACGGGCTTTTGTAGGCCAATAACACAATGTCCCTTGTCAAACTCCGCAATATGCCTGGCAATATGTTAATTACTTATCTCCTGGAAGCGTAGAGGTGCTTATCGAAGGATTTGTCTCGTGACTTACAACACAAAGTTCATAATCGTAATAACGACATAGCACCCTTGACCGCAATTAGAATCCATAGTCAGGTTCAGTCACAAAATACGTACCAAGCATGCCAAAAGAGTTGAAAATGTAAAGTTTTGACTTCAGACGGGGCTTTTTTGAGCCACGCACGATATGCTGTACATACATCAGATGACAATTCGTGTAAGTATTCGCGTAGTGTTTGACGTACCGCCCTGTCAACCAGAAACAGGTATATGAACTAGTCGACTGTTAAACGAGTTCTTTGTATGGAATTGCTCAGTATCAGCACTTACGACCTGCTGCGTGGTCAGACTCTGATTGCAGTTGCTTTCGGAACTCAGCCGCACTCACCTTGCTCGTCACGTATGCGAACAAACATAATCCCATTGCCGCCGTGCAAGCTTGCTCGTTGAAATTCGTCCCAATCCCGAACTGCAGCACCGTAGATCCGAAGACGAAGATGAAGCTGAATAAGTATACCGCGAGGACGACTATCGAGGCTTAGAATGGACCGTTCCGAATGGCATGTCCCGCACTGGTATATCGAACCCACCCCACATGGTATACGGCAGCAGCCGCCAGTCTTTCACCGCGAACACTTTGCTTGCTGGACGAGGGGACACACAAGGTCAGCACGACACGGACGGGCGACGAGGAGGCCGGGGCCGAACGGCCGTGTACGAACCTAGAAGGAATGCGATGAGGCAGCCGGAGATAAAGGCGATGGCGATGCTGAGCGTCCGGCCGTAAAGAGGAGGCTCATACCATCCCACCGGGGTCGGGCGCTGACCCGACGCCATGACGCTCAGGGCAGCGACGGGAGAGATCGTTTTGATCTAACTATAGTCGCAGGACGGAAATCAAGAATCGGACTCAAGTAAGAATCGGGGCCCTGGATGATTGCGATCATAAATGACGACCGCACCGTAATGGATGACATGGGAAAAGCAAGGCCATTGTGTGTGTGGGTGAATCCGGGGAGAAATGGGATTTCGGCAGAGTCCGCGATGAACGTCATTGTTGGTGCGGTCAGAGCTGTAATGGAAAGCTTAAGCGTTGCAGTGCATGTGTGATCCCATCTGATCGATCCTTACGGGAACATTGCATCCGCCGGCCATGACTCGCACGGGAAACCCTTTCGGTGGCCGACTTTTCCATCTCCTTGGGATGCTACAGGCAGAGAGGCTCCGGAAGAGCGTGATTCCCTACCCAAATTGCTCGGCGCCGAGGGCGAGCGGGAGGCTCGCCCGTTTCTAGTCGGGCGGCATCCCCATGGAAGAAAAATTTAGCTTCGGCATGTTATGCAATGTGACCTCAGCCGACCGGGTTGACAGCTTCGGAAGGACATACCGAAACGAAATGTCGGGCGCCCCGCGAGAGCACTTAGCCGATCACTCGCATCAGCCGTTGACATGTCCTTGGCGGCTTTGGTCGTCTCAGGATGGATACGTTATTAAGACATGGACCGGTCGAGAACTACTATTTTGTGTCCTCGCTGCTACTTTCGTTGCCTCTTATGGACGAAGGCGACTTGCGCCGTCCAATCACGGCCTCTATATGCTGTCTGCCTGAATATCTCGCCATCTGGCACGTTGCCGGAACACGTCTCGCCAATCTGAAGATTCTTCGATGGGGTGACTGGGGCGCGCCCCTCTTCGATGTCACCTGAAGGCCGATCACACGGCACTTGGGGAATGCGCTTAGTTTCGCCTCAAACCCTTCGCTGCGCTTCGGATGCGCATAGACGGACTCTTTCAGGCAGATTGTAACTTTACAATGGCTCTTTGTAGTCATTGAAAACTCTTCAGAGACTAACTTAATCACAACACGCCCCAGGCACGACATAAGCGACCTCGAGCATGGCCAAGGATGTCTTGGCTCTGTCGACGACAAGCGGCGAAAGTTGCCAATATGCTCGTTTTGAGCATTTCGGGCCGTCTTTCAACATCGGCTGAGCGGGGCCCAGAACGACAGTGCACTACTACAAAGACATTTCGCATTGGCCGGAGTGATAGACCGAGCCTGGACGAACGGACTCCCTCACCGCAGGCAAGCCTGAGCCTCAGCCGGCTGACCGGGTAACGACGTCCGAGTCGGAAGCCTGCGGGAGAACGGCGGCATAACCCAAGTGGGACGAGTGCTAGCCTTGTACCGGAATTATGCGGAGGGGCGGAACGGGTCAGCGGCGTCGAGACACTGCATTATCACGACAGAAAGATGCATTAGTATGGTGCGCGGCCTCTTATTCCAACGCCAAGCCCAAGTCTACTGAGTCTTTCCGTGCAACTGACTACACCGGCCAGGCAACAGCAAGGACCGGCCTCCCAGTTGATGTGGATGGCGATGGGCGCCACCCGCGACCCGCGAGCGGGATGCTGTCGCCCGGCCGTAGCGAAAAGACTTGACGCTCGAGCCTTACGTTTTGAGGTATTTTCTCCCGCGGAAACTAACATTCAATACTCGTTGTGCATGTTGCTGGTCGTGCGTTAGTAGGAGCTGGTGGCTCGCGGCTCCTGAATATGCGAAGACTTGTCGCGTGCCTCACACTAGTACTCAGGGAGGCAATTGTGCGAGCACTGGGCTAGGACCCGGAGCATAACAGAGCACCTCTAGTCCTGGCGCGAGAGCCTCCGAAATGCTATCGGTACTGACTTGAATCACCGGTAACTTGGAGCGAGCGCCTCCCACACCGACAAACATGTATTCGGCTTACGGGAACGGTTCACCTGGAGCCTGGCTCGTACAATTTCGGCAAGCGACCATCTGCCCTCATCAATTGACTGGCATGTCGCTATTTCCTACGAAACAGTTTCAACCCCTGCTTGGCAGTATGTTACTTTTGAAGAGCCTCCTAGCTTGAGATCGCCCTTTCCAGCAGGATTCACAAATATCACCGGATGTTCATGGCACGGCCGTTGCGCTGTCCTTTAATAACCTTTTCCTGTGCCTGTTTTGAGCGTCATTATCTGGTCATCGGTGACGTATTACTGTTACATGTCTCCTCCTCGGCAATCTCCTGCAAAGTATCTGTCGGGAACATAGTCATTACCACCCCGAACTGTGTTGCCACAGGATTATGACAGGCAATGAGCGTTCTAGGATTTTCAAGGGGACACCCTGCCGTGAGCATGGCACCCAGAGGATGAATCAGGGACCCTGAACAAAAAATAGGTCCGGATGCTCGGGACGAGCCGTGATTGAACGACAGGCAACATTACCGTTATTTCGGCCGAGACGGCCGAGAGAGCCTCAAGGTCGTCTGGAACGGAATACTCAGGGATCGAGGTCCCGGTGCTTGACTCATGCATCCCTAATTCAGCTCGCGGGGAGCTCGAGGGGGGTTTTCACCGGTTGGGTGGCTAGTGGTACTACAAACATTTCCATCTTGCCAGAGACTTCAGGCCAGATGTCTAGGTGGAGAGTGGCTTAGAATTTCTGCCCCATTATCAGGTTGCAAAAGCCGCGATGTACATTGCGTGAAGCTCGCAGCGGAACTGGCTTTAAAGGTCAGGTGGAGGCATAGAAGGAAGACCTATCATCCACCTGTCTACGTCCCGCCGGGAGTGGGGGGGGGGGGCATCAAGTACGGCAATGAAGTATTGCTTCTGTGCTCGTTGCTGTTGGACGAAAAACAAAATACATGTTGAAAACCGCCATGACCGTAGCTTTGAGATGTTCTTGACCCGCGTTGCCCAATATGAACTGAAATTGACTGTCTGTCTTTGTGACGGCACACCCACTTGACGGCAAAACTGGGAAATGCTCTGGTCTGTTAAAGCTGGAATTGATGGCGCCTTGTTGCATTTCCCATCTCATGGTGGTGGATGTGGCCATAACCGTGACACGTCGGGCCCTGGGGCCAAAAATGGCAACGGGAAGCGCGTAAGTATCTTGTCGTTCAATTTGCTACAGTTTCCACAGGCAGTCAATGTCTGACCTATCTGCAACATGCTCGATGACCTTGCACGCGGTCTGCTTCGCAATCATTCGGCATGGCTGATTCCAAAGTCTGGAGACTCCATGGCCGTGGCTCAGCTTGACCGTTCCGCACTTATATCCAACAGCCTAATGATAGCACTAAGGGGTTGGTTTCTCGTGATACCAGCTAACAGGGGTTCAGCCTGCCAACGACGACGAGGGCGAAGAGGAGCAGGGTCAGATTGTGGGTGTTCATCTGGTTGATATTTCTATATGAGACTTTCCAATGCGAGGCATTCCAATGGGAGATTTTGACATAGAAAATTATACTGTACGAGGTTATTCTATGGCAGTACAACATATGTAAGGTTATATCCCTCAGGAGAGTATGCGAGGGCTTTATTTTATATACAACGCCAGCTATCGGCCGATGCAGCGTCTCCATGACCTTGATACACATTCCGCCGTGGGTATTTGCAGTGTCTTCTCTGCGCAAGAACTTGACCAGAATTCTTGGATCCGCCCGCGTACTTGGTCCCGAGAATCGACTCGGGAGCCTCCCCGTTCTCGACCCAATCGACAATAGCGGCAAGAACATTGCTCGCCGGATCAAAAGTCGAAAACGTTTCCTCGTTGGCACCGATGAAGCTCGCTCCGTTTCCATCTCGACAATGGCCCATTCCGGAGATTCTAAAGTATCTGTAAAATTCATCCAATTCATCGGATGACAATCCCATAGTCTGCGACACGTGATTGTAATAACGAGCCGAGTTTTCGCTGCTTATCGCGTTGTCCTCAAGGCCGTGGAAGTGGAGAATCTTGACTCCTGCGTCGCGAGCACGGGACAAATCACCTTTCCAAGTGGCCGCGTTTCCGGGGTTCTTCTTTGATGCCGCTTCCCAATCTCTGGAGGAAAGTGTCGCGATGTCCCATCCGGGGTCATTGTATATAGCGTATCGAAGCCAATCGTTGGGATAATCGTGAGGCTTTCCAGTAAAGAAACGTTGAGTAGAATTGGCGCCAGGTTGAAGACGAGGGTAGACAAGAGTTCCACCAACGTGTACGGGCTCAAACACCGCCCGAACAATTTGAGCCTGGGCCCCGGTCAGACAGTTTCCTGCTTTATCGCCACAGATCAGTGCCTCGGGACGATAGTTGCACAGGTCTGGATCCTCGATAACCCCATCAGTGAATCCATCAAGGCCATCGCACTGCTTGAGCACATCCTCAACGACGAGATCCCACTGAGCCGCCGAGATGAAGTTGGGAGAGTCAGGACCTCCTGTCTTGAGAAAAAATTGACCAGTCCAGTACATGAGAGCATTCAAGTCTAGAGCTGGTGCGCCGGCTACTATCCCATCAAAGTCTTCGGGGAAATCTTGCGCCTCCTTGAATCCCTGTCGGCCGCCAGTGGAGCATCCTAGATAGTAGCTCTTGTGCGGCTTGGCCTCGTAAAAGTGCTCAGTTATTGCCTTTCCAAGAATAGATTCGGTGTGGATAGCGCGAGAAACGTAGTCTTCGACCACTCCGGAATTATTGAGGAAAGGCAAGCCAGAAGTCCCGTCGTGGCCGTTGTTGCTCCCGATGGTAGCAAAGCCATGCGAGGCACCGTAGTTGATGTCGTTGTATTTGATACAGCCACTCATGCCTCCATTGCCTACGCCAAGGAAACGGCCATTCCAGTTGATTGGCAGCCAAATTTGGAATCTGATCTGACTTTGAGGTCCAGTGGTTGCAGTTAGGGAAACTTGGCAAACATTGGTGCTGACGACTTGAGACTGGGGGCTGCAAGTCGGATGGTCGATGGGGAAAGTAAGGTTGGTGCCGGCCGAGACATATCTGCTTTCGTGAATTGTGGCATTTGGCAAATTTAACTGTCGGGCAAGGCCACCACAATCTATTTCTGAAGAAGAATTCTGTCTCCCTGCAAGAAGCAGAGGCCGGAGTAGGTTTGTTTTCATCGCGATAAGACGAATGAACAGATCATATAGATGACTTCAACAGATGCACAGGAAAGGTCCTGGAGGACCAGACTTATTAACCGCGCTGGGAAGGGAGGGTATTGTTCCATTTAGCCAACTTCATTGCTGTGAATGCGACTATAGCTCAAGCCGTTAAAATACAAACTATTACACAAGAATGGGTCATTAACCACGGCTAGCGTAGCATTTAAACCAATGACTCGTGCGATATTAGTTGATCCTAATTCCAAAATTGTCAGCGGTCCTCATTACATTAGGTCAAGATCAACTCGGACATAATTTCTAGCACCCGAGAATATTATCCGCGTCGGAAAAGCAGTGCAGCTTTTCCGTTCCGAATAAGCAACAAAATGAAGCACAGCGAAGAAATAATAGCGCCCGTCTTAACATATGCGTTTGGACAACTAAGAAGTTCGAAGCCATGACTGAGAACGTCACTCTGTCAGTAGGATTATGTCAGGGATCTTCATCACAAGGAAAGGATCTACTCGGAAAAGAACCATGGCACTTATCCGTCTCGGAAAACAATGCAAGCGTTTCCAACGCTTATCCGCGTCGCGGAAGCTGCTCACATTATAAAAAGGGGGGGGGGGGGGAGTTTGGTTGAAGAAAGAGAGGGGAGGAGGAAGTCAAGTTCAGTTGTACTTTACTCTATGAATATACTGCTTGAGCGCTACTCCTGCGCTGCTTACTCGCTTCGTATCACTAGTCACTCTGCTTGTATTCCACCACCCTTACAGATTATAATATCCTAGGAGATTGGGTACACTAGGGTAATTTACATGAGACAATGTATCCAGCTACGCGAGGGCTTTGGCAGTACGCCTCCACATGTGATGACTCCAAGGGGTGGGAGCACCACCCCATCAGGTCTTACATGTCGCCCTCTTCTAGGCCCTGAATGTAACACGGACTCTACTTATTTCCCTTCTTTTCGCCTCGGCTGTCCTCCTCGAAACCACTGCACACACCACTCAGATTCTCCAGTGTACCCGCGTCGCTAGCTGTATCCGGTTCGATGAGTGTGGTCCTGCCATTGATGTGGCAACATCAAGAGGCTCCAGTTCTTCCTTGGCCCTCGCTATGTCCACGCTGGCGAGTGTATACAAGGCCTTATAAGACACTCCCCTTCCTAACCACAGTGTGCCTTTCAGTATGCTCTGACCCATGGCCTTAGGTGTGCCCACTCTGAGCATGCGCCCTACCTCCAGTGATGCCTGATGTCATAAAATTGTAAGCTTGACAAACAGTGACTCTATCAGAATTGAATTTCTAATTTGAACCATCCAAGCGGGTTTAGCTCAGTTGGGAGAGCGTCAGACTGTCAGTTCAATCAGGCTTCAGCTCGTTCCGCAATAAGTAACTAACCAAAAGTAGGAAGAAAACTTCAGCATGAAATCTGAAGGTCGTGTGTTCAATCCACACAAGCCGCATTTTTTGCTTTGATCCTTTTTTCTGCCTTTTCTAAGATGCAGTACACATTTAATTATACCTCTTACCACTGTTGGTTTTTTTTTTAACAAAAGAGTTTTGCGCTATATAGTCTAAGTAAAGCCCATCTCACTCTTTGCATTTGAGAGAGTGTGTGTGCAAACAGCTATATTTACTGCTTGCACATTCATTGCATGGGGCTGCATTGCTTAATCAGAACTGGTTGTGCATCCTGTAAAAGAAATTGTATGATTTTCTGATCTTGAAAAAAAAAAAAAAAAAAAAAATGCTTGAGTGTGCTGGGGGGGTTTTTGGCATCCACTACGCCAGCAGTGGGTGTACTCAAGCGAGCGATCCCAGGGATATTCCTGGCTGGCGCAAATCTCCTTTGGGTAATCTGGAACTTGGCAAACTGTAGAGGGGTGGATCTGCCAGATACAATTCTCGAGAGCCTTGTTGATATGAGTTAATTTTGCCACGAAAGACATCTATATAGACATACTGGATGGATGTCATAAGGTTGTTGAACACAGATCTGACACCACAAGTCATTTTAAGCGTCTACCTCCTTGGACACCAGACCCATTAAGGTAGGAGCAGAGATAAAGTTCAGTGAAGCTGTCGTCGCATTTCTTCTTTGGAATGGTCGAGTTGGATCCGGGCTCAAGCCACACAGCTCCTGGGTACTTGTGTGATCACATGTCACCAAGGTCATAGAACGGCCTCATCTTCTGGAACCAGCATTGGCTCTACTCCATCGGAGGATATTCATACCCGCTATGGTCGTGTCTCTTGTGTCAAAGGGATTCACCCTAGGACGCGTGTTAACAGCCAGCTGTTTCGCGGCATGCACGAAGATGAAAATACCATATATCAGGTCATGTAGACTGCATTTGAATACGGACTTTACTCAGGTCTCCGCCGCCACCTCGTACACTCTTTCTTTCGAGTGACACTCGCTGATTTCGCGGTGCCGTCTTCCCACACCACACAGTGACTCCTTTTATCAACCACTCTGTCGTTAATCCGGTAACATCCCTCCATTCCCATCCTCATACAATGTAGAGTATGCGCGTAATCTTTCACTAGAAAGAACATTTAACAGTGCCTCTAATGATGCAATCTCAGCAATCTTCTCTTGACCAAGTTCCTACCACCATGCAAGAGCCTGTGCCCTGTAAGAGAACCTGTAACCCCAACATTCCGACGAATCTGGCGGCAAGATCTATGCACCGTCTTCTTATTGCTGTGACGGATGCAGTGCAGGACTGAAAATGGATGTGAGACAATTCGTATCGCATGGTGTCGTAGACACTGTTGATCAGAGCCTTCAGTGACAGCGCATACATTAGATTGCTCTGAGCAACCTCTTCATTCATCATACCCATCCAAGATATACCGCAAAGAAAACGACATTAGAGAAGGCTCTGTAAAGGTGAACTTTCTGGGCTAGCCATTCTCTTTAACAAATGCAACACATCCATCTATTATCAAGTCTACTGCACCCAGTAGACTTATGCCATTGTCCATGGTGGAAAGTTGAGGTTTGGTATTTCAAGATTACCCGACGGGTGCTGTCACTTACACAGAAGTGAAATCTTAAACGAGTTCATTCTCAAAACATCACATGCCCACCCTTTTACTCCTACTTGACATCACAGCGAGACCTCAAAGGCAATTTCGCTTCAGATGGAGCGTTGCTCGAGTACCCAAGAGACATGAGTGTTGCGGCCACGTGCCTGCTGCAAGTCACACAGGCAAGTACACACTGCATTGCTATATTTGACGTACCTAAAGTTCTCCACCCAGTCGCATAACCGCAACGCAGCATTCTGTATTGTCTTCAAGGAGCTGGCTTGTCCCTTATATTTGAGTCTGCCTTAGACAGCACCCTGTGCCTCGCATCATTCATGCTCCTGCCCACTTCAGCAAACTTACATAATGGCAACTTGTTTAGACTCCAAATCATACAGACAATGACATATATATTATAAAGGCGACATATATGTTGATAAATGACCCATCCAAAGGCTTCCCAAGGGCCTTTCTTCTGTATACTTGAAATAGGTTCTTGGTAGAATTATTGATATAACTTCTCATGCACTGGTTATTACAGGTAAACCTAATATTTCAACCTTTAGTCCACGGAGGTGAGGGATCTGCTGTCTTCCGTGAAGAGATATCATAGCTTGCGAGGAGGGACATCACATCTTGCAAAAAAGCAGCCTGATCTAAACTGGTGTAGAATCCACAAATACGTGAGCAGCTTACCACCATTAACAAAATCCCTAAACCAGCCAGTCGAAACCTTGCTTTACCTCCACAACCCCCCCCCCCTTGGGGGCCACCATGATAGTCTTTAATATCATGTAGAAGGGCACATAGGCTATAGTAATATGCTCTTTACATGCACTAGTGGCATGCAAGCCTGCGAGGCTTATTGGTAAAAGAGTGACCTGAATCACTATCTAAGGAAATGGTGCTAGTAAAAGAAAAAGCCAGGTACAGCATTGCGAGACTCCGCCGTCTTCAAACTTAAGCAGTGTGTTGCTGCTAATCTCAAATCCCCATCGTGTAGGTTTGCCTGTGTACCTGAACTAATCGTGCATTCAGATGATAGTAACCCAACGCTGTACAGCCAGTCCATTATATCTTCTCATTATAAGGGCGCCTGCTTTCATCTAAATCCGGTTAACATCGGGCAACTACATCTACAAGACATAGGTAAACCATTATAAAGACGTGGGATCAGGTGCAACAAGCCCGTGGTGACTGTCACCAAATCGGCCTGACATGATTTTGGACCGAAAATCAAGTTTAGTGGCTGTCACTATGTTTTTCAAGAAGCCGCACCGCTGTGCGTCTTGTGTAGCTATGGTGAGCTGGGCATTCAGGCAATCGGCGGCCGTATTTTGGCTGCCAAAGAAGGGAAGAAAATTGTAGGCAAAGTGGGTTGGGATCTAGGGCATGCATACATAGCGGAGCGGTCTATGGCTGGGTGTGCAAATGTATGCCTTCACACATATTGTAGTACTTAGCTTAATTAACCATACAAACAGGGTAACTTTATTTACATACCCAGGTGTAATGAGTGCCACTATCCATGTACAGCGTTCAAATTTTTTTCAAGGGTTGGAAATCTCTTTCTCTGGCATTAAGTCAAGTCTGGTTACAATACAGTGGTATGCGATGTTCATTTGTGACTGAGGTGCAAGAAAAAGATCGCTGGGTTAGCCGGAGGAGGCACATCCTAATATCATCGTCCTCTCATGCTCATGCAGTGACGTTCATGCACACTTTCGATCTATTCTTTGTCTCCTATTCTCATTCTCATGACCAATTTAGCTCCATTTCACTCATTGAGATCAGTCCCCAACAGGTAGTTGTACTTCCGCATCTATGCAGGGTGCACAAAATGTAGGTAACCCACGAAAGAAGCATGATCAAGAAGTGATTCGGCGTGTATTGTACTGTCTCCAATATGGGATGTATAAAAGAAAGAAAAAACATCAATCAGCGGGGATACCTCAGTTGGAGAGCGTCAGACTGAAGTTAACTTCATCTACAAAATCTATCTGAAGCTCCGCGATTCTCTCGTATCACCGCACTTTTTGCTTTTTGCTTCAGCACACACTGTATCCTTTTCCAATATTCAGTCAATATTTTTCTCTTTATGCTTTCGTCTAATTTCTTTACTCACATCACTTTTTATGATCTCGTGTTACCGTAATCCTTTTTAATTTTGACAGACAAGTTTTTCTTACGCATTGCATTAACACCTAGTTCATGTGGGCGGAAGGTTATGAACATATAATTCGTCTTTAGCACCTCCCAAAATGCTTCAAGCCAACTGCACTCATTGCTGGCCTTTAAGACATCTGCTTGTTGCTCTCAAGAAATTAATTTAAAGGTCTCCGAGGAACATCGACTAAGTCTTGTGCGGATTTGCCTTGAAGAAGGTCAACAAATGTGTTGACTCGGAAGAGAAAGTCAAGCCCTTTTGCTCTCGCAAGAGCCTTTGGCGCTGTAGCCCAGCTCCATTCGGGTGATGGACCCTTGCCATCATGGTTGTCAGTTGCCAGAATGCCAGGCTGTCACGGTCCTTGCATTTTCCGTCTTCGTCGTTATCGTGGACAACACCGCGATCCGCGCGGTGGTTTGCGGCTCGGAAGAAAGTCGCCCGCAGCTTGGATTTATCAGGATGATATTTATCAGCGGGGATAGGATTACGGACTCGGTATTCCTCTGGATGGCTTTGAAGCCCACTTTTGCCGTCAAACAACGCCGAGGTAGACCTTCAACGCTTCCCATTCGTGTTTAATAGCTGTGACCATAGAATGTAAGGAGTTATCTCTCCAATGGTGGTCACTTTCCTGGGGGATTCCTCATTGCCGTGTTTCTCATTGGTATCTGGCACGTCGCGAAAAGGAACGATCTGATATGGCCTCAGGCTCGCACCAGATTTGTTGTCTTGGACGCTTGTGTTCGGATCGAAGTGCTCGGTGCGAAACACCTCGGGCGGGTTGAATCGGCTGTTGGCGGCGAATACGGCCACTCTGGCACCTCGTCTCCCTCGGCACACTGGAAGTCGGTCATGCTTTCGCGAAATTCGTGCGGGTAACCCACGCTACAACATGAATGAGCAAGATAAATAGATGTGCAGATAAGGAATTCCTACTTGGTCTCAATTCAGGGGTTGAAATCTGTGTTGAGGCGCAACTCTTCTTGCGACTGCAGCAGTGCTTGGATGGTTTATTTTGCAGGCGTCTATGTTAGTCTTGCCCCTGTTGGCATGGTCCATCTTAGCGTGGGCGTCACTTCGTGGCCTCCGTCATGCAGCTAGGACTGAGCCAGTACAAGTTTTTCGAACTCAGAGTGCATTGTCCTTGATATTGATATACACAGCGCAATACGACAAGCGGGTTTAGCTCAGTTGGGAGAGCGTCAGACTGTGAGTACCACTAATCCACTGTCAAGTCCCTTGCCATCAGACATCTAACAACCAGTAGGAAGAAAACTTCAGCAAGGAATCTGAAGGTCGTGTGTTCAATCCACACAAGCCGCATTTTTTGCTTTTGGCCATTTTTCTCTTGTCTTTTCTAAGATGCAGTACACATTCATTTATACCTACCCCCGCTGTGAATATGTCACCAGAACATTGCTTTATATGATCCTAGTTGAGCTCGTCCCACTCCCTGCCAAGTGCTAGTGATGTTTAATTGCGTGAGTAACGTCGCAACATTGACTGGTCCCAGAGTGGTACTTTGGATCTCCTTCACTTCTTGCAAAGTCTCTTCCCCACCATCAAGCTCGCCCAACGAGCTTCTTGTTGCCGCTAGGTTGCTCATCGTTGTCAGGGTGGCTTGATGATTCTGTGGAAAGTGAGGTCGCCGTTGTTCCAGCACCTTCTCAAACAGTACTTTTGCTTCAAGATGTCGTCCCGTTCTCCATGCAATTGCTGCAAGATTGTTATTGCAAGTCAGGACTTGTGGGTTGCCTACCGGTGTCGACATGTCCCGGAGTTCGAGTTGGGCCTTCTGTGCCTCCAAAGTCTGTCTTGCGTTCTCAAAATCACCCTGAACAAAGAATGCTTCGCCTAGATGGCCGAGGAGGCAGATACTCCTCTGCGAACCTGAACCATGGATCCTCGTGCTTGTTTGAAGCAAATCAGACAACATCTTTTCAGCTTCCTTCATCTTGCCTTGGACACTGAAACAAGCGGACAAAATCTCTTGAGCGGATAAAAGGGCTTGGTCTTCAGGACTCCACATCCCCTTGCTCAATTCAAGGATCCTGTGGCAGGTTTTGACAGCTCCGTCCAAGTTGTGCTGATGAAGGTAGCATTCTGCTAAATGGCACATGGCTGCCAGCGTCGAAAGACTTTGTAGACCTCGGACTTCTTCAAACGGCTTAACGGCCTTCTGCAAGTAATCTTGGGCCATTGCGTATTAAGTCATTTCTGTGTAAGTAATTCCGAGGCCGTGCAGGATGAAAACCATGTGGCTGGTCTCCTTGCGCCGTTCTCCCGGCTGATCTCCTCCAAATTCATGGAGGAGATCTAGAAGAGGGGTTTCGGCTTGATTCCAACGACCCTGATTAGTATAGACTGTGGCCAAGTTCCTCTTTTCGATGCTGATTTCATCCGCTTGGTCGGAAGATTTGTGGTCCATTATCCAAATCCAGATGTCTTCGGCCTTTGACCACTGTCGTTGATAGAAATATATCTCTGCTAAAACTGCCCGGAGTGTGCCAAGAATGGGGAATGCGTCGGGAATGGCACTTTGAAGATCTCCTATTTCCCTTCGGATTGTCTTTACTGCTTCCTCAAGATTGTTATTCTCGACATAATATTCAAACGTGTGCATTGGGGAGTTGAGTTGAGCGTCATATGAGGTCTGATATATTGTCCCACTGATCGAATTATTTGATCTCTTCGCAATTGTCTCCAGAGTCTCGGCCAGAGATTCTTGAGATTTGCCAGGCTTTTCAAGCAGCAGTGCGACCTGTTCTGGTGCCTTGGTGGTCCCGAATCCAATTTGGTGACAGATTGCTAGCTGAAAGAGGTCGTTCTTCAACTTGGTGGAGTCGAGTTCGTTCTCACCCAGACTCTCTATCAATATCCTTTCACGAAGGCATTCTGTCAAGCTTTGGCGTACTCTGTAGCCTGAACTGTATAGGTTTCCAGCTATAGGTAAAATCTGCCCATGTTAGTACATCTTGCTGCCTTTGATCTAGATTGTGCGCTTACCTCGAATGAGAGATTTGTTATTAAGTCAGCGCTCTGAATTTCAGGTGGAAGTTCAGATCGCCTGGTTGATATAGAGATTAGTACTTCAGATACTTTTGAATTGGGATGTCCCACAGATACACACATTGATACACCAGATATTTCCATCAGCTCGAAGACACCACTCGGTCTTCCATCTGGATCAGTGACTAAGAATTGTCGAGAACCTGCTTCAGACGCTCTTGGTCTTGACAATCCGGCGATGGTTCTTGCGAGGGCAGTGCCTCCAAGAGCACATGTGATATCTGAACCAGATGTCCACTTTCCTTAATCGCATCGAGAATGTCCATATCTGATTGCAGGCTATTCTCAAGCTTGTCAGAACTCGGGGACTGCCACAGCATACAAGATGGCAGCTCCCTGATACCAGATAGCATCTCCTCAAACGCCAACCTGAAGCAAAGCAGCCCGTAAAAATAAACATCCATCCTCCGACACTCATCAGGGTAGAACTCGTAAGATCCTTCATTTCCTCTGTGACACTCATATTCCGGCGCTGTCCAAGGTCAGGATGACGGCAAGGGAATGGTTTCGTCTTCTGCTGCATACCATGTTGAAAAGCTGAAGCCAGCCACCTTTGCCCTGTATATTCCCATGGAATCCTGAAAAATGAGCACATTATGGGGTTTGATATCTCCGTGGACGGTGTCTGCCAGTTGAACCAGCTTAGGGTTTGCGACATCGTGGATTTCATTTCCCACGGTTGAAGTGGATATTCACGATACGCTCACTAATGTCCCAGCGAATTCGCTATCACTCTTTCAAATTCAAAGCTCGGCCAATGCTGGTCTTGGAGAAGCCATACAAGTCTCCAAATCGAGCCTCTCAAAACTTAAGACTGGCCAGGTCTCAGGCACCTTCGAGGAAACACTGTCGTGTAGAATTTATCCGGTTTGAAAATTGGGCTTGAGACCACATCCCAGCAGATTCCCTGAAATTTGATCATGCTCTTGTTTCCCCAAATACTCGGGTGACGCAAGACAGTCAGCTCTTCGATGAGCTCCATATGTACGATTTCTGGCTTGTTTCGGTGGTCAAGGGCAACTCGCTTGAACACTAGAATCGTGTTCAAGGTGACAGATGACTGGATGATTTGACCAAAATGACCTGACCGAGGTATGTTCTCTCCGCTTGCCACGTAATCGGCAGAAATGGAACCATCAGCTTGACTGCTACTGCAAGAAACGTAACAGGATTGCAAGGCCCAGGTGCAACGTCATCATCACCCAAGGACAACATTCCTCGACTTGACCACAGCGGCCGTGGCTTATCGAATGTCGAAGATGACATTGCGATGCTGGTAGAGCCTCAAGCTTTCGGCCCACAAAGAACAAATGAGCTTGTCGGACACGCCGCAGATCTTGATATCTCCGTCCATCAAGACGAACTTTGGACCAAGTTATTCGTAGAAGTAGTGCGAAGAGGGCGAAGTGAATAAAATTGTTCAACCGTTTCCTCCCAAGTGTTAGCCACAAGCCGGAGCCATGTATATTGAAATCGAATCAAGTTCCCAAGTCTCTTCCTCCTTCTCCCCCAGCTTCGTCTTCACCCCCTCAGAATACTAAATCCAAATCTAGCCCCCTCGTAGAGCAATGCTATCGGGATCATGTGGTCTACCTTTGTAACTTGCCGAATTCATCCCCCACGACGCCTGCATGCGACATTTTCCTTTCAGTATTCAGTCCCAATGAAGAAATATCATCGTTTGTTGGTCAAATTTTGTGGCAGTACCGGAAGTTTCTGGACGAGAATAAATACGTCGCTGCCTTTCACGATCGACCACGCAGAGAACAGGATGAACGCCAACTCCAAGCTCCCGACACAACACAACCAGCTTTTCTTCATATCCACTTCGATTTGCTGCTTACCTCAAATTACCCTTTGACTAGGGTCATAAAGCACAATGACTTATTCTGTCCTCATATTCACCTACCACGAGCCCGGCTCAACACCGGAACAGTTCCGCGCGCATGACAGGTAGACAAGACCTAGGTGGGTAATCCAAGCATAGGAGGTTATCCCATAAGAGCTTGTCCTATCAAAGATTATTACGTAGGAGGTTATTACGTAGGAGGTTATCCCAGAGGAGGTTATCCCAGAGGAGGTTATTCTATGTGAAGTTTAAGGTTATCCCATATGAGGTTGTGTCACGGGAGCTTGGAGGTCATCCTTTGGGACAACATCGTATGGGATGTGATCTCACTGGCAATATCGGGGGATGGCGAGTGTCGATCGTGTTTTATGCTGGCCAGGAGAACTACGAACGGTCGTCAAACCAGAGCAGAACATCGCTGCAACGGCTCTGTGAAGGAGAACTTTACGAGAACCAGGTAGTGATTCCTCTGGATAAGATGCCGCGTGCGTGCAACTCCCCTATACGACAATTATGTTTCAGCACCGCCTCCCAGGGCAACCTGTCATCTAGTTGCTTTACACGTAGGAACTCAAGTAATACCTTGTGTGGGGTTGCTGATCACTTTACTGATCTAGAGTCTCGAGTTAATGTTCGCAAATGCAAAGACTCAGGATGTCCCAGCACCTCTACAAGCCATGCTCTCTATATCAACCAGTTCCTCGGGAAACGTTGGTATCCCTCTTCTCAGACACATTTCAACCAAGCCCCACTCGGCCGCTAACGCACGGACCATCCGCCCCCACACCTCCGATGCAGCTCCGCTACCGAGTCAAATCTGGCTCCATAGCCACCACCAAAGCAGAGGTTTCAGCAACAAAAACTGGTCTGGTGGTCTAGTGGTATGATTCGCGCTTAGGGAACACCCTGAAGCTTCAATGCGCGAGGTCCCGGGTTCAATCCCCGGCCAGACCCTTTTGCTGGCTTTGTTTTGATGTTTTGATGCTCTCAGGATATCCAGAAAGGCTGGCACTTGATTCTGGGGGTATCTTGTTTTGGTGTATGTTTTGAAGGGTATTTGGCATGCCTGGCTGTTGAGAGAGAGTGCCAAGGACGCAGTGGATGACTTGGAGGAGTGTGGACACTTAGCTACTCATGTGTGGCTGGCTGTGTTAACTCCGGGTTGTATCCGGGCCAGGTCTGACTTTTGGTCTTTGGCTCCACTACCAAGACATCTGCCAGGCTACCTGTGCTACCAAAGCAGATGAACCTGTTAAACCACCTGGAAATTCATCTGCACAGTCAGGCTGAAGTCGTTCATAACACATCTTGGACAACTGAGTGCACAGGGTCCATGTGATAATATAAATTGTCACTGCCTTCTATATGTCCACTTTCAAGGATGACTACGTAATCACAGCCCTTTACTCTGTCCATCTGCAGGCAGAATCAAGTTGAACTGAGCTTATGTTTCCATCCATGCCACCCTACAAGTTCAAAAACATATAAATTTTCAAATTCTGAGTCACACATCATCATTTGAGGCATGCTCACATCAACACACATGATAATGAGCCCGTTGAGGAGCAGCATCATGCAGCATTCATACCATTTCCTTGGCGGGCACTTGGCACCTAGGACATGAGGTTGAAGTTCAAGCAAGAGAAGCTGAGAAACTAGATCCTGGACAGTCACACATGAGAGTTGCCCGTATTGTGGGCTGCACCAAGATGCCGGTTCAACATATGGCCAAATTCTTGGTAGAAGATTGGTACCTGAATGAGTTCCACAATGCCAAGTCAAAATCAAACCCGCCTTGCCTTGTTCATGACTTCAAGATCACAAACCCAACCTGGTGGCCCATGGTATTGGCTTGGGTTGATCCCCCACCTTGAGCTGCCATTCTCAAATAGTATCTCTATTTACGGAGTACCACGGAATGGGAGCATTTATCGGTATTCAAAAAGAAAGCCAGTGGTTCTAACGGGATTATCGCGACGATTTGTACGTTTCTCGTACATTCCGCAGTAATGGGGATCTTGCATGGATTGGTATCTCTGTGTGAATTGCATAGACCTGCCAGGATACAAACGGTCCCTTGCATCCCCCCATCGGGACTCTACAGGCCATTATCACCAAATTGGTTTCTTCAGACATTGACTGGCAACGGTTTGCCGCACGACGACGCCTTGTTGGCTTCACGCATGCTGCCCAAGACGGGCGAGCGAAACCATGACGGCCGTGTCCCCGTCCGCAGAGCAGTAAAGTACTCTATACAAAACTTTCGAACGTCCTATCAGCCTTTCTGGATATCCTCAGAGCATCAAAGCATCAAAACAAAGCCAGCAAAAGGGTCTGGCCGGGGATTGAAGCCACAGCCGATGATGCTGCAAGAGTTTCACCCTCCCGGATGACTAGATCAGTTTCGGTCCAGGTCACATTGCTACGAGTATAGGTGTAGTCATTGCCGATGAATCGGGGTTGGCAGTCATCAGACAAGCCCTATTAGTGAGGTCGGGTGCCTATCACCTGCATCTCGGCTGATGTGGAAACCCTCGATATTATGAAGGATTTGATCTACATGTTGCACAAGGAAACCGATAAAGGAATTGATATCCTGCAAGTGATCCAGAAGCAGTACAGTTTCTAAGCACGGGCAGAATGACATGTAACACGTAGACTTAAGCGCTGCACGTCTGCCTGAGCACAACCCTCGGGTGGGCTGCTATTAGTCATTGGTAATTAAAATGTTTGCAGTGTACAATTGTCAGTGACAGGCCGGATGGCCACATTGTGTGGACGGATGATGCCCAGGTGCAGGTGCCCCATCCACGGCATCTCGGCAGCTCCCACCTGCGTCTCTTGGGGCGCAGATGACCCCCCCCCTTTCTGACTACGCTGATCAGCGTTAGTGTGGATCGTTTTCTCGGGTCAGATGTGCCTCAGCGGGCTCAGCTCCTGCGCGCCGGCTCCCGGGCAGGTGGTAGGCAAACACGCCCCGACTTTTTTACTGCTGATGGATTGGCGCCCGGTGGCTTCATGACCCTCCCTCCTGGGGGCGCAGTCCCGGGGCATGTCAGATTGGAGCCTGCAGCCTTTGTGGCTCCAGGGCTCGTGAGGTAAGAGGATGAGTCTGATCGCATTCCTCCAGGCTCCATATCTCTACCTGTCAGACTTGGCCGTTCATTTATCTTGTTTTTTTTTTTTTTTTTTTTTTTTTTTTTGGGTTTTCTGTCTGGTCGCGATCGTCGTTGTTGACAGATGAAATGTTGAAGTCGTACCCACAGCCGTGATTTTTTCCTAAGCGCGCTTAGCAGCATTTGAGAATGGACCGTCGGCCCCTCGTCTCGCAGGGCCAATCCGAGACGTCTGCATCTGCGTCTGTACCTGCAGATGTGGCAGACGCGCTCGACGACTCAAGACTCGAGGACGAACTGAGGGACTCGCCAGAGCGCATTCAATCTGATCCCCTACCGTCCAGACCCGAGTTCCCGGAGGCACAGCAGTCGAGTGCGCAGTCGCACGACACGCCTCAGTCCACCACTGGGCCGAGCTCAGTCAAGGGCAATCTGGCTGCAGTCCGCGTCAGCGAGCATGAGGCGTCGAACCGGACGAGCATGTCCCACTGGGACCCCGAGCCGGGATTCGCCCACGTCGATGGAGAGGTCGGCGGCGTGGGCTACAACGAGACCAAGGCCGACATCATCACCGTGCCCTGTCCCGGGGCGGACCCTGTCGAGACCTGGACCCGAGATCCCCTTCCGGACAACTTCTTCGGCAACGCTGACCAGGACGACCTGACCTCGCATCCCGCGATCAAGGAGCTGGCTGGCGATGCCATCCTGACGCCTGGCATCGGCGGCAACTTCCCCAAGGCAGCCCACCTTTGGGTCAGACAGGGCATCCGTCGCTACGCGAACACGGCGAGGGCCATGCTCTACAGGCATCGTGAGCTGACTGACCACACCACGCTCGAGGGACTTGCAAGGGATCTGTTGGAGAACGTGTTCCAACGGCGCGAAGGACAGCATGCGTCTCGCCCTCTCTTCTTCATCGCCCACAGCATCGGTGGCCTGGTGGTCAAGAAGGCCCTGCTCATGGCAAGCAAGAGCGAAAAGTATCGCCCGCTTCTGTTCAACTGCCACGGTATCACCTTCTTTGGTAAGAGACACCGTATACATATTACTTTACTCGGAGCTAACATCGCCAGCAACACCACACCGCGGCTCCAGTTACATGTCTATGCGCAATTTGAGCGAAAGCATCCAGTTGCTTCTGCACCTGCAGCGGCCACTCCCCACATCCCTGGTAAACGAGATCCGAGTGAGCAACAAGAGCCTCATCACGATGCACGACGACTTCACAAACATCGTCAGCGAGATGAGGGTCTGGACTTTTTACGAGACCATAGACTCCCAGCTCTCAGGCTCCGGCCTGGACTACGCGGACGAGGTCCAGTTCTCTGCGCCTCTCGTCTCCATCAAATCCGCCATCGTCGACGTGAGACAGGAGACGATCTACTCTGCCCTGGAGAGCGACCACGCCCACTGCGCATCATTCGGCGTCACCAACCCTCGGACGCTGGCCACCTACCTGCAGGACCTGGCCGCTGCCGTCGCCAAAGCTGAGGGCCTCAGCCAGACCATCCACACGCCCCTGAAGCTCAAGGAGCATGTCAAGGTCGAGCTCATCGGATTTTATGAGGATCCGGATGCCGGTCTCGAGTCTGACATTCGCCTGTACATCGCCAAGTATCACCTCGCGGATTTCCTACAGAAAGGGCCCGAAATGTGCTTGGAGGAGCGCCTGAAGCGTGTCTCGCGGCGGCACGGCGCTCAGACTGCAGCTGATGGACCCAACAGCGGTCACCATGGTGGCGGCTTGAACATCTTGACAGGCGTGCAGAATTTCTGGAAGTCTAATGTTTCTGGGACTCAGCAACAGCGGCGGCCAGACTCCCCCGACATTGTCGTCACACTCCCATCAGCAAGGCCTGATACGGGCGAGGGAAACTCCTCACCTCCTCCAGTCGGCAGGCGTCCACACAGTCTAACACTCCCAACCTTGTCCACACCAGGATTCCAGCGTCCTGGTAGCCGAGGTAGCGGTGTGACGGCAAGTACCATGTCGGATCCGACTGACCTGGAGCTATCTCCCAGGGATGATGATTCAGATACGCATGAAGGAAATGACGCCCCTGAGACTCGTGCAAGGGCAGCATCGGACCACACGGGCTTGGACCCGGGATCCAAAGGTCGAGCCGATAGACCTAGCAAGACTTATGCAATGATGGACTTGACTGCCGGATTCTCGAGGCCGAACGCTGACCGGAGGAAGTTCATGTGGATCCATCTGCCCTTCACAAACCCTCTTTGGGTCAAGGTGAGTGAGAAAAGAATACCACGGATGGAACTTTCACGATGCTAACAATGGCCCAGGACATCTTTGAAAAGCTATCAGAGACACACCGTCAGGACTTCAGCAAGCTGTTCAACAACGAGAACTGGGTCTCAAAGCACGTGCAGGGCCGACATTCCCAGTCTCAGCCGTCATTTGTCAAGCCCGCCGTCCACTACTTTTCTCCCGACTCAGCGCCGTCCCCACGACTGTCCTACTCAAGCCCCCAACTCAACGCCGGCCCGGCGCCAACCTACCTCTACGTCTACCTCCCGTATCTTCATTTTGACACGTACAGGCACATCATCAAACGGAGAAGCATCATGACACGAAGGCTCGCCCACGGCCGCTCCAGGCCGGTGCCAGAGGACATTGCCGACCTCGAGTCGCTCGAGCTCCGCGTGATCTGGGAATATATAGGCCACGATCCGCCACTGAACTGCCGTCGAACACTGGACCAATTTGGATATCCTTCTCTAAGAGACACATACGCCCGTGACGACGACCAAATGCTGTACAAACTCACCAAGAAAGATAACCCACGGCGGCCCTTTGTCGGCAAGACCTGGAGCGACGAGGAATCGATCAAGGCCCTGGTACAAAGATACTCGGTCGGCACGAAGCTCTTGCACGAGACCATTGAGAATCAGAAGGAGGCCGCGACCTCGGAATCCGAGAGCGAACACGAGGAGCTGCTTCGGGATGGGAACCTGCTCATGGTAGATCAGCTGTGGCTGTGGGCTATTGACACCACGACCCTGACGACATTCTTCCCAAAACGGGAGTCTCGCCCGTCCGAGGGAGCCCTGTTCCAGCAGGCAGACCTGAGGAACAGCATCTATAACGAGTTGAATGGTGATCTCACTGGGAGATGCGAGAATGCATTAGACCTGGCTGCCTTTGTTGCCCTGCACGCCGTCACCGTCCTTCTCGACCGATCCTCACACCCCGATCTCGAAATCTTCCGGATCTTTGAGGAAGCCATCGGAATACTGGTATGACTTTTCTTGCCTCGTCCCATTCCTGAATCTTGCAAGCTGACAACATGTGCCGTTGCTAGACCGAGCGCATGACATGGAACCTAAAGAAGTTCCGCATGCAGACCTTCAGGGACGTCGACTCGGAGGACGAGCACCTCGCCGAGACGAGCGCAAAGTCGATCAAGAAGCGCCACAAGCGCGAGATCGAGCAGGCCGAGCGGGAGAACCGCGAGAACACGTCGGCCCTCATGGAGCTGCGTGACATGGAGGACGAGCTCAGGACGCTGATGAAGCTCTTCGAGACGCAGACGACCATGCTCGCCAGGATGCTTGAGATCTACGAGGGCGACGGCCTCAAGGACATCACGCACAACGGGCGCGGGTACCTGGGCGAGGCGCTGGCGAGGCTGGCCGAGTACAAGACGCAGACGACTGAGATGCTGGACAGGGTTGCGGCTACCAGGGGAGACGTGAGTGCTGATAAATTCCCATCCCTGTTCTTTCTTGATCTCCACTGACATTACTTGTCCCCAACAGTATGAGAAACTCCTGGAGATGGCCCAGCGCCAGGCACAGGTGGACGACGTGCGCTGGTCCCGCCTGCAGACGGAGCTCGCCAGCTCGCAGAACCTGTCGGTCATGATCTTCACCATCTTCACCGTCATCTTCCTGCCCCTCTCCTTCTTCACCTCCCTCTTCGGCATGAACGTGACCGAGTGGGACAACCAGCTGCCCACGATGGCCTTCATCGGCGAGGTCAGCCTGCCCATCTCCTTCTTCCTGATCCTCGCCACCCTCGTCGCAGCCTTCTCCTCGCGCGTGCAGGTATACTGCGGCACCGCCTGGCTACGGCTCAAGAGGGCGTGGGAGGCCGCCAAGGAGGGCGCGAGGTCCCTCGAGCCCGAGGCCAGCAGGGAGGCCAAGGCGCGGCGGAGGGCCGACAGGGCCCGCGGGGGCAGGGAGGAGCGCGAGCGCAAGAGGAAGGACCGGAGCTATGACTTTTGGGCGACGGTGCGCCGGCAGAGGACCTTGGCTTCTTATGAGATCCCTGATCTGAACCGGGTGCGGTCGCCGACCGGGTTTGATAGTGCTGGGGCTGGTGGGGCGAGGAGGCCGACTTGGAAGTCTGGAGGGACGAAGTGATGATGGTTCGACCAAGGTACTATACAATAATGTCACCAATATTTATCGGATATTAACATACACATAATTGAACTGGGTATTCTGTTGGTGAAACACGAGGCAATACTTGAGCACAAAGCCTCGGGAAATATGCCTCCACGACACATCCGCCCTTCCCACTCACTTTATGCCCTTTGAACAGGCTTGAACCGGACCCAGAATTGTGGTCTCTCCCAAAACGTCATGAATCTGAAGTCCCTGTCGAACGACAAACCCTCTTGACCCGTTGCCGCTTCCAGGTCAAATTCCCACAAGACCTTGGCAACAAATGTCCGCAGCAGAGCCAAAGCTACAGAACCGCCAGGACACCCTCTAGGTCCTTGGCTGAAAGGCTTGGACGCCTTGAGGTTGTCGTCTTTGTATTTTGGATCGAACCTAGGGTGGTCTGGCGGCAACCACCGTTCCGGTCGGAACTTGGGCGGCTCGGTAAAGAAGCGCGGGCTTCGAGCTGCAGCGAAGTAGCTGATCTGGCAGGTCACCTGGTCCGAGTGGGTGTCAATGAACATGATGTATCGGGGGGTCTCAGGGGGGTCTGCAGTGGGCCAGCACAACGTACGCCTTTAGGAATGTATGCTCCGTCCACAACATCGCCAGGGCTCACTCGCGGCAGCCCGTCAACCGTGTCTTGGTGGAGGCGAAGGCTCTCATTCGCGCAAGCCTGCAGGTACTTCAAACTAGCCGTAGTCTCGGTATTGATCGCATAATAATCAGTAAAGGCGACTTCCTTCACCAGCGCCGCGTAAGCCTCAGGTTCCTTGAGGACGAAGAATATCAGAGAGTAGAACTGGTTCGCCAGCGGCTGCCAGCCAGCCAGGAGCAGCTGCCCCGCGACATTTTCTAGGTGATAGATATCCTTCTCATCTTCCGGCGAGGGCCCGTCGGCCGGGACGAGTTGCTCGAAGTAGTCCAGGTGCTTCGTCTTCCCCCGGCGCTCGATGCGCGCCTTGACGTCTTGGTGGTTCATCCCGATGAGCCTCGGCATCACGAACCACACGGATGGCGGGATGGTGAGATACATCAGGGGGGTAAGGAGGCGGAACTTCCTCGTGATCTGGCTCATCGTCAAGAAGAGATCCAGCTTCAGAGTTGCGCTGAGGAGGGTCGAGTCCTTCACTATTACGCGTTAGCAACATGACGTCGGTTGTAGGCGTCTCATATGCTTACTGTCACGCATCTGATTCATCGCGAGGCCCGTAGGTCATGCCGGCTGAGAGGTCCAGCGCCAGCCAGTCCGTCCAGCGTTGCAACTCAGCCCCCTTCGCTCCAGTTCCCACGTCCTTCATTCTCTTGACGAACAGGTCAATGTGATTATGAAGTGCTTTTTCTTTCGCTTTGAAATTCCTCGTGCTAAAAGCAGGTGCGAGCTTCTTTGCGATCTCGCGGTGCCTCACGGGGTTGGTATCGCCGGAGATGCCCCCGTCGCCAGTGTCCAAGGCGCCGTACCCAACCTGGACGAACAGCTCGAGGTTCTTCTCCTGCGAAAGGTATATGTCTACCCAAGTACTTCGATCAATATGTTGAAAGCCCCTGGATGGTTCATAACTCGGGGGGACTGACCTCTTGCTGCCTGAGGTCTCAAGAATACAAGCTCATTAGGAGCAATGCGGACTACATCGCCTGTTCTGGTGTCAGCGGTGGGTTATCGACCAGTGAGAGAGTAAGGGTTTGTAGGTACCGTATTTTTTGAGGACGCCCTTGATGATCCAAGGGGTACTTTCCCGTAATGCTAAGTGTTCGAGCGCGTTAACCGGGACTCTGACGTGAAGACTGATTTGATCCAAGGAAAGTCGGGGGCATGCCAGGAACTGTAGAACGCAGCCTGGTAAGGCTAAGCACCCTGAGTAAGCCCACCAGGCATCGGTGATGGCGGCAAGCTTTGTCCCGGGGTGCTTTGCGAGCGGGTGGAAGTGGACATTGTAGATGGCTCTGCCTATACAGTAGGCGATGATCTGTAAGGGAAAATATCAGGCTCAGGTCGGCGGCGGCAAATCTGAAGCTCGATGAATGAAGGATTCGAGCTCACCATGGCGGCGGGCTGCTAGGCATTGGCCGACCGACACATCGCTTATGTGACGCGATGAGTAGCTTTGGGACGCCATTTTTGGCGGTGACTTTCCATGAACACTTCTGCCGTTGTGTTTGGCCAGGCAGTTGTCCCGAGTTCAATGGCTGGTGGCGTCAAGATGGCACGCGTGTTGGTGCCACGTGCATAACCCTGCGAAGCCTACACCATAGCTCGTTGTTTGATGGCTTGTTGGAAGGATTCTGTCTAGCCCGGACCTCCTAAACCCAAATCGGAGGCATGCCCACCTTTGTGCTACCAACAGCCTGACAGGCTGACTGCATTAGTTAATTAGACCAACATCGGGTAGCAATCAACTTTATGGCTGCTGGGTTTGTCGTTGTTTGACCTCACCTCGCTTCGCTATAGTAGAATCCATAAAGTGCACTGCTGACTGGACCTGCCTTCAATGTCTTCGGTCTGACTGTCTAATCGGCCCTGGAATATTCAGGTCGATCTCATACCTAAAGACATGGCGATACTGACGAGTTTATGAACAGTCTGAACGTGAAGATCATGTAGATTGTACAGAGGGACTAGCTTTCATACAACTGAATAGGTTTTTTTTTGCAGGCTTGGGGGTGGGGGGCGCATGCACGAATCTCATGGATCAATTTCTTTTCCTTGATATTTTTCCATAGATCACTATAACTAGGTAATGAATTATGCCAAGGATGAGACAAGTCCTCATCTTGACGTCTGAAGATTGTGATCCTGTCGTATGGATGATGAAAGTACAACCGTCATGTGCCAATTCTTCCAAGTTGAGCCCAGATAGTTGGGACAGGAGTGGAATGCACATCCCTCCTTCACGTCTAGTTACCTGACCCGAGAAACTCAACCGCCTCATCGAGAGACTCTTCCAACTCCTTCGTCTTGCCAAACTGGTCATGGCAGAAGGGGAGATTGTGAGGCGCCAAAGGCGTTGAGCGGAACAGCACTCGATTCCCCCCGACACTGGCCATTTCCTCAGAGAAGCTCTTGATCTGGTCGTGCATCCCCTCAGCCGAACCAGCTTGCACATACAGAGGGACTGAAAGTTCGAACGGGTGGTGCAGCGGCGAGATGTAGGCCTCCGTCTCTGGCGAAAGCTTCCCCTGCGGCCGATACACGTCGGCGCCCCACTGCAAGACCGAGCTGTGCAGCACATCGGATTTGGAGCTAGATTCCTGGTCATAGTCCTTCCCGGCAGCCTTCGTCACATGGATCCACGGAGAAAAGACGGCGACGCCCCTCGGCAGCGGGAGCTTCGTCTGTACCTCCTGAAGATACCGCGCGAGCGCGACGGCGACGTTCCCTCCGGCCGAGTCGCCCGACACGATGATGTTTGCAGGATCCACTCCTAGCGATATGATGGAGTGATAAAAGGTCACGGCATCCTGCACGGCGGCGGGGAAGCAGGTCTCAGGTGTGCCGGACAGGCGGTACTGGGCCCAAACGACCCTGTCCGCCCTGAAGTGCTTGCTCAAGGCGTCGGCGATGGGTCTCCCCGAGGCCTCGTGGCTGAACGCGAGGACGAAGGCGCCACCGGGGAAATGTAAGACGACCTTCTGCTTCGCGAGCTCGGCCGAGTCGGACGGGGGCGGGCTCGGGAACCAGACCGCATCGACCGCCGCCGGCTTGACGAGGTCAGACGCCGCCAGGGCGCCCGCGAAGAAGGCGGCGGGCGGCGGCTCGACCCGGGCGTGTCTCTCCTTGGCCTTTTCAGGCGCGGTATAGACGGGGCGCTGGGACCGTATCGAGGACCAGAAGCTGAAGAGCATCCTCGCCATGGCGGCGCGCACGTTCTCCTTGACGCTCCATGCCGGCTGGGGGCGGAGCGGCTTCGCGATGTACGCGACAGAAAGTAGCAGAAGGTGGGCGGGTGTTTTGACGAGGAAGTATGCCGTGTAGAGTGCCTTGAACGGCTGCGATGACCAGAGTTGTTTGGATGAATCCATCGTGAGACGAGGTGATGTTGTCGGCTGGTGTGATGGGTGCGGGTGGTGTCAACAGGAGAGTCCCTGCCAAAGTCGCCAGACGGAGCCTCAGACGCCACCGCCCTGCTATAGTCGCGGGGTCGTTCTTGACTCCTGTCCTGGATGTCGACTAAAGATCAACGTAGTACTCGGCTGGACATGTGAAGTGCATCCGAGCAGTGCAGCTGCGTGAGCTGTCCGTATCGACTGATCATGTCCGTGATGACCCGGTCAAAAAGGTGTGGGCTTGGGGGCGGGATGTTGGCTAACGTGGATGTGCCGCGCGCCAGCAGCTGCCAAGTCATCGGGGGAGGGTGGTATCGCGCGTCAGGTTCATCGTCAGGCAGCGGATATCTTGTGTCATATACCTGCACAGAGAAAAATTGTTGATCCTTCAGTGTAACATGATACTGCATTCGGGCTATCTGGCTAGGCTGGAACGGCTCGTCTGCACACTTTCAGACTTGGAAGCCGACCGCAGGCGAGCTCCACGTAGTATTTCAGCTGCCAGAGAGTTGCAGTCCAAGCCGAAGGATTGCGGGGGTTCATGCTCTTGTTATGCAAGGGCTGACCAACGTCTTCGATTAGATGCTAATACGGGGCCATGGAAAAGCGCTCAGGCGGATAAGCTATTCCCAATACAGCCAGATTATCGCCTTCCTTTCTCCGGAGTGTGGGGGATGGGAGGGGGGGTGCAATGAGAATTCAGGAAACCCACTTTCAGGGCCTTTTGTGTGACACCACTGATCCATGCTCAGAGGCCGCAATTTGAGATGCAATTGATGGGAGACACTCGTACAATGTGTTTTCATGGTGGCAAATGATGGCAATTTACAACAACAAACACGAGTTCCATTGATGACGTCTGAAATGCGGGACTAGAATAATTGCAGCATTTGCAAGTAAATGTGAGTCCCTAGTGAAATCTAACTCATTCATCCCTGGCCGCCCCAGGCCAACAACCGCCTGACAGGACATCACTTTCTAATATCCAGTCCGTGCAACCTGCTCTACAAAAACAGGGTGGGAGGCACCTCTTTCTACGTCCTGATCAAACTGTCCCTGACCGTAGTGAAAATGGCCCTGGCTTTCAGCCCAGTCTTGAGCGTACCCATGATACGCCGTGGGCTGTTTGGCAGACTGCTGCGAGACATCGTTCGGCATCTCGTAGCTGTCCTGTGACATCTTGTACACATTTCTCCCAGGCTGGACGCGGGTCCGGGACCGAGACCAGATGGTAGAGCCCCAGCTCCGGATATGTGAGAGCTGCTTGCTGACGGTGTGGAGGATGGGCGCCAGAGTCGGGAGGCATGCGCAAGTGATGGCGATTCCCAGCTGCAGTGTTGACCACAACATTGCGGACGAGTACTTGACTGCAGCAAAATTAGCTCCAATTCAAAAGCGCTGGCCTGCGGCGAGAGTAGGGGCGGTTGTGCGGGGAGGGGGGACTTACAATCAAGATCAACATTAGGAGGGTTCCAGATTTTAGTGATCCGAATAATACTTGCGACACATACGCTGTATTGCCATGCAAGTTAATAGCCATCTCTCTAGCAGGTTATGGATAGGAGTATGTTAGACTCACAAGGTGCCCAGAGAAAACACAGCCAAGAGACTCAGCTTGTTGCTCTTGTGCATTTGCAATTTCATCAAGATGGGTATAGGGATCGCGAGAATAAAGACGTCGAGGAACAGGTTGGAGATCTCGTAGCCGAGCAGGAACCGGACCGAGCTCATGCAGTACGGGGCCTGCCCGAACATGTCCCAGAATGCGTTGATGGGGTGGCAATTGAAGATGATGAAGAAGGTGACGCCGATGAACCACATTAGACATGCGACCATCGTCCCCTGGATGAGGCGTTTCTTGAATAGATCCTGCCCCGTGACGAAGGCTTTGTAGTAGAACCAGAGGATGCTAATCTTGACCGAGGTAATGACCATCCCCATGAGGAGCTCGGCAATAAATGTCATCTGTCATCCAGCCATAGTTAGAAGAAGCTGTCCATGAGTTGAATTCAAAATGTGCTTGACATACCTTCAAGATGTTCCTCATCTCATCGATCCCCAATAGGACACTGGCATCGAGAGATCCATACTGAGATGTGTGGAGAATGACTAGACGGCCCAGACTGTCAGAATGGGTCAGTGAGAAAAAGGAATGGCATCTGGTACTGACAATTCAGGATCACACCACAGTAGGCGTAGAAGAAAGCGAGTGATAGAAGGCATGTCCAGTCCGAGCCCAGGAGCTTTTGACGGTTGCTCGCTCTAACGGCAAATCTCGCGAGCATCAGCACTGTTGTCACCACTATCATGGCGACACAGGCGGCGAAGTTCTCCCGCCCAGTATGTGTGAGCTGACGCATGTTGAGAGTTGCTTTCGAGGAAGTTGAGCAACAAAGACTTGTCCAAAACTATGGAGTAGTGCGGGACAAGAATCAGGACGTGAACCGTGCTTTTGCTGGTCAGGGTCGAGTTGTATTTGATATGTCGACAGAGCTGAGGCAAACTCAACAAGGTATCTATCTACGTCTGGAAGGACGGGAGCGCTTAGAGAAAGGTCTCGCCAAGACCGACACTACGGAGCTGGACTCGGTAGAGCTAGAAGCGCAGCTTGTGCCATACTACCGTCCAATATATCGTAGCATTAGGATTCAGAAGGATTCGGGTATTGCATCACGACATTTCGGGAGGAACACTCCACCAAGGGTATCACCAAAGGCACCAAAGGTGTGAGGTCAGGCGGATGGCAGCTGTCTTACTCCTAACTTTACAGCCGACACAAAGATGGTAAGACGACCAGAGACCCACTTCCGTCAGGCTCCTGTCATGAAAACAGGCACGATTGGTCCGCACTATGAACATGTGTGGCCCCCAAATGCAGTCAGCGTAGCAATCTGACGGATTTAAAGTTTTCGGACTGATAATGGTCTTAGGGCGTGGCTGTATAACAGGACAGCCAGCTACAGTGCTTGGGATCGTCGCTTAATCGTGCTTGGGGGCGCTTGAGGCGGGCCAAGCACGATGTGATACTGGGCGGCTGCCTACTACGACCCCTACAGCTTAGCCTCAAGAGACTTAAAAGGACCGGTCTGCATCTGCTGTCACTTTTTTACCAACCCCGCGACCCCGCAGAACCGCCATGGTGGGCAGCCTACGTACGATGTGGGCGTAATCGATGTTCCGGTACCACGTGCTGCAATGGGTTGTTGTTGTTACACAACGCAGGCACAATGCTGCCCACAGCACGTGCTACAAATTTCCTGCGGTTCCTGTCACACAGACGTAGATGAACCACATCTCGTCATGGAACAAGCCCTCGGTTGCCAGCAATGCTCGGCAGTCCTGGCTTCCGGAGCGCAAACGGCTGTTTAAGATCGTGCTGCAAGCCTCCCGCAATCAATCTTGTCAGGGGTCTCGGTAGCATGGAAGGATTCGTCACGGTACGGGTCCTTGGTTCAATCCCATCCTCCCTACGGACCACCGGCGGGCCAACAGAATCGGCTACTTTTGCCCTTCTCGTCAGGATGGCGGAAGCGAGTCACCGTGTCATTGGATAACAGTGACCGGGAAGTGGCGAGACCCTGCAGAAAGGCTGAGAGACAGCTGCCATCTATAAATACACTCGGCTAGCGATTGCTACCCAAGCTGTCTTGGAAAGCAGACTATGTCTACTAAGAACACCCCACCCCCTTCCCCTGCACGATTCATTGTCCCACGTACCTTGGATCATTCGAAGCCGAAACGTCTTTCTTAGTGGGGCCATATCAGTGAGTGTACAGAACCGATGAGTTATATCTCGGCGGACAGGGCCAATCCAAGCAGCACATGTAACGGTGAGCGGTGGTATAAGCTGAGGGTACGGATGACGTGGTGCGGCTCTCAATACCTAACACGTAGATGAGGTAGACGATGGCTGCTATCATGGACCGGGGCTTGGTCCAAGCAACTACTTAGACTCCATATTGTGTAAGACAGGCCCATACGCAAACAGCCTGGGCTTTACACCTGCGCGACGGGCTGCAGCCTAGAACAGATCACGCTCCTCCTTTGAACTGTGAAATTGATTTCCTGCACAAAGGCATCATGGGTTCTTACAGCAAGTCGTCACCTTACGAGGACGGGTTGGAAGACCCCGTGGTCATTGTCGGACTGTCGTTCCGATTCCCTTCGGATGCTGTATCCGAGGAATCTTTCTGGGAAATCCTGCGTGAGGGCCACTCCACGATGACGGAGGTTCCGGCCAGCCGTTACAACATCAACGGCCATTATTCTGACGCATCCGGTCGGCAACATGGGGTAAGTCTCGCCGACGACGTTAGGTGCTCTGTGTTCATCAAGCTAATCCGAGCAGGTCACTGCGCGAGGCGGGCACTTCATCAAGGGAGACATATCGGCCTTTGACGCCCCATTCTTCAAAATGAGCGCTGCTGAAGCAAAGGCGATGGACCCCCAGCTTCGAGTTTTGCTGGAGACAACATACCACGCATTCGAGTCCGGTATGTTGAGCCCCCACCCCCCTGGCATGGCAAATCATTACTCGCAAGTACTCACGATTTCGTACCAGCGAATCTCTCCCTTGACGACGTTGCCGGGAGCAATACATCGGTGTACGTTGGGAGCCTTTCGCAAGAATACGATTCATTATTTGCCTTCGATGAGGAGATAGACGCAAAGTATCAAGGTGAGTTACGATTCCTCGCGTAATAAGAGACATCAGCCATCGACACTGAATTTGCATAATTCATGGAGTGTTTGCTAATACAGCTCAGCCATTGGAACCTCCTCATCTATGCTTTCCAATCGAGTGAGCTGGTTCTATGATCTGAGGGGATCAAGCGTCTCGGTTGATACAGCATGCTCAAGCAGCCTTGTTGGACTGCATCTTGGCTGCCAGAGTCTACTACAGGGGGAGTCCGATATGGTCAGTCATCACATTATCCCAAGCGTCCAACTTGGCAATGTGCTAACCGAATGTCAAAATAGAGCCTTGTGGGTGGTGTCCAGATGCAACTGGAACCACGGAAAATGACCGCAGCGGTCTCGAGGCTGGGATTCCTGTCTCCCGATAGCCACTGCTACAGCTTCGATGATCGAGCCAACGGCTACAGCAGGGGCGAAGGCGTTGCGATGCTCGTTCTCAAGCGTCTTTCGAAGGCGCTCGAAGACGGTGACACGATCCGAGCTGTCGTCCGCGGGACGGCCACGAACCAGGACGGCCGGACACCTTCCATCACACAGCCGAGTCCCACTGCGCAGGCCGCCTTGATTCAAAGGACTTACCAGATGGCAGGGTTGGATTTCAAGGATACAGGCTACTTCGAAGCCCACGGCACGGGTACCGCGGTGGGCGATCCTATCGAGGCTTCCGGTATCAGCCAGGCGTTCACGCGCTATCGTGATCCTCAAAACCCTCTTCATGTTGGGTCTGTGAAAGCCAACATCGGTCATCTGGAGTCGTCGGCTGGTTTGGCTGGGCTTATCAAGACTGTCCTCGTGCTTGAAAAGGGGGTGATCCCGCCCAATGCCCTTCTCAAGAATCTCAATCCAAAGATACTGGCTGATAAGTGGCATCTCAACGTAAGCAAACCACCGCGCTCTGGGGATCAAAAGCACTCAACTGAGATATACAGTTTCCCACAACTTCTATACCATGGCCCACACAAGGATTGAGAAGAGCCTCTGTGAACAGTTTCGGATATGGGGGCACTAATGCACATGTAGTACTGGACGATGCCATGCACTATTTACATACTCGGAACCTCCGTGGAAAGCACAACGTCCAACCAGGATTTAGTGGCAATGGCCTGCTAACCTCTAATGGCCACTCTTACACAAATGGCACCAATGGGTTAAGTGACCACAAAGCCAACTCGGAGAAGATTCTCTTCCTCTTGTCAGCTGCGGATGAGAACGGCATAGGCAGGCAGGCCTCCTCACTGGAAGCCCATTTGAGTCAGCCAAAGGAAGACCTCTCAGACAGTTACCTCCAAGACGTTGCGTTCACATTGGGGAGAAGCCGGGCGTCACTTCCGTGGAAATCATTTGTCCTGGCATCGTCAGTGTCAGAGCTACGAGAAGGTCTGCTGAGTTTGTCCACTAAACCATTGCGTTCCACGAGGAGCCCTTCGATGAGCTTTGTCTTCACCGGACAGGGAGCGCAGTGGGCATCCATGGGTGTGGAACTCCTGGCCTTTTCCGTCTTCGGGGAGTCGGTAGAGTACGCCGATGCTTATCTTCGCTCCATAGGCTCAACATGGTCTGCCGTTGGTAAGTGAAACCAAACTTGCAATGAGAACCGCCCAACTTTTCTAGGGAATTAGCCCGGTGTTCTATCATTCCATTCGAATACCACGATAATCTTGCCAATACGCTGATCATAAACTACTTTGACAGATGAATTATGCAAACCGGCAGCAACATCCAACATCCACATTCCGAGTCTCGCCCAGCCGCTGTGCACCATACTGCAGATAGCGCTCGTCGACCTGCTTTCCTCGTGGAACATCCACCCCCAGGCCGTCGTAGGCCATTCATCCGGCGAGATCGCCGCTGCGTACTGTGCCGGCAGCCTCAGCAGGGACTCTGCGCTACGAGTGGCCTACTTCCGCGGCGAGTGCGTCTCGAGGCTGCTTGAAGACACCAAACGAGAGCTAGGAGGCATGCTCGCCGTCGGGCTGTCGGAAGAGGAGCTGCAGCCCCACATCCAAGCTGTTCTCGGCGACGGTGACCCAGATGGACTGCAGTGTGGCTGTCTCAACAGCCCCAAGAGTACCACGGTGACCGGGCTCGACAGATATCTCGACGCGCTCGCGAGCCGCCTGGAGGAACTCAGGATCTTTTCGCGCAAGCTCAACGTTCCCGTTGCATACCACTCTCGGCAGATGCTCGCGGTTGCCGGCAGCTACCGGTCTAGCCTCGAGGGCTACCTGAAACCTGGCGCAAAGGGAAGAAGCAGCGGCGCACCGGCTCTGTTCTCATCTGTGACGGGCATGAAAGCGTCCAAGGGTGATCTGAGTAGCGCAGACTACTGGGTTGAAAACCTGGTCTCCCCCGTCAGATTCTCGCAGGCACTGCAGCTCATGTACACGTCACTGCAGAACGGTGAAGAGGGCCAGACGAAGCCCCTGGCGTACCTCGTGGAAGTGGGCCCACATTGTGGCCTCGAACGGCCTATCCGAGATTCATTGCCCGAGGACTCTGCCTTCGTGTACGATTATACTCTGCGCCGCAACTCCTCGTCGGTCGACGATGTGAAAGGCTTGGCTGGGAGGTCAGCTACCCACGGATACGCGGTCGATGCGCAAGCTGTCAACGGCCAGCTTGGTCGGCTGCGTCGGCTGCAGGAGCCGAAGATGCTCTTCGACCTGCCAAAGTATTCCTTCAACCACTCTCAGAGCTATTGGGTAGAAAGCCGACTATCTCGGAACACTCGGAACCGCGAGCACCCGCGGCACGAGCTGCTGGGGACTCGTTCTGCGGACTGGAACCCCCTGAGGCCGACATGGCGGCTCGTCATCCGAGACTCAGACCTCCCATGGGTCGCCGACCACAAGGTATTAATCCATATTCCCCCTCCCCCCTCCTATGGAAGGTTCTGCACGAGGCATGCACGACAGCACTGACAGTAATACATAGGTCGACGGCATTATTCTGTATCCCGCCGCAGGCATGCTGGTCATGGCCATCGAGGGTCTGCGGAGCCTTCAGACCGAACCTTCACGAGTCTCCGGCTACACGTTGAAGGACGTGAACATCGGGAGTGCCCTGGTCGTTCCCACGGGGGACGAGGGCGTCGAAACACAGCTGCACCTGGGCCCTTGCAACCCGACCAGTGACACTCAGAAGGGCGTCTCGGCCTGGTTCTTCTGGATCCACACTCCGTGACCAATGACGAGTGGAAGCTGCACTGTTCGGGACAGATATCTGTCGAGGAAAACGCCACCGACGACACGGTGTCAGAGACGGGAGGCGGTCTTGCCCATGGAACGACAGCAAGAAGCTTCGGCAAGGTTCTCGAGCGCTGCTCGAGCAGTATCGACAGAAAGGCATTCTACCAAGCTGTCTTGGAGAAGTCAGTGGACCTCGGCCAAACCTTCCGCACCTTGCACGACATTCGTTTCAACGAAGCTGACCGAGAGGCTACCGCCAACCTGCCTTTTGCCGACTGGAGGCAGCAGGTTCGGGACACGAAGCTGTCTGAGCATCTGATTCACCCAACCACCCTGGATGGACTGCTGCATATCCCCTTCGCCTCCATCTTCCCCAAGCTCCCCGTCATCCCCTCTGTGGTGCCCCGGCAGATCAACGAGATCTACATCTCAAACGACCTACTAAACGACGCAGCAAGCGACACGCTGCGCCTGTACGGCAACACCACAGAGCTCGGCGTCTTCCACATAAACGCTGACGTCGCTGCTGTGGGAGGCTCTTCAGAGAAGCCACTTATCTATCTACGAGGCGTCAAACTCCTTGGGTTCCACGCCACCGACCAGCGGGGAACGGCCTCATCCGGCCCCACGAGCCTTTTCCACCGGTTCGAATGGAAGCCAGACCTCAGCCTGCTGTCTCAGGACGGAATAGAGCAGTATTGTCGGGATCATACGGCCAGGAAGGGAGTAGCCACCAGCGGCTTCGACGGCGAGACAGAGCGCATTTGTCGCTATTTCTTGTCTGCAATGTTAGAAGAGCTGGACGCGACCGCCTCTGAGCAAGGCCCAAGGATCTCATCGAAGCCTTCTATCCAGAATTACGTCAAGTGGGCAAGGTCATTCCTGGAGAATGAGAGCCGGTCCACCACAAGCCTCCAGGAAGCCTACCCTGGGTTTGAAGACGACGGCCTGCGGCCGGCTCTCATAGACCAGTTCGCGTCAAAGTCGGTCCAAAACAGAGATACAGTTGACTACGGCCGGAAATTGGTCCCGATAGTCAGGGAAGAGGTCGATGCCCTCGGGCTACTATTCAACGAAGGGCTCGCGGAGCGCCTATACCAGAGCCCGACGTTCAGCCTCACATCGCACAGATTGGCTTCATACATGGACCTGCTGGCCCACAAGAACTCGGACCTCAAGATCCTCGAGGTCGGCGCGGGGACGGGGAGCACGACGACCGCGGTCCTCGACGTGCTGTCCCAGCCGAGCCTCCAGGCCCCCCGGTTCAGCCACTACGACTTCACCGACATCTCGCCTAGCTTTTTCGCAGATGCGCAGGATAGGTATGCCGCCCACTCGGGCCGCATGGGGTTCAAAGTCCTTGACGTCGAGCGCGACCCCGAGGAGCAAGGCTTCGAGCCTGGCTCGTATGATGTTGTGATTGCTGCAGCGGTGCGTTCTATTTCGGCGTCCAAATGCGGTTTCCTCGCCAGTTCCTTTGATTAATACATACTACAGGTGTTGCACGCGACCAGCAGTATTGATCAGTCACTGCGCAATGTCAAAAAGTTGCTAAAGCCGTAAGAATTCCCCCATTTCCCCGTCCCAAACACACGCACACCAAGCAAAAAGAAACGAAAAAAATATCACGCCCGTACATCCGATCAAATACTAAGGTCCATGGCGTACATAGCGGCGGTCAGCTTGTTTTCTGGGAGCCGACGAGCCGACGAATCGCGTCAATTCCTTTCTTCGTCGGGGTCCTCCCAGGATGGTGGCTATGTAAGTGCGAAATTGCTCAGTTAATCAAGATGGATGTTGCTAACAAGCACCATCAGCTACCGAGAAGACTCGAACTTCAGGGCCTCTCTTGACCGAGCCAGAATGGAACGAGGCCTTGCTGCGAGCTGACTTCGACGGACTTCACGTGTCTTTGCGAGACGACGCCGAGGGGAACCATGTCAACTCCCTGCTGGTATCTCACGCGAGATACCCGTCCGAATCCACAAGCAAGAGGACGGATCTGTCAACTATTATCGTCACTGGGAAGAAGGAGCATGACGACCTTGCTGACCGGATCCGAGCAAACCTACGCTCACGGTCCAAGGGACTTTGCGATGTCATGCACGCCGACCTGCTCTCGGGAGCAGAGATAGTCTACGACCAGTGCATATGCCTCATGGAACTCGGAAACCCCATCATGGCACATCTCGACGAGACCAAGTTCGAAGCACTTCGCCGCGTGACGACCGTGGCCACACAGATAATCTGGGTCACGGAAGGCTGCGGCGTGGGTGCCCAGAACCCCGAGGCATCGATAGTGGCAGGTTTTGCGAAAGTCCTCGAAAGAGAGCGCCCCGGCCTGAGCTTCGTCCACCTGAACGTACACGACAGGGAGCACGCAGAAGACACCATCATCCGCATCGTCAACCAGAGCCACACGCTGTCGGCAGAGGACCAGGAGACGGACCTCCTGGAGGAGGAGGACGGCCGGGTCCTGGTCCCGCGGGCGGTCGAAGCCCCCGACGTCAACCGCCTCCTCGACTCGGAGAAACACGGCCTGCAGCCCCAGCCAACGGACGTGAGCAACGAGCCCACGCCGCCAGGAGAGGCCCTCGAGCTGCGCTTCTCCCCCGGCCGCCTGCAGTCGGTGCACTTCGGGCCGGATCACCCACCGACGCCCTCCAGGACGACGAGGTGCGCGTTCTGGTCAAGGCGACGGGGATCAACTTCCGCGACGTCATGGTGGCGCTGAACCAGATCTCTGACAACCACATGGGCGCCGAGTTCGCCGGCGTGGTCGTCGAGGCCGGCGCGTCCTGGAGGTCGTCCTTCTCGCCCGGGGACCGCGTGTGCGGGCCCCTGGACGGCAGCTTCCGGACCCTCGTGCGCGCGCCGGGGCGCAACCTCGTCAAGATCCCGCCGAACTTGTCCTTCGCGGAAGCCGCGTCCATCCCCGTGGCGTACGCGACGGCGCAGTACGCCCTGCGGTACCTGGCGCGGATCCAACCCGGCGAGAGCATCCTGATCCACGCGGCGGCGGGAGGTGTGGGCCAGGCGGCGGTGAACCTCGCGCAGAGGGCCGGGGCGGCGGTGTATGCTACCGTCAGCACGCCGGAGAAGAAGAGGATCCTCATGGAGAGGTTCGGCGTCGAGGCGGGCCGCATCTTCTCGAGCCGGCATACCTTATTCGCGTCGCAGGTCATGCAGAGGACGGGAGGCCGGGGCGTGGACGTCGTGCTCAACTCGCTCGCGGGCCACGCGCTCACCGAGAGCTGGCGGTGCCTTGCCCCCCTCGGCCGGTTCGTCGAGATCGGCAAGCGCGACATCAGGGCTTTCAACAGGCTGCCCATGGAGCCGTTCTCGCGGAACGTGTCGTTCTCTTCGCTGGACCTCAAGGTTCTTGCGGACCACAACCCGGCTCTTTTGAGTACGATCATGAAAGAGATCGAGGAACTCGTCTGGGATGAGACGGCTCGGCCACATCTCGTGCCATACCCGTTGACGGTGTTCAAGCGCTCGGGGTTCGAAGAGGCGTTCCGCCTGTTGCAGAGTGGCCGACACAGTGGCAAGGTTGTGGTGGACTGGGAGCAAGCAGACACGATCAAGGTAAGTACCAGCTGGGCTCTGCGGGCGTGGAGAAATGTCTTGACTAACAAGAGAGCAGGTCGTGCCGAAGAGCCCGCTTGACTATTCCTTCGACTCCGACGCTACTTATGTTATCACAGGTGGGCTTGGGGGCATAGGAAGGAATCTAGCAGGGTGGATGGCCCGAAATGGTGCAAGACACCTCTGCTTACTCTCACGATCCGGACCCGTCACAGCTGCGTCGAAGGACCTTGTCACGGCCCTCGAGCAGGACGGGGTCCACTTGTACACTCCGGCGTGCGATGTCTCGGACGCCATGGCAGTTGCAGACGTCGTTGCGCACATCGAGGCCCGTATGCCGCCCATCAAGGGCTGCATCCACAGCGCGATGGCTATCGAGGTAAGTGCATCGAGACAGTAGTCGTCCCCAGGGGCCCCTCTAAGGCACAGAGCTGACAACGTCTGCCGCCAGAACCGCGTCTTTGAGAACTACGACCTGCCAACCTTCAACTCAGCATTCCCAGCAAAGGTCCAGGGGACATACAACCTACACAACCACCTGCCCAAGGGCATGGACTTCTTCGTGATCCTCGGCTCCATAGCAGCGTTCATCGGCCCAGCCTCCCAGAGCAACTACGCGGGCGTGAGCTCCTTCCAGGACGCCTTCGCCCGGTTCCGCCGCTCCGGGGGCGAGCACTGCGTGACGATCGACCTCGGCGCCGTCGAGGGCATCGGCTACATCGCCGAGCGCGTCGCCGTGGCGCGCAACGTCGACATGATGTTTGTGGACCACAAGGTGCTGCGCGAGGGGGACGTCCACTTCACGCTCAAGTGGGCATGTAACCCACTGCTGTCGACGCCCGAGTCGCCGTGGGCCGCGCAGGTCGTCGCGGCCCTCACGACGCCGGCCTTCGTGCGCCGCGGCGGCGTCCTGCGCGACCACAAGTGGATGCGCATACCCATGTTCCGCCACCTGTACCGCATGGAGCTGCAGCAAGGGAACAACAACAGCGCAGACGGGACCACCGCCTCCTCCGACGCGGACGGCGCCGAGAACGCGGGCGCGCTGCTCCGGGCGGCCAGGACGCAGGCCGAGGCCGCCGCCGCGGTGACGCACCTGTTCGCGAAGCGGCTCGCGCGGTCGCTGGCCGTCCCCGTCGCCGACATCGACGTGGGCCGGCCGGCGTACGCGTTCGGCGTCGACTCGCTGGTGGCCGTGGAGCTGCTGTTCTGGTTCTCGAGCGAGATCAGGGCGGACGTGCCCGTCGTGCAGATCCTGGGCAGCTCGACCATCGCCCAGCTCGGGGCCGTCGCCGCGGCCAAGAGTGAGCACTTGCAGGGGCGGGACTTGCCCGTGTAGGCGGTATCACACACAAATGTTATAAAGGGGGTGGGGGTAGCGTTGTATACATAATAGAATGTAATTAACTTCTTTTACGACGGACAGTCACTTTGTTCAAACTGTTATTATTAAATTAGACGGCTTCCCTTTGTGCGAAGCAGACATGGCCTGACTGACTTCGTAGAAGTACACCTGCCTGCCAGACGAGGTACACTTTGCCAGGATAGAGGCAGGAGAAGGTGATCCAAGTAATTCGAATAATATAACATATGTTGTGCCCTGTGATATAGCACCACTGCAGCCGGGAGACTAGTAGCCGAGACACACAGAGGCCTGCGAAGGTGGCTTCAGGGGAATGGACACGCACAAGAGCAATGATCCCAAAGGCGGATTATGCTGCACGCACCCGAAACTGCTCATGGGGGCGGAGGAAAGGTCGCTTCTGCCATGGCGCGGCGCGGAGGTGACTACATGTAGCCTGTTTAACCATTCCGATTGAGCACGCTGACGAGGCGGTGCCCGGGGGCTAATACCCTTGCCTGCATGAGCGCGGCAAACGTGGTATTCTAAGTGGCTGATCGACTGAATTTGCACTTCCTATGCAGTTGCTCAAAATCTCAAATGTCTATGCCAAATGGAGTGAATTCAGCTGCGGAGCCGCACAGATTTTCTTCCTTCCTTTCTCTTCTTCCTCCTTAGCCGAGAGTCTTTGTACATAGTGCTAATGGACCAGCTCTCATGCTGAACGCTGTCTGGCCGTTACATTAAGAATAAGATCCAAGTTTGATCTTTCTTGTTAGGTCATTGCACGCTTTCAAACAATTTATTACTAGTTAGCATCTTTTGTCCGAGAGTAGAACTCCGTCACTGATTAGACGTTTCTTTGCATTCGCTTGTTAAATCATCCAGCCCATGAGAATCTTCTACCGGTATTAGTAAACAAGACGACGGAACATCCTGTTGTCCAAAGCGCCTAGTCTCCGCTGATCCTCGTCAGTCTAGGGATCTTCAGCACAAAATGGGTTTCTGGAATGACTTCAAGGCCGGTTACCGCAGGGGTTACCGCCAAAGTTTTGACGCATCGTACAATCAGGCGATGAGGCTGTGCCCCGAATGCCGAGCCATTACTTTGAAGTCTTCTGCCGAGCGCAGACTTGTCCGGGAATACCCAAACAATCAAGCCCTGTACGACAGCGCAAAAACTGGATGTGTCATTTGCCTTTTCATCCTTCAACGCAACATCAAGCAAGACCGCGTCCGATTCACAGGCGACGACGTGCTTGAACAGGCCAACGTGGACGCCCCGATAAAGATCTTTCAGACACTCGAGCATGGACAGCACAATCTCGAGTGGGAGTCAGATGCCACCCTCGAGTTTCCTGGAGGCGCCTCTGCTGGCATGTTCTACCGTGAAGTGTTTGGTGGTCTCGTTGCTGATGACGGCAAGTCGCAGTCCTGTCGCCAAACTCCTGGCTGCACCTTAGTCACCTGATTTTTTGTCCAAAGCTTACCCTTTCTTTAGACTCCAATTTAGGAGCCGCAATCAGCGGACGAAGGATTCACAGTGACGCGCAGACCAAAGAGAATTTGCAGCGGGCCCGGTCATGGCTCGAGACGTGCCTAGATTCCCACCCGAAATGCAGGTCAGAAATCCCACATCTTCCCACTCGCGTCATCGACGTTGGCTCGTCAAACAAACACACGAAACTCGTCATCACCGACGGAAAGACCTCAAAGCCATACGTGGCTCTGAGTTACAGCTGGGGGGAAAGCCCAAACCTGCGGCTCGTCGCCAAGAACTTGCTGTCCTATTCGCAGAGAGGCATTCCGTTCAAGGCAACGCCCAAGAGCGTGCAAGACGCAGTCGCCATCACCCGTATCCTCGGGATACGGTATCTCTGGGTTGATGCCCTATGCATCATCCAGGACTCATCTTCGGACTGGGACAAAGAGGCGGCCATGATGGGGGACATATATTCGAACGCAACGGTAGTTATCAAAGCTGCCTCCACCGCCGACTGTCAAGACGGGCTTTACCGGGCACGAGAGAGCGATGAACTTGCGGACTTCAACCTGAAGATGGAGTTGGAAGACAGATCCTTGGGGTTCGCCTCGTTAAGGATCGAGTCTCTAGTAACCGATGAGCCTCTTGATGGTCGTGGATGGTGTCTGCAGGAGTCATGGCTTGCTCGCCGCATGCTCGTCTTCGGCTCGCGGCAGACTTGGTGGGAGTGTCCGACTTGCACGCTCACTGAAAGTGGAGGTGCGCAGGTGCATGGCAAGCTTGGGCCTGCCCCATTTCACAAGCCTACGCATTTCGTATATGGAGGCAAAGATGATGAGGTGAGAGATAGGTATTCGTGGGAAAACGTTGTCCAAGACCTCACCTCACGGACTTTCACTTACGCTGATGATAATCTGCCGGCCCTCGCTGGGATAGCGAAGCTATTTCACAGCACTAGTCACGTTGGGGACACATATGTCGCTGGCTTGTGGAAGTCTGGGCTGCCTCGGAACTTGATATTCACCGTTAGTCCTCATAAAGCCCAGAATCCAGCCGAAGACAGACCGGCAGCGTACCACGCCCCTTCATGGTCATGGGCATCAACCAGCGGAACTATATACTGGGAAAAGCGACAGCACGCGGATGACGAAGAAGACCAAGACAAAGATGAATATCGAGAGGGGGATGGGAACGGAGAACAAAGTAGGGACGAAGGGCAAGATGCCCTTGGGGATGATGTCTATGCCTCAGTGAAGTCCTACCAGGTGACCCCCAAAGGGCCTGATGGCTTTGGGAAAGTCGAAACCTTCGGCTCCATCACGCTTAGTACACAGATTCGAAGTTCCTGGCGATTTTGGAGACAAGGTGGAAACAAACCTTAAAGGCTGGTTGCTGACAGCCCAAAAACCGGCGATGCCAAGGCCACAGATTAATCCGGTGGAAGACTTCCAAGCGACCTTCGACGGGACAATCGGACAGTGTAGTCTTGATTGGAAAGACGTAGATGAGGACATTGAGGGCGCTTATGAGCTTTACTGTGTGAGAATCACTACATTACACGGTTTAGTCCTGGAGAAACTCAAAGAGGTGGATGGATTTCGACGAAGAGGAACCTTTAAGATCTGGGAGGATGTTGTGGATGAGTTTTGGATGGGTTGTGAGAGGAAGAATGTTAAGATCTTCTGAGGTTGAGTTAGTGATAGAAGGATGCGACTTATTTATACGAGAATGAATCTCTTGAACCAAAGCCCACAACTCAGCCGGCTAACTTCAGCAGAACCTTCGGCGCCGACCGAGGCCATTGGACATGCGCCCGAAACAATCTCCAGTAAAATCTGGTAAATATAGCATGTATTCAGCCTCCAAATAATGGAACGTTGAATGCAGGCCACTTGAAGGCCATGTACCATAAAGCGACCTCGGGATCGCTTTCCCGGGGCCGTTCCCGGGGCCGCCCCATCAGCTCCTCCAGACGGCCCCCTTCTTGAGCCCCTTGTTTGACAACAGGAGCCTTCTTCTCCTTTTTAACAAGCGGAGAGACCCTGCACAGGGATTTACCCTGGACCGTGCCATGTAGCCTCTTCTTTATTTTCTTATCAATGCTCTATCTAGATGGCGTTGACAACTCACCCTGGGGCAACAGCCTCAAAGCCTCCCGAGTTCAAGGGAGGTCTCTGGACATCGTGGATCCCGCTCACGACGACTTATTCAGGTCATGCTTCACAATGTACATCAAAATTCTGGCAATGGGACGTTAGCAGTGGTGTGCTAGCCTGGGATCCTGGGTTCGGCGTCAAGGTGAGCTCGGGCCTGCGTTGCGTGCCGCAGGCGGCCACGACCTGGTGGGATCAGACGTGGCTGGGCCCCACGACCGAGACTGTCGTCAGTATCGGGCCATTTACTTGCCCTGAAGCCTTCACCCAGGTGGCCACGTCCGCCGTGGACGCGCATAGCACGCAAGTGGCGTGCTGTCCATCGTGAGTCCCAGTCGCCACTCCAAATATCATGGTCCCCCGGAGTGTCGTGGACAGGAGAAGATGATTAGTTCTAATGCACCTGGCTACTGCAGAGGCTACTTGTTCGTTGACTGGATGCCGGCCGGGGTTGCCCGGCAGTGTTATAGCGATGTCTCCGCAGACGCCCTCGTCGTTGTCCACACAAGAGTCGAGTGTGACAAGTGGACTCAGGCAACGATCCAGATAAATACGTCACCAACCATCTGGGGCGCTCACATAAACGGCTGGGTCTTTGCTGCTGAGCAGACGGCCGCGACGTCTCAATCATCTGAGACAACATCCCAATCACCGGAGACGACATCGCCACCATCCGAGACAGTATTTCGATCCTTGCAGACCACATCTCAGTCATCCGGGACAATATCGCCTCCCTGTTTCTCCTGCAACAGCAGCAATAGCGACAATACCAAAAGCACCGGGATAGGTGTTGGGGCCTCGTTGGCCGCTGTCGGCATTGCAACCCTAATTGCAGGGCTGATCATGATGCTCAGGTCGAAAAAGATATTGCGTGCTGCACGAAACGGAGAAGAAATGCCCCAAAACACAGAAATACCCCAACAGGACTCTCGAAACAGCCACGAGCGGCCTGTTTCTCCAGCCGGGGATAATGTTCATGCTCGTCAGCCATATGGCAAACCAGCCGGCGAGCTCTACGGTTCCGACCCTACCTTGTTCCACGCCGAGGCGCCCGCTCCACAATAGCCCACGTCGGGAAAGGAGCCCAGATGCGCAAGAACTGGTCTATATATGTTGCCGGGTTTGAAGGAGTGGTGCTTACGGGGGATTTAGAAGACCCCGCTATCCCTAGGCATCAATACGATTAATTGGCACTTTAATGGTTCAGCTCATGAACCAACAGACCCGGGATGATGAATTCCACCCTCGCCTGTAAAGAAAATCTATTAGCATTTTCAAAAGCAGCTAGCAAACTAGCTTTAATTTTTAATATCTTTAAGTACCTATATTATATCCTTTTAAATAAAATTATTTTTTAAGTTAATAATTAAATTAAAAGAGAATTAATTAAGGTAAAAGATTAAATATAATAAATAGTTAATAAGCCTTACTTAAGCATTACTTAAAGCCTAACTTAATTCTCTTTATATTCCTTAAAATAAGCAAGGTATATTTTTAAAAAAAAGACTTTAAATGCTATGGAGCACCAAGAAATAAAACTAAGTTCGCTACCTGCCTTTAGAAATGCTAGCAGATTTTCTTGACCGGGGAGGGTAGAATTCATCATGCCGCAACAAACCGGTGTGAAGCAACGTTGTTATCTTATCGCCGTGGGCCCCTGTGCACAGCTTCAATAGCCACGCGTGTTTACAGTAGGGGGACTTGACCTGTTCGCGTTCTCCCATCCTTTCTTGATGCGATCCTGGGCCCATCGATGTTACCTATAAGATCAATCAACCATCGATTCATGTGCTCTTGTCAAATCGCAAAACTGACCTTGCATGCTGCTCTGCTCACAAAATGAGATACAAGACGAGGTCCAGATCCTCCCCCGCAATGGACCCAACCGCCATTTTGAGGCACGACACGGTACGACCAGCCATGCCGAGCGTCCTACTCGCGCTGGAGCACGCCGACTCGGACGACTACTTCCAGCAGCTGCTCAGCATTGATTCCGCGCTGCAGGCCTTGGACACGCCCAGGGACACCTTGACGCTCGAGCTCCAGGCCGTGCATAAACGACGCGGACGCTTCGCTACCGAGTATATGGTTGCCGAACGGCCCCTCGTTGAGCTGAAGGGGCTGATCCAGATGCTCGAAACGCTCCAGACGGCAGCACGGAAGGGGTTCAACTCGCGCGCCCGGTCGCTGCGCAAGGTCAAAGTAGGCATCATGGATCTCCCGAACGAGCTGCTGCACATCATCTTCGGCCACTTGAAACGCCGTTTAGACGACCCCAACTTCTCCTTCGACTTGGTGGATGTGGACCCGGACGCCGACGCGATGGCCATCCAGAATGTCAGGCTCACCTGCCGCCGGTTCCGCGACAACAGCTCCCACCTGCTGGTCCGGCAGTTCGACATTTCCCCCACCCAGTCGTCTCTTGAGCACCTGGAAGAAGTAGCGCGCCACCCGGAGATCTGGCGGGGCGAGCGGGTCTTGAAGATAGACCTCAGGTACTACAGCGCCGCCATGGCCGGAGACCTCCAGGCCTTCTCGGCCATGTGCTATGAAAAGTTGCGAAACAAGATCGACTCCTACGAGGCAAAGATCAAGTACTCGGACGACGAGAGCTCTGACAAGGATAAGCCGCCACGCGAGGTGGAAGAGGCCGTCGCGCAGCTTCGGCGCATCTTGCTCTCCTGGGAGCCATTCGCGGACGGGAACCCCACCAGGAAACGCACCCGCCGCCACGGGGCGGCGGCGCTCGCCCTTCGCAGGGGCCATGAGCGCTATCGCGAGCTGTTCCAGCAGCAACAAGAGATCCTACGGGGCGGCCACTTCGCGCGGGTCGTTGCCGAGGCCGCGGCGAGCAGCCGCTCAGAGGTCTGGCTCTCCATGACGGACACTGGGAGGCACCCCGACGACGACGGCCCCCACATGCAGCATGTTGGATACTCGGACCTGGAGGAACTTGCGGACCCCGACTTCCTGGTCCAGTCGTGTCTGATCCAGCCTCATGCCTGGTGGCACGCGAAGGGCAGAGACGCGGGGGAGGTTCCACAGTCACTTCTCCATGAACTGCCCTTGGCGATGAGTGCAGCGAAAGCCTGCCTGGCTGGAGTCGCAGCCAACATAACCCGCCCTTTCAGGCTGGGCCTGAACATGTCGCAGGATCAGCTCTCTGGCCTCAGTGAGGTTGCCGAGGGCCTCGAGGCCTTCACATTCCGCATGTTCGAGGGTATTCATCCCGCTCATGGACCTCGGCCCAGCCCGGAGGAAATGAGTGCCCTGTATGCTTACATCCGTGCATCTATTGGCCCTCAATGCGTTCCGAATCTGTGGTTAGACCTTTCTACCATGGAGTTCATTGTCGATGAGCTGGGAGTGGCTTACGTGGCGACGGGGCGACTCTCCATCGAGCCTCTGCTGTGCTCTCCTAGCTGGCACAGGCTCAGGTATGCCAGACTCGAGGATTTGGAGATGGATTTGCAAGATCTGACGAGGTTCATGGGCATGCTTGAGTCGAAGGTACGCTTCGATTTGAGGGAAATTTACCTGAGTAGCGGAACTTGGGCTGCAGCACTAGACTATCTCCGTTCCAAGGCCGCCTCTGGCTCTCAATTGCTGCCCCCTGAAGGACCAGACTGCAGAATTAGGTTGACGGACGCTGAGTACTTTGATATCTTCGTGAAGCAGGATCCGATCGAAGGGGTTACCAAGGCGACACAGTATATTACATCTGTTGAGGGCGTCGAGAATCCGTGTCCCAGGATAGATGAAGCAATCGAGTCAAGTCCAGAGCCTTGACTGGGGGTGGCTGTGTGGTGGCCGCACTTATTCCACAGCTGTTGGCTCCGCGAGTTCAATTTCGAGTTGTAGTTAGTTGGGCGATCTCGCTCTACCGTATTTCACTCATATTTGGTGCACTCAGAAATGCCTGTGACAGTTGGCTCATCTGGCAGCAAAACAACACTAAGTTCACGACACGGTTTCAGCTCGCAAAGCTGAGTCCGCTTTGCTTCAAATTAATTGTCGCATGTGTATATTTGCCTCCCATCTGGACTAACGCTTGATCAGGAAGCATATTCGGGTAACGGTCTGTGCCTATTAAGCATATCATGGCTCTTTTCAACCAAGCTCAACACAGAGGTCCTTCCGCTCAAGCTCCAACGACTCTCCGGTTTTGCAGGCCCAATAACCGTCCATGATGAACGGACAGTATGGGGATTTGGGGCGTGTGCCAGCCCAATGCCTTGAGGAGTGAAGCTAGCGAGATTAAATCCTCTTGCTTTAATGAAAGAAAGATGCAAAAGATCATGTTGCCAGGGTATAATGATAAATTAGCCGAGTGTGCACGATGTGAATCGGTTGATATCATAGCAAAAAGTTATGGTATTCACGAAGAACAATAGAGAATCATTGCATATGAATGTTTTGTAATATTAGCATACAGGCCGTTTAAAAAGGCCGGGACGTTTTGTCTTGAAATTGGTGATAGGTATCGCTTAGCATTTTATTTCTCTGCCAGCATAGCATATGAAGCATTCGGTCACCCCCTGATCTCGTTGGCTGTCACATGAGGGAATTGCCAGGTTATCTGTGAACCAAGACAGGCCACAGGAACAACCCAAACTGATAGCGGCCAGGCAAGAAATGAGGTCGAGACCAGTTGCTAAAGCCACAGTGAGTTGTCAGACTACATGCTTCTTGATGATATTCCTAACTTTATTCTGGCCCACCGTTCACTACTCAAGACTAATCTTGTGCACACTTCACGTCCTCAGGGCCAGTACAATAAGCTTAAAGTTAAGATGCTTCACCACTATAGCTAAATTAAGCAAGACTATAGAGTGTAAATAATTAGCAACTTCGAGTAATAATATAAAAGCGAGTGTACTTGGCTGGATGGATACAGAGCTATAGCAAAGTTACACTACAAGTGAATGTATAGTATACTTTCGATCACTGTTTTGCTGCGAATTATGCGAAGTGCTACAACCAGACTGCATTTCACAACGCCCAAGACAGAGCAAAGTGTCAATAGACTTTTGAAATTTTAATTACTAAAATCTCCACACAACACCAACAGGCCGTCAATATTCATCAAGATATCATTCCGAGAATGACAGTTTAAGTCCGAGTGTGAAAGACGCCCCCTATCCAATACAGTTGACCATCACCAAATCCACAAACCATCCCGGACTCAGCGGGAAGATCATAATTCGATCTATAGAAAACCCCTACCCTCCCTTCTCGTCTCTCACCCTCTTTTGCTCCACAACACCATCACTAAGCGACGACGACTTAGTTGTTGGCAGCATCCTTTGCTCCCTTGGCGGCCTTCTTGCCACCGCCGTTGGCCTTGGCAGCGGGCGTCTGCGCGGCAGAGGCAGCATCGCCGGTCAGCGCACCAGGGCCGATCGCGACGGCGCTGGCGGCGGCGGCAGCGGCGGCCTCGCCCTTGGCACCGTTGCTCGCGGCAGGGTTGACAAAGTCGTCGTCGTTTCCTGAGGCGGCATCGTCGTTGTTTGCATTGGCGTTAGCTGCACCACCGGCGGCTGAGGCCTTGGCTGCCTGAGCTGCTGCGGCCTTGGATGCCTTTGCTGCCTTGGCTGCGGCGCCTCCACCGTTCTTTGCCTTCTTCGCATTGGTTGCTGCGGCTGCGTTTCCTCCAGCTGCTGCTGCGTTGGCGTTTCCACCGGCGGCGGCATTAGCATTACCACCTGCGGCTGCGGCTGCGGCTCCCTTGCCCCTGAAGAGAATGAGATGTCAGCATGTGGCCTGTGACGAGGTACTCGATGAAATTTGTCGACCTGGGACAGCTTTGGGACAACTTACTTTCCCTTGGCACCGGCAGCGGCGGCTCCCTTGCCCTTGCCACCACCCTTGCCCTTGCCCTGACGGGCCTCGAGCGTCGCGTCCTCGTCACGAGCCTTCAGGTTACCGAGGAGGCCGCTGAGGATGTCACCGACACCACCGGCACCGGCAGCATCTGCGCCTTGGGCATCGGCGCCACCCTTGGCCTGACCGCCTCCGACAGCACCGCCAGCGAGACTATGGGAAAAATGTTAGAACATGTGGACCGTGTAGTGGCTGACGAGGCACCAAGAACATACCCTTCGAGGAGCTGGGTGATCTGGTCACCACCGGCTGCCTGAGCATCACCGCCTGCTGCCTGAGCACCGGCATCCTGAGCGGCGTCGGCGTCTTGCTGAGCTTTCTTGCCCTTCTTGCCCTTCTTGCCTCCGGCGTCCGCATTAGCTGCGTCGGCCGCATCAGCAGCTGCGGTGGCGTTGTTGGCAGCTATTTGAATAGTGAGTTAGCGTCAGCTTCGTTCTGCCCCTGGGCGGCAGGCGAGAAGATTCTCGAAGTCCTTTCATAGACTTACCAGCAGCGGCGGCTCCCTTGGCTTTCTTGCCCTTCTTGGCCTTCTTTCCACCGGCAGCATCGGCAGCATCACCGGTAGCGGCGGCTGTTGCGTTGGCAGCAGCAGCTGTTGGTCACATTGTCAGTACTCAGTCGTGGTAGCTGTGGTTGGTAGTGACCACTGCCTGTGTTACGGGACTGTGTGAAGTGGACTTACCAGCACCACCCTTGTTCTTGTTCTTCTTAGGCTCCCGGGCGAGGATCTCGTGGTAGGTGTCGTACCCGACGGCACGGACCTGGTTCTGCTGCTGGACGTCGCCGGCGGGCAGGGAGGCCACGTAGCCAGCTCCTGCGAGGAGCAGCATGGCCAAGCTTCCGATGTTCTTCATTTTGGCTGGGTGTGAAAAAGGATAGTGTGTTGTGAAGAAGGAAGGTTGAGAGCACAGCTACATGCGGCTGTGTGAGTATGCAGACCAGCTTAGGTGGAAGCACTGGCTTGTAACGATATGTACGTACCTCAGAGAATGGAAGGGATGGGATCAACCCGTTATTACTTTGCAAGAAGGAGGGTGGGCAAAAAGAACCAGATCCACTGGAACGAAAGAAGAAGAGCGGACTTGAAGATGGTGCAAGAGATGCCTGATCAAGAGATAACCTTTCCGACTAAGAGAGGGAAGGAGGAACAGTCTTATATCCATCTTGTCTCTCCATCTCATACCCCCCAGCCGTCCTCCATCCTTGTTTGGACGGCCCGGGGGGTTGGACGGAATCTTGGGAGCCGTCGAGTCTGGGACGTGGAGGAGGTTGCAACTTGCAATGACGTCGACCTGCTAGCGTCTAACGAAACATCAACTTCATCTCATCTGAACGTTCCCAGACCAAGGATGACAGTCGGGTTCAAGGTTGGGATCATGTTACTGGACAAGGATGGGACGAGCAGGTAAAAGGCCCGCACCCAGGGGGAGAAACTACCCAGAGTGTAGACACGCTGGACAAGCCAGAACAAGCTCTTGTGCCAACATAACGCTGAGCTGGGCGGGAATGTGCAAGCGACTTGGCGAGGAGATCACAGCTTGGTGACGTGCTGCTGTTAGCCCAGGGCGTTTGTGCACAGCGCCTTGGTTACCGAGTTTGGCAGAAACTAAACAGGAGCAATCGTGATATGCTGGGATCCGCGGGTTGTTTTGGCTTGGCAGAAGATCTGAAAATCATACAGGAGAAGTAAGGCAATTGGCGCCGTGCGAGGATCGAGGTAGCACTGCACGGTAGTTGAGATGCATGTTCGATGTGAGAGCAGGGTTGAGCCAAACCGTGGATCAAACAAGCAGTACGCTCCACCTGGTATGCCTGCCTGGACGTGAATGGACAAGCCAAAGTGAGGGTGTGCAAAGATAGAACAGAGACCAACCTGATGGGGGAAAGCCCGCACGTCCTCAGGTCCAGGCTTCAAGGCGCGAGATTTCAGCCATGTTCCAGAAAATTGGGGCACCGGGGAGAGAGGAGACTGCTGGCGATCGTGGGGGATTAAGCCTCGGACCCTTGGTGCACATTGCCCAAGGCCCACCCACCACCACAATAACCGGGACAACAGCGTCTACCGAGCTGGGGTGCGCCGGGTGCGGGTGCTGTCAGGCTAGTCTACCGCGATCAGTGCGGCTCACTTGAGCATTTGCATGACCGGGAGAGCTTAGCAAAGAAACGTAAAGCCTATGGGAGAAATTGACGGCGGGCGGACCAGGAATGGCTTGAAATGGATCGAGGAATACATCATCAGGCCACTCGCTTGCTGGACCACACATTGCGGCCAGGACAAAAGCTGAGTGGGGCTCATCTGGTAGACACGAGCTCAAGCATGAAACTCGGACGGATCCTCCATAGGATCGACGAGTTCTCAAGGTAGCGAGGAGCAGGGACGGCGTAGAAGGGAATCCACTCAGCAACGGGATGTTGAGACGGGGAACAGTATCGATCTCGTTGCTGTGAGGGCTGCTGTGAGGGATCATGAGTAGTGAGCAGCCATCCATCCAGCCAGTCTCGTGTTACCGTAGCGTCGGTAGTTGCAGGATCCGCCGACGGTGTGTCGTCTGTGACGGAGAGGTCGGAATTCCCTGACTCCAACTGAGCTCCACTCCATCCATCGTAAGCGACACGACCTACCACGGGAGGGGGAAAGGGGCCATCAAGCATTGAATCAGGCTATGACGATAGCGAGGAGGCGGAAAAGTGCTCACCAGGCACTGCCTAGGTTGGAACAGTTCGCCATCGAATAGAGACGGTGTTGGCCAGGCAGTGCGTTTCGAAGGAGGAGTGGAGCCCGGGGGGGAGCCCCAAGCAACCCTGTCTTGGCACAGATAATGTTTGAAAGAAGCTTAACAGAGCCTCATGGGCACCCCAGGTCTGAAACAGGGCGCATGTGCTTGTACGGTGGGCTGTGGGTCGCCCATGTGTTCCAGAGCCAAGACTTTTGACGGAGGGGAAGTTGGGAAGAGACGAGCCTGACTGGGCTGCTGGCAGTTGAGATGACAGCAGCCTAAGCAGATGGATGGATGGGTCGAAGATGTGATGAACCCGAGGCAGTGTCCGTTAGAGTTGTGGAAGATGCCGCGATCCGTTGAGTCGTTCTTTGTTTTCTTGGGTGTCATTCGGATCAGAGACGACGAGAATAGAAACGAAGAGACCACGCGGTCTCTTTTCTATGCCTCGTCATTTTTCACGAGATCAATCGGTGCTGCTGCTGCATTGATGCCTGGCCTCGAAAACGTGGTGATGTGCACGCCAAACTCCAGCTTCTCCCCACTCCACAGCCAAGGTGGATCAATCGCCAAAGCCAAGTCTTGAGCTTGACGATCTGTTTTTCACTTCTCTTGGTTCTGGAGTAATCTGCAGCCTGGATGTGAGCACCTGGGGCCTGTTATATTGTGGCACCCTCTGAATATCGATATTCGACCCATTTCCCATCGCGGTCGCGAGACGGGAGGAGACCGAGAGCGGACAAGGTGGAGGATGACAACAGCACCAAGCAGCCAAGCAGGAGAGTGGTCTGCTCAAGAAACAGCTCATCCGTCAGGCTACCTCAGCCAAGGCAAGCAGACTGGTTATTATCAGTGTGGAATGCGAGACAAAGAATGGCTTGACGGGTGGATTGGGTGGTTGAGTGCCCGTGTCCACAGAGAGAGGGGGGAGGGTCAGAGAGGGTTGGGGTAGGAGAGTCACAAGCAAATCAACCAGAGCCGGCGGGTCGTCGGTGCCGCATGCGGCTTGCATCGGAAGGTCGGAAGAGGCAGGTGGGGACGGTAGACCTCGGCGAACGGGAGGCAGTGGCCACTCAGACGAGTCCTGAAGAAAATGACCAGTTGATCGGCCTCTGGGCCCAGCAAAAAGCTGAGCCGATTTTTGGCCGCCCAGAGATAGAGCGAGCGAGAGCTTGCGCACATGCGGTGCGATGCGTCATTCCAGCACCTGAAGTGGTCGACATCACCGCCAACCCCTCACCCACAACAACAGTTCCAACAGTTCTGCCATGCTCTCAAGCTGCTGATGCTCATGCTCTACAAGGGACGAGCTTTGGATTTCGGCTGACGAGCATATCCCTCGCCCAATGCCTCGAGTGCATTGACGAAGACACCCCGCCATCCACCACCAAACTCCCACCACGACGCCACATATTCTACACCCCCACATCATGTCTGCGCCTGCGAGGATATCAGGGCGTCTGGCCAAGGCAACGACACCGCTTGCCAGAGCCAGGCCCCAACCACAATGCCCTCGGGCTATCACAACATGCTTACCTCGGAGGACAATATTACGCCCGTCGTATGCGGCGACAAGCAGGACAACCCAAGCCAGGCTGTTCTCGGCGAGTGCATCACGACGCATGGCCACCCCAGATGACTCCTTCGACCCAGCCACAATAGAACGGGAGAGCGACCAGGTCGATGTGTGTATAGTAGGCGGAGGTGCGATCCCAGTCTCTTCAACCCCTGCGCCCGTCATCAGCCCCCTCGTCGAGCTCAAGTCCGTCTAACCAACATTTTCTCTGCCTACAGGCCCGGCAGGTCTCTCTGCCGCCATCCGCTTGAAACAACTTGCCAACGAAGCCGGCAACGAGGATTTCCGAGTCCTGCTCCTCGAGAAGGCCGGCGAGCTCGGCGCCCACATCCTTTCCGGCGCTGTCATCCAGCCCAACGCCGTCGAGGAGCTCTTCCCAGACTGGCTGGCCGAGGACAACGAGTCGCGCTTCGACGGCGCCACACCAGCCGGCAACGACCACATGCGCTTCCTGACCAAGTCCATGTCGGTTCCGCTCCCTGCCCCGCCGCAAATGCACAACAAGGGCAACTACATCCTCAGCCTGAACCAGTTTACAAAGTGGCTGGGCGACCGCGCCGAAGAGGTCGGCGTTGAGGTCTACCCTGGCTTTAGTGCTAGCGAGGTGCTGTACAAGCCGGATGGGAGCGTCCTGGGCGTCGCCACTAACGACCTGGGCATCGGTCGAACCGGGAAGCCCAAGGATACGTTCGAGCGCGGCATGGAGTTCCACGCGCGTGTCACCATGTTTGGCGAGGGCTGTCACGGCAGCCTGAGCAAGCAGGTCATGAAGAAGTTTGACTTGCGCAGCGACTCACAGCCGCAGACGTACGGGCTGGGTGTCAAGGAGGTGTGGGAGGTGCAGCCGGAGAAGTTCAAGAAGGGCGACATCACACACTCGCTCGGTTATCCACTACCTTACGACACATACGGAGGTGGGTGGATGTACCACTTTGGCGACAATCTGGTGTCCATCGGGCTGGTCACGGCGCTGGACTATCCAAACCCATGGATGAGCCCGTATCAGGAGTTCCAAAAGATGAAGAAGCACCCGCTGTATGCATCGGTGCTTGAAGGTGGCAAGTGCATATCGTACGGTGCGCGCGCGCTCATCGAGGGTGGCTTCCAGTCCATCCCGAAGGTCGCATTCCCCGGCGGCGCGCTCATCGGCGACTCGGCCGGCTTCGTCAACGTGCCCAAGATCAAGGGCACGCACAACGCCATGAAGTCGGGCATGCTGGCCGCCGAGGCCGCGTGGACCGCGCTGAGCAACAACGCCGACGAGGGCTCCGTCTTCCTGTACGACTACGAGGCCAGCCTGCGCGAGAGCTACATCTGGAAGGAGCTGAAGGAGGTGCGCAACCTGCGGCCGTCCTTCCACACGCCGCTGGGCCTGTACGGCGGCGTCATGTGGTCCGGGATCGACACGTTCCTGCTCAAGGGCCGCGTGCCCTGGACATTCAAGCACAAGGTCATGGACCACGCGGCGACCAAGCCCGCCGACAAGTGCACCAAGATCGAGTACGAGAAGCCCGACGGCAAGCTCACCTTCGACATCCTCACCAGTGTCAGCCGCACTGGGACCAACCACGAGGAGGACCAGCCCGTGCACCTGCAGGTCAAGGACTGGGAGAAGCACACCGCCGAGACGTGGCCGCCGTTCAAGGGCCTCGAGAACAGGTTCTGCCCTGCCGGCGTGTACGAGTACGTCGAGGACGCGTTGAAGCCCGAGGGCGTGAGGTTCCAGATCAACGCGCAGAAGTGAGTCTTTATCCCCATTTAAAACCACGCTGCGGCGTGAAAGGCTCCCTCCCCATTTGCTCCTTGCCCCAGGGGCATACCTGTCCTGCCCTTGACCACCCTAGGACAATGAAAATTGACGCTGACGCCCTCTTGCGCCCATTTAGCTGCATACACTGCAAGACATGCGACATCAAGGCGCCCAACCAGGATATCAACTGGCAGGTCCCTCAGGGTGGCGAGGGCCCTAAGTACTACATGACATAGACAGGCAGGAGTGCGAGACTTCTGTAATCATGTATTCAAAGATTAGATGGACCAGGGAAGTGGGCGCATACGGAACAGGACGAGAAGTCCGCAAGAATATTCGAGATGTATGATTGGTGGGCAATCTTTTGGTGTACATATACATTATATCCAGACGGGCCACTCGGAGTAAAAGAGAAAGCAAATATCATCAAGCCACGTCTGCACTTGCCTTGCCTGCCTGCGTGCCTTCCGGCCTTGCCGCTAATCATGTGCCGTGCCATGAGCATCCCCCAAGCGGGAGGCAGGCAAGATTGAGTTCTGAGACCGGACGAAGGCGAGAGATGAACTCTCTCCACGGGGCTCGGGCGGCGGTGGACCTGAGTCGCCCGCACGGAGACTCTCACGGGAAAGACGAAAGCCGAGACAAGAAGGAAAACTTTAGAAAGAAGGAAAACTTTAGAAAGAAGGAAAACTTTAGAAAGAAGGAAGAGTAGCCCCACCGAGGCCACCTCTTCCAAATGAAAGGATTGGACCAAGATTCGAGGTTGGAACGACTCGTGACCGGTCGAGCTCAGTGCAACAGTAACGGAGGAGCGGAGGGCAGGCTTGAGCATACCTTAATATTGAGCACCAGCGGCCGGCGCTGCCGACGACGGCACGGGAAGGAGAAGGCAGGCGCGGTCATAAACCTAAGGAGCACAAGGAGGGCAAGAGAAGAAAAGTGAAGAAGACAGCCAACCGTCCGAACACGGGCTGAGGCCCCAAGCCCGCCTTCCTGCCGCACCGATGTGTCCATGGCAAGCGGCGGCGGGGCCAGCATCTCCGAATATCAGGCCCCCTAGGCTCTAGAGCGGGAAAGGCTGGTTGACTGGGTGGCTTGGGGATGACGACGACCAGCAAGGCAAGGCCAGGCGAGGCGAGGCAGGTAGGACGACGGCAAGCAAGGCGCGAGGCTGGCTAATAGGCCACAGCTTGAACATGGCCTTCCCAGACGGCCAGCCAGCCAGCCTCGTGCGCGGGATGATGTGTGGAGCCCACTGCACCAGGCTAGCCAGTGGCCGCTTTGATGAGCCGGCCAGCTGACACAGTGCACAGCAGGACACTGAGGCGCGGATGATGAGCGCACGGACGAGATGGAGGTCCGGCTCGTCGCGGCCAGCCTCGTGGTAGGTGGCCAGGCGAGCCTTGGTATGCCAGTGTGGCGTCTTGTAAGACTAGCGAGGACGTTCTTGGGTCTCTCGCTGGGCCCAAGCCCCAAGGTACAGGAATACAGTAGGAGCCACAAGCGGCAGAAGACATAAGCGGCCCATCAAGCGAAGCAAAAATGAAGACGGGCACGGACGCACAGCGGAGTCACTTGACTTACAAGCGCCATCGACGCAAGACGCCTGGACGCATGAAAAAAAACCTTCCCCCATCCTCCTCCCGATCTGGTGGCGCAGGGTACGCCACAGCAAGGGGCGGATTACCGGATGGGGCAGGCACGGCAATCAAACGAGAGCGAGCGCGAGCTGGCATGCATGGCGGGTTGGGCTCCTCTTGTTGCTGGTTTGCCGTGGTATACGTATGAGTCTCGGTGACGGATGGATGGACAGACATAGTGTCTCAGCCTCGCGTTTGATGGGCGGGCGCCTGTACGCGCGTCCCAGTGTCAGCCGCAAGCCACCACTTCCCGTCGTCCCAACTTCTGTCACGGCGCGCACACAGTCTCAAGTCAACGTGCAATCCGATCATGATGGCAATGCGCCGCCGTGTTCTGTATATACACAGGCAGACGGGCAGGCAGGAAGGCAGGTGAACAGGCAGGCGAACAGGCCAGACCCAACCACGGCCGGCCCGTCGATGCATAACACAGCGCACCCACGATGTGGCCACTGTGGCCCGATTCGTTCTCAATGCTTACAGGAGACCCTCTCTCATATACAGCCTTTCGCTTGGCCGATCTGGAGTAAAGCCTTGCTATCGGGCGACCGATTCAATGACCCCCCCCCCCAATCGGTACGGGTCCTGACCGGGTGGTGACCTGGTTGGATTGGGGGGGGGGGGCAATATCCGAAGTTGCGAGCTCGCTCCCATGGAGAAGCCTTGATGTTGAGGCTCAACTGACTCGCCCCGCCCACACCTTGCCAAGAACAAGTGTTCAGAAGTCTTGCTGCAGCCGAGTACACGCGCTACAGGTGTGCAGCAAGCTCCTGGACTACTAGGTAGACTTTGATTGTTCTTCGGGATCCCTCTGGTCCACGCTGTCGCCTAGAGAAAGAACAGAAAAGATGGAAAAGAAAAGTTCGAAGCAGCCAAAGCACAGGGTCGGCGTCACCCGTACTGTCACTGTCTTTGCTTCTTTCCCTTCACTGACTGTCGCGAACAGAGCGCGAAACTTGGGCATGCACGCGTTTGGACGTGGGGTGCAGTATAGCGTGCCTGATGTAGCAGCCACGGACGAGCCACGCGACTCTTTGACCTCGGATGCAGCTTCTTCTGGGCAAATCGCAACCGTTGGGCCAGAAAATAGGGGTTGGAAGGGTGACAAGCATCTCCCTTTTTTCAACATGTCAGACTGGTGCTGTGTTCGGGTAGGACTGGCAATAGATCTGATTGATTGCAGGCTGCCAAGCAAGGAGACACAAGACCGTCTTCCATGGTCAGCGACGCCTTCTCATTGGTTTGAGCGAAGGAATGGGCGCCGTGCAACAGTCGGAAATTGGGCCCTCTGCAGGCGCCGAGCAGGAGGCAGAGGAATCAGATGCGGGCGATAAGCGTCGGACAGGGATGCACGAGGGTGAGACGGCGCCGGCGCAAGGAGCTTCTCTTGGTAGTTTTGAAGTTGCATTTGTCGCGCAGCCTTTTTTGCCCTCTCCGCACTACCGTACCAAGGGGGAGGTAGGGAGGGAAGGGGCCTGTGGGGCTTGGACCTCCAGGACCGATCTCCTCGGTTCCCAGCACCAACAACACAATCATCATCATCATCACCATCGTCCCGAGGTCCTTGTTACGGAACGCCCCACACCTAAGCGGAGTGCTCCTTGCTGTAAGAGCTGACAATTCACCACGGCAGAGGAAAAAGAAGGACGGGTGGTGTCTTTGGGCTTCTTCTTTTCGTCTGTTCGTATCCCAGGCGCACAGCAACAGAAGCATCGCATTGTTGCTTATAGTCAAAGGTGCCGGGGGTGGGAGCGGGATGCTGCATCACACGAAAGTAAACGATTGCGTGACGGAGGCCGGTTGCAACAAACAATCTGGAATGACTCATTTCCCAGAAGGGTGGACAAGGCTGGGCCGGCGCCGTCGCTGGTTGGCCAGTCCGTCCGGGTTGGCTCGTGAGCGTGCGCGTGAGAAGAAGAAAAAGGGGGCACGGTCCATCCTCGCATCAGTTGCGGACGGCCGCCGTCGCAGTGGTGGAGGGAGGGATACACAGGCGCAAAAAGGAAAAAAATTGCTGGCTGGTCGCGGCCGGCTGGCTGGGGCTGGGCGCGTACCGGTACATGTCAGACTGGGCCACCCACACTTGGTGTGCATACGACGCTCCCTCGCTCCATAGGCCCAAAGCCTGGGCCGGTGAAGCCACTAAAACTCGGAAACAAGCTGTTAAATCTGGGGCTCTGTGCCCCCTCCCTGCTTTCCCAGCTGGGCCCAGCCCAGGGGCCAACAGAGGCTGAGAGGCAAGGCGCTGGAAATCAAGGAGCCGTCGGTGGCAGGCGCGTTCCAAGTTTGGCTAGCACGATCAACTCACCTCTGGCTCACGCACCCCCTCGTGATGCTGGCCGGACGTCATGATGAGACTTTCAAGTCGTCGTCGTCTTTTGTCCCTGTTCACACAGGCGAGGGCGGAATGATGATAGGTGATGATGATGTTGTTGATGATGGGATGAAAGATGCAGCACCGTCGGGCGTGCCAGTGAAAGGCGGATATCGTTCGTCTGGAAGCGAGGTTGGATAGTCGTCGTGGTTATTGAAATTGGGTTGCGAGAAATAAGCCAACGCGATGCTGGGGAGGTTGCAGGGGAAAGAAGTGATGGGCAGGTTTCCCGGAAGACGAGGCCCAGAATAAGATTGGGATTGCCGGGCTGATGCCTCAGGCCGCCAGACTGAGGTCGGCGTCTCCCACTCAAATTGGGCAACGGACCCCGAAGAGGCGCTGATCAGCAAATCAGGACCAGGACAAGGGACACAGAAGCTTATCTCCGGGGGTGCCAGCTGAACGAGGGTTCTGCATGAACGAAGCCGATCGCGTGCTGTGGACGAGAGAGGCTAGAGAGCCGAGAGCCTGGAGCCTGCAGCCTGGGCTTGAAGCCTGGAGCCTGCATTCGACGGATATACGGGGTGCTGCAGTACTTGCCGCCGCCAGCCCTGTTGGATTGAATTCATGTTGTTGTGATGCAATCCCTCATGTTCCTGCTGCGATAGTGAATGTCGTGACGGTCAGCGCATGTGACAGGCAGGTATGCTGCTGGTGTTCATTCTCATGATTCGGACGCCGAGGTTGGAAGGGCCGATTCGTGGGCGATTCGTAGGGGATCGGGAATGGAGCCTGCATCTGGTGAGGTAAAGCGTGGCCGTCGCATCGGCGGACATCACACAGCAGGCTTGCTTCACAGCCAGGCAGCACTCAGCCTCTTGATTTCTTCTCATGGGTGAGTCAACGCAGTATCGTTGTCGGAGTTGCAGAAGGAGACGGCTTCGTCTCATGTGCTCGATCGCGCGTTCGTTCGGCGACTCGTTCGTTGACGTATCGCTGTATTGGTGGCTCGCTTTCGGTGGCAATCACGACGAGGCTCGATCGTATGATGAAAGGCGGCTTTCGATCTCGCTCTCTTCTCTCGTCCTTCTCTTTTGTTCCTTTTCGTTCGCTCCTGGATCTGTTTGGCTCATGCATCCTGCATCCTGCTGGTGATGATGAAAAGGCATCTACATCCAGCCATGCGGGGCCCGAGTGTTGTGTGGTGCATCGTGGCTCCCGACGGAGTGGTTTGAGACGAGTGGATTTTAGATCAGGAGAAGGGATGTTGGGTATTGTCTGGGTTGTCAGTTGTGGTGTGGTGTGGGCGTGCGCATGTTGGAAGGAGGCATGAAATTTAGGGGGGTGAGAAGGGTGCCATTGTTTCAGAGTTGTGATGGGTTCTGCAGGCCAATGAATGCGGGCAGAGTGAACGGCAGCGGGCGAGACTGGATGAGGGATGACGACTGTGTGGGAATGAGTGGGAGGGAAAAGGAAGCACTGACGCTGAGCGCTACTACTTTTAGACTGGACCGGATTGATTGAGCGGGCGACGGAGTGAATGAGTGGCCAGACTCATCAGACTCGAGTGAGTGAGTGGCAGGAAGCGGTTGGTTGGCTCGCTGCTTCTGCTGTTGGGTGCGTGTTGCTGGGCCACTGGAGGGAAGGTGCCAGGAAGAAGGCAAGCATGGAAGTACCGGTACATGGCATCAAGGAGTGGGGCGGGATGCAAGTTCAACACATGTCCAGGGATGATGCCAATGGAATTCATGCCCATCAGGAAGCGACCCACTTATGCCTGCCCAGCGGCGGCCCCTGATTGGGTGCAGACTCTCGCCAGGGTGGCACTACTGACAGCCGAAAAACTGTGAAATCCGGGTGCCACAGCTGCAATTCCTGCTGATTCCTGCCTGAGGTTGCCACTGCTGCTTCTATAAAGAGGCCAGCACCCCCCAACACCGCCCGATTGCCCATCCTTTTGGAGCGGAAGTCCCGACCGGCCCTACGTATCCCTACATTTAACGTTTGGCCTTGAACCAACTTTTTTCTCACTCCACACCACACACACACCACCAACACACGCTCACCTGCCATCGTCGAGAGCCTCAACCTGGTTTCCCCAAACCGACCTCGGCGACAACGCACAAGCAAACAGCGATCCGTCATCGCACCTGTGGTCCATCGCCATCAATCCTTTCTTTCTTTCCCCTTACCCCGGTCGCGCCTGTGTGTGTGCGCACCGCCCTATTCTCTTTTTCCTAATCCGTCCTTGGCCATAAAGGACCTCATCCTCCAGGTCGACCTTTGTTGCCCTGCCGACCTGTTAAGGCCCCGCCCTCCCACTCTTCTCTCGAGACACCGAGTCTAGGCCCCAGGACCTGCTGCACAGTGCACAGTGCTCTCTGTACTTGAGAAAAAGAAGAGAACGAGAAGACAGAAAGAGAATAGAAAATCCTCATTACCGTACCTGAAGACCAGTCCCAGCCAAGTCGCGCAGCGATTCGAGTCGTTGGTATTACGTCACACACACACCGCACACCTGCACCGCCGAGTCGCGTCGCATCGCATCGCATCTTCGTCGCCGTCAAGTCTAGTCATCTCGATACACTCGACCGACGAAGCTATCAAGCGCCTTGCACCGCATCGCACCGCCTCGCACCGCAGACGCAGTCTCGTGGACAGTACCGACTTCGAAGAATCCGCCTGCCGCCGTGCACCTCGTGTCGTCGTTGTCGTTGTCGTGAGCAGTCGCTGTAGGGGAGACATTCACTTGTTCTTCTCCCACAATTGGTACGTCACCGTGTCTTCCCTGAGGACCGTTGTGAAGCAAACCCTTCCTTTTGGGAGTCGAGTTGGACAGTCGGTTCACTGGCACTGCCCTCCGAGTCACCCGCGCCAAACAGCCTGCCCGCCCTGTCACCGCCCTCAACACCACTTGCCACCGTAGAAATGGACAGGAGGCGATCTCTCCATTTACCTCTTGCCCATGCCGATCTCCCATATGTACCATGCGCCCACTTCCAAAACCATCCTAAATGCGCAACCTCATGGTCTTGGTTAACCTTTGTACTAACTGCGCTCCCCGTCTCAGATCTGCTCGATCCTACTGGCCTAGCATCTGCCACGTTGACAGATTCAACAGTCGCAACCATGGAGGCTATTCAGACCCACCCTGGCAATGCCAACCAGGCCAAGAACTTCATGTCTCCTGGCTCGCTGTCCTTCCCCACTGGCCACAACGAATTGACACCTCCTGGCGACGCTGGTCTCAAGGCTCCTCAGAACGGTGCCCCGGCTGGCTCTCCGCTTGCCAATGGCAATGGTGTTGCGCCTGCCACGCCTGCTGCCACCCCCGGTGCGCAGCAGACCGGCAGCGGCCTGACCCCGACTCTGCAGTAAGTTTTGTCCTTAGGACCAGTCCGCTTATGGGTCTTCATGATTCTTATGCCGTACTCTCAAGGAACATCGTGGCAACTGTCAACCTGGACTGCCGTCTGGATCTGAAGACGATTGCTCTTCATGCTCGCAACGCTGAGTACAGTGAGTATATCCGGAGTCTACATGCTCCACAGGATTACTCACCCTGAAAAATAGATCCCAAGCGATTCGCCGCCGTCATCATGCGTATTCGTGAGCCCAAGACGACCGCCCTGATTTTCGCCAGTGGAAAGATGGTCGTCACTGGTGCCAAATCTGAGGATGACTCCAAGCTTGCTAGCCGCAAGTATGCTCGGATCATCCAGAAGCTCGGTAAGGCATCACTGATCGTGGCGCAACGATGAGTAGACTGTCACTAACACCATCGTTATAGGCTTCAACGCCAAGTTTACCGACTTCAAGATCCAGAACATCGTTGGATCTTGTGATATCAAGTTCCCCATCCGTCTGGAGGGTCTCGCTTCTCGTCACCACAACTTCAGCTCCTACGAGCCTGAGTTGTTCCCCGGTCTTATCTACCGCATGGTCAAGCCCAAGATCGTACTTCTGATCTTCGTTAGCGGCAAGATTGTCCTCACTGGTGCCAAGGTCCGAGACGAGATCTACCACGCTTTCGAGCTGATCTACCCCGTCTTGCAAGATTTCCGCAAGGTCTAGATCACCCAACACCTCCCGTCCTACCGAACCGCCTCTTCCACCTGTAAGATTACGCACATTCATGATTTCACGACGCATACCCCAAACAGGCTCCCGGCTGCTGCGCTCTCGCCCCCCGAGGCAGCACGACACTTGGCTTGTTTGTTGTACCACTTTTTCTCGATTCTGCTTTTTCTATTACAGCATTGCATCGGCGTTACGACAAGGAAGGTTACAGTCGGCACGGACTACACTACGAGGTCTGCGAAGGAAAAACAAAAAATGCCCCACCTATTCCCCCACCCCCCTTTTTACTACACCTCGAAGACGATAGATCGCGCCTTGATCAGGGTGCGCGCGCGCGGAGAAGAGAATCTGCGCGCGAACGCGGGAGTTTTACATAATTATGATGCGGTCCTGGAATGGTCGCAGCGGAGTTGCTCGTTGTGTTTACGAGCAAGTCGGGGTTTTGGGAGAGCGCACACCAGTCGTCACCCATCGGTATTCGGTAAAAGGTTACCCGATGACAAGCTCTCACATCTGCGTGTGGAAAAGGAAAGAAATTGGTTTTGACAGCGCTGTGGCGTTCCTCAACGGAAGCCGTGGATTGAGCGCACTGTACCGCTGGCTTTTGGACTCCTTTGATGGGACTGCCAAGTACATGAATGAGTTGGCACTTCACTGAACATCTGTCCGCTCTGGGCTCTCGACAGCATGTCTCGGTGGACCTTCAGGCTGGGCTTTTAAGTGCCCGGTCGGCGGCAAGTGCTCAGTTTATTTGAGTGTCTTAGTTCCTCCCGCTTTGGTCTCCTGGACGTCTGGTTAGCCGATGATAGATAGCCACCCATGGTTTAATGCCATAACAGTTGCACTCTCACATCTCTCCCCTACCTTTTCCGGTGCACGTACCTGACATGTATGTTCGTACCTCTTTTATTTGTAGATCACAATCGTGACGTCCTCTTGCCAGGGTCCTTCCTCTCCATCTCCTCCCGTAGAATCAAACCCGGCACGCCGCCACGGCTCCCGTCCTCGGTGACCACCTTGTCCCAGGCCGCGGCCCTCTCGGACCCGTCCTTGCGGAAGGACCACTTGCCCCTGAAGGCCTCGGGGCAGCGCCCGAACATGGTGGCGGCGATGCGGTCCCCGATGACGGGCAGGAACTTGAAGCCGTGGCCGCTGCCGCCCGTCGCGAGGAAGAGCGACCTGTAGTCCGGGTGGTAGTCGATGATGAAGTCGCCGTCGACCGTGTCGGTGTACCAGCACAGCTTGGTCTCCCTGAAGGGGCGGTCGCGCAGGGACGGGAGGGGCACCATCTCGAGCATGGCGGCGCGGAGGGCCGCCTCGTCGGCGGGCGGGATGGACTGCGTGGGCGGGTCGGTCAGGTGCGTGGCTGGCGCGGAGATGACGGAGGACGAGGATGATGACTTGGTCGTCGGGTTCAGGTAGCCGTAGGAGTGCCGCGCGACCTTGAGGGTCTTGCCGGCGGGCGTGATGATGAAGTACCCCGTCGACAGGTTCAGCAGCGTTGGCCTGCCGGCCAGCGCCGCCTGCTCCTCGTCCGTCAGGTCCATGTACGCCAGCACCTGGCCCGTGGCCACGGCCCGCCCGCTCAGGTCGACCAGCCCGGGCGTCCAGGCGCCGGTGGCCAGCACCGTCAGGTCCGCCTGCAGCTCGGACCCGTCCGCGAGCCTGACGCCCCGCACCTGCGGCGTGCGCCTGTTGTACGTGCTGCACGCGAGCGAGGCGGCCGTCCCGTTGACGAAGGTGACGCGGCCCGTGGCGCGCACCTGGGCATGCAGCCAGTCCATGCACGCCTCGGCGTCGGCCCACCCTGACCGCCGGTTTATGTAGCCCCAGGCACCGTTGCCGCCGCCCGTGCCGTAGGCATCGCGGATGGCCGAGGGCGAGGGCAGCTCCTCGATCTTAGCCGAGAGGGCGGGGTCGTCGGCGGCCAGGGCGCGGACGTTCTCCCACGAGGTGCGGGCGTAGTCGACGCCGGACGTCTTCCTGGTGGCGTCGTTGGTGGTGATGATCAGCCCGTCCTCCTTGTAACGGCCTTCGCCGCCGCACCCGTCAGGCTGCCGCCATATCTCCTGTGCCTCGGCGGCGAGTGCGGCGTAGGCCGGGTCGGCGTAGTCGGCACGAATGATGCGGGATGTGTCGATGGAGGAGGCGTCACGGCTGGGGAAGACACCTGGCTGCGGGGAGCGGTCGAGGACGGTGATGGTCGTCGACTTGGGCAGGTCTGGGTTGCGGGCCAGAGAGGGCGGTGCTCAGCCCGAAGACGCCCGCGCCGACGATGAGGATGCTGGAGGGCAGTGAGCCATTCTCACTCAGGGGCGAGGGCGGCTTTGCGTTGGTGCTGAAGGGAGATGGAGAAGGCCTGCAGGGTGGGCGGTTAGAGGGAGGAGGAGAGCGAAGGTGTGGAAATGAAAACAGGAGAAAGAGTGAAGAGAAGTGGGAGTTGGCGGCGGAGAGGAAATGGTGGTGGAAAGGGAAGGGGGAGAAAGAAGCTCGGGGGCTGACATTATTTCGGCTGTAAGGGGTAAGTAGACCAATTGGCTCGGGGTCGGTCAAGTCCAGTGGGGGAGATGCAACTCAATGTCAGTCAGCCAGCGCCAGCCCAGACCAAGGCGTGTGCCGTGCTGGTGAGGCTTGGAGGTGATTGGACTCGCGGTCTCGTGTTGCTCGCCTGCTGGCTCGTGCTATTCACGTCCGTTGTGACTTGCTCGGTGGCGTGAGTGGCAGGCGGCGGTCAGGATTCTGGCTCGGCCTGGCTGATCACCGGGCGGCCTGTTTCACAGAGGTTCCCAGATTGTGCTGTCTCAGCGTTGGAATGCGAATAGTATGAGGGCGGTTCTGGCCGCAAGGAGTCCGTGAAACAGATGAGGTTGCCGGCGTGCGGGTGATCTCCTTCAATTTGTGCCAATGCCTTATCTGGCCGTGAGAAAAGCGAGGGGATTGCGTGTGTGCACATTTTATGGTAGCGTGCAAATTCCACGCCGGAGTCGGAGCCGGAGGAGAATGCCATGCGTGCGCTTCGTTCGACTCAGACTGGTCCTCACACTCATCAAGCTCGCTCGCCCTTCCCTGCTCAGTCGCGCAGCTGCGTTGCCCCACGATGAGGCCACCGTCCCCGCCCACGCCCGCTCGGCTTGTCATGGTCTGATGATTTGAACGGGTGGCAGATGGAATCGGACAACCGGCAGTATAAGCTGTCAAGTCCACAGCGACCTCTCTTGAGCTGACACGGCCATGTCATCCATCCGCAGAGAGGCGAAAGTCACTGCTGGCTCCCGAGTCATTCATCAATGGTGGCACTGTGCCGCGTGCTTACTATCGACCACGCTCACTCTCCCTGAAGCTTCATCGCAAGAAGCTGCCGCGGTCAGCAAGTCGTGACGCATGGCTTTCGTCGCCCCAGATTGCGACTGGGAAGGGTCGTGTTGTTGGCGACCAAGGCTTCACTCCGTGATCAGACACAGGACCCGGGGCAGGGCTGACCGTCCCTGACACACCAATGTCAAGAGTGCCCGAAATCCCCAGAAATGATGACGGCGTAAGGTGGATATAATGATGGTGAAGAATACTGGGCTTTCCTGTCCGTGTCTACCAGTGGCAAGTCCTCACGCTTCCAAGGTCGGGCACTCCTCGACCAACAGTAGATGTGCACCGGATCGATCTCAGCCATTGGAGAGGATGCCGCTGTTGTTGCGTTGCGTTGGTGATTGCAGCATGGACGACCCAGTGCTAATGTAAGCGCTCCCTGAGCTCCACCTTGGCTAAGACTTGAGGACAGGCAAACGGCGAACACCAGACTTCCAAGGTCGTTTGTCCTTCGGCTGTTGTGAGAAGATTGGACTGCTGGTTTCCCGCAGAGAGGCATCTTTGTTTGCGAGAAAGAGGGACATCGCTTCCGTGCTATCCAGAGCCGAGTTGATCCTTGTCTCCAACAATAGGCCGTTTTTCGACGCTCACTGGTCCATGCGAGTAGCTTCGCCCTCGTGCAGCTGAGAAAATCAACCGCTATTCAGGAAAATGTCGTGAGTTCATTAGTTGGAAGGGCACAAGGACACCTAGGTAAAGTTATAGATGACAGACAGCTTGAAAGCTCACAGAGACAGCTTCTATTGGGAGATGCTGCCTGCCCAGGCGGTTAGTAAGCCAAGTCTCCAAGAACCATCGGCCGAGCAGGGATCAGCTCCGACCTCCCTTCAACTGGTCCCACCCTGACTTGCTTGTGTTGCACTGCCTGGCCTCGCCTCCAGCAATCAGCCGCGCCTCTCTTTACCTTCAACTCCTCGAGAAGTACAGCTTTCCACCGGGCCACCGCGGCTGATTGACCCGTACTCTCGCACACTCACTCTTTTCTCAGTGCATCGGGTTTCATGCGCCAGTGACAATCATGATAGTAACCGCCGGCCATGTCCGTCCCTAACAAGATCGCTGAGTTCCCCGACGTCGAGGCCAAGCTCCAGAAACCCACGAAACAGTCCGCTTTCGAGCGCCAGAAGGCAGAAGCCGAGGCCAAGAGATTGCGAGAAGCTGCCGAGACCGCCGCAGTCTACGAGGACTTTGTCAAGAGCTTCGACGCCGACGCCGACGATGACGACCGCAACCAGAACGATCGAGGCTCAGGCGGCCTTGGACGTCCGCCGCAGCCAAGGGGTGGCGGGTTTGGAGGAGCAGGAGGAGGACGAAGGCACTTTGGCGCGCCGGCTGGGTTTGGCGGGATGAAAGCCAGCGGGCCAGGATCCCTCGGCCCTGCACCACCGCCCATCAGCTTTGGGAAGAAGAGGACCTACGACGGGTTTCAGACCAACAACGACAGGAGGAGGGACCACTCAGCGCCTGGCTCGGGACGATTTGGTGCCGGATTCGACGACAACGAGCCTGGCTCGAAACCCCTCGCCAAGGCTTTCGACGCGAGCGACGACGAGGAAGAGCACACGGGCCTGGGACGGTCCGAGGAGAAGGCCGTGGCACGCCCGACACTACGACTTGCGAATCTGCCTCCTGCGACGTCTCCTGCCGCGATCAGGGCCCTGATCCCGACGAATTTGGTGGTCGAGGCTGTCAAGATACTCTCTCATACAGCGCCGGGTGTTGCAGGCACGGATCGCAAGTCGATCGCCGCCATTGTGACATTGTCGCAAGAGACTGCGGCGTCTGAGATCGATGCTGCTGTCAGCGCCCTACAGAACCGCTACCTTGGCTTCGGCTACTACTTGTCCCTGCACCGCCATTTATCCTCAGCTGCTATCGCGGCGGGGTCTTTGACAAACGTGACAGCCTCGACAACAACGACTCATCCGTTCGGCGCAAAGCCAGTAGCTCAACCTGGACCCGCAAGTGGGCCAGACACGCGTGGGCGCTTTGCACCCCCATCTTCATATACCCCGATGGGAGCTGTCAACCGCAGCGTCTTGCTGCATGTTCCTATACAACCGCCAAGGGACATTAAACAACTACGCATGATCCACAAGGTAGTGGAGTCGGTGCTCGAGCATGGGCCGGAATTCGAGGCACTACTCATGTCCCGACCTGATGTACAGAAAGAGGAGAAGTGGGCCTGGATCTGGGACGCAAGGTCACAGGGCGGAATATGGTATCGCTGGCGCTTGTGGGAGATTCTCACGGGTGGTGGGCAATCAAGAAGAGAAAGGGGCAAATATCTCCCGCTCTTTGACGGAGGTTCCGCATGGAAAGTGCCTGACAAACAACTGGCATACGAGTACACCACGCGTGTAGACGGATTTGTATCCGAGTCCGAATACGATTCGGAATTTGACGACGATGACGATGACGAGCCGAAGATCACTACCGAGGGAACCAAGGAGCCGGACGAAGTGTTCCTCAACCCGATCGAAAAGGCTAAGCTCGTCCACCTGCTGTCACGGCTGCCGACGACACTGAGCAAGATACGCAAAGGCGACATAGCAAGGATAACCGCGTTCGCGATAATGCATGCGAACCGCGGTGCCGATGAGATAGTCGACCTGATCGTTACGAACCTCGAAAGGCCTCTGTCATTCAGTTCCGCTAATCCAGACCACAACGACGCCGGCCTGGATCAGCAAGGCGACTATTCGAGAGACACGTCACCGACACCGAAGGATTCCGACCCGGCATCCTGTGACACGTCGGGCGCCAAGCTCGTGGCCCTCTACATAATCAGCGACATCCTCTCGTCCTCGTCCACGAGCGGCGTCCGCCACGCCTGGCGGTACCGGCAGCTGCTGGAGGCGGCGCTCAAGGCGCGGCGGTCGTTCGAGGGGCTGGGCCAGCTGCCGGAACGGCTCAGCTGGGGCCGGCTGCGCGCCGAGAAGTGGCGGCGCAGCATTGGGCTCGTCCTCAGCCTGTGGGACGGGTGGTGCGTGTTCCCCAACGACTCGCAGGAGCTGTTCGTGCGCAGTTTCGAGAACCCGCCCAGCCTGCGGAAGGAGGGCGACGACGCCGAGGAGCTCAAGGCCGAGGCAAAGAGGGCCGCCGGGGGGCGCTGGAAGACTGTGGACGCCACGGCTGCGGCGGCGGCGGAAGCATCTGCGACCGAGGATGGGCAGCCGCCGGATGGGGCTGACTCGGACGGGAGCTACGACGAGTATACGGACGACGAGGAGGCCGACAACGAGCTGCTTGTGCGCTACCACATCGACGGGGAGCCGCTGCTTGACATTGATATTGTCGGGCTGGCCCTGGACGGCGGGGAGGACGTGCAGATGGGAGAAGACGGCGATGGGGGGCCCGCACCCGATGTCAAAAAGGCGCAGGAGCCTCCTGACGAGGCCGCCCGCGGCCCGCCCAAGGAGTCCGCTTCGTCATCGTTGGGTCCTGGGGGTAAGCGCAAGCGGGTCACTGCTGCGGATATGTTTGCGGATTCGGACTCGGACTGAATCAGTGGTGACATCCCTCCATAATGAATCACATCATCTTCCTCCACAGTGCTTGGGACTTAATTGCCTGTGTTAAAAGTAATCCATTGACCTGTGTGGTCGATTGCTCACGGAGACCCAGACCTATCCCTGTGACAGATCGAGTTGCGTGGTCTCTTAATTCCACCCACTGATCGTCCTACAGTCCTTTCCCAACCCACTCGCTCACTCCCTCTTGGACTTCTCCCCCCAGCCCAGCCACGACCGCGCCGTGTGCGCATAGAGCACCCCCTGCACACAAACACACGCCCCAAGCGTCCCCGCGACCGCCCGCACACCTTCGGGGTGCACCCAGCCGACGTGGCCGCCAACCCACGCGCTAGAACCGAACAAGACGAAGTCAAACAGGGCGTGGTACAAAACGGACGGCGCCACAGCGCGGAACACATCGCGCCAGCCTGACCTCGGTGACTCGTCCCCGCCAGCGTCCGCGCCCGCGCCCCTGGACGCCGAGAGCACCGCCATCGCGACGTGACCCGGGAGGCCCACGAGGACGCGCTCCGACAGCGTGACGGCCATGGGAGGGCCGGTGGAGGTAGCCGCGGCGGCTTGGACGTAGGCGGCGAGCTCGACGAGGGCGAAGCCCAGGGAGGCGGCTGTCGCGGCGCTCACGGCGGCGCGCTTGTCGAGCTGCCTATCCCGCCCCTCCTGCGCTTGGGCCTTCCTCCGCACCCAGAGGACGGGGAGGTACTTGAGCAGCTCCTCGGGCAGGGCGGCGGAGAAGGGCGCGAAGAGGGCGAGGAAGATGGTGTACCGGGGTTCGCGGGCCATTGCGGCGCGGGATGCCAGCTGCTCGGGCGCGAGGGCGGAGACGTCGGCGCGGAGGAACTCTGTCATGTAGGATCTCGCACCTGTGGGGCCGAAGAGAGCGAGGAGGAAGAGGTAGCCCGTCAGGGACTGGAATGCTGTCATGGCTGCCAGGCCGAGGGTGCCTGAGAGGATGGAGATTGTCGCGAGGGTCTTGAGGGAGGGGCCATCTTGTGCGCCTGAAGGTGAGGTTTCTGATGATGGTGTCGGGGCTGCTGGGGACTTGTCGCTGTCGGATGGGAGGAGGGCCAGGGTGAGGAAGTTGGGGTTGAGGATGTTGATGAGGGGCGAGCGCAGGCCTAGGATGGAGGTGAGCATCTTGGTGGCCTGGGTATCATGTCATATCATTATGTGCCTGTCTGTCAGAGTGCTGCAAGGTGGTGGCCTTCTCAAGGTGGGTGCCTTTATTTGTTTATACCTAGTCGTTGAATGAGTAAGATTGTATACACCATGTACACAATACGTGGTACACTAGTCTCTCAGGTCACCGTCAAAGGATGCGTTTATCATCTCAGGCGGGAGAATTCGGAGCCGAGCTGACAGCTTGGATGGCTGTGCCACAAATTTGCTGTGTATTTCTGTATGCGGCTCGAGAATCTGTGATATGCGACTCCAATGATGAGCTCCGTTGCGTGATGTTAATGTTGGTGGTTTACATGGCTTCTAGGTGTCACATGGCAACACTTGTCGTGCTCAAGGTTGATATGGTTTGAGCTAGAATGTAGTGGGAGCCCGTGGACAGATATCCCCCATAAGCAGAATAGTGCGTTGTGGTATTGGCCGGGACAAAGACGGCAGACCGGCTCTCGCGGGCTGAATGGATGCAGCTTACGGGGGCGGGCTGGCAGGTGGTCAAACGTTGGAGAAGTCTTGGAGAAGACCAACAAGGTGCGCCCAGATTCTCACCGTTGCCATAGATAGCATAGAGGCGCACGGATGTGGCATAGAAGGAACGTTGGCCGCAGGAAGGGGCCATCGAGCAAGGCTAGGTTTACCGTGTGCCCGGTCCTCGGGCCATGTCTAGTCTACATGTAGATACCTGGCAACTCGACCACCCAGAGCTGCCAGATTGATCGATCAATCGATTGATTGCCTATGCATGCACAGGCAGATGTATGCATGTGAAAGAAGAGGACTGCTCCATTAAACCCGACTTGCAGCAGCATGAAGCCAATGAATCCCAATGGACGGGATGGCGAGGTGGGGAGGATCGTCACGCTGGCCGCCTCCAAGACCAAAAAGGAGAGCATGGGTGGGGCCACACTTCAAGGTATCTACATGTGTCAACGGCCACCTACAGTGCCTCGAGAGTGCCCGTCGTAACCCCACTCTCCCATTTTTTAAGGGTCGCGACCCCTCTGATCACTCCTTCCTTCCCTTGTGGTGGCCCTGCCTACTGGCCCGAGCGGCGGTTGATTTCAAACCTGCTCTTGCTGCTGCTACTGCTGCCGCTGCTACCACTATTGCTACTGCTGGCTGGAGCTGGAGACCGTCGGCCTTGGACGGTACATAGAGTAGGCTACAGTCCGTAGTCTAACCGCCGTCGCATTCCGCATCCGCCCCAACTCATCCCGTTACAAACTCAACTCACCGCATCGGTCTACCACGACACCCTCACCGGCAATTGTCCAGCCAGCGCCTGCTCTGTGGTCTGGACCACTGCCTTGCTCGCCTTTCCCAGCTAACACCAGAGAGCACCTCGCATCATTTTTTTGACCCTAGCCGCATCGCAGCGCCAGCATCAAACCCGCCAGGAGAAACATACCCCAAATCCGAAACTCGAAACACTTCAGATCTTCGCAGTAGGCCGACACGGACCGATCTCGCATCGCAACACTTCGCACCTCATCGCACCGTGTCTCGGTCCCGTCGCCGACTTGTTTTCCCCTCCCTTTCAATCTGCAGCCAGGAACTCACAGGCCCCGCTGCCCAGCCTGATAATCATCGTAGTAAACCTTCGAGAAGGCCTTTGGCAACTCATCTCCGGCATCCTCGCGTCGCATCCTATCCAATCCTGTTCCCCTGCTGGCTCTCCTTCTCCCACCTGGACCGAGCTCAGCAAGGCTCGGACCGCCGACGACATGGCCATCTGGGTCGGGAAACAGAAAATGTCATGGTGAGCTTCGTCTCTCTCTGCTCCGTGTCTTCCCGGCTCACCCGTCCTCCCTCTCCTATGCCACGGTCTGTACCACATTGGACCATGAGGCCGGACAAGATGTCTTGTCTTCCTTCCGCTGCGGGTACACGGATGCTCGGAGTTGTACCGTTCAAATGTGACCTCCGAGGTTCTTGTCCGCGGTCGGTGGTGACACTGTGCATCACTCTGTGATCCACCTCTGTCTCACTCGCTTTCTTTCTCATCGACGCCGCTGCCCCTACAGGATCGGCTAGCTGCAGCAAGTAATACTTCTGTCGAGTGTCTCTGATGCTGTCTCTCTCTTACCCCCCATTAACATATCCCTTCTGTATTGCCGCCGCGCCGTGCCGAAGACGCACATTGTACGCCGTGCTCACTGGGACTAACTTGAGTAACAGCCGGTCTTGCATCAAGGGCCATCGCTCCTCGACATGCAATCACCTCGGCGGACCTCTGTGGGCGGTGCGCCCGGCTGGCAGGCCAAATAAGGCTTGCGTCCACGGGCCAGGCGATCTCTGCCTATGCGCTCACTACTTCCCTCTCACGTGGCTGAAGGCTGCCGTCCCACGCAACAAGAAGTGCTCTTGCCAGGGACAAGGGAGCAACGGCAAGAAGTGCATGTGTGGTCACGGTAATGGAGCAGCCGCATCGACCGCGGACGAGGAGACGCAGCCCATCTTTTTCCAGGACCTCGTGGCCCGAGGCCTGCAGGTGACGACTGAGCCTGTTGATATCGACGTGGCTCCGCAACAACCTCCCGCATCCTGTTGCTCGCGCCCCACACCAGCGACGACGCCTGCACCCGCGCCCGCGGCGTCTTCTTGCTGCTCACAGCCCGCCTCGACTACCCCTGTTGCAGCGCCGGCACAATCCTCGTGCTGTTCTCAACCAGTCAAATCTGAAGCTCCCACTCCGGCACCGTTCACGAATGGGAATGGACACATGAAGACCGAGTCATCGTCTTCGGTTACCTTCCCAGCAACGGCACCCGCACCAGCACCGCAATTTCAACCTGCCCCCGACTTCAAGGTGCTAGCAATGACCGCAGCTCAGGCAGCACATGCGAACAGTGGCGACCACATATGCGATTGTGGCCCTACCTGCAACTGTGTTCTCTGCATAGACCACCCTTACAACACCGCTACGATGAACCATATTGCCTCAGAATTCGGGCATATGATGACCACAAACGACTCGACGATGTCACCAACCATCGGCTCCAACGGTGGCGCGACTGCTCCATTCAGCCAAGGATGGCCGTCGAGCAACGGTGCAATGGCCAACAGCATGATGGCACCCGCACAAACCTTCAACGAGGCCATGATGCCACGTCAGTCACCACCGCAGCAACCCACCGACATCTTCCTAAACCCAGCCGACTTCCAAATGTTCAACTTTGCGTTCCCGCTCGACAACATCAACCAGTACGACCCGCAGCCCGACTTCAGCTTTGGGGCGATGCCGCCCGACATGGACATGAGTGGGCTGTGCGGTGGGATGCCTGAGGGCTGTCCCTGTGGCGATGACTGTGCGTGTATAGGATGCCTGGTCCATGGAAAGCCCAGCAACGGGGAATCAACCACGAATTGGAGCTAGCCCTCGGGCTTCTCAACCAGGAGGAGGATGACTACGGGTTTACCAAGCGCGCAAGGCTTTGAAGGAGCTGCTCCCTGAGGTTGTGAAGGAAAAAGGGATGACTGCTTGGGTGTCGACTGCTTTTTGAAAAAAGACTGTATATATTCTTGATACCCTGGGTAAATATGGCACGGAGGAGGGTTGGCAGCCATCTAAGGAAGCATACAGCATGGAGTCAATTTCTGTTCTGATTTTGTGTGGTTATAGTGCGTACGAGCTTGGACATTGGGTCATACTGAAGTGTGGAAATGTTCTTTTAGGCAGCATGATGCACATATGCAATGACAGCATGTTCAATTGTGTCTTTGCTAGGTATCATCCTGCAAGCTACGTCTCGAAATTATTGGAAATGGCTACTAGAAGCCAGGTCCGATAAGATAAGATCAACTGATCAACAGAAATCCCCTGGAGCGCATCACACTAGGACATAGGGCGCCTGGAGATCGACGCTATGAACCCCTGCCAGCCAGGCCGTTGGCCAAGCTTCCAGCGGGGTCGGTCCCTACGACAATGATCTACAGCAGGGGAGGCAAGCCGAGCTCTACCAGTCGACCAGGCGAGGCCAGCAATGTTTCTTCTAAATTCCACTTAGCAAATTTATCTTCCGGCCCAAACACCCGCCTCGAAACATTCGTCAAACAACCATCGTTTTCTAAAACGTCGCTTGAATACCCGCTCGCAGCACGCAATCGGACGCTGCTGTTTTTACAAGACGTACTTGGAAAGATCATCTGAAAACCCCATCCAGAATAGCCCGTCAAGACCGTCTGACGTGGCCGGCCGTGGCCAACCAGGCCTGGAAGATGCCGCGCGACCGCAGGGACGAGCTAGGTGAAGCTCCAAGAGCTGTCCACGGCAGCGAAAGAGAGGGGAGCTATGGCCAGCAGGCACCAGACAGCTATGTTGCTCGGAGGAGGACTCGTTCGAGGTCGAGATCGCCGAGGAGACGGCCTGCTGCCGAAGACTTCTACAGAGAGAGGACGCCAGAGCGTCACGATACCCAGAGCAACAGCCACCACGACCGACACAGAAGACACCGACACCACTCGCGCGATGCAGCCAGCAGATCTCCCAACCCAGGCGACGACCGAAAAAGGCACCATCACCGTCACCACCACCGCCGCCACCGAACGAAGCCAACGGCCAGCACCACCGCCCGAGAAACACCCGCCGACCTGCCCTCCGGCGCGCGGCCGCTGTCCTACAAGCACGACCTCGACGCCTTCACACCGCTGTTCGCGTACTACCTGGACGTGCAGAAGAACCTGGACTTTTATGAGCTGGACTCGCAGCAGGCGCGGGGCCGCTGGAAGAGCTTCGTCAACAAGTGGAACAGGGGGGAGCTAGCAGAGGGCTGGTACGACCCGGAGATGTTCGAGCGCATCTCGCGCGAGGCGCCCCCTCCTGCTGCGCGGACGAGTGCTGCGCGGCAGGGCGACGCGCGGGTGAGGGAGCGAGGCCAATCAACCCCCTCGCGCGGCGCCTCTCCTCCCAACGGCGATGCGGGGCGAGCCATGGACAACGACGACTCAGACTCCGACTACGGCCCGCCTCCGCCTCCAGGCCAGTCCGACCAGACCGCAGGCGGCGCCCGCAAGGGCCCCGGGATCCCCACGCTATCAGACCTAGCCCTGCAGCGCGAGGCAGCCTCCGAGGAACGAGAGTCGCAGCTGAGCAACCTGCGAAACGCGCGCAAGGCCGACCGCGCGCAGCAGAAGGAGCGGCTGGAGGAGCTCGCGCCGCGGGCGGAACCCGGGACGCGCGAGCGCAGGCTGGAGAAGAAGGCGGCCGTCAACGAGAAGATGAAGGGGTTCCGCGAGGGCGCCGGGGACGGCGCGGAGGAGGTGGGCGACGGGGACCTGATGGGCGGGGGGGACTCGGTCGCGGAGCTCAAGAGGGCCAAGGAGTCGATGCAGCGCAAGAAGACGGAGCGGGAGCTGCGGCGGGAGGCGGAGGCGCGGGCGCGCGAGGAGGAGAGGCTCGAGAGGCTGCGGGAGTGGAGGGAGCGGGAGGATGAGAAGCTCAGGGGGCTTAAGGAACTTGCTAGGGCGAGGTTTGGGTAGGATGCGTGCATGCGTGTATTGCGTGGCTTGGATTTACCTTTGATGCTGCTGGTGATGGAGTATTTGAGGGTACTTGGGCAACAATTTGCCCATGGAAGCAGTTCAATATCTTCTGGGCCGTCTATTCATCATGGCAGGGGCGTCTATGTTCTTCAGCGTTGGTGTTGGTATAGCATAACATTACACGTGATACTTGGACATGTCACAGCATGTCCCCAAAGTTGAATACCACTAGGACCACTCAATCTTGCTCCCTTTGGGAAATGCTGTTGTGTTGGTGAGAACCTCATGTCGGCCTACGGTACGCTTGTGTTGACATGGACGGTCACATGACGGCGAGTCGGGCTATTTTGGCCAATTTTCGATATCGGCCGTCTCAACTTCACCGCATCTTGGAACTTTTATGTCCCGCTAATCTTTTACTTTATATATACCTGGAATGTAGAGATTAGATTTCTTATTCATTGATACCCCCTTAGAGCTCTCAAATTCTCACTTATACGTCTTGGCAACGGCTGTCTCCGGCCTGAAGAATTTTTTTCATCCAAGAATCGCCTCATTAGCAACAACAACAACACAAACACAAACCAACCAGGATGCCCCCCTCAGAACACACAGACAGCGGCGACGAGTCCGGGCCGGGAGGGGACCTCTTCGCCGAGCCCGAGGGCTACTACCCGCCGTCCCCGAAGCCCACCAAGCAGACCTTCACCACCAAGGGCGGCGACGTCGTCGACCTGCACCTGGTCGGCTACTCGCCCACCGAGGCGCACCACCTGTGGAACGGGTCCCGCGTCGCGGCGCAGTACTTCGAGGCCGACCCGGCGGGGACCGTGAGGGGCCGGAACGTGCTGGAGCTGGGCGCCGGGGCCGGGCTGCCGTCTCTCGTGGCCGCGGCGCTCGGGGCGCGGCGGGTCGTCATGACGGATTTCCCTGACGCGGATATCCTGGCGACGATGGAGAAGAACATTGCCGAGTGCATCATCCCCCCTCAGGCAGCAGCAGGCGGGGCGGCGGGGACAAAGGCGGGCGTCATCGTCTCCAAGGGCTTCGTCTGGGGCTTCGACCCGCAGCCCCTCCTGGCGGAGCTGCCCGCCCCGCGCCCCAGGTTCGACGTGCTCATCCTCGCGGACCTGCTGTTCCGGCACTCGGAGCACGGCAAGCTGCTCGACACGATCCGCGACACGATGGCGCGGGGCCCCGGGGCAAAGGCGTACGTGTTCTTCACCAGCTACCGGCCGTGGCTCGCGCACAAGGACATGGCATTCTTCGACCTCGCGCGGGCGAGGGGGTTCGCGGTTGACAAGATCCTCGAGCGCAAGATGGACCGCCCGCTGTTCGAGGACGACCCGGGCGACGAGGAGGTGCGCAAGACGTGTACCGGGTGGGTTGTGCGGTGGCCCGCCGAGGGGGAGGTGGCTGAGGCTTGATGCGGGATGTTTTTGGTGGCTCTTGATCCCTGGGGAGGAGGGGCTGATGTCCAGCTTCGCATCCACCGGGTTGTACATCTGCGCGGTAGACTGGGCCTTGGACAGACTGCGCCCCCATCGTGAGCACCACAGTCTTTGGCCCCAGAACAAGCTTCTCGGGAGCAGCACAGTCGAACAGTGGCCGCGAATGCACGACACATCAGCCAGAACCTGATACCGGCTGCCTACGACTAAGAGACAGCTTTATGGAAACTGCGAGTCTCGGATGAGCCTACCAGCCCTCCCCCAGACAAGCAGAATGCTCTAGGCTAGGGCGATGGGTGGCAGCGCCGCGTACAGACGCGGTGAGCGGATGCCGTTCTTGCCCCGCGTCATGCGCCGCTGACGGGCTGCCTATATACTACGCGGCAACGTTCACGAAGGCGGGGGATGGAGAAGACAATGGAAAGGCGCCTGGGTTCCTCATGCTGGATGCTGAGAAACAGCGGTACAGCGACGCTGTGAAATGGGACCGAGTGTGCTTCTTCTCACTCTACACGGCCATGCCCAATGGACCTTTTGACCGATACGGTGAACCTGCTCCAGGGTTAGGTTGATATGAGCACCAGGTGTTATCAGCACAGATTTCTGTGCCGTATAGTTGCATAAAACATTCCAAAACTTGTCCAGTTTGACTGTTTGTGTCGATGGCAGTCCTCCAAATTGTCTCTAGCGACGTTGGAGTGCCTTTGTGAACAGCTATGAGGCGTGAGATTGACACTACCATAAGGTCTGGCCAGTAGATGTTAAAGAAGAAGGCAAAAAGGAGAAAACTGAAATAGAATAGCAAAAGATGATGAACAGGGCAACGTTCAACCATCATACTCTGGCCGGGCAGTCCTTTGCAGGATAACGCGGTAATATATTTGATGCCCAACTTGGAACCAGAGATGGGATCGAGGATGGGCAGTCCACCAAGGGTGAGTGGGAGAGCCAGGCGAAGAAGCTTCGAAGGGAGTACCTGCAGGAATTTGTGCAGCCCACCCGGCTTGCTATGCAATGGTCAAAAGCAAAAGGCAGTGATTTCGTGAGTGATGATCGACGCAAGTGTAGCTTCCGTTGAGGCGAAGCGTATGCTCTAATTTCCTGCCCTGGCATGCCCAATTGGACGAGATACGTATCTGGATGGCGAGTGTAGACTCCTACATTATTACACATTACACCTCGACCTGCCCACATCTACGCCATCGTAATCGTGCCCGCTGCTTACTACGGCGGTACCTCGTGTCTGCGTGAAAGATCGTTTCTCGAAGTAGCATCGCCGCCCATCATCGCGGCCCGTCTCCAAGTGAAGGACCCACTGCCTTTAGTGTCGAGAAGCGATCTGAAAAGACTGGTGTCGCCCAAGGACAGGACTGCTTCCTGTTCTGTCCACGTTGTTGCTTCGCCGGGAGTCCGTAGACCACCCGTCACACGGGCGTGTATCCGTTGGATCCATAAAAGTTTGGAGTTGTTTATTCGCAGCTCATCTCGGCCTCACTCAAGGCGCCGGCCCATTGGGCAGCCCCAGCCCAGCGTCATATTTCACCGTCTCGTGGTACAAGCTTCCAGGCCTGCTGGAATACTCTGGCGGGTGGTTCTGGCTGCCGCCCGGGCGGAACCCGTCCGTGACGATGAACGCATTCGCGTTGAAGGACGAGCTGGTCGAGGTGGACCACCTCCTCGGCGCTTCAGAAGAGGAGCCGGGCAGCGGGGGCGGCGGGAGCGAGCCCCGCGATATGACGGAGTCGGTATCAGGGAGCGATATCCCTGAGCGGATCGAGTCGGCGTCGCTGTTGCTGGCTACGGTGGTCACGTCCCACGAGGAGCAGCGGCTGACTTGGGTGGATGACACGGACAGGGACCGCGAGCTGGAGCCTGTGCTGCTACTCTGGGGCGTGTCGTCTTGGAGGGACACTTGTACCCATTGTGACTGCCCATGAGTTACCCTGCTGTGGTAGGATGGCGCGGCGGATCGGATAGATCCGGGCGACGGAGACCTCGACGGGTTGTGATGGCTCCTGCTCGACAGTGATGAGGGTCGACCGCTTGCCAAGACGATGGACGACCGTCTACTTGAGACGGATCGGCGTTCAATATGTTCAGTTCCGTGGCTGAGCTTTTCACTGTCCACGACAGTGGATGCTTCATGTTGCTGGAGGTACAGTACCGACAGGAGGATAGAGAAGGTGTAGGAGAAGCTATCCAAATATCAGTTACCAGCATCCAGCGAAATGATTCAAAACTTTTCCGTATTCCCGTCTTACATTGCAACTACGGAGAGACCGTAGACAGTCCTGGGGAAGGTGCAGAGCGCGTCGAGCTCGCCCAAGACCTCCTTGGTCAACGACCCAAAGCGGATGGTTGTGAAGCCGTCGGTGGGTTGGCGGACGAGGTCGTTGCCATCGTCTAACAGGAGTGTCAGTCATACTTCATGAGGGTAATCTGTGGCCTAAAGTAGTAATGGCAGGGTGACGGTGCAAGACAAAGCAACGGGACTCACAGTTGTCCCTGGTGAGACCGTGGCAGTCGGCCGGGAGGCCGGAATAGGCCAAGATCGTGATCTTGGCCAGGTTGATGCCCATGATGGTCAGGTCAGTGGGCACAGACATGACGGCAAAGACGCGCCATGTTCGAAGGCCGAGAGTCTTAAAGACATGGACACAGCACACGACAACTGTCGAGTAGGCGAGCGATACGAGGCCCTAGGAGATCGAGAAGGTCGGGTAAGTACAAATATCACTATAACAATGGCCATGGACAAAACAAGAAGCACGAAGCATACCAGGATCTGGACCCCTCGCATGCGGTCATTCGCACCCAGTCTATTTTTCTGGATGTGGTCATAAAGCAGGCTGAAGGAGGCATAGACGAAGAAAGACGAGGACCACTGCCATATCCGGATCGCAGTCAGGCAGAACCCCACGGCATTGAACCTCCTAGGAGGCGGCACCGGCTTCTCATCCATGATGGACTATGTGTAGTGTCCACGACTCAATTGCGTAGACCTTTGGGCGATAGTTCGTGAACGGTGGGTCCCGGGCGAGTAGGCAGAGGCCAGGATGGGAGTGCCTGTCCCGGAACGGAATGCAGGCGGTTCACGCTGGATGACGGGCCGGAAGTAACGGGTGTTTGGTCTCCCAGCGGCCTTGGGGGAGGGAGGTGAGATGGATGGCCCGTCTGCCGGTCAGCAGAGGCGAATACCACAGCCGACGCGCATCGAAGACGCTACACAATGCAATGAATGCGATGCTATGTTATGCCATGCAGACAACGCTGTCGTTGCAGCGAGGAAACGAACCACAGGAGACCGACCGACTGATGAGGAATCAGATGCCAAATGCGAGTATCCAGTCGAAAATCGAGGGACAGAAAGACCAAGCTGGCCTGATGGTCGAGGTGTCCAAAATCAAGTCTTGTTCCAGTCCAGCTCAGCCTCACTCTTTCCAGTTGATTGTTAGTCCGTCCTCCTCCTTCCCCTCCAGAGCATTTGCCCGTTCGTGTCAGAAACGCTGCTGCCTGTGCCGTCAAGCCATTGGGTTTTGAAAGAGCCAATCACGACGGACACCCACTGTCTAAGCCACCGTCGAGGGAGACCCGGTGACAGGGATGCCCGCTCACTGCTACTCTGCCAACCCGAACCCCCGACTCCTCTCAACCTCCTCGTCCTGCCATCTCCCTCTCAAGCTGATGTTTGCTGTGCCACTTTGCCCACACTTGTCCCCCCACTACGTCGTAGGGATGACAACCTTATTTGCTCTGTTTCCCCCGGCTCCTGCAGCTAGTCCTTCCGTGGCTGCCGGTGACGCGTCCCTCTGTCTGACCATCCATCCCACCGGAGTTCACCAAGGTCAGTATGTGTTCGAGGAGTCCAACTCGTTGCTGATGTGATGCCACGCGCTGCCGTCACCTCTCGACTCCCACGACGATCTTGTCAAACCTTTGGCCTGCTGTCTTGTCCGCTGTGGCGCTCGTCGGGTCTGAATATAAGTAAGATCCGATGCGCTGGCGGCAATCCTTGGTTCGGGACCCTCGTTCTACCCGCTTCTTGATGCTGTTGTCGCTCTCTCATCTCTTGTGGGAACCGAGCGAGACCACAAGAGGCCGTCATCTGAATTCTCCTGCTTGGTGAGACACAGGGCACACACACACACTTACGGACAGACCGCCTCTTGGCTTGATTTCCTATTTCATGGTCTTTGGCGCGAGTTGCCAGACATTGCTCCCAATCGAGATAACCGCGTGCTTGCACCGCCTGCCTGCCTCTATTTTGAGCATGGGGGCTGTTGGCGTTGGCTTGCTGGGTCCATCAACCAACCGCCCGAGACCACTCAAGCCCCGTCGAGTTTGCTTGACCGGCCCGCACCTGGGACCATGATAACAGCCATCAGATATGGAAAAACCAGGTTTCCAGCTCAGAAGGTCATCACGAGCAAAAGCTTGCACGCCATAAGCTCACAGTGTCGAGCCACGGCGTCTTGCTCAGAGCCCGGACAACCCCCAAATCATAACTGGCGCACTGACTTTGTCCCTGTCCAACCACGGCGTGGGGCCACCCGCTACACCTGCATCGTACGGCCCCCGAACGCGGCTCTGAACCCGAGAGGCGCCCCCTTGTGCCGAAGCCTTGGTCTGCAGCTGCAGTAGTAGCCCTCGAGCTACAATGCACGAGGGCGGCACTGCGTACGGAAACAAAGTTGTGATCTATTCGCTGCAGAGGCCGGGCTTCAGCTCCCCCGGACATAGGTCCAACATAGGTCTACTCTCTAGTATACAGCCCACCTGTCTGCATGCCAGCCTTGGTTGGGTGGCTGCTTGCTGCATCTGGGCGCTCGCCCGGCCCCAGTCCTTTGGTGACCGGGAGGAGCACAGCAGCACACAGCCCCGGGATCGCCTCTTACATACATATCACCTCACTTTCCAGCTCTTCCAGCTGGTTGTCATGTAGCACCGCATGGGCTAGTCTTTGCGAGGGTCAAATCCGTCAAAACCCTCCCTGCGTCCCCAGCCGGGTGTGCTCTTACTCACCATCTCTGCCTTTTACCCCCATCTCCCGCCTGTTTTATCCCTTGACTGCCCTCCGCCCTTTGGTGCTGCCTGTCTGTTACCTTAATTGCTCTCCTTGCCTTCAGTGCCGCCTCCCAGGCCAGTCCATGTTCTTTGGCTCCGTATAAGACCTTCACGATGGGCTGGGGGCTCATGCGATGGATAGTCTCGGTGCGAGCCGTGCAGCTCATGGGCTCCTTCATCCCGGGCGCACTCAACGGGTGGCTGCTTTACTACATCTATTCCAAGAGTATCGGGTTTGAGCAGTCAATGGTTATCCTGCAGATACTAGTATGTTGTCTCCACCGGCTGCTGATCACCACTCCTCACATGTCCTCCTCCCCTTCTGGTCTTAGAATGACCATCAGTAGCCGTGAACGCCTCGCGCACTGATTGGCACACCATGTCTGACCAATATCATAGATCACTCTCGTTTTCTTTTACACATTACTGTCGCTCCTGGTGAACGGCTACAAGCGCTCTCAACGGGCAGCATGGATGACTGGTAGCATATTCTTTGACGTCGTGTTCTGCTTTTTCGCCGTGGCTATCATTTCTATACTTGCCTACACAGGACTCCCGTCCAACTGTAGTGGACTGTCAAAAACAATACCTGGTATGACTCTCTACACTAGACCGTCATCAGGCACTCGCTGACAAAATCTCTGTTGATTCAGTGGATGCGGAAGACGTACATCTTCAGAAGGGAGGATTCAACGAGATCGGTTTCAGCAACATGCAGGGTGATAACAATGGCACGTTAGATCAGTACTGTGGCATGGAACGCGCCTTCTACTTTATCGCTCTGTGTATCATGTACGTTCACCGCATATCAACTGACCTATTTGTAGTGCCTTTTACTAATACCATGCGCAGCCTGAGCTATATCATCACTATCATACTGTCGGTCATTCGCGTGTGTCAACTGCGGATGTATTCCAAGGACGAGGTCGACGGGCTTCTCAAGGAGCGCGAGGACATGATCAATCTGGAGCACAAACTCCAGGACCAGGAGGCAGCCTCGACGCCGGCGCCGACGCCTGCGCAGAACGTGTCACCAGTCGCGCCCCAGAGCAATGGTGCTTTTGCAGCGACCAACACCCGCTCCAATACTCATCCCAGTCCAGCGTCGAGGACAAGGTACCAGACGACACCCTCGTCATCGAGCCGGCCCGCGCGCCCGGGGCTGCGACACGCCGCCGACTCGCAGCCCGGGCCCTCATCATCATCGTCCTCGTCCTCATACAACAACCGCGCGCGGCAACCCGCCGAGCCCGTCTCCCCGCTCTCGCCAGACTCCCCGATCTCCTCCACGGCGCCCCTGCCGCACGACCGGGGCTTCATCCTGTCCGCGACGGACGTGAGCGCCAACCTGGCCATGGTCGCCGATGGCTCGCGGTACACGCCGCAGCACCACCAGCATGGCTCCGACCACAACCAGCTGCCGCCGTACTCGCCGGGGAACAACATGCGGGCGACGATGCACGGGCACGGCGGGGAGAGCAATGACATACGGCTGAGCGAGTACGTCAAAGGGGCGACTGCGGCGCAGGACATGAAGGATTCGAATGGGTTCTGAGGGCGGGTCCCCCATGGTGAAAAATGGAGAAGAGGGGGGGGGGGTTGTGTGTTCGGAGTTGTCTGGATTGGTTATGGAAGAGTTATTTCAACCGGAGGTCAATCATACTGAATTATACGGCGTCAACGACGGTCGTGAGTATGGACTCTAGAGGCTTTGTAAGAAAATGAATAATGAATCAAACTACAAATGACACTCCTAGAGCGGTATTTCTATTAGAAGGTCATCTGTGATCCCACACTTATTAACTGAATATTCATCAATTCAGTTACAAATTCAGTTTTCCTGGACGAGACTTCGTTTTATCAACAAGACGATAAGAGGAACCAAGGTTGCTTCCACTGTCTTGAGGCCTCAATTCGGAGCCAAGAGCCATATGCTCATCACGAACCAACTTTCGCCACATCAGTCATGGCCCTTTGCCGACCTTGGATGGAAACAATGTGCTGTGCCACACAGGAACTGAAGCAATCACAGGGACGTCTACTGTCGATATTCTCTGAAGCGACAGCTGAAGACAAAAGAAAAAGACATGGCAAGCATTGAACAGATAAAACCCAACACCATGCCTCTACACCTCCCCGGTCCACCCTTGTGCTGCCGCCCTCTCCTGCGCCCACAGCGGCCCTCTGTCCCGTTCTTCTTAGACCCGGCCCTGGACGGCAAGGCCACGGCTCTCCCTTGTGGGCCACCGTCTCGACGCCGCGGCGCTGAAGCGGTCGGCAGCGGCGGTCACCTCTCAACAGTCTCCACCGCATCCGGTGCCAGTGCCTTTGGCGTCAAGATGCCGAGGGCATTCCCGGACCTGGTCCCCTCCCGAGTTCTCTGCGGTCATGGTGCAGGCTTGGAAGGAGTCGAGGACATGTGGTTGCGTCCTGGGTTGCTGTCGGCGTGATTCTGGGGGGGGGGGTCAGGTGCGTTACTTGGACGTTCTTTCTTCCGTGCCGTGTCTTCGTCTCGCGGTTGACCAAGCAAGGAAGCCACGAGTGAAGAGGCACGATCGGGATATAGAAAGGGAATCACGTCTTACTAGCTTGGCCATCAGACTAAGGGTTGACCGCGAAGGCCGGAGAAAACGCAACAATAGCAGTGGGAAGGACGATTTGACCAGATGGCCATGCCATTACATGGGCGACTGAGTTAGTATTGGCTTTCCATCTCTTTGACTGTCTAGGTACTACTACTGGCTCTGTTGGCGCTTCGAAGCGTGCATGGATGACTACGTAAGGGTCTGGAAGGAGTAGTTGATCATTCTGCTCGTCATGCCAAAGACACGTCGGCGAATGTTGCGCTCCTAGACGGCAGAATCACGACGCCGAGAATCATATTTATCCCTCATTGCCCACCATCGGCAGGTGTCACTTGCCTGTGCTGCTCCAGATAGGAGAACATCTGCTTGTCCCTGCCGCCTGGCAGAATGAACTCCCGCGTGGTTGTTTCCTCTGATCGCCTCTGCCATCTGAATCAACGGTAGGAGTGGACGTTTCGTTCTTGAGATCCCGCAATTTGCTCTTTCCTACTCTCGCAGCAATGTTGTTGTTGGACGAGTCTCGCTCTTGATTCTTAAGTTCTCCCACTTCGTCCTGCCGGCCCGTTTCTTCTCTTCTTCTCTTCATCTCTCCATCTCCGCCACATTCGGCATTTGCAGCAACGCAGACAAACAATCAGCACGATGACAGCCATCACAGACCGGACAGCACCTTGGCCACCCTTGATGACACTTGCCATCCCTTGTGTTCATTTCCATGTCTGTTCCAGCCCTGCATCAGTCACATCTTCTCACTTGTCAGCGGGCTCGCCCTCCTGTTGTCTCAGTCACCCGCCTTCGGTTCCCCACCCATGCAGCAAGCTGCTCCGGGCAGTGCACTGCCGCGGTGCTCGCGATGCTCACGGTCGTGGGGAGGCAGGGATTTCTCATCATAGACATGCCCTCCATCATGAACAAACCAAAAGGTGGGTATCGTGATGAAGGATGGCGCGCCTGAACTGAGCTCCTTTTTTTGCTAAGATGAAGAAAGCCGTATCTGGAGCAACTCGCGGTTTTTTCCCTTTTGGATTCTTTTCCTGCGACCCACCAGCTTTATGCTGATGGAAAAAACCTCTCTTCTTTTTAGGTGCCCGCCCTCGCTCTCGACGGTCTCAGCCTGGCTGGTCACGGATGGAGCTAGTGTGGGTTCGTCGTGGGCTGGGCGGTGGTGTCGGGTGGGTGGCAACTTCAGTTCGCACAGCCTTAGCGTTGCACTTGGACAGATGAATGACCTGTCGTGTAGCTCTTGGCATTGAATTGCATTTGGTTTTGGTTCAATATTATGTCCACCATTGCAATCTCGTGACATGCTTTTCATGCACTCTTCGCGCCCGCACGCAACGCAAGCGTTCCTTGGTCGGTCTCTCTTCACATGGTTGTTGGTTAGTCCGTCCACTCACATGTACGTTGGGAAACCAGTTTATCGCGCCCGTGTTGCAGCCAAGGAATTCACGGTGGACAACCGATATGCCTGCTATCTCATACCGAGTCTAATGTCTTGTGGAGTAGTGGCCGTCCCAAATGTCCCGAGAATTCACAGGCTCCGCGCTCGGGGCCGAAAAGACGGCACTTGGCTCGTATCACAGCAGCAGATCGTCATGATCAACATATATAAGCTTATCACGCATGTACGTCGGTGAACTTAGTGCTGACCAGGCACAGTTCCCGAGCAGGATCCCAAATCGGATACCTATGATTATTTATACCCTGCCTAGATAGAAACCTCGCGGAATTAAGCACGCATGAGCTCCGACCCCGACGCCGAGGCCGCATAGCTCGGAGGGCGGTCCTCCAGGGCGCGGCCCCAGCTCGGTGACTCTGCGGTCCCGAGGCTCACCTCGACCGTCCACCCCTCGGTGAAGACCTCGTGCCCGATCCAGCTCCGGGACCACGGCTGGCCGTTGACGGTGACGTTCTGGACGTATATGCTCTCGTACGCCGGGTCCCACCCGTCCACGACCCTCACCGTGGCCGTCCTGCCAGTGACGGGGTGCGTGGCGCTCACGGAGCGGAAGAAGGGCGCCGAGATGAGGTAGACGTCCTGGCCCGCGACGGGGAACAGGCCCAGCATGGAGAAGAAGATGAAGCTGCCCATGGCGCCCGAGTCGTCGTTTCCTGGCAGGCCCCCCGGGGTCGCGCTGAAGGACCCGGGGATGTACCCGTGGATCCTCGCCGCCGACAGCCCCGGCCGCCCGGCGTAGTGGTACAGCCAGACTGTCGAGAACACCGGCTCGTTGGAGATGTCGGCGAGCGCGGAGCCGTGGAAGTAGGACAGGCGCGCCACGAAGGCGTCGTCGCCGCCCATGCGCGATATTAGCCCTGCCGTGTCGTGCGCGACTAGGAACTGGTACTGCCAGATGCTGGCCTCGAAGGTCTCGGACGGGTTGGTCGTCAGGGAGCAGAAGCCCGCCAGCGTGGAGCAGGCGATCGGGTCCTGGAAGCCCCAGGTGCCGTTGGCGTATTTGGGCTGGAAGAATCCCTGGAAGCCAGTGTCGGTGCCGTTGATGAGGGACGTCTGGTCCTCGCGCCACAGGTTCTGCCAGTTGCTGCTCCTCTCGAAGTACTTGGTATACATATCCTGCCTCCCGAGCCCCTGCGCGATCGTGGCGAGGTTGAAGTCGTTGTACGAGTACTCGAGCGTGCGCGAGATGCTCCGCGAGTTGGTGCCGAATCCCGCCGGGTCGAAGTCCAGGTAGGGGATGTAGCCCAGGCTCTTCCAGCTGGCTAGTCCGCCGCGGCCCTGCTTGGACCACTCGAGCGGCTCGACCTCTGCATCCTTGGTGACCGCCTCGAGGGCGAGGTCCCAGTCGATACTGGACGAGAGGTTCTTGACGTACGCATCAGCCAGAACAACGTCAGCGTTGGAACCGCCCTGCGTCCAGCCGTTGCACAGGGACATGTGGCAGTCGGGCAGCCAGCCCTCGTGGCGGTACGTGTCGAGCAGCGAGCTGACCATCTGCGCCTGGGCCGCCGGGTCGATGATGGTGAGCAACGGGTGCTGAACGCGGAACGAGTCCCAGATGCAGTAGTACGAGTCGAAGTACGGGATGCCGCTGTCCCAGTGCGGGTTCTCGCCCGTGTAGTTCTGCGGCGACATCATCGCCCTGTATATCCCGCTCCAGAAGCTGGTCTGGAGGCCGGTGCTTGCGCCTCCCGCGTCTACTGACACCGGGCTTAGCTTCTGCCTCCATGAGTCCTGTGCTGTGCTGACGAGCGAGTCGAAGTCTTCGGTTGGGTTGGGAATTTCGGACTCGGCGGTGCTGCAGGCCTGCTCTGAGCTGATGAAACTGATTCCCATCCGGGCTGTGACTACGTTGTCTGCTAGTCCTGAGAACCTGGCAAAGCCGCCTGCCTCGAGATAGAACAGGTTGAATCCCCTGGTCACAAACAAATCCTTTGGCTCCGTCCCTGCCCGGTTATTCACCCAGACGCCGTTCTCATACATGTCCGCCTCAAAGAAGTCCACGCAGAAGTGCATCACGTAGGACCCGGCTCCGAAGCTCGGCAGGAATGTTCCATTGCCAGTCATGCGGCCGGTGTCCGAGTCAACACTGACGGAAGCATTCTGGCGGCTCTGCCAGAGGTCCGTCAAGTCCAACAAGACCAACGGGTGCGAGGCATTCCCACCATCCCCCAAAGCTGCCGAGAAGTCAAACCGATACAGCGCCGTCCGCTCCGCAACCGTCATCTCGGCACCGACACCGGACTGCAGCCGCACGCTGAAGTAGCCAGGCCGGGCGACCACGCTGCCATTGACATACGGCAGCTTCCTATCGCCGACGCGGAAGCTGCAGCTGTTCACGTCGGCGTCGTCCGGGCACACCTGCGGGAACAGCGGGAAGTTGCCCAGGCTGGGGTTCCCGCCCGTCCCGGAGTCGTGGGCCGAGCTGAAGCCCGTGACGTTGCTGCCGTCCGTGGAGAAGCCGCCCGTGTTCTGGCCGTCGACGTCGGCCACGGCCTTGGCGAGGCCGTAGGGGAGGGAGGCGCCCGCGAAGACATTGCCGCCGTTTGTGGAGCCTATGAGGGGGTCGACGAATGCCAGGGGGTCGGAGGTGGTGTTTGTGGTGTTTTGAGCTAGGACCTGGAGGGAGAGGATGGCTGGAATGATGATCAGGAGGGAAGCCATGCTCGAAATAGCTTGATAGGTAGGGAGCAGTCTAAAGAGCGACCGGGCAGTTCAGAAGCGTTTTCAGGTGTTGACACCCGTGGATTCCAAAATGGTGTATGAGGGGTCGGGGTGAAGGCACTCGCAGTAGTCGATGTTGACAGACGTGCTACCTGCCCCTGATGACCTGAAGAGACCACCTAGCAAGAACGACCGAAAAGTCTGCCATACGAATTGCTGTATAGAGCGAGGACAACTTCAATGCCACACCAAGCATGGTAAACAAATGTTCGAACCCCATGATGAAGATCAGTGACGATACTGTTCGTCCCATGTCTCCGCATTTTACGCGGTTCCCTGTCCACGGTTACGTCGACGAATAGCGATGGCCCCTACCCCGCGTGAGGCCTAGAAATGGCAGGTAGTTTGGCTTTTCTAGATACGGGGAAATTAGATGAGTTGCAGATCTCAGACCGGGGTTTGCAATTTTGTTCTCGGAGAACTACTTTTAGATCGCGTAGCAAGTCATCCTGACGTTCAGGCACTGGCATATAATAGTGTATTGTTCTCGGAAGACGTTGAACAGTCCAGGGTTTCTTGGCGCCTCTGGCTGCTTGTGGATTCTTGTTGTCAGTACATAGCATGGGTAACATTTGAAGGCGATGCCGTGGCTGCATCGAAACTGCATGTGGTCTGGTCTTTTCCACGCTAAATTTAGCCCTCCTCTTGAGTGGCGTGCGAGGAAGTAGAAGAATTCGAGCATTGATGCAGGCTGTGTTGATGAACCAACAGAAAGGCTGGCTTCACATTCAGTGGAACGCGAGACAGGTCAGTGCTCCGAGGACGTCGCACGAGCCATAGCCTGCTTCTACAGACCGAGTCGAAGACGCCCACGTCTCTCGAAGACACGGTACTGGTGTCCCTTCATTGGTCTTCCAGATGAGGCCTCGGCAGAGGTGGTAAAACAGGAGCCAAATGCATGATAAATTACTGCTACACGTGCAGTCCTGCCCCCCCTCGCCGCTGACTTCTTCCTCCTGCCAAATGTCTTAAGCCCGGGCACACGCAACTCGAACAGCGGAATACCATGTGTCTAGACACCTTTCCTCATACATCCGCATAGGCAAGAGGTCAGACATGTCGACACGCACACCATACAAGTACAGTCTACCTGATTCCGAGCAGTTCCGTGTCATCCGTGTCGCTGCTGGCCGGTGGCACGACCCCATTCGGTGCAAGCTCATTCGGCCTGAGCTTGATGAGGCCTTCTGCTTCAAGAGTTCTCTGACCGCCAGGCTAGTGATGACCGTGACAAGGTGTACGGCCTCCTCAGTCTTGTGAAACAAGAGGAGCGTTACATAGAGCCCAATTACAGACTCGACGTCTTTGAGGCCTACCGAGCCACGGTCCTCGCTCTTATCAGGAAGGGGGGGGGGGGTCTTTGGCATGCTGGGCGGGCGACCAGAAACGCAAGTTCAACAGAGGGCTTCCATCGTGGATTCCGGATTGGAGTACCGCTGTCGACACTGGTGACAAACGCCGCATGGACCTCTTCAATCACTACGACGTGAACCGTGGTTAGACTCTTCGGATTATTGAGGATGAGAAGGAATATTGGACCACGGTCGAAAGCCAAACGGGACTACTTGTGAATAGCCCAGCCAGTCGCGCTGGAAGACTGCCAGCGTCGTTGCGCCCCTTCGTACTTGAGTACATCGAACTTCTCACCCAGCGGGCGAGATCAATGCGGCCTGACAGTGTCGACCCTGATGAGTTTCACCGACTTGGTCTTCACAACCCCACATTGAACCAGCGGCAAGTGATCAAATATCGCTCAGCTCTGGTATGCCCAGAATATTACGAGGACCACAGGACTTATGAGTACCACAGGACTCTTCTTGACATCAACTTGGACGCGATAAAGCGATGGATGAGTGAAGTGAGACCTCGTGTAGACCAAGCTGCCCACCTCGCTTCCGTGGCCAAGTACACGCCAATGTGCGAGATAATCAACCAGCGTCTGATACATCTGGACGCTGCAATGAAGGGAAAAGACCCTGACATAGCTCGCCGGATGTACGACAAGGCTTCCTGGGATGTTGAGAAACTCTTTTTGGTCAGTGAAAGTTGCGTCCGTCTCCTCAACAACTGGCTTCATAGAGCCTGACTGAGAGTTGCTTTTAAGGGAGCGGAAATCAGCACTGTTATGGAAAAGCTCATCTGCCAGTGTCGTCGCCTCTTGTCCTTGTGCAGTGAGTCTTCGCTACTTAATCATTTCCCAACCCTGGCCGTGTGGCAACTTCCCAGCTGACAGCCATGGGCATTGCATGACGCCATAGCTAACAGCAAAATAGAGGCCACCGACAGTTGGCTCAGTCCGCATAAGCTCTTTCAAGTGTCCTATACTCATCAGGGACAGCATCCTGGCTGGCTGGAATTGAATGCATGCAGCACCCGTTACCACTTTGGTGCCAAGGCCTTTCGCGATGGACATACGACACACCAGAGCGTAGGCTGCCAATGCAGACGATTCTCGTAGATCATGTCACTGTTTGTGGACCAAGACAGTTCGGCTGGTCTGACACAAAGTCAGCCTTGGCCACTGTGGTCTTCTGGTTATTTCTTTCGGATCCCGGTATAGCATACGGCACCTCACGGACAGCTATGGTGGGAGAGGTACAGATGAACCGCAGTCAAATCCGGCATTTCGCAAAGACCATCATCGGCGGCATGTGCCGGCGTAATGGCTCCTACCAGGAGGCTGAAGAGGGCGCCCTCGGCCCTCTCGAGGCCTGGCTGTCTCAGTCTCACACGGTTGGAGGAGGGTCACTTGGATGGCAACTTAAAGAGAAATTCCCTTTTGTCCCTCTTGATGATTCTATACAATCGGAAGCTGGTGCCGTCGCCCCTCCAGAGCAATGGCTGCAGTCACTGTCACCCGGAGTAAGTCCGGGACCTGGATTTGGTACCAAGGTGTTCAAGCTGGCATATGGCAGGGTTTTGCCGCACCTCCGAGCCCTTTCTTCGAAGACATACAGGTTGCCACGGATGGCCATGTCTTCTTCCTGACCAAGAACGGTTCAATGGGTCTCGGGCCTGCATCGATGCGGAAAGGCGACACAATCCACATTCTTCCCAATGGTCGTACGCACTTTGTGCTTCGAGATAAATCACAAGGCTTGAGGCCTGTCTTCGGTGAGAGGTCCAGAAACGTTGATGGTGGTCATGAACTTGTTGGCGATTGTTACTTGCATGCCGATAGCACACTCGACAACCGAAGACCGATCGAAGAGGAACCGGCCATCGAAGGGTCCCTACCTTTTGGGATGCTTGGAGCTAGATACTTGAAGGAAAGAGGGTTACCGATTAGGGATACCGTCATGTTGATCTGAGACTTATAGAATCATTGGAGTCAAATGTAATGTATGATTATCTTTAGTTGCATTAGTATTGTGCGCACCATTTCGCTTTACTACTGCGTCCTCGCAGCAACAAAATCCACCAAGTCAAAGAAGCTTTTCTTGAATCTCCTCTCCTGGGTCGTCCTGTTGACAGTCTGGATCCCAAACTGCTGGTCATAACTGCCAAACTCCCAATTGTCCATGAAGCTCCACGCAAAGGCCCCCGCCACATTAACACCATCCTCCCAGATGGCCTTGAGCACCTCGCTCATGTAGCTCATGTAGTAGTTGCTGCGGGCCGAGTCGAACAGCTGGTCCGAGAGGTCCTTCTTTGTAGACTCGCCGAACTCGGGGAACCCAAACTCGGTGAGGACGATCGGGTAGCGGAACGTGTTCCACAGCCAGTTGAGGTAGCTCCGCAGGTACTTTGGCGTGATGTACACGTAGGACTCGGAGCGGTAGCCGATGTTCCAGCCCGTGGTGGTCAGCGTCGACTGTTCCACGCAGAGCGGGTACAGCGGGTCCGAGGCGTTGCCCGCGCACGCCTCGATGCCGTGGCTGGGCGGCGAGACGACCGTCGCGGTGTAGGGGTCGATCCCGACGAAGTCGGCCGTGCCGTTGATGTACTCGAGGTCCTCGTCGGTGAGGGGCACGTAGTCCGGGAACGTCAGCTTGAAGGCCTCCGGGTAGTCCCTGCCCAGGAAGAGCGGGTTGCCGTAGGTCGCGATCTGCAGGTCGTTGAAGTGGTTGGCGGCGTCGAGGTCGGCCTGGTTGCCGGGGTCGCGCGGCACGCCGAAGTTGTTGTTGAACTTGAGCGCGACCTGGCCGGTGCCGTTCAGCTCGTCGCGGTAGAAGTGCGCCAGGCGGGCGTGCGACTTGATCACGGTGTCGAAGCTCTTGCCGTTGGTGCTCGACAGGAACGGCTCGTTGTACGTGAACCAGACTGGGACGCGGTCGGCGAAGTGCGTCATGAGCACCTTGCCGTAGTGCACGAAGGCGTCCTCGAACGTCGTGTTTTCATAGGACCCCGGAAAGCCGCCCAGTGACCCAGAGATCTCGGACGGATTCGCGACGAAGTTGAGCGGAGTGTCGAAGTGGATTAAAGTTATCAGTGGTTGCATGCCCTTTTCCAGCACAAAGTTGATCAGATCTTCGTAATGGTCGAGGCCTTGCTTGTTGACGGGAGAGCCCTCGAGGACGAACGGCATGATCCGGCTCCATGGGATGGAGAAGGAGTAATACTGCACTCCTATCGAGGCCAAACGCTCGATGTCTTGCTTGTAAAGGTAGTAGTTCTCATTGGCCACATAATCGGGCGTGGACGGCGAGATGAGTTCCATGATCGTCGGGCTTCGGCCCTCATCAGCAATAGCGCCCTCGATCTGTGCGGCAGAGCCTGCGACTCCGAACATGAATCCCTCTGGAAAGTAGTAACAATCCTGAGGCGTGAAATAGTCCGGAGGAGGGAAAATCAGCTCGCTTGTCGGCACCGGAGTTGGCGAGACTGTTGTTGAGTAGATTCCTCTTGTTGTGAAATTAGCCAGCGACGCACGCTCCCACAGCGCAGACCATGCCGCCTGGCCATAGGGATCCTCGGTGTCTGTCGGGGAGGCAGTGGCATCCGGGTCCCAGTTGCCCCATGTTGTGGTTGACAGGTTGGGCAACAGATGGCTGAGGGAGTCGTAGGGCGGAGCATATGTGGCCGTGGTTGCCGATGGCTCTCGTGAAGTTGCTGTCCTGACTGTCTCTGTCTGAGTAAAAGAGAAGGAAGAGAACGCGTATGTTGGGCTGGCCGTGGCATAGAGCGCAGAGTCCGCGGTCGAGCTACATTGAGGACGGGGGACGGTGCCGCTGGTCGGGACATAGATCTGCTGGGCAAACGTGCCGCCCGCCACAGCCAAGGGAAGGAGGAGGTTCAACATGGTTACTGTGACGACTATGCCGTGGACATCAAAGTCGTGCTGACCCAAAGGATGACCAGGAAAGGAGATGCAAGACTCGAGAGATTCTCCTGAAGGGGTGACGACGTTCCATTTAAGATCCAGTGCGCGGCCGCGCCGCTCTGCATCCCCTCTACCTACGCCGAGTATACCTGGGTCGTAGTAGGAATACGATTTCCGCACACTGACAGTGGCCTTGACGTCTTCAGGCCCGCTTGGGACACTATTGATGCTTCCGCGCGTGCTTGACGGCTGTTCCTCGGGCAATTTGGACGAAATGGGCCTCTTTTTTAGACTAGGCAAATTAAACTGCCCGGCCCCGGCACTTACAACGGTCCCTTCTGCGGTCGTACTACGGAGCACCATGTGGAGAAGACTCCGTTTCCTTGAGGAGAGGGTCTTGGCATTGCGTGAGTCAACACCGCTTCGGCATGATTCCCAATGTTGTGGCCAGTGCAGCTTCCCCCATGTCTACAAGCTATAGTCGCATTGCAGGCCGGTTAATCAGCCCGTGCCGAGGAGCTTGCTTCTCGCAGTATGCTCCTCGGAATGAAATGGGATAATTTGTGAAAACTCTGCCTCTGCTGTTCGTCCATTGTCGGGATGGGAGAGCAGAAGCACCGTGAGAGTTCGCGCATTGGGGAAGCGAATGTTACTTCCCCAGATCGCCCCATAGTCACTCCACGAGGTTCGTGGGGCATGTGTGTGGGGCTGGTCATGTGGCCGCAAAGGGCTTAAGATCCACCGTTTGGATGGTCCGAGATTGCGTCCATGCTCGCAGCAGCCCTGGCAGGGTCGGGGCTTCGGGGGCCGGACATGGGTCCTGTGGGGTTACGGGGAGGGAAGCTTACGGCATGATGTCGGGGGCTCCAACGGCGAAGACCTCCTCTGTGTTGATGGAAATGACCCGATGGTCTACGTCGGTGTAAAGATCTGTGACATGGCCTCGCCAGTTGGTCTAGCCATAGGATGTGCTGCGGATGTCGTCACCTGTTCATGGGAGCGGAAAACATCCGTAAATTCTTTGTGTCGAAACTCGGAGGCGAGACGGCCTTTGGCGGGCTGGCAGAGTGAACCAACTCCAGAGGAGCACACCCTGCGTGCAGCCCAGAGGGCCCCTCCAGGGCTCTCTCTCCTTCCTTTCTTTCTTAGACCAGCGTACTCTTTAAATCCACATTATTTGGTGCACATTTCAAGCCCCCGCGCCGTGAATGTCAAGTGACGTCTCATAAGTTTCATGAATGGGAAGATATTTAAGAATATTGCGGGCCATAGTGCCTTGCATGAGCTCAACCGCGGCGAGGGTAGTGCATGTGTGCTGCTGCCATATTCTGCCTCCACCATAGATTTATACTACTAACTTGATCCAAACGAGGTCTGAGCGTGTATACTCAGGCGGAACCCCACGCGGTTGTAGCAGGCCTAGAAACCTGAACGTGCTATCCCATTCGTCATTCTCATATGTTCTGAAATCTTGAAAGCCCTGAAAGTCCTTCCACCCAGGCACCTCTGAGTTCCCAGTCATGCTCATTATGACAGGGGCTAATATTATGAGGTATTCAGGCAAGTATCCCCCGGCCATGTCTTGCTCGCCTTGGAAAAGGACAAATCGTCGAAACGGCTCGTGCGGTCGGACAAATACTGCGGCCCCGAAGCCTTTCAGGCTCGATCGATCCAGGATCCGGTGCGTATATCCATATCTAATATCGAAGCCATTCAGGCTCGATCAATCCAGGATCTGGTACTTATACCCATATCTAATAAACAAGCCCCTCAGGATCAGTGTCCCCATATCGAGCTCGTCAAGCTGAAAAGGCAAGTTCTTCAAGTAAGTCCCGGCGTCTGGGAACAGATCTAGACAAGTTGTCCCAGCATTCGTCCAGTCCGGAACCCAAGACGGTAGCTGTAGCTGACTTCGAAACCCCAGAAGAAGTTCAGACCCTGCTGAATCCCGGCACATATTTACATTGCCCAAAACATCGGCAGCTATTCCCTTATTGGCCAAGTACCTCGCGATCCAAGTAAATATTTCGGGGGTGCTCCGCCTGTAGTCGGCAACTAGGCCTTCGGCCGCAGCATCAACTACCAGCCCCAGCAATGCGAAAACTCGATCCCTGGGGTCAGTAGACTGACAATGACGGCCCAACCGCAGTAGATCAAGCAATTCTGCAGAGTTTCGTAGACGGCGTTTGCCCAACGAGAGAAGGGGAGAGACAACGCGTTTTCCCAACCCGATGTAAAGGGCGTCAGGCAGGGACTGCAGTGCAGTGTCGTTGTGGAGCACTGACCACGGAAATACCTTCTCGCCGCAGAGAATGACAGGATTCGGTGACAGAGCAATCTCTTGAATTATCCAGACTCTGAAGAAGTATGGGCGGCGCAAGAATTTGTTGAGTGCGACCCAGAACGGTGCTTCGTCAGCGTCCCAACCATGCTCCACCGTGCCTGTTGCAAGGGCTTCCAGGATACTTTCGTCCTTGGACGTTGTCGGCCCAAAGTATACGTATGTCTTCTTTGCTCGCGTGTCAATGCGCGGCATCAACTGGACTTGGTGGCCTCTCTCTTGCAAGTTATCCTGGTCGACGCACAGAGAATCTATCCAGACATATTTTGTACAGAGACGCCTCCGAATTCGTTGCAGGACTTCCTGACAGCTGCGCGTGATTGAAACATAGCCAATTCCGATGAAGGCTCGAAAGCACCTAGTTGCGTCGCCAGTTTGGTCGGCCCATGTATAGGAGACGGCGTCGTAGTTCTCCTGGCTGTTGGTGCTAACAATGACGAGCTCACCCCGAATGGGATCATCCGCTTCGCCGGGTTGAATCTTCAACAGTCGCATCTCTGACCTCTGCTTGATGGGCTCATATACGTACGGCTGGTCTCGGTACGAGCCACAACTAAGGCAAGTCGCTAATCCTTCCGAATCGAACAGGTCGAGGCGAGAGCGTACGCTCCCATCGTGCCATGAAGCCATAGTGGATATGGAGACCAGAGTGTCTGACTGGATCTATGGGCTTGTCTCGGGGCGAGCCACAACGTAGGAAAGTCGCTTCTCTTTCCGAATAAAAGAGGCGGAGATGAGAGAGTATGCTCTCGGTGAAGACTGGCTTGTGAAACAATATGGAGAGGGGTTGGGCCGCTTTTAGGAGCAGCCAACGCGACAAGGGAGGGAGCCCACCATATTAGGGCGTTGCTGACGAGCTCCTTCTAACAAACAATGACCGCCATTTTTCCACATGTTGCGCCGGCTTCTGACTGGCGCTAGCTGTGATACAGTAGAGATATAGGCATGCCTTACCAAGGCCGCAAACCTGCTGGATCAAGTTGGAGCTGCCGGGTTGTCGGTTGAGCTTTGAGGGTGACAAGGCAACATAACAAAAACCTTGCGGTCAGCCTGTCAGCTTCCTAATGCGATCTCCTGTGGCGATCCCCACACCATCGGCAGAAGCATTGTATGGAATTTCGAGGGGCAGATTTCACTGCGTCGATGGCTTGCTGCAGACAAGGCTCGCCATCAGCAACAGCGGCGCAGTGTTCACCTGTGCACCTGTCAAGGACGGATGATTGCAAGAGCTGCGGTATCCTTATGTCATGCTCAAAAACGAAGAGGAGAGGTGGGGCAGGGTTGTTGTGAACCAACCATTAAAGCGGCTCGTTGTCCTCTGGGTAGTACTCAGGTATATAAGTCACCCTGTGTCGACCTCACATGCGGAACTTCAGGGCAGGCAAAATCCAAACCACTGTGAATTGCTGTTTTGTTAGCTTTGGCCGCTGTAATGATGGTTTCAGCCGGGCGAAAGGAGCTGAGAGGGTATTATGAAAGAGTGGCATCAGTGTTGAAGACGGCTTGCTGCCACTTAATGAGCTGTGGTACCGTATGCTACCTGAGAACTTCCTGGTCCTGCATTTCCTGACCATTGCTGGCGCAAGTGAGGGATCAAGCCCCTGGGATGCTGAAGCAAAAGCTCTTTCTTCAGATGATTGACCCGAGGCTGATTCCAATGTTCACTCAAAGGCAGACCAACAAGACCACCCATACATTTGCAGCACCAGCGCATGATTCGGATCATATTTCACTTGAATCCCAGCAGCTCTGTGCATCCCTCCCCACAGATGCCTCCTGCCAGTCTGATGTGACGTTGTCAGCCTCATTCGCGTCAGCTCAAAGAAATATGACATGCTCATGCGAGCGTGAACCTGGGCAGGTGTGTTTACCATGTATAGGTTGGCAGCTACATCGGATGGGCTGGAGCTGGACCTTTCACTTGGTGCAAGAACCGAGACCAGGGCAAGACGACAAGCACCAAGCTAAGGAAGGCTTTGATGGTACTCGGTGTCTGTCACTGCAACTGCTTGGCCCAAATTGACTCGGCAGAGAAGGCACCGTCAAGAAAGCGTCTTTCTTAGAGCCAATAAGTGCGAGGAAAGCGCAGCCACTACTGGACTTCGAGGTCGTGACCAGCCATCTGAGCAGATAAGAAGGAAGTACCTAGGTACCCAGAGGGTTGGGGCGAGGGCAGCTCCTTCCCAAGAACTTGGACCACAACACTCCTCACAGCCCTCCCATCTCCCCATACCATCCATCCCTTTCACTCTGGCTTCAGACTCTTCCTCCCTTGTGCAAAGCTTCCACGGTCTGTCAGGCATCGGTGACCACTCTACACCCAAACCTACTCTCAAGCATCCTCCTCATCCATCGCCATGCCGTGCCAGCTCCTCATCTGGTTGCAACTCTGGTTGCAACTCTGGTTGCAACACATAATGATGCTACGTGACAGACCAAGAGCCCGCCGACGTTTGCCACCCGCCCATGCAAGGACCCACACACGGAGACATCCACGCCGACGGAATCATACTCCCCCGCCCTCGTACGACAATCTGTTTCCTCACCACTCAGACGGGAGGGAAGACCTCGAAACTATCCGCGCCCGGCATCCCCCAAAGCGTCCCTTGAATGCGCCCATACCAACAGACTCGCCCATCGAAGCGGCTTACCTTGCTGGCGCGACTGCGTCCTCTGGCATGCTCAGAGCCGTCCAGGACGAGACGCACCCTTACATGGTCATCGCACGTGCTGCCCAAGCCATCTCCATCGCCGCCTCTACCTCACAGTCCCACGCTGCCTTGCTTGCTGCTCTGAACACCATGGAAACCCACGCCATGCTTTCTTACGAGGACGACGAACGGCGCAGATTGGCATCTGATGATGAAGGAGCACGGATATTACTGGTCAATTCCATTGAAACTGCTGTTCGCCGAGCCTTGGCTCAGGCGCCGCCTTCAAACTCCTTCATTTCGCACCACGAACTGCAATCTGCTGGACTAGTTCCTCCCGACATGACACTGGCTGCTAGGGCTGTCGTGGAAGCCGTCATCCTGAATGGCCATATTTATCGACCGTCACAGTAGACCAGGTACGCTTTCGGTTCCCTGATACAGGGAGGCCCCCCGCAATCTTATAAATTGTTACTGACAAGAGACAGGACAACCCCTCCCGACTCCAATCTACCTCTCCACAAGCTGCGAGGCTGGTAGTCCTCTTCCAACTTTCCTGTCCGAGTGTGCCTCATCTGTCAGAACACGCCGGCCCCGAAAACCTTGATTTCGCCATTGGCCGGACCTTAAGATACAAGCCAGAGGCCCACGGCTCATCGGTCATCGACAATCCCCATCCCGGTGGCACAAAACACTTAGCCTTGCGGAGGAATGCAGCAACATGCCACCGACCCGTTCGAAATACATCGTTGGCAGTTTGAACTGCCGTCCAAGTTCCTCTGTTCTTCGATCTATCTCGTGATCCACGACCTATCATGGTCTATGGCAGCTCATTTTCGACCCTGGACTGCCTCCCTCACCAACTTTTCATCTTGAACAACCCGTCGTCTGCGATGATCGTCGTCGTCTTCAATGGTCCGTCATATCGTAATCCGTTATTTCGCCAATCTTTGGACATCAACTCCTCGTCTCCACCAAGATGTCGCCGCAACAGCCTGTCACCAACAAATTGTCGCCGCAATCATCTCCAGACTCGCCTGTTCTGATTGCTCTACAAAGCCTTGGGATAGAACATGAAAATTCCTCTGGTCAGTCCTAGAATCTATGCTACCGTTAGTGCGTGTCCCTGTGTGTGTGTGGCTACAAACCCACATCTTCGTCAAACTTCTGCGTCTCCGCAATACTCTTTCGCCCATGCTTCAAGCCTGTGGCCTCAAACACTCCAAACCTTGTTCTTCTCTTTCCACAATCGCACTCTGCCCTCTACTTCGACAATATTCAACTGCGCTCGGTATGGCCCGCATTGCATCAGCAGCCGACGGCAGACCAGTCTCTCGCTGTTCATGCAAAGCGATCGGGTACCAAGACACCCAGGTACGTGTGCACCTCTATCTTACACTCATGTTTCGTGTGAGCAACTAAGATGAGGCCTCTGGTCGGCCGCTGATCATCGTGATGTTCCAGGAACGGTCGGATGACATAGGGCAAACCGACTTGCGCGCTTGGGGTCATCCAAGCCTTGCGATGAAAGGCAGACCGTCTATCTTGACTGCAAAGCATGTTCACACCACATGAAACCACCGCCATCCATTCTCATCGAGAATACATAACTGGAGAATGTACTTCTTTCCGAATGCCGTCTATGCGAAGCGAAACACGGCTTAGCTTTCCATCAAGTAACCATGCCGTGCATAATTCGACTAGACTCTGATGACGGCGGCAGCGGCGAAATCCTCTCCAAGAGCCCACAGTTCCAGGAGCGGAGGAGACGCAGATTGACCACGTTCACTCTGGATTTCCTGTCTTTGGGAATTGTTTAGAAGACTGGGCGAAAGGGACCTGAGGGCTAGGAAATGGTGGTTGGAATGCGAGGAGCGTTCATCTTCCAGGATCGTCACTACATCCTGCTCATCAGGTCACTATCCAATGCCAATGGAGCACACAGGCCTGTTCAGGAAATCATAGTCCTCCTAGTAGATAATCTTCGGCTTGGCACTGTCTGGCCGCTCGAGCCTGTTTGGGTATCAAAGTGTGTAAAACCTTGTGAAGTTGAGGATGGAGAATCAGCCAGTACTAGTAGAGGGTTCAGTTCGTTGCAGTGATAGTTTACACGTGGACGTGTTCTTGTTTCGGTCCCCTAATCATGCAATCCGGGGCCTTTTCCAGGGCTCGCTACAAATCGCTCCCTTCTACATATTTTACCGCAACGATGATCAACCAGGTGTATCGGCAGCCTGAAACTCTGTGTCTGTCCCGCCCGCAGCTTTCATGACAAGTTTTGTGTATAATGAGTCGTAAACCAGAACTTACTGATAAGCGCAGTACGCTTCACACTAGACAGTTTCCTATTGCTTGGAGTAGGAAGAGCACATAAGAACCAATCTCCTTGAACTCCGGGTCTCAGTGCACAATCACTTTTCAAATTTTCCTTCCAAAACGTCAAGTCAAGGATCACAATAGACTTATAAGAACAGAGAGCGAGGTAATTGATTCGATGGCTCCTTTTAGTTATGTAGGGGCATGTTTTCCTTTTTCATCCCCGACCCCTCATTTGCGATTCTACTGGTCACGATGAGATGGCGGGAGGCATAGGTAAGTGACTAATGCGGGGGTAGCATCCAATGCTGTTGCACTGTAGTAGTTTCAGGTCCGTCCCCCAGTCACTACCCTGCTGCGTCTCACTTACTGGACGCACAATGAGAGCACGTCAGCTTCTATATAAAGACTGGTCTGATCAGATAAGCTCAACCGCTCACAGCCCCAACATCTATCTGTCTGTCCGCTCCACCAAAACTTCCACACTTCTCGTCACCCTGAATTTGCGTCCTGCCACCTTGATCGAAAACTCCTTCAAGAGACACTAGAAGATGACACCAGCATCAAAATTACATGTTGAGCCTGTTGATCTCAACCAAACAGGGGACTGGGATAGGCTCTTTGATACATACTGGGAGTCATGGAAGCATCCATTGCAGGTGATAGGGATCTTGACCTTTCCTTGGCTGGGAGAGGGCAGTGCCCGTGAGATGGACACATACAATGCTGCTAAAGCCGACTACCTCGAGGCCGCCAAGAAGAACCCTGACCAGCGCTGGCTCAAGATCGAGGACCGTAGCGTGGAGGGGAAACCTCGCATCGTGGGGGGTGGGGCTTACACCGTCATTCAGAAGGCAGCTGGCGAAGACGCCCGACCTCTCTCTGGGCCTGGCTCTGGCATAGATCACCACGACAGTGCTCTGCCCGATGTCAAGCTTCCCGGGCTGGGCTACGCACCTGGATCGGAGCGCAACGTGCTTATGCGCCAGCTCTATTCTCAGATGTGGAGCTGGCACCCGCGCATCATGACGGACAGGCCCCATCTGTGTAAGTGAATGCTGTATTACCACCCACTGTTATCACAGAAGCAATGGAGGCTGTTGACGCCTCACGCTTCGCGAACGCACAAGCTGACAACTAAGCTAGATGGCCAGGCCTTGTGGGTCATTCCAGAGTACCGGCGCCAAGGTGGCGCGGAAGCGGTGATGGACTTCTTCTTGGCCCAAGCCGACTCACTTTCACTCGAATGCTACCTCGAGGGCAGCGAGCTTGGGACGCCCCTCTACCTGCAGAAGGGCTTTGTTCTACTCGAGCGGCCCGTAATGTCGTTCCGCTACTATCCCTCTGAGGATCAGAAGGATTCGCCGAGTGATGAGTGGAATCGTCTTGTCCGCGGGCTACATGCAGAGGCAGTTGCGATCATGTGGAGACCGGTGAGGGGGGAGTACGAGGAGGGCAAGACAGTTCTGCCGTGGGTGGGTAGGCCTCGACTGGCGAAGTTGTGATGCACGGGAATTATTTTTACTGGGCCGCAGTAGTCCTAAATCAACACGAGGCTCGACATCTGTTATGCTTTACGCATGGATGCATATGAGCACTCACTGCTCAAGCATCCATATCAGTCTTTACGAATATTCTCGTTGATCATCCACCTTGCCTCCGCAGCGGACTCTTCCCGGTGATTATGTCCTGCGACTCTGATACAGGCCCTGACGAATTGTGACCAGGGTGGAGGTAGAGGGAGGTTCTTCAGTCCTGGCTGGGCGATTTGGCTCTAGGAGAGTAAGGAAGCGAATCAGCCCTGGGCGAACAAATTGGTGCGTACCTGGACGAATTACTTGGCGCACCCGCCTACTTGCGCAGAGGAGGGGCGGCGGGGTGAAGCTTCGGAGGCGGGTGCCCTCTGGGGCGATCAAAATTTCCTTGTAGATCATGTTTCTGATTTCGCCGGGGAACTTGAAGAATTCGACCAAGATGGCTTCGGTGTTTGACTAGGCAGGGTCCTGTTAGCTTCTTTCCAATTGTTGCTGATGGGTGGACGCCATTAATATGTACAATCAGCTTGTTGTCTTGGATGTCAGAGATGACGGAGGAGTTATCGCTGACGGATGAGCCATCGCTGGCCGACTGGCAAAGGTTGACCTCGAGTAACCCTGGCTCAATCCTCTGTTCCCAGAAGATGTCCTGGTAGAAGCTGAAAATGCTGCCGACGAAAGATCGGAGATTTGGGTCGTTCGGCGCGGGGTCAAGACTCAGAAACTTGGTAGAGATCTCCAGAGCGAAGTCCGTTTGTGCTTGTCCATCGAACAAGACGTGAAAGGCCTCACTGTGCCCAGCCCGAACATACAGTGAGAGAAACAGGTGAGTGACGTTGCTTGCGACTTCAGCGTTGTCCTGATTGGTGCTGAACCAGCCGTACTCCGTCAACTCGATTCTGATGAACTCACTAAGTCTGGGTTGGATCAGAGGGGCGACCCAAGAGCCGGTGTGCTTGATGCCTTGTCGACCTTCCATCTTTCTGTGTACTCTGGGGACGGCGTTAGTTGAAATCAGTGACAGTGAGAAGCTGGTGCAGACCAACAACCTCTTTCATACACTTGAGGTAGAAGGCTTGATGGTGTTAGTCGCTGGTCTACGGGTCGTTTGGTCCAATGGTGATGAGGTCGACAAGAAAGCATTGAAGGAAGTAGCTTGGCTGTAGGGGCCCAGGTTTAAAGTGATTATCGATACGTGCATGTTGTTATTGTTTCTTTCATGTAGTTGCGGTGAATGTATCAGGGAGTTACACATCTACATGCACCTACGGCTTGCTGTCAGGTGGGCTGTGGGAATTTGTACCTATTCATGTTGCTGTTTTCTGTGAATTAAGTGTCTGTGGTCACGTGTGTACCTCTCTTTCAAGGGCAGACAAACGACGAAAATGCGCTCAGAAGATCCCTCTACCAGCAGTGCTCGCTGGCACACAATCCAAGCCTACGATGCAAGCCGTCTGATCTGTACCTGCGGTCAAGCACCATCGCATGGCTGGGTATTCTCCAGGCGGAAGCCAGACTGGTACTCGGGGGCTCCTGTGTGCTGGGGGCCCATGCAACGCTCCGCGTCGGATCTCGATCTGGCTGAGGCTGTCGTATTATCCTACATAGTTTGACAACATTCCATATTCCCTCAAAGCAACGCAAATGACCAGATTATCAATCAATCATTGGTTGAATGGACACCTCAAGGGGTCAGTGGCCCACGAGGGAATGATCCCGCAGACATAAGGATGAGGGCAGAACCTGTCGATGTTGAGGCACGTGCCGATCTGGTTGAAACGTCTGTCACCGATGAAAACTTTCTTTTATGGCTCTTTTGAACATTCTAGCATTGTGGATCTTATTTTGGAGACGCATCGGTACAGCAATATTCCGTTATCAGAGCTACAAGCCCCAGCAGCTGCAGGGCAAGATTCAAGAACCAAGTTTCTCTACGAAGAACATGTAAAGGATGTTGCGAACCTAGCTTCAAGAAATGGCTCAACGGCGGAGATCTAGAGGCTGGAAGAACAGTAGAAATGCAAAAAGAACCGACGCAGCTCAATGGGAGAACGGAGCACAAGACCGGGGAAAGGCCCACCCTCGGCGCCACGCAGACGCCCACACAGGTGAATCCAGGTACCGTCGAGCATGAAAACAATACAAGCAGTCCTTCCGTGCCAAACAAGCCGGAATAACTGCGCAGAGTGACAACGGACGAGGTCCAAGACGAAGCGGACACCAAGATCCCGTCCGAAAAGAACCCAATAGCTGAAGGCCGGGACCGCGATGAGGGAGACGACAAGCCCCGTGTGCGTGTCAAACTTCCCCAGGCCCATGGAGACGCCTGAAGCAGAGCCGGAGTGGGCGCAGCGGGTGCTGAAGGACAGCACGGCGTTCTCCGAGCCTGCTGACCCCGCGAGAACAGATATCGTATTCGGGTCTCGAACTTTCAGATCAGAAGCCCATTACATAAGCCTGCCCCGGTCTGACCCTCTCCGCTTCGACGCCTCCCTCTGGGCAGCCCTGACGTCCCTCCGAGACCATAAGCGGAGGGAGAGACGGACGCCGCGTGTCAGTTCGTCCAAGGAAGTGGTAGAACCCCGGGCGTGAACCGCCGACCATTTAGAGATCCGACGACGGGGGCCAAATGGTGGTGCCGAGTGACGCTCGCGCTGTTCATGATCAATGGCAGAAGCCAATGGCCCGTGAGCTACCACGGCCGGGCAAGCCTGCCTCAAAGCCTGAGGCTCAAGGAACGACTTGTGGTGTAGACGACTCAGGGGTGGGGCATCCTCATCGTCAGCCAAGATTTCTTGATTTTCTACTGGCATCGATCTACATGTAGTGCTCCATGAGAGGGCAACACCAAGGCACCTCCCGAGGTAACTAGACGAGCATTTGGAGTGACGCAGGCACATGCAGAAAAGCAAACACCTGAGGTTATCGCGTCAGGCCTGCATTTCGGGGACTTCGACGGCTTCTCGAAGCCTGTCATCGACTTGGAACGCGCCGCAGTCTCGGGTCTCCAGTCTCCAGCCTCTCAAGGGTCCAGTGTCCATTGCCAGGAGTCGAGTGTCGTCGTGTCCAGCCGGGACCCAGGCCAGAACTTGGAGGGGCAGCCTCGTTTCCTCGTGTGCTCTTGGCCTCGAAATAGACGACCACCACCCAGGCTTGTTTTCATCTTTCCGTCTGCTTTTTCCTCCTCTGGAGCATTTTCTCCATGCATCTAAGCTTTCTATTGATCCCTATACAATCCATACAATTTTAGTGAGCAGACAGCGGTGGATCTGGACCATCCCTTTGAATGCTGCAACGGCGAATAGTTAGTCCGTTTGCTATTCGTCTAGAATAGTCTGTGAACGGAAAAAATGACACTGCCAGACCGAACTCGAAGTTCGAAAGCTGATTGGTTGAAATCCTGCTCGTTCATTGGTCAAGACGAATAGCTCTCAGTGGGCCCCTGCAGGGGCTCGATGCTGGTATCTTCTGATTGGTTAAAAAGGCGACGGTAGAATGTCCGATTGGTACTAATCCTTGTCGCCAAGAATTGTCGCCGAAGCAGCACTCAAAGGGATGGGTAATTCCCGCGAGCGATGGCGATCAGTGTGATATGGGCGAGAGATGAATGTGAGCCAGTCGAGAAGTGAGGAGTCTATGTAGCATCTTCCTCTTCAGCGTCTCCAGATGCGCTGCAATCTTCTCGGTCCTCCTGCCCGGATTGGTCGGTTGATGATGTATCGACCCCGAGGCGACTTCCGGGAAAAATGGGCATTCTCGCCAGAGCTTGCGCAGGGCCGTAGAATGCCAGCTTTTACGAAGTGGACGGACACGCATGATTCTTGGCTTGTGCATCTCCGGGGACATCATAATCAACTGGTAGCAAGACAAATATTGCTTTTGACTACCACGTTACTCGGAAGAATGCCATTGACCAGTGGGGTGGTAAGCTCGTAAGGTCGATGGAGACATTGTTTGATGTAATTCGCGGATTTGGAACCATCGGCCCCGGATAATTTCCATACGGATCGGGAATAAGATCTGGGTTGCCAAAGGGAGTAGGGTGGGGATGCAATTTAAGTACTGATATCAAGAGGGAACATATTCCCCACCCCAACACGTACCACAGCAGCCACAATTAGCGTTACCAGCCAGTTTTCAGGACAATTGCCCGGGCTCCCATGTTTCAGAGGCCCCCCACCTGCTCCTTCAAGCCTAGGACTCGCGTGGCCGTTTCTGAGAAAAGCAATGCTGAGCTCGGCTAACAGATGCACCCTTCGGGTTAGTTTCCTATCTTAACTCCCTTTCATCTCGAACAGACAAGTACGGAGCAAATTGGAAAGGAGAACGCTGCTCTTTGACTTTGATGTAAGCGCTTTAGAATAGGCATAAATATGGCAGAGTCGGAACTTTGACAGGATCCCCTCGCCTGTCAAGTTGAGCAATCATTCAGATCGTGGTTCTCATCACAACGCTTACCAACCTACCTGCATACACCTGCAACCACTTCTCAATTCTCATGCTGCAACCATGAAGCTGTCACAACTCGCGTTCCTTGTTTCGACGGCGCTTTGCCAATTTGCTGCCGCCAGGGCAGTTGGCAAGCGAGCCATCTCTTCTGTTGTGAACGGCACACCGATGGGCTTCGCATCCGCAGTCACCGGCGGTGGCGACGCCGAACCAGTGTACCCGACCACGATCGACGAGCTCAAGGAGTACCTCACCTCCAGCGATCCCCAGGTCATCGTGATATCCGGCGAGCTTGACTTCTCAGGCTCGGAGGGCACGCAGTCCCTCGATGCCTGCGACGCATACGAATGCACCCCGGACAATGGCGGACAGGCGATGCTCAACACTCTCGACGGCTGTTCTACGTCTACTTACAGCGTCGAGATCGATACCGCCGCTTACCAGGGCATCAACGTTGCCTCGGACAAGACCTTGGTCGGCAAGGACAAGGCGACGCTCAACGGAAAGGGATTGCGCTTTGTCGATGCTTCCAACATCATCGTTCAAAACATCGAGATCACGAACTTGAACCCCAAGTATGTTTGGGGCGGAGATGCTCTCAGCTTTTCTGGCACCCAGAACATTTGGATCGACCATGTCACGGTTAGTTTTCTACTTTTTTATCGTCGGATGTGTTTTTTCCCTCCTTCTCTCTGGCGTCCAGCGAGTCACCTCAGTGCTAACCACTTTGATGCGCCGACAGACCTCGAGCCTAGGCCGCCAACACTACTCGTTTGGATCGGATGCTAGCAGTGGGATCACCATCTCAAACAGCTTCATCAACGGCGAGACAGCCCAGTCTTCGACATGCAACGGTCACTCATACTGGGCTATGGAGCTTGTTGGTGCTGACGATCAGATCACATTTTACAGTGAGTTCTACTCATTCGCCTCCATCTAACTCATTTTCTGACTCGTGGCGATTAGAAAACTACGTCTATAAGACATCGGGCCGCACCCCAGCATTGTCAGGGAACACACTTCTCCATGCTATCAACAACGTCTGGTCCTCTAATGAGGGCCATCTCCTCGAGGGCGACAAGAGCACCAGCAGGGGTCTTTACGAAGGCAACTACTTCGAAGATGTTCCGACAGTGGTGGTCGATGGTTTCGCTGGCCAGCTGTTCACGTCTGACGCATCCGACGTATCGCAGTGCTCGGCGTACCTGGGGCGTGACTGTGTGTCCAACGAGCTGTCTTCCTCAGGGGAGTTCAGTTCCTCCGACACGGGTTTCCTCTCCGACTTCAAGGGCCAGTCCATCCCTGACGTTGAATCGGCCTCGTCCATCAAGAGCACTGTCCCGACCGAGGCAGGAAACACGTTGTAAATTCTTTATTGTTTTTGTACATAGGTTCGGCTGTATATAGGTTCAATTATTGTACATATATGTACTAATGAGGGCGACAAGAAGTCGTTGAATCCAAAGATACATAACATCATTCAAAAAATAAAAATCCCTAAGTGCAGACCCGGGAAACGAAGAATGTGGGCGGCTCAGACACTCCACTGAACTGAGGCCGGCACGCGTGCGCGTGTGTGTACTTTCAACTTGATCCCGGGCCCCTTGATCATGACAACCACCCCTTCCGCCAGAAATGTGGCTCCTTTCCTTTTTCCGCCTTGTTCTTCTACTCTATCTCGACGTAATGCACCCAGTGAAGCTTGCAGGTGTCAGCATTGCCTTACTTGATGTCCCCATTGGCCGATGGAATAACAACCCCCATGGAACTTTTATGGGCCACACAACCACAGCTTGCAGCTGCAGCCAGAAGATGAAAGGGTTCAGGTTTAGTTTACACAAGGCTTTGGTCAGAAAACGTGATCGTGCGTCACAACAACCACCGCCTCCGCCCCACTGTGCCAACGAGCCAATGCACTTTTGTGGACGAGCTAGTCATGCACCTGTATCGACGAGCTAATGCAGGACCTGCAGACAACGTGCATACGACGTCCTGAGTCCGAACAACGTGCCTGAGTCCGAACAACGTGCATACGACGTCCTACATGCGAGGAGTGCGCCGCTGATGTCCAGGTGGCTCATGAAATGCAGTCATTATTGCCTAAGCCGACCAAGATCTCACGACGAATTGGAGAACAGAGCCGAGAAGTGTTGGTGGAAACAAAGCCAACTCAGAGTGATGGAATGCAGGAGCAGCCTTCAAATTACGTTTACGCTCTTCGAAACAAGATACTGTACTTTACACCTTCATCCAGAACGGGTTTAGAATCCGATATGAAATCACGGACTGAGAGCAGACGGCAAATATATGCCATGTCATCGCATGCTTTGACCGAGAAAGGCAAGATGTAAAGGAAAAAAGAGTGTCTATAAAATCTTCCCTTGCCTTTCTGAATCTTTCCTCCATATTGTTTTTGGCTTTCACACCTATCCACGACCCATATCGCTCACTCTCTTTCGTTAGGAAAACAACTTACTTACCTGATTATCAAAAGTTTCCTCAGTCTCCATTAGCATCGATCAAGGGAAAAGAGCCTTTCCTAGATTTATTGTTGTCGATTACACACGTTCTGATACGCTAATCAGCCAGCATGACTAACTCAACCTGTATGAGGCAAGTGAATTTCTCGTGCGTCATCATTTATTTCCACATTACGAAGAGTACCCCAGAAGAGACCATCGGATCTTGTGTGGCCAGAGGCTGGACTGTGTTTTGTTTTGTACTCAATTTTGACTGGAACATGGACGTCTACCCACCCTCATCATCAGCGGCTGCAAATGCTATTCTCGATAGAGTAGCACGCGCCGTGAGGGAGACTAGGAAGATCTTCCCATAAAATGCTCAGTGCTGAAGCTAACCCTAGTGATCTTTGGCAGTGGTTTCCAGGGAAGATCCTCTCATACCGTGGCTCAAAAAGATCATTCTGATTGCATGGAAACAATCAGCGATAATGCCATTCATCGCGCAGCCAACTCGAACGAGACTGCAGCGCAGAGGGTCCAACGCCAACAGTCCTCCATCGCCTCGCAGCTTCAACGCATCGAGGGCGAACTGCCGCGCAGCACCACTGAAAGCCCGTCGACCAGTAGGAACAACGAGCCACGGCGGTCTGGTGTCGCGGATGATCTTCTGTACGGCGTTGGCTCTCAGTTCGGCGCCACGCCCGGTCCGGCGGGTTAGCGTCCGCGCCGGGCTTATGCATGTGTTCTAGACAAAGCTACAATGGGTGAGTATGGCTTCGAAACTAAAAGATCGACTTCTCAAATTTATGAATTTTCTCCATCATCTTTACTGATATTATTGATGCAGTTGGGGATGACGTTTGGCGGCTGAGGAGTGACGTTGCGATTGCTGCACGGTCGAAAGAACACGTGGGGCCGCGGCCGCGGCCGCCTCCGGCTCCGGCTCGATCCCGGCCTGGCGGCATGATCCCTGTCGAGATACCGAGGCTCCGGGCCGGTAGCCAGGGGCCATTTCATCACTGTCCATAAAAAAAATAAAAAAAAACATTCCTGTCCATGTCCTGCTTGTATGGTCCTCTTTCTATGCAACCCAAGATATCTCATCAAAATTTCTCAAGAATAATCGAAATGGCTTACAGTACCACATTGTGTGTGTGTGTGGCCCATGGCACGAAAGTTCATCTGAAGTCCTGCACCCTGTTCTCTTGCAGGATCACCAAGACGAGATACATGGAGGGTAAATTAAAGCGAGTGGCTCAACTAGCGTTTCTGGCAAATGTCTTGCTTCACCTCGTTTGCAAGTGTTTCTTCCTACATCCCCACCTGGCCTGGGCCGTTCGACGTAGCTGAGTAGCAACCAGTGGACCATTTCAATCGTAGATAAATCGTAAAAGCCGCGTGACAAGGAAAGGGAGCTGACTCCTGTTTGATGTCTATATTACTGGCGTCTCACATATGATCCTAAGTGTAGCTCTAATCTAACAGTAGACTCAGTTGCCGTACTGGCGTTCCTCCCCAGAGGTTCATACGGAGCCTCTTCTTCGACCCACGCGACAGCACCGACCCAGCAGCAGTAGAAGAGGTTGTGTTGCTACCAGATCCAGTCCACTTGTCCACGATCAGCACAGGCTTTCCGTCCACACAGTCCTCGGGGACGGTGTAAGAATGGAGCGCTGCGCTTCTGTTGCCACCATCCCACAACGGTGTTCCGGAGCCGTCCATCTTCAGGTACTGGTATAAGAACTGCTCTTCGGCGGGCAGTTCGAAGGTCAGAGACCAGAGGGGGATGTCGCTGGTGTAGAGATAGGACCCTAGGGTGACGGCTTGGTGTCGGTCTTTGGAGCCGAGTTGAGGAATGTCACCAAGGCTTTAATGAGCCGGTTGTCAGCAACATTCTACGGTTCGATCATTCTCCGGGACAGGGCAGGGGAAGGGGCGGCACTCACATCTGCACGTTCTGTCCGAACGCAGTCGTCGTGGTGATGTTGAAGGTGACAAGACATTTCTCGCTGTCATCAGTAGCAGGACCCTGCGGAAACAAGCACAGACCCGAGCTCAGAGCGTCCAGGGCAGGATAGAACACTCGAGGCAGCCACCCCATTTCGAACGTCAGCGCCCCGTTGCGGTCGGCCTTGAAGGCCTCGCAGCTCAGCAAGTCGACGTAAGACATTCCCGGCTTGTACTTGGTGGCGTTGCGCGGGAGCACGACGTCCAGCTTGTCACCGCCGACGCCCACGTTGGTCAGGACGGTGATGAGGGAGCCTTTCTTGATGGCGATGTGGTGGTTCGTCAATGCCGTCGTGGTTGACGGTGTAGTGCTGTTGCTGGTGCTGTTGCCGCCGCTCGTGGTGTTGCCCGCGGCTGGTGGTTGTGGAGGCCAGATGGTGTCTGCCTGGGACGAGACAAGAGAAGAGTCCGTGTCGATGGCGAGTGCCCGGACGGCGTTGAGCTGGGCGATCCAACGGTACAGCTCGGCGTCCTCGTTGTAGCCCGAGGTCCACAACCTCTCGCGGTTGAAGGGATCGTTCTGCCCGGAGAAGTGCTGCTCCTGGTCTTGGTAGATGATTGGAATTCCGTCGAACAAAAGGGTGAATGCCAGTGCGTTCTTGGTGAGTGCTATGTCGCCTACCAGAGATGCGAAGCGTTGTTCTATTGAATTTAGTCATATTACCTTGACATTGATATTGAGTGGTATTGGAATGTTTTCAAGAGGAATGGTTGATTGGGTGTCCACGATGCAGAGGCACCCATCAAAGGGACCAAATACGAAACATAAATATGGTAATATGGGCACATACCGTCATGGTTCTCAAAGAATGGCGCGAGTAGATTTGTGTTGACTGCCTCAAGACACCAGTGGTCAGTCTCACGTCTTCACAAACATATGTAGCGTAGGTGATTCCCAAGCTCCGAGAGACTCACGTGGCCCATTCCGCATTGTCTTGACGCCTTGGGCAAGCTCGGTCATCCATGTTTGTGGACTTTGGAATATCCGTCGTATCCAATAGAACCTGGTTTCGATTAGAGGATCTCGTTAAATTGATCCGAAGAGTTGTTTGAAGAAGCGGCATCAGGGTTAAACCAGACTTACGTAGGATAATTCAAGACTCCTTCATCCTTGCTGGGAACCAACTCGCTGTCATAATTCGCCGGGTCTCCATTAAGAAATTCCGCAACGCTGAACACACCAGCAGCCTCGATGAAGCCAGGCCAGAAGTCCCTCTCAACATGCTTGTACGTGTCGAGGCGGAGCCCGTCAACATTATACTTCTGGACCGTGTCCCTGATCCAGTCCTGGAAGATGTCCCGGACCTCGGGGTCCTCGGTCTTGACGTCGGGCAGCGTGAAGACCGCCGTGGCCTTGTCGTCCCGGAGCTGGCACACCTCGACCGAGGTCTCGTTGGAGTTGTCCATGACGCACGGGCGGTGGAAGTACTTGCTCGAGTTGAACGGGGTGAACATGCTGTAGTCGGTGGCGTTGCCCGGGCCGGGCGAGAAGACGTGGTTGATCACGATGTCGAACATTAGATACTTTACAAAAGACTTTAGTCCGTGGTCTATGATCCGTACACAGATTCTCCTTGATCACATACCATTTCACGGGCGTGAAGCGCATCGGAGAGCCCGATCAGGTCCTCCTCTGTACCAAAGTGAGGGTTGAGAGCATAGAAATTGCGAGGCCAATAGCCGTGGTACGAGTGGTCCGACGACGCGTTCTCCGTATTCTCTATCACGGGCGAGATCCAGATTGCCGTGAATCCCATGCCTTGGATGTAATCCAGCTTGTCGGTGATACCCTGCCAAGTGCCCCCACAATATTGTTTTGGGAAGGGGCAGTCCGAGTCCGAGTCGGGAGCTTCGATTATGCCGAGGCCGCTGTCATCCGATGGGGTCCTCGCGAAGCGATCCGTCACGACTTGATAGATGGTTTGTTTCTGCCATTCCTCTGCGCTTAGGGCGCCGACGCCGGCCACAGCAGCGCAGATTAGGGGGCCAATAGCCCCAAAAAGGTTTCGCATAGCTCAAGCAGGAGAAAAGGAGTGACTAAATGAACAATTACGTGAATGAGTGTGAGTGCCCGAAGCCTACGGTAGTTGAACAGGTGCTAAGGATCGGACGTCGTCAATACAGACGAACAGGCGTGACATGAGGTCAAAAAATGTGCACTCGGGTTTAAGGCGCGAACCAACTCTAAATATAAAGGTTCGTCCCTCATCTTAATTTCAGGAGCAATAAGCTTTCGCCGGGGTGATTGGCAGGCTTGAGCCTGACTCGGCAAAGGGAACTCTGTTTTGGTACACTAAGCCTTATGCGTGGCGCTTTCACTGTGTTCGCCGATCCTTCCGACTCGTGGCGTCTAGAACATGCCCTGTTTTATAAATGACAAACTGAGACATATCAGGGAGCCAGGGTTGTTGTAGATAGCCCTGTGTCATGGGATCGACCTTTTTGTATTTAACATCTGCGCCCTCACTGCTTACACGAGAAAGGTTCGTGACAGATGCTTAAGCAGAGGTTCGAACGACCCCGGAAAACTGCACTCAATGGCCAGACTCGAGTGACTAGCACTTGGACTCTTATCGAGCAGATCCCCTGGCCCCGCTAAAAGAAACCTCATTGCATGTGGCTACACAACTCGGAATGAGGCGTAAAGTTCCGCGGAACTGTTCGAACAAGCAGTGGCCATTACCCAGGTATTTCGTCGTATTTGGTACCTATTCCTACCTACTCACTATTCCTACAAGTTCATCACCAACCCGATGTACAGATGTTTCCCTACAAAAGCCCCGCTAGACAATATTAATATCTCCCAAGTTCTCCTTATCGAAGACCTCTCCGTACATCCAGCCCGAAACATAAGCCGAGCATACCGCCAAATATTGGGAGTCAAACCAACCCCGCCTGTCTGAATCCAGTGGCCGCAAGACCATGGGTGCAGCGACGCCGGCCACAAGTGCAAGCCGGTCACCGGGCTTGACCGAATCCGTGCCGCAGCCGAGATAGCCGTTGGACGTGATGAACCATCTGGAGTTATTCTTGGCTTGGCCATTGACAATTCCAACGAAAAGATCCAACAAGTCCTGCCTATGCAACAAAGTCAAAATATCCTGAGCAGCTTGCAGAGTCATCTCGCGCGGCCCTGATTCCTCGCCCTGCGCTTCTTGGGCAAAAATGTTGTATAGCCGCTTAACCGCAAACAATTCGTGATCTGCTTCTCTGTGAGCAGTGCACTGTTCCATCAAGGCGAAAACGAGCGCAGCAGGGTGTACGGCCGAGCTTCTCGGCTCGCAAGTTCCCACACTTGCGCCACTGCGGCATCTCATCAAGTATTCAGCGAAGACAGATTTCTTGAGTGCATCTACCCAGCCCGAAAATGTTTTGATGGCAGTATGCATAGCGTCGTTTCTGGTGAGAAACTGCGGCGACTTGTCTGTAATGACCTCCAGGCTCCCCATGCAGAATGTGATAGACGCTTTCCACTGTCCAGAGACAAAAATAGCTCTTTGGTCTTTGCTGTAACGAGCTACTGCCGTAAGGCCCTTTTCCGTGGCGCAGTATATTTCTGGTATACTGGATGGTTGGAGGGAAACGAATTGCTTTGTTTCAAGTCTGCTCCAGTCGGGGACCCATGTCGGTGACTTCTCTGTCCGCGTGTCCAGAGAGGTCTGCCCGTTGTGGACGGTGTTGACGTACAAGAGCAGACTGATGGCGGATGGCCGAAACTTCAACATGTCCACACAGAGTTCGTGATAAATCCGTGCTTGCGGCTTGCTGTAGTCGATCGCAGCTAGGTCCATGCCGAAACCTCGAAGTACGCCGTACAAGGCATAGGACATATCCTTTGGCTCTCTGGCTTGACGATAGCTCAGAGTCTCCACGACGGCGGAGATGAGCTGGTCACTGACTTGCTGCTCAGATCTCTTCATGTTGAGGTCCCTGCTGAAGCCCTCCGGATTGAACAAGGTGGTGTAGAGGAAAGAGAAAAAGAGCCAAGCCGGCCAGGGAATCTATGAACAGGGTTGATTCTCCCGTGGTAAAATTATTATGGTAGACCCCCACTAATGTGGCACTGCATAAGAGGATGAAGGCGGCGACGTGTGTGCAAACCAGCCCCACTTTCTGCAAATGACGATTCGACATGACGATATAAGGCCTTTGATGCCAAAGTATAGAAGAGTCACCCGTGCTTCCATATACAGGGCGGTCGTTGCGTCCCAGGCCCTCTCTATCGACGCGCATCCAAAGGAAAAGGACTCGCTGTAGAGCAAGGAAGCCACGTGGGCGACTGGCCATGCCCTCCGAATCCTCCTCTTGACCCTTGATCTGGATTGATCTCTCGCGTAGCATGAGTGTGTGCCGGACAGGGTACCAGTCTTCGATGTCCCAAAAGTTGGCCTTGTCTGCTAGAAGAAATTGTAAGCATCGGAAACCCCTCGCGAAAACAGACCAGTTCAAGGTTGCGGTCCCACACAGGATGATGGCATCGGTTGCGAGCACCACTTCTTGGAATGTCCAAATCCTTGAGAACCAGTCCATGCCGAGCAGCTCCTCCAGGTCTGCATGTTGATATAGACGCAGCAGTTCTTGCCGTTTCCACCAGTTACGAAGTAGCTTCAAAGTCGCAACGGGCGGTAACACCCTGAGCTGAAACTTGACTCGCTGACAGGCACCACCGGCAGCGTCGCGGTCCAGGGGCAGGTACATGAAGGTTGCTGCAAAATCAACACATTCCAGAGCTCGCCGTCTCCCCTGCGTCTCTTGGCCAAGCCAAATGTAGACCTTCTTCGCCCTTGAGTACACGTCTCCCATGAGCGAAACTTGATGGCACCGCTCGGTCTCGCAGCTTTGGTCGATGCAGATTGAATCAACCCAGATTGTCGTCTCGCCGTACAGATGTCGAATCTGCCTCAGAGCATCATGGCAGTTCCTGGTGATGGATAGCATGCCTATTTTCAAGTCGATGGTTATCCCTTGACTCGGCTGCGGAGCGCCCCATACATAGGAGAGAGCTGTGAAATATGGATTGCATTCCTGGCCAAGGGAGACGATGCGGAAAGTGCCCACGAGAGGATCGTCGAAGTTATCAGAATTCTCTAGGTCAAGGACGCGTATCTCTTGTGAGTCCTTAGAGATGGGAAACGCGCGCGAGACAAAGGAGCCCTGGCTGAGATCAGGAACTGATAGGCCCGAGAACCATGGACTGGCTGTCTCCGACAGTGAATTCAGCTGCACGGTGCCAATGTCAATAGCGTAACTTTCATCAGTCACATCTTCTGCGTAGGGACCCATGGTGAGGTGTTGAGCGGAGTTGGGGCTTCGGTGCTTTGAAAGTGGTTGAGATACCTTGGTGGTGAGTCAAACGAACAGATATCAAGGACAGAAAGGAATGACATCTATCCGGATTACCCTGGGGACTCGTCATCCGCTCACTGTTGATAAAACCCCTCCTCTTATCACAGCCACAGCTGCCTCCCTGTTGTGATACCAAGACTATACTGAGACCAGATAGGAAGACGTTTCAGCTCCTATGTGGCGTTCTGAGACAGCTCAGTGTAATAAACATGGCCAGCTCGTTTTAAGGCTGCGATCAAGAAGTGAAGGAATGGATGGTCGAGCAAAACAAGATTAGTTTTTCTTTTTTGGCTCAAAGTTTCCATGCAAGCCAACGCAATCACGTTGTCTTTAGGGACTACTTCCTTTTCGTAAATACCTCGAGCAGGACCGTGGGGGCCGAAACAATAGTTTGAGTGTCTGACCTAGCCCCCACCGCCCATCCTGCTGTATCTTCACAGGGATAGCCTTATCCCTTTCAAGGTCGGGGGCTGCCCTGCATGTACATTTTCCCTTTCGGTCTGACTCAGCTGCTGTATAGCGGCACCGTATGGGAAGGTACGTATCCGGCATCAACGTGGGATCTGGATCACTGTATCCAAGACATGATGCAACGGGATCATATCTGGGTACAGGTAAACACAAGTGTCACGCTACCCAATGAAGTCTGCTTGCAAACATCACTCAACAGTGTGGCTTTTTGATAATGTACTTGAGTATGTTTGGAGCTTGAGAGAGCAGGCAAAACATGAATTCCTAACCCTGGGAACATCTAATTGTAGTGTATCTTAAATAAGGCGTAGAAGGTTTGGGCCATCCCTTTAAATACTAGCATTGATATGACTTGAGTCTTCAGTTTACTATAAAATTCAGTCTTAATTTGAGCTGGCCAATATAACTAGAGCCTATGTGACAGATTCTGGATCCTTTTCAAGGTTGCTCATCTACTAGCACATTTGGTGAGGATAAGTCAGACCATTTGCGTTAACGTTAAGTAACGCGCCCAGACATGGCCAACAATCAGTAGGGCAATCCTCCCCTCTTCCTCCTTCATGCTGGTATGCGGCAAGGTTCAAGTTGGCTCCATCTCCATTATTCTTCGAACCAATAGGAATAATGGTGTGAATTGTGGGGAAAAGACCATCCTGAATGACAAAAACCAGGTGGAAGCCCCTCCCGGGGCCCTGGGAGCTATTCACCTGGATAGGCAAGACTATAGTAGCAAAGAATAAGGGGGGGGGCCTACTTGCTTTACAGCCCCCTCGTGCGCTTCGCGCTCACCCTCCTTCCGGCGGGGGGGTTTGCACCCCTACCTTTTATTTTAATATTTAGGCTAGGGTTAGGGTTAAACTTAAACTAAATAATATTTAAGTTTTAAGTTTAATTTAATAATTATATTACTTAATTAATTAGCTTTTAAGTTTTAAATTTAATTTAATAATTATGTTGCTTAATAATATTATATCACTTAGCCAATTAGCTTTAAGCTTTGAGTTCCATTTGATAGTGTTGGCGTGTCATTTTTTTCCGTTCACAGACTATTCCTACCAGGGGGAGGGGGGGTCTTTATATGGGTCACGCAATGTAATTATGTTTTAATATTTAAATAAAATTTTAAAAATATAATATAATACTAGTGAAATGCTATTAAAATACTATTAAAATTAAAATATATTAAGCTTTAATTATTATATTAATATTAACTTTATATTAATTAACTTTTTATATTAAAAGCTTTAATTTAAACTTTATTAACTTTAAACTTAGTTTTATTTTTAAATATTTTTATAATTTTATAAATCCTTTTATAATAAATAATTAAGTTAATAAAGAATAAATAAGTAATTAAGTTAAGGATAAGGAAAAAAAAAGTTTTTCTTTTACCCTTATATTAAGAATTAATATAATATTAAGGTTAATATAATATTATAATATATTTAAAATATTTATATATTAGTAATGTATAAATAATGCAATGTATATATAAAAAAAGCATGTTAGAACCTTAATTGCATGTTACTATTATGTCGCTATTCCATTAATATCGTGGTGTGATGTTGATAAAAACCCCCCCTCCCCCTGGTAGGTTCTAGACGAATAGCAAAGGCCCTGTAAGACCGTTGCATTGCATGTTGCCAACAAGGTTTTCGTCCTCTCCTTGTCGCCGTTATGGCAGTCACTGGGGACGTACGTCTTTAAAAAGGGTGCCCTCTTCTCCTTCTGCAGTCAGATTCTAGCCATCCGAGTCATGCGCACTTTGAATACAAACAATCGCATATTTGTCAGACCTAGTCTTTCCTGCCCCAACCGCGACCCCTCTTCAGCCTCAAACACAAAGCCACCTGGACAGACACTTCAGAGCTACACGAACTCACGATCACTTAATCCGAGATGGCGAGAGCTCAGATCGTAGCTACTTGCCGCCAGGCACAGCCGCTCGTCGATGCCGGTCTAGAGTCCCGCATCCTTCTTCCGACGGACACCGAGTACGCCTGGCGAAATAGCTCCTATTGGTGCAACAATGCGAAGTTGAATCCGGCATGTATCTTGCTGCCGCGATCTGCCTCTGAGGTTGCCACAGCAATTCAAGCACTCGCTCAGGCCCGCCAAGAATTTGCGGTGCGCGCCGGCGGACACATGAACTGGGCGGGCAGCAATAACATCAGTGGTGGAGTGACCATTGACCTGGGCTTCTTTGACTGGACTCAGTATGACCCTGACACCCAGACAGCACGCCTGGGGCCTGGTGCCAAGTGGAAACATGTGTACGCTGAGCTGGAAAGGCACGGCCGCACAGTTGTCGGCGCGCGAGAGGGCGAGTGTGGTGTTGGCGGCTTCCTGCTTGGAGGTGGCAACACCTTCCATACGCCGAGTCACGGCTTTGCCTGCGACAATGTTGTGGCTTACGAGGTAGTGCTGGCCGATGGCCGTATTGTCACTGCGGACGCGGAGGGCGAGCACAAAGGTGTGTTCTTGTTTTCCTGTGCTGATAAGACTCAAGACCAGTGGATGATGATGCAGGACAGACCTATTCCGCTGTCTCAAGGGGGGTGGCAACAACTTCGGCATCGTCACCTCCTTCCAAATGGGTACAATACCCAGTGGCCCTGTCTGGGGAGGACTGGCGCTGCCGCAATTGGATGCTGTCCCGGCCGCTGTGGACGCACTGGTTGAGTTTACAGCAAACTCTGTAAAGGACCCAAACAGCAACATGCAACTGGTGTAAGTTTGAGTTATCATTCACCCCTGAATACCATGTGAGACTTTTGGAAGAGCAAGATTTTCAACCATCAGATCCTGGTGTTCTTGATTAGGTTTTGTAAACGATCTTGCCCATTCGTCCAAGAAAGCACTGACATCCAATTCCCGACAGTGTTGGCCATCAACCCAGGTTTGGGGGTGGTGTTGCCATCACCCTCTGCAATAATATGGCTGCCGTTGAGAATCCGCCCGCCCTGCAGAGAACCTTGGCTCTGCCAGAGACTTTGAACAACTTCAAAACGACGACACTGGACGAAATTCTGACTTACACGTCACTTCCACCCAATTTCCAGTGAGATTATTGCCCTTTTCACTGTTTCTCCGACTCGCTGCCATGAAGGTTGCTGACCCTGTCTCAGCAACGTTTGGTTCACACTGACCTTGAAGAATGATTACTCCATTATCAACAAAGCTGCTGAGCTGCATAATCAGCTCGCCAAAGAGCTTCAGGCGAAGGTCCCCGGTGAAGATTTCACCTCGCATGTTTCATTCCAGCCGGTTCCACGGTTGTTCGCGGAGAGGTCCCTGGCTGTCAACCTCAGCGGTAATGTGCTTGGTCTGGAGCAAAACAAACACGACGCCATCCTGATCCAGGCCTCTGCCAGCGTTCCTACGCCTGAGCTGGAGGAGTGGGTCAGGCCGAAGGTTCGTGCTGTGGTTGAGGGCGTCCGCGCCTTTGCCGCCACAATAGATGGGGGCATCATCCCATGGATTTACCTCAACTATGCCCTCAAGCCAAGAGGTTCTGCAGAGCTACGGCCCGGATAACTTGTGCCTGATCCGCGAGACGGCATCTAGATATGATCCTGAAGGGGTCTTCCAGCACCTTTGTCCAGGAGGCTTTAAGATCCCCCTTAACTAATGGGAGAGGCTGAAGTTCCTGCTGGATTACAACACATCACGTTGCAATGAAGACATCATAGTTCGTGCTTATTCGACTGGGGGATAAATCAAACCTCACCCTGATTACGCCTAGGAAATATTCGTTATCTGTTCTGTTGATACTTGCTCTCCGTTATTCCATCTGATATTCATCCAACGAGAGCGATCTCCTCACCCGCCGCCGCCGCCGCCCCACCCCGCCCCCGAGGCCTCCTAACGCAGCCACGAGCCTGGCCTCGCCCTCCGCCTGGTCAAGCCGGACCCTCACTTCCTTCACCATATTCTCCAAGCTATCCACGGTCTGGGCAGGACGGGGTCCCTTGCCCGTCCGGCAACGAGTCCTCGTCTATAAAGGGGCCCCTGAGGATAAAAGGCAGCGGGTGCGCCTTCCACACTGGTACCTCGGCTCGTGCGGTGAAGGACATCGTTAGCGGGAGGAGCACCAGGGATGTTAAAGCGACGAGGCTGGCTGGCAGCGCAATCCAGGGCCAGTGGACGTTGAGGCACGTTGCGTAATGCCAGACAATGCCTTCCGCCGGCGCGCTGTAGTTGGCGTTGCCGTTCTGGCGCATATAGTTCGTGAATCTTGTGGCTATGTCATCAAATGTCTGGTTGATGCCGAGGAAGGAGACTTTACTGTAATTATAGAGCGCTTGAAGCTCGATCGGTCCTGAGAAGGAGTCGAAACAGCGGTCTACTGGATTACAAGAGCTGCCCGCCCCCGCAACGATTCCATCAAAAAACATGACCTTTCCAAAGAATATTTGGAGGGCGGGGTCGAGGTAGGGGCCGAACATATAGGTGCATCCTCGCGCGTCCATGAAGGGTGGGTTTTCTGCACTTGTGTTGTACCAGACGGAATAAGGGTCACCTGGATCGAAACTGTTGGCGTTGCACGGGAAATTGTATCTGAGCCAAGACTGTGCCACCGAATAGCCCTCGTGCACAAGTTTCGACCTCTCCTCGGGAGAAAGGCAGCTTGTATTGACAAAGACAACTGGCTCATTCCATCTTCTACCAGGAGACACCTTTCGTGGCGTCTCGAAAGGCGTGTGTCTTATCATCGTCTCCGATACCACACCAGCTGTCACAGCTACTTCATATTCTCGGATGCAGGGGAACATTGTGCACCGGGCGGCTCCATATCCTTTGCAAGACCATTGGTTCTCTGGGTCGTAATTGAGATTACTGCAGTTGGCGATATGGTCTCCAGTAGTGGGGTCACTCCCTCCTCCAGACCACACGCCGGCTGAACAAAAGTTCTTACCAGCAATAAACTCGAATACGGTGGGTGTAGAAGTTTGATTATCGATATACTCCAGATTCATCCCGCCGAGATCAGTGTTGGATCCCCGGAAAAGCCCCCTGAACATAGAAGGATGCTCATCATCAGTGTTGAATGTTATATTCGATCCTGTCGGGAGCATTGAGGTGCAGGAATAAGATAACCCCCATCCATCAGTGAAGGCACTGTCATTGCGTTTTACTTCGTTGTGGAATTTGAAGTGACGTGATACATCCTCGCACGTGCTGCAGTAGCCCACGGTGGAGAAGCTTTCGAATGTGCAGTTGCCTGTGGGGCAATAAGGTTGGACTGAGCTTGCGTGCGAGAACGCTGCCGCTGTAAGAGAGGATTGCGCAGATACTGGGGGTTCGGTTACATTATAATAGCGATACCACGTCTCCGGTTCGTTGATCTCTTCTACTTGAGGATATTCGTAATAACTTGTCGACTCAAACTAATTAGATTGGGCCACAGTCGCCTTCTCCCCTAAGCACTGTTGGCAGTCCCTGTACTGCAGAAGTGCTTGGAAGAAAGGGTCGACCGCAACCATGAGAACGGCGATCAGAGCGCCCACTGCTGTCAATGGTTGCCGAAGCCGTCGGAACGCCAACCATTGGTAAGACCCCCAGACACCGCGGCCAGCTGAATCGTACCGAATAACGTCTGCCAATGGTCGCTTTTCCCTCATCCATAGCCACTGGTGCTGGCTAATGCAGGACTGTATTACAAACGTTGCTGAGCCTTTCAGGAAAACTGAGTAGATGGACAGCAACGTGTTGATAGAGATGTGGAAAGGCCACTGGGGTAGCGGCTGATTCTGGTGTGGCAAAAGCGTACCGATCGTCGCAGCAAGTGCGACGATGCTGATTGCGCTGTTTGCAATCTTCCACTTCCAGTTCGACCAGCAACTAAGTACGCTATTGAGATGTCCTTCACTGGAGGAGGGATCGGTCTTTCCGGGCTCCAACTTGGTTGTGTATCACTGGGGCAGCGTATCGGAAGCTCTCTGGTCGTTGACAAGGTTCACCGTGGAAGAACCTTGGGTGTCATTGATGCTAGGGTGTTGCAAATGCTGGGTGTCCGTCTCAAGTTTGGCATTTCTGGCGAGTCATGTGGTCAAAAGGTCTGGAGAGCCGTTTTGGACCTCTTCCTCGCCCACCTGGCTGTTCACCAGGCTTACCAACTCGATTGCCATGCCTCGAGGTTGGATGTCTGATGATGGAGTCATGTCTTTTCGTTTCGTTTGGGACTCTCTTCGCACTTCCATGATGTGAAAGTCTGTCCGGAGTTCAGATTTCAGAAACGATAAAAAGAAGGATTTTTAAGATGTGCTTGTGATCATCTGTTGCCAACGCCTGAAGTGGCGCAGAACCCCTCAGCGCAAATTTTTGCCGTCTCACACAGTACCGTTGGAACAGGTCTTGCACAACTGCAAATCCTGAGGTCAACGTCTATGCTGCCGTGTGTCTCACTTATAGGATCTCGTTTTCACAGCTGCTCGAAGACGTTGGCCCCCATTGAGGCGCAGTTCATTCTTATTTATACGAGTTGCAATGTTTTGCTACACATCATATCTCAGTACTAGTATCTATCTCCTTAGCAGCGATCAACTTTAAGGCAAGTCCAACGAGATACATAAGACTTGCTGCTTACAGTTATCCTCTTTTGTAATGACCGTTTATATGAGCACATAGGCACCTAGCTACTCCTTCCGGGGTTGATACTCATATCCTCCTTATTGCATAAGCGCAATCTTTGTTCCCTGTCTTCATAGTCTGCCTTGCATTCATGGCGAAATAAATCAAGGCAGACAATTCTTCCCACAAGAACCACAATTGGGTACATCAACAGACGAGTCGCACTTGAAGCTATTCAGAGCGGACTGCGAGGTCGAGATGGCCAACCATCCCGTCCAGGTACCTCCATGGCTCAGCTTGATACACTGCGAGCCGCACAGCTCACCATTGGCGAACTCGGTCTGGATCAAGTTGTACAGCGCGCCCTCGACCGTACCAATCTCCGCCGTGGACCGGCAGTCACCGCCTGTGGTCGTGGCGTAGACCGTGTAGTAGATGTCATCGATGGATCCCGAGTGGTAATTGCAGTCATCATTGTCGTAATCGGTATAGATCTGGCTTCCGATCTGCTTGGCAATGTTATCGGCGTCAAGATAGATGTTTTCACAGTTGCCGCCGGATGGTGCGGAAGACGCGCACCAGTCAACATTCCTCGCTGTCGTGATCGACAGAAGAGAAGTGGCGGACATGAGGTATGCAGTAAGAGTGGGATGCATGATTGATAGTAGAGTAGTGAATGATTTGATGATCTTAGTGTTTGGCTAGTTCAAAAATTAGACAAAGTCTTTGACGATTCAAGTTGCAGAAGCTTCTGTACCAGTACTGGGATGCTTTCGCCAGGCCAAAAGGATGGAAACCGGAGGTGGACCTGGATATTTATAATCATGCAAAGTAAGGTTGAAAGTAAGCAAGCGATCATCACCTGATCTTCACTTAGGATTCAATATCTCAACAATAAATGATGAAGTGGCTGGAACTTGATCACGGAAAACAGGCAACGAACCATGTATGACGTTTGACTGTAACACAGAACTCGAACTTTTGTTACTCCTGAGACTAATCTACTTCCTGGAACAGACAAGGCTTTTCCAGTGGAATTCAAGACTTGGTTAGGTCTGACAATGGACTTGGCTGCGGTTTGCCTCGGAGTCCACATGAGCGGTTTGCTTTTGTGTTGTTTCTGATCCAGCATAATTTCTTTCTAGTATGACCTCTAGGCAATCTGTCTTGATCAGTACTGAAGCCAGCCTGGCAGGGCCTTCAGTGTATAGACAGGTGGTATGATGAGTTGGCAGACCTCTACTCCTGTCCTACAACCAATCACATGCGCCAGCACCAACATCATCGATCACCTGAACTAGGTTGGATGGCAAGATCAGAGAGCTTTTTTCTCCTGCAATGTCCGTGATTACTGGTGCTTATATTCCTTGCTACCTAGGTACTCGCTTGTGGCGTAATGCGGCTTCATTGTGTCTCAGTATAATGAAACTCGGCGGATTGCTGACTAGAGGTCATCATCAGCGGCTGCTTACAGTTTCTTACAACTTTAAGACACCGTACATTTTGCTGCGAGTTCACGTAGCCTGAGAAGGGAACTCAAAAGTACCTAAAATTCACTTTCATTTCTGAGAGGCTCCGCATTCTGCACTTTCTATCAGGCCGTTTTGCCATACGGGGCGGAACGGAGACGTGTGCTTCAAATTAGGTAGTCGATGTTGCTTACACCAGGAAATGAGATACGGCATTAAACCCGCCTGTTGCGAGACTGGAAAAGGCGAACGCTCATCGAGCCTGGATAAACTGACTGGTATATCTCGTCACACCGCCCTAGTGTCTTTGATTAATCTTCCGTGGTGGAGTCAGGCCGCTGTCCGGGGGCCGTCGGAAGGCATGGTCTCAGCTTGCAGGGAACACAACTGTCATAGCCGTATCCGGTTTGCAGATATGTGTAACGTATAATCCTTTTCAAATCAAATGTATTGATGCGGGACCGAGGATCTTGGTGAACTCTTGGCGCAGGGGGACGACTTCCCGGTCTTTCCAGATCTTGACCAGGCTCTCTTCCTCCTCAGCCCAAACCTTGCCGGGCGGCGGACGTTCTTCGACAGAGATGCCCTGAAGAAAAAGGAGAAACAGCAATTTCCAGGGCTGCTTGAGGGAGCGGGTCAGCTCGGCGGTCAGACCCATCTCGGCTTCGAACGGCATCGTGCCCCAGACGGCCTCGAGGGGCTCCCTGTCGACCCTCCCCATGAGAGTCCACTCAAACCCGAGCTCGTTGGAGGCACTGGCTGAGTGGGCAACGACTCCGGGGGACTAGTAGTGATGAATGCGACTGATTAGCTGCAGCCACCATACAAATAGTCTCCCAAGGGCCCGTAGGGCACACACTCTGAAACACCATCGCACTTCACATGTACACATACACGCTGTACCTGACGATAGCAAAGCAATTGGTCAGGAGCAAATAACTTTCCAAAGCTACATGAATCATCTAAACAAACAGTCTGCAACAGATCTCAACGTGGCCCACAGCCAACAAGATAGATATTCAAGTGAAATTTGACTCTGCTACATGAGCATCCCCTTGCAGGGAGGGGGTTTTGGCAGGGGGCGTCAGGAACAATTGTAGAAGCCTAGGTCAAATAATGGGTTCAAATTGATTCAAGTCGACCCCATCCACACTTTTCATTTTCATTTCAGCTATGCTACCCTGGTCTGACAAAGACTCAAGGACGTAGCTGTACTTCAGCTGTGAATTTATGGTAAGTGAAATAGGCTTAGCGATACTGACATGAGATGTTTGGCTATATGGAGGGAATGGACATGCCTCTCAACCTGTAAATCGTGAGTTGCGTTGTTGTTCGCATATGAAATTTCCCAGGGGCTTTAAGCCCCCCTTACGTAGTGGGAGATGCTGAACTTCTTTTTGGATTATAATCTGTCCCCTTGAAATGAAGACTTCAGACAAGGGTTTCCTGTATGGTTATCGTTCTGGTACAGTATACATGATAGTGTTCTTAGGGATGTACCTCAGATTGATGTAATTCAAAAACATGATTCTATTCAATGTTATTGTCACGTTTTGTATGTGTCATCCGACAAACTTGGTCAGGGCCCAACCCCCTCCATCAATCAAACTTGTAGAGCTGTCACTCCTGTGAACTCACAGTTATAGTGTCGTGCTTTTCAGACTGAAGTTTCAGAGCTCAAACAGTCACATACAACAAAATGTCACCAAGGAAAAGTCAGAGTAAACTACTTATCACTGCAGAATGTGGATAGATGACAGCTATTAAGTTGGGTCTTACGGTCTGAATGTGTGTGAATGATGACGAAACTGCATTGTGGACAATGTCTGAAATGGAATAACTAGTGCGTGGGCTTCGGGGAATCATGCCCACCACTCGTTGACACTATGTCACAAGAACATCTCTCTAGTGGACTGTAGTGAGACTGTTACCAGAATTCCTACATAAAACACATTCTTCTCCTCTCTTCCAGTAGCTCTTGTTTCCCAGAAAAGACCATACCAGAGCCATCAACAAAAACCAGCATCAGGCAAAGCTACTCCAGCTCAACGAAGAGTTAAAATCACATCAAGCCCACAGAATAACCAAGACTTCGGAGGCGCAGACGAAAGGACTAACCCATACATCAACCGAAATGAGAGACTCCAAGTTTCGCTGGCGCCAGGTCATCATCTACAAGGGTGTATACAAGGGTGAAGTGGACTTCGTCAGAGCCAAGAAGGACACGGATATCTTTGAATACAAACTCAAGTTAACCAGGCAGCGTGACTCACCTACAAGGTAAGTTGGTGCCAAGGCCCTCGCATTTTCGGTAGCATGCTAATGAAAGGTGGCGCTTCAACCTCCAGCGAGGATTGGTATGACATTGAGACTAAGTACATAATGGAGGCTTTGGACGGAGACTTGGAGGCGGCCCCTCCGGGCGAGACCTTGCCACCAGAGGCACCATAGGCTTGAAGGGTAAGATTTGAAAGATGAGGGTTGGATTTTGCCACTGGTAGAAGGCCTGAATCTGGTGAGGGAAAGAGGGCCTAGAATCAAGGCAGACTCAATGCGACTGCATCAAGCTTTGTTCCAGTGAAGTGCACAGTGTCTGCAACCAATGTAAAATGTCCCCTCTTGAGTATGTAGCTGTGTATTTTGAGTCCACCAGCCTGTCACCAATATGGCCTTCATTACATATCACTTGAGTAAATTAGGCCCAGAGACCCAGCTACACTTTGGATGCGGATCCGTAGAAGGAGGTTGCCTTCGTGTGCCACAAAGTGGCAGCAAGGGGAGATTCAAAGTGACCTAGTCTTATCAATCAATAGAAACATAACAGAATAACACACCTGACGAGATGATGGCCCCTAATAGAGTCTCTGCAATGGTGTCATCAGTGAAGCGTCCAACACCATCCCCTTAGCAATCAGAGCACTTTTCCTACAATCACTTTTTGCCCCAAGGAAATCATCCACTATCAAGTCATTGACTCTGTTTATTGTCAGGTATATTTCCATTTGTCAAATAAATCTTAATTGTTAGTGAATACGTAGAGCCTGTGAACAGCAGTGCATCTAGTCACATTTGTATTGACTACAAACGCGGGCTGCGCATCAAATAGCAGTAGATGAGAGTGAATCTAAAAGTGAATTGTTGGCCAATTTGCCTTCAACAAGTGAATAATCAATGGTGGCAGCAATGGCAAAGCTCATCTCGAAAACTATTTAAACCCAGGTCCCCGACGACCAAATGCCTCTTTTCTCCATCCCACCTCTCTATTTGACCCTTCGACAGCGACACCACCAGCTGCTGACCCAAAAGCTTTCATGTACGATAGAGCTGCGAAGTTTCATCCTTGGCCATACTTTTCTTTCAACCTTATTTAACCCAATCAGCCGCTGTCCCACTACTATGCAGCCGAACATGGACAACCAGCAACTGCACCACAAGACAATCCATGTCCCGGTGACCACTTCGATGGTTCACGCTCTCGACCGATACATCACGCCGAAGCTTGCAGAGCATGGCTGGCTTGTCAAAGATGAGGATAATGAGGACCTCCGGGACGAGATCATTAGGAACATACTGGATCTCTGCTGCGCTGGGAATAGCCACAGGTTCATCCTGGAGACACTTGCGGACGAGGAGACACATCTATCCATGGCTAAATGGATCTCCCCCATTTTCCTGGGCGGGCATCCTGCTCCCAAGGACAGAGGCCTTCTGTCGTTCACGGATGGCGTCGTAAACTCCTTCCATGATCTCTGCCAGGACCATTTTGTCTGGGATCACGCTGCCACTATTGGAACCCAGGTCAGAGGGGATACTGGCCTGCCCTTTCACATCCAGACCAGTCTGCAGACCGTAGGTCTAACATGCAATCCAACCCCTCTCCCCGGCTTTCCAACTTCATTGTACAAGAGGCTGACAGTAATCTTCACAGGAAACATTCCACCTGTTCGGACTCCCGGCAGAACTACGCAACATGGTCTACCGGGAGGCCCTGGTCGTCCCAAATGGCGGCCTAGTACGCACCTTTACACCGCCTGCCCTCCTCCGCACCAACAAGCAGCTGCGAGACGAGGCAATACCCATATTCTACGGAGAGAATCACTTTGAGATCACAATCAAGCGGTCTCCTCAAGATGAGGATCGTGTCGCTGGAAGAGGGCTTCCAAACGTCGACATGTGGGTCTGGCCGCGCTTCCTCCACATGTGGGACGACTTCAACTGCTTGGGTGCCAACTGCCTCCGGTACATTAGGCACATCAAGCTGATCTATCAGCTCTCAATGGACGATGGGTACTCCTTTGGGGAAGGCGAGTTCGACAAGCGACTCGGCTTCCGCTTCAGCAGCGACCCGTTTGAGGAAGACTACGATTGGAATCACGATATCAACGCTCCAGACCGCAACGGCGAGGACTCCGAATCGGACCTCGGCGAATCTGGAGTTGAGTCTACAGACCTTGAGACGGAGGAAACCGAGGGAGGAGATCCTGATGAAGGCAGCAGTGGAGACGAGGACGACGGCGAGGTGACGCAAGTCTCCAAGGAGGACTCCGATCCAGTGGGGGTCTTCGAGCTCAACCGCGGGGCCGTCAACTGGCGCAGCCGTCGCGACACGCACTATTTCTTATTTCACCGAATGTGTGAACACGGTAACGTATCTTATAGAATTAAGGGGTCTCCCGAGGGCGCCAGGCACCGGCTTCCCCGAGGACGGAGACCTCCCACCCTATGCCGTCTGCTCCAGAGCAGACGACACGGGGGAGTTGAGGAGCAAGCCCAGCTGCTAATTCGTGATTCTGACAGGCACCAACGGGATGTGGGACGTCTACCCGATGAACAGGCTGGCGCAGATGCTGTGGCGCTGTGCAAGGGACTGCCCTCTCTCGTCCGGCAACGTTGACCTGATCTGCGAAGATCTCCCTTACTGGATGGATAGCATTGGCAGCTACACACGCCACTCGGTCGACTTTTACGACCTGGATGATGACGACTACTAGTCATGTGGGATGAAATGTCCGGTGGACTACTCAACGAAGGTTAGGGGGGAGGGGCGCTGGGAGGACCACGTGGGGAGGATTCACCCATGGCTCGGACACCGCAGGCATATACTAGATGCATGGTACTAATTGGATATGAAGGCGCCGAAGAAGTGTTGCAGAGCAGAAAGAAGGAGCCTGCTACACCAACGTAGTCACTCGTATCATATTCAAAGGCTCTCTGAGGCCTCCCGATGTTACAAGTCCCAGCCACTTTGTCCAATGGTGAAATTCATCATTGGTATACGAGTGTGGATCGTTGTGGTAAGAGAGGTTGATCTTGTGGTTCCAACGTTCGCAACATAGAACTGTGTCTGTTGACAAGGCTGGGATGAAAAGGATCTTCATCCATTAAGACGTCATGCCGGCAGGGTCCTACTCGGGAATAGTCACCAAGCTCTCTGTAAACAGTGCAAAACAAGCGCAAAAGAGACAGTCACCACTGGCCAACTGGATTGTAACCCTCATTAGTACATCGACTACTTGAATGTAGGACAGACAGAAGTTGATCCCCAATATCACTTGTCAAAAGCCCGCTAATCTCAGCCCAGGACGCCGAGTACAATCTATAGTTAAAAGCCAGAACCACGGCCGTCACAGGTCATCCCCGCGCAACGCGTACCAACCCACACAGAAAACCCTTGCCACTCAAAACTCAGGCCCGCTGGTACCAAAGTCCGGCATTGCATACTGGGTCAGGTCCAGGTTGAGGTGCTCCCAGTCCCAGAGCGGCTCGAGGAACGTGCCCGAGAGCGGGTCGCCGGGGTTCATCCCGCCAAGGAACTGCTGCTGCTGCTGCTGCTGCTGCTGCTGCTGCTGGGCAGAGGTAGTGCCGGTAACCGCAGGCTGAGGCTGCTGCTGTTGCTGCTGATGAGTAGCGGGGCCGAGGATGGACGTGTAGTCGACATACGGCCACTCCGGGGCCGGCATCACGGGCATCCCGCCGGCGTTCCCCAGTGGCATCAGCGGAGGGGTGCCGTACAGTGCTTGGGCTTGTGATTGTGCCTGTTCGTGCAGCTGCGGCATGTCGTACGGCGTTGCGCCCACCGGCGGGGACGGGTTGCTCGAGGACCCAGCGCCAAGACTGCTGCTAATGGTGTAGTCGCCGGCGCCGCCGAAGCTCGCCACCGCGGCGAGCTGATCTGGTGGAGATGACGACGAGGGACTGGTCTTGATCTTCTTGGACGAGGACGGCGCGAGCGAGCCGACACCGAGGGTCACCTTCTCGGCCTCGGTAAGGGGAAGCGACGGGGAGAGTTTCCGCAGGAGCATGGCGGACAGCCTCGCAGATTCGGAGAGGTGGGCGACGGCGTCCATCAGCTCCTGGGAAGTGCGGAGTGCGCGGATGCACTGACTCCGCTTGGGGAGATTGTACCCGGTATCGTGGACGATGGCGGAGCACAGCACAGTGGCGGCGTCGAACATGAAGAAGATAATGAAGAAGTACTTGAAGCCGGATGGATATATCAGGTCGTAGAACTGCTCCGAGGCTCTCATGAGGTCGAGGCAAGTGTCAACACCCTTGGTGCGCAGGTTGGTCCCCAGCTGTGAGTTCATGATCTCCGAATCTGCTTTTGACAGGAGGTAAGGCTTTAGAGGCGCAAGTAGGTATGCGTACGCGATGATATTGAGCTGGCAGCGCATGAAGGGAACGTTCGGGTGCTTTTGATCCCATCGCGTATCGGGTCGATGGTCGCGGAGGGCAGCCGGGAACGTGCCCATCCACTTTTCGAGTTCGTCTTCGATTTCGAGGACAAGCTCGACGGAGTAGTCTGTGCCCATCTTCTGAAATAGATGAGAGACGTGCAGGCCCAGTTCGGCTTGTAATGCGACAGATGATAGTGGGTGGGGCATGGCAGGGTCGGTAATGTTCTCGAGGCGACCATCTGGGATTTCTAATTTATGATCGTCTTGGTCGATGAGGAGCGGTCGGGACAGCAAGGTCGACATTTGCCTGCACGTATTAGAGACAGTGGCCGTCTACATCAGTCCTGATAGATGGACATACCAATCCCAGGTCCAGAGGACGCACCACATCCGCTTGCGCAGCTCCCGTTCGAAATTTGGCAGGCCCTCGGCGGGGTTGTGCATGTCTAGGTGATCCAGTCAGTGACATCCGGATGAGGCTGGCCAACATGCCGCCAGCAATGAAACGGCCCTGTGGCTGGCTTACTGATCTCCTGGGCTTCGCGGATGGCAACGCTCAGTGAATGCCACGACTCGACCATGCATGCCTCCGATTTGTACCATTGCGCTTCGAGGAAAAGCTGCTGCACGTGTACAATTCCCCCCTTGCCTCGGGCGATTGAGGCACTTAGCTTCTGTGCAGCCGCATGGAAGCGCTCGGTCATGGCTTGCGCCTTCTCACCGAGTTCTGACTCAAGCCTTTGGAGAAGAGATGCCTCCAAGTACTGCGTGGATACGGCACAAACACGGACCAGGAGGCATGTGAGTTCAGGGCTCAGCCTTTGACCGGCTGCCCTCGACTCCCACCACTGTGCACTCTGGCCTCGGAGTTGCTCCGGGAAGATAGGGTAGTACTGGAAATTGGCACTCTCCAGATAGTTCTGGACGAGGATGTCTTGGCTTATATGTCAGTGGGCAAACACGGTCTTGATGGACGACGATGCGCACCTGTATACGGCTTCGGCAGTATTATCTTCAAAGCTGCCTCAATTTCCTCGGACTGTGCGCCCTGGTTGTCGTCTATACGACCATACGAGGGCTGTGGGAACGTCAACTAGGGTACCAAGGGCCATCTAGAGTCCCCATACTCACGTCTGTTGGAGATTTGGCAAGGGAAAAGACATCGTGGCTAGGCATGTAGCCTAGCTTAGCCAACCCGTCCGAGAGGCCATGGTCCAGGTCACTAGCCGATGCGGAAGTGTCGGACCCGAAACTGTCTTCCTTCCTCTTCCTCGACAACCTATCGCCATGCGAGGTTAGAAAATCGTCGTTGCATTATGAAGATAAGCGGGTAATCAAATGGAATATTGCCGTACTTCGCAGGAGTAGGAAACGAGTCGTCCTCCGGCGTTGTCACTTTCTTCGGGGCGAACTGGCATAGGTGGGGTACCTTCCGGGCCTGACAATGGTTGCAAGGCCATTCGCGAGAGCACTGATAACCTGTGGCGTCAGCGGCTGTCGACAGGATGAGTGGGAATATCCCCATGACCGTCTACCTTCTGCTTTCGCCGCTGGCACTCAAGGCAGGACGTAGCGGAACGTCCGCTCTTCGGCTTCTCGACAGGGCTGTTACCGCTCATCATGAAGTCCTCGAAGGCCGTTGGTATGGAGCGTGTGACTTGGTTTGTGAGGATGAGGGAAGGCCCGTCTCCTGGCTGGGGACCTAGTGGACGAGAGGAAGCACAAGAGGACCCTGGGGAAGATGGCCGCTCTGACGCTCAAGAGCAATTACCTCTGACCAGTGACTAAGCTGGGGCTTTACCTTCGGAATTCCTTCCTGCGTTAGACCAGGTGGAGACGGTGATGGGTGGTAAGGGGTCCCCGGCCGCGTAGCGTCGTGATAGTGTAACGGCTTGGGCCTCTAGTTGAGGCGCCAGAGGTGCTGGATTTCCCCAAAAGCGCCGGCTTCACAGTGAATGGACCGGAGCTACTCGAAACATTGTTTCTGATCTCTCGTCGTTGATGTCTCAAGCCCTCGGTTTTTATCAACACTCGTCGTCTTTCGGCGGGTCAAACTTAGACGGGCGCAGCTCAGCTCGTCCCCCATGTCTTGTTTTCGACATGAACCAAAGCTAAATGCGAGGGAGCCCGAGGAGATGGCGGTAGCACTCCTGCCGAAGAAACTTTTCTTCGGCCAATAAAGGTTGGAGATTGTATCTGGTTGACTTGTGGTCCGAACCTGAGCCTCCTCCAGCCGACCTGCCAGAAGCCTCAGACAGGGATGGTGGCTGTCATCAGAACAGGCACTTGCCGGTGTGACATGGGACCAACATGGCGCTGGCTTGTTGGATTGTACACGCGGGGGCGCCGGATTGATCAATAGCTGAGATCGTGGGTTTCGCAGAGATGGTCTCGAAGCCTTGTGGTGCATCACAGCCTCCCGGGCGTGGTACACTGTGTGGGCGAGCATCGCGCTGAAAAAGCAAAATATAGGCCGCCGCTTTTCCGGGGTGTCTCCATTCTGGGTGCGATTGGGCTCTTGGATAAGACATGGCTCCAGGCTTCCGGCACCAGTCCAGCACGCTCGTGGTATTTGGAATATGCCCGCTCAAGGTGGCACACGACTGTAGATTGTGGTCGCCCCCGGAAGCCGGAAGGGCGTGAGGTCAACCAGGCGAGGATCCCTGTGATTACTGATGACGTTGAGGTTGCTTCGCGTCGCGGGCCACCAATGACGGCTCGCTGGAGCGACAGATCTGGTTGCTGAGGACTCCAATTGGAAACGGAAGCAAGTAAGCGAGTCTCGCGAATCTGTCGTCCCGCATGGGAAGGTCGCATCAGCGGCCTTACCGATGCTAGGGAAGCGTGCGGGACAAGCGTGAGGAGGTGCCAAGGAGGCACAGCAAAGACCTCGCGTGCACTGTGCTCAGTGCTGCTCGGTGCAGAGGGCCTCCAGAGGGAGCATAAAAGCGCATGCAAGTACCCGGTCTGTATGACGACGGACGCAAAGTCAATTTGTCTCAGCCGAGGAATGGCCTTGGTGACGCAGATGCTGAACACGGTATGCAAACCGCATGGGGACGATCTACCTAGCAGGCAGCCGTGAATTGACCCAGATGGGCAGGTCCAAGTTAGTCGACGATGTCAGAAGTAAAGACGGCCTCCACCCCGCCTGTCGCCCTGTCCCGGTCGGTCGGGTCCGGGGGGTGGGCGTGGGCGGTAAGCTGTGGGCGCTGGAGATGGGTGGGGGATCCGCCGCGGCAGGGCAATCCAGATTGGGCGTCGGTGTGTCGAGCCGAGCAGCTGAGGGCCAGGATCGCGAGCGCAGAGCTCAGCTGGGCGAAGAGGCTGGAGGGTCTCGTGGCCCAAAGCTGTGTAACGCGGCGACAGACATCTGCAACGTGCTTGGAGCATGGCATTTGAGTGCCAATGCTGCGACCCTGCCAGCCTGCGTGTCGTCCCAGTCGTTGTGGGTGTGCCCGCGTGTCGCCAGGCCTCCCGTGCTGGCGCCAGGACCTTGCACGCCACAAGCTCATTCGGAGTGCTGGACGTGCCTCGCTTCGAAAGAAAACATACCTACCAGGCAATTGTGCGTGATGACCGGGCTGCGTTCAGCCTCTCGGCAGACGGGCGGTAGCAACGCACGGGTCGGTCGGCCCGACACTGCCATGGCCCCTTTCTTTTCTTTTTTTCTCTCCTACTTTGGCGCTCTAGTTCAAGATCGATGGGGCGGCCGTCATTGGCAATGACTGCCCAGGTGTGCAAGACAATGGAAATTGGAGCGATAGTCTAGTAGACTAGAGAAATCAAATAGTTGAAGGCATGATCAAAAGCAGAGAGCCAGAGCAAGAAGCGCTGCTCTGGTCTTGCCTGGTCAGAGTGTCTGGGTTTGGCGGTTGGTGGAGGCAGGACCGCCCCAGAGGGCCGAACTTGGTGGGGGAAGGTGCACTCTCTTGAACTCTGTCCCAACGCCAGCAGCGGCACGACACAACATTATACATTATTCAAAGCCTTGCTGCCGACACATTTCGGAGCCTTTCATCCAGTCTGGAACATCCCATCGCATGATTTCTTCGCAAGGGCACCCGCGGAATCGTACGATCCGGACACATATGCCTGTGCTGCTACTGGGCCTCTGACCGTTTCCCGACGACTTTCGGGCGAGACCAGCAACCACAGGACGCACTTGCCCAGTGCTCAGCACTCAACCCGGCAAGTCTTTCTGGCCATTCTCATGCAGAATACAGTGGTGCCAGTGTTTCCAACTAAACAATCTATCCCTGAGAACCATGTGTTTCTGACGCAAAACCAGATGATTTGCGCCGCGTCCCACGGTCGCCAACACTTGCAACGCGGGCCGCACCTCTGACAGCGGCAGCTAAGCGTTGACCGTACATGTCACACTGGGACCACCCAACACAGTCAACGCCCGATGGGTTTCGGCACACGCACTGCATCTACTGCTACGGCCGTACAGGGAGGTTCAATGGGAAAGGCGTGGTAGTTCCACTCCCAAGGATCACTGCCAGACCCACCTGGCACTGAGAGGTCGAGTCCGCGACCAACATTGACAATCGCTTACGGCGATGTTCAACCCATCTTGCGCGCAATGGAAAACGCTCACCGGGCCACCAAGAATTCACCACAGTGTAGGCGTTGCTCAGTCAATACGAGGCCGCCAACCGCAGATTCTTCCTCGCCGCAGTCAGGTCCGCTCGCGTTGGGGGTGTCCCGAGTGGGAATGCTGCAGTCCTGCAGGTGACAAGCACCACAGCCCCAACGTCTGCCGAGCAAGTGTCGGTATCACAGCCGCATGTCTCCATGCCGTGTTCTGGCCGACTCCCCACGGCTCCACACACTCACCGGTTGTGCGATGGATCCACAGGGCCTAGTGCTTTCGGAACCGGCTTGCCCGTCCTCTTCGCCGATAATACCGAACCCTTGCGGCCACAGTCCCCTACCGAAAGGCTGGGCGAATTTCATCGGAGTTAACCCTTGGGGCCCATCCATCCTGCAGGGATCGTACGATGTCTTGGATTTGGATGGTCCTGTCAGATTCTTGCTACGGCCTAATCAGACTACAGCTGCTATGAGGGGATGCCCACACTTACCCGTGTAGCAAGCAAGGTACGCATTGCGCTAATTTGCTAATGAGCCTCATGAAACTTCCCTATAAAGCCCTCTCCCTCTCACAAATGGTGAAAATCTCGATTTAATGAGTCGAGATGGTCGGATTCGTGATTTTCGGCATGAAACTTGGGGTGTGGTTTGACTCCGGGCAACCTGAGCGTCATGGTGGTCCCTGTAAAATCTCATTGGTATGGATCCAAGGTATGGAAACAATACTTGGCCTTGCCCGTCGTGGTGTTGAGATATCTCAGCGCAACAATGATCTTGCCAGCGCCGCCCAGACCCCACATGGCGACCGATTCGAAAGCAGACCCTACTTTGTCTCTAGAGACAGAGTCTAGCTGTGCCATGATGTCAAGGCGGTCCAAGCCTAGCATGCTCTTGTCTGTGGGAGCAACACGGCCGTGGGCTTCTTGGATGAGATGTTTGGGGCGTGGTGTGAGTATGATCAGGCTTAGTGTTGACGTCGAGCGTAAAGTTGGGACTTGACATCTTCGACGGCTTTCCTGGCACCAGATATTCACACTAACCATGTCTCGCACTTCTTGGATCGGCAGCAGAATCAGAATGACTCAGAGCTCTCGAGGCGCAATTGACATGTTTGATTTCATACTTGAAGTGCCCAAGTTGCACAGCGGTCAGTAACAGACAATCGTCGAGGAAGATAGTGTCACTGCTCAAGATCTCGAGCTTTTCCTTGAACAGCCTGTTTACTTGTTGTACAAAGTGGGCATCTAATATGTGAAAACCGTCAGCCGGCTTGTCGCTATCTGCGAGGCAACTTGCTAAATCCAACAAGGTAGACGGAGACCAAAGATTGATCCCTGATTCATGGACCATCCCTCCCCCCTTGGATGCTTGCCCAAGCCTCCCCAATCGCAAGCGCTTAGACCTGTCAGCGGGCCCATGCTAGAGGATACTTCATTCATTGCACGCTACCCAAGTCCCCAGAAAAGTCGGCATGCTACCCAGGGACAGAAAGAAACCACCAATCGAGGTACCTTCTAACTTGAAGGCCATGCACGAAGAGAGAACCAAGCCCGATAATGCATCGATTCGATGGTCACAGGAGCTCGATAGACTGGTGTCGAGGTCCTTCAGACATCCACCAATCCCAAGCCTGTACGTCAAGGGGACACGCCGCTGGGCTCCGAAACAATACCTCACGAAATCTCGAAATTTGGATATTGGAGAAAATAGTAGTCGGCAAAGATAGGAGTATATCATGTTGCATGTCAGAAGGCTCGGGCTCTGGGAGTATATCGGGGCTAGCACAGTTCTGCTTCAGCAAGCTTTTAATCTACTTTACAAAATCGAGAACCTCAAAGCAGGCCTCTCAACCCGCCCATCTTCAACAAGTATCAAGTGCTCAAAACGCCAAATTGTCTGGCTGGAACAATGGCTCTCTTGCGAGGCTGCTGCCCCAAAAAGTACGGACAGTGTAGGAGACTCCGTCAGACCACGGACGCATATAAGTAAGTAAGCAAGCCCAAGTTGTGCAACGTCTCATTCACTCATCACCCCGAAATACGAGATCTTAAGCTGTAAAGCCTCGTGTCTGACATGACGAGGGAAGGAGACTCGGCCCGTATTGACCCATTTCCTTATTAAGGCACGCATGTGGATATTGACAGTGGAAATGACGGGACAGCTGGGCCTGGATTAGAGATTATCCATTCGGCCCGGCGAACACTACCAACCCAGAAGAGTGGATGCGCTCAGGCGCTTACTATCCATAGCAAGGATTTCTTATAGACGGACCATTCTTAATACCAGACAGTCATTTGACCTGGTGATCATTCTGAAACCCACCCTCACCACAACGGGGACAGATTACTCCGTGCGGTCGGTCTAAGGCGTTCGTCCGCTCCTTCAAGCGACGGACCCGCTTGCCATGTGAGCATCTCCATCTGCGCAGCTACGGAAAACAAGGTACTAAGCGTGCGGCCGTGCTGGCTCTCTTAGGACTCACTGCCGAACGCAGAACGGGACGGGCGCTCCGTCGAGCCAATCGGGCTATGAACCCCCGTTTGTGGGGACATGTCAATTCGGAGCCTTCCGCCTCGGGCTATATTGGTTCGTGCCGAATCTTGGCGGCCGTCCCGCTTACTCGCGACGGACTGAGGTTGTCGAATATGATATCGAGCAAGGTCTGCCTTTTCAGATTGCTGTTGATCGCCTTCGTCATGTAGGTCTCTGATTCAGATCATGATGCTCCTAAGCTGGTTTTCGTTGCTCCTGGCGCCATGCCTGGTGCTGGGGGATACCCTCACCTACAAAGGAGCCGACAGTAAGTGACTGAATCCCGTTTACTTTCCTGTTTGGGCGAATCCGGCAACGGCGTCATGATGCTGCAGAAGACATGCCGGTTCTCAAGATCCTGCCCAAAAACAAAAACAAAAAAATACGCCCTCAGAGATCAATGTACTGACACGCCAAAGTTTCGTCCCTCCTCATGCTTGAGGCCCAAGGCAAAACCTACAAGACTACTGGAGGCGTCACCACGCCACTGGAGAAGATACTGTCGTCCTCAGGAGTGAACTCGGTCCGCCAGAGATTCTGGGTCAACCCCAAGGATGGCAACTACAACCTCGATTACAACCTGAAGCTCTCAAAGCGGGCCAAGGCAGCCGGCCAGAGTCTCTACCTGGACCTCCACTTGAGCGACACATGGGCTGACCCATCCCACCAAGTAAGAAGAGCCCATAAGTTCAGCCCGGAGAGGGACTGCTCCACCGCCAAACAAACGTCACTGACAGAACTCCCTATAGGACGCCCCCGCCGCCTGGGACGACTCCACGATCGAGAAACTAACCTACACGGTATACAACTACACCCTGCAAATCTCAAACGCCTACGCGAGCGCCGGCCTAACCCCGGCCATAATCTCCATCGGCAATGAGATCCGCACGGGGCTCCTCTGGCCCCTGGGCGGAACATCATCATGGTACAACATCGCGGCGCTGCTGCACTCGGCGGCCTGGGGCATCAAGGACAGCAGCCTCAACCCCAAGCCTCGAATCATGATCCATCTCGACAACGGCTGGGACGCCGGCACCCAGACGTGGTGGTACAAGACGGTCCTGGGCGAGGGCCCGCTGACCACCTCGGACTTCGACATGATCGGCGTCTCCTACTACCCCTTCTACAACGCGCAGGCGACCCTCGCGAACCTCAAGAGCTCCCTCGGCCAGCTCGCGTCCGCGTACGGCAAGCAGATCGTCGTCGCCGAGACCAACTGGCCCGCCAGCTGCCCCAACCCCAAGTACGCGTTCCCCGCCGACACGGCCAGCATCCCCAAGAGCGAGGCGGGCCAGTCCACGTGGCTCAAGAGCGTCGCCGACGTCGTCAGGGGCGTCAAGGGCGGCGTGGGTGTGTACTACTGGGAGCCCGCCTGGATCGGAAACGCCGGCCTGGGGTCTAGCTGCGCGGACAATCTGCTGGTGGACGGGTCTGGGAAGGCGAGGTCCGGGATCGCGGCTCTGGGCTCCATGTAGGTCAGAAAACTGAGATCATGATGGGGTTTCTGCAAATGTAATTCCAAATCCACTTTACTACTCTCTCACTTGCATATGCGTGATTCTCTTAGGGCACGCATTGCCTCACCGGTGCACATGATCGTCGGACATAGGTAAGACCACCACTTTTCAACGTCGGGTGACTCTTTGATTCTGTGCAAAGAAAGGTCTCGCTCGTCGGTTAGCGACTCAATGTGGAATGGACTTTAGTTATATATCTACTAATAGGGATAGGGACCCGGTTATGAGCAACGTAGGCATTCCATTGAAACATTTGACGAATTACCCATCGCCTCCCTTTCCCCTCACTCTCACAAGCCCACCACCACTTTTGGAAGCAACATAGCGATTTGTATCTAATTTGCGACTGAATTCGCCCTGAAAGAGTCTTCCACTGGTACGTGTAAAAAGCACGATAATGTACCACGGAGTGCTCACATTACTCCCTTGTACCAGTCCCTGCAATTTTGAGACCCAAACTGCGGCCGGCGGAAGGCCCCCCGAATCACCTTCTCAAAACCCGCTCACACTTCTCTCGGAGCTCTGTCTCGAATTTGGCAGCGTACACCCCAGCCTGCTCAACTTGGCTCTGGTAGCCTTCGTGGGAAGGATCAATGATCTTGAAGATTTCGACAGCCTTCGGTCTCTGCTCCTCGGAGCGTCTACAGGCCCAAACAACCACCTCAGCGGCTTGGGCGAAAGGAAGCCAGATGTCGTCACACCCTTCTGTTTCCATCGAAGCATCAATGTACTGATTGCACGGGTCTGTTCCCTCGTCCTTCATGTCAACCTCGATTTTGTCTGGCTCAGCTGCGTGCGTCTGTATGGCAATGTCCCTGAACTCTCTCGAATGGGACGTCTGTGTCGACGCATCTGACATGACCGGAATGGAGATCACTGCCTCACTTCTAAGAACCATCGGATGATTGACGATGTCTCCGATGGACCCTGTGGTTGCTGTCTCTTGGATGTTCGGGTAGGTGCATGGTCGATTGTCCTTCACACACTGGCCACAAGCTGGCTTCAACCGGTTGCATTTTCGTTTCTTGTTCCTGCAGCCCATGCAAGCTGATTTCGCCATTTCTTGAGTGCTCACTTCTGCACCAGACAGGACGGATTCTATGACCGGTGGCGTCGCCGCAGACACTTCCTCATTGCTTGAAGGCGCCTTCCTCTTGCGTTGGATTCCCAAAGAAGTCTCAGGCCGCTTCGTCAGGGATCGAGCCTCAGATGGATGTGTTGTTGCTGACATCGAGTCGAGTTTACTGTGGCCAGCTGACGAAGCTGGCCTTTTCGAGGCGGGTGGGGTTCGCTTTTGCCGACTGCCTGGCTGCTTCTTGGTAGCTGCTTTCATACTGATGTTCTCACTGATTGGCTGTTTCAGCTGTTTACTTGCGCGTGTCCGAACACCTGTATTCATCAAGCCCGGTCTTTCACTTAGAGGGGACTGGATCGCAACTGTTACGCTTGATGACCTTGACGGAACGGGTGCAGCGGCCAACGGGAAAGGTAATTGACGTGGAGGTGGTACTCGATCAGCTTCATCGATTGCTTGAGATGAATCTCCAGAATATGCAGAATGCGGCTTGTTGAGATTACCCGCCTGTGATGTCCAGTCTGGATGCAGAGGGTCAACGGGTGACCTGTCGAAATCGGCCGGATCTGGTTGGACCGTACCCACGAGTCTGCGCTCAATCAGAAAGAGTGGTTCTCCTTGCAAAATCACCTCTGAGAGGCTATCTTGATCTTCAAAGACAGTTCCATTCCTTCTCTGCGCTGCTAGTTCCCTGCCATCCACTGTGGAGCGGCACTCGCGACGTATATAGCTTGCAGCATGGAGGCAAAGTTCCCACATCTTCGTCGAGGGCAGCAGATGCAAGGTGAATTCCCAGCGGATCTTGGCACGGGATTCTGAGTAGCTGGGCTTATCAGGGGGACCAAGGACCTGGATATTGACGGGCACTCCACGTTCTTCTGAGATCGACGGGGATCGAGATGCGAGTCTTTCGGGGGCCAGCCGAGATGATGGGTTCTCTTCGAATGGAGAGGCCCTCATGCTGATGGTACGACGTGCTGAAGACGTGGCCTGACCGGCCTGGTCTGCAAGCTGGCCATCAAAGCAGTCGTGGTAAGGGCCATCGGGTACTTGGTCATTGTCTGTCTCAATTTGATGATTTGATATCGGACGTTCCCGTCTATTGTATTGCATGGGACGAGATGAAGGCAGATGACTGGCCATGGAGGCACGACTCACGGGGTGTCCGTACAGTGATGTTCTATCTCCAACTCCAGCACCTCCTACTCCAGGACCTCTAGTGGGAAACCATTGGGGCTGGCTGGCTCCGTCCGGGGTGAGGAAGCCTCGAGGGTCGTGAGGGCCTGAAGGCCGACTAGGTCGGTAGCGATGCCCCTGTGGAATTCGTCCAAGGACGGGGACAGTGGAACCCAGTCTTGGAGGACGTTGAGTGGGATCTCCATTAACAAACATCGAGTTCGGCCTCGCGGTCTGTGGTCTGCGAACAAATTGCACTGGATTAAATCTAGTCGGGCCAAAGACAGAGGCTTGGCTCAGTGGTCGCACCCGGGGTCCCATCGGGGGTCCCATAGGAGGCCCCATAGGAGGATCCATAGTGGAGGTCGCAGACGGCTCCGGGGGTTGGGACTGTGCATGCCGGGGAGCATTTGCATCCATGAGGTTTGCCGACACATTCTTGAGGTGACAATGCCGCAATCCGGCGTTATGGGACAAATAGTTGACTGCGGTATGGAAATCCTGGGGTTTGAGAATGAAAAGTTGGATTGTCTTCAGCTCCCCTCCGCGCGTAATGGTCTGCCCTTCTGTTTCCGGCAAGGGCAACGTGAATTGGAGCATCTTTTGTTCGCTGATGGAGAGGAATTGCTCGCCGCCGGTGGACTTCCGCTCTTCGAGCGTGCCAAGGTCCCATTGTGCCTGGGAATGGGTCAGACTGGGGTGGGGCATTCATATCAAGAACCTCCTCACTAACCAATGTACTGCCATCAACATGCACTTGCATTATATGCTTGTCTGACTCTTCGTCCTTGAGCGTAAGGGTGGCGACACGGACAATGGGCTGACGGTCGCCCTCAACCACAATACGGCCTAGGCCAAGGCGATGTATCTGGGGCTCATTGGAAGCCATCGTTGGGGCGACACGCGAGAGTAAATTTCCGGAGATAGTGCGTCAAAGATGACCAATGATGGACTCCCCACGAGACGGAAAGAGAACGCTGAGAGTAGGACAAGAGGAATCAGAGAAACAGCACCGCAGGGACGGGCGTCTTGTCGATGATGATTCCCGGTGTCACACAGACTACCTTGGAAGAGAGCACAGGGTGGTTTTCAGGTGCTCAGATACGAAAAAAGAAGCCTTGACTGGCCCTCTGAGTCTTGGAAAAGAGGGTTGGTCCCAGACGAGAGGATAGGGTCGTGGGAGTGTGTGGGAGTGGGTGAGGAAGCGGGCGAGGGTATGAAATGGGAACAACCGCAGCCGGAGGTGCACTTGCACTTCCTTCGCTTCTTGGATCTCTGCATGCTTAAACGACCTGGAAGGCAGCAGATGCGCCTTCCTCGTCAACTGGGTGCCCTGTGTGTCGTTGCCGAACATCAAATTGCTTGAGGTAGGAAGGAGCTGCAGGTAACAAGAAGGAGGTACCTAGGTACCTATCCGTGTGGGTAGTTGCAGGGATTGCTGCCGTGGCTGCCGATTGGATCATCCGGTTTGGGTGGTCCGTGCCGCGCTAGTCCAAAAATCCCCCAGGGCTGGCAGCAGCCGGCTGGGGGATTTTTGTGACGACCCAGCCCAGCTCCAGCTGCAACTGCGTATGCATCGACCTGTATCTGCGCCTGCATCTGCACCGAGACCAGCTCGACATCCATCAACCAGGCGCGTCGCAGATCGGAGACGGCCATCCGTCACAACACACGGCACCTCATCGCCTGCCTGCGCGATCAGAACGCGACAATTGTCCCGATTTCTCCTGGGCAGTCAGCAACACCGCGCCCCCTCGCCCCGCGCAGTGGGCAGAGTCGGCCACGATGGTGTCTCAACGACCCCCCGAGCATGTTATCGATCGCACTCCCGAGTACGAGGACTTCATCAACAAGCTGAGAGACTTCCACACCGAGCGAGGTACCAGGTTCGACCCGGAGCCCAAGATCACCCCGTACCAGCTCGACCTTCTGAAGATCTTCAACCACGTCGTCCAGAGCGGCGGCTATGATAGGATCACCGACGAGAAGCTGGCCTGGCGCAGGATCTGCGCAGAGCTTGGGATCCGCGCCACCAACGAGGCAGCCGCTGCATTCAGTCTCAAGACCGCCTACTACAAGAACCTCGCTGCCTACGAGATCCGCACCGTCCACAACCAGACTCCCCCGCCTCCAGAGATCCTCGAGGAGACATCAGCCAAGGGCGGCTCCCTCCTGACCCGCACCCTAAGCAACTTCAAGCCGAAGGACCGTCGCGACACCTCCACTCAGAACTCGCCTGCACCATCTGGTGACGATGGAACACCCGCGCGTGAGAACAGACCCGAAGAGCCCCCCAGCACAGGCCGCGCTGCCAGAGGTCTGCGTCAAGCCCCGCCCCAGAGAGTCATTTTCCAGCCCGAGACTGGCCCGACGCGACCATCGCGGCACTCTTCAGCACAGCATCACGGTGGTTCCTCGACACCGCAAGGCGCGCACAGCTCCCACGGCCACGGCCACGCAAACTCGCAGGGCAATGGGCACGGCCAGATTCAAGGCTCGAGCCGCATGCCCTCGCATCAGATGACCCACGCACCCCTCGGCCAGATTCCCCAGCCGCACATCGTTCGCGGCGGCGCGTCTGCGAGTTTCACCCCCCAGAGTTACGTGTACCAATCTCCGACCGTCGAAAGGTTCCGACCACCAGCCAATGTGCCACTGCCCCTCCGTCCTGTCGAGACACCGTCAAATGCGCCGGCAAAGTTTGTCAGGGCGAGGCGCCCGCTGGATCCTGCACCTCCCGCGCCGAATCGCCAGGCCCCATTGCCTGGTAGTAAGTTGCACCCGAACCAGAGTCCTGCATGCTATTACTGATGACCTGTGCTTCTAGGCTTGCCAGTCCAACCTTCTCCCTTCGATGGCCCTAATATTTACGCCCGATGCCTGTACGCCCTTCGTTCCGGAATCGCAGAGGAGCAAGCATTTGCACTCCACCACCTTTTGAAGATATCATATGAGAGAGGCGATCGCTACAAGTTTGATGCCTTTCCTGGATTGGCAGAAGGTCTAGTGGAAATGGCACTGAAAGTCGGCAGCCTCTTCTGGGATGTCAACTTCACCATATCCTACGATCCCGAGGCCGAAGGCGATGACATTGGGGAGCTAGACGGCGTCAATGGCACAGCGGATATTATTGAACGGATCGACCAGCTGCAGCTTCGTACTGGGCAGGATCACATACAGCCCGCCAATTTCGCTGACCAGATGGTCTTGATCACAGAGGCTTCTCTTGCCATCCGCAATATGCTCATGCTGCGGGAGAATGGAGAGTCGATGGCTGACTTCCCGCCACTTCGGGATCTCTTATGCATCATTCTCCGCTTGCCGTCCAGTGAGACTACCGTGGAGCTGAAGCATTGCGCGCTGGACATCGCAGAACAGCTCACCCCTGAGCTAGCCCTGGGTGCCGACGACCCTCTCTACCGCTCACTCCTCGCTCAGCTGATGTCGAACGACCGTGGCCAGATACTGACATCTCTGCGTGCTCTTGGCCGCATATCGATGAACCTTGCAGAGGCCAACAAGCTTGGGGACGTCCCTCTGGATATTCTGGAGACGATCATTGATTGGCTGATGCTTAATGATGATGAGCTTCTGGATGCCTGTCTGGATTTCTTGTATCAATACACGGCTGTTGTGTCCAACATCGAGACCCTTCTCCGGTTCAGAGCGGCGAAGCCAGACAAGCCGGAAAGCCTGGTCAAACACTTGGTCCGCCTTCTTTCTCATGGCGCCAAGCGCGTCGTTAAAGAACAGGTCATCAAACCCGAAGTCCGCATTCCATACAGCGAGGAGGTCGCACCGTTGCCGCAAGATCTGCAGGAACGCCTCTTGGCGATGGAGGAGCCTGAGCGATGCTACATGTGGCTTCGTTGTCTCTTTGAAGAGGACACAGATGCCAGCATTACGCAGATTGCCATTTGGACCGCCTACCAATCGTCATTCAGCAGCCGACTCTCTCAGATTGGTAAGACGATGATCTCGCCTGCAGATTTCATTAGGAATGTGAACCACGTGTGGACGACTGCCGGCGCACAGATCATCAAGGCCCCAAATGGTTCAAACCAGAAGTTCATTATCAAGGGTATTCGAGCTCGGACCAGACCCGTAGATCCAGACAACGACGGCAGGGAGTACTTCCGTTGCCTCTGGACCCTGCCGATGAATCCGGGCCAGAAGTTCCAGAAGTGCAACAACTTTTTCGCCAACGCAGAGAAGATGTACGAGCACATCCTGTTGGCACACGTACACGAGAAGCCCGACGGGGATGGCAAGTATCTAAACAAGGAGTCGGATTATCGCTGTCTGTGGGCGGGCTGTCATAAGATGACCGGCGATGACAAGATTCCACTTGGGACATTCATGTCGCACGTCAAGACGCACTTGATGGCCGTCCAGCAGAACTTCGAGCCCTTGGTCACCCAGAACCAGAGCAATGGGGCCTCGGACGGCACGTCGTCTAACAGCAGCGGGCCCAGTCCAAGCGCCAATCCCAACAAGAGAGCCAAAAGGGCCCATTACGTCCCTGCCAAGTCCCTGACTCTGACATACGAGGAGACCATGACCGCGCGAGACGAGCGCAACCCCAACGGGCCGCTGCAGCCCGCTGGCACGCCCTTCAGTGCGGTGCTCGTCCTGCGAAACATCGCGCGCAACGTGGTCAAGACGGAGGCGCAGGAGCAGCTCTTGGAGGAGCAGAGTCGCCACGGCGTGCCTGAAGACGCGCGCGGGTGGAACGAGCAGCTGTTCCGCGTGGTGCTGCCGCGGCTGCACGAGATCATGACCGAGAACCGCGTGCTGGCTCAGCCCATCTCGACGCTGCTGGAGCTGATCGACGACCGGGGCTAGTGGCCTCGTAGATGGCTCTCACCGATGGACTAGGGATACCGGAGGAGGGCAGAAGCTCAGGCGAGGTTGTACCCGACCGAGCATGCACCCGCGCACGGATCTGACTCCCCGCTGTTTTCCGATGAGCACGGTGTTGGTTGTCAGCGAAGTCCCGTGTATGAACAATTCTGGGATTGAGAAGTTATGCCGATGGGATGCGATCGTGCTGTGGCTCCCTGGGACAGGGAATGGACCCGTAGACGATGAAGACGCTGCGTGGACATGATGAAGACTGGGTAAGGGGGCTCGAGCCGGCAGGATCAAACAGGAGAGTATGTGCATGTCTTGGTCAGAGCATGGCTGCTGGACATGTCTCCTAAGTCGACGGGCTTGCCGACGAGCATGTGTTTTTTTTTTTTTTTTTTTTTTTTTTTGCATTAAAACTTTCGGTCCGTTTCTTCTTGACGATGGCGTTGATGATGATTGGTGGCGCAGGGAAAGTCTTCTGAGGAGAGACTGGGTGCTCATGGAAGAGGAAAATGGTTTGATGTACGGATTAGACAGCTTACTACCACCGCCCTAATTCTCTTGTTTTACTACCTCTCCATTCGAGTGCTAACCGAGTGGGTGCTGGTCGGTAGATGTCTGGCACGGCAGCTGTGTTCATGAATGGATAGCTTTTATTGACTAGCGTCTAGTCTCAAGCCTAGGACTTTGCTGTGATGGACGCCATCACCCACTGTGTCATCTTTGGCGAAGCTTTTGGTTTCGAGACAAGTCTACAGCAGCTGCAGGACCGTAAACAAGATCCGTGCATGCCAAATTAGCCTCACCTACCCGTCGCTCGGCAGCAGCTTGAGAAGATGCTGGCCAGTCGTGGGCGCGTCGAGCTAATTCCATGCCGCGAGTCGTCTCCCGTATTTATTCGGCCTGCAGCAACGTGATTGTTCCTAGTCAAGCAGCTCACCTCTCGGGGCTGTCCGTCTGCACGACAATGGTAGGTAGGTGGTGTTCTCCTACCCGCACCTGGGTGAAGACCCCTGGTTGCCATTGATGCCACGAGGCGTGTAAGCCGGAGCCCCCGGCCGCCATGACGAGACACGACCACCTGTGTGTTCCCCCGAGCAAAAACGCCGCAAGGCCAGATAGAGAAATTCGTCCGGTCATGCTTGAGCCCGACCGCTTTGGGATACCCGTCCTCCCGAACTGACAAGCTGTTTCACCGCCATTCGTGCCTGGCCGTCTGATCGGGGGGGGGGGCCAACACATTGCGTACTGCCAATCTACAGTGCTTTCGCCCTGGCCCTGCAGGGGCAAGCAGGGCGGCTGTGACCCACACGTGGGGGACACGCACACGCACAAAAAATATCCTGTCAGATTGGGAGTGAGGGACTGACCGACTGGGTTGTTGATGTGCAGCATAGAATGTGTCACATCCCCCGAGAATCTCGCGAGAGCCACCATGAGCGTGGGCCGACGCGTTACTTTGATCTCAAAGCTATCGCCATGGCATACCTTAAGCGGAACTTTCCGCCCAGCCATGTAGCTATGGATGTTGCATGAGGCTGAAAAGATTTCCGTCACTAGCACAGGAACACGGCAGCATCAACAGTAGCGCACCGCCCAGGAGCTGCAATAGCCCCCATCGGGTGGTGCGGGTCGAAGCCGTCCAGCCCCCGGGGGGCGCGGGATGGTGCATGGACGACGGGCAGCAGGTGGATGTGGGCCTCCCGATCTAGCTGACCCGCCAGGCCAGATGGGCAAAGACTAGGTCTAGGGGAGGAAAGAATCGCACGTTCCATTTTTAGAGCCCGGTTGGGGTGGATGTCTTCGTGATACCGTTCTCTCGTAATCTGAAATAGGCAATGGGCTTCTGCCAACGGTGGGCAAAGACAAAGCCTTGAATGCTTCTTGGTAGGATCTCAGCTTGCTCCAGCCTCTTGATCATTTTGTGCTCGATTGTCGCCCTTGCTGTGACCGTAGGGGCGAATGTTGTCCGCTGGTGCAGGGGAGCAGCAAAACAGGCAGGGCTTCCCCACGCCTCTTGCAGGCCTGCCTTGTTGTCCTGTCACATTTGGTGCTGCATCTGTTCAGGGTGCAGCACACCACACTGGACCTCAGGTCTGGGCAGTCAGACAGTCTGTTGTGACCTGTATCTACCTAGGTACCTACGTAAGCTCATAGTGGGATGTGGTGGGCCCCCACGTGGCTGTCTTCCAGGCTTTTCAGGGCCCTCGGGGAGCTGGATCCATCTGACCCACCCCACCCCCAGCTTTTGAGCGTCACCACTTCCGAACAATCTGGAACAGTGGCCTGGCTGTAGCAGCCCGGTGGAGCCCTCAACTCTATCCCGACTTCACTTCGCAGATCAGTGAAGTCGCGCAGCCTCCAAACACTGAATCGAGCATGATGAGGTGCACTCCACAGCTGTCACCCCGATCTGGGTCCATGAACACTAGAACGCCGTTCCAAACAAACAGCAAAACACCTCCGGAAACCCTTGGCGTACGGGAACCAAGCCAGAGAGCACACATCTTGATCCCCGTGCACCCACCCCATAAATGTCGACTTCCTTGCCTGATGGCGGGCCTGAGTCAACCTGTCTCCCACCCTGGGCCCGGTTCTGATCGTTGTTTGTGCAAATAAAGGTGTGGTTTCCCACTTGAAATCCTCCATGAACAAGCAAAGGCACGAGATCGAAGGTCATCCCACTCGGAATACCAACCCCGTGTTACTCCGGCGCACATGCACCAACGGCGGCAACACCAGATTCAGGCTTGGGATCAGCAATGCAAAATCCTGCGTCGGCCCTGTGACTACCAGCTTATTCACCGGATCTCGACCTTCGCCTGGAATCACTGAGGCTTCCCTGCTCTTCTCGGAGTCGTCCGTCTGACAGTGGACCGCGCTCCGCCTCCTGTCGTGCCCCTCCTCACCGAGATGCACAGAATAAGGGGCCTAGCGCCAGCCTCTTTGTGGGATGTGGCTTGAAAGGACCCTGATCTTTTCCAAGGGTCCATTACACCGAACTCCAGGTTCAGGCTGTCCCGAGCAACACATGCCGCTTTCACGGCAACCAGTTGCAGCAGCTATGCAGTATGCTCTCTACTTGACAATCCCGCCTGGGCCAGGCTCTGCAATGAACAACAACTTGGTCTGTCAACAGTGAAGCTACTCACAAACATTGTTTCTGCCTCCACCCGCGACAAACAAGCACAGTATCCTATTCTACGAACAGCTTGCACGCAATGTGGCTCCACAAAGATGAGCTCACATATCCCGCTGATACTCCGTGAAAGGGTGAAGCCCAGTAGAAGAGTTACTCCTTGAGGCTGGGCATCCCCCACGGTTGAGCTTCTGGAAGCCACGACCTTGGTCCTGTCAATCCAACTACTGCAGACCCCTCCTCGATTGCAAAATGACGCTTGAGTGGGCGGCCCGTTGATACAAACGGAAAAGTGAGCAGCAGTGCTGCATAAACGACTGTCTGAGAGGAGCTGAACGGGCTGAAAATGAGCCATCTATGTGCGATTCACGCCCCTTGCAGTACGAAGCGGACCCTTTCACATCTGAGCTCACCCCATCACTCAATGCCCTCCATGTCCAGTCGGGTGGTCATGCAGCCTGACAGGGTCAAAGGGTCTGGCTGCATTACCAAGTTCTCCCCCGCCAGACACTGACAGACCTAAGCAGAGCGGCCCTGTCAGAAGGACCCTGGTCGTTGGACCCTCGCCGATTTGACCGGCATCCAACCTCATCTCTTCGGCGCCCCGGCTGCGCCTTTGACACTGCTATTACCAGCGCACTGCTATCGTCAGCGAGAGCATCCCCTGGTAAATTATGTTACGCCTCCCCTGACACATATGCCCAGACTACCTTCAGCCCGCCTGGATCAGATACTCATGTCCAACATGGGAGCCGGGCAGGGCGGCTGTACGCACGACTGTCACCCTCTCTCTGATTCCCTTGCTCAAGCCTCAGAAGGTATTCACATATATGTAGAGGAGAGTGCTAGCCTGACCGTCTACACGGTCTTCACTATGTTCTTGCCATATTATCTTTTTACTTGTCTTGAAGTCTTCCTCGGATTTGCTTGTGAAAAGCCCCAGTATAATTCCATTTGCTGTGACTCTCATCTCTTGTTATTGAGCCCTGTCACCTGCAAACTGAAGCTTGAGAGCAGTTCACCTGGAGTATCGACATACATTTCAGAATACACCACCACATCCCACTCACCAGCGTCTTATCCTATTGAATACACAGCTTTCACTCACCTTGGATCATCTGAACTTTCATCCGAGCACCCAGATTCACATTATTGAAAACCTGTACCACACTCTTCGAGCAGTTCCAGATCTTTAAATCTGAAAAGCAACCATCAGGCCTCCATCCCAACCTTTCCACTCTACAACTTTTCCTTCTCCTCAACAACGACAGCTGCGACGAACGAGGATTGTTAAACAACCAGCATACCACTTTCTTCTACTATCTACTCTACAGACAAACATGTTCGCTGCACGCAACGCTTCGCGCATCTCGCGCATGGCTCCCCGCCAAACCACCATCTTGACGCGAGCCACGCCCGCGACCCAACGAGGCCTCACCATCAGCTACCCTGTCTTCAAGGCCAACCCCGTCAACGAGACCCAGGTCCCGGCCACAGTCTACTCCCCCGACGGCAAGATGCCCCGCGGGGTGCAGGTCACCATCCCCGTCCGCCCCGAGGACAAGATTGGCCCATCTGTGCCCGCTACAAACGAGATGGAGGACCTCACCACCCTCACCGATGAGTCCTACAAGATGCTCCCTGCGACCGTCAAGTCGATGACTGTGAAGGGCAAGGTCATCATTGTCACTGGGTAAGCATCCCACGATCACGATATAGCCACTTCACTTTTATCGCACTCCCACCCAGCCCCGCAAACAGAACCACACATACACACACCATTCAATTTCGTTTGACAATCACCCATTCTAACATCTTTCTCTTCAGTGGCGCCCGAGGACTGGGCAACTACATGGCGCGAGCCTGCGCAGAGGCCGGCGCCAAGGCCATCGCCCTCTTCGACGCGAACCAGGACCTCGGCGACGCGTCGGCGGCGGAGCTGCACGCCAAGACGGGCCTCCCCGTGACGTTCTATAAGGTGGACGTGCGGGACGGCGGCGCCATCAACGCGGCGGTGCAGTCCGTGTGCAACACGTATGGCGCGCCCGACGTTCTCATCAACTCAGCCGGCATCGCCGACAGCAACCTCCCCGCCGAGACGTACGACGCGGCCATGTTCCGGCGCCTGGTGGACATCAACCTGACGGGCTCGTTCCTCATGTCGCAGGCCGTCGGGAGGGCGGCCATCGCCGCGGGAAAGGGCGCATCGATCGTGCTGGTCGCGTCCATGAGCGGCTCCATCGTCAACTACCCGCAGGAGCAGTCGTGCTACAACGCGTCCAAGGCGGGCGTCATCCAGCTGGGCAGGTCGCTGGCGGCCGAGTGGGCAAAGTACAACATCCGCGTCAACTGCATCTCCCCGGGATACATGGACACCGCCCTCAACAAGGTCCCCGCCCTCGACGCCCAGAAGAAGATCTGGAAGGGCCTCACCCCGCAGGCCCGCCTCGGCAACGTTGACGAGCTAAACGGCCTCTGCGTCTTCCTTGCTTCTGATGCTTCAAGCTTCATGACTGGCTCCAACTGCATCATCGACGGGGGTTACTCTCTACTAGGGAGGTGATGTGTGCCCACCTTCTTTTCCCTTTCACCGCGACATCTGTGCATTTGGAGCCCTGTTGCTTTGGATCACGGCGTTTGTCTTTTTTCATGGCTTCCTTCATCGCATTTGGAAAACAAAGCACACAAGACAAGATACCCCCACGCCAAAAGACATCAGAAAGAGATCTAAAAGGAATGGAGCAAGAGCGGAGTTCTTCCTTATCATTTCCCCGCGGCTATACTATCTCAAGTGCTGAGCTAGGAACTGCGGCAGTTGGAGTTCAGGCTAGATGGTTGGATCGAGTGCAAGGGGCTGGTTTGCCCTTTTCTTTTCTTCCCTCGACGGGTTTCAGCAAGGTCATGGCTGGCTTTTTTCAGTTACAGTGGCTTTTCTTTTGCACACGTGGCGGCTCATTTCCATTTTTCATTTCGACAGCAGCGGAGGGCCTCACAGGCAGGTGTTTCCTTTTTTTTTCATTCCAGGGTGCTGGTACCTTAGGTCCTGCTTTACCCTTTTTTTTCTCCCCTTTTTGCATGGCATGCTCACATGGTTTGAGATGGCCGGCTGCTTTTGACAGCAGATGGAATGCACATACTTCATTGACACCTTTTGTAACTAGATGTGATTTTACTGTGGGGCTCTGTGTGAGTATACAAATACTGTGTGATGTTAGCAGAGTCATGAAATCAAGGTAAGGTGGTGTCCATAGTTTGCGTGCTACCCAGTGCCAGAGCTGACCCGAGGGTAGCACAGGTCTTGATTTGGACGTCGGCATTTCGGCCCCAAATCCTTCCAAGGTTGCCCCAGTGAGGAGCCCACAACCAGTCCGGCGGTGGTTGAAACAACTTGAACACACCTTTGAATCCCACTTGAATTCAAATGTTGCTTCCCATGAAAGAATTCAACATTACCTCGCAGAGTATATTAAGCCTTTGATCTTTTTTCTCTGCACTACATCACTCCGGCAGACACAACGTCAGAGCAGCTGCTCATGTCTCCAAATTTCTTGCCTGGCCATCAGCACCAACATCTCATCTGCAATTTGATTAGTGTTGTTATATCTACAACAGTGGGGTCATCTACATGTTACTAATGCGGCGATAACTGATAAGACGTCTATTTGGAAGGCGGCCGCCCTTGACCTTCTTTCCCCGCTTGTCAATTCAGCATTCCGTCTGTCTAGTTTCTCTGGCTGCCAAGGTGCTCTTGCAACGAAGCCAGCTTCAGTCTTCAACGATCGAAGCTAAACCGCGATGGCGAAAAGGTCGCCCGGCGACGTCTCTGAAATGAAAAGGGTAAACCTGTGCTCTCAGTGTTCTGTGCTTCCTTTCAACGACAAGATACTTGCGTCATGTACGGTATCAAATCGATGGTGGGATCTTGGCGCCACTCCTCCCAAAGACCCTCTTGATTATAAGGCCACTGATTACACGGACACCGACACAATACTGCATCTGCCAGTTCTCAGATTGCGCAATTCACGTTGCAAACGCTCTCTGAATTACAAGGTTGCTGACTCATTACCTGGCTTGCCGTACTTGGAGCAAAATGCACTTCGAGGCTGCGAATTCTGCTCTCTTTTGCGGCGTGAGATCATGCGGGCTGGATGCGAGATTGCCGGCCCTGTTGAGATTACTCTGGCCTATCATTTGATGCCTTCGATTCTCGATAGGCGCAATGACCTAGTAGCTTTGCTGGCCAATGTCGCCCAGTGCCTGGATCCTTCACGCACCCCACCAGCATCAGCAAAGGCCGATGTGCCGAATATGAATATCGTCTTTACAATTGAAAGCGACGACGGTCAGGCCCCTCGGAGGACACCATGGTTTCAACGAGTTCCTTTACGCTAACTTTATAGACAAATCGTATAGCAGATGTGGCTTCATGGCTTCAGACCCGACCCTCGAGGAAGGAGGATCCCCTGTGTCGGGAAAACATACAGTTTATGAAGGATGCACTAGATACCTGTCCCAGCTACTCAACGGCAACCTACTTCCTCCCATCTCGCCTTCTCGACCTGGGACCACAATCAAGCCTCGATTCAAGCCTCGATTCTATCCGCCTGATCGATTCTCCTCAGATCACTCCGGGGGACGGAAGCTATGCTCCAAGATACGCAGCCCTAAGTTATTGCTGGGGCCCCTCACTTGCAGCCGACAGTACCGGTATACAATATGCGCGCACGACGATAGAATCTCTAGAGTCTATGAAACGACATATCCACCACCAGACTATTCCTCGCACTATTCTAGATGCTATCATAGTGTGCAAAGCTATATCCATCCGTTATTTATGGGTCGACTCGTTATGCATCATTCAAAACCAGATTTCCGACTGGGAAAGAGAGAGTCAATCTATGACCCTAATATACAAGAATGCTTTCGTCACCATATGCACCCCGTCATCTAAAGCCAGGAATGACGGTTTCCTGACACGGCAGCGCAACCACCTTACAATTCCCTTCCAATCCCAGATAATACCAAGCATCAATGGTCATTACAACCTAGTCGCGTCTGGCGCATCTCAACGAGAAGAGCCCCGGTGGCCAGATTTGGATGTTGATGGTACCCCCTGGAGTAGCCGAGGATGGACTCTGCAAGAGTCTCAAATGTCCAAACGGGTCTTGATCTTTGGTCGATCAATGACTCACCTTCGATGCTCGTGTCGCCCTGTTGCCGTGTCCGAAAATGGAGTAGAAACAACACTCTTGGGGAAGCGACGGTTCGTTGACGCGCTAGGCTACCTGCCCGCTCATCCCGGCAGTACCGATCATTATGTCGCATGGCAGGAGATGCCGAACCACTACGGGCACAGACGGTTTACATTCGTCGAGGATAAACTGCCTGCAATTGCCGGGATGGCCAAATATATGGCTGATAAGACTGGTGACGAGTACCTTGTAGGTCTGTGGAAAAGCGAATTGCCATCTTCACTGGTTTGGTACGCGGAGTGTCACCAGAACTCCAAGTATCACATGGAGCTTCCAGAAGTCTTCAGCATATTACACTCACCGAAGCCTTATATTGCGCCATCATGGAGCCCACTTCGACTGGATGTGGCGGTTAAGCCAGGATTCGCGTCAAATATGTGGTATCGTGGCAATACCCCTGAGAGTACTATCGTCGACACAAGCGTCAGCTCTGTTGGGGAGAATCCTTTTGGTAGAGTACGAAGTGGACGAATCCGCATCCGGGGCCGGGTTACCACGGTCTCGTCCAACCTCGCCCCCCTTCCTTGTCATCGAGACGACAAGTTGTGGTTTGCTCTGGAAAAAGGAGTGATCACGTACTACAATCTCGACTGCTCCCCTCGCGACAGCACTTGTATCCGAGGTGAATTATTAATGCTGTTAATCTCGAGTATCGAGAGGCCGCACTCGTCATTGCACAGGGAGGCCCACCACTGCTCGGACGAAGAAGCACACCATTGTTTGAAACATTACTTGCCCTTGCTCGTGGCTGGCGATGAAAGCTCTCCTGATCTGGAACTTGATGGTTTCGAGAGTGAAGCAGATCAGCATAGCGACATCGTCGAAAGCGGGAGTAACTCATTGCATTCAAGAAGGTCGTCCGATGCTCAAAGCTCCAAGTAAGTAAAGATGCGAGTACACACGCAGCCGATTTCCAACATCGAGCGCAGCTAGGACGAAAGAAAATGAGCGTATACAAGAATTCTTACTGATTCTGACAACAAGCATCAACAATGGGGACGCTTTTGGTCTCCTGGTTCACCCTCTTCCGGGGACTAATGATTACGTACGGGTGGGCGTCTGGCTATCTATGGAGGAAGATGGCGGCGGAAATGCGCTTTTTGAGGATGCGGAGGAACGGGAGATCGATATCGTCTAGTGACTGTTGTTGGGCAACCAGGCGGACAATCGTCGCTTGCCCTACAGCGTCGATGGGGACCTCCGCTTCTCGGAATGTAAGAACCTCAAGCCGCCCGGACCCGCATGGCGAGGAGCAAGATGATGACGATCAGAAATTCGCACTCAAGAGAATGGACCCCGTCGAAGCTTGCTCGATAGATCCGCGGAGCCGGATCGCGGCGCAGGCCGCCATCTAGTTCATTCGCAATGTTGCTGGCTGCCGACAGGTAGGTGATTTGAGCTGGAGCTCCTACGCCAGGGACGCCCCTTGGGGCCGATGGTGGGCACCCGGCCCTACCACACAAGCAGACAAAGGTTGTTGTTCCCGTCAGCCTTGCGCTAGCTCGCAGTTCCCACAGTCCATGATGATTACGCATCGGGGGCCCAAAAAGGCGCAGACGGAGGCTAACTGAACCCAACCAAGCCTAGAGCAACGTTGATGTTCTGCGCCATTTCCACAGAGGGATGAAGCGCGCGCCAAAGTCGCTTAGACAGCGTCTCTTGCAAGGCAGACGAGAGCTGCAAGCGCGGGACCAGCCTCTCAATGGAGCGCATGAGCAAGCAAAGGGAAACCTTTCCATATGCAAGCCAATGCGGCCAAGCTCGGCTCGGCGCGACATTAAAGGAGCTAGCTGACAACCCCCCTGAAGAATGCACACTGGCAGGCGGGAAGGGCTGACGGGCCTCGGAAGTCGGGGGTGCGAGTCAGTCTATGCTCATGAACCATGGGGCGTGGAAACGGCGGCCCTGCTGAGAGAGGTAATGTGTGGGGGAGACCAAGCCTCCCCTTACGGTTGGAGGTAAATGAGCACCCCGCCGGTAAGCTATCTGACTCGTCAGGGGCGCGCGCGCTCTCACTTTATTGTATACTATCTATGTCGTCGCATCGTGTGTGTACAGCAGCATTCAGCCTGACATGGGTTGAGGAGGAGACAGCCTGTTTTTACCCATCAATCACCAGCCAACATGTCAACGACTCGGGCCCACGCGCCGGAGATTGTTTCCGGGTCTGCCAGCTGATGATCGGCGCCCAGGTTTGTTTTTAACCTTAATTCAGTTGCAGCCAATCTTGTTTTCTGAGTACACTAGTACTCGTATAGATATAAAGCGAGTTTTCCGCCCCTACTGCGACCACCACCTCACTCATTTTCATACGTACATACACACTTATACAAAGTACATACATACACATACGCTCTTTTCAAGGACACTCACGCTCACTCACCCAACAACCAACCGCCCCCCCCCCCAAACTCAGAAACAAAAATGTACGCCAAGACAGCCCTCCTCGCCCTCCTCCCCGCCGCCGTCATGGCCTGGGACCCTAAGCTCTGCAACGGCGTCGGCGGCTGCCAGGGCCTGACCTGGATCTCCGAGTACGGCTACCGGTGCCCCAGCGGCGCGACCATCGGGCTCCAGCCCTACGCCCAGGCCCTCGGCGACATCGCCCAGGGCCGCTACGAGTACGTCGCGTCCGACGAGTTCCCGGCCTCGTGCGAGCCGCAGGGCGGCAGCCCCGGCGCCGCCGACACCACGCAGCTCGTCAAGCACGTCGTGGGGGATACCGGCATCACGATTTACGGGTACATCACCGACCAATGCACCGAGACCGAGGTCGCCGCGCCCGGGGACTGCTATACTGCTAACCCCAACCCGTCTCCGTGAGTTTCCCTTTTTCCGTTCTGACGCCTTTGGGTTTCAGTGTATGTTCTGACCGATGCCGCCATCCCAGATTCACCACTTGCCGAACCACCGAGAAGGACATCAAGACCTTCTGCAGCGAGGACGAGTCCCTGCACCTGTAAGCAGCTTGGGCGACATCGAGGGGGCCGCGGCCGCACCGGGGATATGGATTTTGGACGGACGCTCGCCGCCAGCATAACATTATGACTGTATTTATTTTGAGTCCAATGTCCATGATTTAGATGCCGGATCTGGTGTACATGCAGTGCAGCAAATCAAAATTGTTGCTACTCACGTCGAGGTCCGCAATACTGCTTGTTAACCTGTGGAACTCCAATCTTCAGAAATGCTAGGCTCACAGCACTGGCGACGAACATGTCTCAAAAAATGTCGACACACCAATGTCGACTGGGACGCTGGAATATCTCCACACCAGAACAGCTAGCACGACCCACAGAGGGAACGGCCGCGACAGACAAGAGTGATAAAGAGAAACCCAGAAGATGCCATTCGATTTGGGCACATGAAAGGTATGTAAATATATATACAAAAAGGCCTCACTCAAGAATGAAGTGATCGACTTCCAGGCTCTTCGGCCTCCCAGTCCATCCGCCCACAGTACCTGCCCCCGTAGCGCAAGATCAACCTTTCCCAGGTGGATTGATCTCGACTATGATGTACCGCACATCAAACATCCTAGCTGAGCCTGAACAAGGCAACAGTGCTCGGATAGACGTTCTCGTTGTCCGAGAACCGGGCCACCGTGGTGCCCGAGTTGTCCAGCATGCTGATGGAGCCGATCGTGTTGAGGCTGTAGATGTTGATGTTGCTGTTGGTGCCATGTAGGCCCACGATCTTCGCCTGGCACGTCTGGCCGGCTGAGAAGGTCGAACACGCTGCACATTTGTCAGACACGGGATAGCCTCACCCATGGGAGAACAGCACAGTGACCGCTGAAGAGGTCAGAGGGACGGAAGGGGAGACTCACTCGTAGAATAGTCGTTAAAGAATGAATAGTGGTTGGCCCCGTATAGGAACACATCAGAAGATCCAACCACCCTTAGGCCCCACGCCATGGCGCAGTTGCCGCTGACGCCAGTGCAGTCGAAGGTCGGGTCGCCCAGGGCCGAGTTGGGAGCGAACGGCGAGAGCGAGTTCGGGTGCGGCTGGAAGTAGGGCGTCTCGGTCTGCAGCTGCGACGCGTACACGTTCTTTGCGCCAGAGAGCTGGTAGTTGTACAATGTGTGGTGCTCCACCGCCGTGCCGTACAGCCAGACAGGCCCGGCCGTCGACTCGATCAACAGTCCGCGGCCTGCGTAGATGTTGGTCTGCGTGTTGGCCTGGTCGTCGATGTCGTGGTCGGCGGTCCTGTCGAACGCATTCGTGTCAGTCTTGTCCATCTGTCCCAGCGGACAATGTCTCGAGGGCGACGACTGGTGACGAAAGACTTACCAAAGCCACACATTCTCCATATACAAGCCACTGCTCGCCTTGGTGACATGCATACTCATGTAAGCCCCAATACACGCATTGTTGATGGTCGAAGACCCGGGCGTCTTCAGGCATTGCGCAACCTGCAAATCAGAACCGGTAAAGCCGCCAATGCGCGTGTGCACATCCCAGAGACCGCTCGGGCTACCCGCGGGGCTGGCAAGGTTATACTCGATCATAATCGCGCCCGGAACCGCGCCCTTTCCGGAGACGATGAAGTCGCTCAGAGCGACGGACCCGGTCTGGCCACTTGTGCCGATCTGCACGGCCACCTGCGGCGCGTTAATATTGGAAAAGTAACTACCTGAGGCCATGATCACGGGCCATGTCTCGCCAACGATCTTGGAGCCCGGTGGAATCTTGAGCGTGCTGGTGATGAGGTACAATCCGTAGTCGATGTATACCACCTTTCCGGCCGCGGCGGCGGAGTTGATAGCGTTCTGCAGAGCGGCGGTGTCATCGGTCGCCCCATTGCCCACAGCGCCAGAGCTACGCACGCTGACAAAGTCGCTCGCGCTGAGCGCCTCGTACTGTGGCTTGGCCTGTGTGTAGTACCTGCCCCCGGACCCCAGGAGCGCTGCGGGTCGCGAGTTCGGAGTGATGATGCCCTGGAACTCGTTTGGACCGGAGGTCGAGGTGTAGCTGTGGCCCTGGCCCCAGGCGGCGACCGTGGTTGTTCCGGCCGTGCCGGCCATGACGGTGGATCCGCTTTGTTGCACCATAACCGGGACGTTGGAAAGGTTGATGTTCTCCAGGATAAGACTACCCGCGGTGTCAGGGGTCGCAGAAGCCGTGTAAGCGGTGACAATGCCGACGGGGACGTTGGTGAAGGTGCTGTCGACCACGATGATGGAGCCAACCTGCTGGCCAGACGAGCCGCCAGCCGATATATCGATACCAGTCCCACAATTGTTAATACTTAAGCCCTGAAAGGTCCAGTCCCAATCCCACAGCATGATTATGGCGGTGACACAATTGTTGAAGACAAGGTTCCGCATGGTGTACTGCTGGTTGCCCATGGAAGCACCCGTCGCACCGCCATTGAAGGTGAGGTCGGACAGGAAACCACCACTTCCGGATTCTGGTCACGGTAGAGGGTCAGCGCCGCCGTACTAGAGACCAGGGACGGGGTCTGAGAACCAAGGATGCCGATAATGAACGTACCAATGAACAGACCAACATGCACGACACCGGAGGCTGTGGGCATGTTGAACTTGACATTTTGCAGGCTTGTAGCCTGAGAGGTCGGCCAATGTATACCAGTACATGCTGTGCCAGGGGCCACATTCGTCGTGTCGATGACAAGGTTGCGAATCTGGCGGTAAAAGTTGTTCACGGAAACCCAGTTCAGGTCTTGCGACCAGTAGGGATTGCCATCGATCAGACCGAATCCTGAGAAGCCTGCAGTAGCCTTGAGAGTCGGAGGACTGCCAGCATCTCCAATAAGCATAGTAAAGTAATAAGGGATGATCGAAGAAGAAATGAGGTATGTTCCGGCTGGGAAGTAGACCACAGCGGGAGTGATGGTCGCAGAAGCCTGATGAGCGTTAGCTGGGACTGTTGGTCACCAGGGTCCGGCCTGTCGTCACATACACATCCTTTCCCACAACGGTTCCCGCCAGCCGTAATGGCGGCATTGATGGCAGCTGTGTCGTCTGTAACGCCGTCACCTGATCCTCGCCGTCAGCCTCATGGACCAACCAGAACCCTCCGTTCTTCAGCCTACCTCGGGCGCCATAGTCCTTCACGTTCCTGAACACCGTATAGCCGTTCCCTGCATATGGAGCAAGACCCTGGTGGGGGATCTGTTCCATCCAGTACGCAGCCTGAACAGCCAGTACGAGGCTGGCAAGGGCCAGAAACAAAGTGTTGAAGGAACGCATGGTCAATGGTCAACTTTGACCTAAAATGAATATAAATTGAGAAACGCGGATGTCAACCCGCGCAAGGACTGGATGCTGGAAGAGAGGGATGGGACGAACACCCATCTTGACACGGCACAGGCAAGCAGTATATAGCTTTCATCCGTGGAGCAGCGACTCGGGAAGGGCTATGACTGTCAGGCCCATGTACCTGCCACTCCCACAAGCGTGGCCTTGCCACCTAGGTTGTACAACGAGATACCCGAAGGCAGGGGGAAGGCTGGCATGTCTTGAATATCGTGGCATCCCTTGGTAGCAACACACCCTCAGTGCGTGCGGGCCAGGGGGAGAGACGAATGAAATTTGGCCGAAGGGCCGAAGCGCAGATGTCATGCCTGTCAAGCCGGCCTCGAACGCCTCTTGTCTTGTGGAGAAGAAGGCCCATGAGAAATGAGGTTGCTTCGCCGAGCCGGCTAGTCGTGCCACTTGATACGTTGCAGATGTCCACGGGCTCCAAATCACCACTTCACGGGACCTTAGAGGTGGATGGATGGATCATGGGCACATGCACAATGGGATAGCCTCGCGCTGTCAGCAGCTGTGGTGGTATCCGCAGAGCCAGGCCCTGACTCGTCGCTCCATTCGTAGATGGAAGCAGCTGAGGACAGTAGTGTCGTCAGAGGGTTTGCAGTATAGCCATGTGTCTCATGGTGGCCGCCTGGCAGTACCCGACGACACGGGAGTGATGCCGAGTGGGCTGGGGAGCGGCCTAGGTGATTCGTTGTCTCAGAGAACTAAGGAACGCAGAGGCAAGCCCTATCCTGGGGAATGTGATGATGAGGGTAGCCTTAGACGACTCTGGTCCCAAGCGCCCGCCCGGCCAACAAGGCAAGTGGACCGAAGCGATCTTGGCCGGCCGGCCGTTTGGTTCGACTCTGGCCCAATTAGGCGATCATCTGGGCCGCCTGGTCACGACTCCCGGTGATGATGGCTTCGTCCCGGCGCCGGGATTGGCGTAAGGGAAATTGGACACCTAGATGAAATTCTCCTAGGGTTACATTGGTTCAAGGGCTGGACCCTGATGCGGAGGTCGACGGTCAAGCCCCAGCGCTGATGGGCCCGGGACGATGTCGGCCTTATTTGAGAAAAGGGATTATACAAGACGGTCGACGCTTCCGCCGTAAGAAGAAGGTGGATGTCGGGCATACCTCTGCAATATCCTCGAGAACATCAAGGCCAACTGAAAATCGAAGGCTCCCGTGAGAATCGGGTACCAGGCAGAAGACAAGCTTCCCTGCTCGCCCTCCCTCCGTCCCTCCCCCTTCTGACTGCTGCGCCGAAGCAGCGGCGTATGTCAGGCGGGCTCGGTCTGCAGGGTGAGTCTGTCTGATCACAAGACAAAAGAGATGTTCCAGGTAAACAGAAGTGAGTGCACTCACGTAGGACAAGACGGCTTTGACGCTGGCCAACGTCTGGGACGAGATCTGCGCAGGGGATCTGATCAGTGGACGGCTCCGCATGGTCAAAATTGCGGGGTGGGCTTGCTAGGCGCTGCAGGCCACATGCTTCACGGCGCACACCTCCCACCCGCGATGTAACCTTGGGATTTGACGAAAATGGAAAGCCCGGGCAAGCTCGCGAAGTTTGTATTTCCGGTTTCCATCATGTTGTGAGACATGCAGTAAGCCACCAAGGAAGGCTGACAAAGTCTCTAGCCTGCGTGGAAGACGCAGTTGTAGCGTCTCCCGTGTGACCCTCGTCATGATCGGCGAGAGGCGCCTTTCAGTTGGGCATCATGTGCCTAGGGAGGTATTTCCAGTGAAAAGCCAGCCGAGACCCTCGCGAAGGTGGCTTTCGACCAAATGGCTGGTAGTGGGTGCAGCCACAGACGTTTCCAACCTTGGGGGCGCATGAAGTGGCGTACTTCAGGCTGCAGCGCATTCCATGGCTGACAGTGTTCAAGTTTCGCCAGCGAACCTTGGGGATATGGTTCTAGTGTAATAACGAGTAGGAGGAGCCCCGAGCTCGGGCGCGGTTTCGTGCGCGATCTTGAGCGGGCGGGCAGCAATCCGTCAAGAGTCAAGCAATTGCCAAGCACCAGGAGCAGGTCTTTCGTATACGGCAGGCAAGGGTAGCGACGACGTTGATGCCAGGTACTGCGTGCGAGCGGTAGAAGAGAGACGGGACGCGATGAAGCTTAAAAGGCCTGCCTCGCCGCACGTGCGCGTGGATGGGTGGTCCTGGTCTGCATTGGTGGGGGTGTGCCGCACCGCCCGGTCCAAAAGCTCAACCTGCGTGTCCGTTCCCGCAGATTCGGATCGAGAATGGGTGCAGCTGGCCGTGAGTAATCATGCTCAAGCTGAAACGCAAACAATAGCGGCTGGCGAGGTTTGCTTGTTGAACGGCTGGCCCTCACCACCCGCTGGCCGCCCCATTGCGTGGCTGTCGCCATGTCCCGAGGTTTGGTGGACGAAGACTTCCTGATGCGCCGACTTCCGGGGCGGACGCGTCAAAGATGTAGATTGCGCACATGCTCGATTATGCAGGATGTATTTGGCAAGCAAGTTCTCTGGATTACCATTCGTGCACAAATCCAAGTCGGCCGAGATGCAGCGATAGTGGAGTGAGTGAGTGAATGAGTGGAAATACCAAGTAGTGTGGGGGCCCGAGGCCGCAATATGTGGCTTACGCAGGAAACGGCGGTAGGTGATGCTCCGGCCGTGATGTTGCGCCAAGATGGCAGTTCGGCCGGCTATCTGCTGGGTTGGGTGAGGTGCCACGGAGGGGGCAAGAAGTATTACTGGAGATGCCGCGCAGCAGCAACAGCATCTCGACGATGAGAGGGAGGCTTGAGCTTGAAGCGGACGGGTCTGTCTTGACTGGTACAGAGCGCGGTGGATCAATTTCTCCACATGCTCATGAGTGCAATTTGCGGCCAGGACGGAGCAAAAGACGGGCCAGGGAAGGTAAGGGGAAGGCAAGGGAAGGGAAGGCATGGCAAGGGGCGGGAGTTTTGCTTGTGAGGGAAAGCGCAACCCCATCTCCATCTCCGTCTCCATCTCCATTTCATCTCCACCTCCACTCACCAGGGGCAAGCTTCCTTCCCCAGATTCCCCGGATTTTGTTGGCACTGGACCAGCTCCGTCCTGTCAGCTTCTCCAACTCGGCTGCCCCCTTTCAGCAACGCCCTGGGCTGCAAATCCCCACAGCCGAGCCGAATACCGACAAATCTTGTAAAAGGACGGGGGAAAATGGCACTGTAGATAATTATCGCAAAAGACGCCGGTCATCAGTGGAACCAGAGTGTCAGTGAGCCAGCGCGACAGACCAGGCAACATCGATTGCAAACGACAACCTCGTCATAGCTTTTAGGACCATCGATAAGAGCAAGGACAGAGACTCTTGCTGACATAAAAAACCGCGAGTTATAGGCCCTGTCATTGGCTGGGCCTTGCTCCGGGGCTAGGCTAAGCTCGGCAGCAAGAAAGAGCTCCGGCCCAAAGCATTGCCGAGGCGCCCCCGCCTTTTGGCCTCTTTTGCTTTTGCTGCCCCTGGACGGGGGACGCTGTTCGAAGCAGCTGTTCCCTGGCGGGTTGTCTCCAATGCGGAGACAGGCTGGAGAAGCTTGAGGTGCGCCCGCGCTGTAGTTTACACCAGACAGACATCACTTGTCGGTTGGTAAGAGCGCAAACGAAATGTGGATGGGCAGACAGGGCTGACAGGTAGGCTCGTATCTGCATCTGTGTCTGCACGCCATATCTCAAGCAAGCAAACAGGGCTAGTAAGGGCAGGGCAGAGACAATATGCACACCATCTGCCGTCCGCCCTAGTAGAGAGCATCAAGTCGGGCAGCCGCCCCTGGGCCCGTCGCAAACCTTCCCTTCTGTTCGTGTGACCAGAGCTGTTAATCACAATAATAAGGTCCATGCTTATTGCCTAGGTAATACCCAGGTGTGAAATATCAGACACCTAGACTACCACCTATTGTGCAGTAGCGGTAGACGGTGCAGGGCAAGGCAAGCAAGGCCAAAACGCGACGTTACACAGCACGCTTCTAACACCAAATTAATCCCGTCTGCTGTTGCTTGCTGCCCCCCGCTGCTGATGCCACTGCAGCTTGGGCTCCTCCTTCCCTCTTCTTCGTTCGCCCCCGAAAACCCCAACTCGACCAAGATTCTCCCCCGACCTCCTCCCCCCTCTCCTCTCCTCTCCTCACCTCCTCACCCACACATATTGCATGTACCGCACCCGTTTCCCACGCAGCCAAACGACACTACCCGCCGTTGCTGCCCGCTGCCCGCCCAAGGTGCCCACTCACACCCGTTTGATCGCCCCCCGCCTCCGCATTTCCTCCCACATCTCACCATCAACCCAGCTGCACCATTGTGGAGCACAGCAGGGCAGACGCGCTCGTCTCCACATCTGCACCACCAGCAATAGCAATCAGCAGCACCAGAGCACCCAGCGGCCCATCCGCCGCCCTAGCCAGCAGGCAAGCAGAGGCACGGCAACGCGGACGACCTTGCCCGTTTGTTCAATCGTTTGTCCGTCGATGGGGGACGGGCCATTCACCGATCTTCCTCCCCACCGACCTGACCGACTTGCCGACTGGTTGAGTGACTGGCCGATTGACCGACTGAGTGACTGTCTCACTGACTGAACTGTTGGTTAATTCTGCCTTCTCATAGTCCACTCGCGCTCGGATCGACTGAACACCTCTCTCACGCCTTTGTCCACTTCTTGCTCTGTCGCGGGCCTTGTTTTCCCACGCGACTTGCCAGCATTCCCGCTCACGTTCCCAATCCCCAAACCCCGCGTTTTCGATCACCTTGAGTCATCCACTTCTCTCCTCCGCCGCCTCCTTCTCCCCTCCCCACATCAACGCCATTGAGGGCCTGTCTCTCTCCAATTGACCTGCCACGGAACAGCGTTGTGCAGTGCCGCACACCAGATCACAGTATAGTATACCACCGTACAGGCCTCAATCTGTGGAGTCAGATCAGGTTCGAGATCAGCTTGGAGAAGCAGCATATCACAGGGAATAGATCTGCACACAACAGAGGTACGTACGTACATACTCACCATGTCCTCTTGTCCTATTCCCATGTCATTCATGCCTTGCCTTGCCTCGTCCTGCCCTTCCGCGCAATGCCATGCCATCCGGGCGTGCCATGCCATGCCATGCCCTACCGCGCCATGCCCCCAGCCTGGTCGCGCCCATCCTCCACAGTCTTCGATTGACATGTCCACAGTCGCCTATCCAGCCCTCCCGACGATCGGCTCACAAACAAGACTTCACTTTGGTTTCAGAACTTCTCCAACCAAGTGTCCTGTGGCCCCGTCCAGCCCTGTCCTGTCCCGCAGAGTAGGTGCCCAACCTGCCCTGCCAGCTTGTCAATCTGCCAATCTGCCAATCTCAGCCTGCCTCGCGACCTCGTCTCTGTGTGTGATGCCCGATTCGATTCGCTTTGCTCGCATTGCTTTGCTTTGCTTTGCTTTGCGTTGCTTTGCGTTGCCTTGCTTTGCTTTGCGTTGCTTCCCCTTGCTCGCCTGACTTCTCCAATTCCATCCCGTCTTTTTGCCTCTGATTTCAGGGCGATATCACCACCTTCCGTCCGGTCGTCGCTGCCAGTCACTCCATCTCGCCCTCCCGCCGATGACATAGGCCTGGCAGCTTGTCCACTACCGAGACACGCCTTGCGCATCGTCGTCAAGCTTCCCCGCTCCTCCCTCGCCCTTTCTCTCCTGCACCTCCTGGGAAACCCCCCTCCCCACGGTGCCGCTATTTACCTACCCTAACAAGCTCCCCCACGTTTCGGAGAATTTCCACATCGGCCCAAACTCCCACCATCACCCTGGGCACTCCGTACCTACATGGTACTCACTTATATACATTCACTCATATACACAAGCGCGCACGCGCCCACGGGCTCACACACACACCAGCATTCACACATACATTAACACCCAGTAGACGTGTCTGGCCCTCTTACATACTAATTGCTAATATGCACACAGACTACCATAGCAGCTCTATTCCCTGCCACCATCCACCCTCCTTCCCCCTCACCATAAGCTCCGGACTTCGACGACATTCCTTTTCATCTCAAGTCCTCCCATCGGCATAGCGACCCAAATTGCTCGACCGCGTCTGCTCCTCCGCCTTGGCACCCGCACGCCTGTCATTGACATTCCGAGCCAATTGGATCTTGGTCCTTGGATCTCGCGCCCAATCCAACCGTATCTGTGCACCACGGGGCTCCCAACCCTCAGCCGCCCCCCACAGCGCACACGAGCATCCCGTCCCACCCTCTCTCTGGTCCTCCTGTCGGGCCCCATTCGATACTGTCTCACTGGCCCCCAGCTGTGGTCCACAGCCTTCCCGACTGACGGGTCTGGAGTTCATTGTACCTGGTACTTAGCGCCTGCCCGGGAGTACGGCGTCTCTGCCGCGCCCTCAGACCCCGTATCGCCCCGGATGTCACTGCTCTGCTTGGGGTAAGAGATCCATCTATCAGTGCCACGTACGAAGCCAGTTGAGGCCACCAACCTGCGGGCGCCACCCTTCGCGCACAAGAGCCAACCTGCCAAGTCCAGCCCGTTTCCTCACCTTGAAATTGGGTTTCCTCGGCAGCCGGGACGGTACGCGCTCAGCTCGTCCCCTTGACGCATATCAGCTGTCAAGCTTTGTCTACCCAGTCGACATACTCCGTTGTCCCCGGCCCCGTCCCCCACACCTAGCACCAGCAAGCCTCACTCTGTCCCACAGACATCCCACACGTTCCGGATACCCCAATCTTGGTGGCATTGTGCCCACGCCTGCTGCCCAAAGATGCTTTCCATCCAGTCCGTAGAGGGACCCAGTCCTCCTCGTGCCGACGACACCGGTGACATGAAGCAGCAGAAGCCAAAGACGTTACCATGCAAATACTGCAACAAATGGTTCAGGTAAGCTGACAGGTTACCAACCTCCATGTTGCTGGGACCGGCTGACGCGGGGTCCTTTTCTTTATACAGGCGAGTAGAACATGTCCAGAGACATGAGAGAACACACACCAAGGAGAAACCCTTCTCATGCAATTGGGATGGTTGCGGGAAGAGTTTCGGCAGAAGGTGAGCTACATCCCTCGTCCTATCTCGTCTCATTCTCTGTACCTCCATTTGGGCAAAGAACACGACCTGGCCCTGTCCATCACCCGGTCTAGTCACCCTCGTACTCTGTACTCCATTGACTTTACCCCAATTGCATGTCGCCATATATGGGTCCCGCATCCCGTGCTTTGCTCCACAACCGTATCGCGCGTCTTATCATCTTCCCTCTGTAATCCATCCGGTCTTCAGGTTATGCTTACATGGACATCAGAGACCTTCTCGTCCGCCATGAGAAGCTCGTGCATCTCAGCGATGGCAACAAAGATGCCAATGGCGTCAGCACACAACGGCGCAAGTCGTCAGCGGCGGGTACCCAGTCAAGCCCGACCAAGAGTCACGGCGATACCGAGATGCTCGGTATGCAACAGACGCCCACACAAACCCATTTCGCCCCGGAGGCCGCCATGTCCGCCGTCGTCTCGAGCCTGCCTCCCGACTCACGCATCGCCCCAAGGCCGGCAGCAGCCTGCAACCTCGACTTGCTGTCCGATGCCGCAACCCATCTTGCCTCCGCCGGCGACGTGTCGTCGATGCAGAACATGCTCCCAGATATGAGCCAGCAGCAGACGCCTCTCGGACGTGTTGATGGCTTGCCGTCCTACGGTGACCGAAGCCGAGAGCAGGACCCAGTGGTCTATTCGACGCCCTTTCCCGTCACTACAGCTCCATACTCGGTCTCCTCAGCGCCCTTCCCGATTACGTCGGCACCTTTTCCTGTCACTTCGGCGACCTTCCCTGTCACATCCAACGCGCAACCAAACTTTGAAGGCTATGACCTCTTCATGGATGACTTCGGCACGCAGTCACACTTTCTGCCGGCTGGAGTTGATACAGAGCAGTCCTTTGGTGGGTGGCGCGCAGGCACCTCCTCATTTCCGTCAAGGTTCCCCTCCCTGGCGCCTGAAGCATCCACGGATGGTACGGGCAGGTTGCAAGACGAAGTGATGAGAGCGCCGCTCTGGAGGATCTCGAGCAATGACCATGGAGTTATCAAGAGCCGTCTGGACGAGTTCTCGAGCGTGCTTCCAAACGATTTCGTTTTTCCTTCGCGACATACATTGACTCGATATCTCGAGGGGTACATCAGCGGTTTCCAAGAGCACCTCCCTTTCCTTCACATACCGACTCTGAATCCGAGTGAGATCGCTCCTGAGCTCCTCTTGGCAATTGCCTCAGTCGGCGCGCAATACCGATTCGAGAGTCACCGTGGACATGCTCTCTGGTATGCTGCCAAGGCTGTCGCCCTCGAGCAGATTCGGAGACGCCACAGCCACGAGGTACACACGTTGCTACCAACACCAGCGGCTTACAGCCCGCATTCCACGCGAGCATCCCCTAGCTCTGGCTTCCGCCACTCCTTCAACTCGGTCCATTCAGACCGGCCCATGACACAGGAAACCCACCGTGAGCCATAGTAAGCGCCCACCCCAGCTCCCTGTTAAAGGCTGCCGCTCTGTTGACACTGTCTTTTTAGCTCTCCGAATAATCCTCAGTCCCGTCTCGAGACGATACAGGCTCTTCTTTTGCTTTTCTCAGTGGGCCTTTGGGGAGCCAAGGCCATATTGCAGGATGCTCTATCTTTGCAAAGCCAGCTCGCCCTGCTGATACGCGATGAAGGCCTGAACTCTAATTCAACGCAGATTGCCGACTGGGAGACTTGGGTGAGAAACGAGGGTAGTAATCGGACCAAGCTGATTGCCTACTGCTACTTCAACCTATGCAGTGTTGCCTACAACAGCCCGCCTGTCTTGTTCACATCGGAGATGAACTTGTACCTTCCCGGCCCGGCCCGCCTTTGGAGGGCCGAGAGTTCATGGGCATGGCGAGATGCTCGGCAGTCCGTCCAATACATGGAGCTGCCTCTCCAGGAAGCGCTGTCGAGGCTCCTGCACCGACCGTCACAGGGGCCACTGAACGATCTGACTTCACTTGGCAACTACGTCTTGATACATGCCTTGATACAGCACATTTACTTGCTCAAGCAGACCTCATTCGCGAACACGTCTCGCTATGACATGCACAGAGGCCTCAAAGCAGAGGATGTGGAGGAAGTCACGCAAGCGCTGCGTGTGTGGCAATTGGGGTTCGAGGAGCACCGCATGCGAATTACCCAGTCAGCCCAGCAGATGGGCAGTGAGAACTTCCCCGGCGGGCCAGTGTCTTTTGACGCCACTGCACTTTCCCGACTCGCACATATCCGTCTACACACGGACCTCGCGCCTGCTCGGGCGCTTGAGAGCCGTGAGCCATACGCAGCTGCAAACATCTTCAACGGCTTGGCCCTCTTGCCCAGGGGCCCACGTCTGAACAAGGCAATACTGCAAGCCGTGCACGCGTTGTCGATGCTCGTCAAAGCCGGCATCAACTACATTGCTCGGACCAAGTCTCTCGAGTGGAGCATGCAGCATTCTTGTGAGTACCCATTTTCCTTTTCTTAACCCCGGAAAGTTCGCCATGGTGATGAACACGGGCATATACTAACCGGCATTGTTGCAGTATGCAATCTAGAATGCGCAGTCCTCCTTGCCAAGTGGTTGATGACGATGGCTTCGATGAGTGCTACTGAGATGCAGACCGCCGAAGAGAAGTCTATACTGGCGTCCATCCGGACGATAGTGGACGAGACGGAGTACGCCGTTCCCATCGATCCTAGTCTCGCCGCTCAACAGCCTTCGAGGATGGACGGGTCACTCAACGACTCGCAAAAGCTACGTCAACTTGCGTCGGCCGTCCTCCGCATCTGGGCCAAGACCTTCAAGGGTGAGCACATCTTCGAACTGGTCAAGACGATGGGTCATGGCCTGGAGATCTACTCGAACACCTTAGACAAGCCGAGGGACCAGCCGTCCCTGGGACGGATGTCGTCTGGCTCTATTCTCGAATAAGTCTCGCCCACGGTGAGGAACGATGGATTGGAATCGTTTCCTGCCGCGATATCGGGAGCAGGGTATCTCGAGTTTGGGGATATAATTCAACCACAATCTGGCCCAGGGATTCAAGCTCGGGCTACAGGATGTTGGTGGATTATCTAGGTACGACCTCGCCAGATACGAAACCCCAGCGTTATGGTCAGATGGTAGCTCCAGGGTAGAGAGAGCGGTGTGTCAAGCACTGCTGGACTGGAGATCGCTGTGCCTGGCCAGCTGTCGATCGAAAGGAGAGAGAAATTGGATGAACAAGCACCAAGGTCAAACTTGTTTGAGATGAGCGAGAGAGTGTGCTATTGATGGCAATTGTGCAAACTGGCCACCTTCAGGAGTGGTGTGCCTGTGAGTCTGATGTTTCTGTGTTGTGTAGAATAGGGAGGAGCTAGCTTATGACTGATTTAGGCCCCGGAAAACGCAAAACGACGGTGATAGAAATGCTTAATGATAATGTTATTTTTTGGGTCCTGAATTGGCAGCTGTTGACCGCGTTATCTCCTTCTCTAGGCCACTACCACTCCTTGCAGCAGACTCTTGCATGATAACAAACCAGCAGCAACAATGCTCAACTCGACTACGATGCCATTTCCCTTGATTGGAATTTCGCAACTCGTCAGCTGAGTGCTAGAGCCTGTTGAGGCCATTCATGACTGCCTCTCGGTTTGCTTAAGTAAAAAAAAACTGGCACTCTCGCACCTTCCCTGTCAGGGCCCCAACAAGTGTTCACGCGCTGGGAAAGAGCGTACTTTCCGTGTGATTCTTCCAGACAGTAAGGCTTGCACAGGCAGAAGTCAGACCTCCAGACAGCTTTCTCTCTCCTTCTCTCCCCCACTCCCTTCTGTCCACCTCTTTGGAGCCCAGGTCTATGAGTATTCAGATTTCATCACAACAGCCTTCAAAGCACGTAAAGCATCTTCTGTCCATTTCTCGTATTGTTCCCACGAGCTCCGACCCTGCTCTTTCCACGCGTCCATCATTTCGTCTCGAAGTAGCCTGCTCGACGCGTGTGTCACCTGGGCAGCTTTCCCTGCCACTTACTTCCTGGTCCCATCGCGTCACCCAACCGTTATGACACAACAGCCCTTGTGAGAGGACAAGATGGCGAGCCTCTACACACCAACCTTAACCTATGATCCCATCACCGACCCTCAGGCTACACAGGCTACACATTACCAGCTCGAGCGCTCGCCAGGTGACGGTTTCATCTACGAGGCAATGGCTGATCCCCTGACCGGCACCGCGACCCCGTTCTACCATTCCGACTCCCTGATCATCGCAACTGCGGGTAAGGGCACGCATTGCTTGCGCAGACACGCCGGCAGGCGCCTGCAGACGCTGGTGGCGCGAGGAGGCAGGAACGCGTGGCCGTTGTGGCAACCTCTTGGCTGTTCATTTCACGCGATGAAATGCCGATGCTGACGTGAAGTCTGCTGCACAGGGTCGTTCCGCCACCAGATGTTCTGCTACCCTGGTCCACGCGCGAGCTACGCGGTCTTCGTCGGGCCTGGAAACCCGCTCAACGATGCCGAGACGCCCCTGGTGGCACCGCCGGGCGCCTTCTTGTCCTTGCAGCGGGGAGATTTGACGGGTGCCGTGGTCGCATTGAAGACCGTGGTGCACATCGTTGAGAAGGGCTTGACGCCGTATGGTCCTTTGAGGCGGGTGATCATCAAGACGGACTCGGAGTATGTTGCCAAGGGAAGCACCGAGAGGATGCTCACTTGGCTGAGAAAGGGCTGGTAAGTCGCCTCCACTCTCTTTTTCGCATGCGATCTTGTCAAACTTCTTGCCCTTCGAAACTTTTCTCGGCGGCGAATGCATCCTCCTCCACTCCCTGATCATGAGCCGAGTCGTTCGGCCACCCCCTGATTCTCTCCCATTCACGCGAGCGCGCTATGAGTAATTAACGGTGATGTAAAGGATCGGATGCGGCGAGTCTCGGATCCGGGACTGGGATCTTTGGGAAGCTCTTCTGGCCCTGCTTGAAATTGTTAAGCGCACCTGGAACGTGGAGGTGCTCTTCTGGTGGGTTCCAACAAACTGTAAGTCCCAAACCAACTTACGTCACTCCTTAAAATGGCCTGACTTCTCTAGGGAATCGTGATGCAAAATCCTTGGCCGGTGAGGGCCTGAAGATTCCACCTCCCAGACCGGTCCAGGACCGCCGGGGACGAAGAGCGGAGATGACCAGCTCGGAATCGCTCGGATCGTGCTTTTAGGAGAGCCCATCGGGAGAGGGAAGCTCTGAGGATGTGTGGGGAGAAGGTACGTCTTGCTACAGCGTCCATGGTGTCGTCGTATCGGAGTCTGGGCTGACTGCTGCTGAAAAGGAAACGGAACGGCCTCCAATACGTCCACTGTCCCGAGCAGCGTGTCCAGTCGTCGAGTCGCCCCCAAGAGCCAGAATCCCTCCACCCTCCGTCTGCCGCCAGATGATATCGTACCTGTACAATTCCAGAGCCAATATTGAGTCGGAAGATACCATCGTCGTGGGGGCACACCAAAGTGTTTATCTAGGGTCACTGTTGCAAGGAAAATGTTTGGATGCGTGGTAGATTTTGTCAGGATGAAAGTCCCTCCCAACATGGAATCGATCGTTGGTCCAAAAGAGTTGACTGAGACCAGCAAGCAAGTGGCAACAGAGTCGATGACACACTGTTCTTGAAAAGGTTACAACTTAGTGTGATGCTATCGAACAAAAGTAATTGCCGAAAACTGCATAGGAAGAAGATCTTAGATAGTGGTACGAGTAAATACCTAATCCAGTGGCTTGGCGAGGACGGTAAAGTGTAAAGACGCCCGCAATCTTCGGCCACCGGTGTACTCCACGAATAACTCCCCGCCCGGCTCCCCCACCCCAATACCACTTCAAGATGGCAACAATAGAAGACAAATCAGAGAAGGAGAAACACATGATTGATACCTTTTCCCTTCTGCTGCAGCCTGGCCATGTCTGCTGAGATGCCCCCTCAACAACCAGAATCATTCCATATGTTTCCGCACACGGCACAACAATAGGCCAGGAAAGGATCGAGTGCACAGGCATGACTTTGGGGATCATTGTTGTGCAAGATCGATTTGGTTCAACCACTAGGGGGCTGAGTCACCCAAAAAAGAGAAGGAAAGGTCGTAAGGCTCCCCGATTCCCCCGAAGTCCTCGCCCGACTCGAAAAATGAGAGCGCTTCGGGCTCGTATGACCGAGGAGGGGAAGGGCGGTAAGCCCCCGACATTGCCCATTGTTGGTTCAGGGTAAATTCGAGCATCGAAAGCCTCTCGGGCCCGTAAGGCCGAGGAGGGGAAGGGCGGTAAGGCGGCCCGACTGCCCACTGCTGGTTCTGGCCATACGCGGAGCCGGGCTCCCCTTGCAGCGGAAACAGGTTTCGCAGCCCTGGGATTTGGTCGCCCCAGCGCTGTGGTGACGGCGACCGGGGCTGGTGCGACGACGATGGCGGCGCGGTGGGCGAGTGCTCCATGATCGGCATGTCCGGCTGCGTCGATGATTGGAGCTGGGGCCGGAGCTCGGGTAATGCCTGCGAGGATGAACACTGGCGGCGGGGACATCCCGGGCTGGGGCGGCGTCGACCTCAAGAATGGGTGTGCGGGCAAGGTGGGGGTGTTGTCGGGCGCCTGGATACGCGAGGCATGGACGATGGAGTGGGATGGTGATGGTGATGTTGATGATGGCGATGCCGCTCCTGTCGTCGTCGGCGGCGGCGGGGGTGCCGTCCTCGAGGATAGGCCTGCGGGCGTGTGTCGGTGGGCGGTGAGCGGTAGGTTAAAGGCGTCACATATCGGCTGCTGCTGCTGCGGCTCCGGCAGGTTCTGCTGCTGTTCTGGCGCGTGCGCTCCTCCTTCTGATGCCGATGTCGATGTTTCCGTAGTCTTTTGGTATGGCGTCGACCCGTTGACGACGAGGGGCCGGTGCCACTGCCTCTGCGGCTGCTGCTGCTGCTTCTGCTTCTTCCTCGGAACGATTGATGTAATCATCTCATCCTCAAAGTCATTGAGGGATGACTGAAGTCGCTGCCGCTGCTCCCGCTTCGCCGACTCGAGCTGCATCGCCACGTCGGACGAGAACACCTCCATTCTCTGCCGCGCTAACGCTGACTGGTCAGTGTAGTCGGCCCAACCGGGCGGCAGCGGCGTTGGCCATCCCGGGTACGGGAAGGCCGGCAGCTGGCCGCCGTCGAGGGAGAAGGTGCCCGAGGTATCCTCCATGTGCGGCACCAGGCGGGCCATGAGCGCCCCGGCCTCGTTGATGACCCACACGTCGTCGTCGTGGGCACGGTTGCCCGCCCTCCGGGCCTGCAGGACGCGCTCGATGGCCCAGACTATCTGCCCGGACAGCCAGGCGACGCTCTCCCGCGCTGACTCGAGCGTCCTCAGGTCTGTGGTGCCCGCGGGGGATTGCAGAAGAAGGTCTGGTTGCGGTGACAATGATAGCATGCTGGACCCTGGGGTCAGCATGGGCGGGCCGCTCGACGACATGCTTGTGTCGTCGTCCATGGTGGCTGCAGAAGATATGATGGTTGTCTCCTGGCTGGGGTGTGAGACTGGGTAACGTAGGAAGACGCGTGTGTCTTTACTTCAGCCAGGCCTGTGTGAATCCAAAAGTATTTGGGGAGTGATGAGAACGTAAAAGTCGAGTAAAGTCTAGAAAGGGGATTTTTAATATCGCTGGAATATTTTGTGCTCGTCTGAGACGATGAATTTGATCGATAGGAACGAACCGTCGGGCAGCGGCTCACACAAGCGTGGCGCGTGGTGCTGGATAGTCCCTCGTGTTGTCTTCCGTCCAAAGTGGCCTGCTTTTGGTGTCTTCGAATGGTCACTTGTACATGAAACTAATCATTGGCCTTAGGACCCGACGAGATCTGGTGACAGACATCCTAGAACTGTAGTGCAGTCCCAGAGCAGGTCCACGCAAGCTCTAGTATCCTGTTAGTCCGGAATCTGTCATGTGGGCCGGGGTTGCGAGCGTCACCATTTGATGCCTGAGGAGACCATGGACGAAGCCACGGTGCCTGAACTGTTTGAAATGGAATCTTTAGTTCGATGTTTCGGGTTTTCCGTCAACAGCCAGATCTTCCCTTTCTGTTTGCCCTGCACCTGGCTCATCATCGGTAGATGAGACTTCATCTTTCACTTTCGCCTCTCTTTCCCTGCTCTTTTCGATTTCCTCTGATGTGAGCAGCTCTGGGGGCTTGAAGATGTCAAGAATCTTTTGTCTATCCATCCTACTACCCCATAAATCGTCCATCCTGAACTGGAACCGCTCCCAAAAGTCCTCTGCTCTTCTGTCCGGCTGTTCCAGGAACGTTGACTTCCACATGGCGCAACAGCTTTGGAAGTAGCAGGAATGAGGGTTTGGCGCGTGCTTACTCCTGAGATGAAGCGGTTCTCCGTCGAGATCTCGTACTGCCAGGCTCGACCCTGGCCGCAATGGGTCCCGGAGGCTCCTTGTATCTGATTCTAGCCTTGTGAACAAGTACGACCGGGGAGTCTTTGCTTGGCGCCAGTTCTTGTGAGGCGTGATCACAAGCGCCCACTGCCAGAAATGACTGTCAGCGCATCTTCTTCTCAACAACAAGTACAAGACCCCAAAAACGTTGGTGACGATCTGGCTGGCGAAATAACTGCGAGACAAGCTTGGAAGGCTGCACCGTTTTCGGAACAAGCTCATTGATGATTTGGCTTCGGATGCGTTACTTACGTCGTTCAAGGCCCGCCCGACAGCAGTGGGGATCAGCAATCCATTGTTTGAGCCCCGCCATGTAATCCGTGTGGACACCTGCTCTGCGACCATCGGCCCGAGCGAGAATGGGAAGATGTAGTGAAGTTTCAACAAGTATTCGGGCACCCACTCGCCGGTGGCTATGCTCCACAGGTGGTTCTTCGGCTCCTCTTGGGGCCTGTCGAAGGTCAGTCTGGATTGGGAGCGTATCGCTTTCACCATGGCCGCCTCCCTCCTTTTTATGAACATATGGTTCTCGTGCGCGTCCAGTGGGACCCTTTCCTTGACGGGGCCGATCGCCTCGGCGTGGTTCCTCGCCTTGCGGAAGAGGTGCGGCAGTAACATTGCCGTCAATGACCGTGACGTCCATCTCGGAGGTGGCTTGACAGACATAGCGGCTGCGTTATAGGCATCCAGACCCGGACTCAATCGAGCGAGCTTCTGTCGATGAGACAGAGCGGCAGTTGGTGTTATCGGATGGGATTAAGACGTTCAGAACGAGATTGATGAGATTGATGAGATCATCAGCGTGGACGCTGCTCAGTCTTCAGAGCCTGAGAGCAGCCTTTTGCCGCTCGATTGTGGCCGCGAGCTCAAAGTTTTCTCGCCCCCAGATACCCGTGACAAGTTTGAGCATGCCAAATTCGTTGTCGCTTGGTCTTTGGTGTTGAAGCGGCTGGGCTGGTGCAGGGCCGCTTGACGTCGAGTTTGCAGGCGGTTGAAGAAAAAAGCCGAGTGGGTGCAAGGTTTTCGAGGGTTCGGGTTTCATGACCCAATCGCTTGCATCCGCCCCTGCGATCACAGCCACCGGCATCTGTCTCCCGAGTGCGCATTTATTGGCGTATCACATGTACTTTCAATGAATTTGTTGATGCTCCCATGAATGGATCGATTTTCCTCGTCATGTGCATTTATTTCTCCCTTGTGTCTTATGAAGTAAGAGATGTCGGTTTGGATGACCGCGGAGAATAGATGGATAGACTCCCTGTAGAGGGGACCCCCAAGAAGCCGAATGACCCCTATAGCCGAAAGCTCATTTTTTGGTGCAAACCCCACCAAAAATGAGCTTTTAAACTCTATAAGTTTAACCCTTATTTCTCACTTAATTAAAGTTTAAATATAATAAAAAAGATACTTATATTATTATTTAAAGATTAAAGAATAATAATAAAATATTTTTATAATTATATATTAATATTATAAAAAAGCTAGCTGTTACTTATCTGCCAGCTGGGAACCAGCTGGCGTGCAGCTAGCGCCTGCACAGGCTACCCCTGCAAACCTATCCCAAAGGTTTGCTGAGCAGCCCCTTTAAGCCTTTGCAACAGGCTTCCTTTTGCAACACCCCCAAATGCAATCTTAATACACCCTAATTTGCATACCACAAGAAGCAGCTTTCTTTTAATATAAGTTATTATTAAATTAAGAGGATATTCATTATATAAGAAGTGAAAATATGTGAAAAACGAAGTGCATACAATTTTTGGTGTGGTATGTCGTGTGCAGGTCACTAGCGCCAAATCGGAACGATTGATTGCATTTGAGAGTAAGTGGCACTAAGTCCTATCAAAGGGAAATAAATTCTGAAGACTGCGGACCCAGGCACCGCAGACAGATATGTTTTCAACATGTCATGACCGGCCAAGATGCCAGGTCTGTTGTATTTGTACCCCCCCCCCCCCTTCCATCACTTCAATTTGCAAGAGTCTGTATCAGTATGATCTGCTTCTCGGTATTAGAGGCCACAGAAGGCAGAAGGAAGTCATAACTTAATTTTCAATCTAATCCTTACTTACACCATCATAATCTTACTAACTAGTTATTCCTGCCTCACTCATCCTCATCCTCATCCTCATCCTCATCCTCTAAGTCCTCCTCTATGATTTCCTCATCGCTCCCCGCGTCCCTGCTACGATCCTTCTCCGCGTCCCGTCCCTTGGCTGTTTGCCTCGGACCCGGTGAAGTAGACGCTCCAGCATATTGACGAGAGCGACCTGTCCTGCTCACGCCGGTGTCCTGATCTGTTTGATACATGCTGACTGGAGTACGGTACCCCTTCCGTGGAGGTGGCTCACGGCTATGTTCATCGTGTCTGAATTCATGCGCCGCTGCCCTCACTCGGTCGTCACCTCGTGTTCTCGTGATGTACTTTTCGAAATCGCTCGTCGTCTCCGCAACAGACTCAAAGCTTGCGACCGTCAGTCTGATGGACCGTGAGCTTTTCTCAGGCTGCCTGCCCTCTTTCTCTGCTTCGTCGACCCTTTTCAGCCTCTCATACTGGCCGATGCCAATCGCGGTCTGAAACGCGTTCCTGATCTGCCGCCCATTCCATGTGGTCCCGCTGCGTTCGTTCCTCCGGTAGTGGCTCTTGGCAAACTTCTTGAGATTTGCCTCGTTGAAGAGTATCTTCACCTCTGCCTTCTCGTTGTCCCGCTTGATGCGCTGCAGCGTCTTACCCCAGATCTCAAGGGTTGAGTCTTCATCGATTGCGGGATACTCCAAGGCCACATGGATGCGAGATTTGAAAGCCTCATCGATAACGCCGACAATGTTCGTAGTGAGGAAAAGGATTCCCGAGTAAAATTCCAGTTGACGTAGGAAGACTACACTCATCGCATTCGCATTAACTACGTATAGCACTTCTGTTATATTAATGGAACTTTACTTACTAGACACCATAGCGTTTCTGTGCATGTCAAGGTAGTTCCTGGACATTAAAAACACATCTGCCTCATCCAGGAGTAGGACGCAGCCCCACTTCTCGGCAAGGCGAGTATGCCTCACCAGGTTCTTCTCGAGCTCTTTTGGCTCCGTACCGAGGTCGCCACAGGTGATAGCATACAGTGGTCGGCCGGTGTATGCTGCAATGGTTTCCGCGGTGCTCGTCTTGCCCGATCCCGGTGGCCCTGCCCATGATTCTAAGTTATTAAATTCTCGGTAGGCCACTCTTCAGAAGCTTCCAATCACACAGGGTTGGAGATCTGATATGAGTGCAACGACAAACCCCCCAGGGACAAGAACAGAAGACCGAATGCGAATATCAGAAGAGAGAAGAATCCATTAAAAAGGAAAATAAGGGCACCGGGAGGACATAAAGGACTGACCGTGGAGAAGAATGATAAGGCCCCTTCCTTTCCCCCGGACCAGATCTATCTGAACAGTGGAATCATTTCGGGCGGAAGCTTCCCATTTTCTGACCCGAATATCGGAGATGTGGTTGCTGACAAGTGAGAGTAGGAGCTCGCTGAACTTGTGCGGGATCACAAGTTCTTTCCAACCATCGTTCCTTGAAGTTTCTGACTTGTCAATGTCTTCCATTTTATCCACATCCAACCATTCTTTAATGAGGTTAGCGCTTGCTGTTAGGCTCTGAATGAGCAGGGGTGTCTTGACCTACCCCATTTTCGGGAACTGAGAACGAAGGCGGGGACCTGGCCGACTAGCAATTTGAGCCGGTCCTCGTCCTCTGTTATACCTTCTGGCTTGCTGAATCTAGTTAGATGGGTGTGTTTGTGATGGAATATTTCCGTCTGTAGAGAATCCAGATCGCGGTCACTACAGTTCCAAAATCTGCCATCGCTCAGCGTGTCTATTGCCTCTGCGTCTTCACCAGGGAGTCTTGACATCAGGCTAAGCGGTGGAAATGTGCTGAAGTAGTTGGTGTAGAGAGCTTTGTAGTCAATGTACACATCGCCTCGGACAGTCTCAGACGGATTTGACTTGATTCCTTCGCCATCTCTGCCATTGCCGCTGATGGTGCCAGGGGGTTGGGCCAGAAACATTTGCAAAGACGGATGAGGCGGCACAGCTGTTCCGGTGTACTTTTTGTGGCCAAAACATTGGACCAGGTTGGAACCCCGGGCGCCCAAACGTTTGCGTAGTGCATCACCATCACTGTGAAACTGGATGGGATAGAGATCCAAGTCCGTAACCAATCTCCTTCCGCTGAAGTATGGTAGGTCGTAGTTGGCTATCCGGGGTCCAATATTTTCTCCATCCCATCCCATGGAGAAGGCCACAATGCGGAGGTCCATCCAGGTGCCAGCTCTCATTTCCCTACCGCGTAGGTGTGGAGGAGCCCCAGGCAATTCGGAGCGCGTCGACAGAAGCACCCTGCCCCCTGTGACCGAGTAAATTTGGTAAAGTTGACTCTCGCCAGTGTCAGACGCGAGGACCAAGTCGCCCGGTCTATAGAGATGGTATGTTTCCTCGAACAATATCTCTTCTAGATCCCCATCCCGAATATTGAGTTCTAAGCCAAGGTAATTCGCCAGGTCTGTTTGTATGAAGTCATGAAGACATCGAAAGTATTTGACTCTCAAGACCTGCCAGGTGTCGGTGGAGCCGTCTGTGGAAGTTATTGGAGCGTGCTCACGCCTAGACGCATCTTCTTCCAGCTCAATCATCTTTGCTTTGATTGCGTCCCGGTGATGGATCAGGTATTTGAAGGGGGGCACCATCGCCAGCGCGCCGCTCCTTTGGGTATCGGGAACACGAATTATCTTCCGCAGGTCATTGATGAACCCTTTGGAATGGATCAGGATCCTCTGAGGCCCTGAGCTCCATTTGTCCTTGGAATATCCGGCTTTAAAGTCGGCATCGGACATGCTGCCTTCAGCCTTCGTGACCGTTTCTGGAAGATCTGTGTAGAATGCAGTGGCGACGATAGGTTCCGTACCGTAACTATTAAGCAAAGCAACCGGGTCATTCCACTGCGACATGAGCAACCGCTCAATGTGGGGTTCACTTTGATCAACGCTACATCAACAGTCTAGTCAGCAACATTTCATCAAAGAGAAAAGATATTATCACTTCGATAGACATTTCACGTTTTGAATCATAGCTGAGAGCACCATTTGCACCCCGAAATCTGTTCAAATGAAGCACAAGTGCACGTACATGCTTTCTGTTCCGCTATGAGAGGGTTGAGGACCACGCCCCGCCGGAATTGTATGCAACGGTGAGACATTGTGAGCTCTATCGTATTCAAGATTGGAAGATATGTTTTCCACTGCTGTGAGGATCCTGAGAACTGCTTCAGTGGTTGTAGGTTGGTCTTCTGTTGATAGCGCTTGACTATCTGGCATCAGATCCTCAGAACTCTCATGGTCTGAATGAACTCCGTGGTGTGAGGAAAGAGCATCAGGAGACTGTGACTCCAATTGCTCGGGGATTTCAGCCGGATCTTGCATGCTGCCACTGTCCTGCTTTGCCAATGCAGGGGATTTGGGGCTCGAGTGAGTAGTCGATGTCGGGCTTGAATCTCACGAATGGATGACCAAAATGTACTGACTTTCCCTTGAAGATCTGTGTTACGAGGACGATGCCAAAAGTCTGTGCCTCTGCAAGACCAAGCTCACGGATTTATTTATGTCTCTCTTGTCAGATGCCCAAATAATGGGGGATCAGGCTCTGGCAGACTAAACTAGTGCATGTTACCACATCCCGCTGGTTCGGGTACTTTGCTGTTGTGCGAGCGGAAGTACAGCCAAAGCACCGCAAACATCTTCCTTCTTTCGATGGCGCACAGGAAGCAAACAGGCAGGCTGTAGGCCCTGGAACAGCTGGTTTTCGCGCTGTTGTGCGACCTGGCTTCATGGGGTTGCTTCACCGCACCTGATCCTGTCCAACAGGATGGACATGCCGTGAAAAGGAAATGGCGCATGTATTTTAGCTTCTCCTTGTGTGACAACATGCATCTCAAGGAGTCTAGCCAAACGTGCAGCTTTGACCGGTCGAGTGAGGGGGCACTTGCAGGACAGGTTACACTCCTTCTCGGAGCCTCGTCCGGAATGATTGGCACTCAGTGACCCAAAAGTTGACTGATGACAATACATGTGCTGTCGGAAGGGTTGGACTGCAGTAAAGTTACGTTACAGGTGTGGCAAGCATGCAGGGGCCTGAAATTCCGGAAAGAGTCAACATTAATACCCTTGAACCTTTGAGCCAAGGCTCTTCCCATCCAACTCTTAGCGCTTCTGTCTAGAATCAGAGGACACCGATCATCAGCTTTTGATTGTTTCCTCACCCATCCGATACCAATGAGTTCAAAATGTCAAGCCTTATAAGTCAGTCCAAGGATTTGGACCAGGCCCGCGACTTGGAGGTTGTTGAATACATGAGGCAGATGAATGCCAAAGCCCATTCCATCTTCTCATGTAAGCCGCTATATGATGATAGGACGGGACGTTGGCTCAACGCGCCAGAAAAAATGTCATAACATTCTATCCCGGAGCTTTTGGGCCCCATCCACTAATATTTGGTTCAGTGAATTGAACGAAGTCTACTCGGAATGCCGCAACGCACACACGAATCTCATGGCGAGGATCAATAAGCACCTTGAGAAGTCCAAGCTGCCCCCGATGAGCCTGGATGACAACGTCGATTGGGATGGAGTCAAGTCTCAAGTGGGGAAAGCCTGTGGGGTACTTGAAAAGATCCTCCTCAAGAAGAAGAAAAGGCCTGGACTGGTAGGCTCAATTCGACGAGGATTTGATAAGCTTTGTCGAAATGCTGGAACCGGCAAAGCGTTCGTGTCCATCATCCCCCAGGACTTGATGATCGCATCTGCCGTATCTGGAGGGCTCAAAATAATCTTTGTTGCCCTTGAGCAGCATGGAATTTACGAAGAGTCTGTCTTCAATGCATTGGAGGGTTTGCCTGACATATTGAACACCACCGGGAGGTACAGCCAGATCGTTGTGACTGACGAAGAAATCCACCGCTTGACGGCACAGTTCTACACCCGTGTGTGTGAGGTTCTTGACTATATTCTGCGTTGGATGATGGACAGTGTGCTTCGTAAGTGGGCCTCTCCATTTCCGTTCAAAAAGGCAGCGCGGATGCTAAGTGAATGGTGCTGGATTAGTGTCCGGGGCAAAACAGATGTTCAAGGGCAATCGCTATGAGAAAGATCTCAGCGACAAGATGGCAGAGGTGAGACTGGCGGCGCAAACACTAGAGAAGTGGGCGAGCACTCTCTTGTTGCAGAGCCAGGAGAATATGTCCAATATGCAAGCACAGATGTATTTGCAACTTGGCTATCGACTGGAAAGCTTCGAAAACAAAGTCGAGCATAAACTTGACTCTATCTTCAACGAGCTGCCGTCCAAGATCGAGAGAAGCAATACATTTGAGCTGGTTGCACCAATGGTATTTAACAGCTGCAAACTGGTTCTCAATGAGGAGTGGAATCGTAAGTCGGGCCAAAACTCGTCCACCGAAGTCGATTCAACAATATCCGTATTCTAAGACTCCTATAGGTATCAATCGAAGTCAGACTATCTGCAAATCAATCGAGAATAAACCCGTTCCTTCGAAAACGACAGCAGAAGAGGTCCTGGACCAGCTTTTATTCGACCCAGGCTTAGTACCTCGAGACATGGAGGACCTGCTCCGACAAGGGACCGCAACCCTCCATCAAAAGATTCAGCCGGATCGGCTGCAAGCCATTCAAGACAACCCTCGTATCAGGGCATGGCTATCGCTTGACAGTCCGTCGTTGCTTTTGGTGAATGGCAATTCCCCGTCCCACCTTGACCTCTCGACCTCATTCGTCAGTGCCAAGATCATGAACACATTGATGCGGCAGGCTCCAAAGCCACACAAGAATATCGAGATTATATCTCTCGCGTACTTCTGCGTTAAACATCAGAATTATAGCAGGGACGAGGCGGCGCACCCAGCTGAGCTTGCCATGAGCCTTCTCCTACAACTCGTGCACAGTCACAGGGACTTTGAACCGAACCTCCTGCAGAAGTGCCTAGACGAGAGACTTCCATACAACATCAAGCCAATACTCGAATGTTTGGCGGAACTCCTGGATGGTCTCCCCTTAGAGGCCGTGGTGTTCGTCATCATCGACGGCATTGAGCACTTCACCAGGCCTAACAAGAGAAGAAGGGGCCTCCGTGAGGTCTGCTTCCAGCTCATACAGGTGTTCCGGGAGCAGCGAGGGGCAAAAGTGAAGTTGTTGTTCACCAGTGCCCAGAAAGCAGTCATGCTTGAAGAGTTGGGGCTACTCATGGACGATGAGATTGTCAACATTCCTAAGAGTCCACCTCCAAAGGGCCAGCCAAATCAACGGAACATGTCGATAGAGCTTTAGTTAGCAGCGAAGTGTTATTCGATTTGTACCAAATAATCTCATATGTATGAAAGCGACGCAATGTTTAAACCCCAGTGATTCAAATACAATGGCTCACTTCCACTCTACAACGCGGTATAATTGCTCTGAATCATATCAAGAGCATACTGGACAGCGTTCAAAGCAGAGCAGCATTAAGGGTGTTATAGATGCCCACATAGATAGAGGCTGTCAGCTTCATAGTTTGATTGCGGTGCTGCCGTTGTGGATCCATCGATACACTAGCTGGGCAACTCACGTAACAACGCTCAATTATATAACTGACAAGGTGATAGCAAAACGTTGCAATTGGCAGGCTCGCTCTACAAGGGGCTTGCCAAGAACAGCCGGCAAAAGCCATGCCCATTGCTTATCGCTCTCACACACACACTTTCCGCCCATCCTTCTCTCTTTCTCTCTGCCTCGAGTGACAGGATTCCTAGTGCCTTTTTACACCGTCTGATAATAGGATCCTCTCTTGCCCCACTTCCACCCCGGTTTCTGCTCCCAGCCAAGACTACCTGTAAATGGTCTCCATCCTTATCTTAACACCAACCACAGAGTGATCACATCCAGACATCGGAATCTACTACACCGGTCGATTGACAAAGCATGCCGTGGTGAATTGTAGCGCGTGGCCGGTATTTGTGCCTGGCAGCAGCCTTGGCCCTATTTTCTGCGAGTGAAGGAAGCCGCACTGCCGGCACGACCGGATGAACATGGGTATTGCTGACATGTCAGCGATCGACCTGAAATATCTTGTTAAGCCAGGGATGTTGAAGTATAGATAGTATATAGAAGGCCAACCTTGGTCGCCCTCACCGTAGCAACGTTGGTACCTCTGCTCACATCTCGCCGCCGTTCTAAGCATCACCGGCCGTTTCACGTCGCCCAAGTCTCTTCCCGCGAGTAAAGCACAATGTGGTCTATCTTGCTCAGCTTGGCCGTCGTCGGTCATGCCTCCGCGTCCATAGTAGACAAAGGGCGGGTCGTCGACTTGAAAGGAGTGTCATATTATACTGGCGGTATCCCGATTGCACGGCTCGATATCAACGGCACTCGCGAAGCCCTCGCCGACGCTGCGTCTGACGGCCACGACTTGCTTCCCTTGACTGTCGTCGAGACATCATCCGGAAACTTTAGCACCGACGAGCTCGTAAAGACCGCAGCTGAGTACGATGAGCTGGATGATGTCTTCCAGGGGGCATTCCTTCAGACGGTTTACCTTCAGACCACTGGCGACAATGCTGTGCCCTCCATTGACTCTGCGTCTATCGGCTCCAGCTTGGATGATTTGAGCGTCAAGCTTCTTATCACGCCCGGCGAGACCATAGGTGATTCGGAGCCTGTCGTGGCTAGCACGATTACTCCCGCGCTCCCAAAGGGCCCTTATTTCGTCTCAGCTTATACCGGGGACGTGTACAAAGCCTACAGGCTGTACGATGACAACAACCTTGCCTTTGTTCAGGGTGTTGTCAGCGACGAGCAGGGCGCCTACATCTCGCTGCCCGCCATCACGGAGAACGTCATGGCCAAGAGTATTGCCGTGCCATCGAGGCTATACCACAAGGCTACCAAGGAGCAGCCCCTTGCTGGTCTCCGCTTCGGCGTCAAGGACATCTTCCACGTCAAGGGCGTCGGTACCAGCGGCGGCAACCGCGCCTATTTCTATCACTACGGCACCCAGAACAACACTGCACCAGCCGTGCAGCGTCTTATCGACCTTGGCGCAGTCCTTGTCGGGAAGATGGGCACTGTACAGTTTGCCAACGGAGACAAACCCACTGCTGACTGGGTGGACCTGCACGCTCCCTTCAACCCTCGAGGTGATGGCTATCAAGACCCTAGCGGCTCCTCCACTGGCCCTGGCGCCGGTATAGGTGCGTACGAATGGCTGGATCTCTCCATGGGTAGTGATACTGGTGGTTCTATGCGCGGTCCCGCTGGCGCCCAGGGCATCTTCGGCAACAGGCCGTCGACTGGTGCCATTTCTCTGGACCACGTCATTCCTCTCAGCCCTGTATCTGACACCGCCGGTATCTTCGCCCGCAGCGGAAGTCTGTGGGCCGAGGCAACGAAGGCTTTCTACCCAGACATGCAATCCAACTGGACCGCGTTCCCCAGTATTCTCTACAGCGCAGGCGCGTCGGACAGCGATACCAACCCCGACGCCATCCCATTGATAGAAGACTTCGTCCAGAAGCTGGGCGCCTTCCTCGGCACCGAGGCGCTCCCAGGCAACTACTCTCAGCTTTGGGCCGACACCCGCGGCGACGCCCCGCCCGTCGACGAGATGCTGAACCTCACCTACGCGGTCTTCGTGTCACACGACCAGTGGCAGCTGCTCGGCAAGCCCTTCTTCGAGGACTACGCCGCCAAGAACGGCGGCCGCAGGCCCTACGTCAACCCGGGGCCCCTGGTCCGCTGGCAGTGGGGGCAGGTCAACGCGCCCGACGAGGTCTACGCCGAGGCGCTGCGCAACATCTCCACGTTCAAGGAGTGGTATTCCACCGAGGGCTACGGCCGGCGCGACCCGGAGTCGTGCTCCGAGAGCGTCTACACCTACGTGTTCAATGACGGGTATCCGGACTACCGCGATGAGTACCTGACGCCGCAGACCAGTCCGCCCCTCGGAATGGGCGATTCCCGAGTCCCTGTCATTGCTGGTGCTCCTGAGGTGGTCGTTCCCATCGGGGAGGTGGCGTATAACAGCACAAAGTCGCTGCAGACCGAGCATCTCCCCGTCTCGATGGCTCTCAGGATGGCGAGGGGCTGCGACTATGCCCTCGCGAACTTGGTGGGCAAGCTGGAGGAGGCTGCGATTCTCCGGCCGGTTGCTGCTGGCTCGAGACTGTTCCCTTAAAAAAGTAATCATGGCAAAATAATTTAATCATTTGTTTATTCGACGTTCTACATTACTGCACTCAGTCGAGGTGGTATTTGGCACACCGTGAGCCATTGTTGGTCTGGCATGGAGGCATCGGCATTCTACTCCGCCTGTTAATAGCCGTAATTTGATGACATTTCCATCATCCGTGCTTCTTAAGCGGCCTCAAGATGGCCACACGTTTGGAGGCCACAATAAGACAGTATTTGGGCAATTTCTGAGAAATCGAGTGCTATCCTGTGTTCATCTGCGGGTTACTCGGACTCGTCAGAGTCGGGGAGAGGTTCTCTAGCTCAGCTCACAAGTTGCAAGTACGGTCACTGGCAGTATTAAGAAAAGTGCTCTCCGACCTGCCAAGCCGACACGCTGACCATACCGTGCTTTGGTGGGCCGCAGAGGTGGTCACTATGGCCCCCACACGCTTTGAATACATATAATCTGGAGGAACCACATTGGGTGAATTGAGCGCGAACACAAATAATAGAGATTGGGATTCTACGGTTCTAAATCGGGATTGGCATCGTAGAGGATTTCTTTACAAAAGCCAATGTGACGACCATACCGTCCTATCTCGTCCCCATCCCGATGTCCGCGGAGGGTCCAGACGCAAGCACCGTCTCAAGTAATATTCTTGTAAAAAAGCGATTGGATCCCAGCATCTTCCGAGATGCATGACCACCCCCCCCTCCGGGGGGGCTCCTGGTACCTAGGCGGTATCCGGGGATGGTATCTGAACGCTATATGTGGGAAAGCACTCCTGCGCAAAGGCGCCAAGTAGCATGCTCGCACCTTTGAATGAAGAATTGACAAGAAAAGCCTTTATCAGTACAGCCAATTCTCTCCTTCGGGTAACTTCGGTCGAGCAGGCTGGTGAATGGAAGGGGGGCCCTGGTGGATTTGGTGGATAGTTGTCAATCGAATCCCACCTCGAAGGGTCTCGCACACTCAGGAACAGATCTCGCTGGCCAGTCTCTTATCACCACCAGCCTATCAAACCCAATGACGGATGGGGCAATAGTCGAGCTTATCCGATTCGGCCAACTCGGTATCGACATAAAAAGCCTCCCCGTCAAGGCATGCCCTGGCCCTACGGACCGCCTCCCAAGTATTGAAATTCCGATCAATACTACCATTCTCCTCAGCCATCGCCAGCGCGCCCGCAGCAAATTTATCAGCGTCATGAAAAGTCTCTTCGTCCAGTATATTCTTCATTGCCATAATACGGGGACAGCGAACCTGCTCACGGCGCTCGAGCTCCATGATAAACCGAACAGCTGTGTCTAAGCGGACTCGGACCACTTGCTGGTTATCTTCAAGCTGTGATAACTCATCTCGGCTGAGTGGTAGTATAGTACCACCCAGACTAGAAAAGTCAATCGGCTCGCTCAGGTGTTCCTCGTTCCCTGTACGCACTAACAAAACGCTGAATTCTTGAAACATTATATCACGGCTCTCAGCCTCCGACTTATCAATCCAGTAATTTCGTGCGTCGTCGACGACAATTATAATGGATGGATAAACGACTCCCATCTCAGCGCCGTGCTCAACCCAGGAGTAAGGGTCCCTTGAACTGACGGGTTTGTCTTGCATATCCGCTAAGGCGTCACAGATGTGCCTATGTGTGGTGATGATATCTGCAATCAGCCTTCTTTCCGGTCCGCCCAACAGCATTATAGGGTTTGCGAAATAACGCTTCTGTTGCAGATTGGGTTCTTCTTCTCTCTCCCTATTGACTTCCTGCCAGGCTGCGAAGAGGCCACGCCCAATGTATGGGACCCCAATATAGTCAGGTCCACGTTCCTCAAACTCCGGTTCAAAGTAGATGGCGGTCGTCTGATTAAGCCATGCACACCTTGACAGGAGTATATCATCGTCGGGTATTTGGGAAGGATCATCAGTCCACAATCGAAAGTCCTCGAGCCTCTGCGTCGAAAAGGCGACTCGATTGAAGGAGGTTACCTCAGATTCACCCGAGATATATGATCTGACTCGTGCGGGCAGCATGTGTCCATTCTTGATTTGGCTTGCATGAGGAAAGATGACTCCGTCGGTTAAATACGGGACACGAGGTATATAAAACCAACAGGGCAGCCACGCTTCCTTCAGATAGGTCCGGAGCCGGGACTGTAGCAGGGAGCCATAATACACCTTCCTCAGCTCACATCTTGTTTGCTCGGCTAGCTCCGTTGAAATCGGCTCTGGTGTAGCCTCTATGTAGCGCGGGTTCCATCGACTCGAATGATAGTCGGTGTCCAAACGCCATTCCCACGGGGCTTGCGATGGCATAGGTCTTCCGCCACCGGGCATGGTAAGTGATTTCTGAGTGTGCGTTGAAAAGATAAATGGCCTTGTGAAGCGTTCTTTATAGATCTTTTCCCAGTGAATGATTTCCCGCTGGGAAACAGCCGGCTTTGTATTTTTCGATCGAGGCGTCTCGGATTCTTGGGTAGTACTCTGGTGAGTATAGTGGACCGTGGATTCAAATGCCCCCATACTTGCTGAGATTTTGTTTTAGAAACCCTTTGAGGAAGAAGATTTGTTTGTTGATTGTCGAATTTTGAGGAGTAGAAAAGAAGGATGTGTTTGGGCCTCAGACACTGAGCGGGGTTTATTGGTGGGCCCAATAACATTAATACCAAAATGTTTTGAGGCAATTTGCCGAAGCTAGTCATACTCGTCGCCTCGATCTTCCTTAGCGTACAGCCGGTCCCAGGGAATGACCATCAACCCTTCACTAAGGATGCGTCGCCAGGCCATTTCACCTAACTCATAACTGATAGGGCATGTCCAGGTGAACGTCGTCTTCCATAGGTGCTAGACGCCATTAATTCACCAAAACAAGTAGATATGGTTGCGTAAAACGTGATCCTAAAAGCAGTATGGCCATGGCTACTACGCGCGATAACTTGAGATGTTTGTTGCTTAATACGAAAAGTGTACGACTCGATGGCCTTCATTTCAACAAGTCTCGTGCCTGCTAATCTAGCTCCAGCCTATGAGTTTCCGCTCCAAACTAACGGCGAAGTCATGGACTGAGGCGGAGGTACCTAGCATAGTTACTTGCGAGTTGGGTTCAGTCACAGGACACACCAGAAGGGCCATTTCTATCTCTTCGTGTGGGAACCTCTCGCGCTGCGACACGCGCTAAACGGCATCTCCGTGACTCCGAATGCGAATGACCCTGCCCTCCCGCTGAAGGCAAAAAGCATCATAGAAACTCAGGGAAAAGGCAGAACACCAGGCAGACCCTGCTATTCAGGACACAGGCCACAGATCTTCTCTAGAGAAGGCACCTCCGAAAAGAGGCTATTTGTAGCCTAGCATTCATTTTCTCTCTACGAATAATTTTAACCTTTAAAAGCATTCTCAAATTACTAGGAAAACATACCACTAGTAAGTTATATCAAATCAAAGGTTGAATACTAAAAGTATTGAGAATGACTATTTTAGGCTAGAAGAGACGGCTTTAAAGTAGTAAGTGGTGGTTTCGTTCTTAAGCCGTATACGTGCTCTTTTGAAGCAGTAGGCGGTCCCTTCATACAGCAGTAAACGCTCAAAGACCCAGCATTAGATAGGTATACAATGCCAATAACAATAAATCTGTGAATTCGATCGTGAACCTTGGGGAAAACATAGACAGCCTCGACTGTATCTCCTCAATCGGTTCAACGTCTTCACTATCGAACGCACCATTGATGGCGGGCACGACTTGGTCCACATGCTAGCCGATGGAGCAGAAGTGCTGACATGCGAAGGCCTTAGAGGAAGGGAACACGTTTGATGGAGAAGGAACAGAGATATTTCACAAGACCCACATATTCCCACACACATATATATATGCGTGTAATGGCAATGATCAAAACCAGAGCCAGGGTGTTTAGAGAATCCATTGCCATTGAGTCCCAAAGCAATATGACGGGCCAAAAGACAGTTTCTTTACAGGACAAGGTAATCCCCCCATTCAATGTTTGCACGAGCACAGAGCAGTCTTGCTCCGGAGAGGCTTGTCAACCGTAGGTTCACTACCCCCGGTAAACAATCGCAGTCACGCCGCAATAACTAGCTATCCGCTTTCGCAATCGCATGCTACAATCGATATCACAGATGAAAGAGTAGCGGATTTATAGAACGGGGCCAGCTCTGGAGTAGGATGTCACCCGGAATGTCGCAGACCCATGTTCGTGGCAGTATTCATCACGAAAGACGAGGACTCGGAGATGTCACAATTCCTCAATATATTTACCTTAGTCTACCAAACGGCCCAAGGCCAACCAACGATTTTTCATTTGCCAAAAAGAAGACAACCTCAAAAAGGTATCTGAATCTGAAGCCCCGGATAGTGGATAATACAAAAGACATTACTCATTGAGCCTCCGTAAAAGAAAAACCAGCGACAGGTCCCGCCGCACCCCGCCCAGACGCCAGCCCAGAGACGAAGAACAACGCAGAGAAGACAAGACGCTTTGTGTGTTGTGTAGTAGTAAAGCAGTGGCCGAGGTCGTCAAAGTGTATAGTCTGTCCTGAACGCCATACTTGCGCGCGCACGATAAATTGATTTGGGGGGAGGCAGAGTATGTATGTTGTGAGTAAAAGTCTGGCAAAGATAGGGGGTTGGCTGTTCGTCTCGTCGATCGCCGTCCGCCGCCGCCCTGGGTATACGGTCTCTGTGCACCGGTAGGACAACATCACCACCGGAACACGAGGCCATTGGGCGACCCAGTGAAACCCGTCTTCGGTTTCTCAACGTGCTTTGTATCATCCCAACTTGACCCGTGGATCTTGTAACATTCCTCATCCGGCTTGCACGCGGCCCTCTTGGAAGAAGCTTCTAGGTCGGCGTACCTCCCCAGATTCTAGGTTCGCCAGGCTTCGAGATTGTTTCGATGGTACTGCCGATGGCTTTGACTACTGTTGCATTTTGACGTAGTTGCTGGGGAACGTGCCGTGTTTCGTGCCGATCATGCCGGTCCTACACAAAAGTCAGTCAAAGTCACAACACCGCCTTACCGAGGATCCAAGGGTCAAGCAACATACCACCAGTCGTTATCGCTATCCGTCTTCTTCAGAACCGTTATGACATCCCCCTTCTTGAAGCCCAGATCGCCGGGCTGCTCCGCCTCAAACGTGTACAGCGCGACCGCCTCGTTCTTCTTCATCAGCGCCTGCTTGCTCGTGAAGTTGGGCTTGGGCGCAGCCGGCCGGCCCGGCCCGACCTTCCTATCCTCGGGAAACCCGGACTGCTGGCCCGTATACTCGCGCGGCACGGTGACGTCCTGGAAGGTGCTGGCACGCGAGCCGGCGCCGAACTGCCGGGGGTTGTCGTAGACGTCGTCCTGCCACGTCGAGGCGCGCTTGGGAGCGCCAAAGGAGTCCCTGCTGTTTGAGGCCGCCGCGGCGCCGCCATACATACTATGCCTCGCGCTGCTGTTGTTCACCTGGCCCTCGCCGTAGGCGCTGCCGCGCTGGCCGTTCCACACGACATCGTCGTGGCGGTCGTCGTAGACGGGGACGTCGTTGTACATGCTGTCGTCGGCGAAGTTGCCTGACCGCGTGCCTGCGAAGGCGCGCGAGTTCAGTATATTGAACAGCGGCGCTGCCTGCGGTGGCGGCCTCTCGGCGCCGTTCAACAAGTCCTTGGCGCTGACGGGTCGGCCGTAGAGCTTGGTGTTCGCATCCTTGCGTTCTATTATCGCGCTTCCCTCCAGACTGACACCGGCGAACAGGCCCTTTGTCTTGCTGTAGCTGAATATTCCCGCCACGCTCCTGAGACTCGCGGCACCGGCTGCCTCGGCATTGCGGCCGACCGGGCCCGCTGCGATGGACACGTTACCGCCGAGGGTGAGGGAGCCGGCCTGGGCGAAGGTCTTTACGGCTGAGGCGTCGTTGAGGATGAAGACGAAGTCGGTGAGCTCGAAGCCGATCTGGCCACCAAAGCCGGCGCCGCCAGTCGCGATCGCCGTGGGTGCGGACCAGGAGCCGTCGGGCAGGCGGGCGACGACGAGGCCGGAGCCAAACCGGGCGGAGCCGAGGAAGCCGGCTTTTATGACTGTGAGAATTGCGAGGCCCTGTAGGAGGAGCGAGCACTTGTTAGTGGTGTCATGATGGTTTCGTGGACTAGCAACCAATAAGTTCGGGGTGGCTTGCCTTTGCTGAGGCCAGGACGGCTGGTGGAATGACCTTGTCGGGGCCGAACGCTTGGCGCGGATCGATGAAGGACGCCAGAATCTTTCCACACTTCTTGCACTCCGCTGTTTCAAGAAATGTTTAGTCAGTCAATTCGTTACGCTGCTTGATTGTTTTGTTTCTCGTAGCGCAGCAGCCCGTGGTTCCGAGACCCGGATGGCCGGCACTGGGGGAGGACCACGGGCTTGGGAGAGCGACAAGAGCGGGGGTTGTCGGGTAGGGTGGACTTACACGCCATAGACGACGGGAGTGGGTTGTTGATACCCATCTTTGCGACGCTGGTATCAGGACAGGACGGGAGGAGGAGCGTAGGGTAAGGATAGAGGAGGAAGGAGTGGAAGTTGTAGGTAGAAGGACAGAAGTATGGATCGCAGTAGACGATACGGCCGCTATGTATGTCCGGGACTGTGTGAATGGATATGGTGGTAGGGATGGGATGGCATGGGAATGGCGGAGCGCAGCGCAGAGCAGGGATGTTTTGGAGAAGGTCAAGCCAGGTTGGGCAGTCACTCAAGCTTGGCTCTGCCGCTCTCCAAGGCTTCCCGAGAGGCGCAGCTGCAGCTGACGATGATGGCTGCAGACTGTGTGGGGTACGTACCCAGCCTGCCAATGTGGTGGTGGATGGAGTTCTCCTTCGAACCTCGATCAACACAGCATCCTGCGACAGTCGCACGTACAGGATTTAGACTCAATTAAGTTTTCGGTACATGATACCGAAGTGCAACAGCACCGACATCATCCAGCCGGTACTGAGGTGAGACGGGTCACAAGCACATCTACTGTACTAGTGTTGGTCTACAGCGGAAGATGTAGTCCAGACAATACGAATACCGAAACCTCCCCAACGGCCTCCCATCGCCACAGAACGCGCAATCACCCATCTCATTTGAGGCCTGTCTCAGCTGGCTGTGCAGTATTACCTAGGCATGGAAAGGCCAGGCCGGCCGAATACGTAGGCAGCCTGCCTCTACTGCCAGGCACACTTCCTCTACACAGTAGTACATCGCAGCCCTGACGCCCGGTCTCCGGCCTGCCAAGCTCACTGTCGTCACTGGGGGCGGGCCACTACGGAGCATTTTTCCTCTCTTAGGATCGCCGTTTAGCGGCGAGCTGCCAGGCTCGCTCCACGTGCCCGTCAGCTTCCGTTTCGCAATTGGCCCGTGCAGCGTATCGTAGCACTGCACCGTATCAGCAGGCCCCAGCCGCAATCCAGGTTTCAACTTCAGCATCAATCACAACCACCCAAGCCTCCTTTCTTTGACTGCGACCATTCGAAATCCGTCCCAGAAAAGACACGAGCGACATCGCGATACCTATAGGAATCCATTGAACTCGACTGCCTCGGCGCTCTGTAACCCACGATCCACCTGATTCCAAGTCGAGACCGAGTCGAGGGGAAAACGCCCCCAATTATCACCACCGACAGACAGACAGACAGACAGACAGACAGACAGACAGACAGACAGACAGACAGACAGCCAGCGAAACAGCCCGCCCATCATGTCCGAAGCCTACGAGCGCGAGCGCCAGAACAACTCCCGGCTGGACGAGCTGTCAGCAAAGGTCAGCGCCCTGCGCGGCGTGACCATCGACATCTACGATAACGCGCGGGCCCAGGATGTCATCGACAACACCGTACGACCATCTCCTCTCCTCTGTCCTCGTTCTGCAAATAGAAGAATCCAATAAAGTTGCTAACGATAGCCTCTCATGATCTTCAGTCCGACACCTTCTCCACCATGCGCACCCAGCTCACCGGCTCCGCAGGCCGCCTGGGCCGCATGGCCGCCGCGGGGAACAAGGTCGCCATCCTAAAGCTGTCCGCTATCCTCATCGGGACCGTGCTGGTGCTGTACTACGGGTGGAAGCTGTTCCTCTAGGTTTCTATGCCATCACGAACAATGTTGAGGGGGTGCTGCAGGACAGGACTGAGAGATGACACAAAGAAAGAAACACGAGGCGTTTGCCAACGCCGCTCCCGGAAGGGAACGTGGCGGGCGGTGTCGCGCCGAGAAGCAACAGGTCGGGAGTGGGAATGGGTGGACGGCTCACCGAACGGCCCAAGGAAAGGGACAGTGACGAGCATCGGAGAACAGCAGCACATGAGACACGGCGATCAGACAAGGGCGGTGACATGGCTAGAACGAGTCGGGTCCGTATATGAGATGGCAAGACAAGGAGGTGCAACCATCGCGCGCGATGGTGGGAAATACGTGGGGCCGGGAGGATGACGAAACAGCGCCGGGTCAGTTGGCAGACATATAAACATGTACAATGAAATGGGTTTGGGATTGGGGAAGGGCGGGCATAGCAACAGGCGTTACAAGGTCACTTTAGTCGCCCCGGGGTAGGGCTCTGTATATTCGGTAGCGGGAAGGCAAGGGAGGACGAAGGTTCCGGGAGGTCCTTAATAATCATCTGTCCATTTATTTATTTCGTATCGGCTATTCTCGTCACTCCCCATCATGTACACCACGCACCTACGCCACGCCCACAACACCATGCCACTGACTCTCGTACCGAACTGCTCATTGTGTTATGCGTATGACCCATCTCTATATAGCACAAGGCCAGTCCAACCCGCCCATTCAACCACTGCTGCCGTGACAGCACCTCTCCTCCACACACACACTTACTGCCACACGTTCGAAAACAGATCCTCGCTCCCCTTGGCCGCCCCAGCAGTCGCCGGCGGCGCAGTGCTGCTCGTCCACCCGCCAAACTCCTCGTCCGCCGCCACCTTGGGCTGCGTGACCAGCCCGCCAGAGGCGCCCGGCACGATCGCCGTGTTGGCGAACGAGCCCATGGTGCTGCCGCCGCCGCCGCCACCGCTGTTGCTCCCCCACGCCCCGAAGTCGTTGGACGGCTGCGGGCTCGTCACCGGCTTGCTGGCGGCGGGCGCAGGCGCCGGGTCGGCCCACGCGTTGCCGCCCCAAACGTCTGCCCCCGAAAAACCGCCGCCGCCGCCGCCGATCGTCGCAAGTGGGCTGGTCGTTGTCGCTGGCGCCGGGGGAGACTTGGGCTGTGTGAGGTTGAAGACGGAGTTGGACGAGCTGGACACCGCGGGTGCGGCAGGGGCTGGCGCCGCCGTCGGGGCGGGAGCCGAGAAGTCGAATAGGTCGTTCATCGCGGAGGATGCTGGGGCTGCTGGCTTGGGCTGGGCCGCCGGGGAGGAGAAGTCGCCAAAGCCACCGAAGCCGCCAAAACCGCTGTTGGAAGGCGCCGGCTTGCTGGCTGGGGCAGCTGCTGGTGCGGCCGGCTTGGAGTCGAAGAAGCCTCCGCCGCTGAGACCGGAGAACGCAGACGACGACTGCTGTGACTGATGCTGGGGCTGAGGAGTCGATCTGTTACTTGACACGGGGTTTAAGTTGGAGAAGGCAGAGTTTTGGGGGCTCTTGGGGCTGGAGATGTTGGAGAAGCTCAAGTTGCTGAAGGCGTCGTTCAGTCCTCCTCCAGATGGCTGGCTAACGTGCTGGCTCATCTGCGGTGGTGCGGTAGGAGACGCCAAGCTGCCAAATGAGCCAGAGTGAGAATGGCCATGAGATGCCTGCTGCGGCCTGGGAGCCGTGGCGTAGAGGGAGAGGATGGACTGCTTCAGGTCGGGCCGCGACTGGCCACTCACTCCACCAGAGCCAGTGGTGCTGGCAGGTCGAGGGGGCGGTGATGGTTCTGAGCCCAGGAAATCCAGCCCGAGCAGCGAGTTGTTGGCGCTCGTTGACTTCGGTGGCGCAGGCTCAGCTTTGGGCGGCACCTTGGAGGCCACGGGCCCGGCAGTGCTGGCACGAGGGATGGGATCGTCACCGCCGATTAGGTCGACTTGTGGAGCTGGTCGGGCAGAGGCCGATGGTTGGCCGGGGTGTGTCTTCAGGGACTGCTTCCTCTCGATGGTCTGCTTCTCCTTGACGATGCTGAGTGGTACGTCGTCGTCGGCATCTGTGCCCAGTGTAGATGGATCAGGCATTGGCCCGTCCATAACCCATCTCTTGAGCTCATATTTGGTCCGTATAAAGTTCTCGATCTTGGCCTCGGACGGCACGTGGCCTGGTGCCAGCTTCGCCTCCCAGTACTTGTTCGCTCGTGCATTGCCCCAGTTCAGTACGCTCTGGAGTTGCTCGTCGGTCCAGGAATCGAGGTCGACAGACTTGACTTTGCTGATGTGGACTCCCATACTACGGTGAATGCCAGAGCAGCGGATGCAGATGAAGACGCCTAGGTTCCAACTTGCCCATCGCGGATCTGTACATAGGCGGTGTCAGCTATATAGATCTTTCCAGCGTCATGTTGCTTGAGCTTGTTGGGCGACATACGCTTGTTCCTTTTGCAATCAGAGCACATCTTGTTGGGCTCCAACTTCAACAGCGACTTGATGGTCGCCTGGTTCTTTGCTGCCCGCTCGGCGGCGGGGTTCGGCGGTCGCCTCGACATGGTTTTTCTGCTTGCACTAATGGACTCGACAGATTTCAACGGTGCCAGAGGTATCGAATTGTGAGGGAGGAGCCGGGAGGCCGGCTGGGAGGGAGTTGGTCGAGGCTGGCTATTGAGGTCGACTTTGGGAGTGAGGTTGGAATAAAGGGAGCCTTGGAGGCGCTGATGTGTGTGTCTGTCTGTACAGATTACAGATACCAGGGGGGCAGGCAGTAGAGACCCGGCTGGAGTAAGAGCTTGCAGGGTTCTTGGGTAACCGACCGAGTCCCGCTTTGGGCGCCAATTGAGCTGATTGACAGTGATGGGCCCCAGGTGCCCAGGTACCCAGGTGCCCCGTGTGTAACGGAAGAACCGCGGTCGCTCACCTACGTTTCAGCGGACCGTTCCAGATCTGTGACGTCGCTCCAACGTTGGGGTCCAGTGGAGGGGCGACTTTCGGACTGCCGCTGTCGTCGTCGATATCGCACGTTTGCCTAGAGATCAGCCGCATCATCACCTAAGCCTCAGGTATTTGTAAGTCAAGCGGCCAATCCTCGCACCGCATTCTCTGCTCTCAAGTGTCACAAGTGTACATTTCTTGACTCCATCCACAAAGATCTCACTACCAACAAACTTAAGAATCCCAACCTGCCTTGTAGTTCTTCTCCATGCGCCTCCACTTCTCCAGTGTACTCCGGACTCTGTACACCCTCTCAAATCTCACTCGATCTCGGGCTTCAAATCCAACGCTACTTCTGAACTCAGCGCCTCATCGGGCCACCTCGCTCAGATCAATGCCCATCCCTCTAATCGGCGGTCTCTTCAGCTCCAAGGCCAGCGACTCCAGCAAGATGTCCTATCCCGTCCAGAAGACCGACGACGAGTGGCGCGCCGTGCTGAACAAAGGTATTCAACCCCCAGGCCTGCATGATTCCCATCTCCCTTGATCTCACACCCGCGCCAGAGCAATTCCGGATCCTCCGCCAGAAGGGCACCGAGACCCCCGGGTCCGGCAAGTTCGACAAGCACGCCCCCTCGGCGGGCGTGTACACGTGCGCGGGCTGCGACGCGCCCCTGTACAAGGCGTCGCACAAGTTCAACAGCGGCTGCGGATGGCCCGCCTACTTCGACAGCGTCCCGGGGGCCGTCAAGCGCTTCGAGGACAACAGCGGGTTCATGAAGCGCATCGAGATCGTCTGCTCCAACTGCGGCGGCCACCTCGGCCACGTCTTCCAGGGCGAGGGCTTCCCCACCCCGACCGACGAGCGCCACTGCGTCAACAGCGTCAGCCTGAACTTTAGCCCGGACGACGCCCCTGTGCAGAAGGCTGCTGGCGGTGAGGGCAAGGAGTAGGATGTGGTTGGTTGTGTCTGCGTTGCTTGTATGCCATGTGGGTGTAGTAGTAGTATGGGCAGAAGCGTTATAATTGAATTCAACCGAGGTTCTCTTCCACTTCCATGGACGAAACCACACATTATTATGCAATTACATAATGTTGTGGATCTCCTGTACACAGAAGCTCACATACCATACACAAACACCGTTTCGTGTAAGCCTACATGATTTTGTTCTATCCGCCTCAACACAGTCAAGGACGCAAAGAAGATTACACTCGATGATGTCGACACTTATGTCTGTCGATTGGTGGCAGACTTGAGAGATGCTGTACTACGCGAGCTGGTAAGCCCTTAACCTGAAATTCATATTTCATGAGATTTGTATCCCCATGCCCGAATATTTTGGAAGTCTGTTGAATCAGAGAAAATGCGGCAAAGGTGAATGCAAACAGTAAAGCCATTTTGATTTGCTCGGAATGGTACTGTTCATGCTTTATATACATGTGCCTGTCGAGCTATATACAGTTCTGCTCAGGTCTTGTCTAAGCAAGTCGTGCCTCATAACAGCGTCGTCCTAGAAGACTTGTCGCGTATATAAGGACCCGGGTGTACTGTGCATTAGTGGCGTCACTTTTGTCCTTATAGTATAGCGGCCTAAAACGTGACAAGACTTCATCCATTTCTCAACCTCAGCAGGTGAACGTGGCCGGGCCAGGGTTGACGTAGGACGTCGGGACAGGGTAGTTGATGTTGATCAGGATGCCGGGGTCCTTGGAGCTGTACGCGCCCGGGAACGCCGCCAGGTTCGACGGCTGGGTGCTTCCTCCGCCGGTGACGGCCAGCTGTCCGCAAGAGAGGTAGAACTGTGCCGCGCCCTCGCTCTGGGCCACGTGCAGTGCGATGTGCTCGTTGCGCATCAGGTAGTTGCCAGCCGGGATGCACTTCGGGATGGTGACGGGGATGGTGGACTTGCCTGTTGCGGAGGTTAGCACCATACCGTCGTCTAAGGGGTCCCATAAATTTGCTGGTCACTCACCATTCGAGGGCCACGTCAGCTGGCTGCCGAACGTGGGCTGCTCTGCGTAGATCCTGAACCACACGGCGGTGGTCGGGTCCCAAGTGTTGATGTCTTGACCGGTGGGGACTTTGGCCAGGTAGGACTGGAAGGGGCCCGGGTGGTAGATGTTCGGGGCGATGCTGACGCTCACTGAGCCTCCGGCAGCAACACTAACGGTTGAGTTCCCGGCCTGCAGGATTTGGCGATTAGCCATCTTCCAAGGCATATTCGAGATTTGAATGGGATTTGTCTTTCCTCTCCAGGAAGGAGTAGCATAGATAGGGCTAGAAGGGAAGCGCGGTTGGGGCAAGCGAGATCGTCACCTGTTTGCAACATTTTACATACATAGAGCTGGTTGCAGCGGATGTCACTGCTCTGGACATTGCCCACAAAACCATTATCCTGCCAGTTCTTGGCCTGTCGAACGGCAGTCCACGCAGCAGTGTTTTGGATTGAAGGAATGGTATCTGATTATTCGAAAGTCCTGTTAGCCAGAGGGTTCAAACCTGTCAGAAGACAATAATTGTTGGAATATACTAACAGTGTGCGGTCACAGCGGACGCCGCCACAAGGATGGTGGTGAAGATCTGCATCTCGAGTGGGACACGAACGTAGCCCTTGCTGTATTTCAACACGATGGAAACGAAAATAACTTGAGGCTCTTCGGGTCAATCAAAGCCACGCGGGAGTTACTGCACTGGATCGTTGGGGGGATTCTTGGCAGAAGTAGATCCGGGTGTTTTCCCTTTATATAAGTGAAGTCTCGATTGCTGCTGAATGACCCATCGTGCTCATGGGCATCACTTGACGCGCACTCTCCTCGGGAGAATGGGCCGAGCGGTCCTATAAGACACCCATACCAAGCAGGGACGTCGAGACTTGAGCAGATCATTGGGTGGGTAAAAAGCTTTGCGTGCTTCAGAATAGATAGAATCAATTTATTTTCGATAAGAGCCGGATGTGATTGGCACTATGCGTGTGTCTTGTGCCTATCCCGGGCCCACGCTTTGCCAACAGGGATGTAATTCAGAGAATGCCATTAAAGATCTCATATTTGTGGAATGAATCCGACTGGTGACCTCGCGTCGCATGTCACAGAAAGGCCTTTCCGCACTCATCACCATTGGGCTTGGACGACCATCTTCAAGTTGCTTGTTCGGCATTTGCGTCGACGTGGCATGCGACGAGCATGCTCTAGTAACTTACAAATTGGGAAGAAAAGCGTCAGAGAATGTTCAACTCCTTCGTTCTGGTATACCAAAAAAGGGTTGTCAAGCTGATCATGAACCCTTACAGATCTGCGGAAGGTAGGCATCCGTTGCCATGGATGCCGTGGGCACTAACGGAGCTGGCCAAACAAATTCACCAGCAGGGAGTCTTGGCCAACTGCCGGGGTTCTCGGATCCTCGGATCAAGCAGAGCAGACGAATGCTTGCAATCGCAGGATCCTGGTGCATCGGGGTGTCGGGAGTTCCACCAAAGACAAGGCTGTTCTAGCCTTCAACGACTTGCTGGCACCTGCAGAGAGTGAAATGGCGCACAGCCATGACAGCCTTCCACACAACTATGATGTTTTAATGATTTCTCATATCACAGGATGTAGTCTACATACAGTTTAGCCTGCACACTTGTTTCCTGAATACAATTTTGCTTTCTTCTGATAGACCACTAGATATGTTACTCATCAACATTTGAAATCCACAAACGTGCAACTCGATCACCCTCTTCGATGACCTTGAACTTGGCCCATCGGGCCGGTGGCCACGTCGATGAGTGACACACGTTGAACTGTGACAAGAATAGAGCGCCCCAACCACTCATTGTTTCTCGGGAACTCCGTGACTATGCTGTATGGGCTTATCTTGGTGCACGCACAAGTAGAAGGTGGCTTACTCTAGAGCAATGCAAAGTAAGCTGATTGATTGAAGGAGCCTTGATGGTGGGAACCAACTCAACACTAGTGATTAACAGTTGGCTGAACACGAGGATCGATTCCTGCAGACTACTCTGGATTGGCCTGATTTCTACCAACAGGACCAAGTCTTCTTAGGAATAAAAGTGCGCCTGCTGAGGACAAAGACTTATCTGTCAACGTGTATGTGCGGAAATACAAAGCCCTCTAGCGACAGAAATGGTATACAATTGCCTTTGTGAAGAGGGACTATGCCATTGTCAATAGTGCCTTTGATCCCAGCGACCAGTAACCACATAAACAGAACCAGATGTGACTTGATCCCTCCGACATGCACATTCGAGTATCGATACAACTCACGGGAAAACCACCGAATAGCACTCACCTCAACTCAGAAGGGGAATCTGGAAAGATTTAAGACTTCCAGAGCTGGATCTCGTGAGTATTCCCTGGCATTTTAATAGTGAAATTACGCTTCTGGCTTCGAGATACGATATGTTGTTTAACTCATTCGAAATTGCAGTCGGATCAGCCCCTAGGTTGTACCCAGGTGGCAAGTTCGGCCTCCGGGGCATAACAACAGCGCCATCACCGGGTAATTCAGAGATCGAAACGGTGGTTGCGCAAGACGGTTTTAGCATGTTGAAGTCGGATTCGATGTATCGCAGCAACGAGTTCCACGCCGATCGGCGCGAGCCTCGATTCCTTGGCCTCCACAACCTGGCAGACTCTGTCCTCGAGCGCACGCTCAACCCACCCCGACCAAAAGGCCGGGAAGCCATACGCCGAGCATTGATCTGGGACCAGGTCGCGGAAGCCTTTCGCAATGCGATCGCTGGCATCCCTTCAAAGTCATACGTGGTCGTCTGCTCCAACAGCGGGCCCTACAACCCGGACTTTGAGGACAGGCATCCCGCCGACTTCATCCCAGAGGCTACTTGCGGGATACTCTTGGTCGCAGGTTTCCGAGGGAGAGGGACTAACATAAGCAAAGGCTGGATCCAGGTCGCAGTCCCGTGCGAGGCCACCGACGGTCGGCTCTTCGCGAGCCTCAGGCTGATGCCCTGCGTTGCTGGTCGACCTGACCTGGAGTTCATGATTACCAACTTGACCAACCGCAGCGTTGCCCCCGACATGATCAACCTCCCCAGAAAGCATCGCCTGCCATACGGAGCTGTCATCAACAGCTGGCGACCCACAAATCTGGGAAACCAGTACTTTTCCATGGGAGGCATTTGGGAGGCAGAGTACAGGAAATTTCGGAATTCCTTCGCCTGGGACGGCGATCTCTACGGCCACGATGAGGCGGTGTTATATACGCGTTCACCCATAATCATCATCTCGGACCTCAAGCCGGACCGCCGCTTCACGTACTTTCAACTGGAAACCGTTCTCCGGGGAGTCACTTGGCTGAGTTTAAAGGACTCGACGCTTCAAGGCAGCTTCATAAGCGAGATGCGAAGGGAGGACGCCATCCGATTTGATCGGGAGGGGCTTCCTGTTGAACTGGTCTACAGGTTATCATCAAACCCGGGTAAAATGGAGACTGCACGACGCCTTTGTCAAACGGCGTGAGGAACCTTAATAATTAGTCATTAATAATAGGTGCGTGAGGAGTCCGCCTTCCTTTTGTTGATTAAAGGGCATAGATAGGTGCAATTCAATGATTCATACTTCATCATGTTCTATGATTTTCCTCTCGCCTGCGACTTTGCCATTGTGTGACACATGTTTTATGGACGAGAGGAGTCAACACGAATATTGCAATCACGAATGTATCAAGAAATAAATGATGTCATTCCTGGATAATAAAAAGGTGTGCCTATGGATACTTCGGCCCTGGGCGTAAGGTTGATGCGTAAAAAGGTTGTCAGTCTGTTCGGGACCCATCTGCAAATCGAGAGCCTGATATCTTTACAATAAATTCGGAAACGTTGTGCCATCCTTGGCCTTTACCTAAACATCTCAGCAAACACTCACCTGACAATGCGTATGTTAGAAAGGTCCTCAGCACCAATATGGGACACTTTGGTCTGCGTTTCTGTGGATGCTCGTTCCCGATGCAGTAATTGAATGCCATCGGGGCTACCAAGGCGTTGAATCTGTCGGTAGCTTTGTGTTCTCAATGTCCATCAGGGCCTTTGTTAGCTCTTTGTGACACTGCGGGATGGGATCCCGTAACGTTGGCGTCCGCCAAACCATCCACAGGTCTTTGTCGACTTGCTCGCAAATATTGTTATTATGTAATTGGAGTTCGAATTTTTTTTTCACTTGGTCCTAGAAAAATTAGATAAAGACAACTAGAGAGCGAAAGCACTCATGATAGATTAGAATTATCAGTTAAGAAGGAAAACAGGGATAACGAGAAAAGCAGTACATAGAATTTTCATTAGTTGGTGGAAGATCTAATGCCTTCCAGGTCACTGGAATATCCCATCTAGAATGATCGATAAATGTCTTGCCTGCAACTTACTCAGGTCCCATTGGAAGACAAAAGGAAAGCAAGGAAAAGTTTCATCAAACTTGTCTTGTTGAGTCCAACTTCCATGCGGGTGACGGGCGAAGGTCTGGGTTTGGCCTCTATGGGAGGAAGTTTTCCTATTACACCGCAGTCCCAATCCTGTCCCGAGACGTGCCTTCATACTCACCATCACCCGCCATGGACAGAGCTCCGGCCTCGTCAACACACCGCCTGGCCAATTCCTGCTCGTCGCCGGCTCCCCGAAAAACGCCAGTTTGGGCAAGGCGCGTGGCGTCCGAGTCGTCGACATGGAATGTGGCGTCCGAGTTGTTGACGTGGAAACTCTCGCCGTCCACCTTAACCTTCCGGAACCGTTCGGGGTCCGGCAAGCTTGACCGGGTCGAGTTTGTCGCATCGATGGCGAATTGCTCCGGGCTTGGCATCTCGCGGACCCCCGCGAGATTTTGCATCTCGACCCCGTCGTTTTCAGAAGGAGCAGAAGGGAAAGGATTGGGAGGAGGAGCTCGGCTTGTCTCATAGTCGTCGTCTCTTTCCCTCGGCAGGTTGAAGATTAGCGGACTACAAACGAAGAGTAGGAATACTATACCCAAAAGTGCGCCAAGGATGTAGCTTAGACGCTCAGCGTCTTCATACCGCTCCTGGACAGTGTCCAACGCCGAGGCGCAAGTCGCAGTAGTATTGCAGACAATGGTGGTGTTGAATATCGGAGCCATAGTTGCGACGGGTCCTAGATGTTCGGTGAATGATATATATACAGAGGGATAGGGAAAGCCTTCTGACTGGAAATCAAAGTGGTCCCGTGGGAGTGTTTGCTAACCAGATTTCCAGATCCAGCGTGGAGAGCAACGTTTTGTCTGGTAGCTCTGGTGGAGAATTGATCTTAAGTATTTTCCCAGTGGGGCTTGCTTGAACCAGACAAGCATAAAGACACGGATGGCGTACAATGACGATTTCCAGCCGAGTGAGCACGGCCTTGTCTTGAAGACGGCTCGTCACAATGTTTAATAAAGCATGAACTTTTCGACGACAATTTTATTGTTCGAAGCCAAAGCGACATAATCTCACAACAGATGGACTCTGACTTGTCAAGTCATGGCGGTGGGAACATTGTCGGGTGAGGTCGCCCTCATCATGCGTGTGAGCGATGTCGCCTTGCGAATGCGTGGTTGTGTTTCGAACGAGGCAATTGCGGGAAACAACGACGGGCTGGCCCGTGCCTATTGTCCTTAGCTACTCCATGTATCATATCGAGAAGCCACGCCTTTCCGGGTCACCTCAAGACTCGACTTCCCAGCCCTGGCCGTCTAGGCTCACATCACCAAGACCCGTGTCAGCTCCGGAAGGCAACTCGTCCACTTCTGGCCCGACTTCCTCATCCATATCCTCTGAAGCGACTGCACAGCGGCTGGGATATTGCGGAAGCGGGTCCGCTGGTATGTCTCGTTCATGCGGGCGACGAAGAATTCCCTCTGCTGCTGGTCGTTGGTCTCAGCCCCGGCGATGAAACAAACCCAGACGAGCGCGTGAGCTCCCCTCGCGTCACTGTCAATTTGCAAGAGAAGCTGTATGAGGCGCTCGATGGCCATCTCCTGCTCGTGATCGGTTGTTGCCCGCCCTAGGTAGATGTTGCAGGCCTCCGCGAAGCATTGCCTGATCGGTACCACGTTGCGTCTGTCTTGGCAATCTGGGGGGAGTTCCTCGCATGGGAGCCAGTTGATGCATTCGTCAAAAGCCTCCTGTATGAATTTTACGCCACCTTCTTCTTCAAGTAAAGGCTGTCCCAGCATCGTGAACCTTGAAATTGTGTTAGAATTTTAGAGCCACTGCACTTAGCACTACGAGAATCTGGATCCACTAACATGTGTGTCTGAGCCTTGAGGAATCGAGTCAACGGCGACTCCTTCGTCCTGATGGCATCGTTGTTTGCCAGACATAGCATCATCTGAACAAGAAAGCTGTAATCGGCATTGCCTGTGACGGTCTCGCCGACGAGGAGAACTATCAAAGTGGCCCATGTGAACTCGTTGAAGACCTGAGAAGCGAGTGATGCGTCCCGTCGGAGCCGCGAGATCACTGCCGTGCGCCCCTTTTCGGCGGCCATTTCGAGCGCAGGGTGTCCTTGGCTGAGATGTTGGGCCGCCACAACTGCCACCGCCCTACAGAGCACTTCGTCTTGAAGGGCCATAGGTAGAATGAACTCTCTGTATCCGTTTGATACTTTGTCGAGAATGACCATGACGGGTGCAACTGCTTCTGAAACTGCAAAGGGCGTTAGCATAGGGACTCGAACCAAAGTCAATACGAACATGGTCGCTTACAGTGGTAGAACAATCCTCTTGTTTCTGGGGAAATAGGTGCAATCCATGGTATGACGCTGTGGGCAAGACTGACTTGCTGCATGGATTGTGGTTGGAAATCTGCTCGGACAATTGTCTCTATCACCTCGCTACAGCTTTCATTCTGAGTTGATGCCGATTCTCCTGGCTGCTCATCTTGAGAGGTGCCTGACCCGGGCGATGACAATATATCATCATGGTCTGATATTGGAGGATCCAAAAACAGGCACGGCGAGGCTTCAGGCTGGTCATCCCCCGGTTGTTGCGGACAAGGCGCAGATCTTGTTCGTCTTTTGGACGCAGCAGCCCTTCGAGTGCGTGCAGTCCGTGGTTGACTATGTGAGTGCCATTGGAGCTCAGGAAACGTCACCTCAGTCGGCAGCATGCACGAAGTCTTTCCATCTTGGCTGGCGACTTCGAGAACAGGAATCGCGCAGTTCTTTAACCGACCGCGCCGGGCAACACCTTCGTTGGCGGATCCTGGCGAGGCCTGAGCATTCAATCCCCTTTTTAATGCACTTGCCACAAGAAGGTTCCACCCTGTCGCAAACGATTCTTCTTCTGGAACACTGGAAGCAGCCTATTGTGCAACATCAGCAAGACCCTCCCACCTGATTTGGTCTGGCAACTCCGGCCCGCAGGTACTGGGAAGCATGGTACTTTACCTCGTTCCTTTTTGGCGCGGTGGTCCTTGGAACTGGCCATGGGCATGACGGATCCACTCAAACACGTCAACCAAATCACGCGGAGCCAGATATAGCACAGGATGCAAAGCAGCAGTGCACAGACGGTACTCGCCTGACGGACTGCAGCTGTTCCAAAAGTAGTTGCAAGTGGGAGAAATCTGGAAGCCAAGCACCCACTGCCGGCGGATCAGAGGTTAAGCTCTTCCCCACAACGACTTAGACACCGAGTCCCGGCCAGAGCCGTGATCTTGATGCTCCTGGGCCGCCTATTGGGGCAAACTGAAAATATGAGTGGGGCATTTTCTCTGAATAATGCCCCTTTTGGGACGAATCTTCCTTGGTCGCCCTAGAAAGGGCTTTGAAGCTGAGCTTTAGTGAAGACCTCTATCAATACTAGGATGTTCAACAGTCCTTTCCGGCCTTGCCCATTTTCAACTATGTATCAATTTTTGCCGACTATTCAAGGGTGGGACATCGCGTCACAATATAAATCCAGAAATTTCCCATGGATTAATCTTTGGCTGTCCCAGCCATGCCGAAACTATGCCGCTGGTCGACCTTTTAAATCAACCCTGAGGCAGTCTCCTTTCATTATTTTGAGATGACCTCTCGCGACGGCTACTCCTGGACCAAGTCCTCCGGCTTAAAGCAGGGCGTGCCATCCATAGGCGTTATTTCCCCTTCAACTAACGTTTCATCCTCCGAATCCACATACGATGTCATAGTCATTGGGCGCGGGCTATTGCGGTCTGACTGCTGCCCGTAATGCCGCCATAGAGGGCCTGAAAGTACTACTTTTGGAAGGCAGAGACCGCATCGGGGGCCGGTCATGGTCGTCCAACATTGGCGACTATCCGTTTGAGATGGGCGGCACATGGGTGCACTGGGGCCAGGCGAATGTCTGGAGGGAAATCGCCAGGTATCAGATGACCAACGATCTGGTGAACTCGTTCGACTTTTCTAAAGGGGTCAACCGTTTCGAGTTCAACACCGCCCAGGGCTTTACCACCATGAATCATGACCAAGAGGTGTGTTGTCCCACCCCCCCCCCCAAGTTTGCTTGTCTAAGACGAACCTTGTTGCTGATGATTCACCCTGGTAAGGACGAGCTCATGGCATCAGGCCTGGGCAAATTCTTCAATGTTGATGGATCTTTCGGCCGGAAGGTCATGCCTCTGCCACACAACACCTTCAAAGTTCCCGAAGCGCTAGACATGGATAATCTGTCCGCATTGGACAGGATCAACCAGAGTTCCGACTTGCTCACAACTGAAGAGCGAGCTGCTCTAGAGTCTTTCGTCCTGCTCTGCAGCGGTGGCACCTTGGAGACCATGAGCTTCCACGAGATGTTGCACTGGTGGGCTATATGTGGTTACACTTACCAAGGTTGTCTCGATTATCTTATCACGTGGAAACTCAGGTAAGCCACTCATCGATCTGTTCGGGTTCATTGCCTTGGCCTTTCTTACCTCCTCTCATACTTTGACAATATCGTTGCTGACATGGAGATCGCAGGGGCGGCCAGTCAAGCTTCGCCATCAGGTTCTTCGATGAAGCCCTTGCGACTAAGCGCTTCTCATACGCTTTTGACAGCCTTATCAAAGGAGTCAGGGACGATGTGGAAAGTGTCATAGTGACAACGAGAGGGGGGAAACAGTACCGAGCAGACCGTGTGATCTCAACCGTACCACTCAACGTCCTTGACGCCGTGTCCTTTGACCCCCCTCTACCGGCTGGCAAGCAGTCTGCGATCAGTATCGGCCACGTTAACCAGTGCGTCAAAGTGCACGCTGAGATCCCAGACAAAGGTCTCCGATCATGGACTGGTGTCACATATCCCCACAACAAGCTATCCTATGCTATCGGCGACGGTACAACGCCAGCTGGGAATACGCACATTGTTGCCTTCGGCGGGCAGTTCAACCACATGAACCCGGATGAGGACGTGGAGGAGACACTGTCGGCGGTGAAGGGCTTGTTCGCCCCTGAGAACAACAATGGAAAGTTGCCTGACGTCGAGAGACTGGTTTTCCATAACTGGTCAAAGGATGAGTTCGCTAAGGGGGCGTGGTTCTTCTCCCCTCCAAAGCTATTGGCAGATCATCTGGACGATATGAGGGCTCGGCATGGTAATATCCTGTTTGCGAACTCGGACTGGGCTCTGGGGTGGCGCAGCTTCATTGACGGTGCAATTGAGGAAGGATGCAGAGCTGCTTTGGAGGTCAGGACCGAGCTGCAAGCCCAGCGTGGTGGAGGACTGTCAGTCAAGTGATTGGGCACAGCAACAAGCTATCATCAGGTCCAGTCCACCGCCGCCCGATGATCGTCACGTAAGGCACTCGTACACATCATGAAATTTCTCGGACTCGCTAGATTCGAGAGTATGAGACGACATCACAAGTGTCTATTTCAATTATTCCACATAACATTTATTCAAATTTCTATAGCCTGTTCACCCGTGCGAAAATACAGTCCACGTATTATCTATGTAGAAGTCAGAAAGGAAATGAATTGGTATTTCAAGTGAAAGTAAGTGGTCACAAATGAATGACCCATCACTTGGAGGCAGCCAAAACTATGGCCAGCTCCGCAAGTCCCATAAGAAGACAAACGACGGCACCGCACCAAATTAATCAGCAGTAGTCTGATTACGTGCCACCACCGGCCGTGAGAACTCCTCGCCTGCGACTTGGCTGGGATGCCAAGTACTGCCCCTAGGCATGCCAGGGCGCACAGGGACAGGCACACGCTTCAGAAGCTCATGCTGCATGGCGACGAAGTCGTGGTCCGGCGGCGTCACGCTCGGGCTGTCCACGTCAACCTCGAAGAATCGCGGGGCTCTGGGGCCGGCGGAGGCTTTGGGAGTAATAAGCCACTCTGGGAACGGCTCGTCGGGCGGAGTCCGGGCGGCGGCCGCGGCGGCTGAGAGAGCCGCCATGTCGGGGACACCATCCGCGGCGGCTGGGGCACCTTCGACGCCGCGGTCCTCACTTTTGTCCTCCCTGTCGTCGTCCAGCGCCTGCGCCTTCCACCGGAGCACGCGCGGGGCGAGGCTCGTAAGGGCCCGGAAAGAGATCAAGGCCGGCCGGACCGGAGCGGGCTCTGGAATGGGGTCCGTAAAGGGGTCCTCGCTCTCGGCGGGGATATTGAACATATTAGGGTCTGGCAGATCCAGCCCGCGCTGGGTTCCAGGCTCGGGGTTCAGGCCACGGGACAAACTGCCCAGAAGGGGCATATGGGCGGGCTCTGGGCCCGCGACGGAGTCCTGAGATCGGTTCTTCCAGGGGTTGGCAAAGAGGTCGTACCGGAACTCATCCGGGTGTGGCATTCCTGGGTCCTGCTCATGCTCATGTTCAAGATCGCGATCACGCTGGAGCTCGCGCTCTGGGTCGCCAAGTTCAAGGTCACGCATGTGAAGGTCACGCATGGCATTGCCCTTCTTGGGTAAGGCGAACCAAGTCTTTTTCGGGGGGCCCAAAATTGCAGCAAATGCCAGCATGACACAGAGGATGAAAAAGAACCCGGCAACGGACAAGCTACGGAACAAGCCCGTGTCTGCTTCCTTCATGGCTCGTCTGTCAAGATTACTTTGCTCGACGACTATTTTTGAGGAAATTCCGAATGATACCTGATCGTTCTTCTTGTCGAAACAGTTGGCAAGGGAACTCGTGAGAACGGAATAATGAGATATCAGGAGCTTGCGGTTGGGAGCGGTGTCGTCGTCAGCGATTGCCAAAATCGTAAGAGAGGAGAGGGGAGCCGTGGACTGCAGTTCCTGGGCGAGACGCGGCAGGGCAATATGTATTCCGAGTCGCAGGTGGGTTATTCGAGCGATAAAAGAAAGCCATTGTTGCCCCATTGATAATCTGTGATGCACACATAAAGAGGCGAGTCCAAGCACAAAGGTGCCTCACCAAAGGCAACCCTTGATTGTTCCGGATCTTTCGCTCGTGAACAGGCAATAACAAGACAGAGACCATCGAGAAAAGAGGTCATTGTTTCTTTAGGCAAGACTTGTCCGTGTCGAGCCCGAGGGCAGCCAATGACTGTTGATGCGTGCATGCATGCGCGCTTGTTTTTTTTGGGGTGGTGGGAGAGGATGTCGACACCTACCTTCTGTCAACCACAGGGCTTCCCAAATCCCCTACTCATAATGGGATTAATCTGGAAAATTAAGGTCCTCTCTCGCTCTCATAGCAGGTGTCTGTGCAATGTGGTATTGTTGTTTCGGCTCGGTCTTCAGCACAACCCCTAGCAATTGTCCTAGTCAAATCAGCATGACCAAACATTACGCCGGCCTCACTCCAGCCAACACTAAAAATCTCGTCACGAATGAAACCCATCCGTTTGCATGAGGGCGATATTGCAATACCATGACACAGAGAGCAAAAGACACCACCAAGTCGACCAAGACAAACACTTGTATTACACTACGGCTGAGGTATCAATGATCTCGCTGGATGTTGAAATTAAAAAGAAGCCTAAAGCACAAAACAGGAAAGACAGGAAAAGACTCCCCAACCCGTGGAAACCGAACCCATGCGCAAACAACTACTTGAAAGTGGGGGGTCTACTACGTCGTAGAACTCGGATTCGTAGAGGAACTCGGACGTGCCATAGAACCCTGCTGCGACGACGAACTCGGACGCGTCGTAGAACCCTGCTGCGACGACGAACCCTGCCGTGAAGAGGAACCCTGCTGTGAAGAGGAACCCTGCTGTGAAGAGGGACCCTGCTGTGAAGAGGGACCCTGCTGTGAAGAGGGACCCTGCTGTGAAGAGGGACCCTGCTGTGAAGAGGGACCTTGCTGTGAAGAGGGACCTTGCTGTGAAGAGGGACCTTGCTGCACCTCGGGACCCTCCTGCGCTGCGGCAGTCTGCTGTGCCGCGGTACCCTCCTGTGCTGCGGCGGTCTGCTGTGCCGCGGGACCCTGTTGCGTCACGGGACCCTGCTGCGTCGCGGTAGTCTGCTGCGCCGCGGTAGTCTGCTGCGCCGCGGAACGCCTTTTATCAGACAGCAACAGGGGCGTTGACGCGCGGTAGAAGCTGTCCATCTCGTCGCTGAGACGCTTCCACGCCTCCTTGGCTCGCTCCGCCAGCGTCTCCGGCGACGTCTCGGTCAGGTTCTCCGGTTGCACACGGTTGAGGCGATCCCGGTATCTGGGGTCTTGGTTGCTGGGGATGCCGTCGAGTCTGTTGATAGTGTCATCCCAATCCCTGGCATGGGTCCATCGATATCTTGAGTTGTCACGATCCAACCTCCACTGATACCAGCGGGTTGCCGCCCTGACGAGTTGTTGACGTGGTGAAACGACGTTGACGGTGCCTTGCTATAGCCTTCGCAGTCTACGCCTTGGTTCTTCATCTCTGCCACCCTGGTCTGTGACATCTTGTGCATTACCCTGCCTTGGGCCTTGCTGTCCAGTAGCTTCTTCTGGACCTTGTTGTCCACTAGCCTCTCCTGAGCCCTGCTGTCCATCAGGCTCTCGTCGGTCTGACTCTCGTCGGTCTGAATCTCCACTATCATTTGGCCTTCTCCGGCGGCGCCCAAACTTCTTCACGGACTTTGCAACACGTTTGTGCCACCGACGAGGATCAGATAGCCCCAAACCTCCCCTGAGGTGGACGTCTGTCCCATGAAGATCAGCAAGCCCGCGAGACCTCTAGTCGACCTTGGCATTTGCGAGCGTCCTCGCCATGGGGCTGTTGATGTTGTTGACCTGCGTCATCGAGAGCTTCTTGTACTTGGACTGTTTCCGGAGCTTCTTGCGGGCGACCATGACTGGGACGGAGCTCTTGGTCACTAGGTAGTTAGAAAATGAGCCAAGAATAACGCTGTGCACGATTTGTTAGTTAGGTTTCGATGGAATGTCAAGTGTGGGATGAGATGTCTGTGACTTACCCCTTCAGTGCGCTCTGTCCCCGACTGCCCAAGACAACAAGAGTCGGGTTGACGACGTCGATGATTTCCAGGATCTGGTGCTTCGGGTTCTTGCAGTGCAAGACCTCTACGATGACGCGGACCTGCAGCTTTGTCTTGCGGAGAAGCTTCTCCACCCTGTCTGTGATGTCCTGAACGGCCCTGTGCCGTTCTTCCTCGGGTTTCGACTTGATTGGCGTTGCCAAAGACTCCGAGGTCTGGTCAGCTTTGTGCAGGTCTAAGGCGCTTCCACCAGGCGTGACAGGGGCTTTGCTATCGGCGACAACGTTCAGTGCAGCACCTTGGTCTTTGATGGACTTTGCATCATCAGCTGGAGCAATCCCGGCCTCCTCGTCGACGCAGTAGAGGCAAATCATGGTGTCGCCATCTCGGAGGACTGTGCCAACGGCCCACTCGAGGGCATGCGTCGACTCATCACTGAGGTCAGAAGCAACAATATACTTGCGCAGGGTTCTCTGCTCCTCCTTGGCTTCCTGAGCGACCTTCCGCCAGTCACCGCGATAGATGATGCGCAGGGCCCGAGCAGCATTCGGCGTGTCTTTGATGGGTGTCTGGAAAAGTGAAAGCTTTTGTGCGCGCCTGATGTCTGTGAGATCAGCCTCCGTGTCCGAGTCCATGGGCGTCCTGGCACCTGAGGGCGGGCCATCATCGAAGCTGGTTGCAGGGTGTATCGAGGACGCCTTTGAGTGCTTTGTCTTCTCGCTCTGGCCAGCAGGGCCTGTGACGGTGATTTGGGGCTCGTCGAAGAGTGAACGGTACTGGTACTTGACGTGAGGGTTCTTCTTCGCTACCTCGATGCCTGTGTGGTGCTTTGTTAGAACGAACACTGAAACCACTACAAAAGGGCATTTTGATGAAGAAATATTGTGGGCTGAAAACTATTATGTCCGGCTTGTTTCGTTGCACCACTTGGTACACGAACTTGGCAACGGGGTGAAGGCAGCTGATGCTCTAGGGACCACATCCGGTCTCGAGCACATCTTCCTGCACCTACCCGGAATCTTGCGATCGTTTGCAGGGGGCGTATGAACTGTTGTCAATTCCTTTGCTTGGGGGTTGAGCAAGAAGGAATGACAACTCCTGGCTGCCGAAGGCATGAAAAGGTTTCGTTCAAATGTGGGAGCCATTGGTTTGGATACCCAAGCGCTAGAACCAATACTGGGTGCTGCTCTGAGACGAAGCAAAACCAGAAATGAAGGCACTGCTGTCAAATGCAATGAAATGGATGTGGTGTGGTAATCTCAACTGCAATGAATGGGTGGGTGTAGATGTTCCTTGTGTACGAGAAAGAATAGAATGGTGATGTTTTGTTTTGTTTTGGTCCAAAAAAGGAGGGGTGCAAGGGGAATGTGTATCCTTACGTTCTTCCTCAGCAGCTGCCAACAAGCTTAGGGCCGTCCTGTCCTTGTCCGCCTTCGATCCTGCCTTGTCGGAGTCGGGCGACAGGGCGTCGAAGCTTCTAGCTGCCTTGCGGCCACGCTCTCCTTCCTCGGCGTTCGAATCATCCTGGTCGTCGCTGCTATCGTCGTACTGGTCATCACCGTCGGGAATGAGGTAGTCTTTAGCCAGCCTGCCGCCGTCGGGGTTGTCGTCAACTTTCTTCTTGCGCCCAATCTCCGCAAGGGACCCGCCAGACCGGAGCAGGTTTGCGTCTGACAGCCTCCGGTACGCGTTGCTCATGTCCACGCCATATGTCTCTTCCACGAAGGCCCTTCCTGCCGGACTGAGGTGCCTGCCTGACAGCAGGTTGGCGGCAGGCGAGCTCGACCGTATGCCGAGGCGGGAGTGAGGAGACCGCGACTTGCTCCCAATCCGCATTCCAGGCCCTGCGATGGAGTGGCGACCCCTGGTGTCGCCAGGGAGCGGTATCCTGCTGACGTCGCTGCCGCGTACAATATGGGACATGGCGGAAGGTGGCTGGGCCGTCTTCTTGTTGCCTTGAGACACCCGCTTCGGCATGGCAGCATGGCCGGTATTGCTCGTGATGATGTCGGAGAACTGGTACTCGGAGGTGAGGTCGCGGTTGCCGTCTGATCGTGGGCCAAAGCCTACGGGTCTTGAGGCAACATCGGACATGTGCCTGGGGTGGGAGGAGTTGGCGGCGCGGGCAAGCTGGTTGGACGCCAGAACGGGAGAGGATGGGGTGCTGAAGACCTGCTTGCCCGACGAGGCAGATGCTGGAGGGCTGTCCATGTCGAGCATACTCCTGACAGGAGCCGCGGGAGGACCGTCTACGTCTAGCATACTTTTCATTGGACCTCCGCGGCGAACGACACTGTTAACGTTTTTGGACCAAGTACTGCCTCGCGGGAATGGGGCTTATTCACCTATATCTAGCATGCTCCTGACGGGCGATCGAGGTGTGAAAGGGGAGGAAGAGCGAACCCCGCTGAGAGCGCTGGGTGGTCGTGGGCGGTTCCTAGCCGCAATAAGGGCCTCGACCTCGCGCCTCTCCTCCTCCAGGGCCGCCTCCATAGACATTACTTTGTGTGGATGAGACATGCTGGGTGAGGGGCCCAGTGCTTCGATCCGATGGTGATCGTGTGGAACAGGAAATCGAGTGTGGACGGGCTCGGCGTGGGAGGACGACGGGGGACGAGTTGGAGGTGGCAGGAGAAGACGCCGCCGAAGTCGCCCAACGGCAGGTGGATGCCAAGATTTATGTCGTCGCGCAAGAGGCTGGTGGTGAAGCTCGACCGAGACGTGTGGTATTGTAACTCAAGAGGCCAAGGTATCGCAGGTTCGAGCCTAGCGTGGGATGATTTGTGGTGGGTGTGGTTGTGTGCAGGATTCGAGGTTAGGGAGAAGATCCCACAGCATCGTGTGTCAACAGAGGGGGGGAAAGAGGCGGGACGATGCAACGGGTCGAGTGGTGTTCCTTCAGGTCATGGCTGCGCAGAGGGTGGCCCGGTCGGCTGCCAAGAGAAGTGGTCGCCAAGTCTGGGTGCTGCCAGCGCTGAGAAGTGTGTACGCAGCAAGCAGACGGAGACGGTGTGGGCTGGGTGAGAGGTCTGACCTGGTGCCAAGTCTTTGGCGCAGTCGACGATCGACGGAAAGGAGGGGAAGCTCCTTGTGGTGTTTCTGCTGCGCCTGCTGTGGGCCGCGCGTGGGCTGAGATGATGTAAATTGCCGCCGTTCTGCTCTGTCTGCCGACGGTGGATTATATTGTTGCCTCTTCACTAGGGTCGTCTTCACGAGAGGAGAACGAATAGTACGGGTGGGCAGAGGTGTTCTATGATGCCGGCTGCTGTCTTCTACTATGTTGTTTGTCGTATATTGGCTTCATTCATTAGGCTTTTTAGCCCGGGCCGCTAGGCTGCAGCAATGATCAGTGCTCAACATGTGGCACTTCACCCTGCCAGTTTTGGAGTCCATGCGGTTTCTACAGTTTTTACCCATACTCCGCTTGGGCAGCCGTGGGAAATGAACAAGCTCAGGCCAGGACAGACCCAATATTTTTATTGACGGGTCTTTCGAAGCAGTAACCCATAGTGTATCCAGCCTCTTTCCTTGCTGCCTCGCTTCAATGTTCAGTCGATGCTCAATGTCCTATCCGCCCTGACGTATCACGAGCCAGGAACCTAAACCAAGCCCCCAGGAACCCCAAAGGGGCAGGCAGATGGGGTACTGCATCTCAGCCTCCCTCCGTCTTTCGAGTCTTCTGGGCCTTGAGCGGCGCCCCACAACGCTCGTAGGGACCCCGCCATGTTCAAGCTTGGTCTTGCGGCCGATCCCCGACATTTCTCATCCCTGCTCGTGCACTGGAAAAAGGGTCCAAGAGTGCGGCGACCTGACGACCCGTCGGCCAAGCATGCATGTCATGACACATACAAACCGGAACAGCACATGCACGTCGACCTCATAACAGCCAGAACATTTGTCCAGGCATTGATTACAACAATAAGATCAGCTGAGGCATCATGTTAGCCATGATTCAGAGCCTCCTCTGGTCGGGACCAGAGCAACCTGTGCCTCGAGCCAAGACCACAGTAGTTACTGTACGGCTAGTTCAGTGGACGGACGTCCCCATCCATACTGCCAATGCATTTCAGTCCGCTAGATAGGTAGTGGACGAGGTAATTCTACGGTCATATCTACAGCCAGCCACCAGCCAGCCAGCCTGTCACGCCACCTTCACCACGACACGCGACCCAGTTGCTCGATTCGGCACGTCCACATCACGCGTAGAACAGGTAGCCAGTAGACAAGTCCTGGGGCAGGCCAGTGCACGCATCATGCACTCCGTGAAAGTTCATATCGCGTCTAGCCGATCCTCCTCTTCATGAGGGCCGGCGAGCTCAGGTTCGCCCGGACGCTCGTGCCCGTCTTGTGCAGCTGGTTCCGCTTGTCCCACACCGAGCTCCTGCCCTCGACCACCGCCACAATCTCCTCGCCGATCCGGTGCGCCAGCATCTTCTTGCCGGACCCCATCGACGTCTTCTTCTCCACCGTGTCCATGATCCACATGAACGCCGTCCGCCGCCGCGCCCGCCTCGAGACCGGCACCGGCACCTCCAGCGCCTTGCCACCACCCGCCAGGCCCGTGAACCCGCGGATCCGGATCAGAGGCGCCACAGAGTCCACCGCCAGCATAAGGTAGAGGTTCGGGTTCAGGGGCAGGTGTTCGGCCGGCGGGGAGCCGGGCAGTAACGGCCGCTGCGGGTTGATCCGGGGCGCTGGCGATGTTCGGAGGTAGTTGAGGATCATGGCCATGTCCTGTGGCACTTGTTAGCTTCTCTGAGACTCCCCTCTGGACCTGTTCTTGAATCCGTCGTCGTAGCTCCTCCTCGTGACAGGACCCAGAAGGTGTGGACCACTGACCCTCTGTGCCTTGCTCAGCTTGCCATCGCGCATCATCAGCTTCGTGAGCTGTATTATACCCTCCTCGTAACGGTGCTTCATGTGGAAATTTCGTCTCGTGAAGCTTGCCCTGCGGTATCTCCGGCTCCCCGAACTTGAGCCCGCTGAGGCGCTTGTCGAAGGGGTTCAGGCCGAGCGCCGTGAGCTCCAGCTGCGACAGGGCCTCCTCCGTGGGCGTCGGCTCCCGCATCTGCACATCCTCCTCCCTGATCGTGCCCGAAGATAACGGTGCGGAGAGGTCGTCTGGACGGCCGGAGGCCGCTGCTCCGGTGGCACCGGGTATGTTGGGGATGCCGGTCGAACGCGGCGTGGTTGGGTCAGTGGAGAACTGTCGTGCAATGGCTGCGATTGCAGGGCGCTGCGATTGACATGCCGGCCGTTTTGATCTGAAGGCGATGGAGCGGCATGCACCCCATAGATTGGAGGTCGGAGGCATTGTGAGGTGTGTTGGGGAGCTGCTGGACCCGATCGCAGACCGTGGGGAGCAGACGGCAGTGATGCGCGGTCGAAGCCATCGCGAAAAATCGATGGTGTTCCCGGCAGGCATCGCACGGCTTACATAAGTGACTCCCACGCCCCTGTTCCTCCCAGGGTGATCCTCTCTTGCTTCCGGAGCTCATCCCGAGCTCCTCTCTAGAGCGTCTTCCACTTGGAAACTACCCGTCCGCTTCTTGCGGATCTATCCCTGCTTCTTTTCTTATTTCTGCCCATGCTTCATTCTCCCGCCTTGAAACCTCCCACTTCCGCATTCTACGACTCACCGTCTTGTTTCTGAAAGTGGGACTCCAGATCAGACGCCGTTGTCTCACCCTGGAACATCACAACCAGCAATGACCAGCTTCAAATGACCACGGCCGGACAAGAATTTCCCCAATATTTCCGCGTGCCCAGCAATCGGGCGTCGACGATCTTACTCTTAACTGACATCGACCTCACCATCGCCCGGACATTGTATTCCGCGCCGCTCGACGCGACCACATGTATGTCCGACCCGGTTCACCGGTCAGCACCAACACCGAGCGAGGGCTGGGTCTCGTTGCGACTCCATTTGCATCGGGCAGCTTCAATGGAACCCAATTGAACGCCTATCAGCGGGCGTTCCACTTGACCGAGGCGACGCATCGATTATTAGGTCTCAACGCGAGACCATACTCGAAGCCGGTCACTGGCACCCATCTATTCTGGACGCTCAGCTCCACAGCTCATGTCATGGTGTAAACTGATGACATGATGTCTCGCTCGGCTAAATTGCCCCCGTCTCCCCGTCCACGTGGTGGTTGGCATGCAACAGACTGCAGCGCAGTCAGCACTCAAGCCCGACATTGGCATGCGCGACATTACATCCGCGGCCCTCGACCACTCCTCCCTGGTCGGTGCCCCAGCGGATCGCCATCGCTTGTGATCACAGGATCCGATATGGGGAAAGCAGGGAGGGAGGCTTAAAATCCGAGGCTTTATGCTGCTGTTGCTTTTTTTCCTTTGTGTCCAATCCCGGATCGACCCGCGAGCGACCCCGGTGGGCCTCGCCAGCGATGTCCCAATGCAGGGTTGACAGCACCGCCTAGCGGTCAGCCTGGTACCCGATAGACAGGCCAACAGCGCCAACCTGCGCTTCCAATATGCCTGAGGGTGTACAATGACCCATGGCTGAGACAAGGGTCGGCTCCCCTTCCCACGAGCATGTCCTGCAGGTGTCAGGGTGTCATTGGACTTCAACTTCCTGACTTCCCCAAAGCAACCCAGCCCTGCTAGCAAGTGCTAGCCGCAGAAACTGCTGCATGCCAATCTGCAGTAGGAGCCAGGTGGCTGCAGGTCGTTGGGAGGGAAAACGAACCCGTTTTATTTTGGTCAACGTTATAGCAGGGGTTGCTGGCCTCGGAGTCGAGGGCCGGATCAGACTACTTGTGGTCTGCGTCCCACGATCAGAAGGAAGCGGAGCGAAGCGGAGCGAAGCGGAGCGAAGCGAAGCAAAATCCTGCCACAGCATGGCGGACCCAACCGCAAATGTCCTGCATGTCCGAGGAGGTCGAGCTACACCGGCACACCGGCTCTCAACGCTATCGACGTTGAGAGACCCTTGTTCGCAGATCTTGGCCTAGACGGCTACGCCCGATTCTCACTCAACCATAACTGATGTGTCACCTCCCCAGGGACACATTGTGAGCATTGTTCACATCTGCTTTTTCCTATTATCCCACAGATACAACGCCCCACGTCGCATGTCACAAAGCTTTCTGACAAAAGACATGTAATATCTGATTGGCATTATTATGAGACTGCTCTCATCTGATCTTATCTCGAGATGCCGGTGCCAAGATCAAGTACAGTGATGGAGGAAGAGGGAGTGGGGGAAAAAAAAACCATTTGCCCATGGACTCCGCCATATGAAGAACATCCCTCGCGCCATTTTCGGTCTTTCGCAATCTGACTTGCTTTTCCTGATCTCACCCAGATACTGTTTCCTGCCTTCCTCCCTTCTGTCAAAAGACAGATATGACGAAGGGGAAGTGCTGTTCCCATGGCGCAAAAGTTGATGTCGTAGAACAATTTCGACTACCCAAGCCCTGCACAGGTCCAAACACACACACAGACACACAGACACCCTGCCACCCTCCCACCGGGAGTTTTAGATCTGCATCCGCCTAGACCCAGCCCAGAGGGGGGGAAGAAGCAAACAGGTGCATCCTCGCCCCCATCATTTTTCTCAATCTCGCTTGTTCCCGCATGTCTTGCCCTCTGGCCGGATTCCCCATCCGGATGGATCGCCATGATCTGAAGGGAGAAAAGAAACGCGGACAACCAGAAAGAAAAACCAAGAATCAAACGGGGGTGCATGATGTGCTGTCAAGAATACATGCGCGTGGCGTCATCGGACATTTCCATTGTGAGGTGCCGGCAGATTCCTATTCTGTCTGAATGCTTGACCCTGACCGCCTGTGTGACCCCAACAGGCGGCATTCGACTAGGCGCCCCCCTAAGAAAACGACGGGTAAAGAGCGTGAGTGAAGAACAAGGAGAGAAAGAGAGAAAGAAAAAAAAAAAGAGAAGAAAAAAGAAAGTCAGTGGTGAGAATACAACGCCAAAGGACCCAAAGTGCCCTGCTCTCCCTTGCCGTGTGGCGCCGTTTCGCTGTTTGTCTGCTGTTGCTGCCCGCTGTCTTCTTTTTTTCCATGGCGGTGGCGGACGGTATCAAGTATGGTACAAGTCGAGTCGCACGAAACCGAGCGGACCGGGGGGTAAAAAAGGTGGCAGTGGGAATAAATTGCGAGGCTGATGCGCGTTGGTGGTCCCCGTGAAGTAACCTGAAAAGAGGAGCGAAGAAGAGTGTGAAGAAGAAGTAAAAGAATGGTGTCTCCCCCCCCCCCCAAAAAAAAAAAAAAAAAAAAAAACAGTAGTACAGTGAAAGCCGGGCAGCACAGAAATGCAGTGCCCCCAGATTGCGCCGAGAGGTAGGTAGGAAGTAGACGGGTCTCTGCCTGTGACAGCTTCTCTCAAGAGTCGATAAGGCTGCGGCGGGCAGGCAGGCGGCAAGCTATGATGTCGAAGCCATGGTCGCGATGGAGATCAAACAGACAGACAGACAGAAGTGCCGTCCCACCGCCACGCGTCATGGATCCACGCCGTGCTGCGACAAGAGTGAGAGAGTGAGGCTGCGGCGCCGCAGAGCGAGAGGAAGATCTGCAACCCGTGGCTTGTCAGAGGTAGAGAGGGATTATCCTCTGTTGTTGCTGCTGCTGCGCCTCTGAACGACCGCCTCGCACACCCCCTCCACTCTGTGCATTTCCACTTCCACACACACACGGAGCCGAAGGAGGGATTTTACCACCTCCTCGACGCCGAAGGGGACGCCGCCATGGAGATGAAGCTGAGCGCGACCTCGGCCGCGTCCTCCTTGGCGTTGTTGAGGTTCTTGCCATCGTACCAGAACCTGGCCTGGTGGATCGCGCCGTTGACGGTCACGCGGCTCGACCAGGCTGTGCGACCACCTATTTATTTTGATTCTTGGTCAGCATATTTGGACTTTTCCTCTTTCTTTTCCCCCCTTCGCACTTCCGTGGGGATGAGTGGCTGGGTGGTCGCCCCATGGAGGGGGCGTTGGCTTTCAGGCCGGCTTACCTCTTCTGTCTGAGACGATTTGGAATGAGGGCGAGGCGATCTGGTACTCGCGGCATGCATCTGTGAGGAAGTATTAGCAGATGGAGGGAGGCATTGCCGTGGGTGAGTGAGGGGTGAAGTGAGTGAGTCCTGGTAAGTAGACGTGAGGCTGTATGGGTTGATCGAACCTTCAAGCTTGCTTTGCCATGCGCAGCTCTCGCCAGCACTGCTTGTGCTGTGGGCCCCGGGAGCTGTGTCGTGAGGAAGACATGGTGTCGTATTGTGGATTGGGTGGTGTTGTGTGTTCTGTGTTGTGCTGTGCTGTGCTGTGAAGCGTTGCGTTGCGTTGCGCTGTGTGTGTGTGTGTTGTGTGTTGTGTGTTGTGTATTGTGGTGCTGTGTGGTGTTGTGTTTATTGCGGCAGAGATGAGATGGGAATGCAGTGTTGTGCAATGAATGGGATTACGCCGGAGGACAAGTGTGAGAAGAGGTTTTGAAATCGTGGGCTGAATCAACGCCAGAGGTCGCAAGCAAGGGAGGAGGGTGATGTGAAATCGGTGCAGTAGTGGTGGTCCGATAATGACTGAAGGGAGAGGGAGGCCACGATCCTCTTATACGCGGGACAGTCCTTGAGCAACAGGTAGGCTTACGGGCAGGTCAAAGCGATTGGGAGACAGGGTGCCGTGATGTGAGGTGGCAGAAAAGTGAGTGACGGTTGGGTGTTTAGGTGTTGTATTGCGCCGTCCTCACATAGATTCTCTGCGTCGACTTGTTTGCATCAGACGTTGCATGTAGACGGCAGGCCGGTCGGGAATTAAGTTGGTAGCCTCGGGCTGTTGCATCAATTGATCGTGGCAGTCCGTTGGATGGGGCCCGGTATTTGCTACGCGGACGACCTAGGCCTGAAAAAGACAAGAAAGTGCAAGAAAAGTCTCAGCACTTGGGGCGCATGTAAGGCCGTCTTTGCTTTTCCGCAACAGAAGCATATGTGGAAAGGCGGACGGACACGTACGATGAGACCTTGTCCCCAAGTACTGTGGTTGAATCATCACCAAAGCATCTCCACAACATGAAAGTCAGTGACAGCTTGTCACGAGGAGCCGAAGCGTAGAGTGGATGTACTAGAACCCATCAAAAGAGCAAGGCGGTACAAAAAGGTACTAGGAAGTAGAGGTGCAGCGCTGTGAGTTGTGTGTCTGATGGTGTGTGACGGTTGTCTTTGGAGAAGGAGAGTAGACCAGACCGGCCCGGATGAAATGGCAGATGTACCGAAAAGCAAGATGAGGCATACCGCATCATTTTCGACTGGGTATTCTGCTATCGTGGATCCATTCGAAGTTTTTGTTCTTGCTTCATCTGCGTCATGTAAAATGACGAGGGGGACTTGCGGTCTATTCAAGGAGATCCACGCCGTCATTAGGCTCCAGATCTCTGTCACACCTGAGATACGCCCGAACGTAGGCGGAGACAGGGCAGGCATACCAGGCAGGGTGGTTCGAAATGCCAGCATGCTGGGCATGCTGTGAGCAATCATGCAGCCAGGGAGGCTTCAAGCGGGTGTGGCACCTGCATGCGGCAGACAAGGGCCTGCATCCGTTGACAACCACCCCGGTGTAGAATATGGGGGGTCGGGCAGCCGTCATCCCACACCGGGCATCCCTCATCTGACTTGAGTGTGTGTCCCCGACTGCAGCTCTGACGCTGTTGCTCCCGCGACCTCTTTGGATTGCTTCTCATGTCGGTGTTTCTCGAATGTTTGCTCGCCCTGGCGATCCTATATGCAATGTCTGATCTCGGCCATACGCTCCAATGAGACCAACCGGACCCACGTCGTAGCGTCCCGGGGATCTGGGCCCAAGCGATGAGCGACAAACGACGACTTCACGCCTGGAGGCCCAAATCTGGCGTATTTGCAGGTCTCATGCCAGGCACGGCAGACCAATGTCACACTCCTTCGATTCCAGGTTGCTGTACCCGACTCACGCTCATTGGGTGCCTCTATTCTCTTGGAGGGGGGCTTGACACCTGAAGCATGCAGGTCATGTCCTGTTAAGCCGGCCCGCCTAGTTCGTGATGTGTTAAAAGGCATGCCGCTAGCAAGCCACATCCACCTGGCGAGGCTTATAACAGAGAACTGCCATTTTTTGGCCGCCGATGAGCTGGCTCGTCATGATCGAGATCAGACTGATATGGTACCAATGGGCACGGAGCGGTTGGATTCCTAACTCTATGCGAGTGTGAGGTTAGGTAGAATCGCCCCAAATCAGACCTACGGCCCAGGCTCGGAATTGTATCGGAAACCCTGGGTATACTGGCCGACTGCACGCATACCCTCTGATCACTCGACTGAAGCAAGGCCAGGAGAGTGCCAAGGAACAGCTGTTGACCTTGGTCAGTGTATTAGTGCTGTGAAATAGGGTAGTCATGACGACGCGTATGCAATGTATGCATGAGTGCCATGCGCCTTGCCTTGAAGAGCTACGAGCGACCTGCCCATATACTGCTGTACTCAGCCTGAAAGTCACAGATCTTGGTCATTCGGATGATCTCTTCCCTATTTGCTCGTGTCATCTGTTGATTTGTCTACATCCATGGTGGCAGTGGTGGTGGTGGCGTAACGAAGACTCGCATTTAGCTGGTCGGCAGGTTGAACGAGACGGGGATGCCCGCGGATGTAACATGGAGTAGTGCTCTATACTTGCGTTGGTCGTACAAGCCACTTGTTCCATCAGCCCTGTCCCGGACTCGTTTGGCGAAGCGCGGAGGCTGTTGGTGGTGATGGCAGACTGCGACATAGCCAAGAAGTGTGTGTGGGTGATCAATAGCCTTGGCCGCCCTTGAGTTATCGGACGGCGAGTTATTTTCCTTTTGCCCTCGAGAAAAAGGCAAGATTTGGCTCGAATGGCTGCTGTGGCTTATGGACGTCAAGACATGGAGTCAATTGAGACGCGGCTCTTCGAGCGCTCATTGCCATCTGCTGCGGGTGCCGAAGGAAAAGCAAAGACTGTATTACCTAGCATTGCGGGAGTGCCCCCAAGCTGCCACCCGTCAAGCAGCAGAGCAACATGCAACGCCCAATCGGTAGAGGCACATGCTTCATTACACCAATGATGATGTCCCGTTCGGGTATCCCGCCCGCAGGCCACCAGGCTGGTCGTGGAACAGCCGAGTGTCGATTTGGACTGGGAAGTCAGCCTTGCACAGCAGTCTTGTTGCTGACATATGTCGTGGCCGGCACCGACAGCATCTTCCCGAGTCCTAGAGTGTCGTATTGCTATTGTTGCGCCAGCCTGATAGTCTCGATGGCTGGAGTAGCCCGATGATTCCATGCCGTAGTCGGGTTGAACAAGGGCAAATGACAGCGGCCGGGTCAGAACCGAGACTTGGGTATTTCATGGAGAATAGGGCCAGGCACACACGAATAGGTATGTGCTATATTTTGGCGCAAGGCTGCAGACTTGGCCGCGAGCACGACTCCCCCCACCAAGAGGATTCAGGCCAAGGCATTGCGCACGGTGTGCCCGTGGGTTGAAGAGATGCCGTTGATGAATGACTGCCGAAGAGGCTGGGGCGGAAGCCGTGCAAATGCAAGCAGTTGGCCGGCAGACGGGCACCACCAAGAAGTCGGAGCCCTCTTCTCTTGGATCGTGTCGGGGCAATAGTGGCTTCCCTATGGCCGAGTGAGTGACTGCTAACGGTACGGCTATTCCTCTCGCGGGCAGCTGCAGTCGGGCAGGATGCTAGGCAACGCCGAAGGACCGGCTGGCTGGGCCGATTGCTCGGAAAGGCGCATTGGACGGGCGAGGATGACACGGTGGGATGGATTGATCTCTGTTCTGGTCAGATTTTGGTCCAGCGACGGACTGTTGTCTAGTAAGACTGCGGCAAATACAAAGTGGTCCGGTGAAGTCATGTCAGTGGCGTCGAGAGAGCCCAGAAGGACTTGGGCCAGACCGACGCTGGTGTGTTGAACGTGACACTGCAGGCAGAGCACATTTCACCAACACTCGGCTCGAAACGAAGAAGGTAGCAAGATGAGCACGGATTTCTCCTTTGCAGGTCCAACGCGCTTTTCAGGGCATTGTCAGCGGGACTAAGTTGATGGCTGGTGGGTGACAGAAAACGGGTGGTGGCCAAGGAAAGATCAAAACTTCCAAGCCTGGGCAAAGTGACGTGACGGCGACAGGTCTGCGGGGAGGCTAGATTGGTTCGTGCAGACCGTGTTTGGAAAGACCGGGGCTGTTTGAAGAACTGGTGGTGTTGCCGAGGGGTCGCCACCAAATGACGACCACCAAAGGCTCCTTCCTCCTCTGCTTCAGCCTGGCTTGAGGACAATTTGGGCTGCATGCCGCGGGATTCTTTGTCACTTGAACGATAATGTCATGTCCATGATCTTCAATGGCTCCCTTACGGCACCCTTACGGGAACTTCGGGTTGATCTATTGTCCCAAGTGTGATGCGTGACATTCGTATCTTGGGTGTGGCCATAAATCGGTGCAAAGGAAACGGCATGTAAATCTCTCGACGACCGTTTGAAACGTTGAGACCTAGGAACCTACTCTGCAGATGGCATTGGATCGAGACCATATGTTGGGCTGGTGCTGTAAGTTGCATTCGATATTTTTCGGTGAGCCAAATTTCGCAGCTTCAATAGAAGCTTCGACGCCATAGCAAGCCAGTGAGGACGTCTGGAGTTGTCGGCTTCCAAAATGCAGTCTGCCCCCTGTTCCATGCAGAGAGTCCTGCTCCATTGCCGATCTGATTTCGAGGGGCAAAGAGCACATATTTGATATTGGAGAGTTACATGTGAGTATCAAATATTCGTAACTTCGCTGTCGAAGTAGATATGTCCTTCTATCATGTGTACGATCGAGCAGAGGCAGGTGACTGGTCGCTTTCAGCTGTCAGAAGATTCCATAGCCTACTCGCGACAGAGTAAGCGGCTGAGCAGGGATCAGATCTCCGGTTACCCCAGATTCAGGGTCAGGGGTTCACGGAAGAGGGCCCCATTCCCCACCTTGGACCTCGGCTTCTTTGACTCGGATGACCTCCCGAGGTCGTCCTCCGCCTGCGAACTGCTTCCAAAGACGGCACCGCCTGCATCCCTCATAGACTAGAACATCTCGTTTCAGCGTCCTTACTCTTGATAGACTTCGATTTGCGATTATCATACTCTTGTAGATTCTACACCTTCGAAAAGAACAACACAGGCCTTGTGATCCTTCTTCCGACTCTTTCTCGCTCCCAGACAAGGCCAGCATCATGCCGTGGAACACAGAGCTCACGCGTCGGTTAGGCATTCGAGGTGAGTACGCTACTCGGGAGGGACGGACCCACGAGGAGACGCAGACACTGCTCTTGATTACAGTCGACTGACGAGAACCACAGTGCCCGTCGTGCAGGGCGGTATGATGGTACGTGTCCCGGGTCTGCCAGCTGTCCCTTGGCAGTTTTCGATGTTTCCATCCACCGACTCATGGTCACCGAGATGACATGTCGTCGCTCCTCGTCGAGATGGGAACCACCAGGCGGCCGCACCGCGATGGAGACACGATAACATACTGACACCGGGCTTCTCTTCCAGTACGTCGGGTACGCCGAGTTGGCCAGCGCCGTCTCCAACGCCGGCGGGCTTGGCATCATCACGGGCCTCATCTTCCCAACGCCAGCCGACCTGCGCAAGGAGATCCAGAAGTGCAGGTCACTAACCAAGAACCCCTTCGGCGTCAACATCACCCTTCTGCCGTCCCTCAACCCGCCTGATTATGGCGCCTACGCCCAGGCCATCATCGACGAGGGCATCAACATCGTCGAGACCGCCGGCAACAGCCCCGGGCCAGTCATCAGGAAGCTGAAAGAGGCCGGGTGTATCATCCTGCACAAGTGCAGTAAGTCTGCCCTTCTGGCCCCCTCTGGGCTGGACTCTCCGTCTTTCCCTCTCTCTTTGTGTGTGGGACAGACGCTTACCTGGTGACACCTCGCACAGCCACCATCAGACACGCACAGAGCGCCGTCAAGCTCGGCGTCGACTTCCTCAGCATCGATGGCTTCGAGTGCGCAGGGTGAGTCGATGATAGCGCCGCATGCGGCCGCCGTCATGCTTCTGTCCCCGTGATGCTTCTGTCCCCATGATTTAGGCTTGCTACGTGGCGCTTGTCATGCCGCGGTCCTTTTTTTTCAACTCCCTCTTTTTTCGTACCGGCCGACGCACGTCATGCGAGGCGCGGCTGACGGCCTCGTCCTGCTGAGCAACGTCACTCAGGCCCGGGCTCCGCCCCTTGTCTGCCTTGTACATATCCCGTACGGTCGCGGGCATGCGGCCTGCCCTCATGCACACACCAGCCCCCCGGGCACTTGCTTTTCTCCTCTAATTTTTCTGTCTTTTTTCTGTGACCCCCATCTCCGAGTATCGGAATGAAATACGACACCGTGGGGGGCCGCCTTGCTAACGCGCAATCGCAGCCACGTCGGCGAATCAGACATCACAAACTTCATCCTGCTCAGCCGCGCCCGGCAGTCCATCAAGGTGCCCTTCATCGCCTCGGGCGGCTTCGCCGACGGGCAGGGGCTGGCGGCCGCGCTCTGCCTCGGCGCGAGCGGCATCAACATGGGCACGCGCTTCATGTGCACGGTCGAGGCGCCCATTCACGAGAACATCAAGAAGGAGATCGTCAAGGCCAAGGAGACGGACACGGCGCTAGTGCTGCGCAGGTGGACCAACACCACCCGCCTGTATAAGAATAAGGTCACAGAGGAGGCGCTCAAGGTCGAGCGGGAGAGCAAGACGGGCGAGTTTGCGGAGATAGCCCCCTTTGTCAGCGGACAGAGGGGCCGGCAGGTCTTTATCAACGGCGATCCGGACTACGGTGTAAGTGATGCTTTCCTCCCATTCCTGGAGTTCGTATGCCTGTTGGATACATACTGATGCGGATGATTAGGTCTGGACTGCTGGCCAGGTCATCGGCCTGATCCATGACATTCCTACGTGCAAGGAACTTGTCGAGAGGATCAGTGTAGAGGCTGAGGGGTCGCTCAAGGAGAAGCTGGAGCTTGTTTCACCGACACAGAGCAAGCTGTAGATGTGTTATAGAACTGTTGTGTGTGTGACGTTTAGCAATGTATTAGAAGTTCCGACGAATATATCGAGACTCATTTCCAGATTCCAAACACCTCGAAAGAGATGACCGGGCAGACAGACGCCCACACAAGTAATCTGTTCTTAATCCAGACACACCTGTCTTCTTTTTGCCCTTTCATGTCACATCTTATCCTCTCAACGGAACCACTATCCTTAATGTTCGGATACCATAGTTAGCTGCAGTTTCTGGATATTATCTAGTTAAGTCTGCTATTTCTACTTTCAACGTCCAGGCCACATTCGGGCCCTGATACGAACAACGACTCAGGGTACGTAATTTAAATATTGAAGTCTTTCGAGCCCGATGCCTGCCCCTCTTTAGAGGTGTAGTCAGAAGACAGTGTAGACTGCAACCTTCTATGGCCATTGTCGCAGTTCGTTAATACTGGATTTGTATCCCGGGGCCGGCGCTGCTGTGGATGGTAGTCCAGCCCTCGCCTGCAGAGGAACCCCAAGCCCATCACTTGGAAACTCCCACTTGTTATATACCTGCTAGCACGCCTGCTGTCTGGTTGGGGGTTGACTGGGAGAAAGTGCCCTGGGCCTGATAGAGAACAGTAGCTATGTTGACATCATGTGGCGATAGATGTCACATTTGTCTAGATGCCCGATCTGATGAAGTCAATAATTGTACATAGAAGCCAGACTTGTTTGATTGCTCTTTTCCATTTTTGCTGTATCTATGTATGCATTGGTATCGCCTTTCGATCTTGCCAAGTGTGTCTTCACACATCTTGTTCATCCGAACAAGCCGCTTTGTCTTCATGATACACCAGCAGCCTTGGCTTTCCATGGCGCTCGTGGGGATGAACTCGCTCCCTGCCATTCCTCAGGGCTGAATATTCCCCGAATCTTGGGCTTGGCCGTTTATGTCGGCAGTCCCCAAAACAAGTTGCGGCCAATTTATACTTCTAGTAAATATTTTGAAGATTAACTATATGCAAAGCCCCGCTCATGCTTCATGGCCATATCCCGTACTCGAACGGGTCGACGTGCGGGTAATCGGCGCGCATCCCCATGATGATGCTGTACTCGTCCCTTAGCAGATCCGAGCCCTCGTTGCCGTAAGCAGCGTACTTGCTGATCTCGTGCCTCCGCAGCGCCACGTTCCACGGGAAGCTGGAGTGCGCGACGCCCATGAACGCGCTCGCCTTGAACATGATCATGAAGTCCACCAGGGCCTGCTGGTCGAACGTGAGGCTGTCGAGCCGCTCGCGGTCAGGCCCCCGGAGCAAGTCGAATTTCGTAACCACATCCACATCCCCCTGGACCAGATCCGACGCCTTCAGCCGCTCGCGGAACAGGTCTACCACCGACTGGTCACCGGAGGCCACGTAGACGACGCGCAGCCCCGTGCGCGCCAGGTTCTCGAACTGCTCCCTAAACTGCTCCTCCATCCGCGAGTACCGCCACTCCTCGGGCGGCCACGCCCAGATGGCGTCCTCCTCGAGCCGGAGGTGCGCGCCGTAGAAGGCCCCCTGGTTGATGGCCACCGCCGGGTCGATAGGCAGCGAGAACCTCTCCTTTAATTCCCAGAGGACCTTGGCCGCCAGCGCGCGCGTGTCGTTGCGGAACGACAGGATCTTGCCGAACTCGGCCGCGAACGCGTCGCCGTCGTCGTGCACGGGGTATTCGAGGAAGGACTGGCCCATCCGGACGTGCACGGGTGCTGCGGGATGGGGTTTGACCTTCTGGTCACCTTCAAGCCACTCATCGAAGAAGCGCCGCCACTCGCGCGGGAACTCAAGCCCTTCGCGCGGGTGGTTCGGCTCGAACTGGTCGCCTATTAAATCCACGTCTACCCGCCGCTCGTAGGCTGGGAAGTCCTCCGCGCGCTCATAGATGTGCATCCCAGGGCAGCCGGCTGATAGGTGCTTGATGAAAGTCTTGCGCTCCAGGAGGTAGTCCAGCGGCACCTCGTTGGTCGTCTCGATGTCCGTCAGGTCGCTCGGGTTGCGCAGGGCTATCGAGGGAACCACAAGCGCGCCGCCGCCGTTGATCGCATACCGCACGCATTTCAGGATCTGGTTGCGCAGCATTCCGATGCCGCCGTGCTGGCCCTCGCAGGTGAAGAGCAGGCCCGGCCTGAAGTTGTCCGGTTTTCGTGTGCATATCTCCTTTATAGGGCTGTAATCGATTGGCGTAGGGAACTCGGTGTCGATTGCCTTTCGGACGAACGCCCTCTCTGCCTCGAGTTCGTGTTTGTCGCCCACCCCGTCCTGCTGCGCGAACAGCAGTACCGCCACCCCGTCGAAGCCACTCATTAACCGCGTGCTCCATACGACGATGAGCAGGGCCCCCATAAACAACGCCGCCACCCACGGGCGATCTTGGCAGAGCATGGCGGGCTGGATGGCTGGCTGTCGTTCAACGAGCAGCCGAATAAGAAAAGAGGGCACCTTACCGCTGTAAGGCGTTGCCAAGAGGTTGACAGAACGCAGATTTCTTGGGGCCAAGAACAAGCTCCAGGAGTTTTCTGGCACGACGTCGGACGCTCGAGGCAAGCTCTGGCGAGGCGAGCTAGGGTGAAACTGTTCGTGTCGGACCACGGCGTCCAGGGGCCCTAAAATGGGGGGCACGGCAGTGGTGGCTCGGCGAACATGATAGGTCTCAGCAAGCTAGGATTTAGAATTTTTGGTCTCCTGTACAGGAATTTCGAGGGTCCTTTTCTTCAATGGCTACTTGCAGATGGTGTAGTTCGTCTTTTGTAAGAGAGCAGGCATCGAGCGTCGGGTCCTATAATGCGGGCACTAGCCCAATTGTTAGACAACCCCTGGCTTCCACTGGAATATACTCAATTGCTCAAGTTCCGTGCTGCCACAACCCTTTAAATGATAGGTCAGACTCATTAAGCCGCCTTAGGTACACTCCGCAGACTGACTTATATTGTTGTTCCTCTCTCCTGTTGTCCTGTCTCGCCTGAAGCAGATTGGAGCCCTAATTCTCCGGTTAGCTGGGTTCCAAGCCCGTCTGAGACGCACCTCGTTCAATCTTCCTAAATTCCACTTCATATAGCATGCAAATCACGACTCTGAGCCGTCATGACTACCAGCACGATGCCTTGAGACGACATCCCAGCCGGATGGCGCTCACATGCTCCTCTTCTCGCCATATCGAATCGCGCGCGACACCCTCTTCATGGAATGTGCATCTCACCCTCAGAACAGGCAGAGCCGGACCAATCCACTCAGTTCGGAACAGAACATATTTCATGGGTGCGGTTGAAAGTGCTTTGGCAGCACTCGTGTTTTCTCTTTCTGTTCTTCCTCTTGACCCCCACAAACGATTTCAGCGAGAATTGGGCTTTGTCGCAGACATCTGGAGGCTCACATGGTTTGGAAAACAGTTGACATATTTGGAGCCGGGCTCGAGGGTGATGGAGGCGTGTTCCTGGCACGCTCAGGTCCTTTGTTGACGTAGGTTTGTGGAATGCTCGTCCCGGGTGGGTACCTTCTAATGGGGGCTTCTCAATTGGCATCCTATTTGATGTTAACTTCGGTTGGGCTTCGTCTTGCTGTGCCAGGACGGCAGGATATGCTGCGACGTTGGTTATGTGAATAGACAGGCCGACGGGTAGCCAACCAGGCTTCGCAGGACCCAGAAGTCAAGATAACTCAGTGTTCTGGAATAATGAGACGAGGATTCGCTTTCACATCAGTATGAATTCGTCTTAGGCTTCATTGGACGGGGCTTTTAAGACGAGGAGGATGGGTGCAATCCCAGCCTGATTGTATGGGACTGGAGCGACTCTGAAGAGATGGGAAATGACAACTGCTTCCGAAGACTGGTGATACTCCTGGCGTCTTTGCCAAGTTGCCCCTACGAGGATCGTGTCTGTTTAGAATGTTGATTCTGTCACTCGAGATCTCATTGCCAGCAGCTAGTTAGTGACCTTGGACTCAGGGCCCAGACGACGCTAGTCAATCATGTTGTCCACATGGACTGCGGAAGTGTTTGAATGATTCCAGTGAAGCTGGAGGTGTATCTGCAAACATTCACAGGGAGGTGACCATGCCCCCGGCAGTGGCTTCGATGGTTCGCAGGCTCATGACGGCTGCAATTATTTAAAGGCCAGAATCATCAACAACCATGGCTTTCCTTCCAGTCCACATCAACCTTCGACAGAAGTTGGCCCTCCGATCACCTTCAGCACTCCAGCACTGGTCTCCCTTCATCAATCGGTGACCCGACCTCACCCCTCTTGCATTCCTTCGTGAGTATTGCTTTGTCCTCATCCCCCTGACTGGTCCCTAATCCTGATTCCCCGACTACATCCCCCGGCTCCATCCTCCAGTCATGAACATCCAGAAGATCCCATGAGGCCTTCGAGTTGGAGCATTCACGGAGATTTTCGTGACAACATGACCAGGTCTACCTAACTTCGTCGCCTTCAGTCTTCCAATAGGAACCTTTAGTCCTAAGTCATCGTTCCCTCCTCTTTGGTCTGGATACTCCTGCTGACAGCTAACCCGTATATTTCAGCGGCAGCACGATGCCTCCAATGTATAGAAATCCGGATTGGACGGAGTTCAACGGCGAGCCATATTGGCTTCCTTACGGCCCCCCGAACCCGAATTACGTTGCCCCAAACCAGCCCAACATGGCGCGTCCTACTCCGGGCACTCAGCCTCACCAGACGCCACATGATGGCATGACGCCCACCACGAGGGGTCCAGTCAACCCTCACGTCCCCTCCAACGCTGGCATTCCGTCCAGCGATGGCATCCCGTCCAATAGTCGCGGCTTGCCGAATATTCGCGTCCCTACCAACACTGTCCGTTCTCGCAGTAACGCCGTCCCGCCCAATGTTGGTGTCCCAATGAACACTGGCGGCCCCTCCGACACTGGCATGCCAAACAATACTGGTGCCGCCCAGGGCAGAATCAGCGGCCCAAACATGTCTAGCGGCCCGGCCAATACTCGTGTCTTCGCGGATAGCCAACGGCAGCACATTCAAGGACAGTCTTCCGCCCAACAGCCTGCGGCACCTTCTCAGATGAGAGCACAGACAGGACGTCGTGACGGACGTCCTGTCAATGGTGGTGCGGCTCCCAGGCCAGTGAATGACGAATCCCAAATCCGAGCAGACATAGCCGAGGTGAAGGCACTACGCAATTCAAACCGGACCGGCTCCGGACTCATCAAGAGCTTCGAGCACCAGGAGCGTCTCGAGAGAGCCGAGAGACGGATGCTCAGGAGAGGGGGACCCGATCTGTCTGGCGACATGCCCCAGGACGATGCTGGTCGAGGGGTTCTTGTGGATCGCCTTTGTGCCGCCATCACGAACCTCGAGGGTATCGAGAGCCGTAGGGAGCGCGTCAATCCGTCAAAGAATGGCGATTCGAAGAAGATGGACAGCGCGGCAGTCAGATGCGTCAAGGAGAAGACGACCTACGATGTTGCGAACCTGGCGTGGAAGTTCGTTGTAAGTGTTTGCCCACAAACGATTATGTCATTATTTTTGTTGTTGTTTCCATCCCCTCAATGCTAATGAATACTGCTAGGGATCCGTGAGAGATGCCCAAAAGGGTCACCTCGAACTTGACCACAAATTCAAGATTGCAAAATACGAGACCTTCAGAAGCAGATTCAGAGATTTGGAGTATTGTTTGAGAGTAAGTCGTTGTTAATTCCAATGTGAAATGGGAGATGTGTATGGGAAAGGAAAACCGCTAACCGGGAGAAATTGTTTGAAGGTCAACAAGCATCTCGTCCGAAGTGCTTTTGAGTCAAGCGAATGGGTTGACCGGATCGCAGCAGACCCTGAAGGGGAGAGACAGCGGAAGAAGGAGAACGAGGGCATCAACGAGGCCAAGTGCAAGGTCCTTGCTGAGGCGAGACGGAAGAGGAAGGCTGATCCCAACGCTGATGACTCTGGAAAGAAGCGTGGCTCGAGGACAGCAAAACGCGCGAGGCACTCTCTGTCCCCGGAAATGGAGTCAACAGAGGATCAGCCTCAAGCCCAATTGGATTACCCACAGGGAGTTCAGCAGAATCGTGGTCAGCACGCGGCTCAGGATCAGGCTCTATCTGCCATTCAGGACGCAGCAGCTCAAGCTCAGGAATTCCAGCAGCAGCAGGGCCACCAGCAGAAACAATCTCGGGGCCAGCCTCAGATGGTCCAGCAGTACCAGCAGTACCAGCAGCACGTCAACCCTACGCAGGGCTTTGTCAACCCTCAGCAGGGCTTTGTCAACCACCCGCAGTACGGTCGCCCTCAGCAGCATGGAAACGCTCAACAGCAATTTGGAAACCACCAGCAGCATGCAAACCCTCGGCAGCATGCAAATTCCCAGCGGGGCAGCAACCGTCAGCAATTTGAGACCCATCTGCGGATCCAGAACCGAGCGCAGTCTGAGGGCCCTGAACGGTATGGTAATCCTCAGCAGCTTGGAAACCATGCCCAGCAGTTCGGCAACCCTCAGCAGACTGTGGACTTCCAGAGCTTTGAGCAAGATCAGCAGCATGGAAGCTCGCAGCAACATGAATCCTCCCAGCAGCTTAACCACACTCAGCAGCTGAACCAAACTCAGCAGCTGAACCAAACTCAGCAGCTGAACCACACTCAGCAGGTCGACAGCGCTCAGCAGCCTGGAACCCCTCAGGAGCAAGGTCAGCAGCCTGCGGCCGTGTCAGAGGCCGAGGCCGCCGCCATGCCCGCCACCGACGGACAGCAGTCACCTTAGGCAGGCGATGCCAGTACCGAGCGTGCAGAGCCAGCGCAGACAACGATGTTTGATGAGGAGTTTGATGAGTTGTGGGGCCTGAACGCGCCTCTCACTGATGAGGATTATGCGACATTCGGCCTGGAGGAGTACAACCAGGACCAAAACGACCAGGGAAACTTCACCCTGGAGGACTGGGAGTCCTTCGGAGAGCCCAACGCCTGATGATTCTGACGAATACACGGATGGAGAGTGATGGTCTGGCTAGGAGTGGTGTGATTTGGTGAGATGGAAGAAGACTGTGCCAGGTCTAGGGGAGGGGGTTCCGCTGTATACTTATACTCTGATGCCGCCAAGCGACGGGATTGTCCACTGGTTTTCTCATTCGTCTTCTTATTATATCACTAGTATTATAAATTTAAGTTTCTTTTGAGTCTTCATCTGCCAATGTCTCCGCTCTAATTCCGTGCCCTGAATATTGGTGGGCTTCTTCAACCTCGAAGAAAATGCTTTTCTGCCCTAGCTGAGAGGGACTTATCCTGAGGTGAGCCGGATGGTCTGTATGCAATGGTTACCAGACGGGAAGAGAAAAGAAGCGCCACAGTAGCCTGCAAAATAGACCTTGAATAGTCGTTGGGGTGTTCTGTGACTGAAGTGGCATATGAATGCACCTATTCACCACATGCATGCTACAGATCCGCAACCAAGTTGATATCTTCTCCAATCACAGCCAAGTTACGGCAGCTCTTCATAACTGACACCTGTGGTCACAGTAATAGATTAAATTGAGCCAAACAGCATTCATCTTGTCTGGAGAACCTCAAAACAGCGTCCTGAATGGAGTTATCATCATGGCAATACCATCCGATGGCTCGGAACCCACGACTCGGCGGAATATCCCACTGTCTGTAGTGCGCATTCCGTCTGTTACCTTCCGTCTGCTAACTTCATCTCACCACAATATCATGATACCGTGTTAACAAACGGGCGGCCCTCGCTACACAACCAACAGCCAACAGCTTACAAGGGTGAAGTCTCGACGATGCAGTAGTGATTCTCTCTCTATTCACTTCACCAGAGCTGCTCTCTGCTACTCGCCGCTGCCCTCCTGAGCGTAAAAATACAGCAAGCTGCTTCTGATAAAATACTAGATATTGACACTGACGCCAACTTCTTCGCCATTCCCCTATCGTATAGAAAGTGAATTGGATCCTCGTTACCCCGCGGCAGAGGGACTGGGGTCTGGTCATCGGCGCTGGGAAGTGATTATTCAATGTTCTAGCCGTACCTATTGAATCACTTCATCCTTGACTGAACAAACGGTAACCTGGCTGGGGGTGAACGACCAAGCAGACAGCCCCGAGTTCTTAAACCCTCGACCGCAAGCCATCTACTCTGCCTTCCTTCCTTCCACTCGACATCACCATCGCAAGGAATCGGTCCTCAGTTCCATCTTCACACAACACAAAACCTTCTGCCCTCGTCAGTGGAAAGCCTTTGACTACCCACCTACCTTGATCAAGTGGTGCCAGTGAGTATTTCCAACATCCTCACCATCCTCAATACCCAATCCTCCTCCACCAAGATCGCACCAACGACACACAAACATACCTTGGTCGTCTGTCAGTCGACTCGAAGTCGTTTGTACGAAACATCCCCCTACATACTGCTGCCACAGCCGCGAGTCTTGTGACCATCAACGTCGTCAACTATTCTCTCTGCCTCACCATCTCCACTGCTCTATCACAATCCTCTCAGCTTCGTCCCAATTGAGCCCCTCGTTAATCCATAACCCCTCCCGAAGACTGATTTGATTGCTTAGCCTTAATCCGATGGATCGCAAGAAAATCGGCAAGACTGGTCCCGAGGCGACGCCTACTTCGAAGCCCATCTCTTCAAACCGTGGTTCCATGGCCTTTACTGCTCCGCTTGGCCCGGGAGGATACTTTGTCAATCGAAACAACTACACCACCATCGCTCACAACATGACGCCGACCGGTCAGTACGGTCCAGGAGGACATCAACTGCAGAATACTCCCAGCTTTAATACAACTGCCAGTGCTGCATACAACATGCACCCTTTCGTCCAGAATCAACTTGAACACCACCACCTCAACCAACAAAACGCTCAGAATCATCCGAATGTGCCCAATCATCCTGTTTTCCAGAATTATCCAATGGTCCAGAACGTGGGTTACTTGGTCTCGACTGCCCCTCCAGCAGGAGTTCCCGACAGCACTAACCCCAGAAACCGGCACCAGCGTCATCCACACTCCACTCCGATTGCGAGCCACGTCTACGTGAACCAGGCCATCCCATCTGCCCATGCTTCGGCCATGGAAAAGCAGACACAGCTGGTGCAGCCAGCTCAGCCAGCGGCTCCATCGATGGATGAGACTATCGCTCTCGTCAAGGACCTTTTGAAGGAAGACGAAATCAACTTCGACGATCACATTCAGGGCTTCGAGGACCTCGCCAGATTCGCGGAGGCTGAGAAGCGAGTCAACCTAGAGCCGACGCCTGAGCTTGCAAGAGACTTCCCGGCGGACAAGGCTCAGCGAGTGGCTCTGGCTCGTGGCTTTTTCGACTCCTTGGTGTACAGGAAGATGCAGGATCAGCGCGTCGGCAGCAAGATGGCGTTCAATCGCATCAAGTCCCGGAAGTTGATCACGTTCAAGATCGTCGCATGGAAGCTCCTGGTATATAAGTCCCAGGCCCTAGTGAAACTTGACATTAACTAACAATAAGTTCCAGGAGAAGACTCTCGCTGCACAGCGGGGTGAGCTGCTTCTTGACCCCAAATTCAAGATCGAGAGGCACTCAACCTTCCTCGCAAGATACAGAGCTGTAGACGACGCGCTCCAGGTGAGTAATCTCAGGCACATCATCTTCTTCACATGAGAAAAAGAGACTAATATAGGACAATGCTTCTTAGAAGGACGACTTTCTCGTGGCCGACGCACTCTTCTCAGATGAATGGAGGGACCGCATTGCGGCGGCTCCAGAGACGGAGTTGGCGCGGAAGCAAGGCAACAAGAAGAGCAATGAGGAGAAGAACGCCAAGTTGGCACACGCGACTAGACTGAAGCAGGTCAATCCCAACTTCGATTTCAAGACTGCCGACCCTATCGATGCCAAGACTTCTTCGCGTCGCTCCTCCAAGCGAGCAAAGCGGTACCATGATGAGTTTGTGGATGAGGAGCAGGAAGATAGCCAGCTCCAGACCGCGGCCGACCAGGTCAACGACCAACCTCAGGCCGACGACGCCACTCTGGTTAATAACGACAACCCTCTAGTCAACGAGACCCCTCAGGCCCTCGACGACCAGGGCCACGACCAGAACCAGCAGCCTTCAGGTGCCGGCCAGATCGATGACCAGGCGCAGCCTCCGGTTGTCCAGACCAACAACCACGATCAGCACATCGTCTACCAAGATGGCCACCAGGCCCAGGACGCAATGGATCCGGCCAATATCGGTGATCAGCAAATTGAGCAGCAGCACCAGTACCAGCACCAGCAGGAGCACACTGTCGGCCAAGTCTACGATCACGGCCAGCTTCCGCCGCAGCAGGCCAACTACCAAGCCCAACCCGGCCGGCCCGCCATGATGCAGCAGGCAAACTCCTTCAACAACCAGGTTCCGCAGGCGTCTTAGGAGGGCAGCCTCGACGGAAACTTCATGCAGGACTTTGAGAACATGGAGCCACTCTCCCAAGATGCTTTCCAACAGGTCATGAACCGGCCGTCCACCATGAACGACGTCTTTTTCGGCCGGCTTAGCCCTGAAATTCCCTATAACTTCTGGCAGCCTCCCACGTACCCGCGCAGTGCCAACGAGATGGGAAATGGTGGACGCTCCGCTGCAACCAGCCGAACCGTCAGCCCGGGTCCTGACACAAGCCCGAACTACGTCTCTGGTCAAGCTTTGCAGCCCGGCTCCGAGTTCGATGGACAGCCCGGCAGCGGCTCAGCTTTCGGCCAAGGCCCCTGAGCGGAATTGGCAATCGGGCTCCCTTGACAAGGCTGACTACAAGCGTTCATCCAGTGGCCGCGTTAGCCTATCACGGTTGTTATTCATCGGTCTAGTAGGTGTATGATCAGGACAACAGCGATCTGTCAAGACTGGTAGCACAACACCAATGGCCGATCTGCCGGAAGAGAACCGGGGCCTTGTGATGGGAAGGGATAGGAGTTTAGTGGCCTATGAAAGAGGAATAGGTGTGTGAACAAGGTGCTCGACTTGAAGGGTTGTACAGCGCCATTTGACTACTTGCTCTATATATTCTTATACAAAAAAGAGCCTTTTTTGACGATCCTCCAGAGTAAAAAGACGTGCTGAGAAGGCATCTGAGTATTGCATTGAATCGATAGTTCCATTGCCCACAAATCCATAGGGCTAGGAAAGTGACTAGGAGTGCAGTCTTGTGCATTCACACTATATGGAGGTTAATCTGATCTTGGACCATTCACTACTTTACCATTCAAACAAGGCTCTTAGTACGAATCCACAGCAACAACCAGCTACGACTCTGCCTCTGACCTCTTCCACTGTGAACCTGAACAAACAGTGCACAATCTCCGACACCATCATCGGGTAATTATTCCCGGATCTTCCACCCTCTGCTGAACACTCCTAAGTGATCCAGCCCCCAACGCTACTTCAACAAACTCTCTCCTGTGAGTCGCACTGATGGTTGTTTACGACGTGCTTCAGTCGCACTGCAAACCGTCGTCGTCATATTCTTCAGCCCTCAACAAGACCTCCCTTGGCCAACCGTGGCACTATTGCCCCTCCCAAACAAGCCCCTGACACCGAGTCAACATTGCCCTTTGAAAAGCACAGTGACCTTGCTGACAACAAGTCATCTGTCCAGGTTGGTGACAATGAAGCCTAGCCGTCCTTGCAAAGACGAGGTCATCATGGACGACGAAGCTCGTCCCGAGAAAGCTCCTCGTTTGTCTGTCACTCACGACAGCCCCAAGCCGCCCGAGACGAAGCCGCCCGAGACGAAGCCGTCCCAGACGAAGCCGTCCCAGACGAAGCCGCCTGCCAAGACCAACTCCTTCGAGGCGAAACCTCAGGACGGACGCCAAGATTTGGGCGACTCGAAGGCCAACGCAACGCCTACCCCCAGCCTCGAGAGCAACAGCAAAGCCGCGAACCCAGAAGCTAGCCCCACTGACGATTCAAAGACATCGCGAATCATGGCCCGTCTGACCCAACTGAAAGCCCTTCTGCAGGATGATGGAGACCAATTCGAGGGACACATCCGAGGCCTGGAGGACCTCGAGGAGTTCGAGGAAGCGATGGAACTTCTCTACCTGGACGACCAGCGCCCCGATCTCTCTGCTGGCTATCCTCAGACCCAGGACGGCTTCGTGGCACACTGCCGCCAGCTCTTCGACGCCATGAAGAACCTGGACAACATACTCGACGTTGTAGGCATCCCCGGAGGCAACAATCGGTCGAACTTTACCCGCAGTGGAGATAGCGTTGCCGTGAAATTCATCAAGTCCAAGAAATCCATCGAGGTTATTCTCGTCGCTGGAAAGCTTATGGTCAGTACACATTCCAATAAGAAATTCCGGCACAAATCTCTGCCAATTTCAGCAGCTAACCTAAGCCTCCAGAGAGCGATGCTCAAGGCCCAGCGTGGCCGTCTCTCGCTTCCTGGAAGGAAGTTCCACGAATACGGCAGCTTTACACTGCGTTTCCAAGCAGTCGTGGATGCACTTAGGGTAAGTCGTAACTACTTTGCCAAACATCCCTATCTTCCACAGAGAAGAACTGGCTATTAATACGAGGTGACGCGAGCAGGTCAGCAAGCTCCTGGCCCGAAGCGCCTTCGAGTCCGAGGAGTGGATCGATCGCATTGTCATCAACCCAGACGCGGAACTGCATCGCAAGAAGACGAACAAGACAATCAACGAGGCAAAGGGTGAGAAGCAGAAGTTTGCCAACATGATGAAGAAGAACGATCCCACCATCGACTTCAAGCACACCATGAGCCCCAAATCGGCCGAGACCGGCACTTCGGCTGCCACCCCAGGCCCTGCGGACCAGGCCCAGCAGCAGTCCGATCAGGGCACTGCCATCCAATCTCCTCAAATTCAGACGGGTCCAGACACAAGCCCGGCCCCGCGGCTTTCGAAGCGTATCAAGACTTCCAAGGACCAGGCTGGTCAGCCTGAGATGCTGGGACCTTCTTCGGCCTCCGAGAGCAATATCAACCAGGACCAGCAGCCTTTCGAGAGACAGGCCACAGACCAGGGTCAGCATGACCTTCAGGCTCCTCATGATGGGAGCCTAGACGACGGCTTCACAGATTCGAGACTCGGCGAGGAGGCGATCGACTGGTCGACGGAGGAACGTTCCCAGCAGACGGATCCAGGCTTTCCCTCTGCCGGCATGTCCCAAGCCTTTGCGGGCCCCGGAAGAGGCCACGGTACCGCTAGCCACGATGGACAACCTGCATACCAGCAGCTTGGAACGTTGGCACTCGATCCGAATCCGTTCAGTGTCGCGGGACCGATTAATGACTACGGCTCTGGACTCTACGGCCCGCCTGATCCTGGATTTCACGGCCAGCGAACCGGCGGTTGGGCTGGATTCCAACCTATCGGACAGAGCGAGGGCCACTACCAAGACGAAGACCAGAAGAGCCAGGAGGACCGGGGAGAGGACAAGGGCTCGGTCCACTACGATGGTTGATTTCGTTGAGGACATCAGGCGCCGTGTCCTTCTCAATGTCTTCACCCGGAACGATCAGCAGCGAGAGTTTGGTCGTGGAGTGGGATGCTCCATTCCCCATGAGCCTGAACCAACGACGGCTCCTGCGAGGCCAGCAATAATATGAGCAGAGAAGCCCTCCACCGTGGAACTCGCCATCGATGTCAACGACATACAGCTCGATTGTCCACCAGGTGTCGCTAACGGAGAGGTAGAGGGTAGGCAGGAGGATTATCGCAACCATCGAGAAGATTGAGATGTCAAGGACGCGCGACTGTTCAGCTCGACTGTCTTTCACTAGGAGATGCGGCACTGCGATTGCCTCTGGCCGTTGAGATAATGACTGGCACAAAGGAAGCTGGCGGTGATCTGGTATGAGGATTATGTACATTATACATGAGTGGAAGATCCCAGAGACTCGAAGCGGACGTGGTGAGCGGCCTTTGTGAAGAAGGAAGCGTGGTTGAGTAATGGGCGAGTGGAGAGCCGCGCTGAAGGATTTGACAAGGGATACACTCCCTTTTTTCGCTCTGGAGATTATTATGGATTCAGTCATAGGGTTTGATTGCATCGAGGCACACTAGGCAACAAGTAATGCGTCTGATTCCAACAACTTTGATCCCAATGTTGGATGGCAACAATTGCAGTTGCGGTGACATTTCTTACAACACTATTCCGTGAAGGTTGATGGCATCGGACAATGTAAGTGAGGAGTCATAAAATAACATTTCAAGGTCCGTCCTGGAGGCACTTCTTTCTATCACTCTCTGTTGTACTTGACCTACAATTTGTATGTTGCCAGCTACACGTCCGCTTCAATCCTTGCCCCGAGGGGCTTGAATTCATAGTGACGGCTCGGGGTCTTGAATTGAGTGCAGACCAGAATGCTCGAGCTGCCTCATGCTGTTCCGGGGGATTTCGGGGCATCGGGTCTTAACTTTCTGATCGATCACATTGCTAAGTCTGTCCGTCCAGGACCATTCCGATCCCGCAGTGCCATGTCGCCCTAGAGTCAGGTGCAATCGCATGGCTGTCAAGGCCAGGGACATCGGTTACATGCATGGCCGACCGCTACGATGCGTCATCTCTGAAGACAAGACCAGCTGCTCCAGACCATGCCCATTCGATAGAGCGGGCCGACGTTTGTCAGAGTCTGCGGGTTCTGAGACAAGGCTCGTGCCATCATCCACCGCTTTCAGATGTGTTCCTTCGACAAACGGACGCTTTTCCTTGAAATACATCAAGACTGGGTGGATTAAAGGCAGTTTCGCCCAGAGAACACTGCACGCACTCCTTCGGATGAACCAGGCTGGGCCTACAACGCATCCTCACCTACTCATAATTTGACACACAGTCACGATGGCTTCCAGTTTGGCACTCACCCTCGAGCAAAAGCAATGCCCGGTCTGCCACACCCAAGAGGGCCTTCAGCGCTGCGGCGGCTGCCGTGCCGTCTACTACTGCGGCCGCGAGCACCAGGCCAGCCACCGGAACAGCCACAAACACGCGTGCAACGCCATGAAGAAGGCCTTCGAGGCTCTGCACCGCACGGAGCACAAGCTGAGAGCCCTGCAGCAGGCCGACCTTCTCTTCCTCGCGGAACAGGTGGGCCGCTTCTGGGACATCCAGGAGACGCGCGACAACATCCGCGCCCGCTTCGCCCTCGTCGAGACAATGATCCTGCACTTCAAGAGCGCCAACGCCGTGCTTGATTCGCTCGTCCACCTGATGCACATGCTAGACCTGTGCCAGAGCGACAACCTGGGCATGCGCTGGGTCGCGCCGGCGCTCTACCTCCGCCTGGGCTGGGACCAGCAGTGCTACGACTTCCTCAAGTGGTGCGCGACGAAAGGAGAGCGGATTCGCTATTACCGCTGGGATGAGAAGGACGAGCCACCTCTGCGTTTCGATGGCGCGGATGTTCTTGAGTCGCCAGAGGGCATGTGGACGGGCCCCTTGATCCAGCTGGGCCACGCTGCCTGCGTGATGCTCATCAAGGTGCGGGTCGTTCTCGACCTGCAGCACATGCTGAACGCGACGCGGGCGCTCGAAGGGGTCATGCCGCGGGAGATCATCGACGAGATCCGCGGCAGCTCGCTGGTGAGCAGCGTCGTGGCCTTGAGGAAAGACATCATCCGCGCGTCTACGGAGAGGACCGCGGAGCTGCTGCGACTTGTCAAGCACCAGGTCACGGTATTGTTCCGCACCATTGCGATCTACAACCGCGCTTTCTGGCCTGCGCTGGTTGACTCAGACAGCAGGCCGGAGAGGCGAGCCGATGCGTACCCGCCGGGGTCAGCAGAGGAGGCAGCTGTCGCGGTTATGCATAACCGTGAAGCGTGGATGGAGACACCGGGTTCTATCGAAGTCATCAAGAGTCTAATGAAGGTGGCTTGAGGGTGACGAAGTCTTGTACACGCCATGGAGAGCGCCGTTGTATAATGTCACAAAGTCCAGATGTCTCGGTTGGACAAGCATGGGATGGCACGGCACTGTTCCCAAAACACAATATCGTATCCAGTGGCATCCTTCACATTAGTTCACTCTTGAAGCTTGTTATTCTAGGGAGGAATTAAGATGCCCCGCAGTCGTCATTGCCCAGACGTCACATCGTGGGACACCTTGGGCCAGTTGAGCTTGAAGAAAATCAATATTCGCGGATAAAGTCAGTGAAGTTGCACAGCATATGCGATGTAAGCTGATGGTGAGTCCGATAGAACTAATAGGAACCTGTCTTTGATATCCAGTCGATTGCATTTTCCCGGGACTTTATCCTCTTCATTACTTTATTAGCGAGATCTCGACCGCATTTCTCCGCTCGAGATCGGCATGTTCGTTTCGATTGCTTGCTCAGTGGACCTCTAAAGTTCAAAATTTGGTCCGGTAAATGAATTCTGTCGTGAAAAACAACGTCACAAGCAGGCGAACCATGCTCTTTTACGGTGTAATTCTCCTATGTTGCGCAAGGATAGTAGCAGGACTACCAGCACATGCTGCATCAGCTACCATTATCGAGAGGCAGGATGATTTGCTGGATGAGTACGACTACATTATTGCAGGAGGCGGCACAGCAGGTCTCACAGTGGCAGATCGTTTGACTGAAAGCGGCAATTGTACACACATTCATTACTCTTGGGTTGTCGAACACTAACCACGCTGCAGATACTGTTCTGGTTATTGAATACGGCTACCTGGACTCATCTGACTCCATCGTGGCTATCACGACACCAGACCAGCGAGTCGCACGCCCGGATGAATACTCCGTGGCCACACGTTGGTACAATGACACAACGGAGCCGCAGGTAGGTCTAGACGGCCGACGACATACCATCAGAGCAGGCTGTGCAGTCGGCGGGAGCTCCACCATCAATGGGATGTTGCTCGATCGCGGCTCTGCCGAAGACTACGATTCCTGGGTGCTGGTCGCCGGCGATTACAAGGAGGACTACGCTGCCGAGTGGGGCTGGGAAAACATCCTGCCGGCGTTCAGGAAGAGCGTCACGTTTCATCCGCCAACCCAGGAGATGCAGGAGTCGCTTGGCATCACGTACGACGTGGACGCGGCATACCAGAGGGGCGGGACGCCTCCCGTTCACTCGAGCTACCGGCCGTTTCAATGGCCGATCCAACGCAAGCTACATTGACAGCTCACATGGCACGAAGTAATGAGCTGACTTGTGAATAGAGCGCATGTTCAATGCCTTGAAGACCATCCCCGGAATCGCCTCGCCCAAAGAGGCGAACGACGGCAGCAAATACGGTGTCGTCTGGGCGCCCAACTCGATCGACCCAGCAACAGAGAGACGCTCGTACGCCAAGACGGGCCACTACGACAACACCCCCGGGCGACGAGACAACTTCCATCTCCTCCCCGGCCACCGGGTCGTCCAAGTCACCGGCGGCCCCTCCGACACGGACGGGTCCTGGGTCGCCGACGGCGTGCGGTACAAGCCCCGCGGCCCCTCCAAGGCCGTCTCGGCCGTGAGGGCGCGCAAGGAGGTCGTCGTCTCCGCGGGCACGTTCCACACGCCGCAGCTCCTGGAGCGCAGCGGCATCGGGCCCGAGGAGGTCCTCCGGGCCGCGGGCGTGCCGGTCAACGTGGCGCTGCCCGGCGTCGGATACAACTTCCAGAGCCACACGTCCTTCTCCTTCGCGCACAGCTTCGGCGTGTCCGTGTTCCCGACGCAGGCAGACCTCGCCCGCAACAGCACGTTTGCGACGGAGGCGCAGAGGCTGTGGGATGATGGGAGGAAGGGCCCATATACGGCGTATGTCAACAGCGGCGTGTGGTTGCCGTTCCCTGTCTTTTCGAACCAGACGGAGGCCCTCGTCAGCAAGATCCGAGCCCAGGGCCCTGATGAGTATCTCCCCCCTGGTCTGGACCCTACGCTCGTCGCAGGCTATGTGATCCAGAAAGAGGTACTGATCCAGCAACTGCGGTCACTCGAGTCAGCCTGGCTCGAGTCGCTCTTCTTCGGGCAGACCAGCGCCGGCGCAATACTGCAACACATCTTCTCGCGCGGCACGGTGCACATCTCGCCGGACGACGACGGCCTCGACACCGACCCCATAATCGACTACCGCGCCTTCAGCAACCCGGTCGACCTGGACCTGAACGTCGAGCTGCTCCAGGGCGTCCGCTGGTACATGGGCCACGAGGCCATGGTGGCCGCGCTCCAGCCGCGCGAGACGAGCCCCGGCGTCTACGACGACGCCGGGATGCGGGCGTGGATGCGCAGGACCATCAACCCGGACGTGGCGCACCAGGTCGGCACGGCGGCGCTGGGGCCCAAGGAGCTGGGTGGCGTGGTCGGGCCGGATCTAAGGGTCCATGGGACGGGTAGGCTGAGCGTGGCGGACAACTCGATTGTGCCGATGGTGCCTGGGTCGCATACCAGCGCGCTGGCCTATGCTGTTGGGGAAAAGGTAGGACATTCTCTCTTCTCTATCTGCTCGAAAGCGTATTTGATGGTGCTAATATCGGGATAGGCTGCCGATTTGATTCTACGCCGGGCTTGACTTGCCGGAGATAGGTTGATGCAAAGTTCAGTGAACAGATATCACAACACCAAGCGTCCGTTAGAGTCTCTGCCTTTATCTCTAATGAGTTTGAAAAGTGCTTGACGTGGGTTGTTGCTGGGAGGGAGGCATCACTTGTTTCTTGGCGTGGGGTGTTCTCGCTCGGCATACATGTGTGGTCTGGAGGACAGTTAATGGAGCAATATACAACATAGAAACAATATGCAGGGAACAGTAGTAGACCTACGCACGCGAGTCTAACTTAATCGTAAAGACGAAGTGACTGGCTGAGATCTACACCTTTCCAGACCGCTCCGTGTGCAGCCCACCGCAACTGTGAGGAGCCTACAGCAGCTCTACCCTCACCACAGCGGCTCCATTGAACGGATTGCGCCGCTCTAGTTCATCTTTCAACCCTACCCCGCTGACCTTGTCACGCTCGTCATCTCCTGGTAAGTGCTCAAATTCTTGCATTATTCGAAACATGGTGTTCCTTGTGAACGTCAGATCCTTCCCAGGAACGGGATCCAGGACAAGTCCGTGGATTTCGTTCCAGGTAGCGGGCCCTGACATTGTGCAAAACTCGAGGAGGGCCGGGCACCGGCCATTGAGTCCCTCGCGGTGAAATTCTTCCTCATTTTCATCGAGCCTGACGACCCCGCGCATCGAGCACTGGCGATCTATCCCCTCAATGCTGACAGTCTCGGGACCGTATTCTGGAGCAAGGTAGGTGTTCTGAAGAAGCCTGTCTTCCAGTACCAGCGACGTCCCCTGTCCAAAGGCGCCATATGGTGCATCCTCAACAAGGGGCTTGGGCCGGATCTCGACGATCTTGCATTTTACAGCACAATCAGACAGGTGACCGTCTGTGCGGGCCAGGAAGGGCTCAATGGTGATAGCTCTGCCAGATGAGGCCCAGGACCAGGTCGGGCCTTCGTAGTTCCCACAACGTTGGAAGACGTGTTTATCTCCCTTGGACCAGAGAAGGCTGAGGGGCAGTGCCGAGGCCCAGTGACCGGCAACATACTGGTCCCCGAGCATCCGTGCAAACTCCTCAGCTATGCCTATCATGGCCAGAGGCCTGTCGTCTTCGAAAGTAAGCTTGCGTTCTGTGAAATCTCCCGCGATCTTCTCATATGTGTGAAGCGCATTTCTCCTCCACTCCAGTCAACTTTGGGAGCTACCGGGAGGAGGAGCCGGGGGCATCGTTACCGAGAAGAACGGAAAGGTACCCTGCCGATATCCATCAACAGTTTCTAGCTCCAGACACTTCCATTCAAGCTGATGAGCTTTGAAGACTAGGAGCCGGGTGGAAAGGAGGTGCTCCTGTAGCGTCCAACCTCTGCCGTCCAGAGGGTCTCGGGGATGATGTACGGTCGTAAATGCAATGAAGCATTCATTTTCCTCCCCCTCCTCCTCATAAAACGGCAGTCTGACCACCCAGCTCGGGTCGGCTGGGGGTTCTCTCTCTTTGAGAAATCCAGCATTGGTATTGGAAGCTGATGATGCACTGATTGCGACCAGCGCGCCTTTATATATGCTCCCCATCTTGGCTATTTCGGCCATCTTGGATGTGTCGTCATCCTGAATGATGCAGAGAGCATCAACCCATATATGCTGGATCGCCAGACCACGGCATACTCTGGCAGCGTCCCTTAACGTTGGAGGCAGTGTATCCATGGGGGTGCTGTGTGAAAGGGCACCGATATTGGCCTTACGCAGCGTAAGGGCTTGATTCCCACCCCAGCAGTAGCTGAGGGCGGCGTATTGGAAAGGGTGATTGTGTTCCTCTTCTACGAGAACCAACTTCAGCTGCATGCCTCCATCCGAGGCCTCGGATAGGCGGATCAAGCGCGTCGGCAGGCACTTCCCCCTAGATTGGATCCTGCATTGTAGATGGTTCTCCTCTGAGCCTGCATGGCGCTCCGGAGGCCTCGCCCGTATATACTTTGCGGCTGATGTCTCTACGCAATCAGGTCAGCCCCGTCCTTCAAAAGCCAACTCAAACACAAACCCTTCCGAGCGAAAATTGGAAGGTTTCGCCGCACGATCGATAGGCCTTGAAGGCTGTCGTCTTTGTGGACCGAGATGTTTACGTGGTCGTTATGTTCACTTTCAAAAGCAAAAGAGAGTGCTACCTTGACTCCTTCTGAGAAGAGCACCGTATCTGGCAATTCTCTCAGTTTTACCGGTCTTGATGGATCAGCAGGCCAGTCTTCCTTTTCAATAGCGAGGCCGAAGGTGTCTGCTCGGTCATGAGTCGCAGCTCGGCCTGATGAGACGTGTGGATGATATACTCGCCGTTCGCTTGATTCACGGACATTCTGGGTGTCCACGAGATTTGAGATAGAATCGTGGCACAAAATAGGCAGTCGTGTCGGTCGGCGTCCCGAAGTTGCGTGTCCGATACCCACGGGCTCCAGAATGACACATCCACAGAGTTGGCTTCGCTTCGACTTCTGAGATCGATACAAAAGCACTGGCAATACTGGCAGGAATGAGTTTTCATCTGAAAGGGTGCCATTTTGGTTTGCAAATCGAGCTGGATGCTCTTCTGGGTCAATGTTGGTCCCTGCCAAAATTCCGGCTGATGGAGGCGGCCTTGTTAATTATACCACAAACTGGCCAAGGCTTGGGAAGTCGCCGGCCCCCATTCGGACCCCATCTGAAACAGCATTACATACAATACAGCTGTGCCCCTCGAACATGCTCGAGAGGGGCACAGTCTGACAGCGGTGGTTACAGTATGTAAGCACATCCCACCATTTCTGTAGTTCTGCCTCTCGCCCTTGTCACCTCATGAGTAAGTAGTACTGTACCATCTTGCCCCAGATTCAGAAACCAGCCACAAGACAACCCCTCCTGCTATGCATGATGGACTCAGTCGGCACATTCACCGGCTTGAGCATGGATGTCATGGTTCAAAGGCTCCGCGACGTCGCACTCTATGCTCACCTGCATGGCATCACGCTCGAGAACCTCACCACTGACCACCTTAACATCTTCCACCGCGCTCTATTACGCGTGCTTGGCTCTGAACCGGCCATAGACACCTTTGCGCAGATCGTCGACGGCTTACCCGTCGCCGACGTTGCCTGGGACAAGCGCCATCCCGGCATCTTTGGCGACGACCACCCCATCGAGGCGCACGCAAGCCTCTGTCCCGGGGTGAAAGACGAGACCAGCGCCTGTCTTGAGCAATATGATCTGCACTCCCTCGTCTTTGACCCAAAGCTAGTACAAGCATACCAAGATGCTCCCTTGGCCTCTAAAGCCTTTCATACCCGTCTGATCGAGCTTGTCGTCATTGCATTGCACCAGATCGCCGTGGATCTTTTCAAACAGGACGACCTTCGCTCACACAGCCAGCATGAGATTGACACCGTCACCAACTGTGTCATCGTCCCGCCTAAATCCCCAGCCGTCAACCCACAGGATTATGCGGTTACGGTGCCACCGAGGCCAACCCTCTTCAACCACCCTTATTACGTCGATCTTGAGATTTACCCCGAAGGCCTCGCGGATATTGTCGGGTACTGGGCCGAAGACCGCATAGTCGGGGGGATTGTGTTGTTCGACAGAAGAGCTGACCCACGCGACCCCCGAGACCGGCCGGATGAGGAGAATCAGGGCACCGGCGAAGAGGTTGGAGGTCAGAATCCCGCCGAAAACAAGCCGCCCAACATCTGGCTGCACCCTGCTCGCGACCATGTGACGGACCGGGTATGCCGGCTTCACGACGACCAATAAGGAGAACTCGTGGACTACCTGCTGGCCGCGCCGGGAGACACGAGGAGTCTACTTCCTATCCTTCCCCACAAGGGTAATCGGACGCGGGTCGACCCTGCTACTGCGCACTCGCACAAGTTTATCTTCAGGGAGTACTGGGATCGTAAGCCCGCGACACAGGAGTTATTGGATTTGCTTCGGCGGAGGCCGCAGAACGAACTCGACCACCCTGAAATTCGAGACTTCATGAACCGTATCAACGCCTTGGAGAGGGAGTGGAAGGAGGCCAAACCCAAAGACACCCGGAAGTAACATATGTTTCTCTAGCTACCCAGAACCAACCAAGTTCTGCACAGTCCCCATGTTGTCAAATCGAAGTGTTCAACTTTCAGAAATAGGCGCCACGTGGTATCCTGCTGCGCTCTCATCATCAAATGTTTGTCGTGCAACGGTAGTTCTCCACATCCATGGGGGTGCATACGTGCTTGCAGACGGCAGACCTGCAACTTCTGGCTCTTAAATCCGAGCGGCTTCGGCCATATTGTGTTTTGTTTTAAATTAACTATTCATTAGTCTATCTGCTATCTGCTTAGCTTTTTGATTATTCCTCCTTAAGCTCTTATATAAAGTTTCAAATAACTTAATATATTTATTAATAGTTCTTTGGCTAAAAAGTCTTAAACCCTCTTTTTGTGTCCTTAATTTTTAATTATTAATAATAAAAAAGGAATTTAAAGTAACATAATATAATTATACTTTTTTATATTACTTGCTTTATTATAAATATTATATTGGCTTTTTTTAAAAAGTTTTAAAATAACTTTATAAAATAATTGTAAATAATTCTTAAGGAAATTATTATTTATTTTAATTTTTATTAAAGTTAATAGCTTTAAAGTTAAATATTAATTATAATAATAGCTTATTTAATAAGGGTTTTTTAAGAGCTTGTTTTTATAATTTTTTTAAAATCCCTTGAAAAGATATATATTAATATAAATGAAAAGAAATAAAGTTTTTAATTAAAATTGTATTTATGGGATTTATTTTAAAAAGAAATTATTTTAATTTTAGCCATATAATTAATTTTTAAATTTCTTAATTTATTTATATTAATGCTTTTAATTTATAACGCTATGAAAAGTGATTTGTTTTAGCTTTATTCCCATAGCTATTATAAGGCTATTGTTGTTTTCTTAGCTATAAGTTATAAAGAATTATGTTTAAAACTTATTATTATTAATATTATGTTATTTTTAATGCTAAGTGTTTAAGCGTTTATTATTATCTAAAGGGATTGGATGCATATTGCTTAAGAAGCATATATGTATAGATTAAAAACGAGACCACTTAATCCCAGCAATCCTGGACCACACGCCTGCAACCCATGTGTAGGGTTATGTCCCCAATACCACTTGTCTAGTCTCCCCGCAACGGATACATCGAAGTCTTTTCCTGCTGCGCTTCAAGACACCTGTTGATTAGGATATGCATTGTAATCGGACCATATCGCTGTGGCGGACCGCGTCCTTGCCACCAACGATCATCTTCGGCCCGCGTCTGGAAGCACATGTCTGGTCTCGCCTTTCCAACACAAATCAATGGCACGGGGCCCACCCAACTAGGTGATGAAGAGAAACAACCCGCATGCTCTTGGGGGCACAGGGTCAAGGGCCCTTTGACAGGATCCCATGCAGAAGGATCGTCTCATCAGCTAGGGGTTGCAAAACATTTGCGCCTTATCGTGGCCCCCTTCAGCTGGCCTTATCTGCAGTGTTCGACAGAGAGAGAAAGAAGGAGAGATCAAAGTAGAGGCAAGGGGGTGGGCAGACCTTTGTATCATGAGGGAGAGTGAAAGAATCATAGCATTCCATTTGCCTACTGGGGCCCAGGTTCTGTTCGGCCTAATGCACAGGTTATCCATCTCCTGACGAGGTGGTCTCGAGCTCCTGCATCACTCGCGCTCCTCTTAAATGGCTTGCATGATATAAGGTAGTAACATAGAGTATAGTCTTCTCGCTGATAGATGCGCTATTAAAAGTAGCCCACTGCGGGTCGTGGCACATCATTCGATCGCCTACGCCATCAGTGGCGTGGCGTACCTGCTGTGAGAATGAGCGTCTCTCTCACGGCTTAGAAACAACATACTGTTAGCCGAGCTTGGTGCTCCCCTGCGAAAGGCGTTTGGCTGAGTCACCTTCTTACATACAATGGATGAAATCTGCATCCCAGAGCTGACGGTCTTTTGATGGCGGCTGTACGGAACGATGTGATGCTATGGCCTATCGGTGAGTACCGAGGTCTACCGCCTCTGGCCGGAGCTGCCAACGTAGCGGAGACGACAAAGTGCGAGCATCACCTTTCTGATTGAAAAGGACTATGGGAAGAACATACTGTTTCGCATGGTACGGGAGGGGAATAGTTTCCTGCCGGTGAAACCAAGAAAACAAACCAGCGATTGTGCATGCGAACAATTAAGATGAAACAAGACAAGAGACAGTCTATCCCCCCCCCCCCCAAAGAGGCCAGCTCCTGCCTTTCTATCATCCAAACTGCTGACTTCATTACATATCAGCTTCGCTGAAGTCCTCCCAGCGACGCAGCACGCTACGCAAGGACGCGTGCCTGAGCCACCGATTGCAAGCCTGGTGCTTGACGTAAGCGTAACATGGTATCATTCCAACATCGCTCTGGTAAGGGATAATGCTGAGAAGAGAATTTGATCTACCAGACATGACCTGATGAGCACCCTATTGTTGTCGTGTGCGGCAAAACGTCAAAACTGAAATACCTCGGCTCGTTACAATTTGCCGAGAACTCAGGTGGGAGCCAAAGTACGTTCTGACCGCGCCATGTGATCCATGAGCGACTCATATCAACACCATAGTCGTATTGTATAAGTTGTGGGAGAGAAAGTTCAGTATTCGATGGAGTCGAGTTTATTAACCATGTGGAATCTCGAAATGAAGACGAAGAGTTTGTGTGAAGACATGTACTGGTAGAATCGAACCTCAATAGGCGGATTTCAGTTCCTACGTTGACAGTCGAGATCTCGGCGCCAATCATAACATCCCAGAGCTTAATTGTCTCGTAAGAAGACGAGGCGACAATGTGGCAGTCTTTGGGCGAGAAGGCGAGGGACGTAACATAACCCTCGTGGCCCCTGAGCATGCAAACAGCTTTGCTATCCGCGGAACTCTGGATATTGACAGCTTGTTCCCTCCTGGTTGCAATATACCGGGCTCCAAGAGAGAGAGCAAATCGTTTGTCAACAATATGGGTGTTTAGATCGTCATTGTCAGGTAGGCCACAAGTTGAGACCGTACCACCGCTTTCCGCGTCATAGATGACAAAAGAGCGCGTAATCACGGCGACAGAAAGATGGCAACCATCGGGCGAGAATGTGACCACCAAGATATCCTCACCCAATTCGAGTGTCCGAATGTGTCCTCCTGTTTCAGCGTCCCAGATCTTGACAGTGTCGTCGTCCGACCCGGACGCGATGCGGCGACCGTCGAGCGTTAACGCGACTGAGTTGACGTGCTCGCCGTGGCTGTAATGGTCCTATGGGATTGGGGCTTCAGCGCTGCTTTCAATATCCCATGTTTTTTATAGTTTTGTCCTCCGACCCGGAAGCGATACGGTGGCCATCCGATGAGAAACAGATTGACAGAAGTTGCCCATAGTGGCCCTTGAGCGTCGAAGTTTCAACACCACTCTCAGCATTCCAGACCGTAATAGTGTTGTCTTTTGATCCGAACGCAATAAGACGACCATCACGTGAAAATACAACTGCCGCCGTGCCTACGGCAGGGTCGCTGATTGTCAGTAGGACCTCATTACTGACACTATCCACAACTTTATACCACCCCATAAAGTCCTGTTAGCGTGGAGACGTTTGTTCGGCGAGTAAACATCTTTGTAGCTGGGTTTTCTGGAGCCATTGCGTGTAGAAATACAAGCACCCGCTTTAATATCCCAGAGTCTAACGGTTTGATCGTTCGACTTGGATGTTATGAATTTGCCTTCCTCATCGAAAGCAACCGACCAGATTTGACCTGTGTCAAGGTGTCGTTGCCGCTTTCGACATCCCAAATCTTTATAGTGCCCTGAGAATCCCCAGAGACTATATGGTGGCCGGTGGGAGAGAAAGCTACCGAATTGGTCACGCCGAGGTGGCCAATGAGGGTTGCCAAGCAGCTGTTCCAGTGCTTGTAGACACTCGGCTTCTGGAAAATCCAGTCTGGTTCTTTCGATGTAAAAAGCTGTCGGGTTAGACTGCATGCTGGGCTGAACATGAGCGCTGATGAGTACGCTTGCAAGGGCGCCTTTCCAATTATCGCACCATGAGACTGAGCAAAACGATGCATGTCGCTCGATAAGTGAAGAAGAGTATCGGACCGAGATCCCTGAATCGGTCAGCGTTGAGCACCGGACCTTCACTAAAAGCTGCTATGACTGACCTTACCGTCTAGACTGACGAGATCTCGCAACGCACGCACACATGCTGAAGCGGTTCTGATAAGACTCAGAGCCTCAAACCAGTGAAGAAAATGGACCTTCAAAAAACCCTCAGCTTTGTTCTGGTGAAAATGGGGTTGAGCTTCGCGGAAATGTGTGATCCAATGTACACATGAGTATCGGATTGGTCCGAGCGGATCTGGGCTTGTTCGCTAAATATCTTCGATGGAAATCCCAGGATGTCCCAAATTGGATATGTCTTGTTTAAGAACCCGTTCCATAGCTTCGAGTGACTTCGGGAACATGGAATTGTGTTCGTGTCTCATGGAAAGCTGGAAGACCATGTCCCATTCATTCGACAAATAATCTTTGGCAGATTGGTGAATGAAGGAGACAGTGTCTTCGCGTATATTGAGAAATGACCTGCAAATTCTTGCTATGTCGTTCGCAGGAACATCTTTTGGGAGGTCGGCCAGTTCCTCCAATTCTTCCAGCGTCAAAGGCCGAAAAGCTACGGCGACAGCCCGCAGAACGGATTGGCAGTGCGTTGGTCTTTTACGCGGCAAAGCTTTGATGTCCTGTATCAGTTTCCCGTACAGTTCGTTCAGACCCGTGGGCATCTCTTGCAAGATTTCCATGAATTCGTACTCATGGGCGGACTCAAGCACTTTGCAGACAAGAGCTATCCATAGGAATGTGCCCTCTGATTTTTCTTTCAGTTCATCTGCGATTGTTTTGACTTTCGAGAGACCGAGACTTCGCTCTCCGAGTCCTAGCTTGGTCACCTTGAAATCGATATATGCATTGACAGCTTCGAAAATCGACTCTCCCCTTGATTCAAGTGACAGGTGTGTTGCTTCCGGAAGATGCCTTTTGAACTCATCCAGTTCACGACTAGACACAATCCACTTGACGGTTGGATAGGCATTAGCCATCCGGACAATAAGTCTCACAAGCAGCTGCCGGGAGTCTGGGAGACATTCGTCGAGTGCATCAACGATTAGGCAAGTGTGTCTTAGGCCCGGATCTCCGAGCATGTTATCGAGTATTCCAGATAATGCGAACCAGGCGTTCGGATCCTCAAATAGCTTTCCACCTGCATCGTCGTACTTGCTCCGGATGTGCGATATGAGTGAATGCTGTTGATTGCAAAGAAGAAAAAGCAGACCACGCAACACACCCGTACCAGTATTGATACGCTTGTCGGTGCCTTGGCAGAGGAAATAGGACACGTTTGTTCCTAACTGCTTGCTCAGTTCATTGATAATGCCACAAAGCATCGTCGTCTTTCCTTTTCCGGGAGCACCAGTGATCCAAAACGGCTTGTTTTGGCCGTTCTCTCGCCATCGATGGAAGTCGTGATCTTCAAGTATCCAAACGTACGAACGCGACCAAAGGCCACCCTTCGTTTCCTCAATCCGCATCTTGTCGTCACGGGGATCAGAAACTACCAGGTCTTTGAGGCACTCCTGATCTTCAGCGTCCTCTGTCTTGCTCAGTAGCTTCCTGGCATGTAGTTAGTATCTAGGTTGATATCAAACGAGAATCAGTCGAAAGGATGACAAACCTCAGCAGTTGGGCAGCACGGTCTGGCTTCGTTTGATCGTGCAAATCTTTCTCGAAGCTAGCAACTACTGACTGAGCGAGTTTAACTTCTTCCGTGTGTTCATCAATATCCCCTGCCGTACCAACCGTCCTCTTGTCGGCATGTCCGTGCAGTTTAGGCCGCAGTATCCTCATGCATAGTTCAAAGCAACGAGCTAGTCAGTGTGAAACATCAATGATCATCTCCTCTTGCCCAGTAACGAGAGCTGGGTCAGCCTTATCCAGCAGATCGTGTGCCAAATTTGTTGTACAAGTTGTCAGAGAATGTTGTGAGCTGGATTTCGAACATGACGCCGGAATACTGATGGCAGTCTCCCTCAGCTTCTGTGTTGTCATTGGCAATTTGCACCCGGTGGTTGTGAGTCTCGTAGGCACCGAACCAAGGCTTTTTCCAGAACTGGCCAACCTCACGATTCGGATCGAAGTGAGCGATTGGCTTCTGCTTTTTGAAGAGCTCTTCGATAAGTTCCTGGACGGTATCGCGATCATCCCGACGCGTCAATACAATCCGGAGACCAGAAAGGTCGTGCATCTCAAGAAAGATATCATGATAGGAGCTGAAGCCACTCCCTCTGTGCTCTATTAGACCGTGTTCGCGGTGCTCGAGTGTCTTGTTGATTGATTCATCGTCTTTAACCCGGCTCGAAACTTCAGCGTCGAGGTTCCACGGAGGAAAACAGCGAATGGGATAGTGCCGGAAGTGACGCAGACACTGCTGGATTGATGCCGGCATAGGAAAATCCTTGGGAAAAGGGCTGGTTCGGCCGATTTACCTGGCCCGCGAGCGCGACCACAAGTTCATCTACGCCCTCAAGGTCCTGCACAAGAGCGGGCTGCTAAAAGCCCGGGTCGAGAAACAGGTGCGGCGCGAGGCCGAGATCCAGAGCAACCTCTGCCACCCTAACACCCTAAAGCTGTACGGACAATTTCACGACATCAAGCCTGAGAATGTCCTCGTCGGTGTGCACGGGAAGACTAAGATCTCGGACTTTGGCTGGAGCGTGCACGCGCCGGGGAAGCGCCGCACGACGTACTGTGGGACGCTCGACTATCTGCCACCCGAGATGGTGGCGGCGGGAGGGTCCGGCTCTGATGGTTCCTACGACGAGAGGGTGGATCTCTGGTCTTTGGGCGTACTGACGTATGAGTTCCTCGAGGGCGAGGCGCCGTTTGAGGATACGTTTGTTATGACGACCAGGAGGATCGCGAGGGGGGATGTGAGTATTCTATCGTTAGTAAGTGCAGACGCTAGGGAACTTATTCAGAAGGTTGGTGAGCTTGAGACTCCCTGGTTGGAAAACCGCTAAGATGTGACAAGCTGCTCGTCGTCGACCCCGGTGGAAGACTACCCCTTGACCAGGTCCTCCAACATCCTTGGATTCCCAAGCACTGCCAAAGGATCGAGCCGACTGCGCACCCCGAAGGTTGACGAGTATAGCGGGACCACATGATCTAACTATAATGCGGGAGCCGCGCTCGCCTTGCATTCCCATCAGTGAGCAGGACGTCGACTTTCGTGCACCATGTCTAGCCTGCGCGGCAGCTCGAATATTTTACCCCGTCTACTCTATGGAGAAGCCACCGTCTATCACCACCTCTCCTTTGCCCGCCGCAACTCAACGTCTTCAACAAAATCACTCATGATCTGATATCGCTCATCCAGCCGGTGCCTCGCCCTCAGCTCCCGAGGTATGTCCTCATACTCGTCCCTCCTGAGCTTGTTCCACCCCTTGCCCCTCATCGGCGGCATCCTCACGGTCCGGTCGTTCTCCGTGTACAACAGGCCGTCACCCGTCTCCATCAGGCTCGCCTCCAGCGGCACGGTCGAGTAGCCGGCGCCGGTGTCCTCCTGCCCCGCCGCCCAGCCGAAGACAGGGTCGACTTCTGCGTCGCGGCGGCCGGCGTCTGATGGCGTCGACGAGAGGCTGGCTTCCACGACGCCGCCCGAGATGCCGATGTAGAAGTTCGGCGCCAGGGAGGACGACCGGGCCATGCTCCATACGCCCGCGTAGGCGTCCTTGCGGGGGAGAGATTTGGAGAAGAAGAATGTGCCGTTGGGGCGGTAATACAGGTCTCGCGACTGCTCGTGCCAGCTACACCGGCTGCCTGGGAGGAGAGCATTGCAGTATTTGCGGGGTGTAGTCCTGGGGCTGGGCGGTTCGAGGAACGGCTGGATGGGCTTCGGGAAAGGCTGATCGGGGCTGCAGGGCATCGCCGCGGTGTGGTAGTAGTCCCGAGACCAGCGGAGGTCGAAGACCTTGATCGATGCACCGTGAGCGCCGCCGGCGACAAAGTGGCTGGTTCCGAAGGGAAGGAGGGATTCGAATTCGGACCAGGGGTCGATGTTGTCGCAATAGACGAGATCGAAAGGCGATTGCGTGCGGATATCCTGCAGTCTCACCGATCCGTCGCGCCAGGCGGTCAAGAGCAGGCTTGAGTTTCCGCCGGTGACGGACGATGCGTCGATCGGTGTCAAGGAGTGGGTGCACAGTCTGCCCTTATCATAGCTGATATCGAATTGGTCCTCCAACGCAGCGTTCTTGTACGGCGACAAGGTCTCGATTCCGGTTGGCGTGATTGTAGCGTGTCTGAGCTGATACGGACAACCTCTCAGAGCGAAGGCCATCTTGTCCTCGCCCATCCATCGCGAGTATCCCAGGGTCGTGTTTGGGTAATCGAAATGATGGGTCATGAGATCCAGATAGGCAGAGGGCTGAACATTGACACCAGATTCGTCGGGTAGATGATATAATTGTACCCCTGCCTTGGTAGCCGCAGCGACGAGTCTCTTCCGAGCAAGCACATCGATCGAGTTGATGGTGCCCTGGTTAAACCTTGTTGTTGGATCGACGTCTCCAGTCTCGTCAACGGTGGCATACTCGGGGCTGAAATCTGCCAATTTCTCGCCAAAGCCCTCCTCACTCAGATCCAGCAGGGACATATGGCCATTGTCTCGGCCCACAAGCGCCCCCAAGCTGTTGCCGAGACCATCCACAACTGAGACGGCCTTGATGTCATCAGGGCCAGCCGAGTAACCCAGGTCCTTCCCATCCAGTCGATGCCAAACGACCTTCTCCGGATAGGTACTCTCTCGCCCTAATCTTCGCCTCCTAGCAACAAAGTTCTCGCCAGCACCCCACACGACTAGCTCCTCTTTTGACGCAAAGTCAAAGTGGGCGTCCAGGACAGGGTGATACGGTGTCCCCTGACGGCGCCGCTGGCCTCGTCGCTGGTTAAGATTGGCCTCTGGTAGCATAGCCTGGAAGGATACCGATCGGCGATCCCAGGCACGGGACTGCCACGTCAGCGAGCTGGCTATCTCACCCCATTTCGGGTAGGTGGAAGAGCTCGATGAGGGCACAAAAGGGATGGGTGTGGATGGGAAACGGGAGCGGACGAAGGCTCGCCACCCGCCATCATGGTCTGCGCGAACGAGGGATCCGAGACGCCTGTTGGCTAGCAGAAGGGCTCGGATGTCCTTTGCAGTCTCAAGGTGGACGATGATGAGAAGCAGGACGTCATCTGGCAGGGCGTCGAGCATCGTATAGGTGGACGGCGAGAAGACAGCAGAGCCTGACGAAGCCTGATTGGCTTCGACAGGTCGGAGCTGAGTTGTAATTTTCAGGATTTTTTAATTACATGGAATACGAAAAAAGAAACAAAAAGGTTGCAATGGAGGTCTTTGAGGTAACAGGGTAGCTATATGTGCATGAGGACGTTCGGGAATGAGCTCGGGAGGAAGAAACGTCAACTATCAAGGCAATGAAGTCATCGGGACCCCTGAAAACTCCATCACCGTAGGGCTAGTTTAGCGGGTCCAGCGCCAGGCAGCACCCTGGGTCCGTCCATCTTAGTCAGCGGGCCGGTGCAAGTCCAACGTCAACCTTTGAGTCTCTCCCGTCGCAACTCTTGGCGATCCTGACTCACGTCTTCAAAGGAGGATTGTCCCCTGGTCAACATGGTGCTCTATGACTGTCTAGAGTCTCTCTTACTCCTGGTAGCTGCACAGTCATCTACGGCCCTTGCGTACTGCCGAGGTCTATTGAATGTTGACTCAGCCAAAAATGCACAGCTTCCTACCCGCCCTGTAAAAATGCTGTGCTTGCAATAAATGCTTGTCTACCCAGGTAATTTGATCTCACCGCTTCCAGATACTCAGTCATGGCTGCCCTCAGTATGATTGAATTCTGTTTTAATCAGTTCTGTTGGCAAAGCTCATTGTGGAGAGAAAAGATAACCACTTCAGAGAGTGCAAAGACATAGCCAACTCAATTCCATCCGGCTCATAATCGAATCACCGATTAACTTTGTTACAGAGGAAATCACCACCTCGCATACCGTTCGCTGTCAACAGAGGACCTTACTATGTATACCCTGAGGATTATTGAACTGTTGTAGCCTATATCTCTGCCCAACTACACACGTTAAAAGATTGGGTGATCCTCGCTGTATCACAATGCCTTGAATTTAACGTATCCTCCACGAATGAGCTGAGTCAGACGAAGCGTCGGTATTGCGTGAATGATAGAATTGCGTTCTGTTTTCCTTGTCTCCTCATAAGAAGTTTTCCATGGGGGGGGGTATCATATCGGGGGTTGTCTTTCATTAGTGAGTATCACAATCAACAGCGCGATTCACGTATCACTGTGATTCGTGATCATATTTAAGGAAACATTTTTTGTATTTCTAGGTTCCAGCCCTCCTTTGAATCGGTAGAGACAGGCCCGGTTGGAGTAAAGCCAGCACTCCACCTCAGCAATATGCTTCTATAACCAAGAGCCTCTCACATAACCACACAGTGGGCGCTCTCCGTTCCATAGATATCCCAGTAGTGCACCTTGCTAGGCAGCCTCTGCCTGTCCTTCTCCCACCAAGCGCAGGCCCGCGAGTACGCACTGGCGCGCAGCCCGTCCCTGCCGCTCCAGCGGTGGGCCGCGAGCCAGCGCTGGTCCTGGATGGCGCCGATGGCGCGCCCCGTCCAGTCCCAGCAGTCCTCGTTGCCGCGCGGGAGGGTGACGGTCGAGCAGACCTGGTGGACGTGCTGCGCCGTGACGCCCGCGGCCAGCTTGCCGAGCAGGATGCGCCCGATTAGCTGGCTCGACTGCTTCCAGTTGGCCACCCTCGACCGCGCCACGGACGAGTCGTAGAGCCAGCCCGAGGGCTCGTTGGGGCGGTTGCTGTAGGGCGGGTGGTACTGCACGTGGAAGTAGTGCCCGCCGCCGCGGCTGTTCTTGTCCTCCACCCAGAGGCCGCAGTGGAACACGCGGGGGTTGCCGTTGGTGCCGGTCGGGCCCTGCTGGAAGTAGACGCAGAAGTAGATGCGTGCTTTGTTGCTGTTGCTGCCAGGCATTTTGAAGGAAAGGGAAATTGGTCTAGAGAAATAAAAGAAAAAGAGAAATGAAAGACTGACTGGAGATCCGTTCCTGACGGTGTCCCTGAGCTCTGTGAGATGATGAAGATGCTGACTGTTTGATGATGGAGTATACCCGATGGAGAATCTTCATCTTTATACTCGTACGACCCATCGTCGTCTCCCACAGAGCAATCCCAAGCATATCTCGATACACCATCTCGATGGCGACAAATGATCCAAGAATGCTCTGTGTAAGACGGCCGACCAGGACTGAGACTTGTCTCGAGGCGCAACATAGGTCGAGATGTTCCTTCAGAGCCGTTTCGAAGCCAGTCTGACAGACTGAAGGGCAGCTTGGCCGGGAGCATATTCTTGCTCATGCATCAGGACAGGTCCTGGGCCGCCGGCGGGATTTCTCACGGCGGCGGTCAAGGACAGGTTTCTTCCGGAGCCCACAAACACAATCCGTCGTGGTCAGTGGAGTCGAGACTGCAATCCATTCTTCCGCTTCAGCCACTTAGTATGGCCAACCTCATCTCAGTAGGATCCTATTTGCGACTGGCGCGGCCTCATCTTCACTCGAGACTGTCATACGGGATGGAACAGCGCCTGGGGAGGCCGACCGGCTCGTGGTGGCTGCTGGTCCAGTTTCACCAAGGCCCCCTGTATAGTGACGGTTGAAGATATGGAGGGATACATGAGAGCGCAAGTAGAACAGGAAGGGCTACTGGATCGGGGCCGCTTCGACACGCTGAGCGAGATTATGAATGCAACCCGGGGGTTTCCTTTCAAAACTGAAAGATGGGGCATGGAAGGGACCAATCTACCGGTGACAACCAAGATGGTGCCATCATCATTGGTACTTGGCCGGGCCATTCGCTGCGTAGCCATGGCCAGCTGAAGCCGAATGTACGGCAACTGGGATGTCGTACCAGAGTGAACCCAGGAATAGAAGATCAATCGGAGAATTACAGCCGAAGGATCATACGTACTAGTCAACCATACTAGTACTATCCGGCCACGTCGTGGACCTGCCGGCGGTTGACTTCAAGCGCTGACAAGATTGGCTCAGTTGGATTGATACACGGACATGTCGATCATAGTGGCTCGTGGGGGCTGCAGCGCAGTCAAAGATATATCGAAGGAAGTCAAGGATTGCAGTGCATATGCAGTGTGCAAGCATTAATTGACGCCGGGAACATGTAAGTGCATGCTAACGGGGTAGTCTACTAGCTACCTATGCGGGGATGTTTACTTGGCTACCCAGGTGTGTCTGGATACCGGCATGTGAGTGGTTCCCGGCTCCGTCATGAACTTTAGAATGTTGAAAGGAACACGACCACCGACAAAACCACTCGGTGGCACCGAGGAAGTTGCCGGTCTCAAGCCAAGATATTTTAAAGTTTACAGTGGTGATTCAGCCGCAGGCTCACCCAGTTCCCACAAAATCCTTCCGCAATCCCGCCGTGTTGCACTTGCAGTAGGGCTGACCACCTGAGCAGGTCTGCAATGTGGCTGATGCGGTACGCGTCTGCCTCAAACCATGCACGTCGGCTAATAATACACACCCAGCATGGCCCAGGTACACACGACAAACAACGCCAAAAGTCGACGCTTGTCGTGTAGATCAGGCTCTAGCACCCGCCCAATTCCCTGCACACATCTACAACCAGTACCACAGACTCATTCCACCATGCCTCCATCAATTGACTCGCCTGCACCGCCAGCTGCAGCAAATGGAGCTCCGGACTCCGAATCTAAACCGTCGCCACAACCCTCCCAAACCGCAGAGCCGAAGCCGCTCTCAATACCAATACTGCCGGAGACCAAGCCGAAGCCGCTTCCAAAATGGCTGCAGCTGCGCATCAAGGCCAGCACGCTCTTTAGCAGGTCAAGGCGGCTTGGGACAGGCAACGTCATCGTGCTGCCCTTCCACAAGATCGCCAAGCTTGACGTCCCCGCCAACGAGATCGCCGCCATGAGGTTTGTTCGAGCCAACACGACCATACCTATACCTGAGAGTGAGTCATGTAGATAAATGAGAACGGGACATACACATTTCCCACGCCTACTGCCGTCAATCCCCCTCCCCCCACCTTTTTCTCCCTGATGCCGCCGTCCTCCCCTACCGGGCTCTTGCATCCACTGACATGATTCCAATCAGTCCTTGAAGTCCACGACACCCAGGAAGACGGAACCTCCCACATCGTCATGTCACAGGTGCCAGGCGACGACCTGGAGGACGTGCTGCACAAGATGACCGACGCCGAGGTCAAGTCCGTAGTCAAGGAGCTCGCCGGGTACCTGCAGCAGATGCGCCGCCTCGACAGTGGCGGCGGCGGCGGCAGCAGCGGTGGCAAGAAACCCCCTCCCGTCGGCGGGGTGGCTGGCACCCGCGGCTTCGACAACCGCCTCGGCTCGAGCCACTGGGGCCCCTTCGCCACGGTCTCCGAGTTCCACAAGCACGTGCGGTTCGGGGAGCCGCTCGGGTACTGGGACCACGAGCCGGACGTCGTCGCGGTGCACGGCAAGGCCGATGGTGCGTACGCTGTCAAGTTCAGTCATGCGGATATCGCGCCGCGGAACGTCCGGGTCAAAGGCGGGAAGATCACGGGGATCATCGACTGGGAGTTTGCGGGGTGGTATCCCGAGTATTGGGAGTACACGCGGATGTTCTACCCTGGAGAGAGACCGTACCTCAAGAGGTGGTTTGATGCCATTGAGGAGGAGGCGGGTATTGAGAAGTATAAGCAAGAGCGGAAGGCGGAGGAGGCTATCTGGGCGAAGGCTGGGCCTTTTGGGTATGACTGATGGAATGAAAGAGCAGGTGCAGCGTATACCTTCAAGGCTCGAGCCGGTGGCTGGTGGTAAGACGATGTCACTGACATCGGTCAGCCGGCTGAGGCGGAACTGAGAGCTGATCCATCGTGAGGCAAGCATGAACAATGAGTGTCTCGAGAGTTCTGCAGCCCAGTGCCGATGCCGCATTGACAGAGATTGCCAATATAGAACCGGAGGCGCGAGGCAGGAATACTCATTCCCGGCGTCACTTCATTGCAGAATGGAATACGGGCAGGCGGTCTCATCAAACACAGGCAGCACATGGTCCTGCCTGTGCTATTCAAACAATCATGCTACAGTCCGAGACCGGGATTCAGAGATGTACCAAGCCATCCGTCAAAACATCACTACGCACCCACTCATGCTATCACAGTGACATCTAAATTGGGATTATTTCTTGGCTATTTACACATCATGTACTGGTCACGTTGACCCGACACAGCCGCCCATTCTCACTCGGCAGGGTATCAGCAGTCACCACATTCCAGAACTCACTACCCACAGCCGTGGCAGCATAGAACACATCGCCCGGGTCATACTTCCTCTTGATCTCAAGCAGCCGCGGGTACTTGTCCCCATAAAAGGCCTGCTGGAAGTCCGGCTCAAGGCGGTCCGACTCGGCGAGGTAGCTCCCCGCGCCGGGGCTCACATCCCGCCACCGCTGCATGTCGCCGAACGTGAACCCCTTCCGCGCCTCCCAGATCTGCTCGGCGGTGGCGTTGACGCTCCAGCGCACCGACTGGATGGCGAAGAGGAGGTTCTCGCGCCACGCCGGGTTGACCGCGTTGTCCGGGCCGCCGCCGGGGGAGGTCGCCTTGATGTTGAAGCCGACGATGACGCGGTTCCGCTCCGACGAGAGGCGGATGTTGGCGAAGGTCGTGTTGAGGAGGTCTGGGTCCTCGAAGTTGGCGCGGGGGAACAGCCGGGAGCCGCTGGCGACGTTGACCCTTTTGGATCACCTCGAGGGGGAAGGATTCCACCCAGGCGGGGTAGAAGGAGCCGTAGTGGGTGATGTTGGGGTCGACCTTGATCCCTAGTGTGTCCAGCTGGGTAAGCCATGGCTGCAAGATTGCTTCGGTCTCTGCCAGGGTCTTGTTTGGCGCAAAGAAAGGGGTCATCTGAAATGTCCAAACCCCTTGCTTTGGGTTGTTCGGTAGCAGCACAAAGTACGCATATGTTCCAAGGTCAGCGTTGGTAGGGAAATAGTCGAAATAGGCACGGACTCCGGCCCAGAAGGTCTCGTTGCCCACCGTGGTGGTATTGAATGAAAACCTCGCTGCCGTGGTCTGTACATCTGGGAACGCCTTGACTGTCACGGACGTGGCGACGCCGAACGTGCTGCCGCCACCTCCGCGGAGAGCCCAGAACAGATCTGTGTTCTGGGTGAAGTCGGCTGTCACGAATTTCCCGTCCGGCGTCACGACCTCGAAGGCCAGGACCTGGTCTGCTCCGGTGCCGTAGATGGAGGTCAGCGGGCTGTGCCCGCCTCCTTGGGTGTAGCCGCCCATCACGCCAACAGTCTAGGGCGCCGGGTTAGTTTGAAGAAATGAATTTCGATATTCCTCCAAGTCCATAGAAAGCAAGACTTACGTGGCCCTCGCCCCCGACCACAACCTTGCCCTTCTCGCTAGCAGCCTTGTAAATCTCGAATGCCTGCACACCCGTGCCGCACTTGAACGCGGCACCATAGTAGCCACTGGCCTCGTCTTGATACTCGGGTATGTACTGAATCTCCTTAAAGTGCCGTGTCCAAATGCTCAAAGACTCGCCACCACCAGACTTTCCAGAGAAGTCATGTCCCGTATTCTTTACCACGAGCCGCACACCCGTATTGCGCGCAAAGTTGACGCCCGCCTGTACATGCTTCGGAGTCGTAGCATTGATGACATACATCGGGAATCCACCCGCCGTGCAGCCCTTGCTATCGTAAATGTTGGGCGGCGAGCAGGTGAGGCCCTGGTAGACCGGGGAGAACATCTCGATCGGGTCCTCAAGGTGGATATATGAATTGGTCCAGTTAGCCGAGATCTTGCTGCATTCGGCCTCATCGTAGTAGGGCCCATCATAGCAGACTGACGCCCGCGGATGCGGTTTCAGGAGGTTCCCGTCCACGGCCTGGTTGAGGGCGGACCACGTCTCCTCGGATGGCCAGTCGACATCGCCGGGGTAGACCTTGCAGGATCGGTTGCCGGCTTGAGTGCTCGACAGAGAGAAGTCGAACAGGTGGCTGGAATCGCTCGGTAGTGCTTCGATGTCTGCCGCAGTGAGTTGCTCTTTCTCAGAGTCGAAAAGGTCCGGAGCAGCTTGACTACACCTGGCCAGTAGTAGGCCAACGTAGAGCAAGGCCCGAAGAGCTTCCATGACGGATCAGTATTGTAGTCCCGAGCGCAAAGCCAAGAACCACATATCAGAGCAGAAAGCCTTCAAGCTGTCCGGGCGGGCAACACAATTTATTCTTTTTGCGACATAGTCAAATATCTGGGTCCGCCACCCTATAGACTGGGCCCGTTGCCTTGGCTTTGCAACCTCATTTAAAGCTACTAGGGACTCCTCACTTTGCGTTCCCATAGTTTTGAGGGCCGCTCCGGCGCCCCGTCAGCACTAGGCGATTCCGGTGGTTCATCCGGGGCGCGGGAGTCCAATGGCACCCCGGCCTGCCGCCGATCTCCTCGGCGCACAATACTCTTCCGAGCGGTTTCACTACATATTTTACATTGTAAATGCGAAGAGAATGCGAGAAAACCCGGCAGGTAAACAGAGATAGTTCTGCCAACTAGCAAACTCCACAGATCTTACGCCACGTATTGCCATTCTGTTACCGGTTCTGCAAACCAAACGTGCTGGGTCAAAGGGCGCCAGAGCACTTGAGTGCACGGAAGTGAAAAAAACCTATTTTCAGGGTTCTGAGTCGATCCCCTGCTAGTATTCTCAGAATATGTGCGTCAACGGAGCCGCACGCATGCCGAATAGTAATGACACGAACCCTCTGAACTGAACACATGTACGTCAATGGAGACGGCTCCACGTATGTACATGAGTTCATGCATGCAAGCGGAACTGCTCCTGTCCCTCCCTTAAATTAGACAACAGAAGACGAGCTCGCAAACGCTAGGTAAGAAGACTGACAGTGGGCTTGAAGCAGACGACAATTCACGTTCGGAAATCCGACTGCACTCCTAGTAATAGTCAATGGATATCGTTTCATGGTCGCTCCGAGGCTGGGGCCCTGGTGTGCCGAGGATCCCCCAAGTGCATGGGCACAGTCTCATACCTGATATAGAAGCTGGCTCTGGAGCGGACTACCTACAGTGAAAACCAAGCACAGTTGGATAAGTCAACTCTCATATACTACCTAGGTGCTTACTCGAAATGCACTTACGGCTGACCTAGTGATTCCATATGAACAGATCAGAGCTATAACGGACAAGCTAAAACGGCAGGAAACGATTGTTGGAATAGTCAAGACAATATGAAGCGCATATTACACGAGATATCATGAGGTGCGGCAGGCGCCAGAGGGCTGAGGCTTCGAAACCACCTTTTTGATGTTACAACAGTGCAGCATCAGGATCAACCGGCCATGGAATTGACGGGTCAGCTGGGTGGGAGGAATGGGAAGTGGCAAGACATTAGAGATAGTGGAATCTCAACCAGTATTTGAATTAGGGATCGCCAGAGCTGCAGGATTGGGCTACAAGGTGTGACAATTGACCACCATCTAGAACTGGGCGGAGTGTGCCAGACTCGAAGGGGGGAAGCTACCTTATTTTCAATGGCCTCCTTTTTACCGCATCTCCGCTTTGATAAGGGATTCAATTAAGGCTACATGTCACACAAAGTAATGTAATCTGAGAGTCGAATTTTGCTTTATTACTATGCAGATACAGTGCCCGTTTCCATTATAACTTGTAGAGGGCGGGCAATTTTCCCCTAGTCACTAATTACGACTCCATCTTTATTGTAATTACTTCTAGGTTCAGAAATGGCAGAATCCATACTACGGCCCATTATTCAACCTATATAATGGTATTCACCACTAGCACCTTCAAGATCTGGATCCATTAGCGCTTCAGTGGCCGGGGTTCCACTCGAGGGATATGTAATTGTCGAGTCTGGCCTAGACTGACAGCCCGCCCCGGTTCTGCAGATGGACGACGGCAGTAAAGCACACCACAGGACGCCTACGATCAGCCGCATCAATCCCCGGAAAATTTTCAAATGCCGACGTGCGTTCCTGTCAGGAGAGATCTTGCAAATGTGCTGATCATGCCAGGCACCAGTACTACTGAGATCATGCAATGTGCTGAGTAAGTAGAACCGTGGACCAGAGAACGATGAAGTGAGACGTCAGAAATGTGACCAAAGGATGAAGTGTGAAAAAGCCGCTAACTTAAATGGTTCGTACGCATGGCTGGATTGGGGAAGAACGTTTCAGTGTGCGTCCGCTTTGAGACAATATTGGTTGTCAGCTCTACTACATGCAAGGTGTGTGAGCGCGCCACTAGAAAGTGCATATGCCTCTTTTGAAATTGTCACCTCTGGACAGTCTTTGCCCTGTCAACGTCGTCCATCCTCCGCCAGGAGAACTTCGTTACTGGACACATCTCCGGCCTGCCATGGGGATTGCTCAATACACTGAGCTTTGCTGGCCCGACTCAGCGGTAAGCCTGAGGGATTTTCTCACGTATCAACACTTAGATCACAGAGCAAAGTCTGTCGTCTTGTATACGTAATTCTGTAACTAGGCATCGCACTGAATTGAGTTTTTACAAAAATCAACATGTATCCCACATTTTCGGGTACCGCTTGTATGACGTAGAAAATCCTGCGACTTGAAATGGGACAGCCATGACTGCATAGACTATTGGTACTCGCCACCACCCTCTCCCCGATGCCTCGGGTTAAGGAACTATTCCGCCTTGCAAGAAGTAAATGTGATCCAGCGGTCAATACTAATCGGCAGACCTCTCAGTCAGCGCTTGAGACACAGACGGAAGAAGATCTGCTATGAGGTCTCATTTGACAAGAAGGATTCATGTCTGCGAGGCACAAAGCTTTGGTCAGAGCCTTGCCAGAAACACGACTAGCGTCACATCCACGCCGTACGTCGCCCCCGAATGGACAACACGCTCCCTAGAGCTGTTCCCACAAGATTGCGAGGTCCTCACGATCATACTCTACTCGTACTGTAGTGCAACCATCGCAAACCATTTCCGCACTTTATTCACCTCATGCTGATCCCCGAGCAGAGTTTTGCCAATAGTGTGACTAAGGTTTCACCAATATCACGATGGCTGAGTGAGCACAATGATCTCGAGCTGACAACTTCTCGACTAACGGCTGGTGAACGCTACGGCGAGGACACGTTGGATACTGGAGGGGACGAGGCTGGGGGTTGGCAACGTCTGAGATCCATGGAAGAGAGGCCAAACACCGGAGAGGCTATTGAGAAGACAAGTATTTAAGGAGCATTCCATAGCCCATCTAAACTGATCTTGTTGAATCCTCAAGACACTCTCAAGCCAACAACCAGACAGCACAGTATCTTCTCACTACAGCCCACTCAAAACCATCAAAATGTTCTCCAAGCTCACCCTCCTGGGCCTCGTGGCCGCCATCCCCCTCTCCCTCGCCGCCACCGTCCCGTCGAACCTCACCTACAGGGCCGCCGAGTTCCTCCCCAAGAACGCAACCGCCGATTTCAGCGTCCAGGCCGCGCCGCAGTGGTACTCTGGCCCGTGGCAGAACTTCCCGGCCATGAGCACCTGGGTGGGCACCTTCGACGCCCTGTTCGAGAAGAACAAGGCCTCTATGCGGTCCACCGGCAGCACCGCCGACGATGTTGGCAGGATCAACGTCGCTATTCGGGAGGCGGCTAAGATTGGCGTCGACGAGCGTGTCATCCTCAGCATTATCATGCAGGGTGAGTAAAAGCCTATCCCTGCTCTGGTTTCTTGTCTTCCGTATTCTCGAGAAATTCCATGGAATCATCACTTCGTAGTCGGGGGCAGTAGCTAAAATAACCAACAGAGAGCCACGGCTACGTCGGCGTCAGGACCACCGTGAGCCCCGACGGAATTCCTACCGCCGGTATCATGCAGTGCTCCGGCTGCCCTGGCTTCCCCGGGCGCACGGGTCTCAGCCAGGTATGTATAACGAGCCCCCCCCCCATCACCTCCGTCTTTGTGAGGAAGGGAAGCGCTGACAAAAGTGATTTAGGACGAGATCACCTCCATGGTCGTCGGGGGCACCAAGCACTACAAGGCAAACCTCCAGAACTGGGGCAACAAGCTGAGCCCCGAGTCCATCTACCCTGCCCTCCGCGAGTACAACTCTGGCAGCGTCAACCCCAACGATCTCAGTGACGGCAGGGGAGCCACCGCCGCCTATGTCAGCGATGTCTCGCAGCGTCTCCAGGGCTGGGTCGACTAAGCTGAGTCATCGAGGACATTATGTTGTTGAGGGGTAGGCTGTCGAAGATTCCATCTACTGGATGAAATCCTAGATGGGCTGGATGTGGTCATTTCACTTTGGTCATGTTGCTCTTGTTTCTTTTGCTGTCCTGAATCGATCAAAAAAATGCCTTTCTGTAGACTGCCTTGTTGAGACGAGTTCTTCAGTATCCAACATGCTTGAATGGATAGCTTCTTTTCCTTCTATCGTTCTACTTCGATTGAAACAATGCCAATACACCTGTTGCAACACACAACGCATACTCATATTTACCAACGTGCTCGTGACATTGAATATAGTGTACTTTATCCGCAGCTGATACCGGGAATACATCGTTCAAGAAGTTGGGAGGGGGAGTCTTTCAAAAGTTGGGGAGACTCAATTATACGGTGCAATATATCATTCAGTTGACCGGGAAAGCTCACTGATCTTTGAACTACTTAGCTCGGTACCACATATGCGAGCTGACTCTAGTCCCCCAGCACGGAGTACTTACTAATAGGCTGAGGTGGGAACACACTTACAGACAATGGCACAAAGTCGTCTGTCATCCCTTGATTTTGCCCAGTGTTACTTTGAAGCAGCAGGAAAGATCAAGATACTCTGACTTTGGCCACAGTTCCAACGCTTGTACGTTGTTCTCACCTTCGCCAAGTAGTCTCGCCACATCTATATTGCGAGGCGGAACTCTCTCACACTTGCGATCAGATCTGTGATGATTGTAGACTGCCAGTGTAAACGCCAGTGGCCTTGGTTTTGTTCACACCATCGCAAGTTACGAGCCTGAACAATCTCACAACATCAGAGAGCCGACGTCAAGTAGATGGCCGCGCAAAAGGTGTGCACATGCACGGAGCAACAACGGCGCACGCAGCCAGGGTGTATACACATAAGCTGCCCAGGCGGACCATGAGGCTGAGCAAAGCAGCGCGCCTAATAAGCAGGTACGGAAATGCGGTCTATTCAGGCTGGTAAGCACCGCAGGCGGGGAACATGTTCCCAGGGTCATCCTCCAGCCAGTTTCCTACTCTTAGCCGATGACGTCGCCTCCCTTCTGTGCGTTGCTTGCTGGCTGGCTGGCGGCAGGCTATCCGTGCAGGAGTCAGCTGTCGACAATGTGATCCTTATTATCGAAGCAGCCATCGCACAGCCAGCAATCAGTTCGGCCGGCCAGTCAGGTGCCATCAGCCAGCCGTCAGCAAGCGAGCAGCAGCGCAGAGAGGGAGTGAGGGGCGGCAGAGGGACGAGTGAGATGGCTTGGGAGAAGGGGGCAGGGAGGGTGGTAACGCGAGGTTGCGTATGCATGCAGTGCTACGTGTTGCATGAAGGGACCATGGCTGATCCTTGCAGGCCATGACATTTGCCGGCGGGATCGAGAGGGGAGTTGAAACCGAGGAATGCTGCTGTGTTCTGTATGCGGACTGCACTGCTTGGGAGCGCGCATACAGTATTCATTGCGGATATTGGCATCGGAGTACCATACCTAGGTAATTATAGACCATAGTATATGTGCTATCAACGGGTAGACGGTTATAGCTAGCAGCCAGCAGCTTTCAAAGGCAGCTAGCGACCTACTGTCATGTTTCGGGTTGTCTTGTCGGACGGGAGCACTATTATAGCGCAGGAAACCAAACGACCTCTGCTCATCGCTCAACGATGGGCGCAGTCTGCCAGTCTGCCCAGGACGGTTACACATAGGGCTCACAAGCAGACACGAGTTGGGCTAGTGTGTGTGATCAGTCGGGCCCCCTTTCAGCGATCCAGTGGATCTCCTGCAGGATGTCAGGTGGACAGACGAGGTGGGCTTTTTGGACTGGGCTGGAGTCGGGAGGGAGTGGGACCCGTGGGGGTCTTGGACAAGAGAAATACTGTGTAGGCGGAGGGGCAGATGGCACATGGGAAATGGGGAGGAACTGCAGCTGCATCGATTAGTCTGAGTGCTTGCATATTTTGGTTTCCAGGACTCCATCCGTTGGGCCCATCCCATCAGGGTGCCTGGTGTGTTCAGCTTCTCGAACAAACACAAACGCGATGTCGTGGGTGCATACATGGTTAGATGCCAGTCTCCAGTCGAGGCGGGTACCAAGTAGGGGGGGAGGACTGAGCACATGTACACACGTACCAACCCGGACCCGACCAAAGACATGTCTCAGGAACCCGCCGCTATTTACGGCGATCAATATCAGGAAGAAACATGGGAAAACTGGGCGAGACAGGGCAGGACAAGGCACTTGTTCATGTTGAGACTGGCCTGTCACGGCTGCAGAGTAAAGAGAGATGGGGTGAGGAAGACGGAGGGGGACAGACGGCGATGGGGGGGGGATGCATGATCCCAAGGTGGAAGGGACGGAACACACACACCATACACCGCACACGGGGTGGGGATGAGAGGTTGAGAGGTTGGCTAACGGTGGAGGCTGATTGGTCGAACTGGATGGTCTTCAAAACGGCCGTTCCCTTCCCTTGCATTGGACTGCAGGGTGCCAGGGATCAGCATGTCTAGCCCACCAGCCCCTCCATTTTGCATCTCGAGAGGTGAGGTAGGAACGAAGCTCTTCCCATTTCCAGAGGGAAGGTCCCCCCCTCCTCCCCCCTCCCCCTCCATCCACACCTTGATGTCCATCCTCAAGTCCGTTTCTGTTTCTGCTCCCAGTCGATCCACTCCATCCAGTGTCGAGTCCCCCAGTCGAGTGCATGTCTAAAACCTTATGACAGGTGTGTGTGTGTGTCACTGTGACTGACTTGACCTGGCTCCAGGATAGTTTAAACATCCGCTCCTTCTAGGTATTAGTCTGCGTATCTGTATCTGCACACATATAGTCCACGTAAATACAGTCAGTACGGCCCACATACAGTTCGGTTTGCAAGAAAATATAGGGCAGGACAGGACAGGACAGGAAAGGGCAGGACAGGATACCGTATCAAGGGCCAGATCGGGTGCACTGCCCAGCCCCAAACCACACCCCATAATCCACATCCGCATCCAATCCACTCCCCACTCCCTCCTCTCTCCACTCCCTTACCTTATCCTCCTTCTCCCACCTGCCGAGGACGATTGCATTGCTCTCCGCTTTGACGCTGTTTGTCGCAATACCTGATCCTGATCCGCATGACCATCAATCAGTATCCATACCGACCTGCTGGAATAGCCTCAACTCTACCTTACCTTACCCATCGCATCACCCCATTCGACCCAGCAGTCCTGCCCCCAATCCTCAAGCTTTCTCCGGACTGGCTATAGCTCCTATCGACATCCAACCAGGCAAGACCAGACCAGCCCATTCAGGGCCCCTTCGCAACGGCCACCAAACACCGAGTCCCCAGCTCAGCTCAGCTTAGCACAGCACAGCATAGCATAGCTCAGCTCGGTCGGCCCCGGATCGCACCATCGGATCAATATACTCGCCCTCTCAATCTCACTCTCCTGTCGCGGCAAGCGGTGAACACTGCCACCCCCGATTGCGATTCGAAACAGCACCCAGATCTGGGACAGCCATCAACCTGCGCTGCACACTGTTCGACTCTGCTCCTCCTGACCTCCCGGAACCCAACCCACACACCCCCCCTCTTCTACCTCAGCTCCCCTTGTTTCCCGCGCCACCCGCCCGTCGACCTATCTCTATCAGTCTATCCATCTGTTTATCTACTATCTGCCTCTCGCCGCTCCAGACACCCCGCGAGGCACTCAATGCAGTCGCTTGTGACTGTTAACAACAACGTCAGCCTCAGTCTAGTGAGTGTGACAATCGCACCAAGCACAGCCCTCGCCATCTTCACCATCGCCCTCGTCTTCCTCGCCTTGTACCTCCCGCCATTGCCATTCCGCAGCGCGAGGCACACCGACAAGTCTACATCTCTCTCCAAGTACAAGTACTACGACGACATCGCCCCCAACCCCAACAACGACTACCGCAGTCGCTTTGCATCGTACTTCGACTACAACAATACCTGGTGGTACCCATACTGGAGTCGCAACCGCGCGGGCGACCCAATCGAGCTGCGCGACCACCCGCCCCTGACCGAAGGCCTCCCCCAACCCCGCGCGACACTTGCCCTCGAGGATAGCCGTCGCAGATCGGGAACAGGATCGCGCATAGTGTTGCGCGCCACCAGGAGGACCGCCGCCAAGCCTAGGACCAGCGAAGGCGACAGAGGGAAAGAGAACAAGCCCAAGGACCAGCGCGACAGTGATGCCGTTCGATCCCCACGATCACCTGGAAGGCTCTCTGCAAGACTTCGAATCGGTCAGTCGCTCGCCACCGCCTTTTCGCTACCCTTCGACCCACAGCGGATTCCTCAAGAGCGATACAGAGGCGGACCTGAGCGAGATGGAAAACTCGACGGTCTCCGCAGGTGGCTACAGCCCTCCGGCCTGGAGGCGCCTCGGAAACGGTGACCGGAGCAGCGGCTTTTGGCGCAAGGGGGACAACTTGCTAGGATACGGCGGGTTGCCGCCGCAGTGGCGGAGCAGGGAGTCCAGCCCGGAATATGACAGCGTGGACGAGGACTGCGATGACGACCAGATACTCGCCGCCGCGATCCGCACGAGATTGCCCACCGGCAGCATGAGCCCCGAGAAAGAAAGGAGCCCCGAGCCGGACTACATGAAACCACGCTTCCACAACAAAGCTGCAAATAGGAATGGGAATGAGAATCCAAATGCAAAGGCCAAGCCAAACGCAGACGCAGATGCAGCTGGGAACGGAGAGGTTCGGATCAAGAGCGAAGAACCCTCTATGGAGGACATGAAGGCGACCCTCGCCGCACTGCCGCAGAAAGACGATCCTGAGAACTGCATGTTCCCCTGATCTCGCGGGGAGTGAACATTTTACTAACTGACGCTTGCTCAGACATACGTTTCGCCGTTCGCGCAGAGGTCCAGCAGCGGACCGAGCCGATAGAGGCCGCCATCAATCTTGTGCGCTCAGCCTACAGGCTAGTCACAAAGAGCTGGTCCACCATAATCCTGTCCTCCCTCGTCGCGTTCCTGTCAATATCAGCTACGCGCGCATTGTTCGAGCCTGCCTACGGGCGCCCTGTCCCGGACCTAGTCAAGGTCGCCGGCATTGCGCGTAGCTTCGAGCCGCTAATATACTATAGCGAAAACGGTGTCGCGCAAGTTGGTGATCTGCAGGCGACCGGTGTCGCGGTGTGGGACCTCGGTGAGAGTGTGCGCAGCAGCAACCTGACCAGCGCGCCGATCATCGTCAAGGAGCTCGACGAGCTGAGTGACAGCCTCAAGACTTTGGCTATCGAGCTCACCAAGTTCTTTGCCAATGTCGACGGTGACATTGATGGGTGAGTAACCTCCTCGCCGCTGTTTTATTCCTTCGTTAGGGATCACGAGGCTGACATTCACAATGTAGCATCTTGATTGTAATGGACTGGGCCCGTCGCGAGCTGTCTCAGGTGGCTTCCCTCCCCTCGGCGCCTCTCACCTCGGCCTTCGACAACATCCACACAATGCTCACCACCGCCGGCGTGCTCGAGACACCCACTGGCACGCCGACTCGCCTCGGCGCGATCGCGACCTCCGTTTTTGGCATGTCCAACCCGCAGCGCACGCGGCAAACACTGCAGCGCACGTTCAACGAATTCCTCGCGGTGCTGGAGGAGGCCATAAACAACGAGTTGCAGCACAGCCTGGCCCTATTCGGACTGTTCGAGAGTATCGACCACCAGTTCCTCAATCTGGCGCGCACGGTGGTGCGCGAGTCCAATGCACAGGACGAGCTCCACGCCGACCTGCTGTCGTCGCTGTGGACACGAATCCTGGGCCCGCGGGCGAGCGACGTCAAGAAATACGAGCGCAACCGCCTGCTGCTACTGAACGTGCGCGAGAAGACTGTGCGCAACAAGGGCATCCTCGTCGAGCACAATCACAAGCTGCTCGCCCTCAAGGCCAACCTCGAGAGCCTGCGCCGCAAGCTCGTCAGCCCCCTCGTGCGCAGCGTCAACTCGTCCACCCTCACCGTCGGCGAGCAGATCCGCGGGCTCGAGGACGTCGGCGTCTACCTCGAGGGCGTGCGCACCCGCCAGAAGGGTAAACTCATGGAGATGCTCTACGGCGGCGGCAGCAACGTGGGCAGGGACAGGCTCATCGAGCAACAGCCTGTGGGGGAGTAGAGGAGGTGCCTACTCTGAACTGGACTGGTTTCAGGATATTGATGACCTTGGATATCTATGCAGAGGATTTAGGACGCGCCGGCCTGGATGGTTCCCGAATAAGCTCGGCATCCGGCCTGCTGCACAGTTCCGGGGAACTGAGTGAGGTCGTCCGCAATATGGTGGACTGGCTCTGATCTCTCATCGCCTCAGTCACGGCCTTTCTTCTGGCCAGCAGTGACATGGACTAAGCCTCATGGTAAGTCCGAGCACTTTTTTTTGACTCCTAGAGCATGGTTATTTTGACTGACTTGACCTTCAGTTTGAGTTTGAAAAACTGCAGCGGACGGAACTCCCAAGATCTGCCTCATGCCACCCTCGACCGCCAAAGTACGGTGTGCTGGATGACACCGCCCGGACAACTGTGTCAGGACTCTTCGTTCTGAGTAGCACGGCGTATTCCAATCCACTGCCCGGTGGCTAAGACTAGTACCGCCACTGTTGCCAGTGTTGACACAGGATCTGGCAATTAGCAGGTTCTGTGACCAACTCGATGGCATCTACTGGCGCATGAACGCCGGTCACTAGAGCCGTGGAGTCTACCATTCGGTATCGCTTGATTCAGTATAAATAAATGTTGGTCCACGGGCTTGCTCCTTTTCTCAGCCCCAGCAAACAGCCCAAACAAGGAAGCCATCAAAAGCCGAGCCGACAAGCCATCAAACATACGAATCTATCAAAACACCACACGATCAGAGGGCGAGAACATCCAGGTCAGACACGGGGAATATAGCACAGACGAACAGCCACAAACATTTGGACGGTCTACTGCTCATCGCAAGCCCAAGCCACGATGCCTGGAGACCTCAAGCCCTGGTACTGCAAGGTTTGCAAGGTGTGGTGCCACAGTGCGATGAAACGCTGCCCGAACTGCATCAAGAATGAGACCCTGAGGTTTCCCCTTGCGGATTCTTCAAATTCAGTAGCTGGAGGAAGAAATGAGGTGGAGGCAGGAGTTCAGCTCCGAGGTTCAGAGGGTGGGAGAGGGGGAAGTAAGGATGTCTCCGTATCGGAGGCAGCAAGGGAGGGTGGTGGGACTCCGGGCGGTTGAGTACATTCCTTGAGAAAGGCACATATTCTAATACATGGCAAACCTATTTTATCATACGTTTTCGATGCCTTCTTCTATATCTGATGCTTGTAGCCACCATGGGTGGGTATGGGCATATGTGTGTGTTACGATCACGTGTTTCTCGTCATTTGCGCCGGCGAGTCGTTCGAGAGAACGGACAAACGAGTGCACAATGGAGCTGATAAGTTCCACGGGGAAGCAATGATACGTTCACATAATGTGAGGGGCTCATGCTAATAAGAGAAAGCACCCCCAAAGAAATAACAATCTCACGCAGGACATATCACCGATCAGAATCGTCATCAAAGAAGGATCTGGTCAAACTGGTTGAAGAACTTTTCCGGGGGTCCATAATTGTACCTCATTCCTACCGACCCGTTGCCGTCTCGGAGGGCAAATATCAATATCATATTCCCATACCCCTCCTCCACCTCCTCCTCATCCCTTCCATATCAATTCCTTTCCCTTGATGAATGGACGTAAAGTCGTACGGCCGCAACAGAGTCGATCTGGCCAGTGACGACGGGGGTATTGTGATCTTAAAGCTCGGCCACCTCGGGGAATTGTCCCAAGTGTGGCGGCCCCCTTAACGGGCAAAACGAGCAACCGGAAAGAACCTATTAACGCCAGCAAAACCGCCGAGGAGACCGTCCAACAAAGATCGTGTATGCGGGTCCACCCTAATCGTCCAAGCCGTGGTCCATCGTCCCTCGAAAGTGAAGAAAAAAAGACAAAGAAAATCGTTCAACAATGCATGGTAGAAGCTTGGATGCTTAAACCAAGTAACAGAACCAGAGCACATTCTCCAAGCGCTGTGGATCACATACTGAAATGGTCCACGAAGAATGCTTAAGTAGCGCCACCTCAAAACGACCAGAGATACCAGACTAGAAGATGCCGACAGTCCTTGGTCATAACTTTTGTCATCAGATTGCGCCGTGGCACCTGAGGCTGTCGAAACCGAAGAAAGTCGTCGTGCGGGTCATCGAGAAAGATAAGTAATCAAGGGTATCATATTGAGAAGCGCTTGTGACGGCCGATTCAAAGTGTGGTGAGATTTCAGACCCTCTAGGCCTTGGGCTCCGCCTTCTCCTCCTTCTCACCATCTTCACCCTGGTTCTTGACATACTCGTCGTAAACGTTCATGGCCTCGTCAACCTTGGCACGCAAGGCGTTGTCGTCATCGATGCTGTGTTCATGTTAGCGTTACTTCTCCGAAACGAGACGTGCTGCCGGAAGCTTACAGGTTGATGAGTTCCTGGTTGTCCATCTCCAAGAGCATACCAGTGATCTTGCCGGCAAGCTCGGGCTGCAGGTTGGAGATCTTGGGGAAGATGGCCTCGCCCAGAATCTGCTTCTGCTGCGGTGGAGCCGCGGCAGCAACCTGAGCCTGAAGCAGCGAGGCTGCACTCAGGTCAGACATACCGCCCATTTGCGGTGGTGGAGCGCCACGACCGCCCTGAGGGAAGCCTTGGCGGCCCATGTTACCACGGCCTGGAGCACCTTCAAACGTGTTAGCGGGACTGAATCCAGACGCGTCGGAGGTCGAGGTATTCAGCATACCTTGGATGTTTCCAGGAATGCCTCCCATACCTTGAATGGGCCCGCGACCGGGCTGGACACCACGGCCACCGGCGAGAGCAGCAGCTTGGTGCTGGACCTGCTGCAAAGCCTGGATAAATTGCGGGTTGTTGGGTTGGTTGTATCCCGCGGGAGGGAAGTTTCCGGGCAAGCCGTACATGTTGGGGGGGATCTGCTGAGGGGGGATGCCTCCACGGCCGCCGCCAGGCTGGCCTGGGAAGGCGTTGGGGAACTGGCCTTGACGACCAGCCTGAGCACCAGGCATGGGCATGCCCATTTGGTAGGGCATGCCACGTCCGCCAGCGCCGGGGAAGCCGCCTTGCTGACCAGGAGCATAGAAGACGGGTGGCTGCATGAAGTGGCCGGGCATGCCAGCGGCGGCTTGTTGCATTCTGATCTGGTTCCGAGCCTGGATGCTAGCCTCAAGCTGGGACTTGCGAACGTCTTTGCGCTGCGCCAGGGCAACGTAGAGAGGCTTGCCGTCGATCATGCGCTGGTTCATGTCGGCAACGGCCTTGGTGGCATCGTCAGGGTTGCTGAAGCACACGAAACCGAAGCCCTTGCTCTTGCCGAACTTCTTCTCTGTCCTCTTGTCCTTCTTCTCGCCGGACTCGTCATCACCAGAGGTCTCCTCGGTCTCCTTCTTGTTCTCCTTGTCCTTGCCCTCCGAGTCTTCCTGCTCGTCACCGGCCTCAATCGCATCGCGCATAACCTTGGCAGACGTGATAGGACCGAACTCAGAGAAGATGGAGCGGAGCTTGTCGTCGTCGACATCATCGCTCAGGTTCTTGACGTACAGGTTGACACCCTGGTACTTGCTGGCCTTCTCCATGCGGGCGGCCTCGTATGACTTGCGGAGCTCCTCCTCACGCTCGTGCTTCTTTTGAGCACGTCCGACGTAAAGGTCCTGGCCCTTGAAGTCCTTGCCGTTCAGCTCCTCAACAGCCTTGTAGGCAGCCTCGTGGGTCGTGAAGTTGACGAAACCGAAACCACGGTTCTTGCCGGTCTCCTGGTCACGGGCAAGCGAAGCCGAGGTGATGTCGCCATACTTGGTGAACAGTTCGCGGAACTCCTCGTCAGTGCAGTCAGTCTGGATGTTCTTGACGTAGACGTTTGTGAAGTTGGCCTTCATCTCCTCGAACTTGCTCTGGCGGTCCTTCTTGGGGATGTGGTGGCCGACGTAGACCTTCTTCTCGTTGAGCAGCATGCCGTTAACGTGCTTGATGGCCTGAGAGGCGGCCTCGTCGGTCTCGTAGTGGACGAAACCGTAGCCCTTGGAGTTTCCGTGCTCATCCTGGGCAACCTTGCAGCTGAGGATGTTGCCGAAGGCAGCAAAGGTGTCGTGCAGGGCCTTGTTGTCGATCGCGACGTCGAGGTTCTTGATGAAGACGTTGCCAGCACCGGTCTTGCGCAGAGCGGGGTCACGCTGGGACCACATGATGCGGCAAGGGCGGCCCTTGATGATGGTGTAGTTCAGCTCCTCGAGAGCCTTCTCGCCATCGATGGTGGTGTTGTAGTTCACGTAGGCGTATCCGAGAGAGCGACGGGTGACGGCATCACGGCAGACACGGATGGAGGCGACGGGGCCGATCTGGGAGAAGAGCTCGAAGAGCATGGCCTCGGTGACGGTAGGGTCGAGCTCGCCAACGTAGAGCGAGGCGGAGGAGGCATGGTTGCCTGGGGCGGCGGAGCTCGGGGTGGGAGCGGCGCCATCCTCAGCGCCCTCGGAGGGGTTGACGGTGGTGTTGATGGCGGCGGGGTTCTTGTCGGAGCCGTTGAGGCTGGTGTTGCCGAGATCAGCAGCGAGCTGGTCAACAGCGCCGGTAGAAGCAGGGGCGGCCATTTTAAAGTGTGAAGGGATCGCTTGACGACACTGCGCAATGGGTGTGCCAGTCAGTAATGATCGGCAGTCAAGCAAGTGGTATTTACAGGGCCGTGGCGGTTGCAGGGTTGGCCGCCACGATTTTTTTGGGGGCATTTATTGAATGATGGGGATGGAGGTTGTTCAGTGAAGTAAGGGCAAGGCGAAATGCCCAGGCTGTTTGCTTAGTCTGGGGCGAACGCACCTAAGTAAGGACTTGACGAGGTGGGATCGTGCGACGACGAGTGAGCGAGGTTGACCAGACGGCGAGCTTGACTGCAGACAAAGCAAACCAGGGAGGTCAAAGGGGGACCGCGTGATATGGGAATCTGTCGGATTCGGAATCGGCAGGTCGCAGGGCTTGAGATGGTCAAAGAAGAAGACGACAAGTTCCGCGTCTTGACTTGTTTGAGAAGGGGTTGACTGGTGATGGTCGGAGGAAGGGTTTTTGTTGGTTTCGTTGGTTTTTTTCTTCTTTTTGATATGGTGATTTGGTCTTTTTTGCGAGAGTTTTCAAATTTTTTTTGTGGAGTTTTTCTGGATGGGAAAGACGAGAACAGAACACATGTACGAGTTTGAAGTCGTACGTAGGGAGTCTGAAGCTCGCGCGACCTTGAAGGGTTTCTTTGGGATAAGAGGTTGTTCGTGGGTTGACGGGGAGGAAGGGAAGGAAGGAAGGGACCTGCGGAGTCGACCTCGCCTTTTTTGATGAAGTTTTTTCCCGGCTGCAGTCGCCGTTTGCTGGCACTGACTGGCTGGCTGTCAGTAGCGCGTCACCTGCGCTAGTGCGGAAGTACCTCCGTACCCCCTGTAACCCATGCCATTGCACGCCAGCAGACCACCTGGGCAGACCGCGCCTGCTCCTTGCTCCGAACTAAACTACTGCTGTCGCTCGAAGGACCCGACCAGTGACAAGTGCATGGATCAGTACCCAGGCTAAGTACATTGGCAGCCATGCGACTGCGGTCAACTCATTTCCGCATGCCTTTAATTGCTCAGAATCAGATGCCCGGTGAGAAGCATTCCCAGACCTCTGTCCATGGGTTCTTTGTATGTGCGGTGTATGTCATCATCGTATGTGGTCGGTCGCTGCTGCCGAGGCTCTATCCACTCACCGTATTTACAATCGAGGAAAGGCTGCACTTGCTCTCTCCTGGCATTGGGCGTGGGATACGGTCAGCACAATCCGATTTGAGGGTAGGTGCGGGGCAGCTCTCGCTTACGGTAGAAGGTTTTCCTATCTCTTATCGCCCTGGTCCATCCCGCCCATTGCCCCTCTATCCCTGTGAGACGGATAAATGTTCATGATCAGGATGGATGGGCTTGAGAGATAAGTAGAACACACGCCCTTAGAACTCACTTTTCTCAACAAATAAACCATTCCCAGATTGAACTATATCTTATGTTTATCAAGACCCCTAACTAACTTTGGGAAACTAATGGGTTGATACAGGCCATACTGTCAGCAGCCAAATCGTCGATCTTTCTGCCCCGTCTTGTGCACACAGCTCCACCCTTCTGAGTCCTGTCACCCATTCTCTTCAAGCCACCACCGCCCAGTCTCTGATGATGGACAAGTACACCTACGGGCAGCCTCGTCCCCAGTGCGTCGTGGTGTCGCAGCAGTCAGCTCCATTGCAGTCGAAGCCCTTGCAGAAGTCTGCCTTGTAAGAGTCCTCATCACATGGGCAGTCGCCAAAGTTGCCAGCGATGCCCTTGCAGCTCTTGTGCTGGTTCCTGCATGCTTCCTCGTTGTTCCAGCACTGAGGCGGGGTCAGTTGAGCGTGTGAAAGGGTGCCCGAGATCGCATTATTCTTACACAACCTTGTGATGCGGTACACGCAAGGGTGGTGGCAGCAAGGCCGAGCATGGCGAGGATTGAGGTGGCGAGCTTCATCGTGAGGTCGGAAACGGGTATCAAAGGCAATCCTCGCGTCAATTCTGCTGCGTACAGCGTCTGGAGGGATGAGAAGCATGAGTTGAACGGTTCCATTCTGTCAAACCAGACACATCACGACGTCTTTTATATTACGAGCACGAGAGGCCGGGGCTCTTGTTCCCCAGTGCCCCAGCACGAGGTTGATGAGGATTCCTCGATTCGGTTGTGCTAGTACTGGAAAAGGTGACCCATGGACTTTCGACGAGTCAAGACTCATCTCGATTATCTATGTAATTTACCCAACCTGGCGAAAATAGAACCATGATGGATCTGGAGGAGGCGCTGTTCACTATCTTTTGTTCACCCTTGGTATTTTGGAGGTCCTCCCACACACGCAGTCGCGGGGCACCTTGCTGCAGTCCTCATCGAGGTGCATCCCATACACGTTGGCGCTAGGCCAGAATCGCCGTCTCCCCCTTCGCTGACTAAATCCGAGCACCCCTCTGAAAGTTCCAGAAGCTCGGCCTGGCCCCATCTGTCCTTGGGGTTGCCCTGCGCGTGCGTCCGCGGGATGACATCTGATTGATTGCCTCATCGTCTGCCTGCCTGCCTGCTCTTCCCTGCCTGCCAGCTACCAGCTGCTTGCCCACCTCTCTGGAGCACATCTTTGCCTGCAACTGTGCCCATGCGAGGCTCGTCACAACCTTTACTTATTAATTTCTCACTGTCTCACAGCCCTTGGCTGTTCTTTTTCTTCATGTGTTTTTGGCCACCGCTGAGACTCTTCGACCTGGGTTTCTGTCACACTCAAGCCGTGCCGTGCTGTCCTCCTTAGTCTCCTGTACCCGAGAGCCTCTTCTCGATTTAACCCGAGCTATCGAACTGCTGCTGGTCGACCGCCGGCTCACCCTGCCACCAAGATGTTCCCTACCTTCTCTGGAAGCTCGCGGCGGCCGCGAAATGTAAACATGAGCGGCCAGAAGAACCTCAACCCTTTCGCGGCCACGTCATGGACCCCGACCAGCTCCTCGACCGCGTCCAAGACCGTCGCTGACGCCCAGGCCGAACGCAACCGCCGACAGTACGAGAGGGAGAAGCTCAAGGCTGCGCAGTCCTTACAGAAGACATGGAGGGGCCATGCCGCAAGACGGAGCTTGAAGGACCAAAGACGGGGGACTTTAGACGCTCTCTACAATGACCTGTCGCAGCCCGACCCCCGGACAAGGGCATCTGAAGCTCTCCCCCTGGTGGTTGCTGCCCTCGACCCCCGAAGACCCGACGACAGGGCGCGACTTGAACGATTCACCCAAGATCTCCTACACACCGACTGTTCTCTTGTCAAGTCGGAGAAAACTGCAAGCGGATCACAAATAAGGAGGTTAACAGGCCAGATGCTTGTCCTTCTGCAAAGGTACCTGGCCCCACATGTTCCATACCAGATATCCGAGCACCCGTGTCTGACCATCCGACCTAGTTCTGGCTACGACCAAGTTCCGCGTTCGAACTTGGAAGTTGTAATACAAATTCTCTCAGCGAGATTCGAATCCGCTCGCGACAGTCTGGATAGCCTCTTCGAAATTATCGCGAATTATTGTCGCAACGAGGAAATCAGGGATGCGGAGAGCCTTTCATTGCTGGAGCAGGCAATCTTGGTGCCAATAGCGAAGGACCCTGAACGGCGTGCCTCGAAAGCGTTTGCTCTGTGCTTCCTGCCTCAGCCAAATTTAAAGCTATTCGAGGGCAATGTTGGCGCTTTTGCAGAGCGGATCGACTTAGAGAAGGTGTCAGCTGGCATTGTGGAAGCTTATGCCGCGGGGTGGGCCTCCACACAGCAGACAGACGCACGACTATGGCTTTTGGCCCATTTCATTGCCCTGGGAAATTCCACAGGAGACTCTGCACTCGGGCCCTCGTACTTACATGCATTGTACATCCAGCTCTCAAGTCTGCACCTTGACCTGAAGAAGTACCATATTGGTCACGCAACGACGGACTCTGGCATTGCCAAGAAACGCCTCCCACCGTTCATAGAAAGAGCCATTCAGTCCCTGGTTGAAAAAGACGAAATCACCCACGTTTTGGAAAGGTTCACCACGTAAGTACAGGCCAGATATTATACCTAGCTCCTTTTCTCCTCGGTGACTGACCAAACTATAGTAACTTCGCCGGATCCTCTCAAGAGGAATCCGATGAGGCGAGCCTGCTTGCGGCATACATCCTCACCTTGATTCGATGTTTCCCAGCTCTCAGCGACGACATCCGCATGAGGTTGTATCTCGCCGACATACCCACGTACCCGAATTCGGTCAAATTCTTCTGGAATGCAATGGCCCGTACGAAGGTATTCTTGAGCGTGGTGTCAGACGATCGAGGCACCACTCTCGATCTTCTTCAGGGGAGAGAGTCTAAGCAGCTCACTCCTATCAAGGGTGACGCAGCGTGGGATCGCGAATGGAGGACCATACTGCTTTTCCTCGAACTCTACGTTTTTGTTCTGCGACTGACAGACGATGAAGATTTCTTTTCCCCACTTGTCTCAGCAAATGTACAACCCCTCGAGGTGTCCCGTTTGCGACAATGTATGCTTGACTTGGAGGAGCTCAAAAGTTTGACATTGTTCTTGCGGAATCTTGCCTTCACACTGTATTACCACGCAAACGACCTGCGGCAGCATGCATCGAGACACGCCTCGCGCTCGAACAGGACTGTGCAAGGTGTGTTCGGCTCCCAAGAGAAGGCTCCGCAGGAGACGAGCACAACACAAGAGACGTACAGCGTCGTCTCGGGTGTGGACTTTGATACCTTCCGGGGTACCGTAACACAGGCTATGCGCATGGTCTATGAGCGGGATTCTCGACGGGGCTTCCTGCCTCGTGACCACTGGCTCATGACTTCCAGATTTGATATGGAGGGCTTCAAGTCTGCCGTCGTGGCCGAAGATCAGAGGCAGCGGGAGCTTCAGGATGCCGAAAGTGATGATGAAGATATCAAATTCGACGACGAGAGCGACAGTGATGAACAGGATGCATATATCACTTCAGCTTACACGACACAGGCCGCTCGCAACGCGCGTCTGGAGAGGATGAGGGCAGCCCACAAACACGAGCAGCGGAAGTTACAGGCTGCGACTGTTGCGCCCAAACTCGAAATACTACGCAACATGCCGTTTGTCATACCTTTCGACACGAGAGTCAAGATTTTCCGCGAGTTTGTGCATCTTGACAAGATCAGACGGAGAGATGGCCATGTCGAAGCAGATCAGTGGCGCATGAGTCTGATGAATACGATACGTGAGCCACAAAGAGCTCGAGAAGTTCTTGGACGGCATAATGCCAAAGTACGCCGGGGGCGGGTATTTGAAGATGCATTTGAGCAGTTCTATGAGCTACAGGACGGCCTGAAGGAACCGATTCAGATTACATTTGTTGACCAGTTCGACATACCCGAGGCGGGCATCGATGGCGGGGGTGTGACCAAGGAATTCCTCATGAGCGCTACTACAGAAGCCTTCACAGACGACCATGGGCTGTTCGTCGCCAACAGCCAAAACTCACTCTACCCCAACCCATGCGCCATCGACCAGCGGCAAAACAAGCTTCGGGAAACACGACTGGCCCCCGATTCGCAGGAATGGAGGGATGCTATGTCAAATCTCCTAGAGCAGTACGAATTCCTCGGGCGCATAATAGGCAAGTGCTTGTACGAGGGCATCCTGATCGACGTCGTCTTTGCCGGCTTCTTCCTGCTCAAGTGGGCATCATCGGGTTCTGACACGGGATACCGGGCAAACATCAACGACTTGAGAGAGCTTGACCAGGACCTCTACGCGAGCATGATGAAGCTCAAGAACTACCCCGGCGATGTGTCCGAGCTTGGACTAGACTTCACGATCGACGACCAAATTTCCATGCCGGACGAGCCTGTTCGCATAGCGACCCGCAAGCTGGCGCCTGACGGCGACAAGATGACCGTCACTAATGAAAACAAACTCCTATACATTAATTACGTAGCGCGGCACCGCCTGGTCGCGCAACCTTTGCGGGTCACCCGGGCGTTCCTTGCTGGTCTGGGCGCCATCATCGAGCCAGCGTGGCTCAGCATGTTCAACCAGTCGGAGCTCCAGCGGCTTGTGGGCGGCGACTCGACCGAGATCGACCTGGAGGACCTGCGGCGCCACACGGTGTACTCGGGGCTGTACCAGATCGGCGACGACGGCGAGGAGCACCCGGTGATCAAGATGTTCTGGGAGCTGCTGCACCGGCTCCCCGACCGCAACCGGCGCGCGGTGCTCAAGTACGTGACGTCGACGCCGCGGGCGCCGCTGCTGGGGTTCGGGCAGCTGAGGCCCGCGTTCAGCATCCGCGACGGCGTCGGACCCGACGCGGCTGCCGAGCGCGAGCACGTGCGTGAATCTGCTTAAGCTGCCGATGTACCGTACGGTGAAGGAGATGGAGGAGAAGCTGCTGTACGCGGTGCTGTCGGGGGCCGGGTTTGATCTGAGCTAAGGGCAGTGGCATGGCTGCTGTGGTCTGATCGTTCGTGAGGCGGATAGGCGTGGATGGCCCATGCGATACTGATTGAGTAATCATGCTGTTTGCGAGGAGTAAGGGGCATTAGATGTTGTGTTTTTTTTCCTTTCTGATTTTCTTGCTTCCCCGCTGTGAATGCCTTCGGCGAAACAGGACCATGTCGGCTTGAACAGGACACACGAATCGTGAATAGATGGCGGTCAAGCAAGGTTGAAAATACGATAAAAATCGTCATGAGATCAAATTCCGCTTCTATGCAAAATTGTGCCTATGGCAAATTCAAGAAAGTTGGGTATATCGCCAGTCTTCCAAATCATCCCCATCCACCAACATATGGTCCCCCACGCCGGGCGCCGGAGCACTGCTGCTATGGTATCTAGGACTTCCCTTTGCCCTCGCCCTGGAAGCTACTCTTAAGCACCGCGGGCTTCCTCTCGGCGAGGTCGAGTATCATCTGCCCGAACAGCCCGTTGGCCCAGCTGAACCACGCGCGCGTCCACATGCCCGCGTTCCAGACGTTGACGCTCTCGTGCATCAGGCCCAGGCCGTCCGTGGAGGCGACGAGCTGGCCCAGCATCGAGCGGATCTCGTCGTCGTCGTCGCTCGTCATTATCCCCACCACGAGGGACATGGGCCACGCCATGCCGGGGCCGATGTGGGGGCCGCCCGTGCCGTTTATCACGGGCCCGTGGTCGTAGTAGGGGTTCGAGTCCGAGAGGGCGAAGCGCCGGGTGGACTTGTAGATTGGGTCCGTGCGGGCTACGTAGCCTGTTAGGGGGCTTGAGAGGAGGGAGGGGAGGTTTGCGTCGTCCTTGGGTTGTGTGTTAGTGGTTTTGTCTGGACTACATGAGATTGAAGAGGAGGGCGGGGGAAGAGTGGCAAGGGGCTGCTCACCATCATGTTGGTCGAAGAGTACCCGTCCACCTCGTAGGCGTAGATCTCGCCGAACTCCGGGTGCTTGATCTTGCCGTACGCCTCGATGCCCTTCTTGATCTCCTTGGCCATGCGGCGCATCCTGTCTGCAAGCGGTTCGTCGTCCGCGTCGTCGTCCTCCTCATCCTCGATATCATCCTCGTAATAATCCTCCGCGCCCGACGTACCACCCACGACGTCCTGGCTCGTACCCTTACCATTACTACTTGAAGAAGACGAAGAAGACGAGGCGGCGGCAGCAGCAGCAGCCGCCTCCATCGCAGCCGCGACCCGCGCCTCCTCCTTCTCGACACGGTCCACGATCTCGGCGCACAGCCCCATGTACCGCGCGAGCATCATGTTGGCGGGCACGAGGAGCTGGAACGTGGTGGCGTCGTCGCTGGGCCTGAAGGCGCTGCGCACCATTCCCGTGCCGCCCTTGACGGGCGACCCGTTGCCCCCGTTGGGCAGCGTCTCGGTCGCGGCGCTCGTGACGCGCGTGAAGCGGTACGGCGCGTCGGGGACCATGCCGTCCTCCTTGTACGTCGGCGCCCGCATCGCCTCGGCCGTCTCCAGGACCGCCTCCACCGCGTCCTTCCAGCCGTCCATGGCTGCGCCGGGCCGCCTCCTCCTCCCCCTCCCGCCGCCGCCCTTCTTCCCCGCCCCGCTTCTCCTCTTCTTGAGGCCGCTGGCCCTGCTGCTGCTGCTGCCGCCGCTCCTGCTGCCGCTCCCCTTGGCCGCCTTGCCGCTGCCCTTCTTCCGCGCGGGAGACTTGGTAGCCGCCACCGCGGTCGGGGACGACGACCCCCCGCTGCTGGCGTCGACGAAGAAGCGCGCGTCCTTGGTGCGCGAGTAGTAGTCCCACGACAGCTGCAGGAACGACGCCAGGCTGTCGAGCTCGTACTTGCACTCGAAGACCACCGAGTCGCTGTAGGGCGGCGAGACGAAGTCGGAGCGGTGCCCGCCGTCGGCCGGGTCGATGCCCGACTCCACGGGCGGCTGGAAGGCATTGCAGTGGGGGGAGGCCAGGATGTACCGGCTCTGGAGGTTGATGGCCCCGCGGAACAGCGAGGCGAGCTTGCCGCTGCCGGGCTGCTGCTTGTCGCTGGACGACGTGCTGGATTTCGATGAGCTGGAGCTGCTGCTGCTACTGCTGCTGCTCTTGTCGCTGCTGGGGGGTTTCAGCAAGCTGACGTAGCTCTGGAGCTGGTTGGCCGAGTCGCGCAGCCACATGGCGTGGATGTCGCCTGTCGTTATGAAGGTGAGCTGGGGAGGTGTGTCAGCACATTAACTATGACCAGGGCACATATGGCGAAAAGGGGTAACGCACCTCCTCCTGGATGTTCGTGCTCGACACGCCCGTCCACGTCACAGAGGTGTCGAGCGTGTTGGGGAAGCAGTTCTCGAACAGCCTGAACAGGTCCGGGTCCTTGATGGTCCTGTTCATCTCGCGGATGACCTCCTCGACCTCGGGGATGACGATCTTCCTGCAGCTCGGGGCGGGCCTCTGGTAGGGGAGGCGGTACCTGCCCGCGGACCGCGGCTCGTGCGGGTGCGCGGCCCAGCGGCCGTACTCGGGGCAGTCGCCATCGTCGGTGACGGAGACGGCCTCCTTGTCGTAGGAGGAGGCCGGCTCGATGTCCGAGAGGATGGGCAGGTCGGCGACGGGGAGGAAGGTGCGGGTGGTGGCGAAGATGGCGTAGAGGATGAAGACGCCGGCGACGAAGGTGTATGTCTGCTGTCGTGAGCGCAGCATGGTGTTGCGGCGCGGGGAGGGGAGTCCTCCTGGGTACCGAATGCCTCGGGGCGTCTGGATGGCCACGCGCTTCTTCATACCCGTTTCAGGGGCGGCCGAGTCGGCAGGCGACGGCGGATGGCGGGGTTTAAGAGGATGAAGGTGAGAGACAATATGTGTATGTGAGAGTGGGTGAGAGACAGGGCGTGTCTATGATGGACGCTGCCTGGTCATGTCGACGCCGACCACGACCACGACAACTTGCTCCGGGTGACGAGTCCTCTGTTCGCTCAGGAGGACGTTGCAGTGTCCTCTGACGTGAACCAACTCGCACAGCTCACTTGGAGAAGTAGTAGTTCGGTCGATGTGGGAGGGCACGGCACCAGGATGAAACGGCTGACTCCAAGCGTCTCGATGGGCGAGTGATAAGTGACCACCGGTATAGCAGCCAGTGGCCTCGGGACCGCAGGTGGCTTATTAGGCTTATTAGTAGCGACGCGACGCCGTTGGTTCCGCACGTTCAGCCCAGGCACGGTACCTGGGGCCTGAATGTACACTGAGTATGCCAATTGATACAGATGCAGGAGCTTGCCGATGCTCAGGGTGTCTCGTCGACTTGGTTGACTTTGGACAGTCTCAAGATCCAAAAAGGCAAAAAAGGGTACGCGGCAGTCGGTCGGTCACTGAGGAGTGTCAGGGTGTAGAGGAAGATAAGCTAGGTTTAAGGTAAGGGCAAAGTTGTTAAGCTGCAAGGAAAGGCCATGGGCCGGGCCAGCGAGTCGTAATAATTCCAAACTCTCCTAACTCCAATAAACGCCGTCCTGGCAGTCTTTGTCTGTCTGTCTGGCAGGCGCCGCCGGCCTCAGCCTTAAAGTGCGGTTAGTCCCCATCAATTGCTGCATTAGCAACATCCTAGCGTCGGCAGAGCTCAGGGGAAATGCGAGAAAGAGGGGCGGGCCACTGCAGCAAGCTCAGCTGAGAAGCTGGGTGCTCGGAGAGAGGGGGACGGGGATCATCCGAGTGCGAAGGCCCAGGGGTCACATCAACGTTCCGAAGTTGTGAAATCTGGGGGATCGACTTGCGATTCGCCCTTGACCGCATCGGGTGTGGCGAACAGGCCTGACAGCTCAGACAGGCAGAACAGGATAGTGGGAAGGGGCATTGATGATCAGTGACAGCGACTTGTCTGCGCATGTTGTGTGTTGAAACATGAGCCCCACCAGACAGACGGCCATCTGTGGGAGCCAGTGTTTGACCATGGGCGGCGACGGTGACCTCATCCCATCGTTCCCAGTCGGGCAGTCCTGGCAGTCTGGCAGTCTGACATGTTTGGGGGTTTCTGGAATTCCTGATGGAACTCGGCGAGATGCAGAACTTCGGTTGATGGTCAGTGTGTCGTCGTACGTAGATGAGGCTGTCCCTACATTTCTCTACACACCCAAACACTCCGCATTACATACGAGGCCACATCTTGCATCTTGCATCTACATGCGTCTGCATCTACAACGCATCGCATCGCATCTGAGACCCGAGGCCGGACAGGCTGAACTGACCTGGAGAAACTGAGACTGAGCGGCGTGCCAAGCCCGCCCTCGTGTCTCGAGTCGCCTTGCCCGAATTGGCATCGCAATTTAATCGGCGCACTCACCACCTCGGAACATGTGCGAGGCTTTTTCGGCCACGGGCAAGTACCACTGCTGATCCTGGGGCAGCCCGAGACAAGGCTGCTCGCCACTGTTGATCGTGATGATGATCGTGACCGAATGGGTGGGTTGTGTTGTTTCTATTTTCCAACAAGTCTTCAGCAACACCAAGAACAGGCGCCCGACGGCCCGTTCCTGGTCTTGTTTCTCCTTAAGTCAGTCGGTGTCAATCAGTCAAGTCAAGTCAGTCAGTTTTTAGGGCTGCTGGGGAGACACGGCCCGCTTTCTTCTTCCTTTCCATCTTCGTCATCATGCATGAGTCTAGGGGGGATCTGACAACAACGCCTGCACGCCCGATTCCCGGCAAAATGACGCATGGGATGCCAAGACTGAGCTGCTTCGAACTCGATGTCGGTCGGAATTACAGTATATCCATCACGGCCGAGAGGCTTTCGTTAGAAACTCTGACCTATGTACAAGAATATTCACTCTGATGGACAGACAAACATGGCAACAGTGCCCTAAATATCAAGCCTCACCCTCCACAGCAGGTGCTCCCCCAGCACAAACACCGTCTGCTCCGTCTCCCCAAACCCAAAGTTGGCCGCCCCGCCCTGCACGGTAATCTGCCCGATCAGGTCCCCGGCCTCGTTCCAGACCGCCACGCCGCTCCCCACGCCCGCCCACACGTTCCCGGCCGCGTCGACCTTGAGCCCATCCGGCATCCCTTCCGGGGCGAAAGCAAAAACCCGCTTGTTGGTGAGGAATGTCCCCGGGGCATCATAGACGACATCGAAAGCGTGGATCGTCGCGGGCCCCGCGGGGTTCTCGTCCAACGCGTTCGAGTCCGTGACGTACAGCACGCTCGCGTCGGCGTTGAAGGCCAGGCCGTTGGGCTGCTCAAACCCGTCGGCGACCACGCGCGTCGTGTTGGAGGCAGGGTCGTGCCGGTACACCTGGTTCGGCAGCTTTGGTGCTTCGCGGATCCCCTGCGAGGACCCGTACGACGGGTCCGTGAACCAGATCGTGCCGCCGTCGGCCTCGTTGACGACCACGTCGTTGGGCGAGTTGAAGGGCCGCCCCAGGAAGGACGTCACCACGGCCACCGAGGCGTTGGGGTTGGCCACCGGGTCCGGGATCGAGAAGATCCCCGCCGCGGCCGTCTTGCTGCCCTGCGCCGTGAAGAGGATCCCGGATGACCCTGCGTGTGCTACACCGCCGTTGGGGAGGACGATGGAGGATGTGTCGAGGGCTTGCAGCGTGATGGGCGGGATGCTGTCCTGGATGAGCGGCGACGAGACGTTCGTGACGGCATGGAGCTTGATGGCCTGGTTGGACGTGCTCTCATCCACTTGCCCCTCCGGCAGAGGGATCCGGTTCGAGCTGACGTAGAGCGTGTGTCCCCGGTCGCGTTGTAGACGGCGCCCTCGTGGAAGAGCGGCTCCGTGGCATTGTAGATGAGCTCGATTGAGGCGCTGTTGCCCAGTATGTCCATGAAGCTCGGATCGTACACCGCGAAGTCGGCCAGGTCGGGGTGGGACGAGGTGAGTTGCGCCAGGGCCCGCGAGCCCATGGCAGCGAGGGCTGTCGCCTTGATGAAGCCAGGCATTCTCATTGAGGCTGATTTTCGACAGACACACACACACCACACTACACGCAGCCTGGTCTGATGAAGAGAATGGCGTACTTGTCTCGCGGTGGGCAAGAACAAGGTTCGAGTATATCAAGGCCCGCGAAAACGAGTGTCGGGTGGAAATCTCTGCTGCCAACCAATGCCTCAGCTATAGCTCGCTGACCGTATGAGGCCGTCTTTTGACTTATATCTGGCGTCCTCCGTACCACGGCCGACCTTGATTGATCTGCACGAACCTCATCCACCATAGGAGGTTCGCTGCGAGTCAAACAGCTTGGCGCCGAGACATGCATGTGTATTTTCGGCGCCCGGCCCTCTGCACGTCGTGGGACCACAGCTGGCCAGGCTTGCACCATGCGGGGCTATTCCGGCTTTAAACTTAGCATTGTCAATGGCTGCTTGGCAGTGGGCCTGAACAACATATCTGCCGGAAATTGGTGTAGGATTTTGGTATGCTACCAAAGCTTGAGTTGACGGCAATTCGGCAGGGAAGGCATGCGATAGTGTGCGTTCTATGATCAATGAACAGATCTTGTGGTCTATCCGAGTGTGTGGTGATGCTGCAGCAATCAATTAGATGCCGCATGAAAGAGATCGTGAGTTTTGAGCAAATGGAGAGCAGCCCATCAAGGTCCTCTCCTCCCAGCATCATGGTTGGCGGCCTCGGCACTTCCCGAGCCACCACCATCCGTTTCAACAGGCGGTAATCTCGGGAAGGCGAGCCAAATCAGCAGCGCCACCACGAGTAATGCGAGGATGAAGGCCTGGAAGATCCGAATGCCCAACAGCTGCACCATCGCGCCCATGGCAAACGGCCCGAAGGCCGCCCCGAGCTGGCCAACAGAGGCAACAAAGGACACAGCGCCGACGTGCAGGTCCTTGGGTAGCAGTCGTGCCAGCACGACGATGCCCGAGGGGAATAGGGGCCCCAGGAAGAATCCCACGACAATGACAGCGACAATCGACACGGCAGCGATGTCGACGGCGGCCACGACCGCCTGAGCCGCGATGGCAATGACCACATAGACGGTGGCGGCGCTTCGCACGCCCACCTTGTCCGTCACGAGTCCCAGGAGGAGCCGGCCCGCTGCCATGCCGATCCAGAAGCCCGAGGACGACAGGCTCGCGACGTAGGTTGATGCATGGCGCGCCCGGAGCATGAAAGTCACGACCCAGCCAGATATGGCGGCCTCGGTGCCCACGTAGACCAGGAAGTAAGCCGCACAGATCCAGGTAACCGCGTGCTTCAACGCCCCTCCCCCAGCGTGCCCTGCAAGCGGCGGCGCCTCCGAGGCCCGGTCGACCTCGGCAGGCTCCTTGGACAGAGCCAGCGCCTCGCGGTACCGCGCCCCGTCCTCGAACCGGAACACCCACAGCAGCACGACAGCCTGCAGCACGACCGCGCCGAGGAGGACGTAGTACCAGTCCCACCACGGGGCCCCGTAGACGGAGAACAGCGTCCCCGCGAGGAAGGGGCCCAGGCCGGCCCCGACGGAGAAGCTCCCGTGCAGCAGGCCCTGGACGGAGTTGCGCCGCGACCCGCCGAGCCCGCCCGCCCACGCGCACCACGACCCGTCGACCAGCCCCGCGCCGAAGTTGCCGACCGCGGTGGCGACGAGGAAGACCTCGAACCCCCAGCGGCGGGCGTCGTGGAACGTCGCGGCGGCGGTGGTGAAGAGGGCCTGGCACACGGGGGCTATGGCGGCGATGCCGCGCTGGCCGAGGCGCCGGTGGATGGGGTCGTTGAGGTACGAGCCTGCGAGGTAGCCCCAGGGGGCGATGAGGAAGATGAGGCTCGCGCGGACGTCGGTGAGGTGGTAGTGCGCCTCGAGGTGGGGGAGGACGACGCCCGGGGTCGAGATGAGCATGCCTGTTCGGTGTTAGCTGTATGTGTCTCTCTATGTATCAATCACGTGGAGAAGGAGGTCGCCGAAGCAGGCGTGTTTTGGTCCGTACCCAGCACGAGGAACGAGGTCGTCGTGGCGACGATCTTGGCGGCTGTGCTGGTCGTGCGCGGGTGCGACGTGTCGTGCTCGTGGGCGTAGCACAGGTCGTCCGGGGAGGTGCTGCTGTCTTCCTGGATTGGCACTGGGGGAACCTCCCTAAGCAGGGGCTGGCGTTCGCCCCGTGTTCGCTTCGAGGCCATCATGTCTAGTTCTCGGGCTACCCAAAATGCCTGGGTGTCTCTTCTTGTTGCTACCAGAGCATTTGAGGGCCGAGGATAAGTTCGGGGTGTCGAGCTCCCCAAGGTCGGCAGCCCCCACGCCAAGTGTGCATGACATGACGTTGGGGAAGGTTACGGAGTAGACAGCCACGGGCCGCCAGCTCAGGGATTGGGGGACTTCGAAATGTTGACATCCATGTCCCTAGCTCCTGGCCAGATCAAGAGACTGAAATACAATGCAGTTGTTCCATGTCACACCTTCATGTTCTCGTCTCATACCTCGCGACCGGTCCCTTTTCTCTTAATCTTTGGTCCTTCTTCGTCCCCTCCCCCCATCTGTATAATTGCTATGGTCATTAGCGGCAGCCACCACACAAATAGTCTCCTATAGGCCTACAGGGCACTTATAGTCTTAGTCGTCTCTGTCAGTTGCCAGTTGGGCAGGCTTCGAGTCTTTCAGATAAAAGGTCTGCAAGTTTTAGACGCAAGACAGTGCATGCAGTAAGCATGGAGGCATACCCCGCACATTGTACCACAGTGGTAAGCAAAATTCCTGCCCAAGTACGGCTGGAAAGGCAGACCATCCAAGATTTCATCCCATCAACCTCTTATCATCACAGAGGTACATTAAGTTGCCAACTTGGTGTGTCAGCTTCACCAAACTCAAGGCCGAGATGGCCGAATCCATTCCTCAACTTCAAAGAACAATCTGTGATCTTACGAATGTCTTGTCGCTGATCATGAAAAGGGGCCCTGACTTGGGGGATGAGGACGATGAGGCACCAACATCTGATTCTCCAACAGAGGAGCATTTAGATGAGGCCGAATTCGAGGACACGGTAGCACTCGGAGACGCAGCAGCCTGTGACATAAAACAAAACTTCCTAGATCGCCTAGCCGAAGTCTTAGCCAGATTTAAGACGGCTAAAGGCTCTGGGAAGAAGCGCAACTCTGATGCCAAACACGTCACTAGCGTGATCATGCTGGAGGAGGCGGGGAGCAAATCTGCCACATTCCTCTGCGCCAAGAACGAAGGGCTCGATGCCGTCGATTCGGCTTTTCTGAAGAAATTGGAGAGTTTGCTCAAAGACATTAAGGATAATGGCAAGCCAAATCTATTTTTTTTTTTTTTTTTTTTTTTGCTGGGGTCACACCTTTCCAGTGACTTTACAAGCTAATGAGGTGAAATGGGAGTAGTGATGGAACGGACAGAGAAAATCGACCGAGTTTTCGATGCAATATATGTCCACCTCAGACCCCGCGTGGAGTATTATTCCACGCTGATTCGCGATTCTCTTGAAGAGGCCAGTCGACGTGTTTCGATCCCCGGCAGACTCACAAGCCGAGAGGTACAGAAGAGCCTCCACAAGGCTACATATAGGGACTGGGAAGACAACAATCAGCTTCACTTCCGTCTCCGGCTTGATGCGACAGATGAGGAATCCATTTCGGACAAAGCTATCGACTGCCTGTCAGACCAGGATGAAGAGAGCCTTGTCCAGGAGACGTACTGTGAAATCCGAGATCTCTTTGGAACCGTCCCACCACATCACGACCAACTGATCCCTACGAGGAATCTTTTGAGAAAACTGTATCGTATCTTACGACATCCTCGACAGCGCCCGGCATTGAAGGGGCTTCTGAGGCAAGCAGTCCGCAACAATCAGCGATTATTTAAGCAGGCCTGGACGTCTATGCTGTATTTGGCCCGAGCCTTTTACGCCGCAGTCACCTTCGTGGATCTAGCAACCAGGTTGGAACTGGAAAATATTCAGTTCCGGCAGATCCCAGCGGCAGTAGCATGCAGACCCAACATCTCGGATAACAGAAGTCCAGTTGAAGTCCTGGCGGCCCTTGGCTGTCCTCCACCAACTAGGGAGTGGAGAGACTTCTTCCAGTCCAGAGGGAGAGTTCAAGAGTTCGTCCGGTTGTCGAGCTCGAAAAGCAAGACGGTACATGGAGAGGTCCAACTCATTCTTCATTCCGAGAGCCTTGCGCATTCTCATGAAAGGCCTACTGGCACAATCCTCCCCTACGTCGGATGTAGCAAGAAGTGCTGTTTCTTCTGTGACCTCTTCCGCGTGCGACACGGGTACTTCCAGGCGCGTGGGACACACCAGACATTGTTTCCATTGTGGGGCTTGCCAGGAATACTTCCGCAATACTCACTTCCGATACTGCGTCAGTTTTCCGGGCTCCTCAGATACATACTTCGGTCTGTATTCGCTGCGTCATCGTGCCCTCCTCCTCACAGAGATCTGCTTCAACAATCATCAGCCGCATTATCCACGGCACAAGCCGTGCGGAAGGAGGTACCAACATATTCTATTCGACCGCAGACATCAAGGTATGTTTCACTTCCATATCAGCTGCAACTTGAGGTGCGTAGATTTTGAGACCATGTAGAAGAATGATGCTCGGCGCAGGCGGAGTCCTCGCCACAGAACACCAGGTTGAATTCCTTCCTGCGCCGGGGACCCCCGGATACGCTCTGGTGATGGGCGGCCCCGACAAACAAGAGCATGACCCTGTGCCGATTGACGAGGCTGAGAGGCTCAAGATCAACCATGAGAGGAGAACGTCCTCGCTGGAACTGATCGAAGAGATGCCACCCACCAGCGAAATCTACCGCAAGCTATGCCGAGCCTGTCGCAGTGCTGCAAGATATCGGTGCTCAAATTGCTGGACGTGGTACTGCTCCAAGGACTGCCAGAGACGAAGCTGGGCGTCCCATGTCTTCGTGTGCCGGGTTCCAGGCCGACCCAACGACGTGGACTTTCTCAGATGGGTCATCCGGAGAGTCAAAAAAGAATTGGAAACCGGGGACGAAGAACGGATCCACAACGCCATGCTCTATTTGCTTGCTGACGACCATATCTGCCGGACCTTCGGATTCAGCAACTGCGGGAGTAGGCTAGAGGTTCTCAACCTTGTTTGTCTCTACAGCACCATTTTACCCAGGATTGGCTCAGCTATGAAGGTTTTGCAGCAGCACCTGGAAGGCGGAACCCTCGGCGGACTCATGGAGAAATTCTGTCGGGTGGAACGGGATGTTGCGCGAGTCACTTTAACGGACGAATGCGCCTGCGTGACCTGGTTTCTGCAGCGTCTGTCCTCAGGATCGTTCCTGATCCCAGACATGGAAGAAGACTCCTATCTCCTATGGCTTTTGGCAGTTGTGGATGCCGTTGAGACACTGAACTTAACACAAAAGTTCGAAAGCAAGCAAAAGCTCAATGGTCCAGAAGCAGATGTTCTCCACCTGTACATCGCCATCCAGCCAACTCTCTGGCTCGTCCCAGATGTCCATTCATCTGCCTGGGTCAACTTCGGTTTCTGCTACTGCAGGTCCTTCCACCACAGGGCGAAACTTGCTCGGCGTTACTTGGAGCTGGCCGCCTCGCCTGCCACGTTTGACGACATTGTTTCCGCCTATGAGACGGGGAGCCTGGCGGATTTGATGCGCAACCATGGCATCGACATTTCAGACTTGGAGCGCCAAGGCATTCGGCTGCATAGGCCACCTCCGTGCGAATACCGTGTCTACCGACTGATGATTGGTGTCGAGCACGCATTGTCTGGGCGTTTCTGTCGCTGCTTTAGCGCACGCCGAGGCCCCAATTGCCATAACGATTGTCATAGGGGCTATGAGACACACATTGATTGCGAGTGTGATGTGAACTACGGCTTCCACCTGACAAGGACCTGGGAGAGATGGCAGCTCTTGAACTTCTACAGGTACCTGTTCCAACAACCGGGCTTCGATCCTCGTCGCATGGCCGAGGCTACAGAGGATCCTGATCTCGAAGGCCTGGAGAACTACCTGAACACTCTGGTTCCAAATATGAGAACGAAGTTATTCGACAGAAACCGAGCCAACCTTCTGTTCCCAAGGCTGAAGGACAGGTTGAAGCTTTCCTCAGGAGACGGGCAAAGTATCCCCCATCTCCGATGTGAGTGCAAGGTGCACGATGTTGTGGGACCGCGTGGGTTGTCTTTTCTGAGATGGCATGAAATACTTGGAACTATGGAACACGATTGTGAATGAGACGGCTGGCATATTTCGAAGGTTTGGAGCCCTTATATAGCATACGGACGTTATAAAGAGCAGTGCTATGATTTGGTTTGTTTTACGTACTCAGAGCGTCGTTGATGAAATAAACCCATGACAGTGCCGCATCTGTATCTCATACCAATACTGTACAAAAACTCGACAGACTGTTAGTGATCTTGGATCTTACATGTAGTGACGTTACAGTGCTTTCCAACAGGGCCGGCGAGAAAGAAATGTTGCATTTCCATCATTGAGTCCTCCATAGTGCCGTCCAATCGTAGCCCAGGGCTTTTTTTGAATATCAAGGCTGTTGCCAGTCTAATTTCCATCCGTGCCAAATGAAGCCCGATGCAAGTCCGAGTACCAGCACCAAAGGGACACAAACTGATCTTTTGTTCCGGGGTTATTGAATTCGGGTCGAGCCATCGTGACACATCAAACCTGAGAAATTAGCGGTCTTTTTCCATCAAAGAGGCGCTCATGCCACTTACTGAAGCGGGTTAGGGAACACACCAGGATCTCTGTGTGGCGTGTATGCCTGCGTTTCGACTTCGCAGCCACTAGGTATGAGATAAGGGCCCAGCGGGGCGCCACCCATAGGCACTAGGCGTGACAGATTTCCAGGCACAGCCCCATAAAGCCGCAAAGTCTCTTCAATAGTGGCGTTGAGCACGGGGAGCCTCTCCAAATCTGCATCGCTGAAGTCCTCTCCGACCGAAGCTAATTCACTCACGAGCCTCTCCTGAAGAGCCGGCTGCTTGAGCACCGACCAGACCAGGAAGGTGAGGGTATTTGATGTTGTGTCAGCTCCGGCCAAGATGAAATTGCTGGCTTCCTTGATGATACTTTCGTCGTCCAAGTATGACTTCTCATCCTTTTCGCTCAGTGCGAGCATATTGGCGAAGAGGTTTGCCTTGTTATCGTTATTCTGATAGAGATTTGCGACAGCGCGACGTCCGTAGTAGTTTACCATACCGCCCGCATTGATCAAGATCTGGATAGGCTGGAGCGGGATATGTCTTATCATCCGAAAAAGCCAAGGAAGCTCATATTGCAGTGTTGTTCCCAGGGCTGCAGCCTCTAGAACCTCGATATAGTGGCTTTGCTTGATCAAGTGTTAGCAATTGGCCAGTGTTTGGGGCAGGAGAAGAGACACCTTTCCGAGCTTCAGGAGCCCAAACGACTCGCCGAATGAAAGCTCACCAATCACGTCTGACGGCATCAACATCCACCACTTCAAAATATCCGAGCGCCCCTCCGGCGATAACACTTCGTCAAGAATACGTGACGTAGCCATTTCAACTTTTTCTCTGATAACTGTCTCACAGTTTTGGCGCAACGAATTCAGGGACAAGGCCCGGGAAAAGAGCTTTCGACGAGCAGCATGTTCTTTAGGGTCCGTCATGGCGAAGAGGCCAACTCCAATACCCGAGTTGCCGACACCGGCAGCAAAGTCCTCGCACCAAGGAGTTTTCAAGAAACCCGAACCGATGCGATGGATTGCGACGAGGCCTTTTGGATCGGCGACAGCGGCTTTGCCTGGAGACAGACGGACGAAAGGCCCGTAGGTTTTGTGAAGCTCATGGACATAATATGTAAGTCTTGAGATGCACAGTCTTGCGATTTGGTATAAATAGGAATTACAAATGACCTGCTACAGGGGTTTTGAAACATATTCTCGGGATTCTAGCAGACAGAGAGGCGCACTTAGTCGTCCATAGGAGTTGATATCGGAAACGGAAAATATGATATTTCTGCGACTAAGTAACACAAATTACACGGAGTTGCTATTGACAGGCAGGTTCTTGCTGAGCCAAGGAGCTCTCAACCCTCTACTCCTTGGACAGAGATGCGACACTGGGCAAGTCTCAAGAACTCTTGCTGAAGGAAAATGGGGCACAACACGGTCCTCCTCTTCTCATGCTGGGGGAGCGAATTCGAAGTTCCAAGTTCCAAGCAGGCGACCTAAGAGAACTTCACCGAATTCTGAGAGCCCCTCTCAACGCACTTGCCCGTGTAGCGTTGGAACTTGTGGGAAGTACCACCGCACCCATGGTCGTCGTAGGCTAAGGATCTCGGTGTCAGCTCATGCAATCCTCAGAAAAAAATCGAGAATTTGCGCTCACAGTAAGACTGCCAGAAGCCTCCAGTGTTGTAAAAGAAGGCTCCGGTCTGGTCGTCCAGCTCGTAGCACTTCCCCGAAACTGGGGCAGCGTGGTAGAGAATGTCTCTATCATTCTCACTAATTGCCCAATGTTAGAGAAAGAGGGTCTCACTGGTGATGGGCATGGGCTGTGTACTTACCAATCGTCAAGAGTGCGGTACTGGTTCAGCTTGACGTTGTCTCTGGCCAGCAAGTCCGGCAGGGCAAGGGAAGAAGCGGCGAAGGCGGCAGCGAGCAGAATGAACTTCATTTTGAGATAAATGTGAGAGTTTGGGGTCTAGGGGGAGGTGTGAAGTTTATGATTGATTGTTGGGGAGCGATACTGATGCGTTGACTTGAATTGAGTTGAGTCCATTCCCAAAGATCCCGTAGATGTCCTCTATATATAATGAATCTGGAGAGCGGAAAAGCGCTCGAAGGATCAAACCTCCAATATACTACAAAGCGATCTTGATTCCTTTGGTATGCCCAAATTCCTTCCTTTCATGATGCTGCCTAGAGAGATCGGCGAGGCTGAAGGCATAGTAGATCCTGTAGAACCACTGAAGCATGGACCACATCATTCTGACTCGCATCCTTCGAATTGTTAACCGCCCCGTCCGCTCGACGGACGTCTCGCCAAACCGTCGATCGATGGAGTGTTTCCCCGGACAGGATCTCCGCTTGTAATTAGAACAAGTGCGAGGGGAGTGCGAGGCTTGCATCATTGCAACTTGCAGCGCTCGTCAGGTCGACGCAAAGGTGGTGTTCGACCCGCAGGTCTCTCTGCTCATTGGATGATGGGAGTCGTCAAGATACTCAGCCCTGCTGACTGCCGCGCTCGACTGGTACCGAGACAGCTCGGACATCGGATCCCACCTATTTGTGCACCCTCCCTTAACTTGCATTGCAGAACACCTATTGGCCTGGTAGTCCTTCAGGATTACTGATCGCCTCTCATCCACATTTGCATTGTCCTGCAAAAGTGTATAAAACATAAGCTTAGTAAGAAATGACACTATCCTACGCGGATCATAATATGTCAATTGAAGTGAAGTATTCGGCTGTGCATTGTGGGGGTGGATCCCATTACACAGATCGCCCTCAGCTTGCGGGTCCGATTTTGCCAAATGCCGGGTCGATCTACAGATATTCTCCACTTTTCGGAAGGCTGCAACAAAAGTGCTACTTTTCTTGTAAATCGATCTGCATCGCATTTACTTGAGGAATGCGTTCCTGGATTCTGGGTGCCTGGAGTATAGGAAGTTAGGATACCGGCATTTGCATCCACATGGTCTGTGCCCACCATTATTATTCGGCAGCCTGACTTTGATCCATCTGGTCGAGCCTTGTGATGTGGAAGGCTGTGTATTGTCAAATATCCCAAAGGTCCAAGTATAGCGAGAACCTGAAGCTGTGCCTCAGCTGGGTTCGAGAAGTATAAAGACTCAGAACACCCTCATCTTTCCATTTCAATTCGCAACCATCTTCATCAACCCACTCAAAATCTCGATAAGTTACCGAAAAACCAAGCCGCTTCAGTTCTAGTTCTCCCAGGATTCTCAGAAACAATCACCATGAAATTCATCCTCGTCGCAGCGGCCACCAGCCTCTCCTTTGCCATGGCCTCACCCACCCAGAATGGTGGCAATCTGTTTGCAAGGGACAAGCCCAAGTTGAACCAATACAGAACTCTGGATGACTGGTAAGAGAGGACATCGTGTTTCTAACAAATTCATTTGACTAACTCGTTGGTACAGCAAGAATGACCGTGACATTCTGTACCACGCGGCGCCGTCCCTTGGCAACTGCTATGACCTCGACGGTCAGACTGGCGCTTTCTTCTACAATACCGCTGGTTTTCTCCACGCCTCCGGTAAGCTCATTCCAAAGTTTCAATTCTGAATGGTTTGTAGACGAACTTTGCTAATGTTTTGCTTCCACAATAGCTAACAAGGATGTCGGATGCAACGGCGAATCACTCCATATCAAGGGTGGGGAGTGCATGGAGAAGGGCGACTACAAGTCTGTCGTTTTCCAGTGAGCTGTTCCTGCTGGTAAAAGCAACGCGGACCAGTTATTGGTCGTGGAATTTTCTATACGTGGGACATATGATACTTAAGTAGTAGGGCTTTGGAAATGAGTTCGCAATTCTAAACTTCTTGTTGCATATAGCCTGACATTAGAGTTATTGTTTGACTACGTGGCTCAGAACCTGACCATCGTGCGACATATGAGGAAACAAGTGCCAAGTTCCAATCGGAACTGTCGGGAAATAGCTTCAAAGTCATTGGTACACGTAGCAGAAAGGCCCCAGCCGTCGTGCTGACAAGCTCACCAATCTGCCTCGGCGGCCCAGCAGCGTACCCGTAATCATTGTAGTCATCGAGGCTGGCGTTACGGCTGGGAGGACTGTCCAAGAACGTGATGGTTCCCCCGACGGCCGTGGGTCCAGCTGTCCGCTCAGCGGGGGACTGCATCTGCCACATCCACCAAACCCGGTCGATCATCGTGTGGTGTAGATAGAAAGCTGGGTCGGCCGGCGAGGCGAAAAGGTCGCGGCCTGGATCGCCACCCATCGACCAATGGCCTGTTTGTGGTCAGCGGTTTGTTTTCACAAAGCTTTGTCACTTCGCATGTGATCAGGTGGACTTACCACCTCCGTGGGGGCCAAGATAATTCGCTCCAGTCGTGATGTTGATGCCCTGCAGTGAAAGCTGAAAGTCCGAGATGGTGTCCCATAGAAGTATCGTGTCCAGGACCTGAGTTGCGCTGTTGTAGTTCTGGATGATATAGTCGGTCAAGTCGCGCTTGAGGCAACGTGGATTCCAGGACAGAACTCCCGTGTCATTGTGAGGGTTCGCCATTGACGTGTTGCCAGGTAGGGCGAGATCGACAGGGCCCAAGTTGACAGTATAATTGGCGAAGGGACCTGAGTACACGCAGCCGCCACCGCTGCCAGCAGGGAGAGTAACCCCCATCGTCCACAGGTCAGGCTTATCTGCAATGTACTCTCCATTGCCTGACATGGATGTGTCACTGCCATCGTAGATGGGAGACTCCTCCAGCCCAGTGATTGCAGTCAACGGCCAGTCCCAGTACTTGCAAATCAAAGAGTCAGCGAGAAGTCATGGTTGCAGTATACAATCGACGCCATGTATAGGAAGAAAGAAGAATGACGCCCTCAGCTGGCATCAATGACATACCGGTAAGCTACCCCTATACCCACACTCCTCTTGCAATGCCTGCTCGTACAGCCAGATGAAGTATCTGTGCCATGACAAGAAGTTTCCGGTGAGGTGGATATTGTTTGTCTGGTTCATATGGGTGCCGACAAAGTCGTCAAATCTGGTCTTGATGCCAGATCCTAGCTCCGCAGGCGTGATAGATTTGGCAGACTGGAGGCATTTTACTGCCTTGATATAGTCCAAACGCTCCTCTCGCGTATATACGTGCCTGTATCATCCTTGTCAACATTTCCTGAAGGAGCTGTTGGGAGAAACTGTTCACGGTCACTCACCAGGAGCGGCGGGCTACGACATTGTCCGCATTGCATGTGCTGTTGCTGGCCAATCCTGCAAGAGCCGTGTCGTAGGATGCTTCTCCCAGAGCCTGCAGGCGCGTGTACTGAGCATCGTCTGCCCCGAGGCTCACAGGGGAATCACTCGCCAGCACGGCTGCAGCGGCGGCAACGAGTCTCAAGCATTGAAGGCGGGGGCGGGACATCCTCGAGATTGAGTGGTGTGAGGACTGGGATACTTTCTCATCAGTTCCTTCCCCGACTTTGCTTGGACGGGGGGGGGGGGAGAACACAATGTCGTCTGAGAACTGTTGGCTGCAGTAGACGAGGGCTTTACATATTAAAGCACCCTGGACGCCACCTAACGTGCGGCAAATCCACAGGGAAAACCCACCCCTTAGAACTGCCTCCATATGCAGGCGCAGGGAAGAGAATGATTAGGCCCAACTCGTACTGTGTTCCGCATGCTAGGCGTCTCCACATGCTAATACATGTTGTATTCGCTCTAACCCCTAACAGCGGTAGACGGCGGTGCAGGGCCATTCTTTCCATCATATCTCACATATTTCTGTTTCCAATGATCTCACCTGAAAATCACTGACCAGAATCCCAGTATATCCGGATAATCGACAAGCCCCTGCAGAAAAAGGGCGATAAGTTACGTTGCATTTTTTGGCCCTGGCAACCTGCACACAGTCCACAAATGCCGGCTCGGAGCAGCGCCATTAGAAGGGGCCCTTTTAAGAGCTGTCGTTACTGTTGCCTATGAGGAGATCATATGCATCCCTCTTGTGATCCACGGAGACCTTCCGGCCGGGCGGTTGAGATGCCCAACTCAACATCACCTCGACCTGAGATATTGATCAACCACAATCTTCATCCCGATCCTGTGATATCCCAAGGCGCATGGCAATGTTCACGAGACTTTTGATCAAATCTGTTGCCCAGAAGAGGCAAAGCTTCTGAGCAAGCCCTTGGATATGTTTTCAGTCTACCGGGACCACCCGATATAAACCCCCGACATCATCCCACTTTGTTGCGCACGCAATCAACACCCGGACCTTCGGACTCGGTTCTGGACCGCACCATAGATTAGAAAATTTTGGTCTCTATGACATGCCGTCCCGGCCGTTCGGTCCCGGCTGCCCGGACATCACATCCGTCGAGCTCAGGGATTCGCCCCTCGAAGTGGGTATTGAAGTGCTGTTAGCACCAACGACCATCTCTGGGCCTCGGCCTGCAGGGGTCTCCACACTTTTAAAGCCAACAGATGCTTCTCAAGCTCGAAAACACGCGACTGTGATAAAAAGATACAGTCCTTTGGAAAGATCTCTCGGAGCTGCAAGACCTTATAAGGAAAGGTCCCCGAGAGAACCCCTGCTGAGATAGCTCACCGGTTTACAGACTTGAATTGAAAGTGTGGCAGGGATGAAGTGGAAGTCACCCAGAAGACGCACCCGCCGTAGCTTGAAGCTTCTGTTGATATCAATGCAGAACTCTGCCACTGTCGACCTTTCTCCGGGTTGGAACACCGAAAGATGATGCGCTTACACTGATCGATGGGCTAACAGGAAGTTGTCGTACACTGGCGGCTTGTGTAGAGAGACCACCCTCGACTTGAACTGTCAACTAATCCTTGGATCGTTCATCAAACCCAAGGCGTGCCGCTTCCCTGGAGGTCCTGCATGCGACCCTGGTAGGTTGGTCGGAGTGGCCACACCGCAAGACGTTCTCCGTTGTACTGTGCATATACTGTAGGTCTTCAGGCATGTCAAATCACCGATAGCTGCCAATGTCATTTTGTAATTATATCCCTGGGCGAAGGATTTAATGCAGAATGCAAAGTCGTTGCGTCCAAAGGCAGAAAACGTTGTCTCATTTTTTTCTCGTTTTTGCCAGTGGTGATTTTTGTCAAAATGGGAAGTTTTTCGTCGATGCGATGGGAATTTTCTACCGTATTTGATTTCGATCCATCCACAAACTCTTCCTTTTCTCAACACGATGTCCACCGGTTGGGCAGCTAATCGTCCAGGGGCCGATCAGCCTGACGTGAACAAGGGGCCCTCTCTCTCAGCTGTGTCTGTGACTTTGACCCTCATAGCATTTCTCGTGGTTTCACTACGCGTTTGGTGTCGAGTGCGGCTATTGAAATCGTTTGGAGCAGATGTGAGTGACAACTAGCAATTCTGAACAGGACCTACGACCGCAACTGCATAAGAACATGACTGACCTCGGCGAACAGGACTGGGTCATAATTGGCACAATGGTAAGACAGATTCCCATCTACACCCGAGGCAATACGCAATATCCTCGCTAGACTTGGATTAGCGCGTTTTATGTGAGACTCTTTGCGTGCTGATATGCTCTTCCCCAAGGCGCTTTCGTTAGCAGGCATGGGTGTCACCCTTGGCCAAGTCGCATACGGCGCGGGTAGACACGCGGCCTATCTTGAACCCCCTACCATAGAGATGGGACTCAAGCTCAACTTTGTTGGTCAAGTCTTCTTTCTTTGGGCACCTTGCATGGTCAAGGTATCGATCGGCCTTTTCCTGCTTCGTGTCACACCAGATAGTATCCACCGCAAAATCCTCCACGGCGCCATGTCTTTCATCCTCGCGTGGACACTTGCGTGTTTCTTTACTATCTTGCTTCAATGCGACGATATCAGAGTAATCTGGGACGACTCGGTCCAGACAGTCTGCTGGTCTGTAGAGGTAATACATGCTCTGGGGTGGGCTAGCGCTGGTCAGTAGAGCCTTTACTCTCCAAACCCGAGCAAGAGCACTCGTCGTTGGCGCCATATATGTCTGACGCAACCTTGGCAGTGGTCTCGATCACCAGCGACATATTCTTTGCCACCCTACCGATAGCAATACTGTGGAAGTTGCAGATCAACGCAAGGAGAAAGATGTCGTTGGTCGCATTGATGGGCTTGGGAATTTTGTAAGTGGACTCGCCAACAAAACCTACCATCCACTGGGAGCGCTTGGTGCTGATCTCTGAATCGCTGTAAACTAGCGCTTCCGGCGCAGCAATCATCAAAACCGTATATATCGAGAATTATAGCAGCAACACTGACAACCTGTGGAACGCAACGGAGTTGACCATATGGACTACGTAAGAACACTTTCTGGGACACCCCCCGTCCTTAACCGACCGCAGTTTTGTCAAATGCCCAAATTAAATCATTAACATTACTCAATCTAACGAAAAACAGTGTTGAGCTTAATATCGGTATCATCGCTGCATCCCTGCCATGTTTGAGGCCATTTTTCAAGGGTTTGTCAAACGCCAACACAAACATGACTACGGCTCAAGAATACGCAATGCATCCTTACGCGAAAACATTCGATCAGGATCGCGGCTCACGCTACCTTCAATCTCATACGACAACGCATATCACGGGCGGAGGTCTGCGGCTAGAAGATACGAGTTCCAGCCAGGAGAGAATTGTCTCTCCTGATCAGAAGAGGGGATCTGGGATTCGCAAGGTGACCGAGTATTCGGTGAGCTCGGGGCAGGGAGCTGGGGAGAATGCGACAGAGCCAGTGAATTTCAATGCAGAGGAGAACAAGAAGTTCGGTATTGCTCTTTAAAGCATATCCACCATGCTCAAAAGCTACGTAGGCGAATCTTCCTCAAAAGCGTCATCGCATTTGTGCAACCCGGTCTCGCCACTTAGTAGCTTTGATGGTTTGAGCTCCAGCAGTCTTCGACTGCGGTTATGTCCTTGAGCTTAGGTACCAAGGACTAGAAAAGGCTCCATTTAATGAGTGTTGCTAACTTATGATGCATCAAATGTACTGGTTAAAAGCCAAAATCAACACCTCGCTAAACAACCCTCGCATTTCTTCTTCGACTAACATCCGCAGTCGTATCACCCTCTGGATATCCCCGGTCTCAACCCCGCAAGTTCCCCAGCCGCGCCACCACCGGTACCCATAAGATTGGCCTTTATTGGTTGTCCAGCGGTTATTGGGGATGCGGTGGGTGGAAGGATTTCCATACATCCATCCATTTGAGCAGAAGCGTCCTTGACCGAGTCCTGAAACTTGCAGGACACTCACACTTCCCCTTGTACTTTTTCCTGTGCGACCGCACCGTGAACTTGCGGCACCGAGGACAGAACTTCCGGCCGCCCATCCAGCCCCTAAGCCTCACGTGGAGCGGAAAAGTGGTGCAGGAATAGTGCGCGCACCGCCGTTGGTGGCATATGGGGTGGTCGGCGGGATACTTGCGACAGGCCGAATGGAATTGGTACTCGTGCCCGGGGGATGGGTAACTGCAAAATGATATGTTTCTAGCTCTCGCTCTGACTACAGCACTTGTTTATTGTGTAATTAAACTGCATCGAAAGCATCCTAAGTCAATTTGAAATCCGATGGCGTGTAGGGGTTTTGGGAATACAAGTAATTGTGGATATCTGACTTCAAATATCAAGCGGCGATGTAGGAGATGTCACACCCGTAAGATTCTTGACTCATAGGAATCCTTTGTAGCTATATGCATGCATCCACAGTGAGGAGTGGTCAATTACAACGTTGGATGTAATAGTGGAGTAGAATTATGGCCCACTAGACTCGGTTGAGCGTACAGTTGAGCACAGAATTGGTGTGGCTACATAGGGTCCTTCAGCAAACAGACAAAGCCTTCGGAAATTCATGCTCGAGCAGCCCCCGCCCTCCCGGGGGCACCGTCGCATCGCGGTCAGTATGCGTTAGGACCAATCTACCTACCTAGGTACATACCTCACCATGCCTAACTGTATTTAGATTCTTTCCATCTGTCTCCTTAGATGATGACGCGGCGCTCACCCTTATCGACCTAATGTCAGAAATTACGTTTCAGCCTCTGAGCAAGACTGGGCAAGCCATGAATTGTGCTGCCTTGACATGGTCAAGCTGCTTTTCTGCGAAAAAAACGTCTCATTCTAGTTCGGTTCATGTTGATCACTGTACCGATCGCTGCTGGCAGCCGCGTTATTCATCTTTCGACTGGTAAATGCTTTCCAAGAGGCAGTCAAGGTCAGGAGAAAGTATGTAAGACCTCTGTGCTCTATTTAAATTTTCATCATCCAAAAGAATTATCATTTTCAGTGGGTCAGTTGTCATGCAAGGCATGCTTAGAAAGCCACTAAAATACTCCCGACGACGAAGTCGAGGTCCCGGTCTAACATGGTTACACAGCATACACGACTGTCTGACATGCATCTGACCCTGCAGCCACAAGCGTTAGGTATTGGGCTCGGCACATGTTTGGACTGGAGGCCGCCAAATATGCTAATACTTTCTGCAGTGCTAACTCCTCTTCTGCTTTACCGTTACCCCTCTCATCTCGCTTTCCATCGTCTACTGTCACTGCCCCCGCCTCCTTATCACCAGCAAAGCAAGACCGCAACGCGGATCCCTCAAGTTGAAGCCAGTATGGACCTTGAACACAATTCAAATCGATGGGACATCTTTGATCCTTCCAAGCCTAAGACGTCGGACTGCAGCTCCCCTCCGAACAAGCTAGTGGCTACTCCGTGTGCACCAGAAGACAACAGCCCTGACGAGGACTCCATTTGTCGTGAATGCAGACAAGTGGATTGGGACAGTTTTCCCACCCTGGTTGAAAATTTCAAGGTGAAAGAAACCTTCCGGGTAATACGTACCATAGATGCAGATCATGAGCAACTCGCCACCTCGTCCTGCAAGACTTGTCGCATTCTCTCGGTTGTCAAGGCTCAATCTCTTGACAAGACTGAATGCATTGTTGCAGCTCAGGAAATATCGCACTTTGGTGCATATGCTGTTCCATTTCCTTCGCCCGACAGCTGCAAGATCACAGCCCTACATGTCTGCCCAAGAAGCTCAAGGCAGATTATGCCTAAGTCCAAGTGTCTCGTGGCCATAAGACGGGACGGCGGGGACTTCCTCTATAGGACGATGATACCAAGATCAATTGATTATGATTGGCTCAAAGATCTAGTAAGGTCGTGTGAGGAGGCTCACGAATGCAAGCCTAGCTCGCTTGGACCGGTCCTTGGTCTTAAGGTCATCGAGGTCTCGTCGCGGACTGTTCTTGAAGCGCCAGGTGGTTGCATATATGTAGCCCTATCATACGTCTGGGGCAAACAGACGGACGAAAGCCTAACATTGTGTTTACAACGCCCGCCGCCGCTGATTGAAGATGCGATTTCAGTCACTATCGCTATGGGTTATAAATACTTATGGATTGACAGATACGTAGGTCTCTACATAAAATATGAGGAATACCATCACATTGATACAGATCTAACATAATCCGAAGTGCATCCCACAGACTGATAAACAAGAGAGGCATCGCATGATCAACCAAATGGACCAGGTCTATTTAAATGCCTCTCTGACAATCATTGATGCATCTGCTGGGGATGCACATAGCGGCCTACCTGGCGTCTCTAGCTTTGCACTTCGATTCCAAAAGTGTGTCCATATTCGCAATACCGCGATATTGGAACTGCCTTGTGGTGACCACGAGCTGAAGTCCAGCAAGTGGGCTACTAGAGGTTGGACATATCAAGAGGGTTATTTCTCCGCAAGGCGCCTGATTTTCACCCCCAGCCAAGTTCTGTTCATCTGTAATGAGGATTATCATGAGGAGTCAGTTTGTCGCTTGTTACATCACGATAACCCGAAGGACACGTTCGGCCCTAGAAGATTCAGGCATCTAAAGCCTAATTTCCTCAACAATAAACTGATGTCCTACGATCTCCTGGACCAGCTGCAAGAATACAGCAAAAGAGAGCTCACCTATCATGGAGACTCATTGAATGCCTTCCTTGGTGTTCTCAACTTCTATACGCATGATTCACGCAGCCTGGGATCAACAGTTCTGCATATTTCTTGGGGTCTAGTTGCCCGAAAGGTCTCGAAGACGGGTGATCTTCGTGTTTACCTGGATTGGTATCATGAAGCGCCTGGGAAGAGACGGCCTGGATTTCCCAGCTGGGCATGGACAGGATGGGCTGGGCCTGTGAAATTTGAGGAACAAGGAATCACGCTGCCCAATCGCGAGAATGTTTCACCGCCTCTGGCTCATTTCGAGTGGGAAATATCTTGGGAGTCAAAGGATGACAATGCTGCGACCATTTGGGAATTCGCCAGGGATTTCTGGAGCGCGTCGTATACTGATAAGCTGCAGCTGTATCAGCAACCAATCTACCCCAACCGGCTGAAGGTCACATGTTCAGTCGTCCCTATACGCTTTCAAGTGGTTCCACTAACGGAAGCTCAGAAGAAGCAGCGGACCGAAATTCATTTCGAAAACGAGACTGATATCATGAGGATCGTGCGGCCGGACCTTCCCAAAGAGAATGTGGCTGTGGTCCAGTTCTGTCATGGAATCTACATTGCAGCCCAACCATACCTAGATCAGGACTTGGATGTGCGAGACTGCGTGATCGGGCTTCTATTCTCAAGGAACGCTCTGAATTCTGGCTGTCTTCTAGCTCGCCAGGTGGATGAGGGTCTCTATGAGCGAATGGGAGCTATACCTCATCTAACTGCCTACCCTCGACATGGATATAAAGCTTTTGGTAGTTCTTTGTCACAGTTGATTGTCTTGGACGGAGCAGGCAGCGTCCTAGACAAGGTTACAGTTCCAGCGAGGCAACCGAAATTGCCTTTCGACGGTGTTAGTGAAAGGAGGACAATTGTGCTGGTGTAAATTAACGAAACCCAGGACCGATTGTTCTTCGTTTAGATCCTCGCAGTCTCTTACATCTCTCTTCTGTTCTCAGTCCATCCCATTGGTCTCGCAACTGATACATATTTCACTCGTCTCGCAAGCCGCGCTCGAGTTGCTCGCACTTCTCGGACTAGGTATCAGTATAATGCCTACCCCCCTCCTCTGGGAGCTGCCTCTCAGTTATCTCTTACGTGTTTCAGTGTAGAGGATGGATCATCCAAGAGCCCGAGTCTGGGTGGCAATCTGTGACCTCCACAGCCGCAACGCGTCTGCCTCCAGGTACCTGAGGCGTGCATATTGCGGGTTTCTATTCCCAGCTTGTCTCATGCCGCTGCTTAGCTGTACAAGCACTCTGGAGAGTGCCAACTGTTGCGTTTCAAAGGGTAGGTTTTACTATGTCTTATAATATACGGCTTATATTCTCTACTACAATCTTATCATCTTCCCTAACTCTTTTCTCTTTTGATTGGAGTAATGAATTAATGATGAAATAAATTGCGGCTTATATTATTTACCCTTAAAAAGAAGCTTAATTACTTTTAAGGCAGGTTTGCATGCTTACCTAGTTAATAACTTAGCTATATAATAGCTGTTGTAAACAGTAGCAGCGGTTATTAAAAGTAAAGTTTTAAAGGGATCTTAGACGAGCACAGAATAAATAAAGGTTATTCAATGGTAGTATTAAGGGCTATTACATTAATATAAAGTAGTGATATATTCGTGACTCCCTGCAGGTACTTCTGGTATCATAAATTACTAATTATAAAGATTTACTAGCATGAGACTCAGATTTCATTTGGATCCTTCTGTATATTATCTCTTTAACACCAGTAAATTGCTTAATAACAAAAAGTCCCGTTGTTGCAACCCTGCGGATGGACAGGTACAGTGAAAGATTGCGGCTGCTGTCTCGCAAGTGGATCCAAAATGGTCGGGCTGCCGGTTAGTGTAAAATTAAACGTCAAACGCGAGTCATAGTCGAGCATCATCTCATAGTCTCCCGGGTAGAGTGCCAGGTCGCCGTCTGCATTGGCGCGCGCCAGCGCACCAAGGTTGAGGCTGAGCGGTACCCCCTGCGACTCTCCAGCAGCCAGGCCGTGCGCACGTGCGTACGACACGAGCCATTTGTTGGGGTACGGCGATGGCCCGGCATTGGGGGTCTTGAGAAATAGCAAGGCTACGTAGTCGGAGGCGAGCTTGCCGGTGTTGTACACGTTGACGCTGACGGTTGTCCATGGCGAGGCGTCGTTGACGGAGGGGGTATTACCGCCGGGGCCGCCGGGGATGAGACTGCTGATAGCGTACGAGGTATTCGGCTTGGTGCCCCAAGAGTAGCTGAAAGTTGTGTAATGCAGCCCGTAGCCGAACGGCAACACCGGCTCCTTGTTGTACCACTTGTATGTTCGGCCTGGGGAAGAATTGCTTGGACGGAGGTTGGGGTCAAAGAGCGAGACCTCATTGACGTAGTCGGCTGGGTACTGTGTCGTCGTTAGTCGTCCGGCTATCGGCTGCTTACCAACGAGGACGTCAATGAGCGCGTTACCGCCGTCCTGGCCTAAAAGCAGCGAGACACCACGTTAGCGTACTACTACTTGTCTTCCGGCTTACAGCCTCGTGATACATACCGGGATATCCGCCCCACACAAGGGAGTTGACATTGCCGTTGTTTAACAGCGCAGTATCGTCTATCTGCCCGCCGCCGAATTGCACGACCACGAGCGGCTTGCCAAGCTCTGACAACTGTTGCACCAGGTCAAGCTGGTTGCCTGGCCAGACGATGGACGTGCGATCCATGCCCTCGGCTTCGATGCTCACATCGATACCACCCGCATAGATAACGACGTCCGCTGCTTTAGCCGCAGCAAGAGCCGCAGCAAAGCCTGAAGTGTCAGAACTGTCGATAACGGTGCCCAAGGCATATGTCACATCTGACCATTGCGCCTCTGCTGCCATCAACGGGCTCAATAGGTACGGTGCAATGCCTTGGTAGTTTCCTTGCATCTGGGTGGTCGCATTGGCCCATGGTCCGATCATGGCGACTGAGCCGTACGAGGTCTGCAGGGGAAGCAGCCCATCATTCTTCAACAGCGTCATGCCCTCCCAAGCGGCTTGGTATGCTAGAGACTGAGCCGACGGCGAACCGACATCGGACCAGGACAGAGAATCATACTCGGGCTGCCCGTCAAAATACCCGACAGTAAACAAGGCATTGTAAAGCCTGGTCAAGGAGACGTCCATTTGCTTCTCGGTTGTGAAATTGTTGGTCACAGAGACGTTGAGCACATTGTAGGAACTCCCACAATTGGTGTCTGTGCCCGCGTTCAGGGCCACCGCCGCTGCCGCCGCTACGCTGTCAGTGAAATTATGAGGCTCATGGATGTCGTCCACAGCGGCACAATCCGAGGTAACGTAATGGTATGGCTCCCTGAAGCCCCACGAGTCTCGAAGGACGTCTTGCAGCAGGTATGCGTTGGCACAGGATGGCACTACAGTATCGGTCAGCTGTGGTTACGCGCACGAAGTCATCAGTGACTAGTTTCTCACCGCCGTCGACAGCATTGTAGGCGCACATGATGGAGCCAACGTTGACGTCTCTAACGCACGTCTTGAATGGCTGCAAGTAATATTCGCCCAAGTCCTGTTGGGTCGGGTCGTAGTTCTGTCCATGGCGGTTGGTCTCGACGTCATACACGGCATAGTGCTTGCAAGTCTACCAATAACGCATACGGAGTCAGCTGCCCAGAATTTGTGGCAGGCTAAAGTTCTCATGCTTACCGCGATGATCTGCTTGTGGTCGGTGTTCTGGAGACCTCCCTGGAGCCCGGGAATGAATTGCGCCACATAGCTCTGTGCATGGAAGCTGTCCTCACTGGGCACTTCGAGACCTCGCCCCCATCGCGGGTCCAAGAAGGTGTTGATATTTGGGGTCCAGAAATCGAACCCAGATTGCATGTAGTTGGCGAAGGCACGAGCCTCTAACCCGACAGTAGAAGCAACCTTGTAGATCAAGGGGTCATCGAATGCGGCCCCCATAAGGATGGGTTCTGGGAAGCTTGTGGCGTAACTGAAGTTGGAGCCGTTTGGTGAGTTGAAGGTGACTCCTGGGCTCGCGGCGACGCCGTGCAAAGCCTCTGACCACCACTCATAAGCTGGTAGTCCAAGCCTCGGCACACCGGTCGCAGAATTGACCATATTTGTAGCCTTCTCCTCAACAGACATCTGTGTGAGAAGTGCTGCGATGCGCTCGCCCTGGGTGAGCGAAGCATCGCACGCCTTGTTGGCGCAGAAAGGGTTGGTCTGGCAGACGGCTTCTCGGCGAAGGGTCTGCGGCGGCGGGTTGGGATTGGGGTTGCTGATCGCGTACAAATTCATGAAGTAGGTACCTCCACATACTTCAGATGAATTGCCTGGACAGGCGTATGAGCAGGTGCTCGAGTTCTGAGAGACCTTGGACGCAATTGGGTTGATGCTGTTGCCACAGAAGCATTGGGTCGTGTGTTCGGTACCAGACATGTTGTAGCCCATGTAGCCACAGGCATCGGCGCAGGCTCGGCCGTCATTCTGGGCGAAGTTGATCTGCTTCCCGTCCAGTGTACGCGTGGTGCTGTCCGTGTAGCATCCGAGTGACGTGAAGGAGGCGTTGAAGTCCTGTATGGGATTTATGCCAGTGCAAACGAAGCTGCTATTCTGAGCCAAGCTGCTCATGCCCAACGACAGCAGAAGGCTGCTCGGCAAAATGAAGCTCAGGCTGCGCATAGTGAAGTACTGCTTTGGGATGGTGATGTTGTTGTGGTCGAGTCGAGGGACACATCTCAGGAGATGTGCCCTGTTTGAATAGTATGGTAGCCATACCTTGATTAGTATCTTTTTCAATCCGTATATATGCTCAATAGAGCCGCAACTTGCAGGCCGGCTAAATTACAATAATTATCGATCGGCATGCATGTTCCCCCCCCCCGGGTGTCTGCAGGCCCCGCGCTTAAATGTAACCACGAACCGAAGGTCTTGCCGTCTTCCCGACTTCGCGATTACGAAGCTTCTCGTATTCACCTCGTACTAAGCGGCGACAGCTCATCTGATCCCATGCTGCAAACAGGCAGGCAAGGCTTTCTCCGCTCAGCTAAGTTGTACTTCATTGCAAATACTTCAGGTTGCGTGATGTATTACTCTATTTTCCTATTATAATTTCATTAGTCTCCCTGGTCGTGCGCTTCCTCGAGGCACTGAAGGCACTATCCTCTCAAATTATTGACATTGCAATGGCCTTCAGCCAGACAGGGACTAATCTTACCAGTTCAGCCTGAATGTGTATAGACTTTTCTTAGTTGCTGTCAAATCTGCTAGTTGTGTGTCCGTCTTCAGCATTATGGACCCCGAAACTGTGTATGCGGGGTTTATGACTTACACGTCTAATCGCTTTACCAAATTTCATCATGTCGGGGTTTTAGTTATACCGAAGCCTTTTAAAATAGAATTCGAGCGAATAACAAAATAGTAGATGAAGAGGGATGTGGTCTCAGTATGCAACTAGCTCCTCACTTGTAAGCGCACCCAGAGGTGGGAATATGATTACTTAAGACCAGGTGAGGTCTTCCTCTGTGGTTACTAGGGTATGATGGACCGATGGCCTCCCCACAGGTCACTGTCCATTGCCGCCTGTTCCGGCTCCGTCATTAGCGAATTGTCGCTGGAGATCCGTCTTTTCAGAAATCCCCGAAGCTCCTCATCTGTCTACAGATCGATCAACTTTTAAGGTTATTATCGTACCTCTACAGAGCGATAACTTTAGAAGAGTACAGAAGGTGTTCTGTGATATACCCGTATTGATTCTGAGACAGTAATTCGTAATTGTTATTCAATTCCTCTAAAGAAGATTATTGGACAAGAAATTACTTGTCGTATACGCACTGCTATTCAAGAAGGAGTTGTACACTGGTCAAGTCGTTCTCACATGTAAAAGCGTCCTCAAATGTTCAAGATATCCGTGACCTATTGCAAGTTTCATGTAGAAGGAGTTAGCGTCCAGATCAAGCTCGAATCAGTCCGCATAGAGGCTGGATGGATCTTGATGATATAGTCCCAGAAGGAAGGAACGCTGATGATCACATAATGGAACAGTCGACTTAGACACTAGATTGACCTTGACACAGTAATCTAGGACGTGATACTATTCACTCCGGGCTATCAATTCTCTGTTGATCGCCACCCATTCTGATTGACCTGCGATCCTCTTAGAATTGCTTCATTGCCTCCTCGATTGCACGTCGACTTTGTAACTCGTTCGCCTTGAAAGCCTCCAGCGCCTCATAAAGTCCTTTCTCAGTGAACGGGTCTGCAGCAATTGCTTGTGTTAAAGCTGCCCCATTGTCCTTGAGGTAATCGACCTCCGTCGGCGCTAGCGTACCATCCCACCCAGGACCAGCAAGAGGATCAACATTCAGCAAGTGAGCGACACGGGGCGACGGAACACCAATCTTCGTAGGAACATTATCTCCCGGGGGCGGGTTTGCCACGCTATCCAATATGGATAATTGTAATAGGATGTCCTCTGGAATCGTGGCGTGATCACAGCCAAATTCAGCCATCGCCATAGCTTCTCGCGCGGATATGAAGCTGTTTGTATTCGCAGTGAGTTATGGAGTTGAGGCGAGGACTTATGAGGAGGACTCCAAAGAGGATAACCTAACTTACCTGGCGGGCTTGAGCAGAGGCTGCGTTTTCCCGGTCCCTTCCCGAAGGCGTTTATAGACCTCCTGAATCTGGACTATCCTTGCTGACATTGGGTGCTCGAGAGCTGGATCCAGTACGTCCGGCCATTGCTTTCTATCCGCGTGAAACCATGGCGCTAAGAAGAATGATCAGATGAACAGTCCTTTGGGCATGTCCTTGCACTCGTAACTGAAGAATAATTCAAGTGAAAGAAGCTGGAGGCCCGTCCAGCCCGCCTATTCTTTTTTCCCGGCTCAGATGCATGAAGAAAGAAAGCGACTCACGGTTGTAGTAAGGACTGATGGAGAGGCATTCCGCTTGGCTAGCAGCGATGGCCTGAGCGACTGAGAAGAGTGAAGTTCCCAGGGTGCGGATCCCCTCTTTGAGAAGGATTGGGCTTGCATTGAGCGCAGGGCCCGTCGAGGGTACTTTGATGCAAATACGGTCCTTCGAGATACCAGCCTTTTCAAACTCGCGAGCGTAGGAGCGGGCGTGCGCAACGACCTTGTCAGTGTCGTAAGCATGGAAGGCCGAGGACTGAAGGAGGACACGCCCTTGTAAGTTGTCAATGTTTTTGGCGCACAGCAGGGCACTCTGTCGATGTATGGTCAGTCACGGTTCAGGCGGGCAACCGGGGCAATGCAGCTGACGGCGTGCGCCATGCAGGGCAGGACAACAACATACCATACGGTCGAGGATTACCTCCCATCCCTCCTCCTTGCCCTCTTTCACGGTCTTGAGGAACAGCTCTTGGTTTTCAGGAGATATCATCTGCTCGTAGACTAGGCGTTGATTGCTTGTCTGATCGTGGGGCTTGAAGGGAAGAAAACGCCTGGCTTCGGCCGGGTCCATACAATCGATATCGATTTTCACTGACAGAATCAGCATGCGATCTGGAAGCGACATGGGAGAACGTACACTGGTCTCGGAGCTTGTCAAGCCAGGTCATGTTTTGTTGGGTTGCAGTCATCTTGGCGGTGTTGCTTTAGGAGACGAGTAACGATAAATTCTGCGAGAGCGACACTTGGGATTCTCACTGAGCTTGGAATTTGCAGTCATATATTTATAATCCCAACTCCTTACAGAAATTGACTGAATGTGGAGATTCTCCGCAGGGTGCCCCAGCTCTACCCCACGCCGATGCCAGGTCTTTCTCGCGACGCTAATGCATTCGCCGCTGTACAGCGTCAGGTCACCACCCACCCCCTGTGACTGGAACAACCGCCCAATAGAAAAGATCTCGGGTGTAGGTTGACCATGCCTACTCAAAGGCGATAATGCAATGCATGCTACCAGCACTGCAAAGACTGTTGGAGACCCCAACCACTCCGCCAAAGCGGGGGGCTACCTAGGTACCTCGAGCCAAAAGTCATCGGACAAGTGATTCCGTTCGAGTCGACAGTGGTCCGGTCCCGTCACCGACATCGGGTTTCATGCTCACTCAGTCGTTCACTTGTGTGAGGTCGACACCTGCCCAGGTCGTTGAAAAGTCCAGAGACGACTTATACCTGGGCGGGCATGAAGGCAGCTGATAGACTTGGCTGACACAGGGCCGTCCCCAGAAGTACATCTATTGTTTCTCACCAGTAAATGCATGTCGCCTGGTCCAGTTGCAGAGTTGGTTCTTCCTCGCAACCAATACTTTACCTGAAATAGATGTTGACAGGTCGAAATTGGCGACCCAGCTGATCCACGGATGGTCCAGATTTGGCGTAGATACCTGACTTTACTACTTCCTTCCCATTCGAACAAGCCACAGACAGACCAATGAGCTGCCAAAATATGAAAGCAGGAATCAGAGGCTTGGAATACATAGACAAGAAGAATGGCATGAACTTGTATTTGTAGATCATTTCGACCGAGTAGACATCAAAACACAGATATGCCGCCGTCAACGAGAATATCCGCCCCAGTAATGTAGTTCCCTGCCTGACTGGCCAAAAGGATCAAAGCACTAGTCAGCTCTTCTGGCTGACCCATCCGACCAAATGGGTTCCGCTCAGCCCAGATCCGCCGATGCTCTGCAAGCCCCTCACCCTCATTCAAGATTGTATCCATGTAACCCGGGCTGATGCTGTTGACTCTGATCCCGAACCTCGCCCACTCGGCTGCCAGAGAGCTCTTGATGGAGAGAATGGCTGCCTTGGCTGCGTTGTAGTGAACTTGGGGCTGAGGGAAGTTCACTATGTGTGCTGATATGCTCGCCATGAGAATGATGCTGCCACCGGCCCCCCTGCTCGACATGGACTGTGCCACTTCCCGAGCACACAGGAAAGCACCCGTAGTATTGACATCAAACATCTTCCTCCACTGATCCGGTGTGATGTCGAAAGCGTGAGCGGCAAAGGCGATTCCGGCGAAGCAGAGGCATAGATCGATGGGGCCGACTTCCTGTTCTGCCCTGGTGATTGATGCTGCGACGCTAACAGCGTCCGTCACATCGATTTGGTAGAAGGCGATCTTCGCCTGGGGGAACTCGGATTGGAGCGCCTTGACAGTAGACTGACCCTCGTCCGGGTGGAGGTCGAAGATGGCAAGGCCTTCTAGCCCATGTTCGAACAATGCCTTGCAGGCAACAGAGCCGATATCTCCAGCACCGCCGGTGACGATGGCGTTACCTCTGGAAAATCGTGCCTTGGCTCGTTCCGCAGGAGTCGCATTCTCTGATATGCGTTTCAAAGGCGCTGTCTTGGACGAGGCTGACCCATCGCTCAGTTGCATTGATGGAGGAGCTCGATACTCGAGCTCTGAACGGGGGACCGACATTCTGGCGTGGTATTTCTTGATAAGTTGTAGTCAATGGCTCATTGGCTGTGTTGCGGCTGCGTGGAGAGTACAAGGGAGAACTTGCGATGTCCGTTATATTTCAACGCGGAAGAGCGCTGTACAGAATCAGACTCGATTGTGAACCAATTGATCACGTTGTGACGTACCGGAGCCGGCTGCTCGGCATCTAACATGGTTTTACTCTCGGAGTTTATACACATGAAGTCTTTGATAGCTCGGTCCTGCGGGCCGAGGCCATTGCAACGAATTCAGTCGACTTAATTGTTTGCCCCTGGCTTTTTCACGCCATGTAAGCGTGTCATTGCACAGCATGCGCAAGCTACAGGAAGACGGGGCCATCCAGCCTCAGGGGATGGTGCCTGTTTCTCGCCAGTTGCCGCAAAGCGGAGCCGGAGGAGAGTACCTAGGTACATGCCGCCGCAACCCCATGCCCAGCAAGAGTACCGAGCCCACTGCGGGGCTAGCGCCTGGTATCGAAGAAGAACAGGTGGTGGCACAGGTCTTCATCATGACCCGTAATCGAGTCACTGAAATTGAAGCTGGTCCCTGCATAAAAGTGTCAGCCAGACTCCGTCATTCTGTATGGACTGTACAGTCCTTGCATTAGCGTTGAATATGACACCCACCTTAGCTCATCTGCCACCGCACGGCGTCGATTCCCAGGCAGGCTTAAGCAACGCGCTGTACAGTCTTTGCATTAGCGTTTACTTGGAGACCCACTTTGCGTAGCCCATCTAATGTAGTACATACGACCTGAGTCAAGATGAGTCTATACGAAGTAGTCAACTGTACAGTCTTTGCATCCGCGGCCGGAGCTGACGTCCCTTCACCGAGCCCAAACGCGACTATCTCCCAAGAGGCCGAACGAGATGCGCTGTACAGTCCGTGCATTAGCTTCATTCAGGTGATCTTGGCCTACCTAGATACTTGTCCAACGTCATCGCAATATGTCATTCGTACCGCCAGTCCCCGAATTTAGGCTCGGAGGAAGACCCTATGTTTGTTTGCGCAAGGGAAAATGATGTTGATGACATAACAAGTACACAAATTGAACACATGTGATTGTTGCAATAGTCTAAAAAGAGATTGAGACGACGCCCAGGAACATCGTCTAGACGGCACCAGAAGTCCCACCTATAGTGTCTTCCACAACTAACATGGCGTACGCTCATCGCCAAGAATATCGACAAAGTAATTTCAATAATGGATGTTGCATGATAACAACAAGCATTAAAATTGATAAGAAGTCTTCAACAAGGAAAAATAAGGAGAAAAAGCAACATGCCGAAATGTTCCCAATCTTAGGTGACTTTCCTACGTGCTTGTTCCCGGCTCTACCTTGATTGTACCCTGGAAGACTAGATACTGTTGAAAAATGTCGTCCAGAAAGCTTAATATGCCATATCGACCTCGTAAAAGGGATTCATATGTTCAAGTTGGAATCCTCGGGCCATGTTGCGCCTCCGAGTTGAAGTGGCCCAGTCCCGGAGTGTCTCTCCGTGCAGTCTCTTGCGGTGCCCCACGAATACTTCCGCAGATTGCTCTTGCCGGGTCCGCTTTACTCATTGCGCAAAATTTCCATTTTTACGCCAATTATTTCGATTCATGTTCGCAGCCAGCTCTGAGAGCTCATACCTTCGATGGCACCTTCTCACACAGCAATGGATTCAAAATTTCTGCCACTAATGAACATCACGTCGAGGACATGCCCTGTTTCTTCAATCGTTGGGTCTTTTGGCAGTGCGACGCCGTGCTCAGCCCCTTATAATATTTCTCGGAATGTCCTGGGGCTGTTGCAGGCTCGAATTATGTGGAAAATGTCAACGCGAGAGAGACGTAAGAGATATTTGGTCAAGTCGAAGATTCCTCAAAGGTTCTTCGCACGGCGCCGACCGTGAGCTTGAAACGGTACTACATAATTTGAATATCAGCAGCTGAATATACTGTCGATGCAAAGTACTTTTGCGGACGAACTGCTGCAAGAGTTTCGAAGTTAATATGGCTGGTACCGACATGAGGGTACAAAGCAATTACATTTGCGATCCTTGGCGAGATGTACACAGTGCCCGACCCTTATTAATACCTTACTGTAGCGCTGCCCATCCTTGCGTAGGCCCTGGCAGCATCCCACTGGGGAGGCATCCCCTCATCAGGCTCCTAGCTTGTCATGTGACTCCTTTCATGACTACCAGCAATAAATGCTGCTTCAACTTAACCTTCCAGAATCTTGGAAGCGCGCCCACTCATATCGGCTTCGCTGAATAACTTTTACCACGCAACCATCAGTGACTCCGCCTTTTAACATCGTTCTTGTTAGAGTCATTTCCCGGCGACGCTCGTCTCCTCACCGACTGGAAGATGGATCGTTCATACACGCGCAGGGAGATTTCGCGAAAAATACCCTCTGTCACCGCTGTGCCATCCGTCAGCGGTACGCGAAGTGGGAGTGTTAAGAAGACCCGCCGTGCCCGACCCCTGCCACCCAATGTCAATGCTCGCAACTTGTCCATCGAGAAACAGCGTCGCGAAGCGATGAATAAGCAGTTTTTGGTTCGTGCTTGTGCCAGTCTCTTGAAAGGGCGCTGTGCTGCCCTACACACCTTGCCCACACATTCGCTCACAAGGGCTGATTAACAGAGGTACATGTAGGAAATGGCTCGCTTGGTCCCGTCTCTCGCCAGTGCACCACGGCTCAACAAAGTCGTCATCGTTAACAAGACAGTCGACCACCTGCAAGAACAGCGCAACATGTGCGTGGCGGCGGGCCGAGACATGCAGGACCTTCTGGCGGAGAACCGCCGTCTCGTTTCGGAACTCCGGGCCCTTCGTACTCAGATCAGGGCAACATCATCGTCCCCGGTCGAACCCAAACCCGTCACTCCAGCTATGGCAAGGCTGATGGGGGTGGAGAACGAGGTCCTCGGGACTTTCCCGGCCGGATTCGAAGACAAGAAGCCATGCGGGTCCGTAGAATGTTTCGACAACGGAAATGAGGCTACCATGGCCGAACAAGACTTTCCCTTTCGCATGGGAGATTTTGTACCATCACTTGATCAGGACCCTCTCACATCAATGACGGAGCAAAACGGGTCGAATTTACAATGGACTGCGCCCCCAGAGCTGATACCCACTTCCTGGTTTCAAGAAAGCGAAATCCCGTGGGATTCCATCCCGTGGCTTTGCAATGCAGTCGAGGGTTATGTTGCCTAGCTCCACTACATCTGTTTATAGAAGGAAAGAACATCTGCCAATTAGTAATTGTGGGTAATTAGATCATTTCAACCCCACAAATCTCCCTTTCCACCACTTTCAAGACGCCAAGTCTAGTCTGAATAACAACGCGAAAAGGTAGAGTCACGAACATTTAGTCTCGAAAACCATGTCCAATAATAATATCGGGTGTTGCTTCAGGACTGTGATAAGTGATTCGATCATGTCATACTGGGGCGCTGCTGCCTTCAGGTGCCTGCCTAGGAAGTCATGTATATATCAAGCCAACGTCTCTGCGCGTCGCAAATCAAATGTCAAGCACCTTCCCACCGTCCCTCTGGATTGTTTCTTTCCGTATTTATTCAGCCTCCGCGAACGACAACAGCAACTGCAACAACGGCAACACCTGCATCGATCATGCCCGGCACGAATACCGTCACCGCTCTGCGCGGCTTCAGGGTCCGGCTAACGTCTCTTGACAAGTTCCTTGTAGCCAGAGGCGAGGTACATGGCGCGGAAAATGGGTTCGTCCCCATTTATGACTTTGACAAGCCCGAATGTCCAGACGGGAGCAGCGCGCTGATCCACGCAAAGGGCGGTGGCGGCAGCGGAACTCTCTACGTCGTGCCATCCGCTGAGGGGCACGGTAACACCCCTTACGTCTATTTGGCGTACCAATACCGTCACGTCTACTCCCAGTTTCGTATCACGCCACAGGACCCCCCTGAGGAACCAGTTCCAGCGGGATTTGAACAACTAAGGCAGGAGATCCTTGGGTTTAGGATTGGTCCAGAGGATGGCGCAGCTCAGGAGGTTGACGAAGAAGACGGGGCCATGGGGCTGTACATCTTGTACACAGAGGAGCGGTCATCGCCCATCCCGCCGGAGTTGAGAGAGCGATATAAAGTAAGCTACCAACATGCACTTATATTAGATTGGTATGTCTGGATTAGCACTAACTAACATGAGAACCAACGGCAGGAATCAATCCAGTCCGACAAGTGTGACGAGACTTTCCTCATGTGGACTTATAGATAGGGCCACCGTGACAAAGTCCATGGAATCGATGAACCTCTGGATTGCCTTCCCGGGAATGCATATCAGGCTTGCATTTCTACTTTTTCATGGACTACTAGTGTTGTTGGGAAAATGTGGTAGATTTAGAACTGTCTGGCTGGACTCCAAGCAACGAGCTATTCTGCACATATGCATCTTCAATGTTCGGTTGAGGGGACTTGCTTGCTCGGCTGCAAGTACCCGAACACGGCTGCAGATACAGGAATTTCGCCTATCCACGAGATTTCCTTGGAGGAGAATGAGTGAGATTATTGATGTGAAGAAACTTGAGCATGGAACGCATCGTGCTGCGGGAAGAGGCTGGGAATCCTATACGCAGACCGTTTTCCCAGTCATCATGCGGACGAATGCGAACCAAATCTAGGGAGAACGCTGTAGTCCCGCAGAGTCCACGAAGCTGCGCCTGCATAATATACCATACCATCTGAATGAGGTCATGAATCCACCTCTCCGGGCCCGAGTATTGTTTTCGAAAGGGGTCTTGTTCCTTTGAGCCACAACTCAGGCTCTCCTTACGTGTCTAACCAAAAGTTCCACTGCACAGAACGCCCAAGGGTACCATCATCAACCTCTCTCTTGAGGCGAAGGCCCGGGCGGATTCTGCCCCTGCAGGTTCATACCGGGATACCATGTTTGAGGAACTTGTTGCTGCTGCTGCTGTTGCTGCATGGTTTGCTGAGTCGGCATCGACTGCTGAGCCTGGAAGGGCTGGCTCGTGGGTGCTTGACTTCCGAGGTGTGTTGTGCCTGGACTCTGCTGTGCATGGGACGGAAACTGTTGTTGAGCCGGCACTGAGGGTGGCGGAGGCATGGTAGCGGAGTTTGGTGGGCTCGCTGGTACCAGCCATGGCTGTGCTTGCTGGTTGATATTGCCAGGAGCTGGTTGGAATTGCATCCCCCCGAATTCTTGGCCTTGCTGTGGTATTTGGCCTGACAGGGCTTGGCTCGAAGGCCCATAAGTATTGAAGTTACCAGCGGGAGCGACCTGCGCAGGGTTGCTATAGTATGCAGCCTGGTGTCCTGGTTGCTGTGTGACAATACTCGGGTTCATGTGAACTGTTCCCATCATCGAGGCTGGTTGGTAAGACTGGCCGTGGACTGTCTGCATAGGATTGAGAGGAGCACTGTTGTAGTGTTGCGCATGACCATAGCTAGAACCGGGCTGAGTGATGTTACCGCCGAATACCGCCGAGTGCGTCGACTGAGCCTGAGGTTGCCGAATGGTCTCACGTGCTCGAAGACCGAGTTCTTTCGCCCTGACGTCGTCATGAATACCATACAGTTGCTTAAGGTACTTGGTAAACTCGAGGTAAGCCTTCGATACAGTCTTGAAATTATCCACCGCAAGGCATACGTCAGCGTTTGGATCCAAGACTCTTTCATGATTTCCCCCTTGTGCCTTGAACTCGGCCAAGGCAAGTGCTGTCTGGCAGGCGTTTCGAATTTGTCGACCGTTCCACCTGGCCTTGTCGTTGGTTCTGAAATATTCCAGGGAATAGTCAAGGATCTCATTCCGTTCAATCTTGATGTTTCTCTTTTCATTTTTGAAGCGATGTTCGATGAGTTTCAAGTTCAACTGGAATACTGCTCTTGTTTCATCATAGCCCAGGGGTGGATAGTATAGACTGATGTGAATCCGGCTGCGGAAGGCTTCGTCAATGACTCCAACACGATTCGTCGTGAGGAACAGAATTCCAGCGTAATACTCAAGAACCCTGAGGAAGACTGTGCGAGCTAGTTATTAGCATATCATACTGCACACGTTGGACTCATATCGGCTGCAGAAAGACTGACCTGCAACGAGCCCATTGCGTTCGAAATCAGTCTCATTTCGTGAAGCTAAGAACACATCTGCCTCATCAAGAAGCAGGATACATCCCCATCTGTTAGCAAGGTTGAAGTTAAGGTCCAATGCTTGCTCTACCTCCCTAGCCGTTGATCCAAGGTCGCCTTCGCAGAAGCGTCAGCTGATCAAGATCTGGGATCTGGAGAATGAGAAGACAGCTAATTTCGATACGTACCACATGTGATTGTGAAAAGAGGTTTCTTGAACATTTCTGCAATGCCCTCTAAGGTCTGTTAATATCTCCGAACAATCTATCTCAATAAAGACACAAACCTGCGGTACTTGTCTTCCCTACCCCGGGAGCACCATGAAGAAGGAGAATGAGGCCCTTTCCTAAAATTTTTCTTCCTAATTAGTGTAGTTCTAAGATAGGCTGGGCCAGTGGTTCCTTGCCTTTTCCCCTCACAATGTCAGAATACTCGACACTGTGTCTCCCAGAATCCCTGTTTCGGAAGTGTTGAGATATGAGAGACAGAACAATGGTTTTATGTCCCTCTGGCAAAACCAACTGTTCAAAGGCTGGTTGAGGAACGGTCTTTGTCTCATTTGCTCGGGCATCGTCCTCGGCTGCGTCCTCCATGTAGGTGAGATCCAATTCAGCTGGGAGGCTTCATGGTTAGCAATCATTGAACACTCGCTAGGAGAATAATCGCGATGATACTCTGTGGTCCCTTTATAATGTGAAAGATACCTCCGAGCAGGGTCCAGGATGGTAGGGTTCAATGTTTCAGCAAGATGAAGCTAGTGGTATTGAGTGGAATTGACATGATGCAACAGCCTCTGCGGATGGACAGAACACAACAGCTGAAGCAGGTATTGACAAAATAGCTCAACTCACCCCATTTACGAGTCCTCAGCACAAATGCGAAGACGCGGTAACTCATGACGAGAAACTCATCGTCTGTCAGAGCGTTGTCTCCGGTCGTGTCGTCCAACGGCCGTGGATATATGACGACAGAGGGTAACTTGGCGTAGGTCTTTGGTATGAGGCTGTTGATGTACTCTTCTTTGCGTCTTACATCCACAAAGCTGTCATTGCAAACGCGTTGTCCGGCACAACAAGGCCCTAGACAATCTGGAATCACAATCTCACTCGAGGCGGATGTGGAGTCGCCGTCGTCTGTATCGCCGAGCAATGATTTGATCTGAGGAACTGAGTCCTCCTTGTCAAATCTCTTATCAGATGACAATGCCGTTTCAAAGTCAACCACGACCTGGCTTTCAATTTCTTCACCATCCACTGTCGGCCCATCGTAGAAGGTATGTTCCAAGCTCATACACGCAGCCTGAAAGAATTTCTTTCCTCTTTTGATCAACTTCTCTCGAAGTGTCTCCGAACCAGATGGTGGAGAGCTGTGATGTCTACTCTGGCTTGCCACTGTAGATGTATGACGATGAAGCCGAAGGGGATAGACTTCCAGAGATTCCACCGTTCTCTCCCCTGCGAATGTTTTGATCACGAAAGTCGTGGATACGGGGCCGATCCTCTTTCCATCGAAGTCCACGTAGGAGCAGGACAACTGGAAGTACCTAGATGTGTCCTTCTCATCGTAATCGAAGAACACATTCCTCGATGATTCTCTGTGTGTAGGGTTGGTAACTCCGATAACTCTGTACACCTGCAGACCGTCACGTCTAATAACCTCATCCCCGGGGCTGAACAGATACCATAAATCTCTGAAATGCACCTTTCGACATTGTGAGCCTTGGACATATTTCCTCCTGATTGAAATGGTCGAGTCCATGAATTCAAGCAGACAGCCCAAGTAGTCTAATGCGGTCTTTGAATTGGCGAAAGGGAACTCGTTCTTTTCTTCGCTGGTATTGTTCTCCGGTTCGTCTTGTAGTCCTTCTTTTCCTTCATGCTGTCCTTCATGCTGAGGTGAATCGCGGTCCTTATAGCCAGGCTCTGCACCCAAATCCCTCTTATGAGATGCTCTCACGACTGCATCAGGAGTTAAAGGTACTTCTTGCTCGTTGCCATCCTGCTCTGTGTCATGCTGCTTTGGTGACTGTGTGGAACTTCCAGTGAGCACCGCCGTGTGATCTCTGGGCGTCCCAAATTTATCTTTCAGGGTCTCATACCGATCTCTGATGTCTTGCTCGTGGTATATTAGCAAGCGATATGGCTGCAACAGAGCCATCTGCGGCCGCGAGAAAGGAACGCCAAACGCCGGCGAATCCAACACCCTGAAGGTTTCGGTGAACTGTGGGCCGTTGAGTCGTACGTGCTCTGGTACAAGTCCTTGCGCAAGCCTGGGAACAGAGCGAGATAAACCTTTGCTGTTATTCTGCACTGCGCGTTTTTCAAGATCGTAGATTAATCGCGGGTGGAGGAACTTCGGATCGGGTTCCCCATCTAACACGACCAGGGCACAGAGATGCTGTTTCTCTTCGCTGTTAAAGGCTGTGTGCGGAGAGCCATATCTGAAAGATTCCCATTGGACGTAGTCGGCAACAGCTCTGGGCCACAAGTCTTTCAGTTTGGGATCTCGCTCCTTCGGCGGCTCTGGCAAATTTTGCATGCCCTGTTTCCATGACATGAATGCAGTGTGTCGATTGCGAACAACGTCGTGGATTTGGAATCTAAGATGGCGTTCTTTTAAATCGTAGCCTTGGGCCATATCTGTCTCGTTGAACCTCGCCTCTGGACTCAATGGGTCAAAGATTTGCGGGAAAGTGAGTGGGCGGCGAGGACCTTCTTGCAGCGATTCGTCGATCTTTGGCCGAGTGACCCCCCTTTTTGCTTCCCACTGCGCTCTGCGTTGAGTGAGCTGTTTGTCGAACTCTTCCCGCTCCATCATATACCGAATGAAGCTATCCTCCGACTCATGCATCCATTCTCTGCCAAAAGCAAAAGCTGCGGTGTCCTTCATGAAGCTTTGAGCTTTCATTCCCTGAATCCGTGCCCAATTTCGCTCCTCCGTGTCACCTCCAACTCGCTCAAGCTCGCTGTCCCATTGCCTTTCGAGATCCTCGAGACTGTGCTCTTGGCGGGCTCCTTTCTCTATCTTGAGCAATTCGTCTTGAAGGCTTTTGATTTTGCTCAACACCCGCGACCGATCGTCCAGCTCGGGTATTTTCTTGTCGCCACAAGCCTCAGTGGTGTCATTGCCATTGTTATCGAGCCTTGCAGAGGACGAAGTCGTCATCCCATAGTCATCTAGTTCGGGTATGAGCTGTGCTGCTGCGTCGCTATCGTCCGGTAGTGTCACTGGTGCAGTCGTTGTGGAATTCTCGAACGCTTCGGCTCCAACACCAGCCTCTGAGGGCACTTGCTGAATCGGACTGGCCATGTCTTATTGGCTATGCTTGGCCTGGCAACGCGTAGGTTAGGTTAGGTCGTCGAGGTATAATCGAATATCCGCGAAAGCCAGAGCCTTCTCGCTCGTATACAGTATGAAATCGTCTGACTTAAGTATCACCCACGCACAAATCGCGAAAATGGATGTACCAAGCAGAGTAAGTGTAGTAGAACAGATGGCAATTTGAAATGTCAGGAATTAATGATACGGGATTGAGCCGTTTTCCCCGCGGTCGAGAACCTGTACGTGCAGTCTAAGCTCTCCTGTGCGGAAGACATTGCTCCACGCACTACTGCAAACTCATGCGCAAGATGGCAAAAACTGCCTGTAGTTTGTGGAATGCGCGCGCTTACTTGCATGAAATCGAGCCGAGAACCTCTTCTGACCTATTGATCTCCACACCGGTCTTATTTCTTCACACCACTACCGACCTCGCGAACCCGGCTATTCGCGGGGGCTAATCCAATTTGGGCTATCCGTAGGCAGGCTAGCTGAGGCGTACAGAGCATATTGAACAGCCATTGGCAGGAATGGAAGTGTGTACTGCGTGGTTTATGTCGGCAAAGCTGCAAGCCGCTTACCGTGCCTAGTCCACGCTGTGTGGTGACACGTTCCTGCGGGTTGCCTGGGAGCCTTATCAACTGTGTTTGCTCGAACACTGCGGAGAAGAGGTAGTTTTGAGGCTCTGCTTACTGTAATTTCGCCACTCCCGACACTCTTCTCCCTGAAACTTTCCTTCTCACCTGGCAGCATTCACTCAGTGTGTCACCCTGTACATTTGCTCGCGCGCAGTGGCCACTGCTTGACAGCTCTAGTATTCCATTAGTAGCCCGAAATTTCACAAGACAAGCAGCGCATCCACTGCCTAAGTCGAAGTTGTGTTCTTGTCCGAACATGGTTGAATCTTGCCAATCAAAAGCATTGCAGGATTTCCTGAAGATCCAGTAGAAGGTCTGAAATTGAGCAGAATGGAAAATACCGAAGACATTAGTCGTCTTCACGGCCGATCGCCTGCAGTTGACTTCATCGATCAACGTCTCCCACAACATGATCCAGCCTTTCTCGACGCTCGAAGTGTTTTTGACGACACCTCTGGCGCTTATATACCATTGATAACCGCTAATTCCCACCAAAGCACCGCTGGTTCATTTGCCGGTATGAGTGTGGCGCTGAGACCTGGGACTTCTCCAGGTCAAGTTGCAACTCTTGACCAGACCGCTCAGCATGTCGAAGCTCAATCAATGAAATTTTGGAATGACATCTTCTCCGAAGCGATGGGAGCGCTTTTGGCGGACTCGAGCGAGCCATCGTCTTTAGCAAAGTCAGGCGACGGGATACGAAATGCCAGCAGCTGGGAGGAAGTTTGTGCTCGCTTGAATGATGCCCAGGTCACCTACACACAAGGGGACGGAACCGCCGGGAAGCTCAAGCGCATGCGGCGCAAAGTCGCAGACAACATGAGTCAACCTGCTGCACATATCGCTAAAATGGTTCCTGATATAGACCCCTGGACAACTCCGGTAGCAGGAACTGTCGGTATCCTTCTACAAGCCATGGACACGGCTGCGAAAACACGAGAGGACGTTCTGACGAGCCTCTCAGACCTCGACAAGACGTTCTCGAATATCGATAGCTTTGCTGCTACATTCCCAACGGACCAAAATGTCAGAAAGGCCTCAGTTTCTTTGGTCGTGGCCATCTTCCAGGCAGTGGAGCATGCAATAGTGTTCTTTACCAAAAGTGCTGGTGAGTTGGCTCAGTCATGAACAAACTTACCACGGCAAGTTTAACTGAAATAATGCTTGAAAATTCTCGCAGGCCGGAAAGCCGCAGCAGCTGTTTTCAAAGGCGGTGACTATCAGAAAGAACTACTCAACAGTTTCAACGAGGTTCAGAAGCGGAGCGACTATCTCATTCAAAAAGCACAGAATTCTCACTATGAGAGCACGAGGGTTGCAATTCGAGAAATACTCTCTCGTGAGGATCGGCTTTTGGCAGGCCAAGCTCATGTCGCTCAACAATCAGCAGACATGAAGAACACGATCTTAAGCTTGATGGATGTGTACGTCAGAGATAGAGAACAGGACCGAAAGCAACACCAAGAAGAATTGAGACGAAGAGACGAAATTCAAAAACAGCATGATGCAATGCATAGGAGGGATCGCCAAGGTAAAATGAACTTGACCAACAATACGAGACTTCTGGATCGCTAACATTATGCTTTCGTCACAGAGCTAATTGCACTTGTGCACCAGCTTCAGATAACTCCGCGCCCTGTCTCGCCCCTTCCGGTCACCTTAGCACTTCCACCACCTCCGCCCTCGTCCACACACAATGTAGCCATACCACACTTTCCAGTGTGGACCGCCCAAATACTCTTGCAACCGCTGGGTGTGCCGGACATATCTGCCTCTGACATCCAAAGAGTGAAGGAACTAGGTACCACACTATCCAAGAGGGACAAGTCAAAGGCGGACCAGGTTCTCCAGACCGAGCTTTTCCAACAGTGGATGGCGTGCCTTGAGCCGGCCAAGCTCCTGATACATGGCAACTTCCGAGGCAGCACAACCGTGTCACCTCTATCTTTGTTGACTGCCACTTTGACTGAAGCGGCACGGGCAGATCAACATCGCCTCGTCTCCCTCGTGTTTTTCTGTGGCTGTCATCTCGACCGAGAAGAGGACACTTTCAGTGGTGGCAGAGCGCTGATGCAGATGCTCATCTCTCAGCTGCTACAACAGCAGCCTCATACGAACATCTCGCCTTCCCCTTGGGAGCTTGATATGGACCGTGTCCGCCAAGTACACCAGCTTTGCCAGCTTTTCAATCTCCTCGTCCACCGTCTACCGGGAGAAGTCACTTTGTTTTGTCTCATTGACGGCATGGTGTACTACGAGCGCGACGAGTTCATCGATGAGATGCATTACGTCTTGACAGAGCTCATGCGTCTCGTGGGCGATCCTACCACCCAAGCCAACGTGAAGCTTCTGGTCACAAGCCCATGGAGGACAGAAATGGCACAGCAGTTCTTCCAGGAGGATCGTGAGATATTGTACATGGAGGGCATGCAATCCAGGGAGCTCACGCCAAGTGCTTCTCGGGTCATTCATCGCCACATCTCGCACACGGAGTCGGATCAATCCAGTCGGGAAACTTCACCCGAGCCCTGGGAATGAGAAGCAGCGGATATTACTTTGAATATCTATTCGGGGAGAATATTTGAATGCGGAACCTGGGTGAAAAGGTGGATACAAACACTATGCAGTAGGCAAGTCTTCTCAGGTGCACGTTGGCCCAGGGCCTACTCTCGTCTCCAAGCGCCATCCAACCCGTCTTCTGTCTCAAGGCCATAAATATAAGGTGGTCTCACATACGTGCCCTCCCAGCCAAAAATGTCGTGTAGCTCGGCATACCGATCTACATATTCGAGAACCGACAGATACATCCACCCCACGTCCTCTTCCCAGTCCTCGGTGATTCCGTCGTGGAATCCAGGATATATCAACGCACTCTGCCTCTCTTCAGGGCTGAGGGGGTCGCCCCAGTTCCTGTCGAGCAGCCTAACCACCGGGGAGGCCAGGCTTGGTTGGTCGAGGGACTCCAGGCACAACGAGTCGACGACCAGGCAGTACTCGTATTGGGGGGTGTTTGTTGTGTTTGTCCAGCCGAGATGGTCGATTGTGCTTTCTGAGCTGGGCCGAAGTCGGTTTGCGAGGCTCTGTGAGGCCCAGGAATTAAAGTGGTCGCGAACCTGATACGATGTGGCTCCGCTGTTCGTAGAGCATCAATGTGAGCATGTTTTGCTGGAGTGAGCGCAAGTATAGGTACTCATATCGTGGGGGACGGGCCAACGCTTACTGTGAATTCTGAAAAGCTCGAAGACAGTGGAGGTTTGCTACACTGCTCTACGCAATATATCATACCTGTAATGGCCTCTCATCTACCACGTGCAAGTCATGGTGGGAGAGTAGGTCCTCTTGTCCATACAACTTGAGCGTCTCCTCCACGGTGTCATTAATGAGTTGTATCATGCGATTCCAGGCATTGTCGTCTGTCCCGGCACAGCGGTAGATCTGACAGACTGTGTGAGCGCCCGGGGTAAATTTAGAACAGACACGAAAAATACGAGCACTGACGGCGAAGCCCCAGACACTGTCAACAAATTCGGCACAAGTCATGCGAGACCTGATTGCGTCAAGCGATGGAGCCTCCATGGGCGCAAGCTCGGTGGAAGGTCGGGAGAGGACGGGATTTGATGTGAACTTGATTCGGCTGGCAGGCAACTTCCTCAGGTGTGGTATTGTTGGACGCGGCGCGGCAAACCGCAGCCAACTTGCACGGCGGGCCGACGGCCTGCCCCGCCACAGAGCTGGGACCTTAGGCCCCGTTGTAGCACGACGATACATCGAGGGCTGGCTGCCGTCTTTCTACTTCCGCGTAGAAATTGCCGCGTCAGCTGCGCAGGGGCGAATGTGTTTGAGAAAATATGGGGAGACGAGATGGAATGACGGGCGAGCTGCCCCAAGGGCTAATGAGGTGCACCCAAGGTAGTAATTACCTAGGAAGCTTGTAGGGATCTTAAGCGTTAATTAGCGGGTGGAATATTGCAGTGGCAGATCGGGGTATGCGGAAGACGGTCCCTCAAACTTGTTTTAACGGAAGCAGAATAACACGGACAGGGTTGGTGGGCTCTATTCAGCACTCCCATACAAGCCTTCAAAATCCCGATGTCTACTGCTACTGTGCGTCGCCTCCGGGCCTGACCTCCTCAGCAGCAATCCTAACTTTGGAATCTTCAGCAGGAAGCCCACACACTCATTCAGACTCCTCGTAACACGACCTGCCCCAATCGACCCGACACTTCAGCCTCTATCGACGAACTGTAAATGAGAGTGACAGGAATTCGGTGTGTATATGACACAACCAATCCCATTTGCATCTGTTGTCCCCTCACAGTGGCCGTGTACCCTACTTCCTGCAACCTCGACCATGGAGCCAAGGGACGGAGCCCAAGGAATGGTTTTGAGCGCCTGAACCTCCCATGCCGCATTACCGTCCCCGGCCAAATACGTCGTGATTACATCGACTGGCTGTAGACGAATCACGCACGATTATCGTGCAGAGCAGCAGACTGCGCCTCGGCATTAAGCGCTGAGCTTCACATCGAGACGCAGTCTGGGCACAGCAGGTTGCTCCCGCACCGTAGGAGGTAGGCGGGTTGGGAGGTATAAAGCCGGGGAGCTATGCGCGTTTGAAACGCTGGCTGCTGGAGGTCATAACTTCCTCAGGCTTCCTCGTCCTCATGGGAGGCGATCCGTATTCGCCATGTGGCAATCGAGCGAACTTGCGGACTGAGGTCTTTTGGTCTATTCGTGTTTAAGCGTTTATCACTGTATGAAGGGACTGGATGCATATTGCTTAAGAAGCCCATATGTACAGATTAAAAACGAGACCACTTGTGATGACATTTCTCCCAATTGCTCGCCCAAGACATTGGGCGACATCTCGACGTGTCTCCTCACAAATCTGAATCTGCGAAGATGGCAGCTAAAAGCGACGACACGTTAGTGTGCTGCGGACAAATCCAAAAGGGCGCCTCCGACGACCAGTCGCGTGAGCGGTATCTAGCGGAGGCGCTTATGACTCGCTTGTACATGTCGCATTCGGGAGCATAGAGGAGACTTTCCGGACCAGCTCTGCATGTGTAATATGGGGTTTTAGGGAACATGTTGAAATCATCTGTCACTTCCCAAGGAAGGCGGTATATTGGCCGCGCGGATGTCACAGGGGACCTCGATGATATTCAGGGGCAGGCATTGCTACTTGTTCAGGGTGTCGATGGTCAGAGCAGCCTCGGTGCTAGGGCATGCCCGCCGAACCCCATTGTCGACGACGGCGAGGCAGTAATTGCCGCAGGACCATTCTGTGATGCTGAATTTGCCAGCCTTGCTGTATTTCGGGGTCATTCGGATATAGACGCCGTCCCGGGCGCCGTTGAGCCATTCCGACGCGTTGCTGCTGGGCTTCCCCCGGACTAAAAGACCTGGCATGTTGCAGCTGAGGGGAGCGGGTGCTGTGCCTTTGTCAACCCGTATAGAATTACTTTGGAACCGCAGACTAGGGCTATGGAGAACAAGTATACAGTCGCTTGATATCTTCGTAGGCTACGTCTCCCCTAACTATGCATCCAGGGTATGAATATTTGAAGTGTCCTGCATAAAATCTTTGAGATCTGATGAATTTTGTTAGCATGAGCATGGTTGATGATTGGCTCTGTCGTGTCTTATACTTGGTGGCAGTGTCTTTTGGGTGCTCTCTTTAGCCTACTGTTTATCCCTTTCGGTGTATCTGTTGGAATGCTCTGGGATATTTTGATTATTAATGCGGGATATCTCTTTTTCCTAGCATTTTCCACTGTATTCTAGATTGTCTATATTAAGGGGGCTCAGCACCGACCTAGTCCAGACTAGAACACTTGAATACGAAGCGATTATTTCAACAGTCTCGGTGGGTAGACATGTAGATAGGTGGCTTGGAGACCTGCCAAAAGTACAGCCGAAATTCTTGGGTTGCATGAGACTCAACCAATAGACTTATGAAGCTTGTGAACACCACAGATTCGGAGTTCATTTATTTTATTTAACAGAACGTTGACGGAATCGTTTGCCGGCTACCATACTACCTGGCCAATCGGGGTAGTCGGCATACCGGTGCCTGAATGCACAAATGACCCGGCTTTTCTGCCTGTCCCTCAACAATAGACCTGGATCGACGATCCTGGTCCGGCAAAATTCTACATGCAATGAAATATATCATGAGTGCCTGATTCAAAATCGACTTGATATTTGGTTGACCTTCGTAACTGATTCCTCGAGACGAAAACTAGGCTTGATTTCACTTAATTTGTTGGTTTGATACAAGACACATACGTTTCACGATGCGCCTCACTAGGGTTGCGAAAACAATCCCGATCCTGGCGGCCACACTGGCCAATGCCAGGCTTGCCAAACTAGGTTTGCCGGAGCAGATCAAGCCGGGCGACAAATTCAATATCACGGTAGAACAAGCCATCGGCATCCCAATGGTAGAAGCGTCAATGCTGTTTGGTATCGACAGATACGATTCTATAGCGGATGTTGCGCCTCAGCCAGGAAATATGGGAGGAACACTTCTAGGGTCAATCGACCTTCGGGGTATCCACATTATCTACACCGCAATTTTGATAAAGAAGACTAACTAACAAGCCGATAGCTGTTTTGGGAGACGGAAGGGGCCAAAACATCACGACACTGGGCAGCATTACCTTACCAGACACGTTCGTGCACGGTCCGGCTGCGATACAAGCTGTTGTTCTTTCGGTCCAAGGCCCGGTGAACACGCCGACGATAGAGACCTGGTGGTGGAACGTCACTATATCCGATTCGACGAGCGATCAACTCGTGCAAGCCACGTATTACGATGACAATAGCAGATACTGTCAAATCTAGTTGGACGGGCTAGAAGCTGAAAGATGATCACAAACTACGTGAGTGTGGCCGTTTGAAGAAGTTCTGCCGGATTGATCATTTTCCTCAGCGTCTCAAACACGCGCATGCACCTGTATTCGGGGGATGGATGAATAATTTGGAGGAAGAATGCAAACAGAATGGGTTGAAATGACTGAGCTGTCTAATGTCAGGGAGTCTGGTCCCATTTCAGATTTTCATGTCAATTAAGCGATGAGTCAGCCTTTTCCAAGACAGCACCTATGAAATGGAGATCAGAGAAAAATGGAAATCAGAGGATGCGACTCCTGCTGAACGAGCTAAGGCCCGATTTTCCACCAGAGGCAACACCGTAGCTAGCATATTGTTACGGCAACTTCACCCTGAAGCATGACCTTCGGTTTGAGTTTCTTTTTTGGTGGTGTTTGCAGGTTGTTAGAGATGTAGGTACACTCAGAAATATAAGCTCTCCCTGAGCAACGCTGTATCGCTTTGGCACAGCAGTGCGTAGATTTCACCAGTATCGTCCACAGCAGAGGGAATCACCATCGAGACACAGACTGTGTGGTCACGTCCCTCCTTGATATCCATCTGGAATGTCGGCGTTGTGCGGATGGCATCGGCTACACGAGCGCCGAAGAAGCGGTGGAGGCGATCCAGGCGGCAATGCCTCAGGACGAGGTGCGGGTCGGGAGCAACCGTGGACCCCCCTGGCAGGTATATGTATCGACAGCCGCCCTCCGCCTCCAGGTGTACGTCAAACAACTCCTGAGCAATGTGGTCAACCTTCGAGCCAACCACCTCGATCCTCATGGGGCACCCTGGCCACCCGGGACGGGGCAGCATAATAGAGACAGCTGCGGTGATGACGTCGGCATTGTCTGGAAGGGGATATCTCCTAATCGATCCGGCAAGGTAAGATGGGAAGAGCCGCGTGCATTCCGGGATGACAGCTTGAACGAGGGCCTGCCCTGGCTCTGAAAAGTATTGTGCCATGTTCCGTAAATCCATCGCTTGTGGAGCTGGTGACAAGTCGCCGCGGAAGCGCGGCGAGGCTGCAATGGGTTGAACGTCAGATGCCCGTGCCGGCGAGCCAAGTGTCGGGGTATCAGGAGAATCAGCGTGATATCTAGCTGTTGGGAAACTCTCTATACTGAATTGCCGTTGTCCACTGCGGCGGGCAGGATGGATCGCTGTCTCGAGGTCGCGTTCAATTTGTGCTCGGCTGGGTTCCAAAGCTATTGTTAGATGCCTCGCTAATGCTCGCCTGTCCTCAACGGATTGGTTCTCCATCTTTGCAATCAGGCGCTGCTTCCTACCCCTCCCAGAGACATGACCAGACTTCTTCGTGGACTCTGAAACTAGGAAGTAGGAAGCCCATGTCGATGGCCCGCCACAATCGAAGAAGATCCGTCCTATTGTTTCATGGCTGGCTTCTTTGGCTGCTCGTAGTGCTCCGCAGAGTGAGCGGGGGAATCTTTTACGATTTTTGATGGCGTCGACAAGTAGTCTGATATCCTCTGGGTCTGGTTCGGACGCCATGGCGATGGCGACGGTGATGGCGAAGGTACCGTAAGGTCCCTCGCCAGACCGCACAGGTTGGTTCCAACGAAGTCAGTTTGCAACGAAATTTGACTCGCTATTGCTGGCTGGCAGTCCAGGCGGACTGGCAGAAAGTTGTTTGCTATTGGCAATGGACGTGCAGGCAACGGGAGAATCGGAAGCTGGCACTATCTTGTCAGAAGCTTTAAGCTGCAAAGATGAGAAAACATGGCAAGGCGGCGTTCTGCTTTTGATGCTGTGCCCTCCAGACTCGGGATTTGTGACTCCCTCGGGGTGGCAGCTCAAACGCGTGAAGCGAGGCCAAATCCAACGCGGTCGCCTTCTGCATGAGTATCAACGCGTATTGTTGGAAAAGGAAAATGGAGACAAAATGGCCCCTACAGCCATTGTTTGCGAGGCGGAGGCACTGTAATACAAGTCGGGGAAGGACGATTGTTCAATACCGGGGCAGGATCAAAAGTGGCGTATCCATCAAGGACCATTGGCCCTTAGGCATGCACCGCGCATGACAGGAGGCATCTGCAACATTACAGACAGGGGAACGCCATTTGGCTGCTTGTGATAGGAGCCAATGTCCCCTTATGCAGATGTTGGCGTCGCAGAGTGGCCAATTATCTGGCCATTCTCTTTGGTGCAGGCTCGGCACCAACTACTGGCCAGAGTGCGCCATTCCCTGCTCTAATGACAATTGCTGCCTAGAAGATTTTTTGGTGACAGCTGTTAGTGCCATGTATCTCAGGCAAGCCACTGGTGAGAGACCAGAGAGACCAGAGAGACCAGAGAGACCAGAGAGACCAGAGAGACCAGAGAGACCAGAGAGACCAGAGAGACCAGAGGAGAGAATCAGTGAGTATTGGGCCGTAGAAGAAGGCGCCAAAGATGCACCCGATACAACGAGGAAGAAGTCGACACATGACTTTGATCTGGACGCCGGCTTGCATTTCGTTGAAAAACAGCCACCATTTCCCGTTCATGGCTACCGGATTAGCGCTACTTGACCTACACGACGTATTGCTGACGCGACTTGGGCGAGCGATGGAATTACCCCCTCAGTATCAATCCGGCCCAGAAATCACCGGGCCACTCAAGCGGTAGGTCCTAACAACTCTGACCCGACGCTCATTGTCCAGATCATACAAAATCATCATCTCATTCCAAATCCGCTGGCCAGTCTTGATACCTCCTGATGTCGTGCCCATCCCCGCATACCCCTGTGGCGCGATGCGCATTAGCAAGGTATACAGACTTATACGTTGCGACGGACTCTTGACGACATTGTTCTCAAAACAGTGTCAAGGAGCATGCTACATTGCGCACCCGCACATTCGTGTACAGGTAACATATCTCCACATTGAAGTGCAGACTTACCTCTGGGAAGTCCTTTCGAGCGATGAAGGTCACCTCAGCGTGAAGAACGCAACAGCTGTCGTCCAGGGTGATCTGCTTCGGAGCAACGTTCTCGTCCATGCCGTTTACTCGCTGCTCGGAAAAGAACTTGACATTCTCCTCCCGCCCATGGATGACCTGGAGCTTCCCCAGGCGTACCTCGAGCTCCGGCGCCCAGAACTCGGATGCCTTGCCAAAGTCGTTGCTGCTAAAGAAGCCGATGTACCTTCTGACGTCGTCTTTGGTTCGGAATGATGATCCGGACCCGGCTACTGCGCTGCCGCCGACGGCGACGTTAGCTGCTTGTGCCTTCCTCAGCAGCTTGGTGGCTCCAGGCTCAAGGTGGACGACCCGCCCTCTTTCGTCAAGGTGGTAGAACACAATCATTGTGACATCCGGTCCAGTCCCCTCGGACACGGGGCCCCATCCGAAGAAGTCGTCCATTTCTACTCCCTTCTTCCCTCTAAACTCCGCTCGTACTTCCACGACAACAAGCCCGCCATCAAGGTCGAATATGATCTTTTGTGGAACGAGAGTCTCAGATGCTATCTGGTGATGTCCTTTGGCCCACTGATGATAGCCGCTTATAGTCTTTGGGCCAGGAATGAGGGGAATATCGATCTGATTAGTGCCCGAGGTTCATTAGCTTGAAGAGACGGATCATGTTGGCATTCGTAGACAAACCGTCGCTAGCTCAACCGCCGTAGGGGGCTTTATGGGCACTCGCACTTACATGAATATCGGGATGGTAATACTGAAAAAAGGTGTCAAACTCGTCGGCGCTAAAGGCTGCAAGGTACGCCTCGACGTCTGGCTTGGATTTAAAGCCCTTCAGTCCAACAGTAGGATACAATTGACTCGTCATGGTAACTAAAGTGATAATTGATGCAGCGATAAACACTCCAGACGTTGAAATAGAGACCACAGACAACATTCAAAATAAGCCATATTCTTCTCGTTCCAGGGTGTATGGGAGCAGATTCCACCAATATTTGGAGATCGGCCGAACCGGGTAATAGTTGCTCCTCACAGTCAATTCTCCGGGCCCTGATAATATCCGCATGGTGGAGATGCACGATATACCGTGATGCACACGGCATGAAAGTGAGGGGCGAGCATGGATGTCAATTAACATACCTTTGGCAGATGCTACGACACAAATGGCATTAAGCTCAGTTTAGTCACAGCACGAGAGACCGCAGCAAGCGCGGCCTGGGCATTCAAGCATTCAAAGAAGCGATCGTTTAATATTCCCAAAACGCCATCTTTCATCTGGGTAGTCCACGATAGCGCTCCAAATCCAGAACCGCTACAGTAAAACTCCATCTGAACCGCAGAATCAAGCCGCACATTGGTCAAGATGGCAGGACACGCATTCGAGAACTGCCCTCCGGCCTATGTCGACGGCATCAAAACCGGTGATCGCACCGAGTTCCCCGGGACGCCAGCCTTCACCAATGGAGTTGCCCCGTCCCGCTTTCAGGGTGACATCGAAGAGCTCGAGGTGTTTGGGAATATGCCCAAGTCCATCCACGGAACATACTACAGCATGGGCGTGGACAAGAGATTCCCTCCGATCCACGAAGATGACATCTTGTTCAACGGTGACGGGATTGTAGGGGCGTATTATATCGCCGATGGCCATGTCGACTGGAAGCGACGCTACGTCAAGAACGACCGTTACAACGCCGAGTCCACGGCCCGCAGGAGCTTGTTTGGCAGGTATCGCAATCCGTACACCGACGACGCGTCAGTCAAGGGGCTGATCCGCACGACCTCCAACACCAACATTGTCTTTTGGCGGGGCGTCATGCTTGCTTGCAAGGAAGACGGGCCGCCCTACGCGCTTGATCCGGAAACACTCGAGACCATTGGGCGATACGACTTTGATGGCCAGGTAGTATCGCCGACCTTTACGGCCCACCCCAAGATCGACCCGGAGACGGGGAACATGTTGTGCTTTGGCTACGAGGCCGGCGGTAACGGCAACGACTGCTCGAAGGAGATTGTCTTTTACGAGATTGGGCCCGACGGCAAGAAGCTCACTGAGGTCTGGTTCGAGGCCCCGTTCTGCGGGTACATACACGACTTCGGCTTCACAACGAACCACATCATCCTGCCCATGACGCCGCTGAAGGCGGACCTGCAGCGCCTGCAGAAGAGCAAGGTCCACTGGGCCTGGGACCCCAACGAGGACCACTTCTTCGGCGTGGCGCCGCGGAGGAGCCCCAAGAGGGAGGACATGGTCTGGCTCCGCTCCGACAACTGCTTCCAGGGCCACGTCGCTGGTGCGTACGAGAGCGAGGGCGGAGACCTGGTCTTTGACCTGTCCATGGCCGACGGTAACGTGTTCTTCTGGTTCCCGGAGGACGGGAAACCACCGGTGCCGCCGGGGCCGGGCTCCCCGCTCAAGTCACCAATGACACGGTACACCTTCCCAGTCGCGAAGGATGGCCGGCTGGTCTCGCCCGAGAAGAGGATCAAGCCGGCCCAGTCGTGCCAGACGTCGGTCGAGTTCTCGCGCATCGACGACCGCTTCCAGGGCAAGGAGTACACGCAATTCTGGGCCCTCGGCATGGACGGCAGCCGGCCGTACGACATTGCCCGGTGCGGCCCGCCCGCGGGGGGTCTGTTCAACCTCCTAGTGCACCACAACTGGGCCACCGGCGCCGAGGAGGTGTGGTGGCCCGGCCCGACGACGACGCTGCAGGAGCCGTGCTTCGTGCCGCGCGACGTGGACGGGTCGCCCGAGGGCGACGGGCACATCGTCGTGGTCCTGAACCGCCTCGACCGGGGCATCAACGAGCTGGCCGTCCTGGACGCGCAGAAGGTTGCCGACGGGCCTGTCGCGCTGGTTCGGCTGCCGCTCAGGCCGAGGCTGGCGTTCCATGGTAACTTTGTGGACCACAGGGACATCGAGCGGTTTGAGCTGGAGAAGGAGAGGCTGAAGGTGAAGGGGCCACCTGCTCCATTGCCTTGGCAGCAGAAGGGGTTGTGATCTCCCTGCAGTGGGACGGGACTGCGTATAGGCTCAGCTATGCCTAGTGTGAGAGCACATCTGATTTGATGCAATACACGGACAGAAAACCTGAGCCAACTGAATGTGCAGGCTAGCTAGAGAGGCTTAAGAATTTGCTTCTAGAGAATCGATCTATCTCCGACCCAATTGGTCTTCTGGGCCGGGAAAAGATCCCCATTATGGCCAGTACAACTGATGAGACGAGAAAGGGGCGTCATTGTGTGATACCAAGTTAGACGTTTATCATTACGTCGGGTCAGTTGCATCAGTTCAATCCCAATGCTGCTTTGAAAGGGCATGTTGTCGGCGTGGGTCCACGGGTGTCTGACCACGTGCACTGGGCGGATAATTCTATTTCGATACCTAGGTAGGTCTTCTCTCCCATTCCACAAATATCATACTTGAGTCCAGGGTCGGGCCATACATGAAATTGATTCATTCCACAGTATCCAAGACATTGTTCATGAACAAGTATTGGAATTGAAAATGTGGTCAAATGTGACTATTTCACAATTCATCCAGTACTTAGTGGCTCATCTTTGTCAGAATTGCTTGCTCGCGGAATGTACTTTTGTGTTCCTCCAGATCTTAAGTCTGTGAGCTCTCACGGTATTATTCAGCACTTGATCTGTAGGATGAGTGGCTAGTCCAGCACCTGCCTGCTCTCCAATGTCCAAGGAGAGGACGGAGTTTCGCCACTTAGGGGATGCCAAGCCAAACCGTTTTAGCCAGTTTCTCGCCGCCAAGAACCGGGGGAAGCCACTGGCCGGATCCGACAACCGTGTCAAGAATGTGGGTCCAAATTCCTTCAATGTTGGCTTCACCCTGAAGCCATGTCTCAGCGCCAACCGCGACCCGGGTCCGCCTCAGTCTCTTTCAAGTAGCTTATACCGCCTTGCGTCCGGACCTACATGAGCTGACGACGGAGGACCTGCATCCGCTGACCACTTCATGCCGCCTCGGTGCGCAGAACTAACGACACATCTCCTTGGCGCCGTCACCTGAAAAAAAACGCGATCTTACCCAGCTGAGGTCGACCCAAAGCCTCGCCGTACGCGGGGATCTCACGTCATAAGATCTGCTCAGGATCTGCATCTGAGCGGGCTGCAAACCTTGATGAAGCCCGCGTCCTCGGCGCCGAGCTAAGCATCGACCATGGCGAGCGGCGCGCTGCCTCCGGGCGCCAAGTACAAGGAGAAGGTCGGCACGCCGTACCGGCCGAAACGGCTCACGCGCCGCCCCAGCAGGAGGACGGTGGTGGTGTACTCGCTGGTGTTCTTCCTGGTCGTGATTCTGATCCCAGTGCCGGGGTTCACATCCTTCAGAGGGTCGGTCCTGGACCTCATCATCCCAGGGCACGCCATCCCGAAGAGGGTGACGCCGGCCAGGGGCGTTCTGAGGTACATCGACCCGCTCATCGGGACGACGAACGGCGGCCATGTCTTTCCCGGCGCGACGCTGCCCTACGGCATGGCCAAGCCCGTCGCCGACTCGGCCAACAAGGACGAGAACGCGGCGGGCTACGTGGAGGACATGAGCTTCATCAGCGGGTTCTCGCACCTGCACGACTCGGGCACGGGAGGGCGGCCGTCTATGGGACAGTTCCCCCTGTTCGTGCACCCGGGGTGCCCGGACGACGACGTCGCCAAGTGCAAGTACATGACCTTCACCCGGCCCGTGATGCGGTGGCCCCTCTCGTCCAAGGCGAAGCCGGGCTACTTCTCGATCCGGCTCAAGAACTCGGTGGCGGCCGAGATGACGGCGGCCGAGCACACGGCGCTGTACCGGTTCCGGTTCCCGGACAAGGACAGCCCGCAGGACGGCCTGGGCAACAGCGTGCCGTACAGCCCGCTGATCCTGGTGGACCTCAACGACCTGGACAACACGCGGCGCGGCGGCGGGATCCGCGTCGACGCGGACGGCATGCGCATCACGGGCGACAGCACGTACCGGCCCTCGTTCGGCACGGGCGAGTACGACGCCTTCTTCTGCGCCGACTTCAAGGGCGCCGCCGTGCGCAAGGCGGGCACCTTCATGCAGGACGTGCCCGACGCCGGCCGCCGCATCCTCGAGCCGGACCCCCAGGGCGACTTCAAGCTGCCCTCCGGGTCGGCCGGCGCGTGGATCCAGTTCGAGAGGCCGCCCAGGGACGAGATCCTGTCGCGCGTGGGTTTGAGCTTCATCTCGCGCGAGCAGGCGTGCCGCAACGCCGAGAGGGAGATCCCCGGGTGGGACTTTGCCGCCGTGCAGACGCGGGTGGAGGACGCGTGGGCGGAGAAGCTGAGCGTCATTGAGGTGGACGAGACGGATATTGACCCCGCGCTGCTGGTGACTTTCTGGTCTGGGCTGTACAGGACGATGCTGTCGCCGCAGAATTACACGGGGGAGAACCAGCTGTGGAAGTCGGATGAGCCGTACTTTGATTCGTGAGTAGATGGTTATCCTCGCTCAGTGATGAGCAAACCAGGCTGACTGTGACTGTCTATTCTAGATTCTACTGCATTTGGGACTCGTTCCGTGCTCAGCATCCCCTGCTAAGCATTATCGACCCTAATGCGCAGGCCCAGATGGTCCGAACACTTCTTGACATCTATCGAAATCTTGGTAGGCATCGATTATCAGAACCAGCAAAGTTCTTTGCAAAAGCTGACACCAGAGTGCAGGCAAGCTTCCAGACTGCCGTATGGCCTTCTGCAAGGGCTTCACACAAGGTGGCACCAACGCCGATGTCGTGATCGCGGATGCCTTCCTGAAGGGCATCACCGACGGCATAGACTGGGAGACAGCATACGCAGCGGTAGTCTCCGACGCAGAGGAAGAGCCGCTGAGCTGGAACACCGAGGGGCGCGGCAACCTGGTCAGCTACCACGAGCTCGGCTACATCCCGCACGACGACATCGACAACAACGGCACGGGCCGGATCACGCGCAGCATCTCGCGGACGGTCGAGTACGCGTACGACGACTTCGCCATCGCCCTGCTGGCCAAGGGCCTCGGCAAGGAGGACGACTACCTCAAGTACATGCAGCGCAGCGGGAACTGGCGCAACCTGTGGAACGCGAACCAGCGGGACGTGCTGGTGCAGACCAACAAGGACTTCGAGGAGGAGGAGGTCGTGTGGAGCGAGTGGAAGGGCTTCCTGCAGATGCGCGGCGTCGACGGCAGCTGGAGGTACCACAACACGCGGACGTGCAGCCCGGTGCACGAGATGCACCGGTGCTACCTGGACACGGGCATGGGCACGTACGAGGGCAGCCCGTGGCTGTACAGCTTCTACGTGCCGCAGGACATGGCGTCGCTGATCCGCGCCATGGGCGGGCCCGAGCTCTTCACCAAGCGGCTCGACTACTTCCACGAGTCGGGCATCATCTACATGGGCAACGAGCAGTCCTTCCTGCCCGTCTTCCAGTTCCACTACGCCGGCCGCCCGGGGCTCAGCTCGTACTGGGCCCACCGGTATATCCCCAGCCTGTTCAACACCACCTTCGCCGGCATCCCCGGCAACGACGACTGCGCCATGGGGGCGTTTTCGGGCCTCGCGATGATGGGGTTCTTCCCCGTCGCCGGGCAGGACGTTTACCTGCTCACCCCGCCCTTCTTCCGCGAGGTCAAGCTCAGGGCCAGGAACGGCCAGTGGTCCATCATCAGGGTGGTCAACTTCGACCCGACGTACCAGGCGAAGTACATCCAGAGCGCGACGCTCAACGGGAAGCCGTGGACCAGGAGCTGGATCACGCACGAGTTCTTTGTGAGGGGGGGCGTGCTGGAGTTTGTGGTGGGCACCAGGGAGAGCAGCTGGGGCACGGCCGTTGAGGATCTGCCCCCGAGCTGGACTGTGAAGACGATAGCGTAAATAATCACTTAGTAATAGACACGTGTCGCTGCAAATTTGTCATCTTTGACTGTCCTTGGACTTCGTCTCAATTGCTAGTGTGAATGGTCGCTGAATGGGTGGTTACTGAGAGTCGTCGATGGCAAGCGGAAGTGGATCACACGTGCTTTCGCGCTGGGACGACGAGTCAGAGGGTCGGGAACTTTGGAGGTGAAACGCGCCTCGGTCGCGTCAATTCTCCGGCTGAGATTAGCAATGACGTCTACACTCGAGCCAAATCAATTGCTGCCCAGCACTGCTCTCGGCATTCTATAGTATCAATCCACTATTGACTTGTGTATTGTTTTTATTGCTTCGAGTTCCTGCTGAGCGAATAAATACGCCGCCAACATGCCCCCGCGAAAGCGACAAGCCGCGGCTCCCGAGACACCCGTGGCATCCGCCGGCCGTCGATCCACGCGCATCGGCTCGTCCGGCAAGAAGAGCCAGTACTTCGAGGCATCCTCTGACGACGAAATTGAGGATTCTACAGCAGACGAGTTCAAGGCCACAAATGGCAATGGCACCGGCAGGAAGAGAGGGAGACCGCGCAAGAACCCCGCGTCGCGACCGACATCCACTGGCAAGAAGAAGGCCAAGATCGAGCAGGACGACGACGACTCAGACGAGTTCCAGGAGGATGGCAAGGACGAGGAAGAAGACGATGATAACGAGCTGGACGAGGACGAGGAACCGCGGGTCACCATCACGCCGTTGAACAAGATGCGCGGGACTGGAGGCGTCGACTACGAGGATGACAGGCTGCATCCGAACACCCTGCTCTTCCTCAAGGACCTCAAGGCAAATAACAAGAGGTCATGGCTTAAGTGTAAGCTGCATCACTATATCTACAAGCCGGGCAGATCCGCAATGCGGACCATGGCTAACCGAGTGTCCCCCCTCCAGCCAACGACCCCGAGTACCGCCGCTCCCTCCAAGACTGGAACACCTACGTCGAGTCCCTAATGCAGCGCATCATCGCCGCGGACCCCACGATCCCGGAGCTGCCGCTCAAGGACGTCGTCTTCCGCATCTACCGCGACATCCGCTTCAGCAACGACCCGACCCCCTACAAGCCGCACTACAGCGTCGCCTTCTCGCGCACGGGCAGGAAGGGCCCCTACGCGTGCTACTACGTCCACTGTGAGCCCGGGTCGTGCTTCGTCGGCGGCGGGCTCTGGCACCCGGACGCCTCGCACCTGGCCAAGCTGCGCGCGTCCATCGACGAGAGGCCCCGCCGGTGGAGGAGGGTGCTGGTGGATGACGGGTTCCGGGCGGCGTTCCTGCCCGGGGCGAAGAGGGGCGATGAGAAGAGCTGCCTGAAGGCGTTTTGTAAGGCGAGTGGGGAGAATGCTTTGAAGACAAAGCCAAAGGTAAGCAATTGCTCTCTTCCCCCATCTTACTACCCTTTTGGACCCATACTTCTGATGCCGAGGTCCAATATGCTCCTCACTCGGTGTTCGGCAACTTGCTGGGGTCTCCTGGCGGTAGGATCCGGTCTGGACTTGGACGGAGTCGAGGCCCTCATCTCGGGGAGTGCCGACCGAGGAATCCGTTGAACCAAACAGCTGCTAATCCATCCCGTCTACCACAGGGCTTCGACGCCGATCACCGAGACATCGAGTTGCTCAAGCTGCGCAACTTCACGGTGGGGAAGAAGATCCCTGACAGTGCCCTCACCGCGGAGGATAGCCAGGACCAGATCACGGATATTATCAGGGCCATGGTTGGATATGTGAGTGGAACGTGCTTCTGGGTCAATGTGAAACCCCCCATGGCTGACTATTTCCAGGTTGGCTTCCTGAACGACGTGGTTATGCCGGACCCGAACCTGGACAGTGACTCGAGCTCGGAGGAGGAAGACGGGGATGAGAATGGCGATGGGGATGAAGATGATAACGCAGACGAAGGAGAATGATGGCGTCGAGGCTGGTCTTCGGGATCCTCGGTATCGCGTGATACTGACGTCGCTCGTATATATCTCGAGCAAGGTTCCAGCCACCTGGCTTCGATGGCCGAGGCTTCTGGATCGTGGCTGTTCGCTCACCTTGACCTGATGAACGGGGCGATTCCTTACCTCGTTCTCTCAAGGTACCGTCGAGTTCGCGGACGCATTGGATGAGATACGATTGATGGTAATAAATGAGATATGACAGCTCGTTTCAACTTCATCTGGGCTCGGGATCCTTCGATTGCCCGTCTCAATCACATGTGCGCCAGCTGGCTGAACCGAGCACCAAGGGCATCCTCGATTTGAGGCCGCCATCTCAAGTTTGTGTGGCCACTGAGACCATCATCCGATCTGGCTGCCCGACGAGTTCCAACTTCCAAGACCTCACACCTTGACCGATGCTGACTCTGGCAATACGCGATGGTGTGATAATCTGCTCAAGACTCTTCAACGCGGTCATCCAAAAAAGTGGCTGCGTCCTCCACAATAAACCTCGTTGGCGACTCGCAGCCGCGGATTATCGTGATCCACCCCACCCGCGGCGTTGCTGTAATGCGATTGGCTCCGCATGCGGCCTAGGAAGGTCTCAACCCTCGGCCCGCCACAATGGGTCCTCCCAGTGGGGAACCAGGCCGGCCTGACCGCCGGACAATTTCATGCATCGATGATGGCTGCTGCCAGGCCAGGAAAGCTGACAGGTTGGTTCCTGGATCTCAGATTGATTGCGGCCCGCGGGAACTGTTTGGTTGTTTGGTTGGCGTGTGTGTGTGATCCCGGGGTGTGGGTGGGAATACAGTAAAACAAAAACGTGCCTCGGCAAGTCCTACAGGGGTTCACCTGTTCCAGCCCTCCCTTCTTCAGCACCGAAGGTGAAAAAGAAGCATAATCACATCACACTTAAGCTCCCTCCAATTACAAGGAAACAAATAGGTCGTTTGTGGGTTTGACCCACACGTCCGGGGATGGAAAAAAGAACCTTGACTTCTCAGCCTCGTGGTGGTGCACTGCCGTACAGACGAACCGCAAGGTCGGACGCAAGGTCGGACGAGATGTCGCAACCTTGATCTATGTATATACCACGGCACATGTGTGCTTAACTGACCTCCTCCTTCGACCTGCAAATTCTCATGACTCAAGGGATCTCGTGTCGCTGGCCACAGCAAGGCCAAGGAAACCGGACGGCGCACTCAACGGCCAGGCCGTTTGGCTGTTGACATCGGAGAGAAATTTGACGGGTAGAGAGTTGCGTCCGAGCGTTGTTCTGGCCCTTTCGGATTGGCTAGGTGCCAGGCAAGGATAGCTGGGGGTAAACGGTGTGGTGCCGTTTCGGGCAATAGTTCATGGATGGAGTCGTGGGGGCTCTACCTCCGTACCGGCCTCCGCTCCTCTAGCTCAGCCACGGCATCTCCCCTGCACAGGAATATGCCGACGTCAATATTGGTGGGATGCTCCTAGGGTTTCCGTGATCCTCTCCTTTTCCTAGTGGCTTGGTGAGGGATCGAGGCTGCAAACATGGGCGAGTGGGCTGCTCCGGACTGGTCTGGGTGCTCAGTCTTTCAAGGCATCGGCCCGGAACGCCATTGTGCTAACGCCACAGACATATTGCAGCCTCATGCGATGAATCATTTTCTTGCAGGACTCGGCTTGATTCCCGGAAGAGGAAGGAAGGCATCACTTGCCACGGTGGCTGACTGTCTGAGCATGCATCTATAAGTGTTCATGATGTCTTCTTGAGGATCATTGTGATTGTATTGATCCGTCCTCCATCAGGGAATAAACGCTCTCTACACTCGCTTCAACCACAAGCGTTCTTCATTTCACAAGTTCCATTCAGGAACAGATTACTTGCAGGCTTGACGCCGTTATTCACTCCCTTCCACCTCCCTTCGATTACCCATATACATCTTCTCGACCAGACAAAGTCGTACTTGCAACAGCAGCAATGCATTATCAGGCTCTCCTCGTCGCATACTTCTCCGCCACGGCGGCTGGCCTGCCTCTGTTCTCGAAGACGACCCGCCAAAGCATTCCAGGCCTCGGCAGTGGTACCGGGACGGGTGGCTTCCCAGGTCTCCCGACCGGTATTCCGGGCCTGGGTGGTGACGGTGGTAGCGGCATCCCGTCCCTCCCAAGTGGCATTCCAGGCATCCCTGGCCTTGGTGGTGATGGCACCGGCAGTGGCATCCCATCTCTCCCGAGCGGCGTCCCTGGCTTGGGCGGTGACGGGACTGGCTCCGGATCATTGCCCATCCCCACTGGTCTCTTGGGAGGCCTCGGCGGAGGCTCAGGCACTCCTACCCTTCCCACAGGGCTCCCCAGCCTGGGAGGAGGCAGCACCGGCTCCGAGACGGGGGACACGAGCTCGACTGATGCAGCCGCCGACACGAACCCCGCCGCCGCCGCCGCAGACTGCAAGGCCGTGACGGTCATCTTCGCCCGCGGCACGACCGAGCCAGGCACGCTGGGCGCCATCGTCGGGCCCGGCCTGAACACAGCGCTCGGCACGGCGCTGAACAACAACGCGGTGGTGACGGGCGTCGCGTACGCCGCGGACGCGGGCGGCATCGCCACCGAGATATCCCCGCAGGGCGGCGCGGGCACCAAGGCCATGGTCAAGGCGGTGACGGACGCGCTCGCGTCCTGCCCGGACACCCAGGTCGTGCTGTCCGGGTACTCGCAGGGCGCCATGCTCGTGCACAACACCATGAACAACCTGGACGCCGCGGCCGCGGGCAAGGTCAAGGCCGCCGTCACCTTTGGCGACCCGTTTGTCGGGCAGGCTGTCAAGGGTATCCCCGACGGGGCGTTCAAGTCCTTCTGCGCGTCGGCCGACGCCGTCTGCGCGACTGGGGCGGGCACGTCGCCTTCTTCCGGGGGCACCACGAGTGCGAGTGCCACGGGCCACCTTGGCTATGGGTCTGACACCACTGCTGCTGCGACTTTTATCAAGGGCAAGGTCACCGCTTGAGGTACTGACCACGCATTGGTCCTCCAGGTTGATGCCAGCTGGTCCTTGTGGAGCATTAAAGGATGGAAAAGAAGCCAGTCCTACTGCTATTCAGTCCATGGTCATCCTCCTGTTGTGTATATATACTTTCGCTTCAAGACAGTCATTGCCTTACCTCCGTGGGTTCGAGGAGGCTGGCCACATGGCATGAGAATCAGCCATAAGTTGACAATTATTCATTATTTGAGACTGCCCTCCCTAACGCGGACTTGCGTTTCCCACAACATCTACTGGAGCCCTTGTTGATAAAATTGAAAGCTTTCATGGGCAGGCAGAGAAATGATCAAACGAAGGTGATGGGACTTGGGCTTGTGATGTTGAAGTCAGCTGTGCTGTAGAGATACATATCTGTGAGATATTGTTCCAAGTGGTCGTGCGTGTGAATGACTGTATGTACATTCCCTGTGGCTTTGCCACTATTTTTTTCTTCTCCCATCGACAGAGGTTTTTCTTTCGAGGGTACTACTATTCGGTAATATCATATTGGGCGCTCTATGATTTTTGTTTCAAACTCGTCGCCTTCCCTGAGCTCAGTCATGACTTCTTATATTGAACAGATGTCCGTAACTTTTGTCTACTACCACTTCTTCTATGACAAGACATGACTGCTAATGTAACAGAAAGACTGTGTCTGCCAGATATGCTATTTTTGTATTTGAAGTGGGCATATGGCTAAGGTCTGAGTGCAGAAAGGGCCCTGGGAACCCTTTTTGAAGACACATGTACGCAACACGTACTCTCCATTCACTGTACACCCTATTCACGTGACCCCCAGTGACTGCCATAGCCAAATTAGGTACAACCTCTTTTCAATCATTATAAATTGCTTTGAAATGGCTCCGCACCAGCACGATGCACTGCCTCGTGGTGGTACAGCAGGGTGCAATGTTACTTCAGGTACCCGGTTCGGTTCGCAGGATTCCAGAATCACCTTACATGGCGAGAAGGATGATAAAGCAATCCCCAGACTGATTCGCCACGGCTAAATACAATGCAAAGCCAGCTTTCGTCAGGGAAAATAGCTCCCGTTACACTGCATTATCGGGTTCCTTTTCATTTCAATAGTGAACCTTCGGATCTTGGCATATGGAAAGGGATCGGCTGGGCCATGAGGAGAGCTGCCTCATGACCTTCCGTATTCGCCTATGTAAATGTGGTAGTGCAGCGGCAGTTGCTGTATGTCAGATGCTCTAGAGGAAAGAGGGTGTGGCGTTGTTGGGGTTCTTGTTCATGCTGTGAGTATGTGAATTGTATACAAACTGTATAGGCCTATGGCCCGCTATCTTGTTAATAGAGCTCAGAAAGGGTGACCAGGACCAGGAAGGTAAAGATATATTTGAGCAGTTCCCCCTGCTCCTTCCGAGTAATTGGGACTATGAGTATAGACTTCTCTTACAATGGAGCAATTTCTATTGTTGTTGATTGCATTTGTGAGCTTTGCTCTCTCATACAACTTTCCATTCGAAGCCGTTCAGTTGACGGACAGAGACGTCCTCAACAACCCCAGCATTGCTTTCGGTGACACCTTGAATCCGGAACTCTCAGACGCACAATGCAAGACATACCCGGGAGACGCAGACTGGCCTTCTGAAGCACAATGGCAAGACCTCAACGTGACATTAAAAGGTGCTCTGATAAGGCCAACTCCCATTGCTGCACCATGCTATGCCGGCCCGCAGTACGATGCACTGAGCTGTACTAGAATTCAGCAGCAATGGGTCAATTCCAGCGTCCAGTGAGAGTGTTCAGATTAGATCTTTCACTTCAAGAAGACTGACACCCACCAAGCATGAACGATCCCGTGTCAATCGGTCAGCAATGGGTCGAAGGCAACACCTGTCTGCCAACCTCCAACCCTAACGATACATGCACACTCGACGGGTTTCCCACCTACGTCGTCAAAGCAACAACGGTGAAGCATATCCAACTCGCCGTGAACTTTGCCCGGAACTCCAACATCCGGCTCGTAATCAAGTAAGCGAGCCTATAGCATGATGCCAGCTCAAAACATGTCACTGACAGCGCTGTAGGAACACAGGCCACGACTTCCTCGGCCGCTCCACCGGCGGCGGCGCCCTGTCCATCTGGACGCACGCCCTCAAAGAATTCTCCCTCTTGCCCGCCTACACAATCGGGCGCTACACCGGCAAAGCCGCGCGCATGAGCGCCGGTCTGCAGGGCTACGACCTGAGGGCCTACGCGTCGCAGCACGACGTCTCCATCGTGGCGCCGGGCGGCCAGACGGTCGGAGCCCTGGGCGGCTTCATCGCGTCCGGCGGCCACTCGGCCTACACGTCGTACCTGGGGCTCGGCGCGGACCAGGTGCTGTCCATCCAGGTCGTCACGGCGGACGGGCGGTTCGTGACGGCGGATCCGGATCAGAATACTGATTTGTTCTACGCTATGCGAGGAGGTGGCGCGGGTAAGTTACAGCGTCCCTGATTGTGCCCCGGATATATATCAACCAGTCAGAAGTTACTAAAAACAACAATAACAACAAAGGCACCTACGGAGTCCTCACCTCCGCCATCATCAAAATTTACTCCCCGATCCCCGTCGCCTCAGCCAGCATCTCCTTCTCCACGACCGCGCGCGGCGCCCTCCCCGCCACGCCGCCCGCCGCCTTCTGGCGCGGCATCCGCACCTACTTCGCCTTCGTTCCAGGAATGTGCGACGACGGCGGCCAGGGCTACAACTTCATCCGGCCCGTCCCCGTCTTCAACGGCAGCGCCGCCACCGCCAACGTGCCCCGCAACCTCACCTTCACAACCAGCATCAGCTACCCGGCCATGAGCGCCGCCGACGCGACGGCGCGCGTGACCGCCCTGGTCGCCGACCTGCGCGCCGCTGGCGTCAGCCTCAACAGGCCGCTCGTCTCCGTGTCCGGCGGGCCCCGTCCCAACGGCACTGCTCCCCCTCCACCTGCTCCCCCCGCGCGCCCGCCGGGCGAGCTCGTCGAGCAGCGGCGCATGGCGACGCGGCTGTTCCCGCGCGAGAACCTCGCGGACCCGGCGCTGCTGGACAGGACCAACGAGGTCATCCGGGCCTACGTCGAGGAGGGCGGCTACGTCTTCCACGGGATCAACTACTCGCCGACGAGCGAGCGGGCCGGGTGGCCGGGGGCCGACAGCGGCGTCAACCCTGCGTTCCGCAGGACGGTGATGCACGGCGAGGGGTGGGAGGGCCCGGAGTCGACGGCGCCGCCCGTCGAGAATATGGTGGCGAACCACGCGCGCTTCCGGCGGTACTTCCAGGGCTTCATCGACGTGTCGCCCGGGGCCGGCAGCTATATCAATGAGGCGGATGCGGGGGAGCCTGGGTGGCAGCAGGCGTTTTATGGGGACAAGTATGAGAGGCTAGTGGGGACTAAGAGGGCGAGGGATCCGTGGGACTTGTTTTTGGCGGCGGTGAGTCCGGGCATGGACGAGTGGGAGGTGAGGAAGCCGGAGGGGTATGAGGAGCTTCCGTCGCAGAACGGGAGGCTGTGTCGTCTTGGTGGTGCTTGAACAAGGGGGGTTAGCATAATATGGATGTGGGATACTTGGTTCTTGCTAGTCCAGCATTTCTCATTAAGCCTGTGTGTGAGAGTGATGGGTTATGTGGACGTGCCTTGCTCCCCAACTCTGTTCAAGTCCAGGCCAGTATCTTTTCACTGCCTGTGGTTCTGCTGATGGCATTGGTACCCCGAATGTTGGCCAAGACACAACTCGAAGATTACAAATATGACGAAGCTACACTAAAATAATTCTTCACCGGACTGATGTCACAGAGATAACATTACTAGAACTACAAACATACAGCTAAGCATCATCGTCAAAAGGCGATATCAGGTTGGAAAACTTCGACATTCCAGAGGAAGACTTTCCAGCCATTTCTCCATTGGGAAGAAGAGCCGGGTATCTCTGGGACTTCGAGAACGGAAGCGCATAATTAGGCAGTACAACAGTTTTGGTCGATTAAGTGTCTTTTCAATCATGTCATCCTAGTTTAATATACATGATGTTGATGTTGAAACAAGCGCGAAGTGAATATGAAGCCTCCAATCCCAGGAGCATATAACTTTTGGCGGCACCCACCATCCCCGGAAACGTGACATAAAATCCAACAACTTCAAGGCATTCGTACAGGTGGCTTCTAATTTCAACGTGATTTAACATACAGCTGCACTGACAGAAACGGACAGAACCGGGGGATCACCTTTTGACACTCACCAACCGTCATGTGCCATGCCCATGTTCCGATCGCAAAGTCTGCCGAGGTTGGATATCCTCAATTACCTGCGTGATTTTGGCATACCTAGGAGGGACAGTGGCCCGTTAGATGTATCACCTGGAAACATTAGAGCGCATCACGGATGCATTTACGTAGCACGCGTCGCGACGCTGCACTGATCTGTGCATGATGCCTGTGGCGCATCAAATGGGACACTCGCTCGGGCTATCACAGGTCTCAGTAACCTACCGCCGGGCTCGCATGCTGAGCACGATACTGGTCAACCCGCTCGCAATGCAGTATTGTGATATCAATCGGACAGTGATCGTCACTCGCCAAGTAGGGGAGATAAGATCCTTCCCCGATGGTATGCGCGGCGTCCTAGCCGACGGGTAGAAGCAAGATATTGCATAAACCATCCCACGGCTTTTGCATCCAGATGGCAAGTGTCAGAGGTACATCCATGTAATAAGACTTTGCTGCAGCCAGCAACACGCCTAATGCATAAACTGGACTCTCGAGGCCATACGATGCCGAACAAACCGACGTGGTGTGAATTTCTCACTCTGTGGCCGCTCATCACTTCGCCACGGCTGGCCCAAGCGAGGAGGCTTTGCTCTATCAGATGACGGAAATCTTCCTACCCAGCAAAGTTTGATGGTTGCAAATGTTCCGGCATCCCTACCACATGTTACGTCCGGCTCGTAGCCCTTTGGGCGAGTAGGTGTGAGCGAGAGTAATCCAATCTCTTGATTAATCTGCAGTGCCCCAGCATCAAGCCGGAGTGGTGTTTCTGATGTCTCATCCACCAGCTCAAGAACTCCTGGACGGTATCAATCGTCACTCCGATCCCGCGGGATGACAGACAACACCTACATCTCCTGAAGTCCGCTGGCTCCTCCATTCGATCTTCGACCTTCCCACAAGAAAAGCCCAAACCGTGATGACTCTGATGAGTGAGGATCTCTTGAGGCATCAGGCTCAGAGCACATAATTCAAAGCACCTGCTGCGAAACAATGCAAGACTAACTTGTTCCAATGTGACCCTATGGACAGAATATTGCTCATGTACTTTGGTGAAACCAGTGAGCAGGTGGAAGAGGCCACGCATCGCCCGCGGGGGGACTCATCAACATCTGTTTGCTCTGGGACGAAAGTGTAAGTCTTCGGATGCATTTGAAATCAAGATAAGCCGCGCTCAAGCCTCGGGTGGCAGCTGGCTCGCAAACTCTTGCATCGTCATGCGGACACGGAGGTATCATCTATACTGACGGCGAACATAGGTATCGGAGTGGGGAAGCAACACGTTGCGAACTCATGGAACGTGCTGTCGCATCGGGCTCGGGGAGAAGCTAATGGTTTTAAGGTTTTCCGTGGCGTGGTCAGACAGGGGCCGCACGTCTCGGCACGAAATACGAGTGGCCGGGCGCTCCCAACTCCAAACGAGCCATCCCCATGAAACGCGGAAGGCAAGGTGCAGTCTCTCAGGACCCGATCTTACCCGTGGTACAGACGCTGGAATAAGATTTCGTTGCCAGAATTCTGTGACCTCGGCCTTTATCTTGGTGCCTGAAAGTCAACTCCATCATCACCCATCAAACGCCCAGCAGGATGCTGAGCCCTGGCTGGGTATCTGACCGCGGTGCCAGTTGTGGTGGCCGATAGGATTCGGAGGCCTGCATGCGAACCTTGATATTTATATCCCCCCATCTCGTCTAGATCTTTCATGAGAAATGGCCGCACTGCAATTGGAGCTTGGACTACCGTGCATTGCCCCCCCCCCCAGGCCGTCAGCCCCTGTGCGGGCTCAAAGGTTGCCGATCTCTTGAGGCTTGATAAAATGGCCTGTGCTGCGCAGTGTCTGGCAGCTTGGCACGGAACTTGTTCCTGGCGGCAGCGGCAGCCTGACGAAAACCTAAATCACTCCGGCGGCCACCAAGGTTTCCGAATTCTCCGCACCGCCCGACACGATGTTGGGAGTCTAGATGGGTGCAAGGGGGGCCTCGCCACTCCACCGGATCTGGATCCTGAAGCCGGTAAGTTGGGGTGGAGGGTTTGATTCCGATCATTATGGCCTCTGACCCTGGAAAATCATACTCTGATCGCTCACTGAAGGGCTGTTGTTTGCGGAGGTGTGAATACGGCGTCATACCTTGTCCGTTCGCAGAGCTGTAACGTGCGCTGATCCAGGATGGCTGCTGCTTCGTGTGAAATTACGCGGCGCTGGAATGATGATTGCCCAAGACTTCCACAAGGCTTTTTCAATGCCACGGCAGGCTTGGAAGAGGATTAGAGTTTGATTGTTGAGTGGGATGCAACGGCCAGGTGGTAGTGCCGAGTAAAGTCCCCCGTCGTCCCGAATGTTGTACTCCGTACTCGCCAGTCTTCCAATATTATTTCAAAGATCAAAGCTCGCAAGACTGGTAGGTCAGTCTGAACGTGTTGGTTCACTAATTGCCTATAATTGAGACTGTAAGTTGCAAGCCCGTCCTCTAGGAATTCGCCGTCGCTTCTCGGCATGCAGTGGTGTGTCAATGTTGCCTTACAGGGTGAACTCTTGAAGGATGGGATGCTTGAGCCCACCGAGCCTACCTCGGGAAGCATGGCATCTCCAAAATTCCCAGCCGTGCTTACGCGTGATTTCAGGGGGCAAAATGTAACAGTGAGCGCGGATCATGTCCTGCTGCTTGGGAGAGCTTCGGCGGGTGGCTTTTCAGATGAATCCCCAACGCGGCTCAGCGCCTAGACAAAGTTCAGACGAGAACGAGGCGTACACGCAAATGCATTGGACTTGAGAGCACGTCCATTGAAGATGAAGTTCTAAGGCGAAAGTTAGCTGGGCGTTTCTCACTTTGAGTGTCAGAAGTTCATCGCTGGTGGAATGTTATTGACGAATGTGTGACCTCAACGTTGCAGGCACAAAGCACAGTAGCTGTAGCTAGAGGGTAACCGTAACTGTTTCCTTGTGATGGCAATATTCACAGTGGCTTACCTGGACGAGAGGACCAATAGGCAGACAGGCCAAGCCCGGCTCAGGAGAGTTCAGCTGCGGCTTCCATGCCTGGGACGGAACTTCCCCGAGATCGATCTCCGCGAGGTTAGGTGCTATCCCTGTCCAAAAAGCTTGTCCAGCCAAACCCCAGCCAACACGGGACAAGCCATGATGAGTACCGGAATTATAACACGAGTGGTCACTAAAACGGCACGTGTAGGCGACGGCAACAAACGACAGCCCGTGCGTACATCTGAGGGCCGTCGAGATCGAGGGTTTCACCGGATTCTCTCGAGTCGTAAGCTGCCCTCGAAGCTCCCTCCCTCCAAGCTCCCCATCGCGTTCCACATCAGTATCAGGAGGCTCACTAGCCCGAGTTTATCGGGAAACACAGCACACAATCACCAACTCAGCCGGATAGCATTCACCGGAGTAATATCGGGTGCAACCATGTGCTGGGCAGAGCATGCCACCAGTCTTTTCATCGTTCAGCCCAGCGCCAGCCAATTCCAATCAACTTCACTTCCCGGGTGGCTGGACGCGATCAAAGCACTCAAGCAAAGCCGCGTATTTAGAACGGCCCGTCTCCACTCGGGACTAGGCTGCTACAATCAGTGTGATCCGTGGTATTATAGCTCTCCTTGAAGGTTCCCGCGACTGGTTCGCACATTGGGCCCTGTAAAGCCAAGCCTTGCACAACTCGTGGCCCGCGCTATCGTGGGCTGATCCACCCGTGAGAGACTAAACATCGCCTCGATGAGCATTTGAAGCCAGCTTAGGCATGATGTCGCAGACCGATCAGCAGAGGCAGGACAGCCTCGTCGTTCTTTCCATCGTTCTGACAACACTATCTAGTGAGTCACGGCCGCAAATTCTGACGTTATCCTGCGATGCCTAGAGCGAAGAGTGCTGACCTTCCGTGTCTTAGCATTCATTGTTGCGGTGCGATCATTAATACGCTTCGTCATCGTACGGAAGCCCGGGTACGATGAGTACACCATCATCGTGGCGCTGTTGTTCACCATAGCCTACATGATCGAGATATTGATCCTGCGGGCGAACCACGTTGGGTTCCCGGCTTCAACGTTGACTACGGACAACATGTTGGGAATCCTGCGGACGACATTGGCCGTCGAAGTCACCTACTACCTCATTGTCGGCTTCATCAAGACATCTATTCTATGCATGTATCTCAGGTTTGGTACGTTGGAACCATTTGCTCCACAGCACCGCATTTACTGACCCAAGCTCGCAGCGGTATCTGAAATCTTTCGTTATCTGTGCTACGGCACCATCGTCTTTCAACTGGCGTTCACAGCTATTTGTCTCTGCGTGACGTTTGGCCAATGTCAGCCACTGAGCAAACTGTGGGACCTCACCAAAACACAGCCAGGCTCTTGTATCAACACAACAGCATTTTTCTACTGTACGTCTTTGTGTCCCCTTATCCCGTCCTCGGCATACGCGTGATTGAGTATTGACCCCCGAATAGCGACTTCAGGCGTCAACATCATAACGGACTTTTGGATAATAGCACTCCCCATCAAGACGTTGAATGGATTCAAGCGGCCCCTGCAGGAGATCGCTCTCGCTGGCATTTTTGGCGCCGGTGTCTTCGCTGCCATAATGTCGGTCGTGCGCTTGCAGAGCATTTATACGTATACGTTGGCCACCGACCCCTTCCGCGATGCAATTGCAGTAAGCTTTTCGACTTATTGATTTTCACGCACACTACGAAGGAACAACACCTAACTGACTAATCTGCACAGGTAAATCTCTTCTCACAAATAGAGATCAACACTGCCATCCTCTGCGCCAACGTTCCAGCGCTGAAGCCAATATTCACACCGCATCGCCTGCAGGAGTTCAGGAACGGGAGGAAATACCAGCACCGTCCCCAGGACGAGTTGGACTCCGAGAGCCAGAGGAGCGCCTTCAGTAGAAAGAGGTCGCACCCGGAACTATATCCAGACACCTTCGACCTCACAAAGCTGTCTGCTTCCGACCGTAGTTCGACAGCATCGCTCGGCGGCACCGACAAGAAAGAAGTCGTGTTCAACAAGGTATGGTTCCCGCCGAACCCGAAGCTCGACGATGCGCAAGACGAGGCAACCTTTGATCTGCCAACCCAAAAGGCTTTCCATCCGGTATGATACGCGATGGCTTGGCAGGAAACAACACGAGCGGAAACTCACCGCGGAGGGCTGCTCAATGTGCGATACCATGGGGGAGGCGTTTGGGCACAGGTTCATAGGGAAAAGGAGTTCATGTAATGCTTTCGAATAGGACCACTCAAAGGCTCGGTTTACAGTACGAGACCTTGGTTCCTCGGTCCCTTTGGCGGGCCTGTCACGATGGGGCGTTGGCAGACATGCCAGACTCTCGCTTCTTTTCCGTCCACCGAACCAGACTGTACAGACATAAGATATCTAACGTAGATATAAAACGACACCAATCCGTTGGGACATGTCGATCTAAGCTTTTGCCTCGTGCCCCACAGGCCTTAACCGTACATTGAAAGGCGACTTGTCCCACACAATGAAAAGATTCTTCTGATCTTGGGTCCAGTGCCTGCTATCAGGCTGCAACTCTATGTCAAAGTTGTATATCATGTGAGCAAGCACGAGACGTAGTTCCATGACGGCGAGTCTAGAAAGGGGCGGTCAGTCATATAGTCTTCACAATACTATGCACAAGCACCTGCAAGGGGATGGCAAACAGACTTACCCCCTTCCAATGCAGTCTCTCGTCCCCGTGAAAAAGGGCTTCAACGCGTCACGGTCATCGTTGGCGTACTGCGGGTCACCAAGGAATCTTTCGGGATGGAACTCATCCGGGTTCGCAAACAGCTTGGGGTCTCTGTACATGGACCACACCCAAATCCCCACCACCGTCTACATCATCCCACGAGGTCAGTGTCAGCCGTACTCTTGGGGCTTGTGTATCGGCTTGTTTTTCATACCTTTGGGGGCACCGGGATGCCACAGATTATATCGTTGTCCCCAGAGATCCGAAGAGACGGGACGCCTGTTTGCGGATAGAGCCTCAGAGCCTCCTCGGTACAGGCGACGAGATAGGGCAGACGGCTGTTCACGGCATCCAAAGAAATCTCAGCTGGCGACTTGAACGCGGGACGGACTTCCTGTTTCAGTCTATCAAGCTTGTCTGGGTTATCGAGGAGGAAGGACGTGACGGCTGTCAGAACACCAGCCGTTGTTTCGCTGCCGGCACCGATGAAGACGGTGGCATGGGAGATCATGTCGGTGGCCGTGAGATTCTGTTTCATCAGCCTACGTTCACCAGATCGCAGCAGGTACCGCAAGCCATCCACTCACCCACTCGTCCTTCTTCATTATGATCGGGTTTATGAGATCAGGTCGGTCAGCTCCCTGAGCCAAGCGCCTCTCCATCATTGGCTTCACCATGTTGTTGTGCATCTCGAAGCCCCTTGTGGCCACGGTCGCGAACAGCCAGTTGGAGACTTTCTTGGCGATGGGATACATGCTCGCGGCAGTAAGCAGCCACATGACCTTGCCTGCGTCGGTGACCCCCTTGATCCAGGGGTGGAAGTCGCCACCATTCAGGCAGCCGAACGACTCGCCCAAGGCCAGGTCACCGATAATGTCGAACACGGTGAAGCGATACCACCTCTCCATGTCGACAACGGCCGAGGGACCACCAGAGCCGGACTTCTCGGCGTCTTGGCCGAAGCTGCCGTTCGAAGGCCCTCCGGCGACACAGCGCTCCCTCAGTCTCTCGACGAGGGTGTTGATGTACTTGGCGACGAGACCCTCCTGCGCCCTCAAGCTCTGGTCGCTGAACCCCGGGGCCACGGCCCGCCGGAGCATCTTGTGGTGCTCCTTATCGACAGTGTTCTGCAGATGCGGCGGCATGAACTCAGGGATGAGGTACGCCTCGCCCCACTTGGCCAGCTCCTTGGAACCGCCGCCCATGACGTCCTTCCAGGACGACGGGTCCGCGAAGGCCAGCTCGTTCGGCGCGACGCGTACGACCGGCCCATACTTGCGGTGGAGGGCTGCGGTGTCGGTGTGAAGACGACCGTTGAGGATGGAGAGGGTGTATGGGAGGCGTGAGGCGCGGCGGGCCAGGGGTCCTGGGAAAGACGACAGGGGGTGGAATCGGAGGTTGTAGATGATGTTGAAAGCATGGTAGAGAACCACTGCGATCGTTGTGAGGCCGAGCGCCTGACCCAGACCGAGTCCAACTGGTAACGAAATCACAGCCATTGTAGAAAGTGCATCAAACTGGAGTGGAGGTGAACGTCAAGGTTCCAGGACAGCCGAACGTGCTCCAGATGACGGGTGCGGTACGGGGCACATCACCCTGTCTCAGCGGGGAAGGGGCGAAGGATCCGCCAAACCTTGTTGAGCAAATGCTGGAACATCGCAGGGTTCCTGCGACCAGCGATATTCCTGCGACCACACCGGAGTTGAAGAGCTTTGTTCCGAAATCATATTTCACAACAAGTAAAGATAATCAGTCGGCCTACGGCACGTAGTCCTGGCCTCTTTTCTTTTCAATAGCACTGCGTATTTCTAATGATGGCAAAAGACAGCAGTTGCGACCTTAGCGACAGACCATTCATATGACTTTGATTCTCCCAGTCTAGATCTTGCCCAGGCCGGAACCGCGGGTAACATCAGAAATGACCTTGTCGAGGGGCGTCAACTTGTACGTGTACGGTGCCATGGTGAAATTACCGACCCTAGTGATGTTGACACCAGCACCTCCAAAGTCATTGTCGGAACCCAAGTTGGCGAACCCATCCAGCTCCTCGTCGCCGCAGACGCAGGTGTTGGGGCTGTCCTCGGGGATGACCAGGCCGTAGGTGCTGAGCGCCTCGCTGGTGTTGCCGCGGAAGACGTTGCCCTCGACGAGGACGTGGTTGTCGGAGCGGGAGTGGACGGCCTGGAAGTAAAAGTCGTTGTAGTAGTTGTTATAGACGTGCTGGCGGCCGAAACGGCCCGCGGGGCCGCGGGTGCCCTCCCGCTCCCAGCGGTTGTGGTGGTAGGTGATGCGGAGCTTGAAGGTGTCTACCTCGCGGAGGACATCGCTGTTGCCGACGAGAGATGACTGGAAAGGGTCAGTAGCACTCTAGCTGCCGGAACTGGCTTCGCTTAGTTACCTTCCAGTGATCGTGGAAGTAATTCCATGACACGGTGATCCAGTTGGAGCCACGGACGATGTCGCACTGTCCGTCATTATAGTCGGGGCCATTCTCGAGACCACTCGACTCGAACTCGTTGTGATCAACCCAGACTCGCGTGGAGTTGATGATCTGAAGACCATCCGCGTTCAAGACATTGCGAATACCGAGGTTTCGGATGATGACATTGTCAGAACCATTCACATCAATACCGTTGCCAATGAGTTCGCCACCACGACCCCAGCCGAGTAGCGAGGTGTTTGAACCGACCTCCAGACGTGCTGGAGGATTGGTGAGTGTGCCGTTTAGGTAGACGATCTTCTTTGCGCTACCGGCGACGGCACTCTGGAGAGCCTCAAAGGTCTCGACGACACTGGTCTTGCCGCCCTTGCCGCCCGTGGTGGGACCGATTGGGTTGTCCTTTGCGAAACCGACGAGGTCAAAATCGAGCTTGCCCCCCTTGCCGCCGTGATCGCCGCCCCTCTTCTCGGCCTCATCCTGAGCCACAGGAGAGGCAGAGGCGAGAAGGGAAAGGAGTGGGGTAAAGAAGAGAGATATCTTCATCTTGTCCGAAGCGGGGGCCGAGGCTTGACTGGAACGGTGCTCCACTTGGAGAAAGAAGAAAGCTGAGGGATCTCATGGCGGGGCAAAAATGAGGGCGATCCCACGCAGGCTATATGGCTCGCGGCCAACAGGTCCATCAACCACGAGTGCATCCGTGATGATTCTGTCATCTCTGGACCAACGCCACGATGGATGATTTCCCCCTCGCACATGGCAGGATGTGTACTCTCCGCCGCTTGGCGAACCGCGCCCTGGACATTTATCCGTGTATCCATTGCTCGATGGCGACATGGCGATGTGTTGGTTAGCGACACGTGATGCAAGTGAGCATGCCAAGGGAGATGGGAGGCCATTGAGTGGTGGAAATTCTATCCAGACAGTCGTCTCTAGCGTTTATAGGCGAACAGCGCAAGCTGGAAGCCAGGGTTCATTTGGCAAGGCGTGGATCCATGGGGCCTTGATACAATTTCCCAACCATGACCTACCAAAGAATACCCATGGTGTCTTTATACGCGTAGAATTGGTTTTATTCATGTTGGATGAGCTGGGAAGGCAGGATGCCAACAGGAAATGGCACCAAGGAGGACCAAGGCACGAGTGCTGCACCCCTCAATCCAGACACAATGCGGGGTCCCAAGGACGCCACTTCGCACTTCATTCCAGGAAATCTTGCTGCAAATGCTTGGTCCAGCTCGGTGTCGGGCGAGTTGATTCCATGGCCAGGAAGGGCGGGTTTCTGACCCTCCATCGTGTTGAAGCCTGAGCTGAGGACAACAGTGTCGGATCATAATTTCTCCCTTGCTGTCCATCCTGAATCACTCTTCTCGATTTTGTTTTCAGGCCGGCTAATGCGGCCGGTTCCAAATGCCTTCATTGTTTTTCTTTTTCACTGGCTTAGCTATCGGACAACGCACCTAGAAAACTCTTCCGACTCTGAATAGCTTCAAAGACAGAGTCTAGGCAGCTTGTACATCATGAGAACCTGTGAATGATTGACGACCTCCCAGCGAGGTAATGATGTTTGAGGTCAGGCTGAGCCAACTATGTCTTTTCAAACTATTTGCAAAACGATCAGGGGAATGTGATTCGACTAATAGATGAGACTTGTATAGCCAGACAAGGCTGGAGCAATCAGTCACTGATGCATACCAGAACGTGTAGAAATATTACTAATAGAGTTTTACATTGTCCCTATCTTATCAAAACGGCACATGATCGAGGAAAACCTGTTGCTTTGCTAGTGTCAACAGCTCAGAAACCATGAAACCAAAGATCACGTCAAGTTGTGCTATGTGACAATTTCAAGCTTTTTAATCCCGCAGAGTTCATAGCGATTCTCAAAGATTTCCACATTCGATGTTTGCCAATATGATGCATCACCAGCTGTGTTGGTATCGCTTCTGTATGCTGAACAGTGGAACTTGTTTGCATCTCGTTCTCAGTCCCGCATTTCAGGAGCGTCGTTCAAGTTTACTGGGTTTGAAAATCCAAGCCAACTTTTAACAGATGTCCACAATGGCGCAAAGAGAACGAGCTTTGAAGCGATGGCGAAGAGAATTCGTGTGCTAGATTTACTGGAGTCAAAGGGCTGTGTTTTCAAGTCAGTAGCGCCAGCCCCATTATCATCAGATGCATAACACTTATGATTGTTTCATTTCCTCCAATTTTCTTCACCCATTCGAAAGTGCGTGGTATCATCTCGTGGTCAAATGTCTTACACGTATCTTCAATGTTCTTGTCAACCAGCTCTCCCGACCTTGCCCTCTCAGCAAGCTCAGTAAGCAAAGGCAAGGCCATGCCAGCATCTCGCATATATTGATTACCACCTTGCCCTCTACATTTCGATGACGTAAGTAAGACATCTGCATCATTTTATTGGAATAGGCTATTACCTATACGGAAACGTGGCATGCATTGCATCGCCTAATAGCCAGACATGAGAGTTCCCTTTCTCTGGTGTGTCCTCGGACCTAACCTTCTGTCTCCAATCGTTGGGCGGGCGGGAGCTCGTCCGAGCAGGGTATACTATGAAGTCGGAGTCACGAACAGTCCCGAGAGCTTGGTGACTGCGCCCGAGTTAGCAACAACCTGTCTTCACGTATCTGCGTTGAATATGCAGCCACACGTCTCTGGTCTCTGACAATTGAGGCGCCTATCCGGCGAAACCTTTTGAAACGAAGTTCCATTTCTTGGCGGGACTGAGGTCCTTCAAATTCGGCGGGCTGCTTCGATGGGAAATGCACCGCCAACGGAACAGGAAGAGAATTCATCATAGGAGGACTTGTCCCTTGCCTCCGGAACATATGCTGGAAGAGCAGTCAGTAGAGGCATTTCCCAGAAAGCAAGTACTACGCCAGCTCACCGGAGAAATAGAAGGTTTTATTGTCTGCGAAGGCTAAGACGGGGCCGGACGTGAACTCCCGTCCCAAAGTGAGCAACCTCTCGGTTGGCATCTCTTGCTTGATAAGCAGCTGGATATGAGTTTTGATTTCGGTGAGATTGTTCAATCCCAGCTGCTGATTTACCTATATTCATGTATAAGCACGAGAGACTTATTTCAAGCGGGAAAGGGAGGGTAATTACTTTAGAGCTACTCCCATCGGCGCCCACTAGGAGGTCGCATTCGTCACTTGACCATCATCGAAGAAAGCCCGCACCTGCTCTCGACCCTCAGTACGGTAAACTTCATACCTGACGAACCGCTTCTCGTACTGCACGACGCCCGCTCGCGCCAAGGGCGCCGCCAGCACGTCCCTCAGTATTCCCCGTTTGATAGGAGCGGACTTGGTGTAGTCCGGAAACGCCTTAAGGTCTAGGAGCAGGCCAAAGTCCTTGTGCCGCAGAACAGCCGCCTGTCCCTTCCTCCCCCCGGCGCGGCCAAACTTTGCGACCACTGATGATATCTCGGCCTCGGACATGCAGGCGCGTAGGCCGATGAGGGCGGACTCGTCCAGGTGGATTTGGTATCCACCGCTGCTGTTGTTCTCCTCGCCGCGCTCGCAGACGGTGACGGGGATGGAGGCGTGGAGTAGGCCGTTGGCGAGGAGGCTCCCGGCGAGGCCGGCGCCCATTATGATCACTTTGAAAGAGGGGGTGGGTGGCCTGAGGTTCGGCCATTTTGGGAGAATTCCAGCGATAAGTCACGATTCAGCTCGCACTTTAGCTGATCAAACGTGGTTTCGCCCTCGCTGTTCACGGGGCTAGCTCTTGATATTGCGTTCCTTGGTGGGGTTCGGGACGGCTGCAGGGAGCCAGAGTACGCCCACCCAGCTTCCACAGTACGCCCACCCAGCTTCCAGCGTTGGCCCACCCAGTACAAGGAAATTGGCTACACGCGCTATAAAATATTAATATTATAGGGTTACTAATAAAGCATAGCTATAGCTATCCCAAAGGGGTTTTATAGCTACCCCTCTATTTACAACTTAAAAGTTACTTCTGCCCTTTGCCCTCTGCACCCTCTTGCGCCTTTTGCGCCCTTTGCGCCCTTTGCGCTCTCTTATGCCCTCTTATGCCCTCTTTAGCCCTCTTTACCCTTTTAAGCCTTTTAAACCTTCTAGGCCTTCTAAGTTATTTAAGCCTTTTACGCCCTTTAAGCTTTTTAAACTTATATTTTTAAAGTATTACTTAAATTAAAAAATAACTATCCTAACTTCTTATAACATGGTTTACCACCTTATGTCCAATATCACCTCATGTCTAATTTTTATTAAGTTTGCCAACTTTAACCAACCCTAGCACCCACCTAGTGTAAATAATTTAATTAAATTTAGCATTAATTAATGCCAACTATATTTAACTCCTTATTTATAATTAATTTTATTAATTTAAAGTAATATAGGTAGTTGCATTAAAGTTTAAAGTAGTTAACTTTTAGTAGGTAGGGTTATTTTTGGTATAAATCGCGTCCCTATTTTTCGCGTTAATTTCGCATTACTTTACCTATTTAAACAATTAATATGCTAAGAATTAATAACCATAAATATCTCCCTTATTAAATAAATCTTAAATCCTTTTAGCTATTAAAGCTATTTAAGATTTTAAAAAAAATTATAAAAAACCCTTAAGTACTGCTTACATTATATAAATCTATTACATCCTTAAATAAACTTTACGCAAAAGAATAAATAATTAATAAAATAATAAAGAATTATGCATTAAATAACATAAACTTAACCTAATTAAAGAGCAAATGCTTATCTAATATATTATTAATTAAGATATTTAAGAATTCCCTTTATAACTTTTTAGTATAAAAAATATAGCTAACCTTTTGCTAATATTGCAAGATGCTAAACTTATTAATAAGCATTAAGCTTAATGCTTTATAAATTAATAACTTAGCCTTAAGATTAAGTTTAATTATTTTTATAATTATTAAAAGGCTCTTTATAAAGATTTAGAAATTATTAAAAACTAATTTAAACTACTTTATAATATAATGGCTAAGTATTAAATTATTAATAATAATCTTTATAATTTTAATAAAACCGGCTTTATAATAAGTATAATTACCATATTAATAATTATTATATGCATTAATAAATATAAAAAGGCTAAATTAATTTAGCTTGGTAATTAGGAATGAGTAATTGTTATTAAATGCATTAATGCAAGCAGGTTATGAATCCTATTATTTATAATTATTTAAGGCGCTTATTACCTTGCTAGCTAGGCAATAAAGTTGGGTTTTTTAAATAATTAAATTATTAAGCCCACTTTTAATAAATGAATAGATAATAAGACTAATTTAAAATAAATCCAGCACTTTAATAAATATATTAAATTAAAGAAAAATATTAATTACTAAATATTAATTATAAATAATTATAAGAATTATATATTAGCTAAGTTTAATTAATATTATAAAAATAATAAGATTATTATTATTAGCATGCCGCTACATTTATCTTACTTACTTTAGCTACTAAACATTATGTTATATTTACCTTTAAAACATATATATAGTAATTAAATTAACCTTTTTATCCAAGCCTTCATTAATTATATTACTAAATTTAAGTTCTTTCTTGCATTTAAGATAGCCTATAATAAGACTTTTACAGCAGAAAATATTAAATCTATATTTAAAGGAGCTAGAATTTCCCCTTGGAACCTTAATTTTATGATTTTCAAGCTTAATATCCGCCTATAAACTCCTATATAATCCTTCCCTATTTCCCCTTAAAAATAAAAGTCTTAAATACCATTAAATGCTTAATAAACTATCCAGCAATTAAGTTTTATTAAAAGCAAGATCTCTACCCATTAAGAAAGCTCCTTTACACTAATTATAAACGCTATTAACTAATTAGCAAAGGGTGTATAAGTAATAATGCACTTACTTATTATAATAAGCAAGCAAATCCATATACTTTAGGAGGCTAATATAATACTTATAAAACGCCAAAGGGCTAAAAAAACCTAAGTATAGCTTAAAGAAGTACTTATTATTAAAGAATTCTATGCTCTTATTTAAAAAAAATAAAAGGGAAAGCAACCAGCTAGTAAAATTAATAATAATGCCAAGGAGTTAATCCGCGGCGAACTAACTAAAAGACAGTATAGTAACTATGGTAAGATTAAACATAATGCAAGAACTTATAAAAAAGATAAAGAAAGGTTTATTTAATTAAATTTTAACTATATTATAGCAAATCCAGCTTAGTTAGCATTAATTAATGCAAATATATAGGTATTAATGATTTACAGCGAATTAACTTTTTAAGGGTGTAGTTAATATTAAATAATGCTAAATATATATTTCCTACTAAAAGTTAATTAGTTTAAATTAGCATTGCAATTACGTCAACGCCTTTAAATTAATAAAGTTAATTATAAATAAGGATTTAATTACAATTAGCATTAATTAATGCTAAATTTAATTAAATTATTTGCATTAAGTAAGTGCTAAGGTTAGCTAAAGTTAGCAAACTTAATAAAAATTAAACACGAGGTGATATTGAATATAAGGTGGTAAACCACGTTATATAAGGCAAATTTTATACTTACTTAAAAAAGTACCTAATTTTATTAATATAATATTAAGAAAAGAAAATGCTAAGTAGGCGCACGCTAAAAGCTGGGTAGGCGTACTATGGAAGCTAGGTGGGCGTACTCTGGCTCGGCTGCAGGGGCAATTGAAAGACTCTTTGGAGGATTGATCACGAGCGCGTTTAACACAATGGATAGATGATAACAAGGCTAGAGCGAGGGTGTACGAATTAGTTATGCTTCGTACGCTGGCATGTACACCTAACATATATCAGATATTCCATCCCTTGGATAACCACAGCCATCAAGAGTTCTCGGCTCCACATACCGGCGGGCGTTCTACAGCAAAACCGCCCGCATTCCGTGAGACGTACAAGGGTTGAAAGGAATTATTTGAGTTCTGACGTCTGGAGATGCCCAGTCTCGGCTTTAACACCCCACTGTAGATGTCGTGGGGTGATGATACAGTCCGGGGAAGCCAATCACACCTCCACACCTCGGAAATCCCGGCGCTCCTCAATCGGTGGGCAGCTATGCTCACCCTCAGATTCAAAAGCCTACCAGGCATTAATGCAGATGCATGTTGATGGTGATCAAGAGGTTGACTACTCTAGATATGTATTACTAACGGACGAGGTGGGCGTCTACGGCACGTGGACGGGACACTTTCCTCATGATGTCGAGATGCAGAACATCTTAATTACTATATCATGAACGTACATGCCACCGGGCCCATGAGGTTGATTTGGCAGCCCTGAAAAGATAGTATCAGGCCATACAGCTCTCACCTTTATGTGATAGCTTTCCAGCGCAGAAAAATATTTCCATTCAATGACTTTTTTGTGTCAAATTCAAAAGGGCTATTCACTCATCCCACAGCACCATGGACCAGCTGCCACCATCCGGCAACGCAAGATCTGAGGTCCATTCAGCGACCGCCTTCTCGTCACTGATGATGCCTGTCTCGGGGTCCCTGCTAAAAACTGAAATCCTCCCCGGTGTCGAGTATTGGTTCCCCACCGCAATCAACGTCCCGTCTGCGCTCACGGAGAAACTGCGTGGCCACTTACCCCCGGATGCGGAGAGTTGAACGAGCCTCAGGCCGCCAGAGTCGAGGTCGACCTCGTACGTGACCAGCGTGTCGCTCGTCTCTCCCTGATATACACTTTGAGTGTCATTCCTCGAAGACACTATGAGGTGATTGCGCTCCGCAAGCGAAATCTCCGCGGGAATAGATATGTCGAGTCCGAGGCCCTCTCTGAAGCCGGTTTGGAAGATGCTGGCCTTGTAGATGGGTCTGAAGTCCAAATCGCCGGAGCTGTCGTGGTAAATGACCTCGAATCCGAATAGGGAGCTAGTCAGCTCGCCGAGCACATACAAGAAAGTCTTTCCGGCGTTGCCTTCCACGAAAACACCGTGCCGAGCACCGTTCGTCGAACTACCGGGGTCCAAAGGCTGGGGCCCGAGTTCAACTAACCGTCCGTCCCAGGTGCCGACTCTGTACTTCCGAATGACATCGGCGCCACGGTCGAAAGCAACAACAAACTGACCTGTGGGGTCAAAGGCGGTGCCATGATTGTAGGACTGGTTTTGGAGTGGCGGGTACTGTCCTGGCTGGAGGATATGCTCGTAATGGAATCGTTGCAGCTCGACCAGGTGGCTTGCGTTGCTTGTATCGATCACAGACAGACCTGCGCCGGCGTAGTGAGCCAAGGCCATGCGATGTGGCGCATACGTGTTCCCTGCTGCCGGCCCAAATAAAGTGGTGATGTTGCTGGTGACGCCGAGCGTCTCTGCGTTCAGCGCTGCAAGAGACCCGGCGTTTTGTAGGGTCTGTCGTACGAGTTAGAATTAGGGCTCATGCATCGTAGGGGTTTGGATGTTTGAATCTTCTAGACTCACGTAAGCTTCACTGAGGCACAATAGGACATTTCTGGATTTGTCCAACTCCATCCAGGCAGAGTTGTAGCCACAGCCGTTTGTCTCGGCGAGGAGGCTGAACGTGTATACACCTTCCTTCTCCTCGAGGGACAGGTGTGACACTGTTCCTCCGTAGTTTGCAGCGTACAAGCTTCGTGTTGTACTTGGCGTGGCAAACTTAAGCCATAGAATAGCGATCAATCGTCCAACTGGAGACATTCTCATCGAGATGCTCAGGTAGTCTGCTGGTAGACCTTCTAAAAGGTAGTTGTTGCGTTTGCGACCGTTCAGACTCTAGCCTATACTGATAAAAATCCGGTTTCGGTCATTGGACATATTTGGAAGACACCTGGGCAGGAGCCCAAAGGCTTTATAGAATAATCAATACGGGCATGCTGCTGAGCTGATTCCACATGCGTGGTCTCGGCATAAGCTGACTGTGGTAGTTGTGCTTTAGTGCCAGGTAACGGTGAGCAAGTGCCGAACATGATTCGCATGTTTTGGATCGTGATATGAGGACATGGATGAGCAATAAGTGATCTTCTTGACTCTGCTTCCATTACTAGCTCATAGTTCGCCGTCTTCTAAATACGCAACGCACGGGTGGTGAAGCTCGATGGAAGGGCATGCACATCTGTAGCGTAGACAAAAGACCAATCGAGCAACTATCAGTCACGCCTGTGAGCCATGATCCTTTTGCTTGGGCTAATATTGGTTCATACTATCAGAAAAGAGTTCCATCTCTGTTAAGGTGGTAGCCGGCTATGATAAACACCGCGCTCTAATGACAAGTTTGAGAAACGATCGTTGCCGTTTGCTTCATCAAGTAGTGTACCTGAACAGTGGCGACTTGGAACCCATGCCAATAAGCTCATCCTCGCTGTACATCGCCCGAATCTCCGCTTCAGACATCTTGGCCCTCTTCTTGTTGCTAAACACATAAGATGCCTCCAGACCCAGAGCAACCAGGACTCCAGACAGGCCAAAAGCAATCGCGAGGCCGAAGCCGGTGGGGTAGGCTGGCGCTTCGCTCTCCAGGTACATAAAACTTCCAATGATACCTCCCACGTTACCGATGCAGATAGCAAATGCAACACCGATAGCCCGCTGGCCGGCTGGCGCAAGGTTGTTGGCGTTCCATGAGCTACCAGACGGTTGGACGGGATAGATTCCAATGCATGCTAATATCGCGCTGAACATGGATGCCCCAACGTGTCCAGCAAGGTCGCCTTTGAATGAGATAATGATGCTGTAGGCAACTGCAATGAGCATCAGAGGGATGGCGACGAAGGGCATGCGCCAGTAGTAGTGATCGGAGAGCCGGGCGAAGACAAGAGCTGAAATGGCGCCGGCGATATAGGGAGGAGCCGTCATCAACTGAGCGTTGGTGTTGGTGAAGCCCATGGCCTTGGTGATCGAGGGAAGAGTGAACTTGTTGCCTGCCCTACATGTTAGCTAGAATCTCTGATGGTGGGTTCCGTTGGTCAACTTACCATAAGAGCAGGCAGAGATAGCCAAAAGAATGTAAGCTTGTCCGTAAACCCTTGGGTTGGTAATGACAGCCTTGAGCTCGCCCCAGTGGAATCGTTCTTTCTCTTCGCTGACGCGGCCACCTTGCTTGATGAAAGTCTGGAGCTCCAAGTACCTGATCTCTTCGGGGCTGAGCCACTTTCCAGAGAGCCGGGGTGAGTCGACCAGCAAGAAGAAAGTCATGACCCCAAGGACGATGGTCAGGATGCCTTCCAGGATGAAAATCCATTGCCACCCACTATATCCACCGACACCATCCATTTCCGCGATGCCGGCGGCGAGGAGGCCTGAGAAGGCCCCCGAGAGTGAGCTGGCGCAGTAGAAAATGGAAATTCTCGTCGCAAGTTCTTTAGGCATATCTAAAGAAAAGTTAGACCATGAGACACCCTGGGTTAGGAAACGAGGGATTCAAACCACGTACACCAAAATGTGCAGAGATACACAGCGCCTGGATAAAACCCAGCCTCAAGTGATCCCAATATCAGACGGAGGATCAAAAGGCCAGGGAAATTCTTTACGAAGCCGTGGCAGGTCATGACGATTCCCCATGATGTAACCAATATTCCAAGGTAAACTGACGGTCGGCTGAACTTCTTGAGCAAGACGTTGCTGGGAACCTCGAGGAGGACATAAGGGACGAAGAAGATAGAGTTGCAAATATTATACTGGACTCCAGAAAGGCCGAGGTCCTTGTCAAGGCCTTCGATCTTCGCGTTTCCTATGTTTGCCCGGTCGAGTTGAGAGATAAGGTATAGGCAAGCAAGCATCGGGACGAGGCGCCAGTCCTGTGAAAATTTGAACATCAGCAATCAAGTTCCCGTCGTGTTGCGAAAGTAACAGTCCAAAATGAATGGAGATCACTGACCACCTTGCTGACCAGCTTCGACCTTCTCTCCGGGGGGTACCTCTCGTAAAACTCAGCATCGTCATCGTTCAGGCCGAGAACATGAATGTTGGCGATGACCCGAGACGCGCTTTGCTTGTCCGGGCGATCGCCTTCTTCGATGCTGCGGTTGTCAACCATCGAAATATCTGGCTTGTCTGCCATCTTGAGATATGACGAAGGTTTCAAAGGCTGAGAGACAATTGGCCAGAACAAGGAAGATTTAAATGCAATCGGCAGCCTTGCTGAGAAGGCGATGGATGATGTGTTGAGCCTCGGATCAGCAGCAACCAATAACACGAGCGATGAAGCAGCGGTTGCAACTCGCGTGTCTAATATGAGGACAACAAGAGCGTGGCCGATAATCAAATTCGGTTCATGGGAACTTCAGAGTATTCTCTTTGGACTTATATCAAAGACTATCCATAACATTAGTTGCACATTACCAATCTCCTGGGCCCCCGAAGTAACGACAATGGTGAAATCCTGCGTGTTGGGACCCAGCCTTTCGGGTTCGCTTCCCTTGGCAGGGGGCCAAGCTTCTTCCCCGGACTGTTGTGGTGCGATGGGGTCGAACAACGCGGGGTCCCCGCATGAAAATATGGACCTCATTTCCGGATTCATGCAGACGGATATGCCTCTGATTCGACGACGCGCCTAGGCCCACGCGGGCTTGGACTTTTACGAAACCACCCAACACCAAAGCGGCTTAGGCCGGTCTTCCCCCACGGATTGCTCGCCAAGATAGCATGCACAGATGACCCGAGGAAAACCCATTCAAAGTCGTCGACTGCCACTCTTGACGATTTCCGCTCGTCGACGGAAAAGGACTTCGACTCGCGCCCACGCCCTTTCGGTACCCTGTTCGCGCGAAGCTCCTGGGTGGAGCGATGCCGCAATCGCCGCGGTGAGCCTACCGGACGGACGTTGCTGTCTCCTCGTCCGAAGATGTTGGGCGTACACCGCCGCAGCAGCCAGGAAGGCGATCCAGCAGCAGGAGGAGCAGCATCTGTCAACGCATCATCAGACCCACAGAGCGCACCCATGGTTGCGTCGCCCTCCTCGCTGTCTGTGTCCAGTACGCCCCTGCACGTCCTGGCCCACGCGTCCACACAGGAGCGGAAACGCAGCGTTTCCGTCTCTGCTGAACGGCCTGCGAAGCGGAAGATCGTAAAGGTGACACGAGCCTGTGATATCTGCAAGGTATGATACAATCCGGCGATCCCAGACCGTCGTCCCACACCTGGTCCGGCATAGGCCGAAGCTGACCCGCGAGTAAACCTAAAGGCCCGGAAGGCAAGATGCTCCGGAACTCTGCCCTGTGACAGCTGTGTCCAACGGGGCCGCTCCCGGGACTGTCATTATGATGCAAAGTATAGCCGAGGAAGGCCTGTGAGCCCGCCGAGAGTGCCCGATCGGCGAGACTCCTACTCCTCTGGTGAACGTGATGCAGTGGAAGGCAATGGCTATGGCCGCCAAGGCCTGGATGGTAGCAACGCCGGTGTGAACACACGCTTCCTCGCAGTCAATGCTCCGATGGAACCCAATCCCCAGTCAGAACAACGTGGAGGGAACGAAACCTCGGCGCCTTCGCGTGCGTCGCCCGAGCTGGAGGTTTCCGAAATCCAGGGCCAGTATCACGATACCACCTCAGGGCTCGCCTTTCTGCATCGAGCTTGCAGGCGATTGTCGAAAGAAGCGAGTGCGCATGCGGGCAGATACAATGCTCCTGTGCCAAGTCAGCCCGAGAATGAGGATAGCCCGACCCTGACAGTAGGCGACAAGCCCCTGGGCCGCGGCCGACAAGGCCATGTTGAATTTCCACCCCTCCAACTGGCACAGCAACTCGTACATCTATATTCAGATGTTTGCATGGCGACGTACCGATTCCTTCATTTACAAACTGTGGAGGGCTGGTTGGACGTCATGTCAAGCAACGACAGAGACGGGCTTCCTCTTCATCGTGGCGTTGGGAGGGCAAAGGCTGCCATAGTCCTGACCATGCTAGCTATTGCAAAGTCCCATGAGGACAAGGCCAGCGGGCGCTTCCAGATGGATGAAGAAGCTTCGATGGAGCATACCGACGCGTTGTTCTCCGATGCGTCCGCCCTTGTGCAGCAGGAGACAGCAAGCCCAACACTCGAGTCCGCGCAAGCTAGACTTATTCAAGTGCTGTATCTTCTCACAACGTCGCGGTTTAATCAGGCGTGGTACGTCTTTGGCACAGCCATCCAGCTCATATCAGCACTTGGACTCCATCGAAGAGCAGGACGAAAACCACGGGAGGTTCCTAAGGGGAATTATATCGAAATGCAGCTTCGCAAAAGAACATTCTGGAGCGCATATATCTTGGACAAATATCTTGGCGTCATCTTCGGCAGACCAAGACACTACAACGACGAGGATATCGACCAGGAGGCACCAGACAGCGTGAACGACGAGGACATGACTCCGACGGGCCCGATAGCATCACACCAACGTGGCAAGAAAGACTGCCATGTCGATGCCCTGATTTATCATTCCAGGATTGGGACTATCATCAGCGAAGCGGCCAGGACCGTGTACTCGATTAAACAGATATCACATAAGGAGCGCATAACGGCAGCCCACCGCCTCGGCAAAGACCTCCAACGGTGGCGGGAAAGCCTGCCTCCATACCTTGGCTCCATCCACCCGTCCAGCTTGATACCGACGTTCCGTCGGCAGTCGATCACACTTCGAATTGCCTACTGCCACGCGATCATGCACATCAACCGCCTGTTCCTCCTAGGCAAAGTCAGTTCTGGGAGCGAACCTCAGATACGTGAGGCTATCATCGCAGCAACGACCGTGCTCGAGACCGTGGACGAAATGGTGAACGAGCAGGGAACGATCTTTCACGCGTTCTGGTGGACACATTACGTCGCCTTCTGTGCCCTGGCAATAGTGTACGCCTGGGAAGTCCAGAGCCGGAAGACGCAGCCAAACGTGGCTCTCGACGCCGGGATCTCCCACTCAGAGCTGATGGCACTGGCTGAAAAATGCCACAAACACCTCGCGCAGGCTACGGCATCCAATTCGCCCAGCCGAAGGTACAGCCTGATCTTGGAGAAGTTGCGAAGAGAGGCGATACGGGGAAACATGACGAGGCATGCCCCTTCGGCGAACGTCCGTAGGGAGACGGAGGAGGGGGCCGAGATAAGAGGGACCCCTGTGCATTCACATGCGACCCCTGGCCAGACGCAAGAAGCGCCATTTCCCAGTCCAGCAAGTCGCCCTCAGAGTGCGATGGAGCTGAACTCCACGCCGCAGAATGGCTTTGGGGCCACGTTTGAAGAAATGAACTGGTCATTACACGAGTGGCAAAGCGAGGACTGGTTGAACTTAGACTCAATGGTAAGTGAGCCGCCAGTGTGAAGCATCTTTGTGACCCATGCTGACGTGATTAATAGGCATTCGGTACTTTCTCGGAGAGCTATGATGCCCCGTTCGTGTGGAATACGGAAACAACCATGTAGCCTCTATCGCACCAGAGCCAATCCTTAAGCAAATGTTTGTTTTTTGCGCAAAATTCTTGTCTATAATCTATTGACAAAAGTAAGAATACATGCGTCCTGACAAGGCACTACACGTTGAATTTGGTCAAGTTCTCCGGACCCGCGTCCCTGGCGATCTTCTTGACCTCGCTCTCCCCGATCTCCTCGAAAATGTCATAGCCCCACCTCGACTGCACATTGAAACGCTTGTGCCTCTCCAACGCGGTGACCTTCTGGAAGACCTCATCGGGAAGCTTCACCACTTTGAGGTTCGACTCGATCCGGCTGGGCGTTACGCTCTTGCTCAAGACAACAGTGCCCCTCTGGATGCCCCACGAGAGGACGAGCTGGGCGGCATCGAGGCCCTGCTGGCTAGCCAGCTCTTTCACTCCCGCATCGTCCACCACCTTGGGCTCGCCGGTCTGGTTGTTACCCAGCGGCGAGTATGCCTCGATGAGGATGTTCTTTGACTTGCAGAACTCCACGAGCTCGGGCTGTTGCAGGTACGGGTGGGCCTCGATCTGGTTCACTGCGGGGACAACCTTTGTCTTGGCGATCAGGTCCTTCAGCTTGTTGACCGTGAAGTTGCAGACGCCTATTGCGCGCACTTTCCCAGTGTCTAGCAGTTTCTCCAGCGCGGCATATGTGGCGGCTGGGTCGATATCTGCGAGCTTGAACACGCCTTGCTCGTCGATGGGGAACCATTTGTCGCTGGACTCGAATGCACTGCAGCATACAATTGTTAGAATACAGACCCGCGCTGCAGCCGGTATTTTGAATTTCGCAACTTACACTGGCCAGTGTATCAGGAAGAGATCCAGGTAATCTGTCCCCAGATCCTTCAGTGTCTTGTCGAGGGCGCCCTCGACATCTTTGGGGTCATGTTTCGTGTTCCAGAGCTTCCCCGTAATAAAGATGTCGGAGCGAGGGACGCCGCTCTGTCGAATGCCCTCTCCCACGGCTGCCTCGTTGCGGTAGATGGCTGCAGCGTCTATGTGGCGGTAGCCGGTCTTGAGGGCTGTCTTGACCGCCTGCACGACCTCATCATTTGGTGCTTGCCATGTGCCAAATCCCACAGCGGGGATCTTGGCACCCGTGTTGAGGGTGAAATGCGTGGGGAGAGACATTGTGTATGAGTTGGTGCGAGATGGTTGCAGTTGGGGGCGGCCTGGGCGTCAAATTGGGGGAGAGATGCCTCGGATTGGCTCGGAAAGCTGCCAGAATCGCAGGATCGTGGAAACTACCCCAGCCCTCTTTAATCAAGGCAGCTTATCCAAGAATTGCGTTTATTCCTCAGCGATTTTCTTTTGCAAATTCCTTGCCGATCATTCCCCGGAACAAATCCCAAGTTCAGTTTCGGAAATGCTGTCCCGCCCGCTGCTTTTCCGGGTTCCCAAATCGGACAAGCACCAGACGAAGTGGGCCGTAGCCGGATACTTGTTCCATTGGCCACACATCTCACTACCACCAGCAACTACTGCGTAGACAGTGATCCACCACGGAAACCCAATCGGCACTGCAATGTCTCCCGGTCATGAAGTTACCCTTATCGACAATATCCGAATAGCTCATGTGTTGCTAGCATTCAATGAGCTGAGTTCATATAGCTCCACCCGCTTGGTGACAGAGCATGAACATTACTCAACGATCAGAAACGCACTCAACTGGACTGGACTACATCTTGGCATAGTCCGCATAATACTTCAAAACACATCCGCCAGTAGCTCATACACTCAGTCGCCGAGTACACAAGGGCAGCTAGCAGACGTCTTTACCAAGCTGCTCAGTCATCATGGCTCCTGCAGCAACTGTGTCAACCATCTGGAGGCCAGACGAGCCACTGTCCGTAGGCACCGAGAAGGACGCCGTCGGTGTCCAGCATGTTGAGCAGGCCGAAGACGACTCAACACTAAGAACGGTGGATGAAGTCCTAAGGCGGCGGGCCAGAACAGATCCAGATTTACCAGTCGTGTCCTACCCGTCCTCAGGCATCGAGTATGTCGACTACACCTTCCAGCAGCTCGATGTCTTCGCCTACCGGGTGGGGAAGCAGCTCCAGGCCGCGATCCCATCCAGGACGAGCTCCAAGGAGAAGCGGACCGTCGTCGCCATGCTCGGCCCGTCGAACCTCGAATATCTGGTAACGATGATGGGTCTGTTCAAGCTCGGCCACACAGTATTGTTCCTGTCCACCAGGATATCGGTCCCTGCCATCGAGTCATTGATCACATCCACCGGTGCGACATACCTGATCGCGGACCCTCGGTATCTCGAGTCCTCTCTGGCTACAAAGGAGCAAGTCCCGGGGCTCCAAGTCCTCGACATGCCCACGAGGACCAACTTCGAGTTCCCGATCGATGCTGTGGGAGACACACAGCTCGACGCCGCTCTCGATCCGAGTGTAGAGACAAACCAGATTGTTTACATCATTCACTCAAGCGGTATGAATGCCAAAAAAGAGACTGTCTCTTCGCTTTCGTGCCTTGCAACTAACAGTGTTTTAGGCTCAACTGGCTTACCGAAGGCCATCTACCAGAAACAAAATGCAGCGCTGTCCAACTTTTCGGGCAACATGAACATGAAAGCGTTTATCACGCTGCCATTATACCACAATCACGGAATCTGCAACCTCTACCGGGCGGTCTGGTCCAAGAAGGCCATTCACCTGTACAATGCTGACCTCCCTTTGACGTGCAACTATCTCATCAAGATTTTGAAGGCCCACGACTTTGAAATATTCTATGGCGTGCCCTACGCACTAAAGCTACTCGCTGAGGCTGATGAAGGCCTGTCACTTCTCGCTCAGCTCAAGATTGTCATGTACGGCGGCTCAGCTTGTCCTGATGATTTGGGGGACTTATTGGTAGACCACGGAGTGAACCTGGTTAGCCACTACGGAGCGTGAGTAAACCAATCTGTTCTTATAAGAATGCACAATGCTAACTGATCCTCAACAGAACTGAAGTGGGCCAACTCATGACATCCTTCCGACAGCCTGGGGATAAAGCCTGGAATTACGTGCGGGAGCATGACAAGCTGAAGCCCTACCTTCGGTGGATTCCCCAAGGGCCTAATTTATACGAGTGCTGTGTCCTGCCGGGTTGGCCGGCAAAGACTGCCACGAACATGGACGATGGTTCTTACCGCACAAAAGACCTTTTCGAGCCTCATCCAACTACTCCTGGTGCATGGAAGTACATCGCTCGCCAGGATGACACAATTGTTTTGGTCAACGGCGAAAAGTTCAACCCCGTTGTCACCGAGGGCAAGATTCGGTCCAGCAAGCTGGTCACCGAGGCCGTTCTCTTTGGAGCCCAGCAACCATATCTGGGTGTCCTGGTCGTCCCGTCGCCGGCGGCAGCTCTCAACAAAGCACCAGCTGAGATTCTCGATCTGGTGTGGCCGGTGGTCGAGGCAGCTCAGGAGTCAAACGATGCATTCGCCAAGCTCTCCAGGGAGATGGTTGTCATCCTCCCGTACGATGTCGACTACCCACGCACGGACAAAGGCAGTCTCATTCGCCAGGCTTTCTACAGAGTCTTTGCCAAAGAAATCGAACTCGCTTACGAAATCTCGTCATCGACGAACGAGAACGCGCAGGAGTATTCCGAGCCCGAGCTCCGCGACTTCCTAAGGGGAATGGTCACAAAGGCGCTGCCGCAAGGAATGAGCTTCACAGACGAGACTGACTTCTTTTCTCTGGGACTGGACTCACTCCAATCCATTCAAATCCGAGCAGAAATACTGAGGTCCGTGAAGACGGCCAACAAGCTGACACAGAATGTGGTGTTCGATCACCCTTCTATCGGCAAATTGGCCGCATATCTGTCAGGCTCATCAACACAGACCAGCATTGAGGACGAGATTTCGTCCTTGGTTGAAAAGTACTCAACATTCTCCACGCCGAAAGCCAAGTCAGGCAAGTTTGTCGCTGTTACCGGCTCGACCGGCTCTCTTGGAGCGCACATTGTTGCCCAACTGGTGCAGGATCCCTCGATAGACCGCATTTACTGCTTCGTCCGAGCTCAAGATGAATCGAGCGCAACCAATCGCACGGCAGAGTCTTTGATCTCTCGCAAGCTGTATCACAGCCTACCGCTCCAGCTACGCAGAAAGGTCATTTCCCTGCCCGTAGACCTCTCAAAGCCCGACCTGGGACTGCCGGAGTCGACATACCGCGAGATCACCTCAAGTCTGAGGACAGTCATCCACGCCGCCTGGTCCGTCAACTTCAACATCCGCCTCTCGTCCTTCGAGAAGGACAACATCGCTGGTGTGCGCCACCTGATCGACCTGTGCCAGTCGGGAGGCGCCTCGTTCAACTTCTGCTCCTCGGTGAGCACAGTTTCCAGACACCCGGACGAACAAGGCCCGGTCCCCGAGTCCCTGCCCGACGCCAGGTGGGCACAGGGCATGGGCTACGCGCAGTCCAAGTCCGTCGCCGAGGCCATCTGCTCCCGGGCTGCGGCGCAGGCCGGCATCCCGGTGCGGGTGTTGAGGATTGGCCAGATCGTCGCAGATACGACGCATGGCGTGTGGAACGCCACCGAGGCAGTTCCGCTGATGCTGCAGAGCGCTCTCACAATCGGCGCGCTTCCCCGCCTCTCAGAAACACCATCTTGGTTGCCCGTCGACACTGTCGCAAAGGGTGTCACCGAGATCGCGCTCTCGGACGCAGACAACAAAGCAGCTACTGGTGCATTGTTCGCAAACGTCGTAAACCACCGCACCTTCAGCTGGACCAATGACCTGCTCCCTGCACTTCGCAATGCCGGCCTGGAATTCGAGGAGGTCGAGCCGAAGGAGTGGGTCAGGAGGCTCAGGGAATCTAACCCAGACCCCGTCGTGAACCCACCCATCAAGCTGGTCGACTTTTTCGCCAGCAAGTACGACCGCGACGAGTTCTCCCCCTCGAAGGAGTACGTCACCGACACAGCTCGCTCATTGTCACGGAGCCTGGAGAACGCACCACTCCTGGACAGTGACTTCGCCAAGAAGTTCGTGGACCAGTTCTGCCGGACGTCCTGGAGACCATCGACCGCATCCAAAGCCGCCGAGCCAGCTTCAGCTGCCAAGCGCGTTATAATCGTCACCGGGCCGTGTGGCAGCGGGAAGACGACCTTGGCCACCGCGCTGGCGAGCGAGCCGCTCGGCGCCCCCTTCATCGAAGGTGACTCGCTCCACAGCAAAGACGCCGTCGACCGCATGCACGCCGGCCAGCCACTCTCTGACGAGCACAGGAAGCCGTGGCTCGACCGCCTCGTACGCCGGGCACACGAGGAGCTCTTTGAGCTAGGCTACGACACGGTGGTCGTCAGCTGTTCGGGGCTGAAGCGGTCGTACCGCGATCAGATCCGACAGATCGGCGCGGGAGGCAAGGCCAAGGTGGTGTTTTTGGACTTGCAGTGCGCCCCTGAGACATTGATTGGGAGGCTGCAGGAGAGGAAGGGGCACTACATGAAGGCTGAGATGGTTCAGAGCCAACTTAGGGACCAGGAGGGTGTAGCGACGGATGAGGTTGATGTGTTTCCGATTGACGCCGAGGGTGCACTGGAGGGTATTTTGCAAGAGGCTACCTGGGCTTTGGAGCGGATTTCATAAACTACACGATATTTCTGTTTCATTGGTTTCGTTCAGACGGAGTATTAGGCAGCATAATGGCAGCATCTTTCTAGACCGAATCACACAATTCGAATTGAAGTTTGTTCATTGCTCATTGCTTTGTGACAAGCTACGCCACGGGTAAGAAACACTTTGTTTACTTCGAATTAAACTCAGTTATATAGCTGGAGCATATTCAAATACGGCGATGGGTTCAAATTATGAGATAGAATATTTTTTCAATTCCATCCCATCTGTTGGGCTTTTGGATGTCATACCAGGCCCTCGTCTAGGCCATCAACACAATGCCAAACCCCACCCAGCCTGCGTAAGATGAGAAAAGGAGTGACATGGCTGGCTTTGTTCTCAAAGACATTATTCAGCCATTGTGGCCGACAAAAGAATATCACAAAGCGAGGTTGCAGGCAATGTTTCATTGTTATGATCCACCAAGGATGATGTCTCCCAATTTCAGGGTTACAAGAATATTCTTGAACGCCACCAGGGGGCAGTCAACTTTTACTGAACCTCAACCCAAAAGTACTTGTCCCCAGAGTCATGCATCCATAGGGTAGTAACGTCTGGCTATCAACTTGAACATTTCATCGTATTTTGTGTGGGGGAATGGCACGGGAGAATGTGATTGTACAATGTGTAGCCTTTGAGATACGACAAAAAATGGATAGCTCAAGTATGGCTTCCGGCCAGTGACAGTAGCCAGCAGGGCTGTAGAAGGTAATCTTGGTTACAATCTCAGAGACTAAAAGATATGAGCTTCAGAAATAAAAATTTTTGAGATCCCCAGTTTCTTCTTGTATCAAACAAGAGTGCAGAAGAATACATCAGAAGCATTGCGTGACATCCTCAAATTTCGTTCTCCCCAAATCTGTCCCCCTCAACATAAGCTTGCACCAGACTGTCTCAGAATCACAGCACGGCTATTGCTAAGACGGTCTCAGCTCCCAGAGATTGCCTCGCCATAATGTCTACACACGTGGCCATGTTGAATCATCACTGTGCTGGTAGGAAGCAGTCCGGCAATGACATACGATTCGATGTCCCTCGTGGTTTCTATTGCAAGAAACAGCACATATATTGCGCAACTCAAAATCTGCAGCACTTGAAAAATAAAGACTGCATGGATTGCGGTCCGACGCTACCAAAAGGAAATCGAAATGATGAGACTGACGGAAAGGAAAAAGCGGCCAAGACATCAAAGCAAAGTCCAAAAGACGAAGAGAAATGGATGGACTGTTGGACTCTTCTAGAAAAGTACTGCGAGTTTTACGCCCTCGACTAAGCAGGCGGCCATTTTCGGTGCACACAAGAGAATTGGGAGGAAAATGAAGATTAGGAGACTAGGTTAAATTTCACAAGAAATGAGGACTTGTTATGTTGGGAATGATCTACTCAATCAGGAGAGCCAAACAGGATTGAGATATCACTTTCTCTCGTTATGACCTTAGATGGCCGTTGTTACAATATGTTCGTTGCACCATAATAAGATACAGTAGAAGAAGATTTTAAAGACTTTGTATCAAATCCACGTTCCCGCATTCCCAATTTGCTCGTAATGCGCCGTGGTCCCTTGTTGTGGACTGCGGTGGAAGATGTCGTTGCAGATAAAGCTCGGAAGCATGCGGGTATAAAATACCTCCTCGGGTTCGAGACATTCGAAGCAGAATGAAAGCTGTTTATCGGAAGTTGCCGCTGCCGTTGCAGCGAGACAGGGGGATGGAGCTCTGCTTCTTGATGCAGGCAGTGATGGCGCCACCGACCCAGGTGACACCCTCGTAGGAGCCCTCCTCGTGAGAATCGGCCATGAAGGTGCCGGTCTGCTTGAGGGCGCCGACACAGCCCTGGAAGGTACGGCCGTACTTGCGGTTGGTCCAGGGGCGAGTGATAACGACACCAGTGTAGCCAGCGTCGACAGTGCCGCGGATGAGGTAACCCTGGGTGGTGGTCCAAGTGCGCGTGTAGTCGACCTTGAAGGTGAGACCGAGCTTCTTAACCAGCGTGCTCATATCGAAAGAGCCACCGGCGGTGACGCCATTGGAAATGGCGTACGACTTGGAGATGGTGATGTCGATGCCCTTGCTGCCGCTACCGATGACCACGGGGGACATCTGCACGTCCCAGTCGACGAAACGCTGCTGCCTGTCAACGACGAACTGGTAGTTGGCGTTGCAGTCACGCTTGCCGAGCGCAATGTCGGTGTGGTTGACAGGGATCTCAGCAAGACCCTCGCCAGCCTTAATGTAGTCGTGGTCGATCTCAGGAGTCTCGGCCTCGACGCCCTCAACCTTCAGGAGGAGCTTCCAGGTAGCTTCAGTAATGATGGCAGCTACACAAATGAACCAAAGTCAGTAAATCTCGATTATTTTGACTTCTTGAGGTGGACTCACTGCGGCCACCACTTCCGAAGACAATCATCTCTCCATTACGGAGGTCTCGGTCGAGGGTCTCAGTAATGTTGAGGGCGGCATCGCTGTCGTCGATAACGGGGGCTGGGGCGGCGCTGACTGCAGCAGCGAAAGCCGAGAGGAGGGTGATAAACCGAACAGAGACCATGATGTTCTAAAAAGACCGAAGATGTCAAGCAAGAGAGCATTGAGTGGATGAGGTTGAGAGTGATGAGAAGTAGGTCCTATCCGGTGGCATCCTCAAGAGTCTTTATAGATATTCGAACGAGCGCCATGACTTGGTGTTTCCAGCTTATAAGATAAGCTCAAGCTTCAACCGTCACATAATCACATCAATGATCAGCAAAGTGGCACGCACGCCCGCCAGCCGCCGTCTGGTTCGTCTGGAGGCACGATTGCGTTCATCCGGAGGTCGGTGGCTAGTGGGGCACGTTCCCATCAAGCATGTTCCTGCAGAACGGCTAACCCCGGACCTTGTCCGTTAGGTGGAGCGGACCAAGCATATTTGAGATCTGTTCCTGGTATATTCAGAGCCGATCTTCTCGATACCCCGTCCCGATCACCTATCCTCGACAACATGTACGGTACGCCTTCATTGTGGCCCGACTCAGGAAGGATCAATTTCGTGTCGCCGTTCCTGAATTGAGCTTAGCAGCCCCCGTGCCACACGACTCAGCAACCGTCACGAAAGTCACTTGATGGTTCATCAACCTTCTTGAGATGGAGGCTTGACAAATTTCCAACGTGACACCTCGCTGGACATCACCCACAAATGGCACTAAGATTGCGGAACTTGACGTCGCGATGAAGGAGTAAGATTTTCCATAGATACTATCCAATAGATTGCCCACGCCTCAAAGGGAAAGGGGAGAGGTCAGAGTGATTATTACGAGATATCATTATCAGGCTGCTTGGGCAAACACTTTTTGGTTTTATCCCTTACTTCCCAATCCGAAAATCTACTTCAAGAATCGGTTTCGCCGTCCCGTTCACCTCAATTCAGACCACTCGTTGATCTTCTTGTCCACATCATCCTTTCCACTTGACTCAGTCCTCCAGTCTTCACACAAGGCTCTACCTTTGGATCCCCAACCAACAGCCAAAATGCAGATCTCCACGCTCGCCACTTTGACGGTTCTGACCACCGTGTATGCTACACCTCTACTTGATATTCAACATGGTTCACAAATGTACTGACTTGACTCCAGTGCGTTCGCCAAGCTCCACAGCGCGGCTGTTTGCGTCCAGAACAGATCGTACGGCAGCACTGGCAACGGCACACCTTATGGCATCACGTACGGTTCTTTCAAGGAGTACGAAATTGACGGTGAGGCCACAAAATGTGCCTGCGGGTACTACAAGAACCGCAACACTGGCAACAAGCAATGGGACAAGTGCCCTGATTGCACTTTCGATGGTCTCCAGTGTCTCTCCAATGGCTGGCATATCGGTGGCGATGAGGTACGTCGTAACCCAGCTTTCAATCGTCTAGGATGAATCACTGATCAATCTTTTGCTTCAGATGACATACTACTGCGAGAAGAAGTGCGGCGCTCAGGGAGCTGAGGCCAACTAATAAATTGAAACTACGGGCGAAATTATCATGGCAAACGTTTTTTTTGGATGCAGATATATGATGCGATAGTGTAAAGGATTTCTTTTCTGGACGTAGATATTCATTTCTACTGTATTTACGTTGACGAAACAACCACTTGCTGTACAACTACCCCTTCGTCCCAACCTTTTGAGTTTTCATTGTGCTTTATGTTGGCGCATAACTTAGAGTTATTCTTGCCGCACAAACCAACTTCTAAATGTCGTCATCACGGCTATTTCTCTTGCAGCCGGTATATTTGGCAAAAGGCAACAGATAACTCGACAGTCGCAATGGCGCCGGCATTTCTTCCCGAACTCTATTTGCTACGACGACTTCAGGCTACTTCTTTCTTTATTTTTGACAACAAAATGTACTGCTGTTCTAGATTGTTGCATTTCACAGTCTCACATCTGAAGTCTCGTCGTCGACACTTCGTCCTGTAGCCGGAAGAGAGCTACACCACAATTACCCGTTTAATGTTGCGAGGGTGTGCACGCAGCTACAGTGGCCAAGACATGCCACTTCTGCCCAGAAGAGGATCCGTGGGGTTGGGACACCCGGTGATAGGAGACTGGCCTTTGAAGCTCATCCCCACTGTTCATCTTGCCCACGTGCCCATCTACACCTTTGCAGGGATTCTAAACGTTAAATTAACCTTTCATATTCCACGTGCCTCAATACCACTCTCTTGACAAAGTGGAACAAGTGGCAATTTGATCAAATGTTGACATTAGCTGAAAAGCAGTCCGGCAACAATGACTCAGTGAGGATGCTGCCTGTTTCTGCTAACGTACCCTCGAGAGTAAATCACAAAGAGGAAGACATTCTTTGGTACACTAGTCATGCACTGGGGAACGGTGTTTGGGCGCGGGTCCAACGGCCCATTAGTTACAAGGCAACTTCCGCCTTGCCCTAGAGCACCTTGCACGGCCTGTGTTAACGTCCGGATAAACGGCAGTCAGGGTTTCAGGCATACCCAATGTCTACCATTCTAATGAGCTCGATTGGATTCAACTGCTCTCCGGAGGAGCCCTCCGCCGAATCTTCTCATAGGGATGCTGATTGCACATGGGGTCCGTCCCATAGTTGCCCTGATTTCGTAAATAGCCTCAGCCCCATGAGACCTCACGCGATTAGTGCGGCTGTTGGGCTGACACTCTGAAAATTTTAATTTTATTAGTTCGGCGCCAACCGAGAAGAAGAGGGTACTGCAGATAAACAACCAATCCAAACCAACTTGATAGCGAGGGAAAGTGGATTCCGGAATCCACCCAATAAAATCATTGCTTGTAAAGTGGAGGACTTCGGCCCCAAAGTACACGTGTAGATCTAGCGTCCTGGGCCAAGGGGGATCTGGAGCAACGATGGGATCAGCGCCACCGCCAAAGCAAGTCTGTCAATTCACCAACGCAATCGAATACCCTGCAGCCGGCGATATCCGTTAGGGTTAGGAACACCGCGGTGATATGGGTGGTTTTCCCCAAACGGAGCTGAAAACATCCAGCAACTGGACGAATCGACAGCAATATCAGGTGAATGAGATTATTAAAGAGGTTGAGGAGACGGCTTTGTTAATAAATATGCATTATAAACTTGGTTATCATGGTGCTAGCTATTCAGCATTAGCGCAAATAAGAGGAGAGCAGGGGGATGTGAGGGCTTTGATGCTTAAGAGCCTCAGCTATGGCAGGAAATGGAATAAGATTTAGCTGTTAAAGTTACAGTAGACAGGCTTTGGAGATAAGAACGTTGCATGCTGGGAGACCGGAGAATGGTTGTCCAGGAGGCTTGAGCCGGCTACGCATAAGATGCCCAGAAAGAAGACCCGGGGTGTGAGTTGAAGCCAGCGTCCTTGGTGAAAGATCCCTAGTCCTTAGTTCGAGAGGGAAAAATACGAACCCATCAATTCCTCGATGCTCCGCTTTTGCATGAAATCTTCCCAAGTCTCAGGCTTGATATCCGGGTATTTGTGGTTATCAGTCTCAAGACCAACGAAGGTCTGGCCATTAAGCCAGTAATGATAGAAGAATCCCCAAGGTTGTCAGAAAACTGCTTCTTTTTTTTTAAAAAAAAAAAACAATTTCACATGGTGACCTCACAGGAACATGTAGCTGAAGACTTCGCTTGGGTTCTCGGACCAGAGCGCATGCATCCAAGCTTTCAGATCTTCAAGCGAAACTTGACGCTCTAGCTGTGGCTCAATACCATAGATCTTCTTAAAGGATGCTGCGATATCCTTGATCATCTTCCTATCGCCCAAGACTATAAGAGTTTCAGCAACTGATCACATCCAACCAATAACAGTTCGTCGGAGAAAACCTAGCCGCATTTTCGTAGGAGGTCCCCAAGGCTCAGTCCCCTCGCCCCAGTACTTGATGACGTTGTTTGGGCATCTAAGATGTTGAATAGTGGACTAAAAACATGGTTCATGAGACCGCCGACCAGGGTGTGCACACCTTTCACTTTCTCGTTAGTCTCCAGGTATGCGTTGACATGTTTCATCGGGTCCTTGACGAACAGCTGTCCAAACTCAAGCTTGGTATAATTGAGAGTCCAGTCGCTTGCGATGTATCTAAGCACACCCTCTGCTTCACACGCGTCGATGCGTGCCTTTTGTCATCGATCATCAATTTGTCGTCGCCGAGGTAAGAGCAGATTATAACGTCGCTGCGTGCCTGGGCGCTACGTTGATCCACTCAGCATGGCATTTCCGTCATTCCAAAAAGTGTCATGCCGGACAGATTGAGTGAGAACGTTGCCAGAGCGGGACTCAACTTGACAAATGAGGAGATTCATAGTATCAGCAGCCTATATAAGGTTATTCGCTTCAACGATCCCTTTGGTGTAGGTGATATTTTATTTCTCAACGGTATCATATATATATGTGCGCAAGGTTAAGTCTAAGGTCGCTCACAGGACAAGGTAGGGTACAGTCCACATACTTCTTCTAAAGCGCCTTGTCTTTGGCATAGACACTGGTCTCTAGCCAGGTCGACAAGTTCTGTAGTCCTGGATGTGTCTGCTTCAGCTTCGTCAGATCCGCCCCGTAACCTTCTCTCTCAAAGAATGCGAACATGGTGCCCATTTCCTTCGAAATCCATAGAACAAGTCTCGCCAGGAAGTTGAAGGTCAATAGAGGCGCCGACCCAGTCTTTCTCTTGAACATGTCAACCATCTCTTCGTACTTCAACTCGTCACCAGCAAGGCTGATCGCCTGACCGTTGTAGGTCTCGGGCTCCATGAAAGCCTTTGCCCCGAAGAAGCCGATATCATCTGTGGCGATGAGCTGAAGTGGTCTCTTGACCACTAGTTTCCACGATGTAGCGAAGACCTTGCCGACGAAGCCACCGTCGAAGTTCTCCATGAAAGCTGCAGGACGCAAAATGGTCCAGTTCATGCCCTGGACCTTGGACTTGCTAACCAGGTGTCTCTCGACATGGTGTTTGCTGATAAAGTGTGGAATATCGGTCGCATTGTCGGACGATCGGGAGCCGCCGCGGTCGACGGAGGAGTAGACGAAATGCTTGACACCATTCTTCAATGCGGCATCAACGAGTGCTTTGCCCTGTCTCTCCTCGATGATGGGGCCCTTGCTATTAAAGGCAGGTATCTCAGGAATTGAGTCAGCACGATCCGAATCAGTTTTCTGAAGAACAGTTCGGCTCCTCGGCATCTCTCACCTGGACGCTGTAGACTCCCCAGATGGGTGTGCTACTGGCGGCTTTGGCGGCTTTGAAGATCGAGTCGCAGTCATCGAGGTTGCCTTGGACAAGTTTGATGTTGGAGAACTTGCCAGCCAGACGTTGTGCTGATGGTGAGGCAGTATCGCGGGTTACCGCAAGGACTTCAAAATCGGCCTTAGCAGCAAGGAGGGCCTTGATGACGGCACCTCCCTGCTTGCCAGTGGCACCAGTGATAAGAAGTGCTCGAGACATGGTTGGACAGAGAGACTGAAGACTCAGAATTATGACGACAGCAGGATAATCTTGATATACCAGCAAAGGGATAGCGAATTCCAATCGATCCATCTGCTTCTCGCGTGGGAAGGGATGCATAGGTATGTAAGGCACCAAAGATCAACCTCGCGCAACTCGCGGCCAACTTTCGATGACGAATCAAATTTGACTAAGCATTCAATACCATTCAGTACTAGGGTCGATTGCTTCGGATTAGATGGTACTGATCGCGCCAGGGAGGGAGCTTTACCAACCTCAGGCCTTCGAAAGACCACCTTCGGCATTAGTCAGTCGGACACCGGCGCTGAGGACGCATGTGAGATGAGCATCCACACCGGCTAAGTAAGCGTGGACAATGTCGGACAGCGCGGTGCCGGGCCAGGCCAGCGTCGGCCATGGCGCCAATGAATCAGCGACGGAAAGAGACTGGTCAGTGGCCGGGTGGACGTCCGAGCGCCTCTTTCGATGACCCATTACGGGCGATTGGTCGGTGTAGGAAATTCTCGGCTTACAAATAAGAAGCCTATTCTTGAGATGCATCAAAAGTCTGCGCTTGATATTGCGTATAAATGTGTAACTGCTCATAGCGTTTGCTAGTCAGAAGCAGCATCGACCTTACACCATTTGATGCCTACGTCAGATTGCTCCTCGACATAAGACACAGACATAGCTCTTACCATTGGAATCGCCGGTATCATTGCGCGCGTAGACCTTCTGTAATTGTAAACCCATTCCTCCTGATGAACGCCAAGTATTATCGAAGACCTTACCTAAGTACTAAAGCACACGGCAATGATCCAAACTTGCATCACAAGACCCGCCACCTTACTGCCTGTAACCTGGTAGAAGAGCTCCAAAGACGGTAGTGCGGACGTGGCGACTCTATCCGCGTCTTCCATCACATTCGAGAAGAAATATGGCGAAGAATCCAAGAATCAAACTGTCGTTCATAATGATTGAGGCCCCTTTGTTCGAATGAGCTAGTTCCTCATCTAGATGGGTAGCTGCATCAGTTCCAACATAAGCGTGCCTTTTGCAAGGGAATGAGGAAAGCATCAGCATTCTAATCTTGCATTTAACAATTGAAAACAGCCCCGGGGAGGAAGTACGAAGCGGCGCCGTAGCGGCCACACCTCGAAGGAGCAGATTGGAACATCAGAAGGGAGGGCAAAGGAATGACTGGACAGGAACATGAATCAACGGTCAGTAGTTCTCTATTTCAATATACGACTTTCTCGCACCACACGCTCTGCGCCTACGCTGCGTGCACCTATTCGCTCTACCCGTGACCTCCAACTTGACAACACGGCATAATACCGCATTGGTTTACACAAAGATAGTTGCCATCCAGTAATCTCGATTACGTTCGAGCCCTCGAGCTGCGTTTGAGACTCAGAAGCCTTCTAGGTTTAGAATTTCTCTGTGTAAGGTCGGAGATCGATCTCGTGCGTGAAAGCAGAGCGGCCTTGACTATGCAAGTACGAGTAACTTTCGGCAATCTTTTAGATTCGCCATCAGCAATGACGACAACAAATACGAATATCACTCAATACTCACCGCTTCGGTGCTGATTCGCCCATCCTCCACATCATTGTTCAACCCCAGCTTCTTGGCGGATGGGGTGTCAACGATTCCGTCAACGATGACATGTGCCACGTGAATGCCCTCTGGGCTGAATTCCTTAGCAATCAACTGGCTCAATGCACGCAGCGCGAACTTCCCGGCAGCGAAGGACGCGAAATTAGCAGATGCCTTGGTCGAAGCCGTAGCACCGGTTGCTATGAGGGTAGGCGGGTGGTTGGATTCTCCGACTGACTGGAGAAGCAGCGGAGTAGTCTGTTGGGCAAAGTTGAAGAAGCCACGCCTAAGCTCATTAGTCACTTGCTCCAAACGCACAAAGTCTGTAGGGTTACACTTACGCCGTTCCGTCCAGCCCGAGTTCCAGCTCTTCTTGCTTGATATCCAGGAAAGGTTTCATCACGAAGCCGCTGTTGACGTTATAAATGGCCGCAGCCAGCTTGCTGCCTTTTATTTCCTTTTGGATAGTTTCAAATGCGGAGCGCATAGCATCAGGGCGCGAGACATCGGCGGCGACACCGATAGCCTTTCCGCCGGATGCTTTGATCTCATCTACTAAGCTGCTGTAACTGTCTGCATTGCGAGCCACGAGCACGACCGGATACGTCCTCGCGAATCGCAGGGCGGTGGCCCTTCCTGCGCTGGTCAGTCTCAGCTTGGGATCACGAGTCTAAAGGTGTTCTTACCAATGCCGGAGCCGACTCCAGCAATGAGGGCGTAGAACGACGGAGAGGACATGGCGATACGTTGATGAAGGTGGGAGATGGAGAACGTTGGTAGCTCAGAAAATACGGCCAAGGACAGATTTTGTAGCAGCCAGCGAACAACCGGCTAGTGTGCCCATATATCCCCAGGGCGTAACTCAGATACGGATTTGGTTTAGTAGGGAGAGCTGGCGCATCGACTCTGCATGAGAAGATATTGCCATGAACACCGAACCACAAATCAAGAAGATAACATAACCAAGATTACCAGCTAGCTGGAAGGTGTAGAGCCAAGATTACCAGCTAGCTGGAAGGTGTAGAGCCCATGCTGCTCAACTATGTAGCATTTTTGTTAGCGGGCATCATTGATTGGATTAGTGCAACGTCGTCACAAGGCTAGAAAACTGGTATAGCAATAACTATTAACAGAAAAGTTTCGAAAGATTTGTTACCTCGGATTCGACCGAATGATGATGTCACTGGCCTTTCCCAAAGACTATAACATCCAAGATCCCACATAATCCACGGCGCTGGCGCCCTTGACATTTTTGACCCAAAGGTAGCGATTGACAGCGAAACATCCTAGGTCTTGCTTCGGGTAGCGTTGCAAAATAACCTAGGTGAGTCCAACAACGTTGTTTTCGCCAAGTATTCGTCGTACTTGTTGACCCTAGTCGTTCCCTGTGGCTGAGATAGAGGTGCCCCGAAGCTGTTCGACTGGTTTGCTGTAACCTCCTTGAACAGAATAGTGTGGCCTGGAGAACCTGGCGGGTAAACCTGTCCTAGAATTCCATGCAGACATGTTGCTGAAGTACTCCGCGTGAAATCTCTCATATCCTCAATATCCCATCTGGCAAGACTTTGCAATAAGTGATGCAACGGGTCAGTGGTAGGCACAACCGTGGCCCCAAAGTTGAGGAGACTCTTCACGATCCTTATAAAGACCTCCCACTCCTTGTCTGATATTCCAGGTCGGCACGTCGTTGCTACAACCAAGAACATTAAGAGGTTACCAATCATTTTGGTTGATCCATGCCGAAGAATCATGCTGAACTGCTGGGGTGCTTGTCGCATCACTATGATAGCTTTGTCCAGATAAATGTTACTTTCGGACATATCGAGCGCAGCGTCAAGTGTCTGCACAAATTTACTCCACTTCTGTGTACATGGATCTGTCTGTTTAAAGTCGGTGGAACCTGCTTGGGAAGTGACAGTTTGTTGGAACAGACTGAGCTTTGGCATCAATGATAGCTTTAAGATTTCAAAATATCAGTCATGCCCAACGAAGTGAGTAGAAATAGGGATAGCTTACCAAATAGAAGCGAGTGTGGGCGCAAGCTGACTCTACGAAATAGTATCTATCTGGAGCCCTGATCATAACCGGGACTCGGGCACGATTCCCCGTCAGCTTTCGTCGCATATGGATTGCGAGATTGTCTGTTGTAATGACCTGGCCATTGGATAATCTGATATGAGCTGGCCGTTGTTCGGACGAGGAGAAGATGTTTTGGTACGTTCGGGCGTCTGCCTCTGTTGAGCGAATGTTCTTCCGGTAATTGTAATCCCTCAAGCGTTTCTTGTACATCTTCACTCTGATACTGATTAGTCTCACGGTTTTCGTTCTCTTCAAACAATCAACCATACGACGCAATGAACCCGTACTCCGATGTCATAACCTTCATGACTTCTTGCAGGGTCATATCCTCATCCAGGTATAATCGACGGATGATTGGCATATATTTGGCCCATTCGTCGGACGACCTCTGGCCATCCGAGTTGACTGTGTCTCCGGCCATACTGTGTGACTGTTTGCGTAGAACGAGGAAGGTCGACAACAATTGATGTAGGCGTTGAGGGGTTCAAACATTGAATTTGTGAAGGGGGGCGTGGCAATTTTAATTTGCAAAAGGCCAAGTAACTCCCGCCCTACCCCACCAACGTGCATAGCACTACTGCGATGGTACGGATCAGCACACAGTTTACCCACCGTGTTGGTGACCGTTAATGGGAGGACCTCCGAATGTGAACCACAAAGCCTGGCCAGAAAAAAGAGGTGCATCCTATGCGCGACAAACTTTATAGATATCAATCTTCAAAAGTCCCTTGCTCGAGTGACCAGCATGTAGAAGTTCTTGTGACCGGGCCACACGAAGAAAGCCCACGCACACAGTAACTAATTACACAGTAGGTAGGTAAGCATTTCTGGGAGATCAGAATGGTGAGAATCATCCAGTGGCATCATCAAATTTAGCTACAAATAGCGGAACATGATTCAAATCTCCCGTCTGCTGTTGTGCCCCACCTGGATACGACCTTCATGTGCCTTTGAGTGCTTACGGTGGAGCCTCTTCCCCGTCGTGTAGGATTACATCCCGCCTTAACCACTGACTCGAATTATTTGACAGGCATGCCGGGCAGCACGGCAAGCCCTGGGGTCACGAAGTCAGCCACAAGCAAAGCGACTACATATGGTAGTACTGTTACACTCACATCCATCAACATCCTCCTTAACTGTCAGCTTGATTATACATTTGTTGGCCTACTTAATAGTCAACATCTTCATTCGGGCGCACGCGTTACCCTAGCACCTCTCATTAAGTATATGGTATAGAGCATCTCCCTCTACCCGAAGAGGTTATCAGCATACTAGGAGTAGCCAGTCCTAAAATCATTCTACAACATCCGGCGGTGTGAGACTAGTGTCGATGTCTTGCGAGAGCGAGCGCCACAAGGGGGCTGCCGTCGTGCCCATTTTCATGAGATCTTGGGAGTACCGCGATGTTACGAGTAAAACGGCAGACCCCTGCACATTCCGAATGCTTGTTTGCTACCAAGGGCTGGGGTGTGGGTCTCGGATTGTAGCACCAACTTCGTTCAGACAATCCAATATGTTGAGCCGCAGTCATCTCCGCCTGAGATCATCCAGACACTGTCGAACTCTGTCATCGAGGCGGACAGGGACGGTAGGGTACACCTTACCCTCCAGGGTATAGACAACGGCCGGGACCTCGATCTCACACACAGGTCGGGCCTTGAAGACCAAGGAACTAATATCAAGGCCAAGGCCACGCTGGGCAACAAGCATAGCAGTACAGAGAGAAACAATAATATTATTATATAAAGCTATGCGAGCAATATATAGTATATTACATATAGTAAATATGATATTAGGCTCCAGACTCCACCACATATCCATCCTCTTCATTTACGGTATGGCTAGGTATACACTGCAACCATGTTGCTTTCACCATCATGTCTCTTTTGAGTAGCCGGGTATGCACACCTCGATAACAGTAACATCATGATCAGCTTTTTGGAATATTCCTACAGACTACCAGTCGCTCTACCACCGCCATTATAGTCATCGAGACAAGATTTAATACACGCCCGGAATCAAGCGGTATGGAACCTGAAGTTTGATGATATTCCACTCTTCTCCGTACTATGCCTTTGTTAGCATGAGAATGAGGCGGGCAATTTTGGAAAACATACCGTCTCTGAAAGATAGTTGTCAAGTACTGGAACACCACGGCGCGTAAAGTCGGAGAAGAAGAATGTGAAGACGAGCAAGCCCCACGTGTAACCACCGGAAATCGGGGCATATGCAGCCCGCCAAATGGTATAACCACCATAATTGATGTGCCTGGCCAGGGAGAAGAGGCCATCAGCATACGGCTTGCCTTTGTTGGCGGGGTTTCTCTTGGACCAAGTGCGCTGAAGTTCCGAAATCTGTTCGATGAAGATGCCTACCGAATAAGCGCCGACTGCCAGGGCAATCATGGGAGTTTGGAGTGTTTCGAGAAGCCTGCCGGAAGGTGGGGCGAAGGAAGTTACCGCCCAAACCGACAAGATCGAATTCAAGGTATTAAAGGCAGTGTTGAAAAGGGCGATCGTGATGGCGGATGACGGGTTCATTTCCTGCTCGGACACGACAAGTTGCGTGACGATCTGCTTCAAGCTGCTGCCGAAAGCCATGCAGGTAATTATCTCGTGGTAGGGACTTGCGAGGCCAGCCGAGGGTAGAGCCTGTCCACCCAAGCCCCATACCAGCTGTGCGGCCCAGGACCGGCTCAGCAGGGCGTATTGCCAAAATGCGTCCGCCGCACGAAGTCCGACAAAGATGCTTGTGCCTAGATAATTGGCCTTTTTGACGCGGGAGACGTTGTCATGAAGTTCGTTAGCCATCGCGGTGGTTGCTTTTATGGACCAGGATACCGCTTCTGCAAGCGCTGGGTTGGGCCAATAATTTTTCTGAGCGTAGGGGGATTCCAGAGATACAAGCTAAAGGGAGAAGACATTGCCCCCACGTCGCCGGTGATTGTTGAGTCAGTATTCACTAGAGTCGGCCTCCGGTGAACACCGGACCATTACACATTTGTCCGAATCCGTCGATGTTGACTCTTTGGGTCGGACACTCGGGCAGAGCTCACAAATGGAGAATTGCACTACTGTGGAGTACTACGACGTTGTCCCAGTCACCCAAGAAATGCCGCACTTGATACTATCGCTGAGAGATGGAATTCCCAAGCCCACGTGTTTGGATACCTCGGTCAGGGGTCCAAATAGTTAGTACTCTACAACCCCCACGGGATGTGAGTACGAGTTCGTAAATACAATCCAATGTGAAGAAGGATATTGTCATCTTGTGGAGTTTTTGAGGAGTTTGTGGGGCTTGTATTTGTACTAAGTCTTTGGACGTCCGACCAGCAAAGATGTATAGTACGTACAAGGCGATGTGCGCCGGAATCCAATGTCCGTTGCTGTGAATTGGATAATGTACGTGTCATTTTCCAAATTATCCGTGGTTTGTCATCTCACCGGGGCGACTTGCCCTCCACAGGAAGTACAAATTCGCTAGAGCAGCATCACATCGCAAGAGAACCATCACTGCCTTCGTCTTGGTAGTTGTCTCATGATTTCTCATTATTTTCTGACATTGAGAACGAAGCTTTCTTAAATATTGTCAAAAAAAGCCCCCAAAAAAGATGGCTTCGAGCGCCTTATCCACGGCGGGCAAAACCGCTATCGTCACAGGATCTGGTCGTGAAACCAGCATCGGTGCAGCTATTGCATTCGCCGTCGCCCGTGAAGGTGCTTCTGACGCAGTTCACCATGTGTCCGAATCCGGTGCTCCCCGCGCCAAGAGAGTGGCGATTGAGGTTGAGAGGCTTGGTGGAAAGGCCATCGTGGTTCAAGGCAACATCACTGATGTCGAGAGTGTGAACAAGATTATTCAAGACACTTTGACTGCATTTGACACCAAAACCATCGACATCTTAGGTATTAAGCAATTGCCCTCGCGTTTGAAGTCCCATACTAAAGCTATATAGTCAACAATGCCGGAGGCCCTACCCACGCGCGTAACTCTACCCTCACTGAAATGGACTCTGCTGATATACTCGAGACATTCACGCTGAATTACTTGGGTCCAACCCTCATGATCCAAGCGGCAGTGCCCCATATGCCGCATGGGGGGAGAATCATCAACATTGGCGCCATGGCTTCGCTGATATACGTCCCCTTCCAACCCACCTATGGCGCTAGCAAAGCGGCATTAGACCACTCCACACAATATCTTGCTGCAGAGGTGGGTCTTTAATCTGTATTAATTAAATAGCTCCTCTGACTTGGACGAGTCAATAGCTAGGAAAGACAAGGGTTATCACTGTTAACACCGCTGCTCCTGGTGGTGTGTTGACAGACCCTTTGTTGAATGCGCCGCCCCAGACTATCGAGTCTATCAAGAAAATGAGAACGAGTTTGTCGAAGGCGGCGGACCGTATGGGAACCCCTGAGGATATCGCCGACGTAGTCTTATTTGTCGCTTCAGAGAAATGTCGGTGGATAAGTGGACACGTTTTTCCTACAGGCGGGGGCATGTTTTAGCAAATACAGCAGACTCGGAAATATGAGGGATATCTAGTATAAGCGTTGCCCAGAAAATGAAAGACCTAGGTCTGTGTGAATTTCCGCGCTTGTGTTTTCTTAGGAAAGCTAGGAAAAGGAAACCTTCCCAGGCGCAGCGTGCACAGAACTCCCCGTTAGTAATGTGTACAGACCTCTTTAGCCATAAATTGTTCGGTTCGATATTCTGCATATCGCAGTATCCTAAAAGTTGCTTGCCTGCCAAGGACCGCTGATGACGAAGTCTTCCTGAAGTCTTCCAAATAAGGCCGCACCGCACAGTATCGTCATGAGTCTGCTCGGATATTGATTGGGACGATATTGTGGACCCTGATCATAAGACAATGGTAATCTGAGGTCATGACAGCTTTCCACGTATGTCCCACATATTGTGGCTGTTGTCACAGAGTGCCATAACCACCATTGGACAGGCCAGTGTCCTTTTGATCCCCATAGATTTTCCCAGCTGTCCCATACGACTTAACTTGGCTCACAGCCAATGCATCAACCTCATCCCGGGGCACCGCTCCAGCCGAAGCGAGAACATTAGTAACGGCATCAGCAGCAGTCCACTTCACCATCCCAGTAGAGGATGAAGCCCAGGGTGAACTGAGGACCACCGCATCCCCGATCTTGTTCTCTTGTGCGCCATTTAGCACTCCATCCAGGCTGGCATCTCCGTAGTTCCCAGTGGCGTATGCCTTCTGATTCGCGTTCATTTGGTAGTACCGATTGTCAGCCTTGGTCGTGCTGGGCCCGGCAATGAAGTAGTTGTTGATAATGTCATGGGAGAAGCTTCCACCCGTATTTGCCGCTGTGTATGCTGCCTGGTAGTTGTAGACGACATTGTTGATGTACTGTGTGTCATCCTTGGACAGCGGCTGACGGTTGTGTGCGCTGACCCAAAGGTTGCCGAAGAAGGTAGAAGGTCCAGTTTCGATGTGTGCCCCGAATTGTTGTCCGATGGGGAATGCGATGATTGAATTTGACACGGTCAAATTCACTACCCCAACGCCATCGATACCTTGGGACATCATAAGTCAGCAAATACTCTGTGGAGGGACATATTCGGTGGATTGATGGATGATTTACGGTCACACTTACTATCCCATTGGCCATACGCAAACGAGCAATGATCCAGAATGATGTTGGAAGCCTTGCCAAAATTCACCGCGCTTTGGCCTGTCTGCGAGTCCAAGCTGCCTTGCCGGAACCTCACATTGTTGATAATGATGTTGTTCTTGCCGCTGCCCGAGACTTCGGCAGCCATGATCCCGATGCCAGGGCTAGGAGCTGTCGAGCCATCGATCGTCAGGTGGCTTGAGAGGGAGACGGCTGAGCTCAGCTTTATGTATCCGGCGACATCGAAGACGACGATCCGGTTGGACGCACTCACGCAGTCGCGGAAAGAGCCCGAGCCCGAGTCGTTGAGGTTGGTGACATGGCAAGTCGTACCGCCTGTGCCACCAGTGGAGACTGCGCCGAAACCGACGGCCCCAGGGAAGGCGACGGCAGATGCCAGAGGGGCAAGCCCCAAAGCGACCGACATGCAACTCAGCGTGCTGAACATCATTTCTGTTCTAGGCACTTGAGGCTGAAGCCAAGCTCATGTCTTGGAAGCCAAGGAACCAGAGCTTGGCGATTTCAAAGCCTTTTATATTTCACCACTGGGAGGTTTGCGGTGTGTCATTGTCGCTGGAGACTTCGCAGAAGACTGAGGTTAACCGACACTAAATAGGGGAAGAAATGCTTGATCCCGAGCATGGTTACCACTGATATTGGAAATTAGAACAAGGTTTGGGTGTGTTTTTCCTCCAATCCCTACCTCCGGTCCCAATGTGGCCAAGTGTCATGATGCGCAATGTTACTTTGGGATCTGCGCACTAATATCCAGGGGTCGTTCTCGGACAACGCGGGGAAGACAGTAGCGGGATATTGTTGGCCGAGTACTTTCAGTGTGCCATGCCAGAAATCTATCTAAATCCCAAAGTTCAAGCTGCACGAATTTCGAGGACATTGATATGGCGCACAATCGATTGCGCCAATTACACTGGTATAGTATGCATTGGCACAACATGAAAAAGCAGGCAGCCCCTACATAAATATCTACGCCTAGTATTCTGTCTCGTTCCCATTTCTGGCAACAGAGCCACCTTCGGTGCCCTGGCCTTCCTGTTGATCTCGTTTTTGACTTCATTTGAATGATCAGTTATTCTTCCATAGCTTGATAAAAGTCGGGGTAGAAGTAAAGGGAACTTAAACTTACTCCCTTCGTCGGTACAAATGCCACATCAGCGTTACGCTTAGGATCGCAAGGCCCCCGAATAAAACAAGAATTTGATACCCATACTTGTACTTCGGGGCATCTTAGGTTGGAAACAGTACCACTGAAACTTAGCCCAAAACTTCATTATGGGAGTCCCAGAATCTGACTTACACGGTACCCAAAATACCCACGCATAGGAGACAACATTGGCTGTGCCGACAAGAAGCTGTCTCAAGCTTGGATCCCCTGCATTGAGCATGTTGGCCCAGCTCTTGCTGTGTGTTAGCCCTGTCGCGTTTTCATGTTCACCGGAATCCACTCACAATAAGCACAGGAGTTGCCGCAGAACCCGCATACGAAAGGTAGAATGCAAACATGAGAGCGCCCCTAGGAACATACCAGACCGAAAGGAGAATATTAGAGAGCATCATGGAGACTTGTACAATCACTACCATTAAGCAGTTCTGTCCTGTACGGTCCGCGATTGTTCCCCAAGTGACTGTGGCGACAATGTTCAGGGCGCTTCCTGCGGTGGGGTAGACGTTGGCATCTACAGTACCATATCCGACGTCCTTTAACCAAAGGTTGAAGTAGCTTGTAGCGGTGTGGCATGCGGCAACCATACTAATATTAAGCGTTAGTGCATTCAGCCGTCTGTAGGGATCTCAAGATACCATGTCACACTCACGTGTAAGGGACGACAAAGACCCAGATCTCCCATCCTGTGTAAATGCGTTTGGCTTCTTTCCATGTCAACTTGTGTTGGGCCTTCTGACCAAACTTCTCAATTCCATCGACACCGTAGCGAATATGCTATTTGCTGTCAGTAATCATATATCACCAACCAAATGCTTGAAAATGCTCACCTCTGGCGACCAGTAGAATGCCTTGGTGTTATGAGGCAGATCTGGCAGACCGAAGAAACCCCAAATTGCAATGGGAAAGGAGATGACAGCGTCCATCACAAACAGCCATCTCCAACCAGCAATGCCATGACGACCATCCATACTGGTGTAGAGCCCAGCCTGCAAATATCCACTGAACACACTTGCGATGGACTCAACCTGAAGGAGAATAGCCAGACGCTTGGTGAGCTCCTTGGGGCCGTACCAGCCACCCAGCATAGATATGTACCCTGGAAAGGTGCAAGCTTCGAAGAGTCCTATAAAGAACCGCAGTGCGTACATCTAGCGCACGGAGTCAGTCAAGGCCCCACACAAGTCACTTGCACATTGTCATGTGCCACTAACCGTTTGGATGTTCTAAGAGAAACCCATTCCCACCACCAGCAGGGACCAGACCAACTCGCAAGACGGGATCAGAATGGACGGGCGAATATAGCTCAGCTGCGACATTTGTGCCGGTACGCTGCCGACCATTATTCCGAGGCTAAACCAGGTATTCAACCAATTTCGCTCGTTGCCGTAAACGCTGAGGTCTTCCTGCATGCCGCTGATGAAGGCATTACCTGAACACGTGGGTCAGAAAATAGTGCAATTTCTGCAGGCACAAGTTCAACCCACTGTAATTCGCGGAGACAAGTGAGATATTGACGGGAACAATTAAGAACCTGGTCGTGGATATCGTGACACAGGGTATCTTGACAGCCAGCGAACGGGAGAAAGCAGGCCGCATCCTCTCACGTCTAGGCGATTCCCGCGACCTGAAGGCCCTCGCGTTCGTTCCCGCCGGAGGCTTCAGCATGCGCTCTACGAGCCAGCCTAATTCTCGACCACTAGATATAATTACTGTCTCCAGCTTTCGGATTGGCCTCTACCCCGTCGTCAACAAAGATTACCTAGCATTCACCCAGGACACTGACCGCGAGTGGCTCAGTCCGGACGGCGCATACCCCGAGAGGCAGAATGCGCCGGCGTCAGACCTCACTTGGCACGATGCGAGGGCCTACTGTGGTTGGCTGACCACCCAGTGGCGTTCAAACGGGAGCATTAGTCTCGAAGAGGAGGTGCGGCTTCCAACTGAGCCGGAGTGGGAGCGGGCGGCAAGAGGCAACCAGAACGACACGGGCGTCGACGGGCTGATTTATCCCTGGGGCACACCATGGCAGGACGACGCGGCCAACAGCGAAGAGACGGTGTTTAACAGTACATGTGCCGTCGGCCTGTTCCCCCAAGGGAGGTCACCTTACGGATGCTACGATATGGCTGGCCATATTTGGGACTCGGAGTGGTGCACAACTTTGTGGGGAGAGGACATGGCCACTCCGTCCTTTACATATCCGTGGCGGGAGGATGGCAGGGAACGCTTGGACGCGCGTGAACAGGTGCGGCGAGTGCTACGTGGTGGGTGCTTTTCAAGCCCAAAGATCAAAGCGAACTGTACATACCGGGGAAGTCTCGAGCCTTCTGGATTCTGGCGTGGTAATGGGTTCCGAATTGTCGTGGCCAAGACGGACACATGACCACTTGCCCATCTGTGGACGCGAATAGTGTATTTACTGGGTTGTTTGACAATCAACAAAAGCAATGAGACTCCACTATTTCTCGATATCAAAATCAACTTCGGCCCGGTAAGTACGATAGGAAAACCTGCGGGCCGGTGTCCGCTTCGAGGTCCATAGACTGACCATTGTGGCTAATAAATCAGAACACAATAGTGGAGTTAAATGTCGCCATTTGCTTCCAGACTCCGGGTACAGCACGAAAGAAAACTTCACCCAGGTCTTTCTCTCCCCGGAAGGCTAGCAAACGAACGAGCTTTAGCGTTCCTCGCTGCGCTGCCAAACCTTGGTCCATGGGTAATTATTGTAAAAGCCGCGGGACGATAAGCACAATATCAGCACAACCATGACCATCATCTCCAACTTTACGCTGTCAGCCTAGCGAGTGCCCTCGCGCTACCCACCGACTCGCCGGTCCCATTTTTCATCACCTTCACCACGTCAGACCTCCCTGAGACTGGGCAATCATGGTGTCCCGACGTGCGGGCCGCCCTGCCTTTTGGGCCGAAGACCCGCCCGAGATGTCGTTTGTTGAGGTCGGCCAAAGACCGGAGTAAGGAACCTATTGCCGTGTATCATATCTCACTGCTATAACCACAACTGTGCTGAACTTTCTTAATGCGATCAGATGGATCACTCCCACGAACGTCTTCAGGACCAAGTGGAATATTCACAATGTCCCCACGCTTGTGCGCTACCAGAGGATCGATGGTTAAGTGAAGGAGACGGGCAGATTGATCGAGGGTGAAATTCTGGTCGAGCACAGTCTGAAACAGTTGCTGGGTAGGTAAACGAGGAGTTCGACTAAGGTGCCCACAAGCGCAGCTCTCAAATTATCTCAATTTTCTCCAAAGATAAGTCCATACTGGAAAGAGTTTCACCCTGCATTATTCCGGAAACATAAGCTGGGCCGACAAGCCTGTAATAAAGCGGATATTGACGCAACACCAGCGGCACGCGCAACCTCCAACTAAAACAACAACATCATCATGTTGCACAACATGAGGTCCGATCCCTAGGTTTCCGTCAATGGTGAGGAATAAAGCCCTGGCCGCCGCCTGCTGATCGGTCGTTTCTGCTGCTCTGCGTAAATATTCCATTCGATTGAGATGCAGCACATCTTTATCACAGAGTTGGACTTCTTCCTGCAAAGGCTTAAAATCGTGTGGAGTGATACACTCGAAAGACTCCAGAAAGTCGGCGAAGACCGGTTTAGGACCAAAAAGCTGGCATAGATCTTCGTAAAAGCCGAGCACCAGCCTCTTTGCCCTCTCCTCAATGTGTCGTTCAGTGGGAGTATTTGTCATCAAAGTTGACTTGTCGCCGAATATTAGGCCCTCGAAGAGTTGACGTAACCTTCTCATCGAGGACATGTCGTCAACGTCGAGCAAACAGAAAGAATTGATCAGTTCTTTGCGATCCATGCCTGAATGGGCCATCCCCTGGAGGGGCGTGCAGCATTGGATATAGTCGAAAAGTATGGCTTGTATGCTGAGAATACTATACCCATCTTTCTCCAAGAAACTGCGGCGGTTGACTGGAGTGGACAGACGATGCCGGGACTCCGTCCCCCCATCCGCGTTGAAGTAGTTCGTTTGATGCCCGGCAAGATAGCGAATGTCGACGCCACCCATTCCGCGCAGATCAGGGGCCCAGGATGGAAGGTTGATGTCGTCGCCATTGAGTGGGCTCCAGAGGCCAGCTGTGAGAAGAGACGACAGGTTGGCATCCGCAAGAATCTGATTCCTCGCAAAAGTTGTGAATACATCTCTCACAGGGGCAGAGTAGTTGACCTGGACGGTGCGTGTCATAGCTTCGCAAACGCCACGCAACGCGTACAATTTGTCTCTAGGATCTTGGCATCGCAAGTGCCTTGTTGGGTGAAGGACGTTGTTGACATGAGAAGCCTCCGCCGAAGTGACACAAAAATGTGCGATATTGAATAGAGCCCTGCGAAACTCGAAAATCCAGGGGTATTCGACCTGAGCTGTGAGCAATAGAGTATGTTTCGACGAGACAACATCAAGCCACCTGAAATTTGACCATGGGGCCTGTAGTTTGCCGCAGTGGACGACTGCCTCCTTGGCCAAGACGATCTCCTGAAAGACCCACATACGATTCCAATAATCTCGCCGTAGCAACTTCGTGAGTGCTTTCGTACCAGCGTCGTCGTGTATAACGTTCGATGCGACGTGCTCCTCCGATATCTCATTGGCTGGTCCACAACTGCAAACTAGCTCGAACGCCTGATCCGCATGGTCGTACTCGGTCCCAATCCAAATTCGTACGAGGCTGGCTTTAGAATATATTTTCCCCATCAATTGCACCTGCTCATTCCGATCCTGAGTGCAACTTTGGTTGACGCAAATGTTGTCAACCCAGAAGATTGGCGAAGAAGGAAACGCCTGGCGTCTGAATTCCGACAACATTGAGAAAACATTGCCCATTACCGGGACTTCAAATCCATTGACTACGATAGAGTGAGCATTGTTGGTTTGCTCCCACCGATATGACACTGCCTCGTATGCTGGATGATCATTAAGGGATGTCTTGAAGAGTCGAGCAATGATTTGGGCCGTGCAGTCTTCAGCCGCTTCAATCTGCAACAGGCGAAATTCGCCACCAACGGTCAATGGGTCCTCATATATCAATTCTGGTCGAGTGAGCTCGGGTACGTAGTCGGAGATCTGGCACGATGATGGGGCTGAACTTGAGTGCATCATCACAAGTGGGAATTCGACGGGTGGCGTGGAATCTGCTCTTTATCTGCACATGTGAATTAGTCAATAGCGACGAATTCAAGGCAGGAAAATGTTTTACTTCATCCTTAGCATGTATTCAGCGCCCTTTCAAAGTATCGAGCTAAGAACGAGACTTTGGTTGGATGAGATGAATGATCTGTGCAGGCATAGCCGACCAACATCGTCCGTTGTGTTATTCCGTGGCCTGCCGTTCCGTATCTTGGACACTTTTCCACGTTGTGTTGATAGTAGAGGCAGCGACAGGCACTGTAACGTTCAATGACTTGGTAACACATAGCCATCCAAAGTTCGTCACGGCTGTGGAGGAGAAGGACTGGGGAGATGTAGTTATCACAAAAGGAGGAAACTTTATGTGGCCAGGGAACGGATAGTTTGCGGTACTGTCTGTCTGCATAAGCAGGGCACCCACACCGACCGATGGAGGCCTCGTGTCTATTTGCATGCGACCGATTCAGCCACAGGCGAAGGTAATCTATATGCAACACAGCCTGGAAATGCCTACATGGTACGGTCGCGGATTCGTTCCTAGCCCATAGCCTTCTGCAGTGTAACGTTACAGCTTGTGGCTAAGACCTGTAGCACAACCTCGGACACTGCGCTAGCTGTAGTCCAGCACCTATGGCGCATAACTACGGCAATAGATTGAATAGTCACTGATTCATACATAACTATATACAAACACACCATCTCGTATGCCCCTATGATGATTACTGTCGTTCCAGTTTAGTAGACTAACTCAGAACAAAGAACGTCCATAACATAGTAACGAAAAAAGGGGTCTGCCTCAGAATAAAGAACGTCCATAATATAGTAACCAAAAAAAGGGGTCTGCCTCAGAATAAAGAACGTCCATAATATAGTAACGAAAAAAGGGGGTCTGCCTTCGCCTATGTAACATTCTGTGCAAATAACGACGTTTCGACCAAATCACCTAACTGTAGAACGAGAGACATGACCATTGCGATATGGATAAAACTTATCTATCAGACAGGATTCGCCACCAGTGGCCGACCACTTAGCTCCCGTGCGTCAACCCAGTTACCATGAACCTGAGCACGCATCCGCATTGGAAGCTCTATCACAGCGGTAGGACACTCAAAGTCCTTAGTGTCCATGATTACCACACTACTGAGGTTAACGTCCAGTCGGTCAACGACGAAGATGATGTGTCCATCACCCTCTGGGGAGTCGTCGGATCGGGGAATGAAGACGGGTTCCTGGCATCGGGTGTTCGGACCAGGAGAGTAGACCTTCAACTCCCCGGTGCTCTTGTCAAGCATTGCCGTTGCATTGAGACTCTTGAAGATGTGATCTCTGCGTAGAGGCTCTTTTGGATCCGAGTGAAACACATTCATGAAGACATATTTGTGAGGCTTGCAGTAGAACCGCTCGTCGATGCGCGGGAACTCATTCGGAATGTCAACCAGGGTGACGGGGTCCGGGAGCACCGCCTGGTCTGGCTGTGCCGTATCGATCTCGAATCGCACATAGTCCACAACGGTTTCTTCCGGCTTCCCTCTGGACAGCCCGTCCCAGAAGGGGAACAAAGGATGCTTGGGCCAAGTCCCCTCGATGTATACTTTTCCATTCTCTTCCCACGCACCGCCAGAGTGGACGATTTCCGAGTTTGTGGGATGAGAATATATCCGAAACTCGTAGGGCTTCCATCCCGAGCCCGCTAAAGGTTGTTCCGGGCGGCGGGGGGCAACAATGAAATACGCAGGTCTGTCAGAGACCCAGGTCATTGTAACGCCACCCTTTTCAAAGTTGGGCTCAGCGGGCCACTGGCAAAAGACCAGCCAGTTCTCGGTTATACAGGCGTCGTGGATTGGTCCTGAGAAACGAGGCTTGATGCGATGGAGGTTTTTAACCTCACCATCTCGGCTGATCGAGTAAGAGATAAGCTCAGAACTGTCCTCGTTGAATCCCCACGTGACGAGCTCATCGACATTTTGATCGATTTTGGGATGACCAGTGAAGGTTGCTGCGCCCTGCACCTGGTTGCCGTAGGGGTTGGAACCAGTTGTTTCAAGTGTGTCGGCATCCAAGGTCCACGCGTATCCCGTCTCGTTCAGAGCGTGCAACTTTCCAGCCCAGTAGAGGACGTTTATGTTGGAAGTCGTCTGCAGAACGGCACGCACGCATGGGTGGTCTTGCATGGGATTACCCACGATCTGGACAAAGAAGCTCTGTCTCTTCTTCCTCTCGAACTTGTAGCGGTCGTTCTGCACATATCTGATCTTGAAGTCCACTTGCCCCTTGTGAATACGAAAGGCGCTGACAGTACCGTGGTTGTCAAGTGGAATGTGTCTTTCGAGCGGAGGGGTGAAATGGTCTCCAGCGACTCGATAGAAAGTTCCATCAATGCTGTCAGGTATAGTACCTCGCACCATCACGTCCCCAATTTCTCCTTCCAGGCGGATGGGCATGTCAAAACCACCAAGATCTTCTGTCCATTGCCATCGAGATGACAACTTCTCTGTTCCCTTCAGAGGTGTTGGTTGAGTAGCCATGGTGACGGAAAGTTCAAACGAAGTTACAGTAGAAGTAAATTTTGAAGTTTGTTGAATGGTTTGTGGATGTTGTTAAAAGAGAGAGATGCATGAGTTGAGGACCAACATTTACCGCAACATCACGTCGGACGGCAGGGCTTTTATCCCATGTTTCCATAATCGACGGTAGCACGGCCTCGCATTGCACGCAGCCGCCGACGACTGCGAGGTCCGCTGAGTCAGCGGCCTTCGGCTCCGGCAGGGCGAGCGGCCCAATCAGTGGGCGGCGATTTGTTTCAAGGCAGTCCAGGGCGCTCGGTCACCCCCCCTATTCCCCCGCATTCGAGAGCCTCACGACAACACAACGTGTGCCGAAAACTTCATTAGACGAGCAATGATTGTTGATCAACAAACAATATTCGCTGCGCAAAGTTACCGCGTGCACAATGCCCATGCGACGGAGGGCTTGTGATTCCTGTCACAGGCGAAAGGTACGACGGTCTCATCCGGAATTTGCAACTCCTACATGCTTTATCACACCTAGGTTCATGCCAGGATGTTGCTTTGTGCTCCTAGGTATCGCGATCGTTTGTTCTATGTCAATTAACATCTCATATAGATTCATTGCGATAAGGCGCTGCCTCGGTGCGACTGGTGCAAGCACCACAACTCGTCCTGCAATTATGAATCCAGAAACGGTACTATGAGAGCAGAGTTGCCACGGTAAGTCGTGGATGCCCGACCCGAAGCCCCGCTCTCTCCTTGGCCATCCTGACGTGGATACTATTGCTGGCTCACGTGTTTTCAGTCATGCCTCGGGCAAAGACCTTGCTAGTGGCATCAGGCGTATCGAGCTTGCCCTCGAACTGATTCAAGAAGGATCCGCCTCCCGACGTCTGCGATCCAAAGAACAACAACCGTTCAAACCCTCGGCAACCTCCCCACAACGTTGGTCACCTTCACTCAATGACTTCACCTCCTGGCCTCACGGTCTTCCGCAGGACTTCACCCCAGGCGGACGGCTGGACTTTGCTGGCTGCCACGTTGCAGATATCAGCTCTTTCAATGCCACTCCATTCTTTTCCAAGGCCGGATGTGACTGGATTCGTTCTCGAACCGGACAGGAGCCATCCTTTCACAAGCTGTACGATTCAGGACGCCCCTGGAAAGCTCAGCTTTGGAGCCCTCCATCCCTGTGTGTTGATGGTTTTACGCAGTCAACTTCGGATTTGGGCCTGCCTAGCAGAAAGACTGTCGAGCGACTTGTGTCACTCGCCTCGGCCTCTCGCTTCAATCACTTATTCCCAATCATCGACAAGGATGTCTTTCAACACTTCCTAGATGCGGCATACCCAGACATCGACCGGTCGCCATCGCTAGATTCAATTAGTGCCAAGTGTTGTCTTTTTTCCTTTATGGTACTGGTTTCTCGGATTCAAGGGGAATGGGACTCCACTTCGGCGGTAGATGGCAAGACATTTCTGGCCAAGGTCCATAGCCTGATGCCACAGGTTCTATGTCAATTGAATGTGACGAGCCTCTACACGGTCTTCTTTATGGCAAGTATTTATGAAGAAAGACAAGGATTCCTACGAATCCTTTTCTCGGAGTCTGTACTAACATTGCAAGATGATAGTCTGCATATTATATAATATCCGGTCATCTACAACAGGGCATGATCTTTCACTCACATACATGCCGTATTCTGTTTGCTCTTGGTCTACATTGTCATGCCAGCCCCGTTCCTCCAGACAATCCCCATGAGTCAAGGAATAGTCAAGGAAGAGATCACACGCGCCGCCTCTTCTGGCTAGCGTACTGGCTTGACAAGGAGCTATGCCTTCGCACTGGTCAGCCCCCTTCGATTGATGACAGCTATTGCGACCTTACTATGCCAGAGAGTTTACTGGGAGCTGGAGATCGGGCCGGAGAAAGCAGCATTATTTCGCGGAACGAAACATCAACTTTCTTTACTTCATTCCCAGGCCATCTGCAAATGGCCGTCATCAAATCCAAGGTCTGCAAATCCTTATATTCAGCATCGGCCCTCCAAAAGTGTGCCGTCGACCTCCTCCGCGATATCCGCGAACTCGATGATGAATTGGAAGCATGGCGCCTCCAGGTTCCTCTAGCAGAGCGACCCATCCTCAGCATCTTTAGTCCAAACGCCGCCAACATCGAGCCGCATAGCCCCCAGATTGCTACAATAAAGAGAACTCTTACGCAATTTGAATATCTCTTCCTTATTGCTGCGATCCATGAAGCTAGTGGGCGCTGTAATAGCTTTGATGATGGCGATGGCGGTGACTTGGAAGGCATAAGCTCTAGCATCGCAATATCGGTGCAAGCGAGTCGTTCATCATTAATTTTCCTCCATGCTTCCGCCACGGTCGTTAATGAGGAGAATTTCTGGTTCGTCATCATCTTCTTTCTCTGCATTGTGCGAACCTTTCTCTTTCTCTAACAAATGCCTCAGGTTATTTATATTCCACCCTCTATCGGCCATTCTCACCCTTTTTTGCAATGTTTTATTGGATCCACTCAATTTCATATCACGAGAAGACCTACAGCTTATGAGCTCAATTCCGCGGCTACTTAGAAGTATGCGATCACAGCCGGTGACATCCGAAGCTGAGTTGTATTTAAAGATGATTGATGAATTTGTTGCGGAATTGGTTCGACTCGGGCATTGTGCAGTTGAAAAGGCCAGCACATGAATGGGATTTCTTTTCTAGATTAGCTTTATAGAGAATGCCCAGTCCTTGTGAGAACTTCCGTGCCCACACTTGATCTTATTCCGCTTAAACTATAAATCGAATTGAGTAAGATCTAGCATATAGCAGAGTTAAGCTACTGCATTGTTAAATGCTTTTGAATCTCAGCTTTATAATTAAAGTTACATGTAAATACAATGATTCTAAAAGGGGTAAGTAATGAATTTCCACTAATAAGGTGTATGCTCTCTGGTTAACCTCTGAAGATTAATTATAATTCTACTTTCACACAACAACTGAACTTTAGATTAAACTACCTTTGTAAATAACGATGTATAATGGCGCTATGAGATATAATATCCCTGTAAGAACAGCGTAATGTACTCAGCTCATTATAGAGTATACATGAGATAATTTATATATTATAATTTGGAAATGCCTGAATGGCATGGCCATGGATTTGTTCTTAGTCTATGCCTTGCAGCAGTATAACATTACAGCTTGTAGCTAAGACTTGCAGCATAACATCGGACACTACTAGCTGCAGTTCAGCACCTGTGGCGCACATGCAGGATGCATTTCCGCTTCCACGCCGGTAGGTGTAAACGTTTGGGTGCAGGAGAGCTAGGCCCTCAAAATGAGCACAAAATTGTCAATGAATTGGTTTGTAGTGCTATCAGCTCCGTATCGCCCCATTTCTCGAACCAGGGAACGAGATATACATGTGTCCTTGGCCAACACTTTCATGCATGCACGATGTTTATTTTGAAATTATATACACCAGCATCATTAACAAATGCATCCTGAGATTATTTCAGAACCGCAGCTCTCAGACTATGTCAACCCGGCCGAAGGATGATCCATTTAATAAGTCCATCCTGGAAAGAGCTTCCCCTTGCATTGTGCCAGACACATAGGCGGGACCAACAAGCCTAAAATATTGTTCCTGTTTGCGTAGTATGACTGGCACGCGACAGCCCCGAACGATGGCGACAGTATCTCCACGCTTAATGTTTCGGGGACAAATGCCGATACTTCCGCTGCTGGTGTTGAACATGGTGGAGTCGCGGCTATCTCCATGTAGTAGTGTTCTTTGCAGATACTCTAGCTCATTGCGGTGAAGATCATTGCAGGCTGAGTCTGGGGACAAGCTCTGAGACTGTAAAGGTATCATATCGAGGCCATGAATGTTGAACGACCTCAGAAACTCGTCAAAGGCTGGGTGAGATCCATGGAGGCGCCGCAAATCTCCGAAGAAGCCGAGAATCAGACGTTCCATTCTCTCCTTCAGAGTCCCATCAGAGTCGACTTTGTGTCCATAGAATGCTGAGTTCTCTGACACCGCGACTTGAAAGAATTGACGAAGTTTGGGCACCGAAAAGTCGCCCCCGTCTATTAGACAAAAGGTACTCAGCAAATTGCTGCGCTTTGCCTCCTCGTTGATCTCAAAAGGCAAAGCTTCCATGGTCGTTTCAAGCAAGAGCGCTTCAACCTGGAGGATGTTACGACCAGACTCTTCAAAAAACACAAAGAACGGATCATTGCCATTGTTGTTGTCCGCGTTGAAAAGCTCAAGATAAGCACCACCTATGTACCTGGTGTCGACGGTAGTCGTTCCACGGAGATCAGGCACCCAAGAAGGGAGGTCGAGGTCATCGCCGTCCCCAGGGTTATACAGACCAGCAGTAAGAATCGTGTACAGCTCACCGCCAGCCTCGATCTCACCTTTCGCGAATGAGGTGTACACGTCCCGTGCGGGAGCCAAATAATCGACTTTCAGTTTCCTACTCAGTGCCTTGCAGACACCGATGAGGGCGTAAAGCTTATCCCTTGGGTCCTGGCAATGAAGGTGCCGTGTTTGAATGATGACCGCGTTGATATCCTGAGCTTCTTCCCGAGGGATAGCGAAAAGCGAGATTCTCAACAGCGCTTTCCGAAGGTCGAGGATCCACCCACGCCCGATTTGAGCATCTGACCAGAGCTCAGCATATCCGGAGAGTTCTTGAAGCCACTTGAAGTAGGTCCATGGGACTTCATAGCTGCCGCAGTGAACAGTGACTCGTCCCGCGAGGACAATCTCTTGGAACATCCACATACGGTCCCAGTAAGACCGATGCAGGATCTCATTGAGGGCCCTTGCCCCTGCTTCGTCCTGAAGAACCCGCGCCACGGCATCCGCCGGTGAGCATTCGCCGCAGTCGTGGACTAGTTTGAATGCCTCTTTCACGTCTGAGCACTCTTCGCCAAGCCATACCCTAACAGGGGATGCTTTGGAATAAATCTGACCCATCAGAGGAACCTGTTGACTGCGCTCGACGACATCCATCTGATTGATGCAAATGCTGTCGACCCAAAGAGGCGTTGGTAGTCCACCGCTCTCGGCTCGCAGTGCTTTCAAGGCCAAGAACAAATTCTCCGTCACAGCAAGTTCAGCTCCATTGACATCGATTGTGTTCTTAAAAGATCCTTCCCAGCGATACGACAAAGCCTCAAAGCTTCCGGCGCTGTTGAGAGGTAATTTGCAAAGATGGCCAACGATTGGCGAGTCCGGAGATTCGGACGGGTCCATGAGGAATACTCGAAAGTCTCTTGGTGCTAGCTTGCATTCTTCGTAAACTGATAATAGGTCCTTTGGCGGTCTTTTTGGAAGATATTGTGGGGAGTTTGGTTTCTTCTCTGAGGGAATTGATGATTTCTCCATGCAAGTTTCTGGCGTGCTATCATCTTGCATGAACCACGACTTCAAAATCGAGATCATGTTGGAAAGTTCAGTTTGTTGCGCAAGATCTGGAAGAAGTGAGGTGTACTATAAGCAGTCTGTGAAGTCTGCTGGTCGTCTCAAATGAAGCCCCAAGATAGAGGCGGGAATGCAACATGCCAATACAATGATGATGTAGGAACTAAGAGTCATACGATAATAATCAACCGCTTTACTGCGATCCCAAAGCTCTGGGTGGAACACTTTTATATATATGACCGTACATATTTGGGACGACTAAAGCAGGAGCGGCGGATCCTTGACGACCTATTAGCATCCCAGAACAAGCGCTGAGTGCTCTGGCGGTATGGTGCACCAGAGGCCAAGACAACTTAGCCGCGCACATCAAGTTGGACCCACACGCCGGCCTCGAACGATGGATTGTACATTTTAACGTCGGTTGATCTTCTGGATTTTGTGTCGACTCCAAACGCTGTCATCCTCTTTAAGTTGTTCCTCCCAGGCTCCTCAACTACAGGCAAAACACCTATTCACCGAGGTGCTTCCTAATCTTGGCTGATAGAAGCCGCTCCCGCAGCTGGCGCCATTCTGACGGATCGAAATTCCAGCTGCCGCCCTCCCACTCAGCAGCTTCTCTGAGCCAAGATAAAAGCCACTCCGATTTCTTGCGTGGGACACGGACGGTCTCGACATCCCCGACAGTCTCGGTTGCGACACCTCTGCCATCCACTTCAGGAAGACACTCTCCCCTTGCATCGAGTATCTCATCTGGCTTTGAGCTTTCAGTCCCCTCCGATGCCCCGTCTTCATCGATGATGCGTGTCTCGGCGTTGGAACCCTTGTTTATCTCAGGATCTTCATCCAACACTTGACTCCTATCTAGCACAAGACTGCTGTCTGTATTATCGAACTTATGGCTCGCATCCGGATTCAGATCGATGTCAATCTCGATGACGTCCATCTTACACGGCTCTTCTGTAATTTCAGCCACATCTACTTGAAGAAGTGCTGCCATTTTAGAGCAGCCCGATGCAATATCAATTGCTGGCGAATTGCTGTCCATCTTGACTGTTGTGCGATCTACCTTCCGCTCAGCGGAGTTACAAAGATGATGCACCAGATTTGATGCGTAATGGGTGAAACCATGAGCACTTATGTTTTGGGGGATTGAATGTATTCTTGACGGGTCGTGAGGGAAATGCAGACTGATGGCCGCACTACTTGGAGGCTTTAAAATGTTCTTGGAAGTCGAAGCCGAGTATCGTGGTGCGAGAGGAAGCAATGAAGAAGCGGAATTGACATCGAGGTCTGGTGTCGGGGGTGTTGAAAATCTGATTCAATGAATTGGAGGTGTCTCGGGCGCCGACAGGAGTCAGGAGTGGGGGTCTAAGCGAGCCACGGTCAATGGATGAGCATCCATACATGTTGGTCTCCTGCATACAGCAAACGTGGCTATGCTAGGCTCCAGAGCGGGACATTCAACTGTGGGTAATTCCATGCACAAGGTAATGCATGTGACGCGGCCCGCGGGGCTGCTTTCCTGATTCGCCACGTCTGCCGCAGCGCGCTAACAGCCTCTTAAGTTTAGGACGGGGCAGCTGGCCGGCGAGGTTCGCGGTACCTTTCGTAGCTGCTGGATAGTAACTAGGCAGTCGTACATATTATTTCTCCAAGGTTGAGGCACCGCCGTAGAGGTGGCTTTACCGGCTAGCCATAGCTAGTAGTTGCAGGAAGCCAGCCCGAACTTCTCGTCTAACTTAGCGCCTAAGTTGGCTGAAGTCTACCCTTAGCTTTAGCTTAATTATATTAAAATTAGCTATAAATATTTAAAAAAAGCTATCCCATTAATAAACTTTATATATTTCTTAAATTAAAATATTTAATTTAAAAAAATACTTAATTATATAAAACTTTATTTATAATATTATTATTTTATGTAATGGGCTTGGGCTATTGCCCAAGCCGTAATGCATGCCCGTGCCGGGCCCACACTGCACCCAACCCTCTCACGTGATGGGGCACACACTTAAAAGATAGATCCAGAGTTGGGCCCTTTCAGGGCCTAACTTACTTCTTAGATATTGCAATTCATAACTCCTTTTGGGTACCTTCCAGCAGACGCTTAAGGCCAACCCATAACATTTTAATTAAATAAATATTTTTATTTTTATATTAACTAAAAGTAAAATCCTTAAGAAAATATTTAATATAATAAGATAAATTTATTTATATTAAAAATTAAAAATATTTAAACTTATATTAATTTTAATATAAATATAATAAAATTTAATATAAAAAATAAAAAATTATTTTAAAAGTTTAAGTTTTAAAAAAAAACTTAAATAAAAATCTTAAATTTATATTTAATTTATTTTAAAAATTAATTAATAAGTTAATTATATATATATTTATATTAAAAATATTAAATATTAAATTAAAAATAAATATTATATTTAAATTTACTTTTTATAATATATTAAATTAATATTAAATTTATTAAATATAAAATTTAAAATAAAAGTAAAATAAAAGTAAATTTATTTTTTTAATTATAAAATAAAAGATATATTTAATAATATATTATTTAAACTTAAATAAAAAGTTAATAATAATATAAGGAATAATTAATATATATTATTAATAAAAATAGCTTATATATATATAATAATTATTTATTACTTTTATTATTTTAATAATTCTTAAAGTTATTAAAAGATTGCTTAAAGATGTAATAATTTTTTCTTTTTATAAATTATTATAATAATATAAAATAATATAATATATCTTTATATTTATATTTAATTAAGTATATACTTTTAAGTTTACTTTTTATTATAATAAAATATATCTTAGAGATCTTAAATTATTGGTTATGCTATTTAAACTTAATTTCAATGGTGGAATGGCGTTGAAATAGTATTAAATGCAGGTTACTATGCTATATTACATGGCTTACCGAAACAGGAAGCACGGATATTAGTGATGCTGGATCGTGTGAGGTGTATGCCAAGGGGACTTGAGGAGCTATTTGAATCCCTCTTTGAATTTATTGAGGATTATCAGATACAGAGGGCTGTCCTGCTTCTGGCTGTGGTTATATATACGGCGTAAATGCTAGGCTCCGGGCATGACTAGTCCAGCAGCCTGGATGCTGCAAGTTACCACATCTCAACGTGCTTTAATGGTGGATTAGGTACAAAAGAAGTGGTGTAAAGGTACTTCATGCGCGTTAATGCGGTCGGTTCCCAGTGCCTTTATTTTTTAATAATACTTTTTCAGTGGCATTGTAAGAAATAAAAAACGCTGCCAGTGTGCAGCTTAAAGAGTTTATATATTTTAATATCCCCCCTTAAGCTGTATATTGGGCTTATAATTATTAAGTTAAAATTATTAATTGCTTAGGGACTTAAACGCATAACCTTATATAATCTTAATATTAAAGTAAAAACCCTAAGTAGCTAGGCCAGGTAAAAGCCTTTGTATGATTAATCTGTCAGATTCTACACCTCCTTTATGGTGGAATCCTTATATGTATGGTTAATTTTAATGGTTAACGTAATAATATCTTAATTCTTATTCCTTTAAAGCTAGTTAGTGGCGAGGGTTGGTTTTTTAACCTATGAATATTAATGCCTAAGGCATTTACCATTATATTACCTATGCATATATAATGAATTTACAGTTTTATAATGAATTTATCGTTTTTATAATAAATTCACGGTAAATTTATTAATTTATAGTAAATTTATAATAAATTCACCGTGTAATTATCTAGCCATAATATATTTATCGTTAATTGGATTTAATATACCCCCTTAGGTGAGCAAGCACTAAGAGTTTAAACCTTTTACCCATTTTCCATTGCTAATTACCATTAAATAAACGTATCTTTCGTTAATATTTCCTTATATAAACTGTTCTTAATATTTTGCATGCTAAGTTATTAAAGAAATCCTTTTTATTTTCCAACTAATAGCGCCTTTATTAATTCATTTATAATTATTTATGCTAATAATATATATTTTATTATGATTTTTCTATTTTATACTTTTTATTATAACTAGTAATTATAAATATCTATATATTATAGTTTGATTTTAAGCATAATAATCTTAAAGTTTATTAATTTAATAATTTAAGTATTATTGCACTTAATTTTAATTATTTAGTTATTTAATTTAATAAATAGCTTAATAAAAAGCCAGTTAATAAACAATATTTCTTTTATAGCTTATACCAAGGCTAATAATTTAGCTTCCATAATAAATATTATAATTATATCTTGCTTATTTGCTCTCCATTTAATAAGTCCTTTAAATAGTTTTATAGTAAATGCTTATAAGCTTTTTTTATTTAAGGAATTATTAGCAAAAGAAGCATTGCTTATAATAATAAATCCCTTTAAATTTTAAAAATATAAAGCAAGATACTTAATATATAGGAGATATAATAACATTTTATTAGCAGCATTATAATATTTTTAACTTAAATTAATTAAGAATTATGCTAGCTATAATATAGCAAAAGCAATATTTAATTATATAAATATAGCGGCAAATAATAGCAAACTAATCTTCTTTTAATATAAGTAAACTTTAGCTTTTAAGATAACGATAATATTTAGTAATAGCTTTTTAAAAGTTATAAAAACCTTATAAGAAATATTTATTTTATTAGCTAATGTAATAATCTTCTTAATATATGCGATTTAAGCTAGCTAAATCCGGTAATTTTCATAATTTTAAATAATTTCTATGCTAAAAAACTATTAAATTAAATTTCCTTTAATAATTTTATACTTTTCTTAAAGTTATTATTCCAGCTTATTTACTTATTTTTAGTAATTCTTTTAATATACAATAATAATGTTATTTATATAAAAGAAAATAATAACGCTCTTCTTTATATAATAGCATAGCTTATATAATATTTATTAATATTTATATTAATTTAAGGTTTTTATAAACTCTTTTTGCTATAGCAATAATGAGATTTAAAAGCTATATAACGCTTTATTTAGCAATAAAATAATTTCTCTCTATTAATATTTATATAGTATTTATATAAAAATATCTTAATTAATTAAAGTATAAATAAATATATTTATAACATTTATATTATATAAATTTAAAATTAAATTTCGCTATTATTGCTATTAATATGTAAAAGGATTGGCTTGCTAAAGTTATAGCATAAGTTTTTTATATTTATCTTTTTATTTACTAATTTCCTTAAATAATTAAATAAGCCTTATACTTTTAAAAGATTTTATATTTATTAAACTTATATATATATATTTATATGCAATTTAAGATTTATTTTCTTATTATATAGGAATTTTATTTTTAAATCTTAATTTATAATCTTATTTTAATATAGCTTTATAAATAATTAGCTTTTGCTTATTTAAATAAATATTTAAATAAATAATTCTTTAAATCTTTATATTATCTTAATAGCTTAAAGAAATTATTTTTATATAATTTTACCCTTTAATAAAGGCATTTCTTAATTTATATTTTATTTAATATCTTCTTATTTAATTTAATTATTAAAGCAGCTTTAATGCTAATTATAAATATAAATTACTATAATATATTTATAATAAATTCATTATTTAATAAAATCTCTTTATTTAATTATATTTAAATAATATAAGCTAAAAATGCTAATAAAAGAGTTCATAGTAATATAAGGAGCACTTTAAATTTTACATTTATATAAGCGCTGTTTTCTTAATCCGCTATAAACCGCCTTTCTTAAGCGTCCTTTATATTTCCTTTTAAAACTCCTTCTTTATTAATATTATTTTCGCAATCCGTTGTAAACTAACCTTCCTTTAAGGTTTCTTTTAAGAAATTATCTTTAAATAAATCTTTTCCTTTTAAGTTTAATATTTTATTATTTTTTAAAAAAGCATATTCTTTTATTTATTTTATAAAACGCTTAATATTTATAATAAGGAGTTTATCTTTAAAACTTTCTTATTTATTATTAAATACTTTATATTTATTAAAGATTATATTTTTTATATTAATAATTTTCCTAATAAAGGGAATTTATATTTAATAAATATTTAAAAAATAATAGCTTATAAAATATTTAATTTATATTTATAGCTTTAATTATTAATATTATCTTTTCTTTAATTAAGCATTTAATATTATAATATATGCTTTATAATTAAAAATATATAAGTAAGTTTAATTTAATTTTAAATTTAATTATAGGATATTTATTTATTTAGTAATTGCTTTATAAAATTTAAAGTATAATATTTATTAATTTAGGCTATATATTAATATTTAATTATTAAGATATATTATTATATATTTAATTTTTAGCTATAAAAAGTATAAAAGCTTTAAGCTTATTTACATTGCTTGCATTTTCTTTTTAATTACACCCTTTAAGCGCTTAGCATTATTATTTTAAGCCTATATATTTAATATTAAAGACTTAATTTTAATATATTTTAACTTTAGAAATTTCTTTACTGCTTATTTATAACTAAAAATTTCTTTATTATACTTAATTATTTTAATCTTTATTTTATATTAAATTTTCATTATATTATAAAAAGATTTAATTATATTATATAATGTATTATTATCTTAATTTATAAGGTAGTAATTTTAAATAAGTTTAATAACTTTATATATTAGTAAAAGTTATAATATATAGTTATAAATCTCTTTTTCATAATTATAGAAATTTATTGCAATTCTCTTGCTTATTTATTTATAAATCTCCCTTAGCAATTAATAAATTTATTGCATGATTTTAGCAAAAATATATGCTTTATACTTTATAATAATAGGTTTATAAATTTACACCCCTTAAGATAAATTTATTAAATATTTTAAGGCTTTTAATTTTTAAATAACTTAATTATTTATGCTAAATAATAGCTTTGCTTATAAATAGCCTTTTCTTAGTAAATATTATATACTTTTTTTTTTATATATTAAAAGAACTTTAAGTGATTTTAAATTAATATTTAATAATATATTAATTATAAATATTAATAAGTAAATAAAGAATTAACTTATCTTATTATTTTAAAGTAATTAAATTATGCTTATTATTTTAAAACATTCCCTTCTTTTATAATTACCTTAGTAAAATAAGGGTAATTAAAATTTATAAATATAAGGCAATGTTTTTAAAATATAAAACTAAGGTTCTAGCTTATATAAATATTATTTTATATATTATAATTAATAGTTATTAATTTCTTAATTATATATAATTATTATAAGTTGCTGGCTATAAATTTACTAATTATTTATTAATATTTATAATTAATATTATGCTAATAGGGTTTAATATTATTAAGTGCTTTAAAGGGTATTTTTTTATAATATTTATAATAAAAGCTTTCCTAGCCTTTATATTAGCGATATAATATCTTAATAATTAATCTTTAATTTTTTATATTAACTCCTTCTTTATAGGTTTTAAAGTCTTAAATTTTAATTTAGATTTTAAGCCTTAAATAATATAAATTTAAGCTTAAAGATTAGCATTATTTTTAAGGGCATTACGCACTTTTTCTTCCGTTCTTTAGCTTTTTTTAAATTATAAAAGTGCTTTTTCCAAAAATATATAAAAGCAATTAGCAAGGGCATGGTTTCTATTGCAAGCTATATATATCTTTTTAAGGTTTTATACTTAAAATTAATGGCATTTATTGCAATATTAGCTAAATTTATATAATAAATTAGGTTTAATTAAGCCTTTTTAATATAAGCTTATTTCCTTAATAATATAAGCATCCTTTTTATTATTATAGTTATTTTTCTTATTATAAGTAATTGCTTATGCTTCTTTAATAATCTTAGCAAGTTTATGCTATATACCTAAAGCTTATAATTCCTTATAAAGAAGATTTTTAACTTTTTAAAATTTAAAGTTCCTATTTACTACTTTTTATTTTCTTATTTACTAAAAAGTAGTTATTTATATTAACATTACGCCTTATATAGCTTATAATAAATTAGGGATTTATATAATAATTTATCTTACCTTAATAATTTCTTATTAAGTAGCTTTAAATATAGCAAATTCTTATTTATTAATTTAAATTAGGGTTTCTTTTAAATTCTTTAATAATTTTAAAGCATTCTTATATAAAGCTTTTATTTATAGCTAGTTATTTATTTATAATAATCCACACCTTTATTATAAATTTAAATATTATTATTAAAGTAAAATTTTAAATAAGCAGCAATTTAACTTATAATTTAAGGTAATTATTTAAAGCACTTATTTATATAGCTTTTAAATAGCGATTTATTCTTTAATATACTTTAATTCTTTTAATTTATACCCCTAAAAGTTAAGATTATATATCTTAAGATTAATATTAATAAGGTTAAAAAATAGCTATTAGCCCTATTATTTCTTTTAAATAATTTTAAAATTATTTAATTTAATATTAAATCCGCTAATTATTTAAAAAATCACACTTTAAATGGCTGCAATAATCTTGGTATACTTTTAAAGGCATATATTAGGTTTTTATAGCTTTAAAAGGAGTTTAACTTAATTATAAATATAATGTTTAAGTTTGTAAATCTTAACTTAAAGGTTAAATTTATAGTTTTAGTTATGCTATTTTTTTAACTTAGTTAAAAAGGCGTTTTAAGTTTTATAATTATTTTTATTAGTTATTTTACATAGCTTAAGGTAATAAAACTTTTAATTATTAAATTCTATACCTTTTTTATGATAAAATCCTTATATATATGGTTAATTTTAATGGTTAACGTAATAATATCTTAATTCTTATTTTTTTAAAGCTAGCTAATAGCGAGGGCTGGTTTTTTAACTTATGGATATTAGTGCCTAAGGCATTTACCATTGTATTACTCGTGTATATACGGTGAATTTACGGTTTTATGGTAAATCTACCGTCTTTATAGTAAATTTACAGTGAATTCATTAATTTATAGTGAATTCACGGTAAATCCATCATGCAACCGTTTAGCCACGGTATATTCACCGTTGGTTGGATCTAACATAATCAATTAAAGTTTGCCGCTCTTCTCAATAAGCCATCCGGGCTCATAACCTGTAAGAAATAAAAAGCGCTGCTAGTGTGCAGCTTAGAGAGTTTATATATTCTGACAGGCATCGCTATCGGACAACGCTCCTAGAAACGTTCCCAAGACTCTCTCACGACTGTGAATAGTTGAAATGTTACAAAAGCTTGTATGGTGAAATGAAATTGTGGTAAGGCCAATGCGTATTGGAAACTGCCTTTGTAATTGGGTACTCTAGACGCCGTGGCTCCCTAAGCGCCGTCTACGTTGTATATTTCCACTCTTCCAAACGCCGAGATGAGACCCACTCTCCCTCACGCCAGCGACTCCTCTTTATGAATCTCAATCCCGGGCGGGGCACCAACAAGCGCCTTGCACTGCGCGTAAATCACAAACTGTCCAGCGACCAGCCCACAAGTCATGACCACACGCGGGCCCAGCCCAGTAGTCAACAGCCTCTTGGGGCCAAACTCCCGCGCCAGCGTGAACATCCGCGCGGTGGTACTCTGCGACTTGTCGCCCGCGCCCTTGTTGATAGCCGACAGCAGGGTGTCAGCGGGGTGGGACAGCACGGCCGCGGCAACACCGGCGACGATGCCCGAGGTCAGCTCCACGCCGGTGGACTCGAGCTGCGTGAGCTTCGCCTTCTTCTCGGGTCCCATGGCACGGTAGATCATCTCGTTGGCGGCCTCGTGCACGGAGAACTGGCCCACCGCGTACGGCACCTGCTTGAATAGCAGCGGCACGAAGCCCGAGTAGAAACCCCTGAGGCCCTCCTCCCTCGCCATCCGCATGAAACCTGTGGCAAGACCACTTGCATAGCCACGCTGGCTCACGAGACGGATGCGCGTTGCCTCCAGCGGTGACAGGGCGATGTCGGCAAAGAACTCTGCGGTTGCGGACGCGCCGAGGTAGATGGCGGTTCGTCGTTGGGTTGCCTTCTCGGTGGACCCGCTCATTTCTATGAACTTCTTCTTGAAGAACTCGTAGCCTGCAAACTTTCCGCCACCTTGGATCAGGTATCCAACAGCTGTGGGACCGAAGCCCGTGAGGAGGGCTGCGCCTTCGTTGGCGACGATTGTGCGTCCTGCTTTTATCATGTTGAGGCCCTTCATAGCATCGTCGACTTGTATCCTTGTCTTGACGACATCGATTGGCGTTGCTGCCTAGAACGGCTGTCAGCTCAAGTCCCATGGGCATCATGGAGGCTGTGTGGGGAGCATACGCCATGTGTGAGGGTTGCCGCAAGGGCACCGGCACCAAAGAATTTGACATAATCAGTTGGCCCATAGTTGGGCAGCTGTTGCTGTTCTTGTTTAGACATAGTGGCCTCGGGATCTGAAGGTCTCTGAGATGGCGGTCTCTTCCTGTCGAGGTTGGCGCGCAGGCCAAAGATGCTGCTCCGGAGCTTCCGAGGCTGCTGAGAAGTCTAGAAGGCGACGACGGTTGGATGGGTGTAAACAAGCGCCACTGAAAGTAGGGCTGGTTCGAAACAATCAAATGGGTATCAAGGTCAAACGCCAGATGGCTCGTCTCTATCCAGATGTGTCGTAGAAAGACCTGGTTGGAATCTAGTGGTTGGAATCTAGAGGTCGTGACCGAGGGTGAGTGGAGATGGATCTATGTGTGTACAGGTTGGGCGAGTCAAGCCGTAGAAGTAAGAAAGCCGTGGGATGGAATCTGCGTGGCAGCGGCACAAACGAGACAGCAAGGACGCGTGAATAAGTACGAAGCGGTCCGGATCTCTCGCGACAAAGTCGTCACCGGTTTGACAGCGAGGACCTTGGCCCGATGAGGTCAATTGAGTTTGCTGGTCGATCCGTCCGTTCCATTGAGCAGGGAACACACGAACGCCATGAGAGACGGGTGACGTCAGTAACTTTGCGATGCTGCTTATCGCTCCGTTGCACCTCGCTTATCTCTAACTCGCCCGGAGTGCCCGGTCGCCTGCACGGGCCTCCCGCGCGCACACTCGGCTGCCGTCGCGAGGCGAGCCCATCCTGCCGATCTCGGTTCCGAGAAGCAACCTACGACGTCGAGATATATTTCTTACCGTCAAGCAGAGCCATACACGAAATCGCAATATAGGTATTGATACCGCCCAGATCCACTACGACACCATCTACCGTGACGCCTATGGACTTGACAACCTCAATAAGTGGTCCAAGTCACTGTCATTGAATCCCAAGCTACCACTCACTCCAGATTGATTATCATGGACTGCACACAGTCTATGTCCATGGCTTCCCTAGCCACGACGCCTGAAATCAGACACTCCCCTACTAACGCGTAGACATCTCCAGTGCCGTCCTTTGGGCGCACGGCGTAGGGCAGTTCCATGCCGTCGAACACACAAATGAGGTCCCCTTCCTCCGCTTCCCGCGGCACCCAGCCTACTGCCCCATGCAGTGTTCGGCTAAAGCGCCTATGCAGCATCTTGAGAGTGAAGGCTTCCAAGTGACCTACGGACTCTATAGTAGCAGCATAGGAAGCCATAGCTTCGGAAAAGCCGGCCTCGTCTGCAGCAGAAACGATTGCTTTCACAGCTCGTCGGTATGCCGGAAAGTCCTTCCTGACCGCTGCTATGGTCTCCGGGATATGGGTCTTCATAATATCCTCAGCCAGCAAGGCAGATAGGTAGCTATCCTCATCATGGTTTGCCATTTCTGCAATTCCCCAGCACTCATCGAGCCAACAATCCCATCGACCGACTGCGATTTTAGCATCGACTGTAACCATGGTTTGGACGAAATTTCCCAACTCGGAAGAAGTGCTCATGTTCATTCCCAACTGTTCCAGACGATCGACTATACGTCCTTTGATCTGCAGCTGATTTCCACTCGTTGACGCACCTAGTTCCTTGCTTCTGCAAGGATCAGGAGCTATACCCATCGTCTGGGACACTTCTAACGTCTGCATGGCAAGACCGGGCATTGCTGGCAGCTCCCCAATGTTTGGCATCCAAGACATTGCGCCTCGTCGGTCAACTGGCATTGTAGAAATAAATGACCACAAAATCCTGAGATCCCTAGGACTTTTCAAACAAGCTTGGGCGAGTCGATGGTAAAGCTCTTCGGTGGGGATGTCGTAGTCGATGAGATTATCTTGGAACGAGCCGTCCGTTGAGATACCTAGTAAGGCAATAATGTGGTCTCGTGGATCTGTGCACCTGAAACCGAGGGTCCTTGCCAGTAGAAGCGTGAGCGGTGCCTCTTTATCCCTCATGAGCGCGAGCATTCTGGCTTTGTTGAAGTCGGAGTAGACGTCCGAACTGCTAGCTGACGAAGTCTCAGCCGTCCAAGGATAGCTGCCGAGGAACAGGAGCAGAGTCTGCGGGCTCGTCTCTACAAACCAAAGCCATGCCTGGACAGCCTTCCATGCCAGTCTCTTGGATCCGGAAACAAGCACCATTTCGTGTTCCGTCGACTTGGCCACCTCCTGGATCACCCACTTGCGCGCAAACCAGGGCCGACGGAGCAGCATCCATATTTCCCTGTACGCTTCGTCCTGGCGCTCACCGAATGCCGATTGAAGAGCCTTCTCGGTCTCCGCGCTGGTGTTGACGCCAACTCGGCCAAATATGGTCGGTATCACGGTTTCAGTGTCTTCAGCGTAAAGGACCATCCGGGCGTTAACAAAGCGCTGGAGCCACGTCATTCCCCGGGCGACATCATCGTCCTCTTCGCCCAGCCATATCAATGTACTCGTCGCCCTGGCGTAAATGTCACCCATCATCCGGACCTGCGCGTTTCGCTCCGCGGTATCCCCCTGGTTGATGCACAGCGCGTCGGCCCATATCAACCGGTCTGATTCTACAGCATGACGCCTCAGTTGACGCAGTGCGCTGCAGAGGCTGAGCCCTATCTTGGATGCAAGACCGCAGCAGCGAATTTCTGCTTGCGGCAGCGGGTCTCCCCATGCATACGAGAGGGCTGCGAACGGGGGAGCCGCATGGAGAGGCACAGTGATCAGGTCGACAGAGAGCTGTGGATCTTCTGGATCGGTTCCGGAGTGGAGATTAAGAATCCGCATCTCGCGAGGCCCCGACAACGGGGAATATTGGTATTCATGTGCGGTCACGTCCATCTGATATTGAAAGATAGCTGTCGTATGTGAGGGGTTTTGAGCACTCTTTGGCGCAAACGCAATGCAGCTGGAGAGATGAAGACTGGACTTACGTGGGCAGTCCGGAGCTGTTATTAGGATGACCCCGATCTTCGTGCAACCTAGGTGAGACCCTGCCTCACATTGGTATCCAGTAACTACATTCGGATTGGAAACAGGTAATCTCGATTCTAAGACATGAATTGACTACCCCGCTTTGCTTAAGCAGACATCCGTTTCTCAGAATTATTTGCTCAATCTTGGAAGAAACTGCTAATTACAAAGTAGGGGAGTATGAAAAGCGGTGGAATCCTCGACGATGGTCAGTTCTGAGACCATAAGGTCCCTGACTTCTCTTAGTACCTTGAGTGCTGATCGGTTTTAGAAGCTTATGTTCAGGCAAAGCAAAGCTGGTTGAGGCCCACCCACAGTCGAAATCAGAGTTACTCTGCCGCTGCGACTCATCGCATTCCTCCTGGTGATTGCTAGATGCCTAAAAGCACAACTCATGTCAGTATTTGTCCTCTCAGATTCTCGAACCGTGATAATGGTCCATACCATTAGGCCTTATGGGCCCAGGGCTAGGAGGTTGTGGTAACAAAAATGGACTCTAATGGAGGCATCAAATTCACGTCACCTCGATAACACTCCTCCGGAGGCTACTTGCGGGCGGTACGCAAAATTAGCGGTGTCTATACGGACTCGGTCATCGCCATCGCAGGAGACGTTCATTTATATATGCAGTGACCGGCCTCTTTGTGCCACATGTTGGGGCATATAAGACTTTACATCAGAGAGTAATGGACGAATAAATGAATATCTAGGTGCTCCAGTTTGAATTAGCCTAATGGGTCGATATATTTAACTTCAAGATCATGAACAAGGTGGAAAAGGTGCGGTAGATCATGGATGTCCCGTCTCAGATTTACACGTCCAGAAGAGCTGTGGGAAGGAGGTGCTTTATGGCGAAGGTACTTGTCTATTGACCATTATATATATGTCCTACTCAGACTTCGATCCTATTTCCAGAGCAATGAATAATCGCTCAGCACGAGACAAGCGGTCCGGACCAGTCGTGTCGGTCTTCGCCCACATCGGGAGAGTGGACCCGGCCGGATTTCCCATCGGAATTGCCGCAGACCTCCGGGCCGTGCGGATGCCCTCATGTTCCCGAACCCCCGGATACTGAATTAGTTCCCAAGAGAAGGCAATATTCTGTTCAATCGTATGGTAAAAAAATAGACCTATCTCCGCCACCCAGAATCGCGTGCCAAGTTTCGACGTTGTAGCGAACAGAGAACCAGGTATCATAATGTCTATCCCTCGCGTCCTCGAGCCCCTCGGCAGGCCCACCCCGTATATCATTCCCGCCTAGGAAGGCGAGAGCATCGCCATCCCGGGAACGAGGGGCAGCATCCGCATCCTGGCGTCAGCGGAGGAAACAGACGGGCTGGTATCCGTGTTTGGCTACGGCGGCGTCACGGGCGATGCGCCGGGATTCCACTACCACAACGAGGTGCACGACGTCTTCCTGTGCACGCGCGGGCGGATGAAACTCTGGGCCGGGAACCGATGCAGGATCCTGTCGCCGGGTGATTTCGCGTACGTGCCGCCCAAGGTCGTCCACCAGCCGCAGCTCGTGGATCCCGTCAATGAGAGTGTTGGGCTGGTCACACCGGGCCAGTGGGTTGACTTCTTCCGGTTTGTCACGGAGAAGTACGACGGCATCATCGGGGATGAATTCGATCGGCGCAACACGATGAAGTTCATGTTCAGCATGATCCAGGAGATCAAGGAGAAATACGACGTGATATTCCAGCCTGGGTTCCAAGGCGCCGAGGTGTCGGACTGGTCTGAGGAGGACTCCAAGTTACCAGATGGCCCGGAGCCGACCGAGTACTTCCTGCGGGCGAACACTGGCCCGAGGTACTTCCTCGAAGGCATTCTGGCTCGGCCCTTCATCACGACGAAGCAAAGCGCGGGCCAGTTTGCGATCACCAGCATCGAGTCCAGTAACCGACTGACCAACTCGGTCCTCAGCAAGCCGTTTGTATTTGAGAAAGTGCACCAGGTCTACCACGTGCTCGATGGCGCCATTCTCGTCAGAACTGATGGTCAGGCACCTGGAGACCTTGTGCGCGCGGGAGAGACGGTCTTCATTCCTGCCGGCAAGGAGGTCTCGTTTAGCTTTGTCGACAGGTATGTCCGACTGTGGTCCTTCACGGGTGGGGATGGAATCGAGGCACTGGTCGCCGGCGCCGGCGATGCCTTTGAAGGTTCGGTCGTTCCGGATCAAGTGGCGTCGTTCGATGTCGACCGGGTGCACCAGGTAGCAGAGTCTTTAGGTATCAAGATCAAGCTGTAGGAACCTTCACGCAAAGGGGGCCAAGAACCCGATCGATTGAAGGCAGCAAGATAACCTTGGCATTCCTGCCCTGCGTATAAGAGTACCAAGAGAGAGCTACGAAGGCTCTGCTACTGTTATAGTACACATGGCATCGGGTGTAGGCTCTTTCGCGGTCACTTTCTCAGCGGATGTTAGCATCGCTTGGAACAACTTATCAAGCGTTGTCATCATATCCGCTGAACTTGCGTGCTGCTCAAAATGGATCTTCCCGGCGCGGAGGTGTTCCACATCGGCCTTGGCTGACATTCGATGCGGGTATTTGAAGATGTTCCGGTATAGGACAGAAATTGCACCCATCAGGTAATCGGTTTGCGGGCTATCGCAGGTGGATAGGATGTCAGCGATGAGCACTCAAAGATCTTGATCGCGAGCTCGACGTACCAAAGAATGTTGTACCTGCTGTTATCCGGGCGAGTTGTGGCGCTGGGCTTGGTCAGCAGGTGGGTGCAGGTTTGGAATGAAAGGGGACACACTCGTTCAATGTTTTTATGAAAGACCTGGCTGCGGACAAACATATGGCCTCGCTCCCTCGAATGCGGGGGTTCGGATGTGACGTGACCACATTGCGCTTTGCATGAGCACAGGTCAAAGACGCCCAGTGGACGGAGCGCACCATATTGAAATAGTCCAAATGGAGAGTTACAAGGAGCTGTCCGGTGTTGCCTGGCGACACGATTTCTTCTCCTGGTCGGCAGTCCATCGGTATATCGTGGCACCATGACAGCAGTGCCGTGTCGATGTTCCCGAGTTCGGTGAGCATTGAAACGGTGGTGCTTGCCTGATTGGTGGAGTTGCAGAAACGGTGCTGTATCTGAGAGAGCTTAGAGCTCCAGGCGTAGACATCCGATGCGGATGCATGTAGGGCTGTCGTAGGTTGCGGTTGTCCATGGCTCTCATGCGGGAGCAATGGTGTGAAATCCATGTCGGAACTCGAAGGGTTTACTGAGGCTGGCCTGCCCTGAGTAATGGATAAAACTCTGTCACGCCTGTCAGCATTAACCAGAAACCAGATATATCGAGACATTGATGACTGACCCGTCCAGACGATACGCGACCCACCAAAGCAGAGACCTCAACCTTACATCTTCTTCGCTCAGGTCGAGGTCTTCGGGGCTCCGCCGATGTAGTCCAACAGCTTGTGCCACGCGGATAGCCAGTCCACAGAGGACCCAAGCAAAGCCTGCCTTGCTACACTGCAGGTGAAAGATGACCTGGGATACTTTAGCGAAGAAGACATACATGGCCATGGATTTCTCACTCACGTGTAGTAGCAGGATCTGCACGGTGCTGACATTAGGTACGGCAAGACAATCGTGCAACATGTCCCAGCTCTTTTGGTAGAGGCTCTGAGATGTTCCTCCTGCCTGAGGAGCATTTTCAACTGCCGATTTAGCGTTCAGGTCGCCGACAGCCACGACCAGGCAGAAAACCGAGAGCAGATCGCGATCCGGGTTCGTAGAATGTGGCTCGTATAATTGGGGCCAAGCAGAACCAAACGATGGTTTGTCGATTACTGGATACAACGGGTGGACGGCATCGAAGAAGACTGTTCCAAAAAAATACCAGTCAGAAAAGTTAACATATTAGAGGAGCTTGGTGACAAGACTTACCCTCAATCGCGGCCCCCGCAACAGACTTTTCTGGCAGATGCTGCAAATCGGTCCCCGCGCTGTTAGGGACCCCGGCTTCGTCGATATGAACTCCAGCTTCAATAAGGAAATCCAGACCGACAGAGCGCAAGAGACCAGGGGGGCTTTTGAGAGACTCTCTCATACAAAAGGCGATGGTGGCTCCGGTGGAGTTGAGACCGATAAAATTACTGTTGACGGTGTCTTTCCTTATGAAAAGCCCGGGCAGAATTCGCTCGTTGGAATCTCCTCGACTATCGCCGACAGCCAGAGACTCCACACCAGAGACCTTCCCACCAGCCTCGCGGTTACCACGTTGTGAAGGCGAGGCTTGGGACGCGGGGCCTTTAGTTGTAGAATTGGGTGAGGGTTGCAGCCCTTCAAACACAACTGCGCATGACAAGTCCAAAGTCTCGTTCCAGAAGTCCATCAAGTCGTCCGGTGGCGGGACATCCTGGGGAAGTATCCCGTCCAATGGATTGTCTGCATCTTGTGGGTGAATTGGTAACGTAGGGTCGAGGCGGTTCAAGACGGAGCTCGGGGTCGGAGAATCCGGTGGATTGGACACCGCCCGATGTGCTCGTTGTCGTCCGCTGGGCCCATTCCGCCTCCGCCGTGAGGCTGTCGTGCCTGTTGGATAGACACATTCGGCGCCGTATAGCTGACAGTTCGGGCATGGGTACTGAGCGGTGGTGCACTTAAGCTGAACCAGGACAACGCCGATGTCAGAAAGCCACGACCCAAGCAAGGGATAGCCGAGGGGAAAAGAGCTTACCCGTTTTTGGCGACAGTGGTGACAGGCCTTAGTGACTCGCTTAGACGCCATGCCTTGTGCGTCAGGCTGTGAGGTGTCCATAGGAGCTGAGTTGACGACGGTGATGTTCCAGGGAATGTGGCCGAACACAAAGATCCGGGGCTCGCACAATGTCGGTCCAGAGATGGAGGTGTGCCACACCGTTGGCCCCTGTGCCAGTGTGACGTCTCGGTCAAGCTAGGTTTAGTTAGACCATCTTGCATTGAAACCTTAAGTGAGCCTGCGGTACTCGACCGGTGCGGGGTGCAGCTGCGGCTGTCTCATGCGGCAACCTGGGGTGAACTTCATTCTGGGCACGGAGAAATTCCGGATGAATAATGTGGAAGTACTTAAGGGAGTGTAATTGTGCCGCATTAGCGGCGTCGCTTTTGCCTTCAATAGTTATGAGCCCGGCTCGCCGATTTTCCTCTTCTTTTCTTTTATAGCTATCATCAAAATGACCCTTTTATTTAATCACCATATGTAGCCTTCTTTTTATGCCTTCCTATGCTTTTATGCCTAAGTATAAGAATTACGAGATTAAATTAACTTTAATGCCATTATCGCTAATATTAATTCATTTATAAATACCTTTTTTTAAATATTAATACTTAAAGCAATTATTATTAATAAGAATTAATGCTATCTTAAAAACTATAAAGCTTTTTATACTTTATAAAAAGATTTTTAAACCCTTAAATAAGGCTTAAATTTAAATACCTTATTGCTTATTATTATATATAATAAAGCCTTAAAAGATTTATTTAAAAAGTAATAAAAGAGTTATATTTAAAAAATAACTTATTATATTTATTATATAAAAAGTTTTAATATTTTTAATTAATAAATTAAAGCGCATATAAAAAAAGCTAGAGTTATAATTATATATATATATAATTATTTTAAGAATAATTTTAACTTTGTAAAATATTTAATTTAGCTTTAGTTTATATTGTATAAAGTGTGCGTTTATTTAATAGCTTTATAATTATATACTTTTCATGGAGTTAGGGTTATAGGAAAGGGCTATATATAACATTATATAAAACGTTAAAATTTTAAGGCTTATATATATATATATATAAACTTTTAACCCTTGTTTATAAAGGAGTACTTTATAAAATATATATTATTTTATAGAGAAAAGAATTTATATAATAATATATAACGCAAGATAAAGCTGAATTAATTTTATTATAAAGCTAGAAATTATTAATAAAATTATATAAAATTATATATTTATATATAAAAACTTTTCATAACTTTAAAAAAAACCTCCTTATAATGATTATATAAATTATTAGAAATTAAAGTAATTAATTAATTAAAATATTTATAAAAACCTTTGAAAACCTTATTATTTTTATAAAAATAAGCATATAAATAATTATTTAAAATGAATATTATAACATTTTTTATAAAGCTAAAAAAGGTAATAATTGTTACGGTTTGGGCTTTGCTCATTATAATTAGTTAGCGGGCTTTGGCCTTATAAGAATAGGCTTTGGCGCGGGTATAGACGGGAAGCAAACTTCCTCCTTTATACTTTAAATATAAACCTTATTTAGGCACCTTTTAATAAATAACCCAAGGCTAACTCATAATATATATTTAAAGTCCTTTTACATTATAAATTTATAATATAATTATATAAAACTTAATATAATAAGATTTAAAAAGAATAATAATAACTTATTAAGCTTTTTTTTTATTTTAAGAAACTTTTATTTTAAAAATGCTTAGTAATTTAGTTAATAAAAATAAAGGTTAAGTTTATAATAAATAAAAAGATAATTAATATTAAAGGGGCTTAATTGTTTTATATATTTAATTAATTAAGAACTTTTTATAATTAATTTATATTTTATATTAGTTTTGTAAAAATATTTAAAGGGTACTTAAAAAGCTTTTTAAAAAAGATTTGCTTTATACTTAAGAATTCTTTTAAGCAAAAATATGCTAAGCTTAATATAATTATATTATAATAATATTATAAAAAGGAAATAATAAAATTTCTTATTTAATTTAATTAATTAATTTATATAATAAAAGCTTTAAATTAATTAAATAAATATAAGATATTATTAATAATTAATAACTTAATCTTTATAATAAAAGCTTAGCTTAATTATAAAAAGTAATTAAAAATACTTAAGGCTTTTTGCTTTGCCTTATAATAATATAAGGATGTTTTTAATATTATAATAAAGGAAAATAATACTTAACCTTAAAATAATAAAGTAATAAATATTAATATTATAATAATTTTAATAAATAAAGTTAAGTATTTTATATATAATTAGCTTAATTATTATAAGCATAATTATTTTAATTATTATAAAACAATAAGGGTATAGCTTTTATTAATTAAGGCTGGTAAGGGAGAAGAGTTTGTTTAAGGGGGTGTAAAATTGTTTTATAAGGTAGGGCTTAAGGTGTGGCTAGCTTAGTGCTAGCTTGGGCTTAAAACGCGTTAATTATGTGCTAGCTAGCATGGTATTATAAAATATACTTAGCTTTAAGGGGGATTTTATTAAGAAAGCAAATTATTAATATATTAAATGTTAATTAATTATAAAATATATAATAATTTTATAATTTCAAAGCTTTAAATAAGAAAGCATATATAAATAATTTGCATTAAAAGATTATAGGAATGCCGTTAACTTAATAGCTAGCTTATATTTAAATAATTATTTTTATTGCTTAATATATTAAATTATAAGGGCTAAAGGTATATTAATTATGAAAAATGGGCTGGGCCTTTAATGCATTTAAAAAGCGCTAGGGTGTAATTAAATAGCTAAGTAGAGAGCGATATTTGATTTATAATTAAATTATAATATCCTTTATTTTTTATTAAATAGCTGCCCTTTTAAGCTTATTATAAGGACTTGGAAAAGGAAGATATGTTATGGTTTGGGCTTTGCCTATTGTGATTAGTTAGCGAGCTTTGGCCCTATAAGAGTAGGCTTCGGCGCGAGTGCAGATAGGGAGCAAACCTCCTCCTTTGCACTTTAAATATAAACCTCATTTAGGCACCTTTCGGCAGACAACCCAAGGCCAGCCCATAACAATAATTTTATTATTTAATTTTAATGCTTTTAAAAAGATTTTTTTAATATAAAGATATATAAATTATAAAAGTTATTATAAAACCTTAATTATCCTTTAATGTTTTTTTTACTTAAAATATTTAATATTAATAAACTTAAATATATATATAAATTAATTAATTAATAAAGAATAATAACCTTAAATATTTTTAATTATTATAATTAAATAATTATATAAAGTAATTTATAACGCTTAATATAAGTAATTAAAGCATAAATATAACATTTTAAATATATATTATACTTAGCTTAAGCCTTTAAAAATATAATAACCTTTTAATAATTAAATACCCTTATAAATATACTTATAAATAAAATTTAAAGTATTACTTTTATATAAAATATACTTTAAATAAATAAGTTAAAAAGAATTCTTTAAAGGATATTTTTTACCTTTTTTTATTAAAAAGTAAATGAAAATCCTTATAAAAATATAAAACTTTAAATAAAATGCTTTTTAATAAGTCTTTAAGGTTAAAAAAAGGAAACCTTAAGCTATAAACTTCCTTAGGTTAATTAAGGGTTAAATTAATTATATAAATAACCTTTTTTAAAACTTAATTAAATAATTATTTATTATTTTTAATTAATAGGCCGTTAATTAAGGCATAAAAACGTTATAGCAATAATTAAAGGCCTTTTTAAAGCTTAAAATATTAATTATTATATTTAAAGATAATAAAGTTAGGAACCCCCTTATTATACGCAAGGAAATTAAGGGTATATTAAAGATTAAGGGGCTTGGCACGTTTTAGGTATAAGAACACGTCTTATACCCTCTCTTAAGGGCTTGTTTTTAAATACAGCCAACTTAAATACACTCTTTTAAGCCCCTAATTTAACAATTATAAGCCGGGTTCGCTAGTATTCCCACGCTAGTACGTTCCAACACCCACAGGGGGGGAGGTCTCAAGTTTGAACACCAGCTGTATCCGATGAGAATATGAGAGCCTGTTTAGTTCGTTCACGTAGATGCTTACAAACTGGGGGGTGTGTGGAAGTACTTAAGGGAGTGTAATTGTGCCGCATTAGCGGCGTCGCTTTTGCCTTCAACAAATAAGGCATTCGCGTCCATTGGGTTACCATCTCACGTAAGACCCCCTGGAACATCTGGGGCTCACTCGGTCAGTCAGTTCAGTCTCGATTACTGACCAACGATATCTCTGGCATATCTTCAGCGAGGAAGACTGTTTCACCTGACACAAAACAGCTTCGGTGTGATGTTCAAGGCGATCATCATCGGCGCTGGCCTCGGAGGCCTCGCCTGCGCCATCGCGTTTCGTCGCTATGGCCTGGAAGTCATCGTCCTGGAGCAAGCCTCCAGGATTACCGAGGTATGCGGTAATATCTCTGCAGCTTCAACCTCGATTGACGACGTCAGGTCGGCGCGGGCATTCAAATTCCTTCGAATGCCTCTCGCGTGTTGAAATGGCTGGGCCTGTTTGACCAGGTCAAGGAATACGCCTGCCTCCTGGACTACCTCGATCTGATGAGATACGAGGATGGGTCTCATATTCTACGAAGGTCGGCCCAAGACATCGAACAGAGATACGGAGCGCCTTGGATGTGAGATGTGCAATTTCCAGCCCCTTGGCACCGTTTCTCGACTGATTCCCACACAGGGTCATACATCGCGCAGATTACCATCGGGCATTACTAGACGCCGCTACAACTTCCGGCGCGGAAGTCCGTCTCGGCGCCTCGGTGAAGAAGATCGACTTCGAGAAGACGTCGGTGGAAGTTGATGGCGGCCAGATCATGTCGGCCAACGTCGTCGTGGGTGCTGATGGTATGCCGTAACTGGTCCTTGTCCAACCGTTGAAAGCTATTCATGCCTAGGTAACCATCACAGGACTGTGGTCTACTGCCCGGGACCAAATCTTAGGTCACCCATCTCCTCCTGGTGAAACGGGTGATCTGGCGTATCGAGCTACGTTTAAGACGGCCGACCTACTTGCCCTGAACGATCAGCAAGTCACCGAACTCTGCACGCAAAACCGTTGCACCCTGTGGATGGGCCCTTACAAACACTGCGTGCTTTACCCCCTCAAAGGAGGTTCCGAGTTCAACCTGGTCCTTATTCGACCCGACAACCTTCCTCCAGGCACAAACAAGGTCCAGGGTGAAATCGGCGAGATGCGGGAGACCTTCCAAGGATGGGACAGCAGTCTTACCAAGATCATCTCCCGCATCCCCTCCGTGCTCAAATGGAAGCTTTGCTTTCATGATGAACTGGATACATGGTATAAGGTCAGCTTCTCTTTCCCCAAGTCTGAAGAAGTTCGGGTTCATGATAGATCCAGGGTAACGTCACACTCCTCGGCGACGCTTGCCACCCCACTCTACCCTACCAAGCTCAAGGGGCGGCAATGGCCATCGAAGATGGAGCTGTGCTTGGGCACCTTCTTGGCTCCCTGTTCGAAGACTACAAGCAGTCGCCTGAGTTGGCACACGGACAGGTGAGCTCGCTGTTGCAGGTGTACGAGAAGCTGCGAAAGCTGCGTACGACGACCAACGTCAAGGGTGCCGTGGCCAACCGGTACATGTTTCATCTCGAGGATGGAGACGAGCAGAGGAGGCGAGATGCTGAGCTGAAGTCTCATGAATGGGTCCATCCATCGCGCTGGAGGTGGGCGGATGGTACGGCTCAAGATGAGTTGCTTGGGCACGATGTGATCGCGGAGAGCGAAAGGGAGTACAACGCATGGAAGTCTGGTAAATTGTAATCTGCACAGACACAACATCCATCTGCATGGCGTGTATGGGTTATCGACTCGCAATCCAACTTCTATAGTTCAGTACGCCGGCCTAAGAAAGAAAGGAAGGAAAGAGAGATCTGGAGGGACACCCGGAGCTGCAGGTGTATGACAGGTGGGCGTTATCGATAGGGCGCTTCTGCAGGGACCCACTGCAAGACCCAAACGCCCTGGCCCCAGCCACCAGCCCTGACTGCTGACACTCTAATTACTGCGCCGTGCTCTGGAAAATCCAGAGAAGAAAAGCATGGGTGACGGGATGGCCTGTCTGGCCGCTGCTCATTCCTTGCTAGTATGTCCACAGAAGGCTGGTTGTGGGTGACCTGAACTGGATCTCCCGTCCATAATTACTAACGTCAGCAGCTACCACAGGGGTTGATTAAAAAGAGGGGTTTCTCGAAGCCCAACCTTTAACAATATGTCGTCTCATATCTTGCTATAAGAATTGCACTGTCATGGCTTCAAACAAGAACGGTATTCCTTACAAGGTCCCACTGAAAGAGTCTTGCATTCGGCTCTTGACAATAAAACCAGGCAATGCCGCAGATCCCTTGCAGCTACATTTAAGCACAGTTTCGCTGAACACAAGCCCCAAGTACGAAGCCATCTCATACTGCTGGGGCGATGCGAGTCTTAGGGATGTCGCTCTTTGTGATGAGTACGACGTGAGCATCACGACAAGCCTCTACGAGGCCCTCAGCGAACTACGGTATGTGGCTGAGCCGCGAACTGTCTGGGCCGACGCGTTGTGCATTGATCAAACAAACGTCGACGATAAAACCCAGCAAGTGCAACTGTTCCATCGAGTATATTCCCAGGCGACGCGGACACTGATCTGGCTCGGCCCAGACGAGCCAGACACAGCAAAGTCCCTTCGTGATGCTGGGAAGCTCATCCAGGAGGGGCTGGCCTTCGCGAGATCCTGTACCCTGTGTTCGGATTCTCAGGCTTCGGGAAACGTGGTAACGCCACGCCTGGGAGACAGCCCGCCGAGTCTTCTTGACTACGATTGGAGCTTTTTGAAGACTATCTTCAGCCGTCCCTGGTTCGGACGCAAATGGGTCGTGCAGGAGGTGGCTCTTGCCAAAGAAGTTGTGGTTGCTGTTAGGGGCAGCATTCGGTTCCCGTGGCGAGATCTGGCCATGCTCTCCGACGTGCTCTTAGGCTTGGACGCCAGTTCGGCTCTGGTTCGGAACCTTGGACCAGCTGATGGCGAAACATCACCCGAGTCGCTTGGCATTGGTACAACCTGGGGCGGAGCGATGTACAACGCCAACATGATCATGACGATTCAGAATCATCGTGCGAAAAGTACACTGCTGGATACTGTTGTCGCTACGATGGGGTTTCAGTGCACTGACCCACATGATTGCATTTACGGAATCTCAAGCTTGCCTGGTCAGGGTCCTATGATCAGTGCCGACTACACAATATCTATACGAGAGACCTTCAGGCGATTCGCAGAGCTCTGTCTTGTGGAGGGCAAAAGTCTGAAAGTACTTGGGCTCGCTCCCGACAAGCTCATGTTCCCGGTACAAAGAGACATCGAGAGACTGCCTGAGTTGCCATCATGGGTACCCGACCTGCGTCTGATCGGTCAAATGCCTTCCTTGGTTAGCTTTGGTACCGATTCATTCAGCGAGCAGAGATTCCATGCCGGTGGTCACGATGTCCTGCCTACACTATCAGTATCAGACAACCTCCTTCAGTGTCGGGGCATCATCATCGACAGCGTCGGTCCTTTGATTGAGAAATCACTGGTTGAAAGAGTAGGAAACTCCTTTTCTGAAGTCCGAGAAACCATGATGCAATCGATGCCTATCCGCGACAACTTTACGAGGATGAAGGAGACGGTCCTGGGCGAGTGGCTCCAAGCGTGCTGTCTCTGCGCCCTTCACGGGGCTACCTCTTCAAGTCTCTGGCCGGATTCAATGAGATTACCCAGGAGGGTGAACGAAGCGCAGAATGAGTGGGATGTGAAATCATTGGTCCAGCTCCGACCCAGTCCGGAGCTGCTTTCCGCCCTATCTCGCACAATGATGTGTGACTGGGGAGACAAGGAGAGCCAACCAACTCTGGAGGCTGAGGAGCTCAAGTTGGTCCGTGACCTGTTGACTTACGTTTTCGACTCCTATCAAGATCATTCGGTCGAGCTGCCTCAGAGCCTGACTGGTGAGGATTCTGCGTTCAACACGTCCATGGCCAAATGGTCGACGGTGCGCAGGTTCTGCTTCACGAGCAATGGGCGACTTGGCCAGCTTGCGCCAGGGTCGGAACCCGGCGACCGCATCTGCGTTCTGGGCGGCGGAGAGGTTCCTTTTGTAATAAGACCGATTGGTGGAGACGGCAAGGGCATGTATCAACTCGTTGGGGAATGCTATCTGGATGGTATGATGGATGGGGAGGCCTGGAAGCTGAGTGACCATGTCGTGGAGAATATCAGCCTTGTGTAGGGAATTAATGGTGCACACTTGATCCTTCCTCTCCGGTTGATTTCACTTCCCTCATTTGACTTCTTTATGTCTTTTCCTCGCACCAGTCTTTCTACTTGACCAAACTTAAATTCAGGTGGTTGGTGGCGTGCTTGGATCGGCTACGAGCCTGTGAGGGTTTGGCAGAACATTTATCTGATCAAACCGCGGGAGGGTCGGAGATGCCTCGTAGTGAGCAGAACGGTGTGTTGGTGCAAGATCAAGGGCGGACGGTGAGTGTGGTTAGAATGGTGTTGTTTTGCAGCATCTGTTTCCTCTATCTGTGCAGGGTCGAGCTGGGAAGCATTGCCGATATTCCATCCCTTCTTCACTATTCGTGTACACTGAACGACCCAGTCTTCGCTGGGCTGGCTCTGCGATCAACAATCAACATTGCCTTGCGAGTGCTCGTTCAACATCTCATGTATTCATGAATTGAAACACTGTCATCTTTTTCGCATTGTCTATCTGTGGTTCTATACCCTGAAGGATTCTGTCAGTATGCGAGGATCTGCCATTGGGACAGTGCGGCCCCGCATTGTGAGCGACACCAGGCACCGGAATTACTCTGTGCATCATTGGCAGGACTAGAGAACAGGCCCGTATATGGGGTCACCGATACTTTGGACCCTTTTACTGCTGACGATCGACACTGACCCTGTCAGGCCTGCCCAGCCTGCAAGCTTCGGACCCGGGTGCCCCTCTTTTCCCGTCCATTGCCTCTATTCGACCTGCAGGATGCAGATCACCCGCGGTCACCAACAAATGAATCCTGCCGCACGGAGGGGATCATGGGTTCAGCCCCGGAAGGATGCTAATTTGCCGAAACCATCTCCTGGAAGCTGACCGTTCGATGATCCACCAAAAACAGGCTGCATCTTAAGAGTTTTATTTAATCACCGTTTAACTCGTACTCTCTCGTTCGGCTGACCCAATGTGCCACCGCTAGTACCACGTCCTCGAGTGACAACACAAGATGCGGCAAAACATCGTCCAGGCCATTCTGGCGGCGTCAATTTCCAGCACCCGTGCAGTCGTGCCCAACTATACGACAGCTGAGGCAGGCAACCCGTTTGTGGATGGGTGGTATGCAGACCCAGACACGGAAATTTACGACGGCTTATACTGGGTCTACCCAACTGCTTCCTACAATTACGAAGAGCAGACCTACCTCGACGCATTTTCGTCCCCAGACCTGATCAACTGGACCAAACACCCCAATATCCTCACCACCGCCAATGTCTCGTGGGCAACACAAGCGGTGTGGGCACCAGCACCCATCAGCCGCAACGGGAAGTACTACATCTACTTCGGCGCCAACGACATCCAAGAAGACGACACCACGACCATAGGCGGCATCGGAGTCGCAGTGTCTGACTCCCCAGACGGTCCTTATGTCGACGCCATCGGCTCACCCCTGATCGGTGAATACCACAACGGCGCGCAGCCCATCGATCAGGACGTCTTCATCGACGACGATGGGCAAGCATACATCTACTACGGCGGCCACTCGCACGCCAACGTCGCCCTCCTGGACGAGGACATGATATCTATCGGGACCTTCCCTGACGGCACGCAGTTCAAGGAGATCACACCCACGAACTACGTCGAGGGCGCGCAGATGTTCAAGCGCAACGGCACGTACTACATGATGTGGTCCGAGGGCGGGTGGACGGGGCCTGACTACGCCGTGTCATATGCGATGGCAGACTCGCCCCTGGGACCATTCGAGCGGAAAGCCAAGATCTTGCAGCAGGACTTGGCAGTGGCTACTGGGAGCGGCCACAACGGGGTGATAAACGTCCCTGACACTGACATTTGGTATATCGTGTACCACCGGAGACCACTCGGGGACAGCAATGGAAACCACAGGCAGCTGGCCTATGACCGGATGTATTTCAACGAGGACGGCTCGATCGCAGATATTGTGATGCTGGTCAAGGATGACTTCGAGGACGGCAATTACATCGGCTGGACGGCGTATGACGGCGGCTGGTCGGTGGTAGATGGCCAGCTCAAGGCGGAGACATCAGATGGAGGCAAGGCACTTCTGAATACGAACTTCACTGACTTGGTCTATGATGCCGACATCACAATTGTTAGTGGCGATGGGGATGCGGGCCTGTTGTTCAGGACGGTCTCACCGAGTAGTGGGTCGAATGCGTTCGAGGGTTACTACGCCGGCATATCTACCGCTGGATCAGTCACCCTGGGCAAAGCCAATGGTAGCTGGACGGAAATCGGGGCGGCAAAACTTGATATTTCTGCGAACGCGCAGTATCATGTCCGTGTGACTGCGGTGGGCAGAGAAATTAGTGTCTTTGTAGAGGACATGGAGACCGCCAAGATTGCTATCTCGGATGAGACATACACTGAAGGCCAGGATGGAGTGAGGGTTTTCACGACGGAGGCTTTATTCAACAACATTTCGGTGGCGAGGCCATGAAAGAGCTGTGGAAGGCTACAAGTGTCGTGAGTGGTTTAAAAGCATGATTATAAAAGCATCTATTTCCTGAGAGTAGTTTAAAAGGAGGAAACAAAAGAAATTTGGCTATTTAAGCATTTTAGAAAGTAATTATAAACTAGGGTTAAGGATATATATATAATATACTCCCTAGTTAAAAGATAGTTCTTACCTTATTAATTACCCTATTTTTTTAAATAACTAATTTATACTTAAAAATATTAATTATAATTTATTAAGTAATTAATTATTTAACCTTTCTTATAATATATATACTTTATTATTTAAACTTTAGCTGCTTATAGCTTTATAATGTAATTTATAATTAATAATTAAATCTTTTTTTTAAACTTTTTAATTAAATTTATATTTAAAAATACTTACTTTTATTAATTTTAAGCATTTTTTTAATTATATTAAAAATAGCTAAAAGTAATAAAAAATAAACTTTTAAGCCTTAAGTTATTTTATTTTTTTATACCTTTAAAGTTTAAAAAAAGAAATATAAACGCATTTAAATTAATAAAAAGCTTATTAATAAAAATAGCAAAAGCTTTAATATTTTTATTAAGATATTATTAAATAATATACTTAAGAGTAAGTTTTTTAATTAATTTAAAAATTAATTTTAAAGCATATATTAATTCTTAATATAGCTTTAAAGAATCTTTAAATATATATAAATAACTTAAAGCTTAAAATAAAACTTCTTTTTAAAGAAAAGATTAAAATAAAGTATAAGGAAAAGAAAGAAAATATAAAAAAGCTTAAGAAAATTAATAAGTATTATATTCCTTATCTTCCCTATATTAAAAGTTTTATATATAATTATAATAATAATTTTTATATAAATTATAATAATAAAGATAATTATTATTATTATTATATTTAAAGTAATTTTTATAAATTACTTTTAATAACCTTTTTGCTATTTATATTTTATTTTTATTATGCTTAATTTAATAATTTCTTAATATTTAAAAAATCTTAATATGCTTAAAAAAAAGCCTTAAATATATATAAGTATAAAAAGTTTAATTTTATTTATATTAATTATATTTTTATAGTTTCTTTTAATACTTAAAAGATTTCTACTTTATAATAATAGCTTATAAAGGCTATAAAGAATAGATATAAAAATATAATAAAGCGTTTTAAAGCTTAAATTATAATTATTTTAAAATAATGCAATAAAGTTAATATAAAGGCTTAAAAGCTTTAAAACTAAGTTATTAATAATATAAAAATTATAAAAAAGTATAAGGATTGCATTATTACTATAATTAAATATTTTAATTTTAAGGGTAATATTAAAAAGTAAATATTATTAAATTTTAATTTAAAATTATAATTAAGAATTTAATTAAAGGTTAAAAAAATCTTTTAAAAAAGTTAAAAGATTATTATAATAATTAAAAGAAGATTTTAAATTAATTAATATATTATTATAAAAGTTAAAAAGTAGTTTTTAATTATAAAATAATTTTTATATAAGGGTTGTATTATAATTTTTAAAAAATATAGTTTTTAAGATTTTTAATAAAAACTTAATAATAAAAATAATTAATAAATAAATTAATTCCTTTTTATTACTTTCCTTATATTTTAAAGATTTAAAAAAGCTTTAAAATATTTAAATTAAGTATATAATAAAATTTTAATAAATTTATTTATAAGTGTTTTCTTAATTTTTAAGTATATAATATTAAAAGTACCCTTTTTAAATTCTTATTTTAACTATATTTATTAAATATTTATATGCTTAAGCTTTATTTTTAATTATTTATGCTTATTAATAATTAAATATATTATTATTTAATTATTATAATAAATAATTTAAGGCTTGCTTAAATTTAAGGTTATATTTTTAAATAAGTATTTTAAAGTTATTATTTCTTTAATTATAAGCTTTAAAGCTAATAATTTAGCCTTAATAGTTAAAGTAAAAATAATTATTTATTTATATGCTTTTTAATATATAAAGCCCTTAAAAAAGGTTATTATATACTTTTAAGAAGATTTTTAATTCTTCTTATTATTAATAAATAAAGCATCTTTAATTATTAAAAACGCTTAAGCTTTTTAATTCCTTTTAAATTATAATTTAAGGAATTAAGTAGCATATAAATATTAAATTATATAAATTATTGCCTTAAGGTAATTTAAATTTAAATTTATAAGGAATCTTAATAATATAAAGCAAGGGAATATTATATTTAAGCATATTATAATTATTATATAAAGAATAAAATTAACTTTTTTTTAAAATTTTTAAATTTCTTATTTTAAGGCTTATTTAAAAAAAGGCTTAAGCTTTTTTTTAAGTATTAAAATAAATAATAAAAAGTTTTTACTTTTTAATAAGTTATATTTATTTAATATTTTTTTAATATATAAGTTATAAAAAAGTATTATAATATATTTTTTTAATTTTTAAGAATTTATATATTTAAGAATTATTAAGCCTTTCTTTAATTCTTTATTTTATATATAAACTTAATTTTATTTTTAATCTTTATAAAGAATTTATATTTATCCTTAAAATATATAATTAAAATATTATTTATATAAAAAAGAATTATTACCTTATAAATTAAGTTAATAAAAAGGTATAGTTCTTTTAATAAGAATTTTAAGCCTAGATTTTGCAATATATAGCTAAAATCCTTATATTAAAAAGATAAGGAGTCTTTAAATTTATAAAGTGCCTTTAAAAGTACTTTATATTTCCCTAACTCTTTAAATTTATTAAGTAATTTATAATAAATTTAATTTAACTCTTTTTAATTAATATTTAAGAATATAATTATAATATTAAATTTTTAAATTTTTAAATTAAAATATATAATAATTATTATTATTATATAAAATGATTTTATAATTAAGATTATGGTATATATGCTTTTTATAATAAAATAAGGTTATAAGTTTCCTTAAATATAAATTTATACCTTAAAAAATTTAATTATTTTATTCTTATTAAGCTTATATTTATATATTTATTTTAAAAATAGCGATATTAATTTTGCTTTTTAGCGCTTAATAATTTTTTAAATATTAAGCTTAATAAAGCTTTATATTTCTTAATGCATTACCTTAAGTTATTTATTTTAAAAAGAGCTTTTTTAAGCCTTTCTTTATATAATTAATTTTAAAAAAAGATTTTTATAATATTATTGCTATAAGTAAGGCTTAAACTTAATTTTAAGGGCTTAAATAGCAGCTATTATTATATTATTTAAGGTTAAAAAATATAAATCCTTAAGTATTCTTTATTTTTATTTTTTAAGCTAATTAAATAAAAAAGTAATTATAAAGTTACTTTAAAAGGTTATATTAAGGTAAAACGTAATTATATTTATTAAATACAATAATTAATTAAAGGATTTTTAAGGGTATTTATTTTAATTATATACTTAGGAAGATCTTTTTATAAGTTTAAACCCTTAAATTTATTCCCCTATCTTTCTTATTTATATTAATTAAAAGAATTTTTAATTTCTTATAGCTTTAAGTATATATAATTCTTAAAAAAAAGGTTTAAGTTTATTAGCCCTTACTTTATTAATAAAAGTATATTTCTCTTTATAAAAGCTTTATTTTAATATATTTAAGATTTTTTTAAGGGTTAAAAGTCCTTATTTTTAATTTCTTAAACTTTTTAAAAAGGCAATGCATAATAAACTTTATTTTTTAAATTTAAGAGTTTTTATCTTTAAGTTTTAATTAAAAGTATTAATTTTATTCTTTTTTAATATAAAATAAATATTAAATTTATTATTTAAATTAATTAAGTTATTTTTTACATAAGGTATTAAGGGTATAATATAAATATAATTTTAAATTTTCTTAGCATTAATAATTTTAATATTTAGCGATTTTGCCTTAAAAATTAAAAGGTTATTTTTTATTTTATTTATTATTAATTTATAAAATATATTTTTATTAAATTATATATTTCTTATAAAGATTATTTACTTAAGCAAAGGAATTTAGATTTAAAAGACATTAAATGCTATATAATTAATTAAATACTTAATATAGGCCCTTAATTCCCCCTTTATAAGGCATTTCTTTATATTATTTTTATATTTCTTTTTAAGTATATATGCTTTATATTTATAAGTATAAATATTATTTTAATAGAGCAATAAATAAGCTATAAAATAATGAATTTATATTAATTTAAATTATTAAAAATAATAAGAAAATTATATATATAAAAAAGTATTTAGGGCGCGCCTCTTTTTTCTTAAAGTAAGCAATATATTATATAATCAAGTTATAACTTATATTGCCTTTAGCTAAAAGTTAAAAGGTAAATTAATCCTTAGTAATATAGTTAAAGCATATTTAATTATTATTTTACTAGCCCTTTTTATAACGCCGTTTATTTTTAAGGTTTAAGGAGGAGTAAGTTTTAAATTAATACCCTTTTATTTTACTTATTTAATGTATTTAATATTTATAAATTAGCTAATTATTATAGCCTTATCATCTTATTTAATTTTATAAATATTTAAATTATATTATTATTTTACTTAGCTTTTATAAGCTTAAAAAATGCTAAATACTTATTTTTAAGTTTTTAATATAAGAGAAAAGATATAAATAAATCTTAAAAATTTATTTATTATTATAAGCCTATAATTTAATTTATTTAATGCTTATAAATAATAAAAAAGGTTTTATAAGATTTAAAAAAAGGGTTTTAAGCTTTTGTTTTTTAATAGCTTGCATTAAATTATCTTTTTAATAAAGGCTTTAAAGTAATTTTTATAATTAATTTATTTAATTCCCTTAAATTTTATGCCTTAGGCATATTAAATTAATAATTTAAAAGCATTAGCCCCTAAATATTTAAATTAAAGATATTAAAGAGTTATTAAGTCCTTTTAATTTTTATTTAAGTGTTAAAAGGGCTTAAAAGGTTTTATTAAGTTTATTAAAAAAATTATAAGCTTATATATACTTATAATACTTATAAGTATTTATAATAAAAAATGGAAATAAGGAAATTATAATAGTATATATTTAAAAAAAATTAAATTATGCTATTAAATAAGTTTAAAAAGAATAACGCTTTATTTAAATAATTTAAAGCATAATATTAAATTAATTTTATAATATTAAATGCTTAACTTTTATAAAAGCGCTTTTAATATTATATTAATATAAAATTTATTTATAATTATTATATTTTTTAAAATTAAATCCTTAATTCTTTTTTTATATATTTTATATAATATATTTTTAAAGCGCTTTATTTTATAGCTTAAAACCTTTAAAAATAAGGTTCCTACTTTAATAATACTTATCTTAATAGCTTTTTTAAAAATATTTAAAATTAAATAATTAATAAAGTTAATAAGGTAAATAGCATTATAATTATTTAAAACTATATTTAAGAATAAAGGATATAGCATAAAATTTAAGGTTATATATATTCTTAAGGAATTAATTATAATTAATAATTATAATAAATTAATTAAAGTATAAATAAATTAATAAAAAGTTAATAAAAATATAATAAAGGTATTATTAATTAATTAATTTTTTAAAATTAAGGTTTAAGAAAATATAAATTTGCTTTATAAAAAAAAAATAAAATAAAAAAAGGAAATTAAGATATTATTCTTTAATAGCTTTTAAAAATGCACTTAAGGGGGTTTTTAATATTTTTAATAAACTTTATATTTAATCTTTAGGCAAAAGGTTTTTTTAAGTAAGCTTTTAAATTAAGTTTTTATAGCGATTTTCTTATAATTATATTTTAGTTTTATTATATTTAAATTCTCTTAAAGGTATTTTTAGCTTTAAAATTTATTTCCTTAAAAGCATAAAATAAAGATAGTAATAATTAATAAAAAGTTAAGTATATTTCTTTTATTAATTAATTCTTTAATAAAAGTACTTATATATTTTATTTCATTAATATAATTAAAATAATGCATTTTTATTTCTTAATTACTTCTTTAATTAATTACTTTTTATTTTAAAAGGTACTTTTAATTTTAATATAGTAAATATTATAATATTCTTAAAGGCTAATATAAGCTTATTATAATATAAAAATGCTATTAATCCTTTAAATAGGGTTTTTAAGGAATAAATAAGTTTTCTTAATGCATTTTATTTAATAAGTTCTTAGCGCTTAAAAATTGCTTAATTAAGGGCAATGCATATTATAATTACTTATAAGAAGTTATTTAAATTAATAAATCCTTTAATTTTAAGTAACTTATAAATATAAGCCTATAAATGCAAATTTATAAAGTCTTAATATTATTATCATGGTTTAATACTTAGTTTTTTCGCTTTTTTTAAATATTGCTAATATTAAGTTTAAAGGATATTTATTATACTTAACTTAAAAAGTGCAAAATTATTCTTAATATTTTAAATTACTTATTAAATAAAAAACTATTTTATATTTACCATTTTAATTAAATATAAGGAGAAAATTAAGCTAAATATTATTTTTTATATTTATTCTTAATTTTTTTATCTTTTATTAAATTTAATTACCTTATTAAGAGCTAAGGCAACTTATTATTAAAGATATTAATTATATTTCTTTTTTAATTTATTAAAGAATAAAGAAAAGAATAAAGTAAATGCTATTTTATCTTTTAAAAGCTTATTATTACTTAAATGCTTTTAATACTTATTATATAAAGCCTTTTAAATATTTCTTCTTTTCTTTTTATGCTATATAAATTAAGAATTTAATTTTAAGATTATATTTCATTACTTAATAAGGGCTGTATTTAATGCATTAAGGTTTATAAATTCTTAGCACCCTTTAATTTAGTAATAAAATTATAATATAGCAAATTAAATGGGAAAGGAATAAATATTTAAATAAATTACTTAATTAATAAGGTTTAAAGAAGCATTTATAACTATTATATAAATATATACTTAAAAATAAAAAGAAATAAATAATATAAAATAAATATAATTAAAATATACTTTATATAATTTATTTACAGCTTATAAAAAGGAAAGATCATTTTATATAAATTAAGCTTATAATTATAAAAAGTTATAAGTATTATAAATAGTTTAAAAGCATAATTATAAAAGCATTTATTTCTTAAAAGTAGTTTAAAAGGAGGAAATAAAAGAAATTTAGCTATTTAAGCATTTCAGAAAGTGGTTATAAACCAGGGTTAGGGATGTGCGTGCAACAAGAGCAGGTGCCAAGAGTATATATGATATTAGGAATGTAAATTATATACCACAGCTCCACAGTCTTACAACGACAAGTCGCCTCCCGTATATTGTTAAAGGGGGTATCAAAAAATGGCAACGCTCTCTAGAATGCGCAAACCCCAGCCGGGCGTCTCCCTTGTGACCCCGTCCGGCTTGACCCAAGTAGAACGCCGAAATCATTGACGCTACAGCAAGCATACAATTACATCATATACATATCATTCAGAGTGCCTAGACGGGGCATGTCAGTTTCGCGCGGCCAGGTTTGTGTGCACAAATTGCACTGACCAGGAGGGTAAAAACTCACGTATAAAGCCTCAGCAGACAACGTAATGTCCCCAGAGACACTCCCCTTCATCTCCACCTCCACGTTGAGATGCACGTCCATCCGCAGCGCAAACCCCTTCTTGCTGCCGTGCCACGCGGTGTCGGTCTGCTTCCGCGTGACAAAGGCGTCCTTCGTGTCCAGGTTCCGGCGGTTCCCCTCCAGAGTCTGCCACGCCGCGGCCCGCGTGCCCGCCTTGCGCTTGTAGTTGCCCCTGCCGTCCTGGAGCTTCCACGGCCCCGGTGGTGAGGACAGGTCGCCCGGCATGGGCAGGGCGCGCCTGTTGTCGACAGCTTCCCACCCGCCTGGGTGGAAGTCATGGGCGTGCTGGTACCCGCGCCATTGGTTGTCTTGATGGTAGCCGCGCCAGTCGTCGACGGATGGCCATGGCCCTTGGGGTGGCTGGTAGTTGTCGTTTCCCAGGTACTCGAGTTGCGACAGCTGGAGAGCAGGCTTGCTTGGCCCTGACGCCCGTCCGGTCGATGGCAAAGGGAGGGCGGCGTAGTTGCCCCTCAGCTTGAGGCTGTCTCTCGGCGTGCGCGGGCTCTCGATCTCTGTCGCTGTGGAGGGTGTCTGCAGCGACTCGGTGTCTCCCGGGCTTGATACGGCGGTTATGGCCGTCTCGATCTCAGCAGATCCGGGACTGTCGCGAGAGACTCTTGATCGCCGCTCCAGCAAGGAAGTCTCTATCGGAGGGAGAGGGGTCCTAGGCGTCCTAGGTGTGCGCGGAGTTCCGGGCACGACCTTGGGTGTCTGCGGAATCGGTGGTGCTGCGAGCGACTTTGACTCCAATGAGGGTACTTTGACCGCTTGTGGTGCTGGCGGCGCAGCGGACGGCTCCGAATCAACTATGGCCTTCGCGGCTATTTCTGACGTTGGCTGTCTTGCTGCTACCGGTCCTTTTTGCGGTTCTGACTTTTGTGTCGCCGGTGATGTTGTCGAGGCTTTGCGCCGCCCCGCAAAAGTCCTGAATGCCTGCAACAGTGACGACTTTGGTGGTGGTTTCGGCTCATCCGCAGGTGGACTTGAGTCTTGAGGCAGAGGAGGTGCTGCTGCTGATGGGCCCGGAACAGGACTTGGGGGCTGGATAAACGCGATCTGCTCAGGCGCCCTTGCAAGCGCCTTGTCCACGGGGACCGGAGCCCACTGGTACTCGGGCTTCCATATTTTCTGGAGGAATTCAAAGGCCTCGTTTGGAACCCATACTGTCATGCCATCGCTATTCCTAACTTCCATTCCTTGGAGCGAGTGGACATTGACCCGAGCGATGAGACCCGGTCAACAGAAATGAGACGCCGATGAGCGTAGGTAGAAAGGCGCCAAGGCCGGCCAAAATGGGAACGTCTGAAACGTCGAGAGTCAAGGCATTGCTGTCGTCCGTCCGCTTTGACTACTGAGCGCCAGGCTCAGAAGTTGTTCTTTTAAAATCAACGCTCATCCGGATCTGCATGTAGGGCTGTCGATGGGATAGACGTCAGTGGTGATTTCTTGTCCACGTTGGATGCCGGATGACATCTTTTCTGGGGACAGGTGAGGCTTACTCGTATTCAAAACAGGGTACGGAGGTGATCTGCAGGTCCGATCTTACCACAAGCTCCGGGAAGCCGGGGTCAAATCCGGATTTGGTCTCGGCCGGCTTGCAGACGTTGCCACCACCGAACAAAAATAAACCATCAGCTTTCTGAGAGGGAAAGCAGGAATGATCTGGAGGGAAGGCCTTGGTTTTGTAAACCGACGTCTTTGCTGGCTAGATTCTAAAGTTCAGAGGTGGGTTCTCGTTGGCCAGTGCCCAGGTGTCAGGCATCAGGCCATACACAAGATCTGGCACTCTGACGGTTTCATAATCGGTCAAGATAACATGTTACCAAAACGCACCCCAACCCTCTCCGGACGCAGTTCAGTTACTTGGCGCACCAGTCTGCCCATTTAACATGGTGAAATGCTCCTAGCCGCCAGGGGAAAGCTTCCTGAGTCGCTTACCCCGTGTTTCCGTCGTGCCGGGAAACACTATTCAGTGGTCCAACACTCACGTGTGGATTAATCCAACGGGATCGGATGAACAGAGTAAAGTCATTAAATAGAATCCTTCCCCCCGGACAGGGTGTTCTCAAGCTGTCAATTGCAATTTTTCAGCCTTCCGGTTTCGCGCAGGGGCCCACGTGTCCGTTTCAACAATGTTGACATTGCATGTTCTTAGCGCATAGTTAAAGCCTTCCAGAAAGTGTTGACCGACGAGAGAAGTGTTGGTCCAGGCTGCAACTCGGCCGACTTGATGGAAGGCCGATCCCACGCCAATACTGCACGAGCCATTCCAAACGGCGCGTTTCTTAGACAATACCAGACGGGCGAAACCGCAAGGTGGATGATGCCACGCCTATTCGGGAGATTCCCTCAGCAGAGATCTATGGCTGCTTCTGGATCTCGCAAAATACAGAGGCTCCACCAACTTGTGTTGGAAACTAGTCCTAGGTGTAGGCAGCTCCCTCCACTCCGCGTCGGGAAGGGGGATCAGTTGACGTCCAATAATTCTGCCCGGAATTCACTTTTTCTTCCTCCTTTGATCTTGCCAGTCTTTACGTCGACGCTTTACGACACCTCTGACATCTATCTGATCCTTAGTGTCCCATTGCAGGTATGGCACATTTAATCATGCCAGAGGCAGGACTCATGATGTCCGGAGTCTTCAACATTTGATTTGAGCTCAAGAGAACTGTGTCTTTTATTTTACTTTTTAACAATTGGATAATCCATACTCGATTAGGACGATGTCGTTACCAGGACAAGCAGAAAAGTGGCTCCGATGCTCATTTGGAAACTGGCAGGCGATCCTCGGAACTCTTTATATGCAGCGGCACTAGCTCACAGCGGCCGAAGACCTCTGCCTCTGTACCTTTTTCACTGGCAGCTTTCGATCCAACCCCTAGCAATATTCCTGGTCTGGCAATTTAAATGGCTCCCGCTGGGAAAGCCAACAAACAAAGTTTGAGATCCTGGCGGAGGTGTAAATTACTGACAGGTGCGCAAGTGTCCAACGCGATCTGCAGGCACACGGACCACCTAAACCACTTTTAACGCGTTGACGCGTCCACCACCTCACCACCTCGACTTTCATACTTCCTTTACACCGATTTCCAGAAGCGCCGATTCCAGTTCCCAGTACGAGTCGATCGAAATGGAAAAAGCCAAAAAGTCATGGTACGCCGTCCTCGAGGGTAGGCAACCCGGCCTGTACAGGACCTGGGACGAGTGCAAGAAGCAGGTCGACAGATACCCTGGCGCTCTTTTCATGGGGTTCTTCTCGCGTGAGGAAGCTCTCGAATGGATCGACGACGAGGCAGACGAGCCTGTGCCCGATTACACAACAAGACCAGCGGCAACCGCGCCGGCCGGACTATTACTGGACCAGTCGACGCAGGGAAGACAGAGCGTCAATGGCCTATCATCCATACCAACTTCATCCCTGTCATGCATCCTCAGCTCGAATGCCAGTTCCAGCTCCGGCTCTTCCGCATTCTATGCAGTAGCAAGAGGTCGACGACCAGGCATTTACCACACCTGGGGCGAGTGTCGCAAGCAGGTGGACGGTTTTTCCGACGCTCGATTCAGAAAGTTCAAGACCCTCACGGAGGCGACAGAGTTCTTGGCCGTCTACGGCGGCGGCGGCCACTTCTCACAGTTCACGTCACAAGCCTTCGAACCAGACAATACGGCGTCGTTCAGCGAAGAGTGGGCCCGTCTTTCGCAGTCACAGGGGTGGACACGTGGGACCAAGCACTACAGTGAGCAGCGGGCGTGCGCGCTCCGGAATGAGCTGCAGACGCACTTCTTCGCTCCTCCGTCTCGTGCCCTGCCCGCCATCAAGAGCGAGGAAAGTGAGGAAGAGGGTGCCGACGCGAAGGCCCTCGCTGAGCCCCCTGCTGAGGACGACCACCAACGCCACGAGGAAGCGGTGAAGCTTCACGGCTTCCAGTCCATGTGCAAAGCTGTCGGCAAACGGCCGGGGGATACCATCGGAGAATGCGCAAGGATCCTCAACCAGACGCTCGTCAACATCGTCGACCTGATCGATGCCAGTCGGATGGGAAGCGAGAAGGTGGTGAAGATATGGACCGACTTTGAAGACTTCAGGGCGTACACACTAAACTCAGCGGGCGGGGACAAGACTATTCCTGCGAAACTGGCTGCGAAAGATCCCCTTTTGAAATGCTTCCTGCAGAATTTCCGCAGGCCTCGAGGCCACTACGGCGGTGCTATGGGCTGTGGTGGTGCCGTGATCAAGAAGAGGGCTAGATCCGAGGAAGACGATGACTTCGAGGATTGTGGACATCAGAACAAGAGGATCATGTGTTGTTAGATTTTATGGGTTGATTGCAGGTTTGGGTTCGAAAGATTTGCCAGGATCACCAATACCATGAAGCCCCTCTGTTTGTGCTCAGCAAACAACTGCGTCAACCATCACTATCATGATTGCTTGTCCACATAACTGAATGCCTTGATTTAAGCATAATCCGGCCTACTCAAATACGCTTGGACCTCCACTATTCATTGAAACCTTTCTACCAACGCCGCCAGCGATGCCGATCCGTGTTCAGTCAAACATTGCCGTAGGCGTCTTGCCTTCGACTGCAGAAGAGTCACTTGACAACTTGCGGCCCAGGTGGTTCTGGCATTGCAATTACCAGATCTATGATATATGGCTTTGTGGCATACTCTCGATTGTGTTGGACTTGCTTGGTTGCTGTGGTGGAAGCGCTACTGGAAACAGCGGCCGCTGCTACTAGGTACCAAGGCCGCAGACCCAGCGTTGCCAGAGTTGTGTCGTTCCAAAGGAGATCTTGACTCTTAGCGTCTCGATACACTCAGCTTCAGCTCCATCTGCGAGGGGAAGGGATTCACCCTTTCAAGTAGGCCGTCTCAGCGCCAGATTTTGCGCATGCCATCGTAAGTAGAGTCTGACTAGGACACCCGCAGGCTCGAGCAGAGCTTTATTACGGATAGCTTTATTACGGATATTGACTCAGGGAAGTACATAATTTCCATAGCTGTGTTGTAATGCAATGAATACAGCGGTATTCCTGAAATCTCCCATGTCATGGCATAGCAGGAGCGGCGTCGCACGCCAGCAACAGACTCTGGGAGCATACCAGTCGACATGAGTCATCGTTTGATTGTAGAAGCTCTCTCACATCGATAATACGTTGTGGAAAAGGCAAGGAGATTTAAACCTTGTAGAATTTACCAGCGGAAACGCGGCAAGGCCGCTCCTATACAAGTCTAAATTCCCGAACCACTGAACCTCTTCGTCTGAGAGCCAGGCGATCAATGCCTGAAACGCCAACCTTTTCAAACCCATTCTCCTTTGCTACTACAAGCAGTGCAGTAACATGGTATCTATGGGTGATCCCATAACCTTCGTAACTGTCCAACTGATCGTCAGGGATGTCCAAGCGATCCTCATCCGTAAGGATAGCGGAACATTGAATCTTTCCGTAGGTAAGGGGTAATTTCAACAAACTGGAATCAATCAGATTTAGCAAAGAAACTGTTTCAACTCCAGGGTATCGCACGCCTAGCCTTTTTCCATTATTGTTCAAGACATTCCTATAGCTACCCGTCCAATATTCCTGATACCCCCGTACGCCTTCCATTGGTATGATTTCCGCTTCCAAGGATGGTGCAGTGACGCGAAGGAACTTTACCTGCGAAAGGTCATCGCTTCCTTCAAGGAGTGGAACGGCATCACTCCGGTCAGTTGATTCGTCCACAAGCCTTTCGATCGAGATGCTCCACGTTCTGAACCTGTCTGGGGGTTTGCGGTTGAGCGTCCCATTTCGTTCGAATCCCTTGCAGGTCCATCCGGTCCATGACCAACTGGGCACGCCGCTCTCCCGGGTCGTCGCATTCCCAGGATAAAGCATTAGCAAATGCCTCCGCCCATGATATATCAGAGGATGTCCATGGTAATAGTGGAAGACCTGCGATATGTCTCATGGAGGATAATCCTTCGTAATGTGTCAGAACACCGAGAATGCCGTTGAGGATATCCTTTTGCGGGTCACCCAAGGTAAGCTTGGTATAGTCGTCTATTCTTGGCCAGATCGATGCATGGCCTCCGTTTCCCAGTGAAAAATAAGGATAGAGAGGCGTGTTTTGGTTCGGGTTGAAGTATCTGAACATGTCCTCTTCGTGGCATTCCTCCCATGCTTCGGCATCTCCTGTTTCTCCACACTCGAAGTAGACTTGTTGGTCTGTAAAGACGAGGCGTCGTCTTGCTAACAGCCCCTCCTGGAATGTCCAAATTCTTGTGGACCATGCTGAAGTGTCCACTAGAAGTTTTGGATCTGGAAGTGTCGCAAAGAGCGTACGGTGGGGGAGGCGCACAATAGGAGGAGATCGGCGACTTGTGCTAACCCCCGGTAACCCATGGTCTGGCCCATGTCCAGCAGCAGCTATAATGGTCATCGATGATCCGGCATAAATGTGATTCATTCGTGCAATCTGTCCGTGCTTCTCGTCTTCCTCTTTTTTGGTCTGAGGCTCTTGTCGTATACAGTATCTGTCGATCCAGAGATAGCGTAGCTTCAATTTTTGAGTTACCAATATGGCATCCGAGATCGTGTTTGGGAGACTTTCCGGTAGCTTGTCGTAGCCGTTTTCGAGATATCCGGACGTGCCCCAGACGTATGACAAAGCCGCGTAGGACACGTCTCCTTCAGGAACAGGGACAACAGTCCGAGTTCTGCAGTCAATCAACCGCATGCCTGGTACCCTCCGAATGTGCCCGCCCCGTTTGCGCCTACATTCTTTATGTTCCTCCCGACATTCTTTCAGCCTCCTCTTGATCATGCCGAAATTAACTCGGGGTTTGACCGAAGCTGCGGGGAGAGCATGTTTGTCTGCTCCAAGAGTCCGCTTCTCTGCAAGATAGCCGACCAACTTAGCTGGGGAGCGATGATTGTCGAGCCATGCATTCCTGAGCTCCACATTCTCTTTCGTCCAACGATAGATTGTACCCCGAGGGTTCAGAGTCTGATGGTCTGCGAAAGTGAGACAGATTTTGTCTTCAGCTGCAACCCATTCATTTTCCCGGCTAGCTTTGTCCTGGATTGTCGCCACAGCTAATGGAGCTCTCCGTTCCTTCCATTTTGGCGACATATCCAAATAATCGAGCAACTTCAAGCTGTGACGAAACTGATGGTCTTCATCATCTCGTACTATCGTCACAACTAATGGAGCTCCCCGTTTCTTCCTTTCTGGCAGTGTATCCAAGGAAGGATGAATAAACTGCATGGCCTGACAAAACGTGCAACGTGGGTCGTCAAGAACTTTATGCTCAGAGTAGAACCAAAGGATGGGATCACCCCCTTTTTCTATGTTTTGCCGAGAGAATATGTTGTCGAAATCAACTTCAAGACACCTGTCACAAAGATACGACAGATCTTTCTGGTCCGATTCGTTCTCTTCCTCATCAGTGGATGAATATTCCGACTCTGAAGCAGCGCTATCCTCCTCTGTCACTGAAATTGTCGCTTCTAGGTCCGATGAATCTGGGTCCGCTGATTCTGGTTCCGCCGAGTCTTGGTTTATCGGCTGCGGGGGTATCGCCGTGGGGGAAGTAGGAGTATCGCTCTTCGCTGTCCGTTGTTTCTTGTCAGGTTGAGCGCCGCTCACACCTGGAGCATGAAGCTCTGCGACAGCAGGAGATCGTTCCATGGTCAGATGAACAGTGAGGCGGGTCATTCACGTACGTACCCGCAAGCAGGGTGGGGAAGTTCCAAGAAATAAGTCCTTGCCTGCCTGTTTCAATGGGAAGACTGTGCCGAGTTCCCCATGTCACGGGGAAAGTTCTGAACCTGGCCAATGAAAGTATGCCGCGTAGTTAGCAATGCCAGTTGTTTGTGTAACTTCGCAAAATCTCAGGGGCCTTTGATGCAGGTAAGCTGCTGTGCGACCTCAACGTTCTCGTCCCCACTTGTTACAAAGCAACCGAGACTAGCAGGGCAGTTACTTGGAGTTCTTAAACAGCATCACCAAAGCAAAGTGGATGAGTATACAGCACTTGGATGCTAATTCAAAAATACGAAGATAATTGCCTCACTTGTACAGGATCTCCCGCTCGGGCAAAAGCTTCATTCATGTAAGCAGGTCTATCTGTTGGACTTGATCGCCCAATGGTTCGAGGACTGGGCCCACGCAGTCATCCCCAGAATTTGCACCGAGACGAGATGGCGAAGTTTTAAAGACTAACTAGGCACATAGGTATGAAATTACCAGACCAAAAGCGTGTACTATGTGTATAGGGGTATCCGTATCATTATGTCTTCATACTCAAAGCAGTCGCACCGATTGTGATCCGAATCACCGTTTGCAAGTCGTCAATCATAATTCAGATCCGCATCATTAATGTATACGATGCGTCTCTTTTTTTCGCAGCTGTTCTTGTTAACTTCTTCATCACTCAGGGTGACGAAGCGCGTAGTAAAGCTCGCAAAGCCTCAGGAGCCGCAGCAGTCTGCTCAGGGGCCCACATTTAGCACACTGACGACGAAAACGCTGGAGGCATTCTCGACGGATTTGACTTACAACAAGGCGCCCAAGACCCCAGATAAACCGGCATACCAGGGGACGAACGAATCGCCCTGGCCAGCTTTGACGCCAGCCGATACTCCGAGCAGGGCGAGGCATACGGTCGTGCCGACGACCACGACTCCTTCGACGCCGAGTCTCCCTTTTGGCCAGGTTTTCTTCCGCAGGGTTCCGTCGATCGTCATCCAAATGAGAATTGTGGCACTCTAATTTCGGGTCACATGAGTCAGTCCTTGAAAAAACCCAATGCCGCCCATTTTGCGAGAAGCATTGACGGCTCTTGGGCGTTGACTCACCGGTACCACACTCAGCGCCAGGCACCTCATGTCGGGCTGCTTTTCCGGATGAACGTAGAGGACCAGATCGAGGATGATGAGGACTGCGGCGACGACGGTACTGAGCCAAATGATATACCAGCCGCCATAGAACCAAAGGTACTGGCCGTGTCTATCAAAGTCGCTTGGCTTTGGTCCGTAGGGAAACAGTATGAATTGCCGCTTGCCCCTGTACAGGCCAGGCATGGCCGTATACGCCTGACGAGCGCCATTACGTTCGGCCCAATGGGTTTGCTGGACCATGATTTTCGGATGAGCGGCGGATATCTTGGGAGATCTGGGATCAGTTGTAATCTTGTCCGATTCTCCGTGATTGTTGGAAACCCATTCGCCTGGAATTATGACAGATCCCCATCCATGGGCTCCTCTTGGTTTTAATGGAATATCGTTGCTGTCACATAGTGCTTACTATATCGGCAGGTATACTCATTCCCCAAGCCTCTCTGGCCCAGAGTGCGGCTCGGAAGTGTGGTACAGCCATGCAGGATCCTGTAGGATTCCGAGGTAAGCACCAGAACTGTCCAAGTGCCTGCCAAGCCACGCGACCTGCAGGCCAGACAAGCTTTTTTACAGACTGTCAACCCTTGTGTGTGCAGTGTTGCAGGGATAGGCCTGCATACAATGCTGGGAGGGAACCCAAGCAGCCTGAAAGGAGCATTGCACCTAGGCTGACCAGATACTGATATACACCAAAAGGTCATAGATACAACGTCAATGAGGCGAAATTTAGCCTCACCGAGGTATTTACATCCAAAATCATACCCATAACATCGATAACACCCCTCAGCAGCACAGCCTTTACAACGAAAAGCTTACCCAGTGCGCCAATGGGACAAACTCAAGCACCTAAGACAACCGGTATGCAATTTCAAAGAGTTTCCGGGAAGCCGACGAAGGAGGGCCGCTCCTTGGGGACCAGTGGGCCAGCACACACTGCAAGGACGGCCCCATGAAGGGGATGATACGTACTGAAAATGGCAGAGTGTTCAGCCCACGCTTCTACAACGGCTGACGCAGTTGTTTCTCCGACCATGACCAGCTTGTCGACACCCGGGACATCCCCTGGACGGAGCTCGCTCGTCAGCTTCGTCGGTGCTATAGCAACCAAGTTCACGCCCACGTTTCGGATGGTGCTTCCGAGGTCTTCTGGGCACCCTGGACCCGCTGAGCGTGCCAGGCAGACACACGCCCCACAGGAGAGAGTTGCAAAGGTGTGGAGCGTGGCCTCTTGAGTGCAAAGGTCGCTGCAATGAAGCGCACGTGTCTGCGCCTGTATCCCAAATGCTCTTTCGAACCTCTGTATGCTTGCGCAGACATCCGCGTGCTCGAGTGGGACAACCACCCTGTCCCCTGCTACTTAGTACCGAGAAGGCAAATGCTACGTTGCTTGGGACCGCGCCGGATGATTGTCTGCCTCCACAAACATTCCCATGCCTTGTAGATGAGGGGAGACCCACGAGGAGGTTTTCCCCAATGGTAATTGTGTTGAGGGCGAACGCGCCGAGTCTGCTCGCATGTTTCTTATCTGCCACGAGCAGGCCCACGTCAAGGGCGCGCATGATGTCAAATGCGCTTTTTCTCGAGCAGTGTGCCTCCGGTGGCAGAATTGTTCCACCGGCCTTGAGGATAGCCAGCATGGCCGCCACGGTCCACTTCGATGTCTCCCGATACAGCGCGACCACAACCTCTGGACCGACGCCAAGATCCGAGAGATGACGTGCGATCATGGTGGCGTAGTGGTCCAGTTGGGCATAGGTGAAGTTGCCATCCCAGGAGCAGACCGCATCTGATTCAGGGCTGGAAGTGAAGACCGTTTCGTGCACTAGCTTATGCGGCTCATCAGCTTGCCCGCCATTCGTGAGGTCTGATATCGAAACGCTGTCCCACGCACGTATTTGCTGCATGTCGTGCTCGCTCGGCCTCTTGGTGTCCCCAAGAAGGGTGGTGCCATCCTCCAGGGTCAAATTTGAAAACACATGCTCAAAGTGGCACAGGATTCTCGTCATCTGCTCATGGGGGATGACCTTGTCGTCGAAACGGGCCTCAATCTCAAGCCTCCGGCCATCCTCGCTCGTCGTGCACTGCACACTGAGTGGGTAATCATCGAAATTTTTGAGCGGCTCGACGCTTCATTGCCCTCTCGCAGCTCGCTCACGCCTGGGACCATCTTCTCAGCTGCCGCCCCTTCCTCTTGGATCCGCGTCTGAACCATGAATATGAGCCCCGGATCTACCCTGGCGCCCAGCCGCGGCACCAGCCGCCAGATGTTTTGGACGCCCGTGTGTTCGAACGGAATCATGTCAGCTGCCTGCTCCTGGACCGTGGCCAAGCAGGCCTGGGCTGTCTGGACCCGGTCAACACGCACATGTACCGGCACGGTGGTTATCGTGGGCGCCACCAGCTCCATGACGCCCGCCACGGGCGCGCTCCGGCCTGAAAGTGCGACCAGCAGCAAGCGGTCGTCCACACCGCTGTACTGAGCCACCACGATGGCCCGCGCCGCGCGCAGGATGGTCGACATGGTTGCTCCAGAAGGCTTTGGCTGCTTAACCGTACTTGTGCCCATGACAAATGCGAGGAACCGGATGAGGGGGACGGTGGATATCGCCGCCAGGCCGAAGCCTGGCGTTGTGTGTGGGTGGTCCTCGCTGTCCAGAGAGAGGTACAGCTGCGTCAAACTCTCCAGCATCTTAGTGAGGCTCCACCCGTCGTACATGCTGTGGTGTGTAGTCCAAACAAAGAAACGCTCCTGCGCCTGCTCGTTTCTCCCGCCCTGAGCAATGATGGGGTGCCGAGCCAGGGGGCATCCGTACAATAGAGGCTGTTCTCTGTCTGTGGCGAGGTATGTTTCTAGAGAGGTGCCATCTTGCCAGGGGATCTGCTCGCGGACCACAATCTGTATGGAACCGTGCTGAGTCCCGGGCTCAGTGGTCTGTGGAAAAAGCGAACGCTTAATCCGTCAGCCGGATCAAGCCTTATACCGTAGGTACTTCAACACACCCCCCAGTTCGCAAGGTGGTACCCACTGAGTAAAGTATATGCCATGGTAGCTCCTGTATATGTAAAACGCTTTGCCTAGGTTATATACCCTAAATGTATTTATATAAGCAATGCTCTTTAAATAATAAGTAATTCTTAAATTTATAAACTTTTTAGCTTTTAAATTTAAAATCTTTATAAAATTTAAATATAAAGGGCTTAATTTAAGGTATTTAATTTAATATAACTTAAGGGAATATAGTAATTAATTACGCTATATAAATAAACTAAGGGCCTATAATTATAAAAAAAGCAAATGCTTAATCTATTAGCCAAATCAAGCCTTATATACCGTAAGTACTTCAACATATAGAAAAAGTAAACGCTTAATCCATCAACTAAATCAAGCTTTATATACCGTAGGTACTTTACTACACCCCCCAGTTTGCAAGGTGGTACTTACTAAGTAAAGTGTATAATGCCATGATAACCCCTATATATATAAAATGCTTTACCTAAGTTATATACCTTAAATATACTTATATAAGCAGTATTATTTAAATAATAAGTGGTTTTTAAACTTATAAACTTTTTAGCTTTTAAACTTAAAATCTTTATAAAACTTAAATATAAGGGGCTTAACTTAAGGCGCTTAATTTAATATAGCTTAGGGAAATATAGCGGTTAATTGCGCTATATAAATAAACCAAGGGCCCATAACTGTGGAAAAAGCGAATGCTTAATCCATCAGCCGGATCAAGCCTTATATACCGTAGGTACTTCAACATGGTCCGGGTGCGCAGGATGGGTGTCATCTGCGCCAGCTTCCCCCACGCCGCCTTCAGCTTCTGCACAGAGACGGTTCGGTCTAGGCGGTATATGCTCTGTGCGACGTACGTGCCCAGGCGCTTTGTGGAAATGGCCATCAGGCCTTCTTGCAAAGGCAGACATGGATAGATGTCTTTGACTTGGTCGGCGGCGACACTTCACTGGCTTGCTACATCTTCCAGGCGCTTCTGCCTCTCTGATGGTTGGAGGCCAGCTCCGTCCTCCCAGAGAGCAAATGGCCGTGCATCTTGACCATGACGAGGCTGGGATGTGGAAGTGGATTGCATGGGAGGGCCGGGCAGCAAGCGGGACCCATCAGTACGGTAAAGTATCCCGGACGGGCAGTTTGCCTCATCGAGTGCAGGACGTCGTCGGGACGTATGGGGTGCCAGTAGATGAGCATACGGCACTGCACTCCCACTCCGCTCGCACCGACGGCATGGCATGCATGGCATGGCATGGCCGTGTGGGCATCTGCTGGGGGGGGGGGAGCAGTTCCGCCATTGTTCCACAGTCAGACAGGATCAGTATGGTCGACACACGATGGGACACAGGAGTAGACAGGAGACACGAAGGGGCCATGACACAGTCCGACAATTCTTCAACTTGAGGATGCAATGCGCCCATTGCTGCTGCTGTTGCCCGTTTGCCACTGGGCATCACATCCTATCGCATCGAGTGGTGATGCCACGCATCGCGGACTAGACGACTGTTGTACACGAGATAAATTAAAGGTCTGCCCAGGGTTGACGATGTGCCCCCCCCTCCAAGAGCACTCAGAAGTCTGTGGCCGTGTTTGAACGTCGGGCGGTAGTGGGCTAGCAGCGATCTGGGGTGTGGCTGAAGTGTGGGAGAGGCAGGAGGGACCCCTTTGTGTGGACAGGGGATGAGGAAAATTGACAGGGCAGGCTGGTCGGGCAGGCCTCGGGACTTCGCAACTCATACGACGTGCTGCAGGAGACAATGTGACGCTGCGAGGACGCCCTGGTGAGGTCGATCAGTCTCAATCGATAATTCAATGGTTTCGTCAAGAAAAACATCGGGCTGAGCAGGATGCGGAAATATGTGAGGGTTAGAAGGTGTCTGTTTCTACGCATGTTTTACGCTTATGCGAGGCGATCTCAAAACATCAATCTCTTAACTGTTCTGTTGAGAGAGCAGCAGACGTACAGTAATTCGTGGTTCATGGACCGCGCGTGCTGCTGACCGCGATGGACCTGTCTGCTCAGGCTGTCCATCCTGGTCGGGCGCAAGTATACGACAGCCACATTTTGCTGGCAAGGTACGGTATTTGTCCTACTCTGGAGCCTGCTAAAAGTTCAACCCCACTCGCCACCATGAAATGCTTCGTTGCAATGATTTAATTAGAGCGTAGTGCTGGATTAAAGATGGATAAAAACTGGTAGGACCCTGGCCTTGATGTTGATGGTTGATTTAACGTTGTGCAGCAGCAGTCATTTAGTCAATCATTAATCACCAAAAAAAAAAAAAAAAAAAGGCCAAGACGGCAATTAGGCAGCCAAGAACGGCCCATCTCAGATTAAGCTCCGTTAAGCTTTTCACCAGCACAGAAGCGAGGGGGACAACATGCAGCCATTCTCTTGGCCTCTAACGCAAACCAACCGTACCTGACTGGAATCCTGCAACGTCATTGATGATGGGGCGAGTGTGGAGGTGCGCCGCGCCGCTTGCTGACCAACTCCACTACTCCACATGCTGCGGATACGCCAAGCCAGCATTAGTAACGAAAGACAGACTCAGATTCCGAGGTTGGGCCCAAAGGAGGAACCATCCGGTGCTGACTTCACGCAATGGCTTCTGACCTACAGGACAGGACCGTACCTCATCAACCACCCAGATGCATCTCCAGATATCTTCCTGGGAGCCCTACTCAGTCGCAGTGCCTATTTCAACCTTGGCGCAGCTAAGACAGCTTGAAAATCTTGGCGGTACTTTTTGCCACTGGTTGGCTTAGAATCATCATCGATGCAGATGCAGGTGCCTGCGGGCACACAAGGCGAGCAAAATTCTTCTTAGTTGGCTGGGGCACCACCAACTTGGAGGTTTTGTTACTTGCCGGATCGCAGTTCAAATTGGAAAAGAGTCAGCCTCATTATCATGCCCGGATTCACCGGGTAGTCGAGATCATTTCCAAGTATCAATTGACCTCTGGGAACCACCTGAATAGCTGCATGATAGCACGCTTTACCCAAAATTTGAATGTAGGAGACAACCTCGTACGCACATGTATTACTGATACATTCAATCCGCTTTAATGGCCTCGTTGAGAGTCTCTTATATCCATCCACACGTGTGGTTGCGTGTAGTGCACAATAAATACACAGAAAGGGTTCGGGTGGACCGGAAACGGAACACGCTCACGCTGTCTCTTTGTCAGTCAGCCACGCACCCTACTACTCCAGGCATTAATTTTGATATTTATGCCCACAGGAACGTGTATTCGGCATTTGGCTCTTGCTGACGCGTCAAGAGGTGGTATTACGTCTGGTGCGGCTTCAATATAGTCTACAAAATGGCGGGTGCTAATCCTCCGACACTGCAAGACCTGAAAATCGAGCTTGAGGACGAGCAGGGCTATTGCTCGCACAAGTTTCACCGGTACAGGAACGGTTTACCAGGTTTCCTACTGTCGGCTCAGGACATTATTGATGGTAGACAGGCGGGAGATCCGGTTTTGACTGATCGCTGGAATGATATGAGAGCTCGAACACAATGCCTTGGGCCGCCAGGCCCGCGACCAAATCCACAAACTGGACTTGACCTTGATTATTTCACCAGGTACCACAGGCGACGGCTGCGCGCACTGGCTTGGCCTAATCGTCAACCCCTCAGAACCTTGCCTCGTCCTCCAAGAGGGCCTGAATTGGCGCCTGAGGCTATATCCATGATGAGGCAAGAGCACACGAGGGCCTACGCGAGGATGCGGTCATGCTTCCGCTACGTAAAATGTCTTGGATGGGGATGCGACGGTATTGCGTCGCTTTGGAGATATTCGCCTGGTCCTGGCCAGGAGCACCTGGTGGTCATGAAGATGAGCTCAAAATGGACGCGTGTCGATGGTCAGCCAGTGCCAGCGAACGACGACAAGGAGAAACATATCATAACTGTAAGTAGATTCCACCTGGTGCAAGCTCAGCCTCGCACACTGAGCCTCGCACGCTGATGCACGAGTTGCCCGGCAGCAACTTGGACGTGCACCGCACATTGTACACCGCTTCTATACGGCACGCCATCCCAGGAGAAACACTGGTACCAGGAGGTCTGCTCGGGCGGCAGAGCAGGTGGCACGTATGGCCAATCTAATCGACGGGCCCGAGGGCTCCAGCTACTTCCTGATGGAATACTGCAAGCTTGGCAACTTGGAGGGTCACCTCCGGAGGGCAGCCCGGGACACGCCAGCCCAGAACCCGGGTGGGAGAAGAACGGAGAGATATCTCCCAGAGGCCATCATCTGGCGTTTCTTCGACTGCCTTGTGAAGGCTTGCATTGCGATGCAAGAGCCGCCGTTACAAAGCACCGTCCTTTTCCCGCCCGTTGGACCGCTTACTGCAGTCACGGCAGGGACAGGTTACCTTCCTGAAGTAGTTACCTGGGCCACCCTCGCGGGGAATTCAGGATTTGAGGGCATAGCACACATGGATCTTGTAAGCCATCCTTTCGGTCAATGTTCACCACGACAGATACATTACTTTCTCTTCTACCAGAACTGAGACTCTATCTTCTCTTATATGGTCTTCACTCAGCATTCCGACTAGGGTTTCTAGACAAAGCTAACCTGTCATGTTATAGGATGCAACGAATGGTACTCCTACCGCCTCGTGCTGATATATCATTCCCTCTAGCGGGTAACCTATTGCACGCGTCATCAGCTAATTCTCTTTCAGTTTTTGTTTATGGCTTCGATCCACCGAATCTGCAACCGCCTCTCAATCCGGGCCACCAACAAATTCCACGTCTGCAGGCAAGCCCCTCCTCCAGCCCTTCTAGCCGCCAGTGCGGACCGCAGGGATGTCTAGATAATCCTAACAAAAGATGATGACTCAGGTTGGGGACTTTGGGCACGCCGAGAACGAAGAGTCGGTGTTCAGGCCGTCACGCGATCCTGCCCTCGGGAATGCGGCCTGGCCAGGCAGGCCGCCAGACACGCTTCAAGAAATGAGGAGCCGAATCGCAAGATGGCAGCAGAGACACCGGGGCAAAAGGATGAACTCACTTCCGGTGGGGCGAGACACCGAGACCGCACTTCTTCCAGGGCGTCGTTGCTAATAGTGAGATGGCTTCCTAGGAACAATTTGGTCATGATTGGGATTTCATACCTCGCCATGAAGACCCTTCTGACGATGTTAATACAATCTGGCCGTGGCAGCCCCAGTGGATGCAGCCCTGGCTCCCGCCTCCACCATTCACGGCGGGCCCAGCGAGGTATACCGCTGCGTCCAACGTATGGCACATGGGAATGGTATGCTCCACCGATTAATGCCTTGAACTCGTAGACTTGTCCTTTGGGCTGACATCACATGCCTCAGATGATCAAAGTTTGCATGACATTGGCGGAGCCTGACTTCCCGCCCTATGCAGGAAGATTTAAAACGGATGAGCCACCGAACCCAACGCCGGATCAGGAGCGATGGACATATGGGTGGTCACTATTGGATAACAGCGACCCGGATCTAGCAGCTCCGCAGTGGCGCGGCATGTACTCGCCCGCTCTGCGGAGACTTGTGGCGAGATGCCTCATGGCGAAACAGGACCACCGCCCTGAGCTGCAAGATATACAGGCAAGAATCGATACTGCACTAGCCCAACCGCACCTTCAAGTTGTCCCACCGTATTGGACAAATACCTTCTTTCGTGAACCGCCGCCTCCAAGGCCACCCCGAGACACTGAGGACGTGAACGACATAGATCCATTCTGGGACTATAACAGGGCACAAGGACTATTGTGATCCTTACCTCGGAACTGGTTAGTGAATTCAATGACCAGGCGCTTACAGGAAGGAGGCAAACAAAGCAGACTGGAAAGAGGCTGGCACATAGCGTGCGCGGAGACTGACCCGGGATGAAAACACTGTGAGCCCATTTGGCTTGAGGACCAAAATACTGTAATAAAGAGGTGTCCCCTGTCTTCCAAATACATCCAAGACCTCACCGAATGTAACCGACCAAAAGTAGGATCCACAGAATTTCTGGGGCGGAGCAGGATAGCCAAACTGCTTTTCCCATTAATACCTACCATTAATCGTCGTTTGTATTGAATTTGTTTAGCTTGAGCGAGCAGTATACCTCTGTGTGGCGGATATTCTTTAAATCGCTGGTGTCAGTGGTTGCCCATAGGGAGCGCGCACCGACGAGGACATGCATGGTGAGGACAAGGTGTAGATGAGCATGAAGTTGCCTTGATGAGGCAACTTTCCGCGGCCCACCAGGCTGGCTGGCACCGTCGTAGCCTCCTTCACCCCCCTGCCGCCCTCCTTCCCCGACTGCATCGCCCCCCTGGCCCTGATTCCTCTGGAAGGTACCACCTGGGCAGGCTGTCAGCGAGAAGCGAGTACCGCACGCAGGTATTTCTGGGAACCTCCGGTAGTCCAGTCCTCCTACGGTGTGTGTAGGCAGGTGCATGTATGATAATGTGCTGGTCGCTAAGTTATTAGGTCGGCATGACTTGACCCAGCTCAGATGACTGCACTTGAGGCTTGCTACCTCAGACGAGCTGCGGATGAGCATTTCCCTGTTTTCTTTGCGTAACGTCTTTGCTTCTACCCTGCCGTCTCTCGCGATTATCACTGGACCGCTGAGTGGCTGGTTACTGTCTCAGCGCAGTGGCCAAGGAACCAAGGGAGAGCAGAAGCACACACGTATTTTAGGCAGACAACAAGCCCCTCCTTAGCTGACTATAAAAGCACTCGTGTAATTTATCTTGTTCTGGAAACCTCTATCCGCATCCTCTGGCTAGTCCAAGTGGGACTTGCATCAGAGATTGTGCGTATCGGCATTCCTGTGGCGGCCCATTTCTTCTTTCATCTCCAGATCAACTTTCTCCGACTAGTTCTTCCACTATTGCTTCACCAAAAATGAGCTATTCAGCATCTTACATGGGCCATCATGGAGATCAACTCGCCTGGTTCCCGGACAGGGTCGCGTATATGGGTAGTCTACCTTCTTCGAGCCTGTCTGAGTCCGATTCGGTGCACCCCCGCCCAGGCAATTTGGTATTTCCCTACTTCAACCGAATTGCACCAGAAATCCGGGCCATCTGGGAAGAACATTTCCTGGCATCCATTGGCGGTCATCCTCAGGTCCATTTTCTCCTGGCAGAAAGACCAGTCAGAGGGCTCAAATGCACGTTCCCAGAATGCAGAGGGAAGTATTACTCTCCTATCGAGTACTTGCAACGGCATGCCGGAGAGCAACAGTAAGCCTCCTTTGGCTCATTCCACTTACCCAGAGTCATCCAAACACTTCTAACCGAGAACTACTCAATGAGCAGCTTCTCTGGCCAGCCAATTCTGGTCTGTCCAATCTGCTCGCCTCCTAAGCAATTTAACCGACAAGAAAACTTCCTGGATCACGTCCAGCGACACATCAGGGCGGGCGGGCTCGAACAAGTGTCAGCTTTGGCGTTGGTTGAGAAGTTGCAATCTCGCTCAGACCGCGAGAAGGAAAAGGCAAAGAGCGGATTAGGGCACACCTGGCCAGCGCTCAAGAACATGCGCATCAACCGGGAGGCCGCGGCGGCTGCGGACCGCGTCCGCAAGCGGCTGAGGTCAGAAGTCCTCTACTTTGGCAGCTCGGGGCTTCATGGGAACATCCAGACCCTGGTGAGCTGGGGCCGGGACCTGATATTCTTCAACACCGACATCCGCGACCCTCGAGTCAGCTGGCTGGTCACGGCAGCCTGGGCGCCGAAGATTAGGAGCCTCGGGATCAAAATCACGCCTCAATCCGGAGACAAGGCAGAGCCAGACGCTCTCGTCAAGGCCCTCAGACACCTGCCGAATCTGCGCGAGGTATAGTACCTCGTCGTCAGCTATGACGGGCTGCATGATGAGGACCCTGAGTATGAGTACGGAGATGAAGACGAAGATGAGGAAGAAGACGAACACGAGGTGATGCGGACCAAACCAGACCTTCGTTGGGGTGTTCTCTACACGGTGAATTGCCTCGCGGTAGTCTTGGCGCGTCGTAAGAGTGGGCCTATCGCACATCCCCGAGACGACTTCATACAGCAGCTTCGACCGGGTCTCACGACTGCAGAGGCTACAATGCAAGAAGCCGCTCAGATGGTATTCTTTGAGTAGCACGGAGCGGAGGTCAACGAGGCAACGGCGTTTCTCGAGAAGCACTGGGTGGATGCCATTTCGAGGGATATGTACATTTGTGCGAGGAATATCAAGGTTCAATGGATCTTATGAACATATGTAGTATATTGCAACGCTACTTATGTACACTGGGAGTTTGATATTTTCCGTTCTGACTTGTTGGTGCTACCTTTCTCTACAGACCGTTTCAGGCTCTGCATTCATTTCCCGCATCACATCCCTGTTGAGAACATACTCTTTGCAGTTGAGGCCCTCTTCAGTTCTTCAGCTGTTAAAGTGATAGTCTCCAGGACATGTAAAGGAGATGGAGGACTTTCATGGCGTTCTTCCCCCCGCGCTCCAGATTCAGACTCCCTTGTGCTCCGTGGGGGCGACGTGTCTGCGTTGACAATCTCGAAAGTCAAAGACTCCGGAGTCTCCGTTGGCGACTCTTCTTCGACTGCGTCCTTGAATGGGTTCTGGTGAAGTGGCGAGGTCCTCAGAGTGTGTCGTCTCTGGAGTCCTGTGCCCTCCCCCTTATTCTGTAGTGGCGCTTGCACTAGGTCCTGCTCACCGTCCTCCTCCGTCTCCTCTGTCTGAGAAGGAAGGTCCTGTTGCTTTTGGGGGTGGTCCGTACCAGGTACTTGCAGCCGTGCCGATGACCTATGCGTGCTTGAGCCTTCCGCCCTTTGCGGTGCAGACGCATCTCGTGGCACTGTCTGCTGATTTGTAGATGTAGGCCGCGAGAAGGAGCCGCGCATACTCCCCTCTTTTGAACTGTTGCGGAAACTGCTGGCTTCGACGGGAACTGGCACACTCATCCTGTGCACCGTTTGCTGTATTACTGGTTTCGGACTCAGGGGTTCCAGACCGGTTCCCAAGGACACCTCGGTTGCAGCCCACGAGAATCTGGTTTGGTCTGACTTGGAGGGATGTGAGTCGCTCCGTACTATCTCGGTGGTCACAATACGATCAGAGGGAGGGTCGTGACGATCTTTGCGAGTATGAGTGATTCCGTTCTCATCGGCAAAACTGTGGGCGTGTCTCCGCTGGGATTGTTTCCTGAGGTAGTACCTCCAGAGAAGGGCGAAGATGAAAATGAATCCGAGCACACCACCCGACACGCCGGCCACTAGAGCGGCGGGAAACGTGGTCGATCTGTCCGCAATAGCTCCATACGCAGCTCCTGGTGAGACCAAAGGAGTCGCTATGACCGTCTCTGTTGCCGGGGAAGGAAATGTCGTTACAGGGCCGACATCCGGCGACTGAAAATCCGAGCTGGAAAATATGCTCGGAAGCAGAGGGTTGTTCACTGGATTTAGAGTGGTCGCTGTCCTGGTTGGGAGTGATTCTATGAAGGACCCCCGAGATGAAGTGCTTGTCAAGGCGGCGGCGGGTGTTGGCAGGATCAGTTGAGGAGGGATGCTCGCGATAGGCTCTTGTGACGACGACGACACCAACTCGGGCGGCGAGGGCGGCGGGGTCACAGAGGTCACAGAGGTGACAGTGCTTGCTGGAGGGGTCACAGACACCGTGACGATGTCGGGTGGAGAAGAAGTCGTGATAGTTTCTAGAGCAGGCGGGGGAGGAGGCGGAGGCGGCGGCGTGCCGTCACTCGGAGGTGTAGGTTGGGGCGCAACACTGCCGGAAGCGGTGGGAGGAGCACTCGTCTTGCCGCCGTCGGGCCCGAAGCCTTGCACGATGCTCTTGAAGCCATTGACTCCATCACAGATTATTCCATCGCGGTTCTCGCAGAAACGCGGCCTATCTGACATGTTTGCCGTCTCGGTCTGCTGCGTTGGGGGAGTGTATTAATGAGCTCAGTCGCCAGGACCGATGCAATAGCATATTAGATTTGTAAGGACTCGTGCGAGGACGACCTTCACCGGCCAGAGCAGTCCAGGCTGTATGGCTCAGCGGCACGAGGTTGGGAATGTGGAGGCATATATGGCTCTGTGACATGACGTCGAATTTGGTTTCTTGGTGGTTCAGGACCGTCACGGTCTCTGGTCGAAACGCGATCACAGTGGCACACAAACGAAGCTACCCCCTTCCGGTTTTATCTTGCGACCCAGAGCGAAAACATGTGTGGTACTTCAACCGGCGTCGATCTCACATGGTTGTGTCCTTTATCTCTCACCCCATGCATTTAGCCACAGAATCAGCCTGGGGCACAACACCATGTCAATATGCCGGCTTGGAAGAAGGCCTTGTCGCCGTGTGGGGCAAGTCCAGATCTGCCGGCACCGGGGCATGTATGATGGCGTGCAGAATGCCGAGGGATGTTTCCTGTGTAGGATGTATCTCGTTCCAGCTTGGCTCGGTTTGCTTTTGTCTGTGTTTCCTGTCATCAAGTGTCAGAAGTGACGTGCGGGCAGATCTGTGCTGCAGCTGTCATTGCTGTTCCTGCGTGGATCATCCCACACAAACGACCAGATTCAGCCCATCTCGACGGGGACATGAGCTACCGCACGTACGAACTCTATCTCAACCAGTCGCGTCGAACGGAACAGAGTTTGCGGTATACGACGGTGCGGTAGCTCCCGTTGCAATCATGGGACCGTGGGAGTCTGTCGAGTCCGTGTCCCTGCCGAACCAGAGTCGTAAGGCTCTACAGGGATTGGTGTTGGATGATGCGATACGGCTTGTTGGAGATCATGCACAGCTAGACCAATTGGTAGTAGTTCCGTGTGTCAGAGCCTTGAAGGATCTACAGCCGACACACAAGGTCGCACTCCTAGACGATGGTTGTAATTTTGATCACGATGGTGCACAATTTACCACAATAAGGCAAGTCTGCATGTCTCGCATGTTAGTTTAGCCTTGCCTGTCATCCCAACCGACGCACTTGGACACGCAGCAGTTCCCTCACGACTCCACCGCTTGGGTGTCTAGCGGCTTATCCAACTCAAGATTAGTAGGGAATCGCCACTGCTATGATGACAAGATTTCGAGTGGTGTGGTCAATGATAAGACTGGCATTTGATTAAGCTTCAAGTCGTAGGAGATCGTCTCGAAAAGGCATGATGCATGTCAGTCTGAATGTTGAGTTGTGTCTGATCTAGGGAAACATTCCTCCTCTCATCCAAGCTCCGGCTATAGCAGATGCTTTATGCATTTCATCCGAAAGGGCATCTTCAGCTTGGATCGGGACGACCTTGGTTGGGCATGCTGATAGAAATCTGCACGGAAGCTGAACCTCCAAAAGTATGTTTATTTCAATCGGATGATATTTTATAGCTGTTGATAGCTTTTCAGACTGCTCATCAAGTGTTGTTCGTGAGCCTTCTATTTATCTAAATGGCCCCTGGGGCAGCTTCCGGGCGAGTTGGCTAAAACAGCTTTGGAGACCACTTCATCGGATAGTCGCGATGTAAGCAAGAGAACGTCTTTATCACCACTGCCTCATTCGAGGCGATGCATGTGATGCTGTTCTACCAAAATAGCGAAACTCTGAGATCAGAAGAGGCCTTGCAGCTTCATCTCCATATACCCAAGAAAAATGCTACGTCGTCCCTTGCGTGTAAGTACTCGTGACGGTCCACCGCGAAACACACGTCCCAAACAATGTGAACTATGTCGAGGATCCGTCAACTATTGGATGGATCAGAGTTTTATGTCATGCATGTCCGCTCCCAGCGTGGATCTTGCTTGAAGAAATGTGGCCTAAGGAGACAGACGTTGAGAGCCAGACGCCGGAAAAGCTTGCATATATTCTTGTCCTGGTCAAGATAATTGTAAACCCAGCCCGAGTTTCACCGGAGACCAATCGCTTCTATCAGTTTGCACAGTATCGCCAAAGACGGTGGATCTATCCGTGGAAAGCGGTGGGGTTTTCCGTGCTGTGTTTAGGTTTGTTTCGTTTGACAGTGTTGTTTGAGGATACTATACGTGGACAATTCACATGGTTTCTAACATCACTCCCGTGATTACCGAGCTGCTGTGCAGGTGACAACTCGACTAATTCAAGCTCGCATCACGTCCTTCGACAAATGGTGCAGACAATCACGTTTCTTAGCATAGAGATATCTCGTGTGCGTAATGTGCGTGACAATGCCGACTCAAGGTCAGTTTCGTAGAAGACTGCGTTGTGTTTTCAGAATGCCATTGGCTGGCTCGTTTATTTAGAGGCCTGAACCTACACAAGCTGTTTTACGCCAGCCAGCATTCCCCTGAAAGACGCTTGATGATGCTCGGTTTTGTTTCCCGCCGACCCTCAGCTGGCTGATCCTCCTGTCGGTCAGTTATCCCACCCAACCTTCCTCTCCTTGGTACCGTCGGTCTGGCCAAAAGATAAGTGTCGTGTGGCGTTGCTATCCATGTAATGGTCGCTACAAGAGTTCCAGCCTCTCCCGTTCAAATACTTAATTACATGCTCGAATAAAAAAATCTGGTTAATTACGTTTCGACCGTAATCTTGGATTGACTGTGTAGTGCAGATCTTACTTTTGTACCGCATTCGAGGCGCCGGGGAAGCTCCACATCACTTTCTGAATTTTGCCATTAAGCGTTGTGGCCTGACTACTGATTTCTCCGGTGAAAGAAATATGTCGCTTGATCCACGAGGACTCCAGTTCCTTCTGTTATGCATGAAGGCAGATCCTCTATTTTCGGGCTTTTCTCTGTCTTAAGTGATGGACTGGATGCCATGCTCTCATGTCACTTAACAGTTGACAAATTCTGACGACCACTGCACTAGCAAGAGCTATTCTCTTCTTCATGAATAATGACCCTCATGTGTATGATAACCACACCGCAATGCATTGACCTACTCGTTCATCTTCATGGTCACTCGACCTGGCCCTCCTTCCCATTCCTGATCTGCCGTGACCATGTAGGCTTCCCGCATCCCGTGCCGACAGAAAGCCCTATACTTGTCGATTCCAGACTTGCCGCCTTTACGGAGAGGGACATGTGCTTGATTGTGACCCCCATGCGCAGATTTTCTTAGGAGAAAAGTAATCGCTGTACTATGCAAACAAAAGCCTGCAAACCTACAGAAGGCACTTTGGGGCTCTTACATTTCTCCTCCAATGTTCGTCCAGGTTTTGAGAAGCTGATCAATATCCTTTGCAGCCATTTGCCCCACTTCCTCCAAATCATCCAGACCCAGCTCTGTGTCGAGATCTAGAATCTCGTCAATGTCTATGGTTGGACCTCTTTGAAGATCCTCCTCCGAGTTGTCATCATCACGAGGTCCCACAATCTTGGGTTTTGAATATTTATGCTTATCGTTGCCACCCTTTTTGCTTGGCTTCGGGCCACTGAAGAAACTCAAAGTTTTCTTCGCACGACGAGTCTTATCCTTCCTGGGCCTACCGCCCTCCACTATGTCGACCATGGCCGACCTCCTGGCAGATCTCCGGGGCGGCGGTGGCGGCGGGATGAATACTGGCCGGGGCATGGGCGAAAACATCCTTTCCATTTCAGGAGCCATACCCGGCGGTGGCGGCACCCCTTGCATAGGTCTTCCTGGAAATGGCGGGAAAGGCTGTGGAGGTCTGGGCACATCTTCCCACATGCGCATGCTCACTGATGCGCCAGGCTTGATTGTTCGGTCCCAGACCACGGGAAGGATGACCTGTCCTTCAGAGTCCAGCAGGTCATAATGTCCCTCCGACACGAGCGGACCAATCACATCCACGTTAATGAATGCTTGTTTGATGAGGCCCTCGATTCCCTAGGTATTCGCAAAATTAGTCACAGGTATTATGAGGGCGAGTTCGTCCGGGTACGTCATGTTAGCCGCCTCAAGCTTACCTGCCAGGTCGAAATCAGATTGAACGGGAAGTTGAACTTCCTGCCAACTGCGTCTTTGAATTTTATCGGCTCCTTGTCGTCCCCGGCTGCTTTCTTGGCTGCCTCCTCAGGCCGTACTTCCTCGGTCGTCTTTTTGCGTTCTTCCTCGAAGAGCTTCTTCAGGTCCTGCTCAGCAGTCCCCTTTTCAATCCCTTTCAAGACAGCTTCCTCAGCGTGCTTAAGCGCCCGATTCCTGCTGTCCAAAGCATTCCTTTCTTGTTCTATCCGGATCTTCTCGGCCTCCAAGGTTTCCCTCGCCTCTTCTAATTCTGCCTTGCCCTTCTCCATGTCTTCTTTATCTGCTTTGCTCTTTGCTTCCTGCCTAATCTTTTCCTCTTGTTCTCGTTTCAATCTTGCCTGTATTTCTAAACGCTCCCTATTCGCTCGCTGACTACCAAGGGAAATCCTGCGCATTGTAGCGGCAAAATGAGAGCGCGGTCCGATCACGTCTGCCCCAGTGTCTGCCTTTCCCTTCATGACGTCCACTGGTTCATAACGAAAAAACAGGACCATCCTTGTCCAAAAAAGCCTGAGCTCACCAGGTGTGAAATCAAACCTATCGATAACGTTGTTCCCATCGATATCAATGGCCACCAAGCAGACATTCATGCTGCCGTTAGCAGCCAGCTGAACTTGCTGGACTACTCTGTCAACAAGGACTCGGTGTTGGGGACTCAAAACTAGCAATACATCCCATGGGTTGTATTTTCTTAAAGCCCGCTTGACCTCCCGGGTGAGCCTGCGATGGCCGAATGGCAACTTTGTGAGCGGCGGTGATGCGCTGTCAGCTGGATAGGAGTAAATAAGGTAAGCCTCGAAAGTGGCGCTTGTCAAGTCTTCCTTGAAGACGGCCTTCCGCTCTGTCCTCTTCCGAGCATAGACTGTAAAAGCCCGCAAAGCCCTCACGGCGCGGGATGTGCGCGACCTGCGCGGTCTGGATTCTCGGTCGGACCCCAAAAAGGATGATGACGCGGACGACTCAGGAATGATGTGCGAGGAAGCGGACGAGTCTAAGGAAACAGCGGAAGCATTGCTGGGTGGAACCAGCTGCGCCACTATCTCTCTATCTGAGCCTTCACTGGCTCTTTCTGAGCCACTTTTTCCATCTGAGCCGGACGGATGTCTCTGGGGATTCTTTGGTGAATCCTTCTTCGTCCGGAACTCCGTCATCCTCTTGCGGAGCGTCTCGAATATGTCTCTGATTTCGTTCTCATCGTTTGTCCCAAAGACTTTTGCAATTGAAGGACTGGGGATATCAATTATCGGTCAGCAGTGGAAGCACGAAACGAGGGGCACCTAGTATCTTACGCATACCGGGCACGGCTTTCGGCGATAGAGACGACGAGAAGCCTGAGCATTAAGCTTGCCTTTAGCCGTCCGAGGTGTTCCTGACATCGTTTGATCCGCGGCTCAAGCCAAGGCCATCTCATTTTGCGACCCAGCCTGGTGACATTCTTGCTAAAGACCGCTAGCCTTGCCGCGGGCGTGTTCAGGTCGTCTGCGGCAGGAGCTTGGGGCCCGGTGTCTTTACTCCCATCTTCGCCGACATGCATGCTTGCCTTCTCAATGAGAATGATGATCTGGACATAGATCTTCTGACACTGCAGAGCGCAAGCGCTGATCTCTTTGATACTGGTAGTATTGAAGACTGTTGCGCGATGCTGTTCCTTGCTGGCAGCCTTGTCTTGGTCAATGAAGTCTTGGAGGTCCTTTAGGGTCGATGCAGTAGAGTTGACGTCTGCTACGGTGAGGATTACGGTCTCCTCAGCCTCGATCACGCTGTCGATAAAAGCCTGTAGACTCTTCGCGAGGCCCAATCCAAACGAGGCGATGCCGACAACGGAAGCTGCGGCCTCCATTGTTTGGTTGGAGGATCACCGCCCTTTCGTGGCTCAGCACTCGAAGCACGAAGGGAACAGCGGGCCTGGAACGTGAATTTGTGAATTTTCATCTTCTCAACAACAGTCAGGCCGAAATTGTTAAGCTGATGCATGTCAGATGCACAGTAATCAAGGTGGCGGCAAGTGTTATCCGCACTATTCCCACTTTGGATCCCTGGTGGCACAACTCTCCTGGCGTTGCCAAGAGATTATTTAGTAATCCGCATTCCTCGAGCAGCATTTGGAAAGGCCTGTGGTGTCTCGGTCAAAATTACGGCATGATGTTCACCATGAAAGCAAAAGCTTCTAAAATGACACAACCCGTGTTTACCAGATACCAAGCGAGAAGTTCGATGTCGACGCCCAAGTATTGAGTCTTCGAGACAAGGACTAGATCTGCCATCGCCGACAGATATACCATGCGTCTAAGCAAAAAAAGCAATCTGCCAATCTTACAAGGCCCGGCCGCCCTGTACCATTCGGGACGATCATCCGCAGAACTCTGGCCAGGACCTGCGCCGAAACCCAGCGGCGATGTCACCGCCACGGCGCACCCCAGGAAACTTAAACTCAGAACGTGCTGGCGCGGCCCCGCAATCTCGTGGGGACCTGGCATGAGCTCTCCACAGTCTCGGGACAGCTGCCCCCGGTAGTCAGCCAACGTGCAGGGTTCGGATGGAAGAATTCACGCCGCCCATCGCGCTCAGGTGGTCGGCTAAAGACAAATCCCTCGTTTTTGACAGGCAGCCAGGCACCATTTCATGACGTCGTACGGTCTGCTGCGAGCATGATATAAATACGCGCTTCACGCCCGCTGGCCGGGCCGTTGGGGCGCGGTGGAAGAAGGTCACCGCCTCCCACACCACCACGACCCCAAGCCATCGCGAGGTTGTGCCGCCAAGAGCTCCAACGAAGATGCGGTGGTTCGGCAAGGCAGCGGCCCTGACATGGGCCCTCGCGGCCGCCGGGCTCAGCCAAGTGCACGCCCAGGGCGTCGACGCGGCCGACTGGCCCCTGCACAACAACAGCCTGACGACGCTGGTGGAATGGGACCACTACAGCTTCCACGTGGATGGGCAGCGGCTGTTCGTCTTCTCGGGCGAGTTCCACTACTGGCGGTTCCCCGTGCCGGAGCTGTGGCGCGACCTGCTCGAGAAGGTTCGGGCGGCGGGCTTCAACGCCTTCAGCATCTACGGCCACTGGGGGTTCCACAGCCCGTCCGACGGGAGCCTCGACTTCGAGACCGGCGCGCACGACTTCACGCGCATCATGGACCTGGCCAAGGAGCTGGGCATGTACATGATCGTGCGGCCCGGGCCCTACGTGAACGCCGAGACCAACGCGGGAGGGTATCCGCTGTGGGTGACGACGGGTGAGTACGGCGCGCTGCGGGACAACGACCCGCGGTACACGGCGGCGTGGACGCCGTACTGGACCAACATGTCCAGCCTGATCGCGCCGCACCTCATCACCAACGGCGGCAACGTGATCCTGTTCCAGATCGAGAACGAGTTCGGCCAGCAGTGGACCAACGTGGCGGCCAAGACGCCCAACGCCGCCGCCGGTGAGTACATGCAGCTCCTGGAGGACTCTGCGCGCGCGAGCGGCATCGACGTCCCGCTGACCCACAACGACCCCAACATGAGGACCTTTTCCTGGAGCAAGGACTACAGCGACGGGATCGGAAACGTTGACGTCGTGGGCCTGGACTCGTACCCTTCCTGCTGGAGCTGCGATCTCACCGAGTGCACGGGTACGAACGGCAAGTACGTCGCGTACCAGGTTGTGGACTATTACGACTACTTCCAAAAGTTCTCCCCAACACAACCCAACTTTATGCCAGAGTTTCAAGGTGGATCGTACAACCCGTGGGGCGGTCCTGAGGGCGGCTGTCCGTCAGACATCGGCGTCGACTTCGCCAACCTGTTCTACCGCAACTTGATCTACCAGCGCGCCACGGCCATCAGCCTGTATATGCTCTTTGGCGGCACCAACTGGGGCTGGCTGGCAACCCCCGTCGTGGCGAGCAGCTACGACTACTCGAGCCCCGTGTCCGAGAACCGCGCCATCGGCGGCAAGTACTACGAGACCAAGCTTCTGACCATGTTCACCCGCGTGACGAAGGACTTGGCCAAGACGGACAGGGTTGGCAACGGCACGGCCTATAGTGAGAACAAGGCGATCACTACGGCTGAGCTGCGGAACCCCGACAACGACGCGGCGTTCTACGTCACAATGCACCTCGACTCAACCTCGGCCACGCTGGAGACCTTCAAGCTGAACGTCAGCACCTCCCAGGGAGCGAAGGTCGTCCCACAGTATGGCGGGAGTATCGCCATCGACGGCCACCAGGCCAAGGTTCTCCCTACAGATTTCAGCTTCGGTAGCAAGAACCTGCTGTACTCGACCGCCGAGGTCCTGACCTATTCCGTCATAGACGGCAAGGAAGTGCTGGCCGTCTGGGTCCCAGCTGGCGAGTCTGGCGAGGTAGTCATCGAGGGCGCGACCTCTGCAAGCCTCGCAAAGGCCACTGCGAACACGACCTCAACAGCGGTCACCATCGTGCCTGGGAACTCAAGTGTGGCTATCAACTGGTCCAAGACCAGCGGAATGACCGTTGTCACTCTGGGTGACGGTGCCCAGGTTGTGATCCTCGACCGGCCCTCGGCGTACGTATTCTGGGCTCCAAGCCTAGGCAACGACCCCCTCCCCGTGAATAGCACAGGTAAGTTCAGACGCCCAGCGAAGTCTCACCTGCGATTTGAATTTGAAGAGGGATAACTGACTTCTGTAATCAGTTCTCGTTCAGGGTCCATATCTGGTCCGTTCAGCGTCCATCACCACCGACAAGACACTCGAGCTCGTCGGAGACATCGACGGCGACAAGAACACTCTGGCCATCTTCGCCCCATCCGTGGAGTCCGTGACCTGGAACGGAGCCGAGCTCCCCACCGTCTCCAAAGACGGAAACATGCTCACAGCAACCGTCCAGGGGCCGGGGTCCTTCACCCTCCCCTCTCTGGGGCCCTGGAAGTGGCACGACAGCCTGCCTGAAATCCAGCCCAACTACACCGTCTCCCCCAAAGTGTGGACCACGGCGGACCACCAAAACACCTCCAACCCGTCGCAGCCCGCGTCGAACAACCCGGTGCTGTTCCTGGACGAGTACCACGTCCACGTCGGCAACTCCATCTACCGCGCCTCATTCCCAAACACGCCCTCCTCGCCGAGCGGTGTCTACCTCAACATCACAGGCGGAAAGGCCTTCGGTTACTCGGCGTGGCTGAACGGTGCGTACATCGGCTCGTACCTAGGCGCCTCCACGTCCGCTACGGGAACGACGGAGTTCTCCTTCGCCAACGCGACGCTCGCCGCGGAAAGCAAGGACAACTTTCTAGTAGTGGTGATGGATAACTCAGGCCACGACCAGACAACAGGCGCCATCACACCCCGGGGGATCTGGAACGCAACGCTCATCGGCGCAGACGCCAGCTTCACGGAGTGGAAGATCGCGGGCCCGGCGGGCGGCGAGGACAACATCGACCCGATCCGCAGCGTGTACAACGAGGGAGGCCTGTACGCCGAGCGCGTGGGCATGCACCTCCCCGAGTACCCCGACAGCGACTGGAGGGCTGTGAGCAGCGGCAACGGCACGACGACGACGCTCACGGTCCCGGCGGCGGGGATCCGTGTCTTCCGCACCGTGGTACCGCTCTCCGTCCCCGAGGGGCTGGACGTCTCCATCTCGTTCCAGTTCTCGGCGCCGGGCAACGGCAGCAGCAGGAGCACGTTCGTGCCGGACGACGCGGCGCACTCGAACCAGGTGCGGGCCCTGCTGTTCGTGAATGGGTACCAGTATGGTCGGTTCAACCCGTACATCGGCAATCAGATCACATTCCCTGTCCCGACGGGAATCCTGGACTACGATGGTGACAACACCATCGCCGTGACGTTGTGGAGCCAGAGCGCGCAGGGTGTCGAGGTCAAGCTGGACTGGAATGTGGAATATGTGCACACCACTGGATACGACATGGGCTTCGATGCGGAGTATCTGAGGCCTGGGTGGTCCGAGGAGAGGTTGGCGTATGCGTAGTAGAGATGACAATGTAGTATGTATATAGGATCCGTGGTTAGTTGAAATGCAGAACGTTCAGAACGTGTACATCCTGGCACGCTATAAGATTTCAACATGTCGCCTCGGTGTTAAGCTGCCGATCGTATCCCACTCTTACCATGGCTCCACATGTAAGCATTGTATCGGAATTTAGGAATCCTTCGACCACTTCGGAAGCCCCACGCTGCTGCATTAGAAGCAAGCAGTGATCAGTTCAGTGAACGAGAGGTGTATAGACGATCCTAGAAAACCATTAATTGATCGCCAAGTGTGCGATTCAATTGTAAGCTCGAGCCGTATCGCTCTGCGCTCCCCGCGATCTAAATTCACTGGCATATTTCTCGAGTTTGCTGACAGGGCTGCTTAATGTCTTCAATATCTGGATTCCAAGAGCTCAGCCGTTCACTAACCCAATGTCGATCTGCAGCCATCTCCAGGGCATGGCGTACAGCCCATCGTCCAAGATCCCTGTCTCCCAGAATTGCTCCCAGCGATCAATCGATACGATGCAACACTTCCATGACCTATCGAACCAATAGGTCGATTTCGATCTCCAGACTGAGACCACATGTCTTAGTGGTCCTCTCTGACGACTAGGACAATGAGAGGCTCCAATCCATCCTCGAAACCCGTCCAACTATGCCAGTTGCTCATAACCATTACCTTCACCGTTGCGCAAGCTTCAGCAACCATTTTTCTCAATGTCCCGAGCAGGATTCTTCGATTGTCAATCTCGCGCTCTCCAACTGCCCGTACCCGGCAGAAGTCCAGCCTGTCGATGACAATGTCAACTGTTTCTGTGCTCTCGAACATACCGATCACGCGCACCGCAAATGTCCTGCAAGGCTTTTGTTCGATTCAAGTTGTTCCTGGTCTCTTTCTTCCTCGGTGACCCGTCGAATCTGGCGACCCTGGTGGCTGCGACCATGATCTCGATGGAAATAATGTTTGCGCTGAGCCCGGCGAGCTTGGTACTGCTGACGATCGCCGCGAAATTGGAGTACTTGGGGTCGATGTGCTATCGGCGTTGGTAGCCTCCCGGGCTCGTTGTAAGAGTATGTCCAGCTCATCAAGCTCACGACCTTCTCGCAGAGCTCGCTTTCGTGTTTGCAGCAGCAGGAACAGGATGGCTGGTATCACGTCCTCGTATGCAATCCCTTCATATGGATTGGTGTTAAGGTCTGATACGAGGTGTGTGCATTTTGGCGTGTTACTGTACAGGCTATGTTGTTCCTTGGTTTTCTCACCAGATGCCATTTTTCCTGCCTTGTGTTGTTCACACATCAGTTAATTTCTGATCCTCTTGACCATGTTTCCATTACTTGTCTGTGGATTTATTATGGTTAAGATATACTCTGACTCCACGACTACCAGAATGTGCCTTTTGCGCAACCTCCAAAAATGACTATACAAAAAAAAAAAAAAAAAAAAAAAAAAAAAAAAAAAGAGATGTTCCTTCCAGGATCAGCTCAAAGAATGGGCCAGCCAGGGTCCACATCCAACCAAAAAAGAAAATGAAAGAATAAGGAAAACTTTCCGCCTGTGAAACCTCCAAAAAAGAGTACTCATCTTCTTCAAGACGAGCGAAGACATGGAGAATGATGAGTACCCATGCTGACAATAGAATAAATGCAGGATGTGCCGCTATGGTAGGCAGAGTTGCTGCCTGGCTTGGGCTGGCAAAGCGCATCCCAACATCCTCATCGATTGTGTCTCGTTCGATTCTTCTCCGCCAAGCCGAGTTTTGGAAAACCCCCTATAGTCCGGCCCGCCTGGTCCGGGTGCACGCCCATCCGTGCAAACAGCTTGAGACGACCAACAACCTCGCCGAGCATGCGCTCTGGGAAGTAGTATCCGTGGAGGCGGGCGGCAACATCCCCGAAGTCCTCTGTCGGGGGCGGAATGCGGTGCTCCCAGACTATCACATCTTCTCTCCTGGTCCATTCACTCCACTGTCGTAGACCCCACTGGCTCCCATCATCGCGCTTCACCACGACAGCAATTGTCGACGCAGCACGCCCACCCGGAAGTTCCTGCCCCAACTCACTCACTTCGTCCCAGGTGGCAAAGCTGGCTATGACGACCCGCGCTTCACAGAGCTGGAGAGGCGTCAAACCTCTAGTCGCGCGGTCCTGGGAAGTATCGAATGTGTGGCCCCGCCAAGCGACGTTGAACTGGTCGGGGCTGTTATCCGAATGAGATGCGGCGGGTCCGGTACCCATCCCGGTCGGCACCGGGGGCAGCGTCGCGCCCTGCTGCTGCGACTGTATTTGCAGCGAGGGCAGCCCCCCGGACTGCGGTTGCGCCTCAAACGGGGCCAGATGCGGCGGTTCCGTTGACATCGGGGGCACCATGTCCCGTCGCTGCAGCTGCCGCGGTAGCGAATGCATCGGAGCTAGCCGCGGTCGCTCCAACTGCATCGAAGGCATTTGCCCTCGCGGCGCCGGCGGGAATAACCCAGCAGGGAGCGCGGGTTGACGCTCGATGCGCACGTCATCGCCGTAACCGCCGCCGGCGCCGGCGCCGCGACCAGCCGTGGCCGGCGCATTCGTGGGCCAGCTAGTGTTCTGCCAAGGGTTTGGCTGATGTTGAGGTGCGGCTGGTGTAAAATTTGCGCCTTGGTTTTCGGGCTGAGGCCCAGGCTCGTGGTGGCTGCCTTGGGATCCACCGCGCTGGGAGCCATGCGGTCTGCTGTGGTGGTGCTCCCCCCTGCCGTCGTCTGCCTTCTTATGCTTGTGTGTGCTTCCGCCATGCTTGCGGTGGCTCCTTCCATGCTCGTGTTGCTGATCTCCGCTGGATGAACTGCTCTCACGTCCTCTCTTGTGTCCCTCTGTTGTCTGCTGATGGGCCGAACCAGAATATCCTCCGAAAAGTGGCTGTGTCTCGCCAGTAAGACTTCCAGAATATTGTGCACCGCCGGCATAGCCTCCACCAGACGACGTGTTGCCCCCAAGTTGTCCCTGCTGATATGGAGCTGGACGAGGTTGTTGGATTACGTAGCCGCTTGCGGCAGGCGTCGAGCTGTATTGCTGCGCTTCGGCTGGCCCGGGGGATGAGCTGTATCCACCCCTAACAAGGGCCTGCCGAGCATAATTTGACAGAGGGTTGTCCGATGCTCCTTGTTGATCGCGTTGGTAATACCCGTGTTCTTTGTCTTTGCGATTGTCCATGGTGGCCAGTAGTTGGGTCAGCCTTTGCCAGATTGTTGATGGGATAGAGGCTCTGCTAGGGTCTTCTGGCGTTGACCTTTTGCGAGGTTCAGGATTGGATTGGCAATAATCAAGGTAGATATGGAAATTGGGCTTGCTAAGCGCATTTCTGCTGCTGTCGAAGGAGTCTTGTCCTGGTCTTGTAGCAGGTTTATATAGCTTGCAGAAGGCCCCGTGAGGAGTCTAGGAGGTATTGTGACTCAAGTCTCCGGCTGGCATTGCGAGCAACTGATAACAGTTGTTCACTGGTATGCATCACTACAGGTGAAGCTGTCTTTACTATAACAAGACGTTTCTGATCCATGAGCTTGCCTTTGGATGGAAATCGATCCCATGTAAGCCCAGACTGATTTAAGTGATTGTTTAGAAACCGTGTGGAGTACTACCTGTGTATGAAAATCTACACCTTGACATGATATGAATCATGTTGTCCTAATTATACATGTTAATACAAAGGCATTATTGGTATATGACCCGTAACCATTTGTGTTTAGCTGATATCATTCCATGTAATGCTTCCTTTATTTGTACGAAATAAAACACCTGGCAAAGAGGTGAGGAGTGGCACAGATGAGTTTTGAGCACATGTGGTCAAGAGCCATCCGCGCCACAAATGTGTCAGAAACTCATCTCTAACAGGAACAAAGCTGTGATCATGTATTTTCTGCAACAGAGTGTTTGAGTGAGAACATCAAATTTCTTTTGGGTGTATATACCTGGCAAGTAGTGACACGTGCTCCGTGGCATGAGAAACTCAAGCGGCTGGAATACCAGCAAGAAGAAACCCATACTCACGGCGTTTGCGACTAGAAAGACCTGCCAAAACCTCATCGCTGTAGAAGTAAGTGTTGGTCCCCAAAGAGGACCTACAACAAGTACATCACAGTTTAAATGTATGCTCTTACAACGGCTTCAGAAGACAAGAACCTCGGCTGATACCTAATGAAATGGGACTTGGACTTTTTGTTCATGGCCACTCAAGTCATCAGCCAAGTCACTGAAAGTCGAAATTCAGGGCCTTCTCAGATGGCAAACAATCCGAAAGTCTGTGACTTATAAACCTGGCGCTCACTGGAGGACGCTTTAACTACCATAGAGCCCCACCATTCAGGACACCCCATAATGCAGGATGGCTAAATTAAAAGAGCACCTATTTTTTTAAATTTATATTTATAAATTTATCAATAATTTAATTTATTTAAATATAAATTTTTAATGAATAAAATTTTAAATCTTTTCCTTTTAATTCTTTTATTATTTTTGCATTTTTTAAAGTATTTTTTTAATTATTTATCATAAAAACTAAATTCAAAGTAATATAATATAATGCAATGACTGAGGACCTATGAGGCTATTAGTGCGACGCGGCTGACATAGCCAATCACGAAAGCAGCAGCCCGAACCGCATCGCAGGTAATACAGGAGGAAAGGGACACGCCTGCAAGATGGCTGAGCGTGGCAGGTGGGGGCCAAATGTAGGGAGATGTGGGCTGTATTGCGACTTGTGCGACTTCCGACGTGACGCGTGCCATCTTCAAAGTCAAGTCTCCATCTGCGATCTCCAGGAGCAAATTTCCAGAAACCGAAAAATGCGGGCCGACGACAGGTCATGCATCGTCATCTTCATGCGCGGCATTGCTGGACGGCTATCTCGACGCCACGACGGCAGGATATGGTGCTTCTCGTGAGCTGAATGTTCCTGATGATATAAGAATTGTCCGCCTCGGGGCTTTGACACTGGGGTTTTTCAACGACTGGTCCTGCTTGTGTGGTATTGAGGTCGACGTTAGCTTGGAAGGTGGAAGGTGAAGAAGGTGGGTCCTGCCCCTGCCGTTTCGAGGTTCCATCCCGACTGCCCGACGACGGCTGTCGGCAGTGTGGGGCCCGCCCACTGCAGATCAGGGCAAGTACCGGGCATAGAAGTGGAGCCTCATCGTGCTTTCCCAAAAGGTTGGAACATGAAATCAGTCTGTGCCAGTTTGCCATGCGACCGCATGGCTGAGTGTTAGGTACAGAGGAACGGTCGATGTGCCTGGGAATCTGGTGAAATACCAATCAAGCCCTGGAATGAGCTGCTATCAGCGAGAAGACCAACACGTGGTCGACAGCGGGAAGTCAGTGAGTGGCTCGACAGTATCGGCTCTGCCGTCATACAAACAGGACGGGCTGGACCCATCGAACACGCGTCTGTGTTCACACCCACAGCAGGTCAGCATGTCTGGCACGCACGCATCTGACACACCAGGACCTGGGCCGAACAAGGCACAAGAGGTTGAGCTCCCCTACTTGGCACCCCAGTTCCCCATCGCTCAATCGGTCAATCCATGGCATCAACCCACCCCGTGGGCCACCAACACCTCAACTCAGAGGGTCCACACCCCTTCTCCTTTTGCTCGACCAGTCAAGAGAATATTCAGCTCCACCAAAATCGAGTGGTATTCTGCCAACCGCTTCCCTCTTCGCGACTTCTTTTTCTTCTCTATTTCCCTTCCACATTGGCACCGCCGAGCCCGAGAAGCTCTCACATCCCCGTCCCTGGACCACCCCGGAGCTCGCTTGAGTCCGGCCTGTCACACATCCACTACTTTCACTCCAAATACGCTCCAGCATCAGACCCACGAAAGAGAGTGGATTCTGGCTTTTTGGGTTTGTGATCCTCTCTCTAACTCTGCCGCGAGATCTCGAGATCTGTGGACGTGAAACCGGGGACTCCTGAAAGGCCCTCGTGCCCGAACCGATGGTTGTGCCAGTCTAAGCCGCCAGCCCGACTCCGCACGAATGATCGAGACCATGGCCGCCACGTGCGCGCGGATGCTACACTTCTTGGCTATTGTTCTCTTGTTTTGCACGCCGTCTTCCGCCAATGACATATTGCAGTCACCAACACTCTACGACTGGGGCTTCTACGGCTTGTACCCAAAGGCCACGTTCAAGTCCTACGAGCTCGCTGCACCTCGCCTCAACTTTCTCAAGTGGGACGAGCAGTGCGACGATGGCTACTACCTCATGTCCCCCCGCGGGAGCATTGTCTACTCGCCCGCCCCGGTGATAATGGACGGGCGAGGAAACTTGGTGTGGACTACCGATGATAGCTTTGGAAAGGGCCGAGGCATTACGGACTTCAAGGTGCAGATGTACCATGGCAAGCCGCATTTGACATTCTGGGGCGGCGTTGACGGCGTGCATCACCGCTATGGAGCTGGATGCTACTTTATTGTATGCTGCATGTTGTTTTGCTTTTTCATATCCTTTTCAGTGCGGTTTTTCTTGAAACCGGCATTCCTGAACCTCATGTTAACAAATTGCGCAGCTGGATGAGACTTACCAAGTGGTCAAGACCGTGGAGGCCGTTGAGACAAGGGGTCATGGTTTACGAGGTGACTTGCATGAGTTTCGCATCACCGAGGAGAACACCGGCCTCATGTCCATTTACTACCCTCAGGCCCTTGATCTTTCCCCAATCGGTGGCCCTGTCGATGGCTGGGTGCTTGATAGCATATTCCAAGAAGTCGACCTGGAGACGGGCGAGTTGATCTTCGAATGGCGCGCTTCCGACCACATCCCCATCGAGCTGACCATGCGCTCTTACGTCGGCGGTGATCTTGGTATCTACCCGAACAACGGCTTCGATTACGTTCACCTTAACAGCGTTGACAAGGACCACCTTGGGAACTACATCATCTCCAACAGGCACACCCACACTGTGATGTGCATCAGTCCCGAGGGCGACACTTTATGGATACTTGGAGGCAAGAAGAATATGTTTGAGGACCTATCCGACGGTCGTGCGACAGACTTCACGTGGCAGCACCACGCCAGGTGGTACGGCACCAACAGGCTGAGCCTCTTCGACAACGCCAAGTCGACAAACGGGGGAAACAAGTACATCGGCGACCACAGCCGCGGGATGATGCTAGAGCTCGACACCGAGGCCATGACAGTCAAATTACTGCACGATTATTCAGACCCGGCAAGCCTGAAGCTCTCTGAGAGCCAGGGCTCGATGCAGGTCCTCAACGACACTGGCAAGGTCCTCGTCGACTACGGCTTCTTCCCCGCCATGACCGAATTCTCCCCGGAGGGCGAAGTCCTCTGCGACGTCCGCATCGCCCCCTGGCTCATCTGGCAGACGGGCATGGTCACGAGCTACCGCGGCTTCAAGACGACGCGCTGGGTCGGTCGGCCCTGGTACGCCCCTGCTGTGCTCTTGAACCCCTCAGAGGGCGTTCTGTACGTCAGCTGGAACGGCGCCACCGAGGTCGACAGCTGGGTCCTGCAGGGCGCGGAGTGGGCCGGCGCCCGCCGTGACGAGTACGTCGACCTCGACGTCCAGGAGAAGGACGGCTTCGAGGCCGGCTTTGATATGGTGAGCGACTACCCGCGGTACGTCCGCGTCGCGGCGTTGGATCGCGATGGTGAGGTTCTGAAGCACTCGGATGTCCTGGACCGGTACGTGGGGAACGCTCCCTCCTCGTCGGGAGTGCTGCATCAGCTCTTGGTCGCCGTGGGGGTGGTTCTCGGCGCCGTGCTCGTTGTGGCGGGGATCTTCCGGAAGAAGCTGCGTAGCGCTTGGCTACGCCGGTTTCCTCATGAGTCCGTGGTCTCGGTTGTCTGCGGCGTGGTGGAAGCCGTGAGAAGGCGGAGTGCCGAGTGGCGGGACGGCGGCAGGGACAAGTTGAGGTACAAGGAGTTGCAGTCTTATGAAGAATAGCTTAGGCAAAGGCTGTGGATACTGAATACCTTATTCATTTGTGTTTCGAATCTAGAATACTGCCTCTGTCACATGCTCTATGAGACCTCTCCAGAATGTCCATATTTTGAGGGCTGCCGCGTCTTTCGCGGATTAGAACTGGGTTCAGATTTCGCACATTTAGCCCAGATCCTTGTCGTGTCGTAAGCAACAGCGGTACTCAAAAATTCAAGAACGATTTAGGGGGCTCATATTGACGGTACGACGAACTGAAATCATGTGCCGCTCAATCTGTGTTTTGTATTCTCACGGCGAGAGCGGCTACCAACGCGTTTTGCTTGACACAACGCGAGGACGTGGGCGATATTCGTGTCTTTGAGGGGTATGAGGCTCCGTGGAGAAGATTCTGATGACCATTATCTCATTGAAGTGGCATGATTTCTGGTTGTCCACGATTTTGAGCTAGAGGTCTTCATTCTACGATGAACGTCGCCCGAAATCTATGTGACAATAGTCTACCAGTGATGACACCGGGCCCTCTCGTCACTTTTCTGATTCGATTTCATGCATCACACTTTTTAAGGGGTATCTCCAGTCACAGCTTCAAGATGAACTAAGTTACATAATCTGTTGCAGAGAAAGGTTTGGCCTGAATCTGATACTTCCGCACAAGCGCGATCATTCTTCCTCGGAAATCTGCACCACTTGAGAATCAACCATTCTTTCTTGAAAACCATCAATCACTCGCAAGTAAACGATGAAATTCGCCGGGCTGTTATATCTTGTGGCCAATGTGGCCCAACTTAGCTCTCCAGCTGCCATCATCGGTCGCGACGACTCGCCAGCTCCGCAGCCATACGTCTTGACGCGTTACGAAGATACCGAGCCTGCCGGGAAATACTGCTATTCGAATTCTGAATGGAACAGCACCAGCCCATATTCAGACACTACAGTTACAGTCAGTGACTGTGTCGGCTTGATCTGGTTCCTCCGTGGTCATAGTTCTCGCTTCGAATTTAGCAAGAACGACACCTACAACGGGCGTCTCTGGTGGAAGTTAGCTGCAGGATACGGCACCTGTTCCTTCTCTTTGTTTCCTAAGGATGCTGATATCATAAGCGTATCGTAAGAGCACCGTTCCTCCTCCAACCTTGTGTTTCTTTTCACCATAATGCTGACCGCTTGCCCCCAATGTCGTAATCTCAGCTTGGGCAGCCTTGATATAGAATACGTTGTCACCGAGACGATCTTGATGAACGCACACAAGGCTTCCATGAATGCAACCAGCGGCGTACTCCTATGCCGAGGCAACCACTCCTTGGCATCCATTTACAACGGCGATCGGGTACTATTCCTCATCCACAATGCACATGTCGACCACGCGACAGATCCGACAATCAATGCCACCTACGGCTTCGCTATGACGATGGGTCAGTCCGCCTCCACGCTAACTCCGACGCGGGTCTAATGTCTGCTTGCACGACTCGAAGTCACAGTGTTGCGCCAGCGGATGGCAGTTTTGAGGTTGGGAGCGGCGGTCTCTGCAGTTTAGGACGTGTTATGATTGAGGAAAGCCAAGAAGAGGCTCATGCAAACGTTTCATCGTTAAGCGAACAGAACAAGCTGTTAGGGAGAACCGCACAGTGTTATCTGATTGACATCTGGGCACTGTCAGTGCTCGTCATCGCGATGCCTTTGGACAGCGTTGACCTTGGACATCCTACTATCTTGTGTTTTTAAGTCTAGCGGCCCACATCTGGTCCACCCCCTCATATGGGCCACCCCTGCACACTATATATCCCCTTCTAACTTAACGAGTTAAATAGCTTAATTTATGCAGATTTAAATATATATAGAAACTAATAATAGTAATATATAAATAATCTTTTGAAAATTATTTATATAATATTTTTATATATAATTAAATAAATATACTTTTATTATTTTATATATTTATTTAATATTTAAGCTTTTAAAGTTAATATAGATTTAAATATAAATTTATAATATTTAATAATTAAATATAATAATATTTTAAAAATTATAAAAGGATTATTTAAAGAATTATTAATATTTAAACTTTAAAATTTTAAAATGTTAAGATTTATAAAGAATTCTCTAACATTATATAACATTTATATTTATATATATAATTCTTTTAATTCTTTTATTATTAATTTTATATAAATTAATTTAATTTTTAAATATTTTAAATAATATAAAAATAATTATATTTTAATTTTATATAATTAAATAAGCTTTATATTTTAATATTTAGAAAAGTGGAGTAAAAGTAGAGAATTTTTTCTTAGAAAAAAACTTAAATCTTTTATATATTATAAAGGAAAACATATATAAAAAGAAATATATATATAGAATTTAATTTAATTTTCCTTTTATATAAAAATAAATACATTATATTTATAATATTTATATTTATAAAGATATTTCTACTTTTTATAAAATAAAATCTGTTAAGAAATACTAATATTATATATGCATTTCTTAACAATATTTTTAAAATGTTAATTCTAATATTTAAAAATTTATAAGTATTTCAATAGATTTTTTAAATTAGTAAGATTTAAAATCTAAGTTTATATATATATTATAAAGCTATATTAACAATATTAGGTTTATATATTAAGAAACACTAGAGAAATCTTTACTTATATAAAAAAAGCAATATATAAATAATTATATATATCTTAGTATATATAATATATAAAGAATTCTTGAAATATTATTTATATATAGAGAAGTAAATATAATATATGTATTTAAATCTGTATAAATTTAACTATTTAATTCGTTGAATAAATAGTGGTTTTGTTTGGTGGATTTGGTGTGCAGGGGTGGCCCATATGGGGGGGTGGACCAGATCTAGGCCGCTTGACTTACTGTCCAGATTTCTGTGGCCATATTGCATTTCCGAAGGGTGGAATATGTTCTGTGGGCAAAATAGGACAAATTCAGTGACGGTTGATAACACAGGAACCTAGAATATTTTCAGTCAAGACCATCCATTAGACAGCGAATTCGTACATTGCACATGAATAAGCATATTCGAAGGGGCTATCACAAATAATCATGAATAGACAAAAGCAATGTCGTATACCGCCTTGCACCGCTGCCAACCGCAGTTTTGTGACAAAGCGCGGGGCCATTGGATATGTCTAGACTGCTAAAATTACGGAGAAATGCTCTCAGTCATCTGTCGCGCAACAGTTTCCGAGTCACATGCTTCAATGATTCTTGGCATTCACGAACATATATATTCGAGCCAAAACCTTCCCCAAGAGGCCATTCCTCCGTCAAAACCTAGGACACGTAACAGGTCTGTCTTCTTGAACGGATTCGTCTCGCAGTCACTCATTAGGCAAGCCGTACACTCACAAATACCAGACACTTTCGCGAGAAAAGTCCGCCTCCGCCTTAACGACATCCAGAATGCTCATTGCCTTCGTCTGCTTTCTTGCCTTTTTGGCATCATCATCGTCAGAGATTGCCTTACCATATCAGGGCATTGAGTCCCCACTCAGCCGCATGCGGCGACAGAGTGGAACTGAACATACTTACTATGTCGGGTTCTCCCAGAATTCCAACTTCCACTTTGGTCTTGAATCGTACTGCACCATGCCGTCTAATAGAACCGAAGTGGATGGACATCAGTACAACATCGAAGACTGTGTCCAACTCATAGACTTCCTCGCCGGCGAAGATCACTATAACGACTTTTGGATGGTCGAGGATTACGATTGCTCTACCATGGGAGACTGCTGGTGGATGACGGTGGCTGGATGGGGAACCTGCAACTTCGCGATTGTCGCCCCTGCCTGCGAGCCACTCTCCATTGCGTGAGGGAGAACATCTGCTGACATTTCCTGATTCATGATGACTTCATGCTACGGCAGAATCTCCAGGTACGACATCGCGAGGGCTATTTCCTGGGTGACAAAAAGCCAGGGAGAGACCCAAGGCAATTTGACGAATGCCTGGATGCATTGCGCCTTCGACGCAGACACACTTCACCACGTTTTGTTTATGGTGTTCGACCCAAGCAACTTGGCTCACCCAGGGACTGTTAACACAACACTTCATGGTTATATGATTGGAGGGTCAACTTTCACTTCCTTTGATATCACGTCAACTAGGACACCCATTCCTGCGACAACCAGTAGTACTGGCCGGTAAATTCTCGGAACCTGCATTCACATGCCTTAATCAGGTTCAGGAGTTAGCACACAGCTCATGGATGGAGATAACATCTGCTCTTTTTTTGGACAGAAGGCCCGAGGCCCTTCCATTTTGATGACAAAGGGCGTTGTCTCAGTCACTGCATCTTCTTCATGATCAAGCAACATTACATTCATTCGTTTTCCAATGAACCGTACATCCTCAGTCCTCGCTTACGTGCAATGCCATTCTGCGCTTTGTGTGGAATTTCCACCGCTCAAACCTGATCAAACGTTCAACTGCACTTTGGCGTCGTGCTTGGCGCGACGGCTGCGTTGGTCGGGTTTGTTTTGGAGCAGCCATTCGCCGCACCCAGTAGGTAATCATCCTCCGCAGCCTTGTACGCCGTGCCACAGTTCGGATCACTGTCTCGTCAGCACAACGCTCCATGTGTTGATGACGCGGAAGCGGCAGGGGGCCTGCTCACCTTGCACCACCCGTGGCGTCGTTGAAGTACGAGCAAATGTCGTGTGAGAAGCAGTCCTGGCTGTAGACGTTTCCAAGACCCACTCCCGAGCAACCGCTTCCACACCGTCCATTGCATGAATAACTGTGAGCTGTCAGTACGAGAGATCACCTCAAGCGAACTCACGATCGGGAAGGTCACCGACTCTCCACCAGCCGCGTTTGTCCCGTAGTTACTACCGACCACTCCGACGAATGAGCAACTTTGTCCTGCTGCGTTCGTCCACGTTGCTGTTGCCGATGCACCGACTGTGAGACATGTCACACTCCTTTTCAACAGAGGCGATGCGGGGGATGTGGGCATTGCGATAACCGGGCCCATGAGAGCCATGAGTACGAGCAGGTTCCATGAATGTAGCATCTTGACTAAGTAAATATGCGGTCAGGCACTTGAAGTCGCAAAGATTCCTGATGCAATCAAAAACCACAGCCTTAGGTATAAGTGGACGTCGCTTTCCCTGGTGGAATTGTTCTCGACCTCAAGTATAACCAAGAGCTGTGACGGGCCAGTTTAAATGCATCGAAGCTGCATGCCAGCAGCAGTGAAGATCCACTCCCGGTGTGACATTGTCCATGGTGATTTGGTTGCCGCATCTGGCAGGATGTCTTGCGCGACTCGGCGGACTTCCAACCACGATTTATCCCTGGACCAATTGCGTGATGCATCGTCATGGGCCATGCGACCGTTTTGGCAATTCAGCCCTGTTTGGGTCTAGACCAGCGGAGAAAATACCGGAGTTCCTGAGGATCGACTTGCATCATCCCGCCGATTCCGACTACACTATCAAATAGTCAGTGATAGAATCGAAAACGGAACGCAATGTCTTTTAAACTGTTGTAGCGCCAGCTTCTGGACTTCTCTTAGTACGGCTTAGTGGCAACACTAGATCCATAGCTCCCTGTTGGGATTTGTGAAGAACACAGCCTTAATGCTTGACCATCTAACTCCGGCATTTTCTTGGACGTCCTAAATTTTTCAAATGAGACTTCCAGACTTGCGAATTCTGGCATTTCTGGTCCGGACAAATCTCTGGCCTCTTGTCCCAAGAAGGAGGCCGCGCCGAAATCTGAGGTAGGGTTGACGAGCAGAGTCCCAGGGGATAGGACTTTCCTCGATAGCGTACACAAGATATGAAGCAAAGTGGTTTCATTTTTAATCTATACCTATATGCTTCTTAAGCAATATGCATCCAGTCCCTTTATATAGTAATAAACACTTAAACACCTAGCGTTAAAAAGATATAATGTTAATAGTTATAAATTTTAAATATAATTATTTATAGCTTATAGCTAAGAAAATAATAATCGCCTTATAATAATTATATAAATAAAGTTAATAAAAATTGTTTTTAATAATGCTATAAATTAGAAATATTAATATAAATAGCTTAAAATTAATAATTAAGTAATTAATTATACAATAAAAATTAAAATAATTTCTTTATAAAATAAATCTTATAAATATAACTTTATATATGAGTTTAAGATTAAGGAATAATTAAAAACCTAAGTAAACAGCAAATAAATTAATAATTAGTTAATTTAAAAAACATAGTGTGGCCAAAGCCATATAAAGCAAAGTTTCTCTTGCCAGCGGTCTAGATCTGGAAAATGAATTACAACAGCCATTAACCTAACAGTAGCACCAGAAAGAACTGCAAGGATAATCCAGGGCCTTTAATAATGAATTGTTTGAGCTCATTCTAATGACTAAAAGAAAAGTTCTGATCCCTTCTGCCTGCATCGGAAGGCCTATAGGTGAGAACCGCAAGAGTATAATGCCATTGTTGGCACCACACAGCCACTTGAGTAGTACGCTAGCACCGTTCAGAACAATGTGATTGTCTGGAACAATGTCTTTCTCTACAGGATAGAACCTCATCAATCACATATGACTGCAGACCATTGCAAGGGAATTTACGTGACAAAAAAGATCCCGTATGGCACTGAGGAAAAATTTGTCTATATAAGACTCTCTCTCTTAAACAACAGCCTTGGGATCACAGACCACTGACAGTTGCCGCAACTTTGGAACTACCACTCGCATCAACGGACAGCATTCTCCAGCTTCGGCATCAGATTCCACTGTCAACCCATATTTCTGAAACAATCACATTCAACGGCGGCAAAATGTGCACTCGTGTCATCAGGCTGTACGAGTGCAACTGTACACAGAGCACCTCCATTCAGCCGTGTCCCACTAAATGCGGTGTGGTGAAGAGTCAGACGACTACCAAGTCCTCATCTCCTTGCTCTTCTCACTCTACTAACCTCTATTAAGCTCTCTGTGGGGGAATCAGCATTGTGATGCTAATATTGACCACAGGAGAGTAAGTCGGGTTTGGATATCTTTTGTGGGTGCGCCAACCTAGTCTTTCCATTGATCTTGGGTATGTGCGTTCAGGGGGTGCTCTGTTTTTCCAGGTTAGGCGGGATAAGGGAAGATAAAGGTAGCTAGACAGTGATAACAATGGTTGTTTCTCTCATACCATGGTTCAATTAGATTGAGAGACCCGCAAAAACTTTGACAGCTGAGGAGCCTCGTTGATCTCTTCTTGAACTTGCATAGATAGTAGCATTGTGCCCAATAATGATCCTTAATTTCATTCAACATCTTCATTCAATTTAAATATTTCGTAGTTTTTTTTTTTTTTTTTTTTTTTTTTTTTTTTTTTTTTTTTTTTTTTTTTTTTTTTTTTTTTTTTTTTTTTTTTTTTTTTTGGCGGCATCGACATCGTGCTATACTCTGAAATCAAATGGCAGACAATGTGTTCTGCCAAGGGTATGGATCCAGGTGCTTTGAGGCTGTTCCTTTGTGTACTGGCTGCTCTCCATTGTCATTGAACAATCAATCTTTTTGTTCTGAACACCGGCGTCTTAGCGCCAGGTTTGCTTGCACTATGTTTTGTGGCTGGTCAGCTACCGGATTTCATCGATTTGTCAATTTGCTGAAGATCCTATGTTGCTTGGCTGCCCAGTGTACCAGATCATTGTTCATCACTGAAGAATGCAGATTTTGGATAGACATTTTCGACGTCCTGTCACCAAGGGTCAATTCAATTTGCCACTCATATCTTATTCTCGATGTCTCATACGCTTTTATTTATTAAGACTTAATCCAGCTCGCATCGGCCTTAGACATGCCCGCAGACAGTCCATGTTTTGGCGTCCTGGATCTCATTCGTCGCGGCGCCGACCTGTGTTCTAGGTGGTGGGCAAAGCCAGAGGATGCTCATTTTCGGCGACCGAAAATGGTACATAATTTTCCAAGTTCGTAGTGGAAAATGTAGTAATCGCCTCTATGTTCTGGATCCAAATGCAATTACGGTGAGATATTTTTCGAAAAAGAGAAATCAAATACTATATCCAGCATTATTTTCCAATCATCTTAGTTTAGTATTTCACCCAAAGAGCACATGGTGTGGATTTATTCACTGAAGGCGACCTATCTTCCACATGCAGAACCCGAATGGCCGCTAAAAGACAAAATTGACTGAAATATTGTCCTGGTGGCTAGTGGCCAACACGATTAGCCTCAGAGCGGACTGATTCCATTATTGAGTGAAATGAACCTCTGTGGCTTCTGCAAACTAGCAAGAATTGCAAAATATTATACCTTATATGCAGCAGTGGCTCCAATAACAGACAGGGAACCTGTTTCCAGTAGATTTCCTCCCAGAATATCACAAGAATCAAAACACCACTCCCAGAAGTGCGCCTCAGACTACGTCTCACTAGTCTCAACGATTTTCACGAACTATCATCGAACGGCCTCAATCAAACAGCACCGTCTCTTACTCTACTCTGAGAGCAACTACCACGTTCTGTTTTCTCAAGATGGCAGATGCAGTGGAAGACGTCCCGCGACCTTCGGGACACTCGAACAGCCTTACTACACAAGGCACAAGCGGTAGTGTTGGATCGCCCCAGCTCGCACATTTCCATTGCTTCCCAGACCTGCCCCGAGAAATTCGCGACATGATCTTCCAAACCTGTCTTCCCCGCCGGCTTTTCAGATTCCAATATCACCGACTAAGCTCACCAATCAAGTCCGCAATGGACGTGTCTGAGAAGCCATCTGCCTTGCCGTGGATTGCTCTCGTGTGCAAGGAGGCTTGCGAAATTTCAAGACTGTTCGTGCGAGAATATCGCGTGGCTTTCAACATCATTTCGTTTGAAGAGGAATCATCGGACGACGAGGAACAGTCAAGCGAAGTGGAAGAACTTTTGCGTGGGACCACGAGAATCCGCTTTGATCCGGACTTGGACACCCTGTTCGTCAATTACTGCGGAATGACAGCCGATGAAGAGCCGTACGCGGGGGAGGATCAACTTGAACATGCGATTTATCTCCAGGAACTGGAAAATGGGCCGCACGCTCTCTCCATGATGCCGAAAGTCAACATCATGGTAGACATGTGTGGTCTCGTCGGTCCGCGGCGATCATCGTGGGCCAAATGGCTAACGGCCAGGCCTTATTCAGACTGCCTCGCTCAGCATGGCCACTGCACCGTCATGTTGGCCAACACAGTATTCTCCACAACAAGTACGGAGATACGGTTATCCGGACTTTTCGGAATGTTTGGAGAGGAGAGGAACGTTCTAATCGATATCAAGGATACATCGAAGATCGACCAGTATGAGAGCTATATCGATCAGCTCGAATCGGCAGGTGGAAGTTGCAGCGACGGCTGGAATTATTTCCCTGAGAAGGCACCCCGCATGGTGTTGAGTATTGGGGCAGGCCGGTACGGATCCGGATACGGAGCCCCGGCGGAGTCAGATGGGGTTCGTATTGAGGATGGCGAGGAAGCCAGGGCCCTTTCCATTGTCAACAGCAGCATAGCTGAAGAGGACGGCGCAATGGCACTTCATTTGATCAAGCAGTCATGGCTAGAGGCTAATCACTGTTTCGAGCCAGCCGAGGAACCTGTTCTTCCATGGACGGGGGGTGAGATGTTCCGGAAATGGAACGAAGAGCACCATGTCGCAAAGCATTGGCTCAGCAAGTTGCCTACATTTTCTTTTGTGGTAATGTACACGGTAACTGAGAGCAAAGGTATGGTGTGCGACGGTAATTAAGGACGACCCTCATTCTGCTGGCCAGTAGAGATAGAGAGTTGGGTTACACCGCCAATGCTGATTACGACAGTGGGCACATGGTTTAGTTCAGAGGACAGAGAGTTATGCTGTGTTCAGCAACTTTAATTACACCGTGTCTAAGGTGTCAAGCGAAAAGGACACTCCCAGAGTTTCAGTCTGGTCAATGAGCATTAAGTTGCCGGCCTCCGGCGGATGGTATGAGGAGAGCATCGGTGTCCAGGCAGAGCAGCTTCTCAACAAACATGAAATTTTCATCTTGAACCACAACTACATCTCACGGTCTGGGGTTTCTATTATATCTCTACAAGATCTTCAGTCAGAACTGAGTCCGCTTTAGCGGAACAGTAAACACATCGACCTGATTTGCTAAGTGATCGGCCTAAGAAAGCATATCTGTTATAGCAGTGAACGGGGAGTATAGTGAATGGAAGGTACGTCGTACGCACGTACGTCTTTTAAAATAAGTGCCCTAGGGCCTCTTCTGCACTCAGAACCTACCTAGGTAGCCATATACTAACAATCGCATATTTGCCAGACCCAGTCTTTCCTGCCACATCTGTCTTCAAATATGTCAACCCTACGAGTATTTCCTCCTGTACGATGCTTCAAGTCCGATTCCAAACTATGCGTGGGGTATTTCAAAACTATGCCGTCTTTGCCGAATACTCGGGTGATTCTTCCATAGGAAGGGAAATGGGGCTTTATTTCGTGATACTCAATCCCTTAATTGTAAAACTAGATAGAGGAGTACTAATCCCAACGCTGCTGTGAAAAGGACAAACGATCGAAGTCTGCCTACGGAGAGCCTCTCCGCCCAGGTACTGATTGGTTGGTGGATAGGCGACAAAAATAGACTCGCCCCCTGGCAAAGATCTTGGCTGCAGCATCTCGTTGTGCCTTGGAAAGTGGAGGATCGTGTTACCGTGGGGAGGATTTGTTATGTCTTGCAGGACTGACATATTTGCCGGCAGCTAATCTCCGGCGATGCAAAAAAGCCGCCTTTCTGTCAAAGCCTGGCAATATGCTGCGTACTGGTGTGGTGATAACTTTGGTTATCTTGTATGTTTCGATGTAGTGCCAAATTTGCTAGCGTTATGTGCTCGACCAGGTGGTCCCCGTATGTGTAAGCCTGGTCGGTAGGACGCCAAATGATGCAGGGAATTTGCGAGTAGACAAGTTCCTGCCTATGAGCTTGGACCTGCCCAATGAAGCGAAAGGGAGGAGAGGAGAGAGCGTGGCGTCTCACTACATTAGAATTGTTACCTTGATCAATGCTATTGACATCCATTGCACGTGTGACGGCTTATGGTTGATGCCGATCTTACACTGCATGAGATGCTCGTATGTTACTCCCAATAACCGTTCGCTTCACTGGTACGCTCGGTCTCAAATTGCTTACCACTGCCTGCAGCGCTCAGGAGAAGCGAGTCTAGCTAGCCTCTCAGCTGCGCGCCAAGCATGTGAAATTATTTGGTCCATGGGCGCTGGTACGAGAGCAGATTCGCTGGCGAGCCCCTGGCGGCTCCGCTTACCCGGCGCAAATTGCAACATCAACACGGACGACGCATCCTTCCGAGCATAGCTCGCGGCATGGTTTGCCCTAACGAGTATTTTTCTCACTAGGAGGATTCGACCCCTGCACCCCTTGCCATCCACCCATTCAAAAGAGCCGTCCCGCCAAGCCTGCGGCACTTCCATCCACTGGAACGGGTCTCGCGAGTTGGAAATGATGTCGGGGTTCGAATATTGTGGTCTTTCGCATGGGCAACTTTGCCCAAGTCTTCCACGAACTGGCAGTCTAGACCCGGCCCTAACAGCGGATCGCGTTACGTCTTGAGAAGGCAGACTGACCGCAAGACGATATCAAGCAGCTTCCCAAGATGGCGGGGTTCAAGCGCCTAACTTTCATCACGGCGCTGTCGTACTCATCGGGTCTCGGTCTGGCCCAGAGCAGCGAAGCCAGCAGCAGCAGCAGCAGCAGCAGCGCCAGCGCAGGCACCACAAGCAGCGCCAGCGAAGACACCACAAGCAGCAGCAGCAAAAGTAGCAGCAGGACAAAGGTCATCCAGACCACCAACTATATCGACACCATCGATGGCTACAGCTCTCTCTCATCATGTGCGATCGACGTGCTCTCGACCGTGGTCCGAGGCGAATTCAGTGGATGCGGCGGGTGGGACGACAACCTGACGAGCTATACCTGCTTCTGCACAGACAGTTACTCCTTCATGAGCACCGTCATCTCTACCGATATCATCACAAGCTGCAACGGAGGGTCAACGGCGAGCGCGCAGGCAACGAGCGCCTTGTCCGTCTTCGACGATTACTGCGCATTAGGGGTGGCAGCCGGGCTGGAGCCCACGTCAGAATGTAGGTCCTCGCCCCGGAAGATGTCATTACGTGCAGGACGACAAGTGCAGGAGTCATGGCTGCTGACATGCCTCGATATGAACAGCCGGCTCAGGGGATCCCACCGCCACGCCAGGCGCAACGGGCGCCTCGGCGACATCCACACAGGCGGCGAGCGCCGAGGGCGCCAGCATCACGGCGAGGAACACCGCCATCGCCGTCGGCGTCGTGGTCCCCGTCGTCGCGATAGCGATAGCCGTCAGCGCGTGGCTGATCTGGCGGAAGCGCAGGAGGGCCAACGCCGCGAACTGGGACCAGTGGAACAAGAACGGCACGGGGAACCCGTCGGCGTACGGCAACGGGCCCGTCCGCGACGCCAACGCCGTCGAGGCGCCGACGTACGAGCACAAGGCTGACGATTCGCCGTACTCACCGCACACCGCCTCGGAGATGTCGACGCAGCAGTACAGCACGCCGGAGATGCCAACGAACCAGCACAGCACGGCTGAGATGCCAGCGAACCAGCAGCGATCGGAGCTCCCGGGTTGATTGAAACAATCATCGAGTATTTTCGAGACTGATGCCGACTTTAAGGAGCCGTTCGACTGTGGCCCAAGCACCTGCATTTGTTTGTTAGCCGGTATTCACAGCGACTCCTAGAAATACCAGGGCCTCGCATTGAGACTGTACGGTGTAGCAACACCATCACGACTTCCACGCCATCCCACAATCATAGCCATTTGGAGATTCCTCAGATGCATATTGCTTAAGAAGCATATGTGTACAGATTAAAAACGAGACCACCCGACCACCACTTCAGCGACGAGCACAAGGTCCCCTAGGCACTGGGCTTCTAGGTGCTCCTAATTCGGGCGCTGTACATGTGCATACTGTACAAGAAACCACCGAATGCATATAAATCAACGAGGTGATGAAACTGCATACATCATTTGAAAGGATTTCTTAGTGAAGGAGTTCCTAGCATGGATACCACAATATGAACAACATTTCTGTTGGAACGGCGATCAAGCGTTTCATTCCTAATAGACAAATGCGTAGATAGATGCTAGGTTTGAGACTCCATCGATATAACCAATAGCTTTGATGGACTACATCTCAAGATACCTGAGTAATCTCATTAATTGCCGATCTATTGAGTTCCAGTCTCTATGGAAGCTAGCAAGCGTGATGTGACTATGCAGTCGTGATTATACGTGCAGGCCCATACGCTTCCTTGGACGGAGAGTTCCGAAACTTATTGACCCATCAACCCAAACGGTACCTACCTCTCTGGGTACCTAGGGATGGCTAGAGGAAATCTTGGGAGATTCTGCCTAGCATTCTCGTTTTCAGACTTTGGCGACAAAGACACACCTGGCTGGCTTATATACTCCTTGGACAGTGACAGCAACTCGCTAGCAAGGTCCATGATTTGAAATAACACTTCTGATCTTATCTGGCATGAATACTTCAAATGAGATTGTTATATGCAACAGGGGTGGTCATACCTATGTCTTTCTCAACGTAGAAACTGCACTAGCTATTCTCACACATGACCTGGCCTGATGCTGGCTCTGCAACAAAAGGTTTGGCCCTTCGGCAGCTCAAAGACAGATGTAAATTTACTTGTATAAGCCTAGTTTCAGGAAAACAGCTTGAAAATAGCACAGTTAAACGTAAGCCCAACACTTTCCTCTGCTAACGGCTACACATCGACCTACGAGTGTGATCCCTTGGCACGGAATTATTGCAGTCACAGACGTACAACTTCGGTCAGATATGATACATTACACCGCGGACGAATGAACGGCGGCTAGGGCGCATGCACGCGAGGGCCAAACATATTCTTCCACAGAGTATCCTCGTTTCTGCAACCACTGCAACCACAGAGGCGCACTGGCGGACTCTCTGAAAGTGCGTAGAGCATATCGAGCCAGAGAACACTGCCGGAGAAGACAGTGGCCACAAGGGGGCAGATACCGGACGGCTTGTACGCGGACCGAGTGCGGTCGAACAAAAAGGGCTGGATAGACCAGAGCACGACTTGTGTGGAATCATCTGGCAAGAATGCCCCCTGGGCATCGTGATCAACAAAACGCAATTTGATTGCAATCGAGTCCCTCCTGACGGTAATGACCGCGTGAGCTGTTATACAACCTCGCCCCCCCCCCCCTGCGCCGTCAACGCCTGTTGTTCCTCATGTTCCCATTCCAGATCCAAGCATTCCCTCAAGCAGTGCTTTAACCCCTGGCACCAACAACAGGGCAGACCGCGCCCTCAGCGGCGCCCTTGACGTCAGGGTGCTGCATGACCTTGCCCCTGTGGTGGCCAATCTTGGCCTTGGTGACGGGGCACTCGGCGTCGTTGCCCTTGCCCTCGGTGGAGGGGTGGTCCGGCGGCAGGATGGTGGTGGCGGGGCCGATGACGGGGCAGACCTGGTCGTCGAGCTCCTTGGCCTGGGGCTGCTCGATGGCGGTCTTGAGGGCGGGGCACCTCTGGGCGTCGGCGGACGAGGTGGCGTCGTTCTGGGCGTCGGCGGGGAGGGGCACGGAGGGGTGCTTGGACAGGTTGTGGTGGTGGTCCGTCTTCGCGCCGACGACGGGGCAGGTCTGGCCTGGCACGTTGAGGTCGACGTCTGGGTGCGAGGGGGGGAGGACCGAGTTGGTTGTTCCGACGACGGGGCAGACTTGAGACATGGTGGCTGTTGTTGGTGTGGGTTTCGCGAAGGTGCGTATTTGTGTTCTCGGGATGGTGGTGTTGACGAATACTGGTCCTTGTTTGATGACGGTGTGGTGTTGATGGAACAAAGGAAAGGAAGGAAAGAGGAACTTGAAGGGAACGGTCGAGGCTCGCTCGTCGAGGGGTGAAACAAAGACAGCCCACCGAGCAACAGCACTTGCGTGCGCTACGGTCAAGGGCCACCGACACGTCCACGGTGCTGGCTCCTGGCCGCTGGCCGCGGCCGCTCACACAGGTGACCAGTGGCCTCAGGCCTCCTCAGACCTTCCCAGACCTCGAACCATATCAGGCAAACAGCCTGTGAGGACCTGCGTTGGCCAATCGTCCCCGCATTTCGCAGCCCGCCAGAGACCAAGCTCTGATCCTCCCCGGGATCCCCAAGTCAGCCTCAACGAGTCTGCATGACGGTGGCTGTTGTGGCACAGATTACTCGCACATTGGAACGCCATGCTAAATGTCCGACTCCCACGCGGGCACACCATTAATCTCTTGTCCTTACCTACGTGTTTACCTAGCAGGTAAACATCAACATGTGGATAGAACCTGTAGATCCAGCAGACAGCAATCCAACCCAGACCGCCCCATTCCCCTGTCGCGATGGGGAGACATATGAAAACATCCTGTCGAACCAGGCGGGTTCTGAATCAAATGATGTCAGCGTGTACCCCGCCAGTTCAGCCCCCTGTCCACTCACGTTGGACCAGAATGTCAGCGCATTGAGCCGGATCGACAAGGGCCCAGCCCACCATGGCTCTCGATCCAGAGCACTTGCAGCGATTATCTCAGCCACCAGACACCATGAAGCAGCATTTCACATCCGTTACCCTTGAGGCAGCAGCATCGCAAGTGCTTGGGCCCAGCAGAGGATTATTTAACAAGTCGTCAAAACATAAGTTCCCTGCATGGTCAGCACACCTCCTTTACGCCCAGGTTAGAAGATCATGATGCTGCGGGCTCAGCTGCGATCTCACACGCAGTGGATCGAGACCAAGTTTGCTGGCCTGTCTATCGCCCAGCGTGTTGCTACTCGCATGACAATGTTCACTTTACCATTTTTGTTATCAGTAATGTGTTTAGAAGCTGGTGCAGCGCCTTTGGCAGCGAGATCCCAGGCGACGGGCAAAGAGAAGGCAAACGAATCTCTCGGGAGCACTTGACGCATTCCCAAATGTTTGTGCAGACCAGAGGCCAGGGAAACCACCCTGTGGTAATACTGGACGAGAGGAGATACAAACGTGACAGGTCAAAGGGATCAGTCCTGGCCGCTTCCGGGAGGTCTCTCACCTGGCCACAATGCATTGCTTTCTTCGGGCGCTGTTGGGTATGCTTTGTTAGCGACACATCCTTGGGGCGGGCATGAGACCGAGTACCAATACTTCGAACAGATTGCTCTTGATCATGCACATCGGGCTCTACGTATTCGCAGAAACCCATCCGATCCAGTTCCGAACACCCACCTAATCTCATCATGTCCGCGCCCGAGGAACCGCCCAATGTCGTCCCGTACGAGCCCGGCCCCGGCCCATCGCTGGTCAACTCCCCGTCCGGCAGCGAGTCCACGGCGAGCCACGTTTCCTTCGACCCGGACAGCCTGCCCCCCGACGAGCAATGTACGGACTACACACCTGTCTTCCCCGGGGACTGGCGACAAGAGGACGCGGAGGGCCTCCTGGAGCTGGGGTGGACGGCGAAACCGATGCACGAGTATGTTTACTGGCAATCATACTGCCCATTCTGGACAAGCCCGACCTGGGACCCAACTATCGAGAGTACAATCGACGGTTCGATGCAAAAGGCTGTCAGAGGCAGCGGGGAGGCTCTCATGAGGCCTACGATACTCCCGCGCGACCAGGGCGTCCCTCGGACCGAATATACCAAGTACGTCTGCGATCATTCTGTGAGACCTTAGTTTAGATACGGATGTGGGAGGTTGCTGGCTCGACGAATGAGATTGGTTAATAGCATACAGGCGATGGGGCATAAACGAAGCGTTCCCCAAGACTTCTAACGATGAGGCGCGATCGGGCTTGACACCAACTGGTGCTGCAACTGGTGCTGCGGCTGATCCAGAACAGGAGAGGCTGTGGACACAAGAAGAGAGCTGGCAGACTTACTGGTTCGATGGATTCACGACGCAGGAGGTATGTTGGCAAAGTACTTCTTTGTGTCGATACAATTAGAGCCCGCTCATTTGTGGACTCCTCAAACACCAGGCTGGACCTTCGCGCAGGCTGCTGACATATTGACTATTCAAGTTGATTGACGTAGGCGCTTATGCTCCAGACACCGACGTACCGATGTCAGATCTCCCGGCCAGGGCTCTAAATCCGTGGGTGATCGCCAGGCCCCGCCGCCGCAGTCGCTAGTGGTGCTAAATGTGTGAGTACAGCCTATTCAGCCGAGAAAGATGGAGGCAGCCAATGTCAGAGACGGGCTTAGGAGGGGGAGGCGGTAAGCTTCGGAACTTAAACATAAGATATTCTCTAAGTGGGATAACGGACACATATGACGCCGAAGTAAGAGACCAAAATATGTGAGAGCTTATGTAAATGCTGATCTGCCATCTAGAACAATGACGACTTATGGGTTGCTCTGCAGCCTTCCCTCCGACTGGCTTCCAACGTAATAAACTCACAGCACCCTATGTGGATAATGTTCCTACGAGGAATCTATCACATGCGCAAGGTACCTATGGCGAAAGACGGGCGCACCGACCGAGAGAAAATTCAAGACGGGTACCGCCAGTTTCGGACCTTGTATCCCGAGATCGACGAGGGCGAGATGTATGATAACGCTAGGCGGCTATGGCGCATGGGTTTCGACCCTGGACTAGCGACCGCAGGGATCTTACACAACAGTGCGCCCTCTATTTTCCTCTATTGTAGCCTCAAGTCTCATCGGGAAACTCCAACTAATGTTATTGCCTCGTTTTCCTTCGGGGCGATTAGGCCTGAGGTGGGGCTTCTGCGAAACTCAGCCTGCTGGCAACGCTGCGACTTTCACAAGCCCGGACTTCTCCATCCATATCCTCCTCAGTGTACATACCGTTTGGCCGCTTCTTGTGGATGATTATCCAGAAAGCGAAAAGGTTGCCATCCGATGCAAGCTCGCCATGACGATCCTGCATGAGCTGTCCGTATGTTGTCCCGCTCTGTTTCGACTTCTGCCATTGTCACTAACAGCTGGACTCCAGCATGCCTGCCATCGTAAGTTGCATAACAGATCCGCTGGCCCGTATTCAATGAGGATCCTACGTCACGTATTGACTGGCCTGTGATAAGCCACCGATATATGCATTCGACTCTCTATATAAATGTACCCAGGCTACTAATTCAGCCAAGATTTGGCCAAGACTAACTCGTATTTTCACCCCCAGAGGCTCACCATCAAATGTTGGAGCAACCTCGACGTTTCCTAGTTAATATATCAGGGATAAACGTCACTGATGAACTCGAGATTGTTCTGAATCAATTGCGATTCGAGGCTATTGGTCCGGGTTCAAGGGCTGACAACGGCCGTCAGTACTTGTGAGTCAGTCCGGTTCTTTTGATGTTGAGGTCATTCGGGGGGCTTGAAGTGACTGTTCTTGTTTCCGTGTTTAATACTAGTATAAGCATGTATGTCTTGGGCATGAAATTTCGCTGATGTTGTTTAGCGTTGAGAATGATGTTCAAATGGAAGAAGGAAAGGCTTTCGATGTCCGGGTAATATCCCCAGCTCTGAATAACTATATTCTGCATGCTAAAGTTCAATATTAGATCTGGGGATCCCTTCCCGACTATTTTCCACCGTTGGCTGAGCCTTCAAAACTCAAGCCAGTTTTTGCGACTCGGAATTGGCCATACCCGCATCCCGAAATATATCATCAAAACATAGAAGCTGTTAGGGCGGGTAGATATGATGACTTCTCCAAAATGCCATACAAGGCATATCTGCTATTCCCAAGAGCTCCGGTATATGACCTATACACGCCAATTCCAATTTCAAACTTTGCTCACCTGTTGCAATCATCTTGGTGGAGCGACGACTTCCAAAAATATGGACACAACGCGTTGAAGATCTCATCAACACGAGCCGACCAGCCTTACCCGCTCCAGTCCACGTTGGCCTTCCGGTACAATAACTTCAAGTCCTTGCTCGGTAAGTTGAAAGTACCTAGAAACCTACTCCATTTCTTAGGGTTTCTGGTGTCTGTAATCGCATCAGGCAGATTAATGGACGGTGACTTACTCTCTCTTATTCAGCGCCGCTTGTTGGAAACAGAGCAGTAATCCAATTTCTGTTTGTCATTGCACCAGGTATCCTGCTAAATCAAGGCCAGAACTTGATTCTAGCTTGGCTTTCCAAGGTCAGCTTGGATATTGCAGGGTCGAAGATTCTGAGACTGAGACTCCACTACGAGAGGAACACATGGGACGACAAGTACGGGGCCATTCGAGACTTGTGCCAGAGAATCATCCTGAACCTCGCGAAAGCGAGTGGCGACCTGCAGGTGTATTTTTCAGGCGACCCTCAGGCAGACTCGCGACAAGTCGATGCCCAACTGAATGCTTTGTTCCGACACAACCTGTTAGAACTCCACAGACTCGTCGACTACGAGGGACGGTACGGGCAGTGTCTAGCAGCCGAGTACTTCCTCAAAGACCTCGACGACCGGTGGCTCGTCCGCCGGTCGATGCACATCCTCCTCGGACACCTCCAAGCGACCTTCGACCAACTGGGCGCCGTCATGACGGAGATGTTAGAAATCTGGGAGGCGATGGGCGCCAACGCCCGCTTCACCGAGCAGGTGCAGGAGTGCGAGAGCCTGTACGCCCGCCTCAACACGGCGCAGACGGCCATATTCGGGGTGGTCCAGGTCCTCCGCGGCAACACGCTCGACGAGAGGTCGGGCCCCGGGGGCCGCGGGCCGCTCGCGTCCGTCCCGGCCTCGAGGCGCGAGTTCAAGAACGGCCGCAGCCTGCGGGTGGCGGCCATGAAGGAGTTCGCGCGCATCACGGACCCCAAGGTCAAGAGGTGCGTCCAGACGTGGCTGAACGTCATCCACTTCAGCCAGGACATCAGGCACGACGACCCCGACGCGGAGGACGTGGTCGTCGGCGGGGGCACCATGGCCGAGCTGAAGCGGGCCAAGGACCAGGCCACGGCGGACGCCTTGGCCATCTCGTACCTCGATCGGCAGGACCAGGTGGAGGCGAATAGGGCCAAGGGGATGGAGCCGGCAGAAGGGGAGGATCGTGTCATTGCTGGACTGCAGCAAGAGATGGCCCAGCTTGAGGTGTCCTCGGGAATTCCGGGCTTGTTCAGTCGATCATTTTCACAGGAGGAACAAGATCGGCTCAGGCGGCGAAGGAGTATCTAGGTGTTAGGTAGCGGCTGAGAGGGATAGACATATCGATGGACGGGGACAGCAATGGATGCCACTCGCACGCACTGCGGCATTTAGCGCTACCAGTGAGAAAGTCTGGCATTCTTTCAATTTCTTCACGCCGTGTCAGGCTATTTTTATCTCAATGTTCAGAGGTGGATGGGGAGGTGCCTTGATGTTTGTTCTGCTGTGCAAAACCTTACACACATTTTTGTGATATACCTGTTCTTCGCTAGTCAGAGCATTAACGCTTACCACAACTAGTGTTGGTGGAAGGGTCACTGCTTGAGTTAGCGTGGGGGTTCCCGCCAACTTCAAGTGATTTCTACTTCGAAGAGGTCGCGTACAAAGCGCGTTTGGACGCCTACGACGAGTGATAAAGAGCCGAGATTTTGGCTTGCGTGCAGCGTGCAGCCGATTAGCCTATTGCGATTAAACCCGCAGCACCCATGAAAAAGGACCTCGGGAAGCTAGAGTTTAGACCGCCTCGCTCGGGCAGGAAGGTCGAAAATATTCCAAAAACGGCGGGACCGGAACACTGCAATGTCGATTCAAATCATGCCATGTCTTTACGAGTTTCTGGACAGTTGCTGCTCAGAAAAAGGTGAGAGAACCGGAAATTATCTGCGTTACACCTAGAAGGTACTGTTCCATTTCCTGCTCCAGGGACCCGAACACCTCCTGCAGGCCCGGTCACAATGAATCACCAATACAGGAACACATCCTGCGGGGTAGACGACTATAGGTTGGGACACACTGCCTGCCAAGCATCACGACATTGATTATACCGATGGCGACCCTCACCATTTTGTGTAGTCTCCTTCCATATCCCGCGCCATCTACAGACAGTGTCACCGGTCTCCTGCAGCCGTATCCCGATCGCATGGCGCCAACTCAAATAGTTCGAGCTTTGATGCCGGCTCGCAAATAAGGCGAGCGAGCACGCATGGACGGGGGGGCTGACGATATAAAGTAGACATGTGAGAGGATGTCCCCAGGAAGAACTCCTGAGCTTGAGCTTGAGCTTTTCACCGGTATCTCAAGATGAAGTTCAGCTCTCTTTGTCACTTCGGCGCCGTTGCTGCTGCAGCTCCCGAGCTCAGCAAACGGGAGCAGTTTTCCAAGGGACAGCCCATAGATGACAAAGGGAAAGGCGCTCCTATTCTTGGTATGTTTTATGTGAAGTCAGAAATGCCTTTGTGTGTCTGTCTAACTTCTCAGGCGGCACGAACAAGCAAATCGACTTGCAAAACCCGGACAACCTTGGTGCTCAGAGTACCGACAATGGCGTGGTCCCGAATCTCAAGTGGAGTTTCTCAGACTCCAAGACGAGAATTCTTGCCGGTGGTTGGGTCCGTGAACAAGTCATTACCGACTTGCCAGCTAGTCACGACATCGCTGCTGCTCAACAACACCTGAAAAAGGGGGCGATTCGTGAGCTGCACTGGCACCGTGTGGTGAGGACGGCAACAACATTCCCTTTTTTCCGAAGGAGCTTGCTGACTCGTGAAGGCTGAATGGGGATTCGTATACGCCGGGAAGATCATCGTCGCTGCTGTGGACGAGAACGGTCAGTACCAGGTCGATACCCTCGATGTCGGGGATATCTGGTACTTCCCCAAGGGAGCCGCCCACACCGTTCAGGGGCTGGAGGATGAGAACGAATTTCTCCTGGTCTTTGACGACGGTAATTTTGATGCTGTCGGGTAAGTCTCACCTCTTGAACTAGCCAAGGACATGAACTGATCTGCCTAGAACAACCTTCAACGTGGACGACTGGATTTCCCACACACCAAAGTCAGTCCTGGCGAAGAATTTCGGCCTCGAAGAATCCGTCTTCGATTCTGTCCCATCACCAAATCCGTACATCTTCAACTCGACTGTCAGCACGCGCAACGTGACAGGACCAGAGGGCGCGCTGGTCGGGAACAGTTCATACGTGTATCATACGTTCCAGCACCCTTCCGAGCCCGTCCCAGGGCAGGGCGGAGAACTCTGGATCATCGACTCCCGCAACTTCCCCATTGCCACGACCGTCGCCGCCACCTTTGTCAAGCTGGAGCCTCGTGGTCTTCGCGAGCTTCACTGGCATCCTAACGTGAGACATTCCAAATTCAGTGTACGATACTGTGTGGGCTGACATCATCCACAGGCCGAGGAGTGGCTTTATTTCCACAGTGGCAAAGCGCGTGCCACAGTTTTCATAGGCAGTGCAGCCGCTCGTACCTTTGACTTCTCCGCGGGCGACACAGGTGTCTTCCCGGACAACAGTGGTAAGTAATTCACCCGAGCTGTGGGTCTGCGTATTCTGCAGAAAACACGATGCTGATCTAAATGTGGTTCTAGGTCATTACATTGAGAATCTGTCAGACACTGAGGACTTGGTGTGGATTGAGATCTATAAGAGTGACCGTGTGGCCGATATCTCGCTGACGCAGTGGCTTGCCTTGACACCTGCTGATATCGTCGCGAGCACTCTCAAGATCCCGGTCGATGTGGCTGCTGGCTTGAAGAAAGAGAAGCAGATCCTGATCAAGGCGAATTGAATTGTCGCTACTGGGTATTTATCCACACTAGCGCCATTTTCGGTACTTCTTTGCTATTATCCATGTTTCCAAGGATTTTCCCAACGGGTTCTAATCTGGTCTCATGTGATCTGTATATTTCAGAAGTATGAACTCAATTTATTTCTTTTTAATCAAGATTTACTTCTCATGTACATTCTTGCCGTGCTGTCCCTGACAACCTTGTTAGAATAAACAGTCGCAAGGTATGTTGGATGTATTGACAGGTATCTAGACACGAACTACGAAAGACAACTTTAATGTTACTTGCACGAGATAATACGCCTGGGATGGGGGATCAGGTAGTAGTATGAAATCACTGTGTTTTCAAAATTAATCTGTATGCTTGGGACAAAATAAGTGTCGGTTAAGAGCCTCTTGTGAGGCAATCTGCAGGTTTGGTCATTCAGCAGATACGCCTTTATCTAAGGAAATTTGAGGACGCATGGCTCCTCATGAAGACTTCACCTTTTCTACAAGCTACTAGAGCTTGAGTGACAAGTTGCTGATGTCGCAACTCCCGGTGTATCCGAATGCGGTTGCATCAAACCGGAGACGCCTAACAGCAAACTTGACTTCAAGTGCCGAGATCTCGCTCTCCATCGTCACAAGCCTGTCCTGGATATCCCGCAGCTCTTCCCGAAGCGCGAATTCGCGGCACTCGTGAGGCTGCAGCACACGCTTACAGACATCGTGAGCATCGCACCTCCACCCGCTCTCGAGGGAATCATAGGTGGCCTTGGTGGTGAAGAACTCAGACACGAGCTGCTCCAAGGCCTCTCCAAAGTCCTCGACCTCGGAGCCCATCTCGAAGACAGTCTCGTGGTGTGGTGGGAAGGTCTCGCGGCGGTTCTCGGACAAGCCGATGTCCGTCCAAAATTGGCAGGGATGGCCACACCTTTTGCTCAACGAGCGGGACTCGCTCTTCGTAGGTGTGGTACTGGGTGATTATGTCACAGTGCTTCGCATAGCCCTGGGCCGCGGTGCATTTGACCATCCTCGACGTCAGGTAGCAGCAGCCGTGGCCATATGGGCAGGCGAGCCAGCGAGCGATGACAGCACTCTGCTCGCAGCACGGCTTGGGCGTAGAGTAAGGGTTGACCAGCTGAACACTTTTCTGGAGACCGGAGTAGCTGACATAGGGACGAACGTCGTGGGTCAGGTGGTGTTCGTTGATTTTGTAGCACATTTTTGCGGTGTTCGTTGGGTTGAAACGGAGAGGTGAAGTTTAATGAATCTTGCCGATCAACGGGAGAAGATTCAGTGGGTTGTGTTGTGTTGTAGTGATTGAGAATGAAGCGCAGACATACACAGTGATGAGGACTCGACGACGGTGTTGTAGTATAAGTACTTGAAAGCGTCTGTCATGGACCTTTGTTAAACCATGGCAATACGAGTATGTTGTTTCCGCCATTATGTGCATACTGTCCTTTTGCCCTACAAAGCACTATTTGAATGGAGACAATGACCGCACAAAGCAACTCGACACAAGGCCATTCACCTGATCAATTACACTTGGGCCTATGATTGTGCCCCTCTACACAACTTTCCATTCTGAGTCTGCACTCCGCCTGATCCTCCGTCTACAACGTGCCATTCCTCGGTCCCGACCCTGCAGCATTGACAGTCAGCTCTCAAAGCAATATGGAACAAGTTTCACCAGGCGAAACAGGATACCATCTGCCCTTAGACTTTTTTCAAAGGCTTTTGGCAAACAAAGCACGTCAGGGCTCCCGGCGAAACAGCCAATGGCCACGGCCAGATGTATGAACGTGGAGAGGGGAACAAAGTGGTCGGAAGCTGCTTACCCATGATGCACATAGAACAAATTCGTGGGATCCCATTTCTTCTTGATTTCCAGCAGACGCGGATAATGTTCGCCCCAGAAAGAATGCTGCCAATTCTGCTCACCCACGTCGGCCTCGTTGTTATACGCACCCCCAGCAGGAGTCGCATCTTTCAGGGGCCCCATGATAGCGTGCGTCAGATTCTCGCCAGCAAGCTTGATCTCCTCCGGAGTAGCACCCCCGCCGATTCCCGTCACAATGATGAGTTGACTAGCTTCGGCCCGAAACGCAGGATTGACTGAGTTGACGTTCTCACTCTGGGTCAGGGGAGCTTGGTGGTAGCCGAGGAGAATCCGTGCTCGATCCACTGTGTCTTTCAACGCTCGCAAGGTGCTCTCTCGGATGGTTTCGTTGTCCCAGTTTTCCGCGGGGACCAGCCTGTTACCGGGGATACCATTGTAGCTGCCAATGTTCTGGGCATACGACCCGAATGTGGCTTGATATGCTGGGTAGAAGCTGTCGAAATGTTCTGTGGTGACCTCATGCGGGATTCCCAACTCTGAAAGGGATTTGAAGAGTGGGCCGACGAGGGCTTCGTACTCTTCGACGGTCTTGTTGGTTGCGAAGAACGGCCTCATTGTGAAGACGTAGCTGCCGTTTGCGTTGGCGATCGACCAGTATGAGTACGTCTTGGCAGCGTTGTAGACTGGCATCTGGTTCCAGTATGCTGCAAATCCCTTCCAGAAGCTTTCCACGGACACGTTGTTCGAGGTTGCAAAGCTGAAGGTTGAGGTTGTCACGGGTACCTGGGGATGCGCTTTGAGAATCGCGGATGTGACAATGCCAAAGGTGCCGCCACCGCCGCCGCTAGAGACCGTCAATGTCGGTAACTAGTCAGCGTTATAAACAGTTTATAAACAGTACTTACAGCAATGCCCAGTAGAGGTCAGAATTTATGTATGGTGTAGCTGTGACGAATTCACCCGCAGCTGTAACGACTTCAAGAGCGAGGGCTTGGTCTGCTCCCATGCCGAACAATTGCATGACGGGCGAGTGGCCTCCACCTTGAATATAACCTCCGACTACACCCACGGTCTATGGGCCAATAGGAGTGAGCAAATGCACATATAACGCCATCTTTTTTCGTGTACTTACTGGACAAATCCCGGAAACGGTTGTAACACCGTGCGCGTCTGCGGCTTGGTAAAGCTCGAAGCCTTGAACTCCCGCGCCGGCCTTGAAAGCAGGTCCAGCGTAGTCCCGAGTCTCATAGTTTGGGATGAATCGTATGTCCTTGAGGTTGTGCGTCCAGAGGCTGAGTGCACCAAACCCAGTAGACCGGCCATTGTAATCATGCCCGGTGTTCTTCACCAAGAGGCGCAGGTTCTCGGAACGGGCAAAGTTCACCGACAGTTGAATCTGGGCCACATTGCTGACATTGACAGAGTACAGGGAGTAGCCGCCCTGGGTGCAGTTGGCCAGTAAAACTGGGTCAGTACCAGCAAGGCAGGTCTTGCCCTCATATAATGGAAACATCACCGAGCCGGGGTCCTCGTAGCTATTTGCCCAGTTAGCTGAGAGCGCACCCATCGTGTAAACTTGCAGATGACTAACTGAGTTCTTTCCTTCGCCCATCCTTCCGTGACTGACGCACACAGTGATGCATCATAGTTATCATATGTGGAATCCACGTAGCAAGGAGAAGCTAATGGAACAATCGGAGAGAGTGCATTTCCCAACAAATCGTTGTAAACCTCCCACAAATCTGCGGATGGCCATGAGGGGTCGCCAGGGTACGTCTTACACCCGTCAGCGCGTTCAGGAGACTCTTCGTTACTGGTGCCGTTGCCAAATGCAAACAGAGGTGCATATTGGGCGAGATCGTCGTGATCCTCCAATTCCGCAAGAACTGGTTCCGTCAGCTGAATAGCTTCATTGCTGAACAGTTCGACCCCGGCGGCCGACTCTGCTGGTACATTCGCAGCAGCAGGTCGGATGTCCCTGTTCCGTTGTGCATCGGCGTAAGAACCGAGCAGAAGCAAGATGAATCCTGGGCAGATGCCTGGTGAAATAGATTTGGGAACCATGGTGCTAAAATCTCAAGGCATATCCCAATTTGACAATGTCCTGTATCTTATGGTAATGTGTTTTTATTCAGTCAGTAGCCCTGAGCGGATGTCGCGATGTCAAGGATATATATAAGAATCAGAAGGCGAACCGTCTTTGCCAAGATCACTAGCAGCTGCAGTGTACACTGAGAGTCCGAGGCAGCCATTGGCATTTGTAAACGTATCGGATGCAGCGTTCAATTTGTGATAGTGTCATATGCAGGCCAATGCTGACAGAATTTCAAGGTGCCACTACAACCTTGATGCGCATTTTGCCTGATTTTCCCTCGCAGAAAAAAAGGTCATTCACCCTCATTTTAAATGAAGCTCCGCATGAGAGACCATGAATTCCCGAACAACCGCTTCCCTCCTGAGTCTGTGATCTGGGGAAGGTTATAGCGAAGCCTTCGAAGTGGCCTTCGGTTGCGTTCTGTCCTTGGCGTTGACATGCAGACTTTTGGCGTCCAAAAACACGTTGGTGTCTCCTCTAGATTCTCCGTGTTTGGTCGAGATCCAACTTTAGAACCGAAAACTCAAGGAGCCAACATTGAACCGCACAATACGTAAGCAGAGGTGCGTAGTAGAGTACTCACCACCAGGAACACTCTTGAAAATTGTGCTCTGCAACTTGGCCATCGTCATTCATCCCTGGCCAACCAGTTTGTGAAGTAGCATGGAGAAAGTAAATTTTGCCCTTCAACTGCGTGTAATAATTCGGCCGTTGGAAGTGACATTTCCGGAATGCATTGGAACAAAGGCCAAATGCGACCGGAAAATGAACAACCTTGGAAGACAACACACACACACACAAACACACACAGAGAGAGAGAGAGAGAGAGAGAGAGAGAGAGAGAGAGAGAGAGAGAGAGAAAGAATAAATCAAGCTGAGCTTTGCACCCTGGGCTGGCTGGGCTAGGACTCTTGGCTATGGCATGCCTACCAGGGGGAGGGGGGGTTTTTGTCAACATCACACCACGATGTTAATGGAATAGCGATATAATAGTAACATGCAATTAAGGTTCTAACATGCTTTTTTTATATATACATTGCATTATTTACACGTTATTAATATATAAATATTCTTAATATATTATAACATTATGTTAACCTTAATATTATAACAACTTTTAATACAAGGGTAAAAAAAAAAAAACTCTTTTTTTTCCTCATTCTTAACCTAATTACTTATTTATTCTTTATTAGCTTAATTATTTATTATAAAAGAATTTATGAAACTATGGAAATATTTAAAAATAAAATTAGGTTTAAAGTTAATAAGGTTTAAACTAAAGCTTTTAATATAAAATTATAATAATATTAGCTAATATATAGTTAACGCTAACATAAAATTAATATTAATATAATTTAAAGCTTTGATATAATTTCGTTTTAATAATATTTTAATAGCCTTTTACTAGCATTTCACTAGAATTATGAAATTTCAATTAAATATTAAAACATGAGTGTATTGCGTGACCCAGTCAGAAACCCCCCTCCCCCCTGGTAGGTGGAGAGACTCTGTCGCAGCGCAGGTACAGCTAGTCGGGAATTAAATTGAGTGGCCCTAATTTACAAGACCTTGGGCATCCTTTGAGTCATACGAGTGTTCGTCGTCGGCATATTACAAGTGCTAATCGCACGCTCGAAGTTGAACGTGGCCTATAAATGGATGGGCTGCTTTTTACTGCCGTTTTACTGTCTGCGGCTTTCGACGATAATTAGTGAAGAGACCGAAACGGACATGTGTTGAGCTCACATTTGGTCTTCTTGGTTCTATGGAATGCGGCCAAGAAGGTTTCGTGGCCGGAACCCCATTGAGAACAGTAGATCTGAGCTCAGATGTGTCCTCTGTTGCCTTAAAGACCATGAAATGGATTTCTAATCGACCTGCAAAACACCATGAGGTTCAATTATGCGGACTGCTACTCAAGTAACATCAACACCAGTCATATTTCTCAACCCAACATGATATAAACGTCTCTTCGCTCAACTGGGAGCACGGGAAGAATCGACTCTAAAGGTTCATAATGTTGAGCATGGTGGAATGGTGCTCTCCGTAGAATCCAGCTTGACGGAATGATCTCACCTAACCGCATCTACGTTGACAACATCTAATCTTTTCAGCGGTGAAGAATTATTCTATGCCGTCGGCGTGCACAAGTGCCCCAAGCGCGGATAATGTCGCCGCTTAGTACTATGTGGAAACGCAATCTTCATCCTCGGTTTGGAACACCAATCACAGTTCTGGATTTTGATTTCCACTGTTGAGCCTTTTGAGGATTGACCGGTGTCGCATTCGGCCTCGCCTTTGTTCCATTGCACAATCTTCGCTCCGAGGCTTTCTGCAAGAAAAGGGGGATTTGCGCCAGGGGACGATTCGTCCGAGGCGGCTTCGGGGCCGTGGAGACAGTGCTTCTGTGGGAACCCCGCGGCATTGGGCCACATTCCTCTGCACAACCAATGCTCTTGTGTTGCGAATATGCTTAATGTGTGACGGCTATTTCCTTGGACCTCATGATTTACATTTCCTCAGTTGACACCAAGTGTTGATCTTAGGAAATAAGCTTGTTCCGCTGATCGCGTCGGGACGATGCGGCACGCCCAGCACGTTGCATGCAGACTGACTGGTCGACTACAAGTTACCTAGGTAGGGGTGATGTGCAAGCGCGGACTGAGCCTCGGTGGGACTATCTCTTGAATGTCCACTCGCGAACCCCGGTGCAGCCTTGCAAGGCTACATTATTCCGTGCCTTCGACGGCTTCACAAAATAATGCATTGCTTCTGCTTTCCTGACACGGCTGAAGTCGATTCAAGGGCCAAAATCGATGCCATGCAACAATGTCGATGGGAGGCGCAGGTTCTTGCAATTTCTTCTCTCGTTTCCACAGTTTGCATACCGCCTTTGGGCTCAGACAACCGTGGCGGTGGCCCCAAAACTGTAATTTTATGCTTCTGCTCCTCCTCAAAATACCCAGGCAGCATTTGCCGACTTTCCTTTGAAGGTATCTAGTTCTGCTTCCCATTTGCCGCGGTGTTGAGACACGATGACATATTCTACAATAATGGCGCCACGAAGGATCGCTGCACTATAATTTTGATATTCAAGGGCAAGATTCGTGCATGCTGATCTTTTGAGCTTGGGATCCACTTCCGCATGGCAGGTTGGCGACGATCGCGGTTACCCCGACCTGTCATACTCTTTCTCCCGACCGTTGGGTTTTCGGTTAAGCTTTGGGATCCACTTGTCTCCTGTGAGCGCTTCCCGGGCCATTTCAATCTTCGGCTTTGAGTGTGCGCCCAGCTGTGCGGGCTCCCACATTCAAAGTCCCGACCTCGTTCATCGCTTGCTGGATTCAGACTAAGATCGGCATCGGGACTACCGGATCCACCAGACTCATTTGCGCCCACCTTACGTACCACCACTTCCGGCCTCTCACGGCGCGAACACATTGGAATCTTCAGATCGACGTTCGAAAAGGGGAGCTAGACATGATTGCGAAGATCCACGAAGCTCACGACGATGACAGCTGGGCCCCGCGTCCTCAGGATGTCGCCCGTTACGAGCCCCACAAGTGCCGCGAGTCCACCTCGACGTCAATCAACATGCCGATGTTGCCGCCGTCTCGAGTTTACAGAGTCGACGGATAATACAAATAGAAGCTGTCGCCCATCAACCTCTCGTACTTTCAAACCACCAGACAGCATCAGCACAGTCCTCACACTCTTTTACCAACAACCAACTCAGCCATTCTTTTGCTTAAGACCACCGTCTTCCACAGCTAAAACTTACTTCTCAGTAATTATAATCACCAACCCCCTACAACCAAAATGAAGACCTCTTTCGTCGCTCTCCTCACCATGGCCGTCGGCGCCTTCGCCGGCCCCATCGCCGTCCAGCGTGACACCGAGGTGCAGGCCCCCGTCACCTTCGTGACCCTCACCGAGAGCGTCCGCACCTACACCGCTCAGATCAGTAAGGCGCCCGACTCTTCCCTGCGCTGATTTCGATGATCCGGAACTTTGTGGCTGACATGATCCTCCCCCAACTTATAGACAGGACCCTCGAGACCGTCCCCGAGCACCCCACCGTCGAGGCCCAGACCAAGGTCATCACCACCCTGACCCCCCAGATTGAGGGCATCACCGACCTCCTGCTCAAGGCCACCAAGGCCGCCACCTCCAAGGACTTCCTCTCTGGCGTCACCGGCGACACCCTCTCCGCCGTCCTCTCCCTGGTCAACGAGGTCGTCTACACCGTCAAGGCTGTCATCGCCAAGCTCGGTCTGGGTAAGTCACCAACTAATCCGCCAACGCGGCGACACTCTTCCTCCTTGGCCATGGCTAATCCCGCCGCTTCTAGATGGTGTCCTCCAGCTCGTCCAGCCCCTGATCCTCGCCCTCGGCGGCCTGGTCCGCTCCCTGAACCTTGTCGTCGACGGCCTGCTCATCGTTGTCCAGGGCATCCTGAACACCGTCCTGAGCACCGTTGCCAGCCTCCTGACCACCCTCATCTAAGAGCAAAAATGACAATGGAAAAGCGAGAGCGTTGCGGAATATTGAGCGTGTTGTAATAGGGGATGTATGATAACTTCTTCATTACACTGACCCCTGGGATCCGCAAGGCTTCCCAAGGGTTGGTGTAATCATTAATGCAATAATTCACTGAGAGAATTACCCCATCATGATCTTTCTTTCGACGTGATATTACAGCTGGTCGTGTTACAGTATGCCAATTGCTCAGACAAGAATCACTCAAATCCCCCCTCTCCCCCCCTCGGGGTCTCACAGACACGATCAACGCGGGCCCTCACGAACTACTGCACCTTCCCGACGCCAGAAGCCTCCGCGACGTCCCGCCTGTTGTCCATGCTGCCCGCGGAGAAGCGGCCCTGCTGGTGGAGGCCGGCGTACCTGGCCAGCCTGCTGACGTCCCTGGCGCGGTGGCCCTCGCACTCCCTGCAGCCCGTGCGCGCCATCTCGAGCCCGACGACGCCGTCCATGCTGCCCTTCATGCCGTTGGCGGTGGCGCCGAGCCCCGTCCAGCTGAGCCGCTTGGTCCGCTTCTCGGAGCTGTTGGAGTTGTTCTGGTTGGCCATGGCGGCGAACTCGCGCTTCTCGGCCGTGTCGCGGTCGATGGCCATCATGCAGTCCAGGATGCTGCTGCACTGTTCCACGTTTCCGGGGGAGTTGTGGCTCTGTTCTTGGTGTTGTTGGGGGAAGAGGCAGGACATGTAATCCGTCATGGACATCATCGGGCGCGACGCTATGTTCCCGGCGGTCCTCTCCTCACAATGATGCATGGAACCGGGGCAGTTCAGCACAAAGACACCCCCGCAGAAGCGCCCCTCCAGGTCCTCACGAACACTACGCAGCACGCCCATCCTGGCGAGCGGGTCGTTGACGAAGGCGAAGTGCTCGATATGCGGCTCGCGGGACTCCACGACCCCAGCGGCGTGCATCTGCTGCTGTCCAGCGAGCCGCTTGGAGTCGGCCACGGCCGACGCGGCGGTGCCGCCGAGGGGCGTGACGAAGTCGGTGGCCGCGGCGCCGAAGGTGTACACCTCCAGCTTGGACATCTTGTCCGGGGAGACGTCGGCGTACAGCTGGCGGAGGATCTGGGACGCGCAGACGGCGCCGCTGTTGTGCGCGAGGACCACCGTCCGCGACACGCTGCGGTCGAGGAGGGAGGCGCGCACCTGGGCGTACATTGCGGTGGTCGTGGGCGAGGGCATCATGGTGTGGAGGGACCGCTGCAGGATGAGGGCGAGCATGTCGAATGGCAGGCCGTATGTGGGCGCGCAGACGCTTGTTATGGTCCTGTTGAACAGTTTGGACAGCATGGGAAGTGTTGACTGGGTCATGGTCCTTGAGCTATTTCATTTAGTGTCAGTCTGTGGACTCGTGATGGGTTTCTGGATGATGCTCACCTCACCCCCACGCCCCCGACGAAGAACCAACGCTCATCCTCCATATCCTGGCCCATCATCCAGTCACCAGCCGCAGTCGACCGCACCATTTGCCCCGCAGATCCACGTCCGTTCAGCATCCAGACCATGCACATGATCATGGACATGCAGCAGCCCATCCACGCCGCGAACATCAGACCAGGGAGACATGCCCAGAGCGGGACAACACAAGCGAGGAAGCACATCTCAAGCATTGCGAGGCAAGCATGCTGGACCATCTCCATCATTTCCATCCTAGAGGCCGAGGCCCACCGGCGAGGCATGGCCGCACGCAGCATATCCGGGAGCAGTGTGAGAGCGTGCGACATGTCGCCTCGCATCCGCTCCATGGCCGAGCGCCGCGGGTTCGGAAGCGTGCCGCACGCCCCGTCAATGAGAGAGGGGATGAAAGTGACGGCCAGGGGCATCTGCCCCGCCATCGTATTGTTCATGCCATTGGTGAGCTTGGAGTGATATCCGCTCCGTGGCGAGACGGCCGGGGAGTCGAGGGGTGAGAGCCACGGCATTGTTGCGGCCGACGACAACAGGCTGAGAAAACGAGTGACTTGGGCGCGGTTTTGAGGCGTATCAAACCTGTCAGGAGGTGAGCGCAACCCTTGGAAGGAGAAGTTCGCGTACGTCAAACGGTCGGCGTGACAATGAGGCGTTCATTTTATGGTTCCCTGGCCACTGTTTTCCCTGTTCCTGGCATTCCAGTAAAACCCGACTTTGTTTCCTTGCATTCCTCGGCCGCCACTTGGCGTGGGTTTTTTTGGCTGGGGGATTATCATCATCCTATCAATCGTGCCACTGATTGGCCTTGTCTCACTTACTCACGGCTCTGAAGAATTTGGTATAATTGGTCTTGATTGTGAAAACTACCCATACCTATCCTCGGACCATAGTTCCGCGGTCACTTGAATCAAAAAAGCCTTATCTGTCGGACCGAGGCACAACGGCTCGTTTGTTTGTTTCCTGACATGCTTTCTCCTATTCGCTTGCCTGGCTTCCGGTGCACAAGAAAACCAACCAATATGTGGTGCCACGTTTTCTCCCAGACCGAGCATTTGATCCTCAACAGGGGCAATGTGAAATCTCGACTGACCGCAATCAGTATGTACTTGAACACATTCACGGAGGTATATAATGCTGACGGTTGACGTTGCAACAGCCATGCTGGTCACAGCGGTCGGGAGTCCCGTTTTGGCATGCGATGGCGGCGGTCCAAATCTGTTCACACACACGTAACAAATTCACTCTCTATTTGTTTCTATATTCATTGATGGGGACGTAGATTTGATAACCACGATTCGAAATTTGCGTGCATGTAATTTACTTCCTGCGCCAGTTCCCAATTTCTCCGTGGATATGGTTGACTGGCGCTCAGCCGGTGGAAATGGAAAATAAATGCAAAAGATTCCTCTCCACTTACACATCTAAATTTCCAAAGAGTTCATAATTAGCAAGTAAGCTTCTGTCTCCTTGCGGTGGCAGTTAGTTACCTGTTAGCTCGAATGATCAGTCCAGGTGTTATTCATGACTGTGCTTCATTGCTTCTTGGGCATATCATCTTCTGCCAGCTCAAACAACATATTCATAAGACCCAGCTGTCCCAGTGGCATGAGTACGAGCACATTGGCAAAGTCTATGGAGACAAACGTAACTAGAGCCGGGCTGGCTGCAATATTGCATGCGTCTGGCAGCGCCCAATACAGCGAAGCCGCTTGATGGCAACATGCACTTGTTGATGTTTCTAAATCTGCAGAGACCCTGAAGGTTCAGCGGACACGCACAAGGAACCATACAGAACACCCGTCCAAGAACTGCTGGTATGTCTTTGCGCCATCCTGCTCTTCAGCTGACCTAGATTGACAACTTCTAGCCATGTCTGTGCCGCAACCAAGGGACCTGGCCCCTCATCATAACACATTTAGGCTGCTTTTCTGACATGTGAATGGTGTTCAATCAGAGGCGTGGGATGTAATTCAGATCGGCCACTATCACTCATTCATCTTTCTGTGTGAGATCACCCAATTTGGATTAGACTAGTGCTATCAGTAGATATACACATTAAATTTGCCACGCCTGAATCTACATTTCTCTGGAATGGATGATTAGCCTCGGCGGGAGCTGGCCTGATAAGAAGACCCCGTGGACGCCTCAATGCGTGGTTGTCACGTGCCGGTACTGTACAGAAGCAGCCAGGGTACGCCACAAGATCACACGATGCACAAGGCCATCAGAACTTGCAGTCAGGGCATGCAGACGGTTAAAGTTTGCAGAGTCTGAAACTTGGGTACAGTGAGTCATGGTGATGCAGGACCAATTCGGCGACAGATATCGCATGCGAAAGCGTGGCAGCGACACCCCGGCCTCGGTTCCGGAGGCTGCCCCATGTCCCGGCAGATCGCCTCGGAGCGGGTGAGTTTTCCCAGGGCTGATGGCTGTATACAGACATGGAGATCCCGGAAACCTGATTGATCTCACCATGTGGGACGTGCTGTGCAAAGTAGGTCTTGATCGATTGGTGGACGAGTCGTAGATCTGGAAGGCTGCCGTTTGTAATTCGGCTGCACTTGAAGGCCATGTTCAGCTGTTACGCCTTTCTCGAGATGGTTCCTTTCGTAAGAAGTGGTAGCGCTGATATGCTATTGATTAGGCAGTTCGCTTGTTCTTATTGGGTAGATTCTAACAAATGAGCCCTTGGTTTTGTGTGCTTCTTGGTTGGTCCCACCTGCTCTAGGCTTTCAGTTCACTGGTGACATAGCTTGGCTAGTCTGAATGTCCTGAAAGTAACGAATACAGATCTTTCACTCCCCAAAGTTATTATTGTGAAAGTGCTGCTGCTCCTTGTGAATCTTGGCAGCGCGTTCGCTAAGCTCAGGATTTGAACATTACACCCATAATCTGTTCTCCCCTTGAGCGGCCCATCCGGCTTGCTCATTGCTTATATTCCATGATGTGCTTTTGACAATCCCACCTGACTGTTCCATGTCCCAGGATCCTTGTTGTCCTGCTCTGATATATCTTGAGGGATTCCTCTGCCCGTCCGGCCCTGTCAGCTCATACTCCGCACCCATCCACGGTTCCGCGCTCGACGCGCTCCCACCGACGGTCTTCTTGCTTCGCCTCGAGGTGAAGGATGGTATTCCCCAGGACCCTATGGCCTGCCTGATAGCGGGGAAGTATGATGTCAATAGCAACCGTGCAGCTGGCAGGCAGGAAATCACATAAGCGGTTGTGACTTCAATGACGGAGTATATTAGGCCCTGATAAAGATCGATTTCCACTTCAATGGCATTTCCCTTAGATTTAGTCAAAACAAATTCTAGATCATAGACACTTACGTATAAGATCAGGATTTGTTCGCACAGAGCGAAAGTGCAGAATCGTCATGGCCGTCGTGCTGGATAATCGTGAGTGGAATGGAATAGAAAGCGGATGGAAAGACCAGGCCTTACACGAGTCCGAGACAGATCATGGCCATGATTCCAATCTTCGCTTTCCTGGTGATCTTCAGCCTCCATAACTGTGAAGCAGGCAAGACGATCATCCAAACGTCCAAGAACATATTGAGGCCCGGATACACGCCCGACTCATCGATATAGTCATGACACGTGCCTTGTGTATCATCTGCATATGCCCAGTAGAATGGGAGCGGCTGGCAGACGATGAACAAACCAACAATGAAGATGATCGCGACCGCAACATTGACGGCCTGGGTTCGGAAGATTCTCAGGTATAGGAAGACAATTGAGATCTTGATCATGACGTGGGCCACGGCGTATACGAGTGAGAATGCGAAGAACGCCTTGGTGAAGTTGTCGATGTTCCATATTTGCAGCGTCCAAAGGTTACGGGAGTAGCCAAAATGATTCTCTATATATTCGGGTCAGAAATACTGGCTCAACGTGAGTAAGAGTGGCAGAGACCCACCGAGTATCAACGTCGGAAACCACACAAGAAGCAAGGCCTATTTCGGTGTCAGTTGCCCGTACTAGTGTTCGACATGCCTGTGCGCATCATTCACGGGCAGGTCTGTGGGACATACCGAGGATAAATAGAATGTGATATCATCTAAGCCCCAAGGCTGTTTCTGCCGTTTCCATATTGATCCAATTCGCAATACAAAGAAGCATAGCTGCACGGCGAAAGGGATGTAAACTAGTGGACGCATGTTGCTGGGCTCCACCGTGTTGGGGATACCGCAAGCATTGTAGGTCATGCCGGCGGATGCTGTGGGAATGCTCGCTGGTTGCCCCTAGATCTCGAATTATTGCGAATACTCACTGAAGAAATCCATCGATTTACAATTCTCGGATATACACTCGGCGAGGTCTTCCCGCCATGGTATCCCGGCGGATGTTCTCGTTGGACAGATGCAGTCTTCGTCGCTGAGCGACTCGCACAGCGCGTCGATGCAAGACGCCTTTGGGCAATCAGCGATTCAGAGTCGGATGTATGGATACTTCCGCGCAACTTACAGTGCACTCAGGTATTGCCATGACTGGCTGCTGAACTGATGTGATAATCGTTGATTCCGATTTGAGAGTTGTCGTCAGCTTTCCAGCTTGTTGAAAACTTGAAAACTCAAAAGCACGTGCCACGTAGGACAAGAGGAGATAGAGTTTATCCAAGCCAGAGTACGCCCACCTAGCTTCCATAGTACGCCCACCCAGCTTTTAGCGTTGGCCTACCTGGTATAAGGAAATTAATTATATATATTATAAAATATTAATATTATAAGGTTATTAATAAAGCATAGCTATAGCTATTTTAAAAGGGTCCTATAGCTACCCCTTTATTTGTAACTTAAAAGTTACTTCTGCCCTTCGCCCTTTGCCCTCTGCGCCTTCTTCGCCCTCTTCGCCCTCTGCGCCCTTTGGCGCCCTCTTCGCCCTCTGCGCATTCTGGCGCCCTCTAGACGCTCTGCGGCCCTTTGGGGGCTTCTGGGCGCTCTGGGCTTTTTAGGCTTATATTTTTAAAGTATTATTTAAATTAAAAAATAGCTACCTTAGCTTTTTATATATAAAGTAAACTTTATGCTTATTTAAAAAAGTACTTAATCTTATTAATATAATATTAAGAAAAGGAAGTACTAGGTGGGCGCACGCTGAAAGCTAGGTGGGCATACTGTGGAAGCTGGGTGGGCGTACTCGGGCTCAGTTTATCCAACCAGAGAGTTGACCACGGTAAAACGGCCTTAAGCTCCGACTAGAAGATCTTCACGATTAGAAATTGGTGTCAAGAAACACTGGAAGGCGTCCATACTGTGTGATCATCCGCCCTGCCACCTCCTTCAGCTTTGTGTTTTCAGTAGCTTACGCCAAGAGAGATCTTCTGTACAACCAACTAGCCCAGACTGTGGGCGTCTTCGTTATGCCGCTTAAGAAAAAATGGCGGTACAGGATGCCTTGGCTAGATTGCGCCATTGGTCGCTGGGCTTGGGGCAAGAGGGCTGTGAATTGTCATTGCTCGGAGATAGGTCACATTGACAGATCCTACAGGCGATAGACATTCGCATACGGCCAGCACAGAATGCACTTGGGCAATGCTCCCTCCATGTAAGACGAACCCCCGGTCCCCGACTCCCGCCAAAGCCTGGGAGGCTGGGACGCCATGCAGATCAACTGCAAGTTCTGGCAAGATCGGGAGCTTCCTCTGTGACGCATAATTGGCCGTTGGCCGTCAATCTAGGAGCATGAGCAGCTTCAGTAAGTGATGATTTATGCAACAGACGCAGTCACTGGAATTGATTTGATCGCTACTCCATGATACTCAATGTGTATATGATTTCTTTGGGCAGTCGACGAGCTCGTGCGAGGAGTACTGAGTTGCCGAAATGCAGCGCCAGTCTTGCTGATGCCGAGATGCCGATGCCAAATGCTATGCACTTTCTAAGTCTACCTGAATGCAGATTATACAGAGGGAAAATAGAGACGAACAAAACATCAAACTGTCAACCTGATCAGATAATGATATGTGGCATCCATACCGAAATATGTTTGCATATTCACATCTCAAGGACATCTTGCCTAGTTTCCGAGCGCCCCTAAGAATCGCCATGGGAATACGTCGGTCCGGATTACGCTCTCTCAAGGGTCTGCGGAGTCAGCATACGCCCACCCAGCTTCTATAGTACGCCCACCCAGCTTCCAGCGTTGGCCCACCCAGTATAAGGAAATTAATTATACGCGCTATAAAATATTAATACTGTAAGGTTATTAATAAAGCATAGCTATAGCTATCCTAAAGGGGTCCCATAGCTACCCTAAAGGGGTCCTATAGCTACCCCTTTATTTGCAACTTAAAAGTTACTTCTACCCTTTGCCGCCCTTTGCCGCCCTTTGCAGCCCTCTGCGCCCTCTGCGCCCTCTAAGCGCTCTACGGCCCTTTGGGCGCTCTGCAGCCCTCTGGGCGCTCTGGGGGCTCTGGGGGCTCTGGGGGCTCTGGGGGCTCTGGGGGCTCTGGGGGCTCTGGGCGCTCTGGGCGCTCTGGGCGCTCTGCAGCCCTCTGGGGGCTCTGGGGGCTCTGGGGGCTCTGGGGGCTCTGGGGGCTCTGGGGGCTCTGGGGGCTCTGGGCGCTCTGCAGCCCTCTGGGGGCTCTGGGGGCTCTGGGGGCTCTGGGGGCTCTGGGGGCTCTGGGGGCTCTGGGGGCTCTGGGGGCTCTGGGCGCTCTGGGCGCTCTGGGCGCTCTGGGGGCTCTGGGCGCTCTGGGGCCCTCTGGGCGCTCTGGGGCCCTCTGGGCTTTTTAGGCTTGTATTTTTAAAGTATTGCTTAAATTGGAAAATAGCTACCCTGGCTTATTGGAAACCCCGCAGTACTTGCATTTTAGTACGGATGCAGCTAATTTTCCTTGTACTGGGTGGGCCAACGCTGGAAGCTGGGTGGGCGTACTGTAGAAGCTGGGTGGGCGTACGCTGACTCGGGTCTGCGCAGCCTTTAGAGAGCACTGTGGAACACAGCTGCGAACTGTTGATTGGCTAGCTATTCGGGCAGGACATCTCATAGACTGAAATGATGAAGGACATTGTTGATTTTGAGAAACGGGAATCTGGACTGAATCCATCTACCATGTATCCATGTCTCGAACCCCTCATCTCCCGGCAATGCACTGCGAGGAAGACACGTGAGGCAATATTCTGGAGACTGCGTGTTTCAACACGGTGGAAACACGGGAAAACACCACGGGTTGCGGCCAGACCTGCCAAGACGCGTGCTCGCGAATGGAACATCGTGACTCCCAATAGTCATGCACATCATTGCCCGAGGGACACTAGAGGCATAGTGTAGTGTTTGGTCTCGACACAGATAGCCGGCCACCAATCCCGGCGCCTGCCTGGCGGTAGTAGTCAGCGATCGTTGGGGTGGTGTGAAGCAGATCCGTGAAGGGTGAGTGGGGGCGTCAGTGTTTGGCTGGCCGGCTGGTTGGCCGACCCAGAACTCTGAAGTGGGGGGTGGCCATGAGTTTCAGGGACGGGACGCGATAGCCGCTGATTGGAGCCAGCAACCCGTCAGCTCCCGCCGCCACGCCAGCTTCGAATGCAACCGTAGCACACCCTGACACAACTGACTTCACAGCTAGGGCAACGTGCGAGGCACACAGAGGCATGTGAAAGTCCATCCTCGGAAATAGGAACACGATGAGACACGCGGCAACATCGCCTCTCTTCCCCTCCTCCGATCTCGTGCCGAGAGACACATGATCCGGGTTGTAGCACTTCAGCCTGGGAAGAATGCATGCCCGTGTGTCATGGAGGCAGTCAACCAGCCACCTGGCCTAGCATTGGGCATTCATGTGAAAGAGATCATTCTGCATAACTGGCATAGCACCGCCGTACACAAGGAAAGAGAGGGGCATTAAACGCTTCCTCAACTCGAAACACCACCCTCTCGTGTCATCAATCATTTTCGGCGATACAAGCAGCTCCGTATTCATCCCACCCCTCCGCGTGCTGCGCCCAGATGCAGATGCGATAATCCATCCGATCTCTGCGCATTTTGGCGGCCTGCCAACCCGAGTTCCCGCCGCCCGTCCGCAGGCCCGGCTCTCTTGGATCCTCGCTAGTTTTGCGACGGCCGCGCTTGGTTGCATGATCAACGTCGGACAGCTCTTGACCCTTTGGGAAACGCCAGCGCCTTCCGCGCCAATGCCATTACGACAGCTTGTTGTTTCAACGCTGTCGTCCCGTGGTTAGATCGCGTGCAGCGGCCACTCCCGGGCAGACACGCCGCGATAGCATCGTGTTGGCAACTTGCTGGCAACGTAATACAAACACATGTCCGGATCACCGTGCTCTGGATCCCTCGACGTCCCGAACAAGCACTAGACTACTGCGTGCACTTCACGGCAACACCGCCCCTAGCCGTCTCCGGACAGGCAGTCGTGTCCCTCGATCCTCTGCCCGATGACGAGGAGGTATCCATCCGGGACACGTTCGATCCTGTGCCTGTCAAAGCTGGAGAAACCTTGCCCGGTTGGCAGTCAGTGGTACCGTCGCGGTATCGTGCTCCAGAGTTCCTGTCCCCATCGGCCACGAGATGCAGGGGAAGATATCCACCATCTCCAGCTCCTCCTCTCCACAATAGAAGGGCGCCAGAATCTTTGGAAGCTCTTGGGAACAACCTTGTCCGGCCCGGTCCCACCCTGTCCACCCTCACCTCAGCTCAGGCCGATCAACCAACACCACTGGCACGACCAACGCCCGGATTTGTCCCTTGGTGGTGCTGCTCCTGCAGTCCTGCAGTCGTGCCGCTGCCACACTGTTTTGGCGGTCCACGAACAAGTCTAAGAACTCTAAACCAGTCACCTGCCACATCCCTCCTCCGACCTCGTCCTCTTGACTACAGGTCGACCTGGCGTGGGTCTCTTCGTCCCCTCCACCCTATTAATTACCAGGGGTACAGTACTCGCTTCTCCTGCTGTCGTATTTCCATCTACATTTATTACCATTCGACCATCAAGATCTCGATTTCCGACCTGCGTTGGCGATCTCGCGTTGGGCGGTCTTTTGCCCCGTCTTGTCCTTGACCGCTCTCTTGAAATCCCAGGCTGCACGCTCATCCTGCATAGAGTGGACCGCGACGTGGGGTCGACCGGGGGCCAGGGGTCACGCTCGTGACTTTTGAACCACCGCAACCACCAGAGGAGACATCGTGTGCTCACGAGAGTTGGCCTGCCCTTTGACCGCCATAAGTCAACTGGCCTGGATGAGATCCATCCGTCGTGTTGGCCCTCCAAGTGTTGTCCAACTTGACCAACCCGAACGAGCTGGCCGTCCTGAGCCAGACCAGATCGCCCATCCACGTCACTTCCCACCGCCGGCCACATTCGCAGTCGTCAACGGTGACGCTGGCAAACCGTCTCTGCACCGGCTTTTGGGTCAGAGATCTCGCTTCCAAAACTTTGTCGCTTCCCGCCGGCCTGGTCCTGGCCCTGGCCCTGGCCCAGCAGCTACTCGCGCACGGCGGTAACGGAGCTCTGTGTCAACGGTTCCACAAGTCGGCAGGGCGGTGTTGATCCCCTAGTCCGCATGGGGCCGGCCTGAATCTGCACAAATCCCAGCCTGCATATTATTTTTGTACTGCACGCACGCGCCTTTTGCCGCTGCCAACTGGACTGTTGTGCCAGCTGGGCCCCGTCTCCAGTACCCGGTCGGATCCTAAGCGCCAATAGAGGGCCTGGCGCTCTGCTTCAACGCTTTCCAACGCTCCGCTCTGATACGTTGGCACGACTTACACAGTCCACACAGCCCACCGATCGCCGGGTCGGTTCTGCAGCAACAAAGGTTCTAGAAGCCAGGCGGCCCGGGAAGCAGTGTGCTGCCCCTTGGAGAACAGCTCATAAAGCTCACGACCCGCACAGAGTGCGAGGGGCTCCATACTGCTCGTCGCTTGCCAGTTCCCCGGCGCCATTTTTCTCGATTCGAACTGCCCTTGGGGCCCGGTCTTCCCAAAAAGCTTCGGTTGACCGCAACTCGTCTACCGCAGTGACGAAATCTCTTGTCGGTACACCCCAGGCTCCATCCTAGCCCAGGGGCCAGGGAATGAACGACAGCTAGCCGAAGTGACTTCTTTGTTGCGGAGAATTGTGCGCGGGCCCGCATGAGCAGAGTCAAACTCATAAACAACAGCGAATTCCTCACATCAAATCGCCCAACAAATTCGCCTCACCTCTGAGTCAAGCTTGTCAGGAACGAGTAAACACTTGCAGCGTCGTGGAGAAATTTTTTGCAGAGAGGTCCCCAACAGCATTCATCACACGCACGCCTTTCACTGTCCGTGGCCCCGAAATTCATCACTCAGCCACCTCCGCAAACATGTCACGACAGTCACCCGTGCCTCGCTCTCACTCGAGGGCCAGCTTCTACTCCACAACCACATACCACTCCTTCCAAGATGTCGAACTCTATGAGCCAGGCTGCACACCAGATGACCAGGGAACGTCGACGGCGAGGGTCCCAATGCCCGTAGAGACGCCTGTTGTCAGAAGACAAAGAACATCAAGGAGGGACGACTTCGACAAGAACCCTGCCTCCTTCCAGATGGTCCGCCAGGACTCGGGCTACGAGTCGAGCACACCCACTCGCACCTCGCAGTCGTCAAAACGCCACCGACACACATCCCACACCAAGTCCTCGTCATCACCACCCCGGACAGAATCCCAGTCACGGACCTCAATGTCACAAAAGAGGCCCGCCCTCCGGCGCTCTCGGCCGATATCAAACATGCCCCGGTCCAGCATGACAGCCTCCCGCTCGCCACCTCGGAGCACCCACAACAATCACCCCAATATAATGACCCATACTCCTATTTCCAGTTCCCCTCCCCTGAGCAACTGGACCAACCAGAAGAATACCAACAACAGCAACAACAACAGCAGCAACAACAACAACCTCAAGAACCAAACGCGGACATCGCCCTAGTCAGCACCCACCTCGACACCCTCAACACCGAGCACCAGTCAGAGAAACCAAAATCCTCCTCCTCAGCAGCACAACACCACCCCGAACAACCACCATACCCCCGCGCCGAGACCCCCCTCCCCTCCCCCTTCCCGCCGCAGACGACCCACTACTGGACGTCAGACCGCACGCGGCGCCTCGAGTACGCGGCCATCGACGCCGCCTCCCGGGGGGTCCGCGGCTGGGTCATGCGCAACTGCGTGCCCGAGTGCTTCGTGCCCAAGGAGCGCCGACGGGTGTGCTTCGACGACGACTCCGGGTCCGTCAGGCGCTACCGCCTCGACCTCGAGATCGAGTGCCCCGAGGACAGCGTCCCGCCCAGCCCCGTAGGCGAGAAGCCGCGCGGGTTCCGCGCCAGGGCTGGGGCGGGCAGCGGCAGCGGCAGGGGGCTCTGGGCTAAGCTCAGGGGGAAGGCCTAGAGCCGGGGCTTCCCTTTGTCCCCGTGTCACCACTTTGGGATTCTGGTTTGGTGTTCTGGCTTTGGCAGCCCTGACGCCAGCCGCCTCCGCGATTTGCCTCGAGATCCCACTCCTTTCCGGGTCTAATGCCTTCCAGCCAGGAGGGACATTATCAGCCAGGCGATCCTAGTGAACGCTTTCGGCTTAATCGATTTATTGTTAATTTGAATTAATGTTTTTTTTGATCTCGGATGAAGAAGCGAGCAAACATCTTTTTTGTTTCCCCCTTGAAGTGGAAGAGATGAAGGAATGAGAGAAAGAAACGCATTTGAGAGAAGCAGAAACTGCGCAAGATGCATTTTGTGGCACCCATTTACATTGGCGTTCTATACCCACCAGAGATTTGTGGAGGAAATGTTTTGTCGTTTATTTGGGGATTTTCCAATGAGACACCAACATCATCATCAACACCAACAGAATGAGCCTGGCCTGGTCAGTGAGGCAGATATGGCACCAGTCGTACTTTCAAGACTACATACCCAACCCGGGAGGGAATTAGAAGTAGGCCAATGGCTGAAAATAAAAAAACCATTAAATCAAGACGCTTCAGCTATACATGGTGTGACCCGCGCCCCCGCCGCTGCTTCATCTGGCCTCGGACAGCCCGGTCGTTGTAGGGCAGCCCAGGTCAGCCTGCGAGGCGGGACACGAAACATTGCTCTGAGCCGCAGGGCCCAAGTACATACTCATTAACACAGCCGGCTGCACTGAGACAAAGATGCAAGGCTCTGTGCTGTGATTACACGGTTGAGGATCACCTGCCGCGAGCCTTCGCAGTAGTGATCAATATCTGCGCCAAGTCTGCAGTTCATTCCTGTGCAAGCTCCAAGAGATTTCCTAGGCTTCACAAGTCTGGATGTAAACATCTCGCGTATATATTGCTGTTTGTCTGTTGTTCACTTGAACCTCAGAAACACCCGTAAAGCTATGCATGTTCGTAGAGCCTGAGACGGGAGCTCGATGAACATCAGCGGCAGAGGATATTTGGATAGGCACGCATCATGCATTCCTGTGAGAGTCGATATGAGAAGTAAAAGCCACCATGAAACAATCAGCTGGAGGTATCGTTGAATGACGAATATGGGGGATTGTCTGTGTACAGTATGGCCTGGCATCGACTCCTGCTATAATAGATATGCAATATCTCAAACCTCCAACCTCAAACACTCAAGCAGATCCCACCCAACTTACCTGGGCAGGGGCGAAAAGACTCAAATTGCAATATCGGCTTGTCATGACCACCTAGAAGTTTCGTCCTTGTGACTTGAACTTGAGTCAAGGGACATTTTGATGGGCCGAGAAAGTCTATGGTCACGAGACTACCAATATCCAGCGGCTCGACTGAGAATAAACGTGGACTACTGGTACCATGATATTAGCCCGCCTCTCAGACAGGACGTTCGACTGGGCAAAGAGAAGTTAGCACCATCATACCAAGAATCATGCATTAGCCTTTATGACGCTCTTTTTTTTTGTCTGGGAAAGGTTCTCTACTCGAGTACGAAAGGTGTGAGATGACTAGCGATGCGGGCTTTTCCGTTAAACGAAAACTGGATTTTGATCATCTATTGAACACGAGCAGCTGATTACAGGCTATTGTGGATAAAACATTCTAGATGCATGGAGAATATTGTTCCGCTTCAGCACTTTCAGCTAAGCCGGGACCACGACAGTTCGTCTTCTCAAGGGCTGGCACCCGTGGACCCCTACCTCAATTTCCGCGCTTGACTCTATTCCCACGAAGGAATCTTGGCATCCTGCTGTGTTCCGCGTAGTATCAAGGGATTGCTTACGCCAAGTTGAGCGGTCATCTTCCAGCCGCCCACTGGTGCCGAACTATATTGCATGACTAGTACCCGCGGTCAAAGTCGACGTTGCATCGCATGTGTGCATCCAAGGCGATGGTTCTCGTGTTCAGCCGGGGTGGCTTATTTGCATGAACGGAGAGGGACAAAAGTACCCAAGGAGCCGGACGTCGACAGAAGGATTCATCATCACGTTTAATCGCCTTCTCGTTCCATACTCATATTTAATCATACAGGCGCGCACAGGTTTCTGGTTCTGCATGCTATCAAATGGGACGTGTCGTGCAATCAGGTGCCCGGATTCCTTTTGCACACGGTAAAGATTGACCTCAACCATGACACGTCGTGCCAGCTTCACAGGGGTGGTTTCCCGTTGCTCCTGGGTGTTGGGACTACTTTGTTTCGTCCATAGCCTCCCACAGCTGGCACACGGACAAGAACAAGACGCTTTCCGCGTTGCACCAAGAGATTCAGTCGTGGACTGTCTGACCAGCAAGAAGCTGTCGGTGATCAAGCCCTCGGACACAACATACGCCAGCTACTCCTCACCTTACAACCTCCGCCTCCAATACAAGCCAGCAGCAATCGTCGTCGCATCCACCAACCAGCACGTCTCAGACGCCGTGCTCTGCGCGTCCCAGTACAAGCTCAAGGTGCAGCCCCGCTCCGGGGGCCACTCGTATGGGTCCTATGGCACGGGCGGCAAGGACGGCGCCGTGGTCATCGACCTGCAGAAGTTCCAGAGCGTCAGCCTCGACAAGAATACGAACATATCGACTTTTGGTGCGGGCCTGAGGCTGGGGAACCTGGAGCTGGCGCTGCAGCCGACCGGGCGGGCACTTCCCCATGGGACGTGTGCCAATGTCGGCGCTGGCGGTCACTTCACCATCGGGGGAGATGGGTTTACGACGAGGGCTTATGGACTGGCCATTGACTCACTCGTGGGCATGGACGTTGTGCTGGCCAACGGCTCTGTGGTGCATGCAACGTCAACGGAATACAAGGACGTGTTTTTCGTAAGTAACTCCGATATCGCGGTTGAACTCTTGTCTCGAAGCTCGCATGATTAACACTGCTCTAGGCCATGAAAGGAGCCGGCGCCTCCTTTGGTATCGCAACCACCTTCTACGCGCAAACCTTCGCCTATCCGAAAGCCCTGACTGGCATCTACCTCACCTGGCCGGGCCTAAGCAAGAACACCGAGCAAAGCGTCTCGGCCCTGAAGCACATCCAGAACTACGCCAACAACGCGACCTCGGGGCTGGACCGCAAGTTCCAGTTCGACGTCACCCTCGACGCCTTCGGCACCTTCAGCCTGAAGGGAATCTACCTCGGGCCCGTGGCGACCTTCAACAAGACGGTGCTCCCAGAGCTGCTCCGCGGGCTGCCGGCCCCCGGCGCGGGCGACAGCGACAGCCCGACCTACGTCAAGGAGTACTCGTGGACAGACGCGCTGACCGACGCCAACTACGGCAGCGGCATAGCCTACCCCAAGCCGGGCGAGGGCGGCTACGCCCCCGCGCCGGACCACGACACCTTCTACACCAAGAGCATCACGGTCCCCGCGCCGGGGCTGCCCGAGAAGGCGATCCGGAACCTGGTGGGCTGGGGCCAGGCGCACCAGGAGGGGAGGAACCCCGCCGTGCCGTGGTACTTCACGCTGAGCCTCCAGGGCGGCGTCGACAACCAGATCTTCCTGGACAGCAAGAGCGGCGGGTCGGCGTTCTGGCGCCGCGACACCACCTGGGTCATGGAGAACTCTGGGTTCGTGAACGAGCCGGGCGACGCGTTCCCCGTGCCGGCGGGCATCGACCTCGTCAACGACCTCAACGCGCAGGTGACGGGCGTGCTCGGCGCTGGGAATTACGGGGCGTACCAGGGATATGTGGACACGGAGATGGGTGCTGATCAGGCGGGCAGGCTGTACTACGGCGATGTGCTGTTTGAGAAGCTCAAGGGGCTGAAGAAGAACATTGACCCGGGGAACTTGTTCTCTAACCCGCAGTCAATCCCGGTTGGGAATTAGTGTCGGTCTGTCACGACTGGTTGGGGTCCTTATAACACTCTGTCGAAGCAGGCACCAGGACAATGTTGAGTTGAAAAGAGTCGATGAACAGTCATCCTTGTTTCCGTTGACACAGGCCTTCCTGGTGTTATACTCACAATATTTACATACGAACGACCAAGCATGGATGAGGGGAAATTTAATCGATCTACAAATAGTCAAGGTCTTGTGGCATAGAATGTATTTCATTAGATGTTCCACAAAGGTCTCCTCTATTGCCCAGCAGACACTTGATCAGCTGAAGTCCTGAGTTGATCATTTCTTGGTCACCCCGGACGTGCCGGCTTAATCCAGCTCCGGATGAGGTCACAGTGTAATTAATGTCATTGTCATTTCTACCACGTCGTCGGGCCAAAGAAGCTCCCATCATCAGGCAGCACCTTCGTCACAGCCCCCATGTTCATATCAAGGTTCGCGTACGGCACAGTGTTGCCCCACCAGTCCGGGAACGTGCTGCCCGACAGGCCCAGCGCGAGGCCGGAGATGACGACCGTCAGCGCCAGGCCGATGTCGAGGGCGCCGCTGAGCACGTAGTTGTACTGGGTCCACCAGCCCAGGAAGCGCCGGCGCACCAGCCAGTTGAAGGCCAGGCCGAAGAGCACGTAGTTCATGAGGTACCACGTCGTCGCGGGCGCCGAAGATGGCGGGGGTGAAGAGGTACCGCAGCCAGGAGCGGGGGTACCGCCGCGCGAGCAAGTAGTGGATCGCCGGGCAGGCGGCCCCTATGAGCCAGAACCAGTTGATCCATGAGAACAGCTGGCCGGCGCCGAACATGCGCCCCGGTCCCTTGGACGTGAGGGTGTCAGTCCGTGGTTGAGGCGGAGGAGGCTCTCTGCTGGTAGACTAGGTGTGGGGACTTACAATGACTCCCCAAATGACAGAGGCGTTGAAGAAGGTCTTCGCGTTGGGGCACGTGAGGCCTTGCGGCTGGTCCGGCGTGCAAATTCCGGCGATGTTCCCGCGGAGGAAGTTGTAGGTTGCGATCTGCACAATGGACAGCCAGAGAACTGGGAAGAACTGCGCAGCGAACATTGAGCGTGGCCTGCAGAATTTCGTTAGCTAATGAATGATCGAATAGAGACTCTCGAATAGACACAGTACGTTGTTGGCGTGTGTGTCTGTTATCCCCAAAAGCTGCGGCCTCGTATGGATCTGAGGCTAGTACCGAAACCGAGACTGCGCCACGGTAGATCGTCCTCTTTGAAAGCCTCATTCGGTTGCATCCGGGGGCTACTTACGGGATTTTCATGTAATGACCAAGTTTCATGTCCATGGTGTACTGTAGGCAGTTATATGTCATCATATAACCGTAGCTTTTGAACAGCATCATGGCCACGGGTCTGCCCGGTGTCATGTAGCCCACAATCATCTCTGTGATGACGTTCAGACCGGCTTGGTTATTTGTGATGGCATAGAGCATGCCGACTGGTATCGTGAAGAATACGCCAATGAGGATGGAGATGATCAACGCCCACCATGTCAGGTGAGTGTCCCAGACCTGGGAGGAGATCATGGCGAATGCGAATGCCACGGCGAATGTGGCCAGGAACCACCATTCAGGAGCCTCCTCTATACAACGCAGCGTATCAGTATCTCTCAAAACTTCGAGTCTTGAATAGAAGGACAGAGAGACATACTATACTTGCGCATCAGTTTCAGATGGATATCAGGCTCTTCGTACTTGGCGCTCTTTGCACGGTTCCAGATATCGGCCCCGTAGAAGAGACAGCAGTGGACAACCGTTGAAATCAAGCCAGCAAAGCCGACACCGTACGATAGCGAGAATGCGGGCCCGATTAGGAGGGGCGAGTACTCCTTATAGGCGGTCTCGTTAAAGGTGAATTCAGGAGTGAGGATCCGGGACACGTCATATTTTTGACCAAAGTGATCGAAGTTGGCGTTGGCCTCAAGAGGCAAGTATCGCATAAACTCCGGCCCAGCCCAGGAGATGCCGGCGACTCCGATGATTACGAGGACCATACCGGCCAGCATGTTCATGAGGGAGAAGCCGGGCGTCATCAAAGGGCTCGTGCCCATAAACCCCGAGATGATGGACCAGTCCAGGGCGAGAGGGATCAGGCCGAGACCGCTCAGGCCACCAAATAACTGATTGACGATGACATTATTCGGTGCGACCCAAGTCGGGAAAAGGCCGATATAGCCCAGGAACTGGGCGATGACCACGGGGAACCACTCATAGACGAAGGTCCCACCCGCAACAATGAGGAAGAAAGCATATCTCCCAATGCGCCAGCCGTTGGTCTTGGAAGGGTCTGAGGTTTTATGGTTGTGCAGCGTAGCAATGACCACTGCTGGTACAAGCTGATTTGGCCAGACCATCCTACTTGGCTGTTAGCAGGGATTTGAACGTAAGCCAGGAAGAGGTATCGTACGCAGCAGGCCACACCAGGAATCGCCGCATAATACCAGCCAGGCCGTAGCCCATCGCCTGGGTCGAAATGATAAGGAGGATCTGGAAGCCCCACTGGAAATACTGTCCATAGTAGATCTCCTGCGCAAGCAAGATGTCGATCGCGTATGAGCTGCCCGCGCCGGCTGCAGTCATAACGGTGATTATGGTGTGCTCCTTCTTGTTGAACGGGCAGGGATTCAGATTGAACTTGCGGCCGAACAGGCTGTACTCCTTGTTCGGCATGACGGCAGTCCATCCACGGCCAATACTACAGATATCGTCAGTCATCCGCCATCTCGAAAACCTCTGCTGTCAAAAGCTGTAGCTGTATTCCAGGACCTACGGATAAGCGATCAGCTGCACGACTGAGGCAGAGATGACCACGGGCGACTTGCGCAGCCCCATCAGAATGTTGACGGCCGCGATGATGGTACATAGAAGCATGCCGATCGTCCAGGCGCGAACAGTATTGACCGGCGTCTCTACATCATCCGTGGGAGGGACCTGAGTCAAGCTGGTCAGCAAGTTGCTTGATCTGGAACCACTGCGTCACTTTGCGGGCATGTGCTTACCGACGACCGGACCTCGGGGTAGGGAGAGTCATCGATGATGAGCTGTTCCTCCACGGCCGCCTCCTTCTCGGGGTCGCCGGCCGCCAGGACATCGTCGACCCTGTCGAGCTTGTCGAGGTCGAGGAAGGGGTCGAACTGGTGGAGCTTCCTGAACTTCTTCAGGTCGGCCGCGGGGGTGTCTGTAGCTGACGAGACGCCCTGGTCCGTCTCGCTCACGATGATGGGCTGCTCCGAGGTCTTGCCCCGGAATGAGAAGCCCATGGCGGCAGTGCTGTGCGTCGGTATCTGTCTGCGCGCGCCCGAGTCTGATTAAGGTGGTGATCCCCTCCACAGCCGTGAATCAACCCTTCTCTAACTTGTTGGCAAGTGTTTGCCAACGTCGATACGAGAAGATACAGACCAGGGCGACAGACGCAACATAAAGAGCAACAACTCGGCGCAATAAAAGTTCAAGCTCGAGGGTGAGGTGGTATTTCGAAGGAGATTACAGTCGAGGAATTTGAGCCTAGACAAATGTGGCAGCGGGACTAAGCGTCATGCGAGGACCAACAGGTGAGTGGTTACACCAAATGCATGGTGGCAGGCTGGCAGGGTGGTCTCCAGGGGCCACGATGAGGTGAGGCAACAGTGGTGGTATGTGTGGATGTTGATGTGGATTGCCAGTAAATCCGAGAAAGTTTGCCCTCAGAGTGCAGACGGTCTTCAAACGACCTTCCTCAAGCGGCCATGCCCTGGGGGCCCATCAGTGAAATCGAAAGGTTGGCGACATACCTTGTGAGGATATTCATTCTGGGGGACGGTGGAGAGCGCGAACAGGGGTGGTCGGCCCAAGTGTGTTGCGGCTGACTAGGGCTTACGATGGGCGCAGAAAAGCAGCAGTGAGGCCATCAGATAGACTGGGTGACTTCGATAGGTCCATGTACGTAAGATGGCACCGGCACTCTTCCGTTCCCGAACACTTGCATGTCTCCTCTTCCTTAGACATTCACAAAGTACTCCCACACAGGCAATCACAAGAAAGAGACAGAGACATGGCTAAAACCAGAGGGCATGTCTCACTGTCTCATCCTCCCAACCAATCTCGTCGCACAACGGAAAGCTCGGCGCAGGGACCGACCGGTTGGTTGAGTTTGCTGCTCCCGCGGATGCTCAGTTCCACTCCCGATACCTCCTCGGACCCGGTGGCGTGAACTGGTGATCGATGCCGCTGGTGTACGCTACGACGTTTTGGGACATGGGTAAGCCCACTTTCTTATGTCTTCTAGGCATTGATTGGACAGGCCGGGAATGTCTCGCTGCGAGACCTTATCCCCAGGAACCCAGTCTTTGTTCATGCGGCGAGCGGGATATCGATACTGTGCGGCACAGCATTTTCAGTAAGATTCTAGTCGGACTTTTTACGTGCTGAATCGGACCAGATGCCAATTCGAGCAGACCCTCTCGCCGCTGTGGGATTGCAAGGCCACAACGCCTGCGCGTAGCAGGACCAACAGGTCGACACCATGCCGGAAAACCCAAGGGCTTGTAAATGCACTTTTCACCCCAGGGCCTTGTACCTGCAGGCCGGCTCGACAAGGCCGAGTGAGCCACATCACCTCGAGTCTTCGATCCGCTGGACTGAGTGTGTCTGTGTATATCTAGTAAATTCGCACATCGTTGCGCCGCAGCCTGAATTGTGGACACTGTTCAACATCTGCCCCGGAGATCCGGATCTCCAGCGCCACACCTGCTGTGTCGTCGCTCGCGGTTCGAGTTGATAGATCGATCCCTCGCGTTGACAAAGTCCGACATGAGAGTACACCATGCCGGCTTCGACGGATGTCGTCGGACGTTAACGTGGACGGACTACCCCTGGCGCCATCGAGGTGCTGTCTGTCTCAAACGAAGTGATGCCCCCCCCCCCTGTCGTTTTGACTCACGCTCCCCCCTCTGCACAGAAAAAAAGCCCTTCACGCGTGCGCCCGCGCAGCGTTAACGCATATTAAGCCCTCCTTTAACTAAGCACGCTTATATAATATTTTCATACCTTTTACATACCTTCTTTATACCTTTTTTATATTTTTTACCTTTTTTATAAATATTTATTTTATTATTAAGTATTAAAATAGCTTATAAAAGTAATTATAAAAGAAATAATTAAAGAAATTAAGATAATTAAAAATTAAGGAAGGGGTGTATACGCTGCGTGGGTGCGCGCGCGGAGGGCTGTTTTTTTCTATGCAGAGGGGGGAGCATGATCAAAACGACAGGGGGGGGGCATCACTTCGTTTGAGACAGACAGTGACAACCCGCCGCTTGGCAGCATCCCCTGGCTCCGGGCCAAAGCTTGGTGTGCTTGGTTGAAGCTTGTCCCGTCCAAGACCGCCGCATCGTGATCCGGCTGGCCTGCACTCCCCTGCCTCAGCTTGCCTGTCAAGCTCTCGTCTCGTTGAAGTCCTGGCTACTGCTGACAGTCCCAACCAGCGCGCCGTCTCCTCCATTGGTGGCCTCGAAGCAAAGGATGCGATGGGTTCCTTTTCAAGTATACGGCAGGGATGCCGGATAAGGTTCGGTCCGCTGATTGGCAACGGACTCTGGAAAACAAAGATAGGATTCTCACCGTCATACAAAACCCGATCTGTGAGCTTATCCACTTCTCTGGTCCGACAGGGCATCCAGTGGTCCCTCCTTCTCCCGAGCTTCCAGAAGGCCGCTCGTCCCACCGCACCCGGCCTGCCCCTCGTGCAGCCGAGCCGATTGGGCAGCCGAACGGTCTCACACCAAGATCTGAAGATTTAAGGTTTGGACATAATCTCCCTGTTTATTGATTTGCAAGTGGTATGCTGGTTTTCTTGCCCCTTCTTCTTGGTAGTGAGCTACTGTAGGGCATAGCCAAGGGGGAAGGTGAATGATGTCACGGTGATGGATTCTTGAGCTTGTAGACCAGGGGCTCACTTCAGCACTTGACTTTTGGCCTCCGTTGAAGTCACTCTTCACGTAGCTCATCCAAGCACGTAGGGAAAGCAACTAGACTTGCAATCGAAGCCCAATCAATCCATAATCAGTTAACTCCCCAAATCTGCATCATGTCGTCAAAGCAAGAGGACCAGGTCCAATCGAAGCAGGGACAGCCTGTAGAAGAAGGCGACCACGTCTACACCAAAATCCGTGGCGGCAGGCATGAGGGCGATGTGAGTCAGATAATATGCAATGCTGCACATTAGCTTGTGACTCACTGGATTCTAGGTTGACAAGATTGTGACTACTGAGGGCGAGGCCAAGCAGGAGGGTGTCAAGAATCCTCCCAAAGTGAGTGGCTTGCCGCATCTTCCCGTGTAATGGGGCAAGATGCTGATACAGACATCAGGTGCTGTTCACGGACCAGAAGGGCAAGCCTGTTGCACACAACCCAGGAACATTGGATATCGTCGACAAGTGAGACGGATGAGCTGGTGTTGGAGGTGGCAGGAGGGAAATCAAGCAGAGGATATTCCAAAAACCGACGAGGATTCATTCGCTGTGCTTATCAGATGTTTTTATTGCGCGCTTATGATGGAGTGGATCCTGCTGCACATAGTCTTACCAGCAAGTACCGAGGTTGGAAGGAGGCAGGAGGTATTGGGAGAGGACTATCCTGACATAGCCATATTGCCGTACAAGTAACAGCTATTATTTGAGCAAAGGATTGGAAGGCAAAAGCGTCAGGCTTTCTCTCAATTCGTACTAAGAGAGCTTTCAGCTGTAATTGTCGTATCTATACTCCCCTTTAGCTTGCCTGTTTGATTTCTTGTTTCCTGGAATTGCGCGCACGTACCCTGGACATCCGCACATGTGCAGCTTGCCCGGGATAGTCCAATTCCTTCGTTCTCTCTATGACCAAGAGAAGGTGAATAGGTAGTGGCAGCCCGTATGGCTTCTAAAAGACCACGAGATGCAGCTTATGCCTCCGTATTGAAAACCTCTGATTGGAGCTGAATAGTAGCTGTGCTTCCTCGATGAGATCCTTTTTTGTGCACCACCTGGTCTTTTTCCTTTTTTTTTTTTTTTCTTCTTGCTTTCTTTTGGCGACCTTTTTGGCGTACCGAGGGCCGGCATAAGGGCAGTGACCATGACTCTATTGTGAGCAAGGCTAAAATCTGACAGGCCTTACGACGGGGTGACGAGTCGACATCAACCAGGTATCAAGCTTTCGACCGCGGGTAGAGCATCGCAGATTTCCGGCAAGAGTCTGAAGGCAAAAGAGGAGCCGTCAGGTGTGTATACATGGGCATCCGACAAATAGCACACGAGCCAGACCGAAACGATAGTGGTCTCTTTGTGGATCAGGTTCTCGATATATAATCGCAGTTTCCAACGTTTGTCAAGGGGTTTGGCTCCGTCCTGTCGGCTAAGTTGAACACTGGATGTTCCGATGTCATGTAGTTGACTTCTAGCGGTCCATGGCCGTCGAACTATCGAATCTTCTCCCCGAAGGATTGTCATGCGCTTGATGATTTTCCGTAATTTGGTGTCGACACTGGTAGGTTCTACATTGACATTTGGACTCAATACCAAGAACCATTTGAACCTTTCCCTTGCTTGACCTGGGTGGATGGAGGGCGTGGGGGACGACTTCATGGATGAGCAAGTAGCCTTCTCCAGCATGGCTAAGCATAAATACTCTGACTTGAAACTGAAACCACCTGCCATGCACTTGGCAGGTTGTGCGAGGGCGACCGATTCTCATAGATGATTCTTTACAATACTTGATTTTGGGTGTTCTCATTTTTGTTCATAGGGAACGTACAAGTGTACAAGACTCATATTGGCTATACAACCGATGGTAACCAGATGGGGGGCTGGGAGGATTGGTAAAGAGAGAGAGATAGACTGCTCAGTGTTCCATAAAACAGGTGAGCACCGAGGTCGTGGTCGCAATAGCCACCCAGGAGAATAGCGCTTGAGCTGACTCGCCGCGAACTTCTGACGAACCTTGTGTCAGGCCATTTACGATATCGTCTCCCAGCAAAACTTGGGTGACGGTCGGACTTTGTCAATGCTTACTTGGTATCGCAAAAAGTTGAAGAAAGGGACTGATCACAGGGTTTGTTTCGTTAGGCCAAGGGCCTGGCATATGGTGTATTAGAGTACGATCTCTAGTTGCAAGGCAAAAGAGCTTATCAAACATTGGGAAGCATTTGCTTGCGGTAAACGAGAACCACTTAGGGGGACGGTCTTACTAGGCGACCGAGGGCAGCGGATCGTTACCTGCCCAGTGACTTGGCGGATGGGGATCACTTGAGAGTCTTGTTGCTTGGTCAAGTGGGGGTTAGAGCCGCGTAGCTCGATTGAGGCTGGGAGGGAGAGAAGATCTCACCGCGTTATGCAGAGTCCCGATTGCGTCTGTCACACTCGCGCCTGCAGGTTGCCCAGAAGGCGTCGAAATATTCGGGGCCAACAGGATGCGTGCCTCGTGAGGTAAGCAGGCCGTGTGTGTGCATCTGGTGCGAATCATTGGACGCCGTCGTGCGCGCACTCACTGTGGTGTGGGCGATGCACCACGCGCTCGGTAGCAACTTGGAGGGGAAGGAGGGCTTGGCTGGTAAGGGCCAAACTCACTTATAAGGTGGCCCGTCTCGAAACGGCGCTGGTTGGCGGCCCGGCAGCTCGGCAGGCCTCCTCATCTTACGCATCTGGCTGTTCACATGTACCTGCAGGGCAATTGCGAGGGGTTTTCCGAGATATTTGCCCCGCCTCTAGGCCAGGCAGACCACGCTCCGCCCCTCCGTTGGGACGCTTCCCGGATCAGCTCCACCCACACCACTTGACGAACACCTCATGCACGGAATATCTTGAATGCCCAATCCCGTGGCCCGAATTTGGCAATCGGGCAGCCTCAAGTAGTGATCTGATCTCACTCAGTGGTTCATCGGGTGGCATAGGTAGGTACTTAGATACTGGGAAAGGGCATCCAGGTATTAAAACTTGTGACCTTTCCTCCAACCTGTGCCTCTCTGTCCTTGAATATAAATACCGAACATATCCACGCCTTCATAAATATAGGCAGTCAACTCATAGTCCTCGCATCTATGTTGGGTCAGACTCGACCAGCTCGTCTACTTCCACCACCTCTCCACAGGCTCGCCTTGAGTAATTCCTCATTTCCACAGGGATATTTGTGTCTCGACCATCCTCGCCCCCTTCCATCGGCCCACAGCGTCGGATAATTACCTTCTTTTCCCGTTGTTGTTTCTACTTCTCTAGAACTACCATTTACTCGACCGCGCCGACCCTTCATGACGTGTGTTTGTTCAGCAGCTTCACCTGAAAAAGCACAATCTCCAAAGTCAACAACGACCTGGGGTCGATTGAATCACATTCTACCCTGACGCCTCAAGCACTTGAGTGGCTTGCCATTACCTCCAGTCTCCATTCATTGCGTACTTGGTCGTGTCGCCTTCACGATCCTCTTGTCCAGTACCCTGGGGTCCAAACTGAGCCTTACCCTTCCGAACGATCAATCTTCAACGACCTGTTTCCCCTTAGTTCAAAATGCCCTACACCTCCAACACATCCTCTGCCTCGACATCCGCTGTGTAAGATATTGCAGCATCCTGATTCAGTCCTTGCTCCACGTCACACCACTTGTTCACCAGCTGACCAAGCCTGACACTCTCAGCCAGGCTTCCTCCGATAGCCATAACAGCACCGCTGCCCAGCAAGGCTCGACTGCAAGTGGTACATGGAGCCCTGGAAAGGTTCAGCAACCACGCCAGGATATGCAATACGATGAGAAAAGCGAGGATCACTTGAAGCTAGACCTTCTTTTCATTGGATCCCAGTTTGAAAGTAGCAAGTAAGCCAAACATGACAGGAGAAGGGATGTGGTAGCATACTTTCCATATTTATTCAGGTACACTACGATATTCTTGGCTGGATAGGTCTCTAGCACAAAGACAGTGGTAATTCATTCATCTCAAACTCTCTGTATCTTATCATCTCGCTACTCAACCATGCTGAGTAGAGAGACACCTTATGCTTACATGCAAGTTCAACTGAGAGGAGCCGGTAGTATTCCTTCAACTTCCAAAGTAACCAAGCCCAGGACCTCATGAATTTACCATTGCTAAGAAGTCCTTCTATCTCTCGCAGTCTTCAGAGGACTACAAGGTTTCAAAAGTTTCAGCAAATTCTAGCCTAGTGTGATGAAGCAAGGTTCCTTATCAGGCATTGTCAACTATCAGAAGTTCAAAATCGTGGACATTGGAATGGCACCCTGCCAAGTATCCTGCTATTCGCCTTTCAGAATAAGGCAACTCAATGTACTTAATAAGCTTGCTGGTTAAATGTAATTGTACTCAATCACAGGGGTGCCGCTAATCAAAATTTACAATACATGTTACACAAGTCCTCCCGGGAGGATTCAGACGGCGCGGCGAATGCCCTTACATACTGTAAGATGGCCACGTTGAGCAGGATTTCGTGTACATGAAGGCTTGCTTGAGGTCCGATTATGCTGTAAAAGAGCGTTCGTCAAGAACGGCGGATATGGTGTCGATATGGCTGGTGAGGCTCAATAAGTGTCCTCCTGCGGGTTCCCGGAGTCATGCTCGTGTGCGGTCAAGCCATGGCTCTGAGGCCATCACCTTATGTCTCCCACACACGCAACCATCAATAGACATCTTGTACGCAGTGCAACATCGCGAATATTGAGATACTCCGTGTATAGAAAGGCGCGCGGCTCATTCGGTAGTAAGGTGGTCTCGTTTTTGATCTGTACACATATGCTTCTTCAGCAATATGCATCCAGATTCGGTAGTAAATTGCTATATTTATGGCACGTCAAACGTCCTGGGCGGAGCTTAATAGACGCGATGCCAAGCTTGTCGGTCCTGCCACCAGTGGCTTGACTCGCTGTGTGTGGAAAACGAAACTATCCCCGCCCTTGTCTTTTTGACTCGCGCTCCCCCCTCCGCCCCCAAAATCCCAATTTTTAAATCTCACTATAATCCATTATAATTTTATAACAAAATTAAATATCTTAATATAACTAATATATTTATAATCTTTACTTTTTATATTATATTATAAGATTTTAAAAGTTATTAATATAATATTTAAATAATATTAATTAATTATATTTATATTATACTTATAATTATATTAATATTTTTCATATTAAGTCTTTAAACATTGAAATAAGAATATGTGAAAATTATATATTAATATTTATTATGTGAATAAATATTAAAATATTAAAATTTAATGTTTTATTTTGTTTTTTTTTATATTATATTATATTTAAATTATATATTAATAATTATTTAATAATATTTATTAATTAAGAAATATGGAAATAAAAATGAAAACAATTTAATAAATATATTATTTAAAAAGTTAGTTTAATATTAATATTTTAATAATTTTAAAATAAGATTATAACTTAAGCAAAATTAATATTATAACGTTAATAATATTTTATTAAGATTTTTTAAACTTTAAGGTTTATAAATATATATATATATTATATTCTTATTTAATTAAAGTGAGTTATTAAAAAAATAGCGAATTTTGTAAGTTTTTGTGTTGTTTTTCGGAGTTCCCTTGGGAAGATGTGTGTCGATGTGGGTGGAAAGAGATCAAGTTTTCGATTGGGACTGCATTTGTGGGATTCATTTTATAGAGAGACTATTTTGGTCTTCGCTGCATGACTGATTGCCCGACTTTGACTCCCGAGCGCCGTGGCAAATTAGTCTTGGGCTATTTATGTCGACGGTTTATGGCTCCGCCAAAAGCGGTTCTTGCCAGCCTTGTTTGTGCGGCTGTCACAAGGCTATCATTATTTTCTTAGCCATAAGCTACAATTATGTTTAAAACCTATTGTTATTAATATACTATTATTTTTTTTAACGCTGGGTGTTTAAGCATTTATCATTATATGAAGGACTGGATGCATATTGCTTAAGAAGCATATGTATACAGTTTTTTTTTTAAAAAAAAAGAGACCACTTTTGTTGGAGCCAGAGTACGCCCACCCAGCTTCCAGCATGCGCCCACCCAGTACTTCCTTTTCTTAATATTATATTAATAAAACTAGGTACTTTTCTAAGTAAGCATAAAGTTTGCCCTATATATAAGAAGTTAGGGTAGCTATTTTCTAATTTAAGTAATACTTTAAAAATATAAGCCTAAAAAGCTTAGAGGGCGTAAATAACCTAAAAGGCCCAAAAGCGCGCAAGAGCGCGCAAGAGCGCGCAGAGCGCGCAGAGGGCGCAGAGGGCATAGAGGGCAAAGGGGGTGCAAAGGGCGCAGAGGGCGTAGAGGGCAAAGGGGGTGCAGAGGGCGCAGAGGGCAAAGGGCAGAAGTAACTTTTAAGTCGTAAATAAAGGGGTAGCTATGGGACCCCTCTGGGATAGCTATAGCTATGCTTTGTTAGTAACCCTATAGCACCAATATTTTATAGCGCGTGCAGCCAATTTCCTTTCACTGGGTGGGCGCACGCTGGAAGCTGGGTGGGCGTACTGTGGAAGCTGGGTGGGCGTACTCTGGCTCCTTTTGTTGTTCTGCAGCTGAGGGGGAGCGCGAGTCAAAAAGACAGGGACGGGGATAGTTTCGTTTTCCACACACAGCGGGTGTGATGGCTAGGCCTCTCTTTTCTGCCTGAGCAGCTTTTTTTTAGCTCTATGCAACTCCACAGCCGGCCTCTATTTCGAGAAACACTGCCTCAGCCGAGATTGTATGCTTAGAATTTTATCGTGTATATAGCTTCGAGGCAGTTATGGAGTTGTCTATAGGAATATCATCATCATTCTCACCACTACACATCCAAAGGCCACTTTCCCTTAACCGACTCGGAAATACATTCCTTCGTTTTCTCACCAATAGTCACTCACTCACGTGGAACAAGATGCATTCCACACAAGTTCTGAGCCTGCTTGCTGCAGTCGGCTTCTCAACCGCAGTCGACGCACTGGCGATCCGACAAACAACCGCCGCTTGGCAGACTCTGCCTCCGACACCAGCCTTGCCCACGCCCGTCAACACAACCCTGAGCACCATCAACGGCGCCGACCTGTGGCTGCAAAAGTACAACGAGGAGGCCGGCGGCACACCGATCGTCCTCGACCACGGCGGACTCGGATACAGCGCCTACTTCGCCGACGTCATCAAGCAGCTCGTGGCCAACAAGCACTACATCGTGGCGGTGGACCGCCGGGGCCACGGGCGCAGCACATACGGGGCCAGCGACGTCTTCACCTACGACATGTTCGCCAACGACATCTTCGCCCAGCTCAACGAGCAGGGGATCCAGTCGTACAACGTGGTCGGGTGGTCCGACGGCGCGGCCACGACGCTGGCCATGCTGCAGAACACGACCATCGCGCCCGGGATCCAGAAGGCCTTCGTCTTCGCCGGCTTCATGGTGCCCGAGGACACCAACGCGACCTTCACGGACACGGCCATCTACACCGAGTTCGTGACGCGGTGCGCCACCGAGTACGCGACGAACCTGCCGAGCGCCAACTTCACCGACTTCGCGACCAAGGTCGCCAGGCTCGAGGGCACGCTGCCGCAGTTCACGGCCGCGGGGCTGGGCGCCATCGACGGCAAGAAGGTCGCCATCGTCGGCGCCGACCACGACGAGGCCGTCAACCTCGACGTCCCCGCCAAGCTGGTCGCCGCCATCCCCGGCAGCACGTCCGTGACGCTCACGGACGTCAGCCACTTCGCGCCTGTGCAGGACCCGGACCAGTTCACCAAGGCGGTCGAGAGCTTCTTCGCTGCTGCTTGAGAAGACCTGCGGCAGTAGGAGAGTTGAAATGTGTCAAATGCTGGCCTGGTGGAATTATTGCAGCATATTATAGACTAAGAATGAATGAGACAAAGATACCCCCCAGACTATATTCCTATCAGCACCTTGACGTCTTCTTGATGGCAATTATGAAATCTTTGGGATTCCAGAAGTGAACTGTAGCTGCCGAGGGCCGTACTAAACATGACGAGCAGGCCGTTGTGACTTTATTGTTATTTTGAAGTAAATAGTGCCTGTTGGTCTCGTTTTACTAGATCTCTGACAAATTAAGCATGAGAGGCATACCAAGACTCCGGGCTATACCACGTGAGAACCAATACGTAACCCGTCGATCACTGGAGGTTCCCATGCTGACAGAATGAAGGAGGGTGGAATGAATGTGCATCTTTCCTCTGGCTGGTCTGACCTGATTGGCGCTAGTTCTGTCCGTTATGCTGTAAACCACTTGTCACTGCCTAGGCAGGCACTCCGGCTCCGTCAGCCTTGCCAGCCACCCGTTAATCAGGACATGGACGTTGAAATGACCCTTCGGGCTTCATATTACGGAGCAGAAGTTTGAGAAGGAACAGAGGTTAGGTTTTGAGCCCGGGCCCAGGCACTTGATTATATTGAGAGAGTGACTGGGACATGAAGTGCTTGGGATACAGAATGAAATTGGAACTTTAATCATGAACAACTCGAAAGGAAAAGCCCTTATGCTCGCTCTGAGATTCACTCATTGCTTTGATACCCAGAGACACGCCTTTTCCAAGGCGGAGCAGGCTAAAGGAGCCAGAGCCCAAGTTATGCTTTTATTTCCATATGCTGCGTCTGGGACAGCGAGTTGTAAGCAGCCGGATCTGTGGCGAGCATCAATGATGCGACGGGAAGATGCCACGGCGAATAGGTCACTTACAAAGACTTTCCTATAGGAAGAGTCGGGCTCGTAGATTGCTCGGCTACTCAGTTGATCCAAGCACACCCGCTTCCCTGAGAGCCGCAGTTCAACTATACGAAAGTGACGATGTTGTCAGCATAACAGCCTCAGAAAGTATGTGCAAGTTTCGACGGGGTGTTCGGAGGCCCAGGGGCTCAAATTTGAAATCCCAGCGCTGGACAACCACGTACGATGGAGTGCGGGCCATCCCACCCGCATTTCCAGTTGCCACATGGCTTCTTCTGCCCGGAGCAGTGGCAGTTGTCATCGCCGACGTACGTGCTGCCCGCGCAGTTGGGCAGGTTGGCAACGCATCTCGGGGCGTGCTCTTGAGCCTCCTGGACGGGCTCTGGCAGGGCGAGAGCGCTGGCGGCGAAGAGTGCAAGGAGGGAGGAGGCTGAGAACTTCATTGTGATGATGAAATAGGGGGTTTTCTTGGAGTCTTGATTTATGCCTGAATGAGAGAGCTGATGAGCAATATGGAACGAGAAGGTTCAAAGAGCAGCGCATTGCAATGGGTTTTATATTTGTCTGCTCCTCTATACACCCCTCATATTATTGACCGATCCTCACTGTTGAATCCCGTGCTACAACTCATCTCCCGTTTTCCAATGTGTCCGACATCCTTTGGCTCAGTTCCAGGCGACGAAGGTCTCGCAATGCAATTTGCTTCCCAACATGGACGAAGTCCGAGATGCTTCGATCCAGCACCAGGCTGCTGGGGCACATTGTGTAGTGCGTTGCAACTCACTTCCCAAGATGGACTGAGTGGCTGAAGTCCTTTTGTCCAGGTTCAGGTTACAAATCACCATCGTGTCTCATATTGCAGCTTACCAAAATGGACCGAGTCTGACATAACTACTGCCAACGGCTGTTGTGTCTCATGCTGCGACCGCCTTCAGGTCATCATGAGAAGGCTTCAGAGACATAAGCACCTGGCTCTGTAGATCCGTAGATGGCTCTTACGTACATGTGAATAGACTGCGAGCTCGAGTGGGCAAGAATCCGAATCATCACGGCCGTCACCGTGCTGACAGCAAGAAGGCTTTCCTTCTGCAAGCCACTATCCGACATTTCTTCTACGTCTTTGTGCCGGGGATATCTGTACCGGTGATACGTTTTCAGGGCCACGGATCAGACGTAGGCCTAACTACCGAGCGAGGTTTATTCTAGCTGCTGCTCCTGCTGGCAGCTGGCAGACAAGCGGCAGACGGCTCAGGTGTGCCCGATGTGCAAGCCCGTGATAACTGCAGCACGGCAGAGTGCGTCAAAGCTTGTCGCTGCAGTGCCCGGTTCCATACAGCATGTTCGAACAGGTGATCCGATCGGTCGTTGACCGAGCGATCGAGCGGGACGTGTGGCTGACGTGAGGTGTCACAAGCTGGGGGCCTGCCCTTCTCGAATGGGGGCCGCCATCCAGCCAGCCAGCCCCCAACGGTTCTCTTGCTGTCAAATACACTATTTTGGTGCGGCATATGCAGTAGCACCCTCCCCGTGCAGAATATAGACTATACAACGTAAAATGTGCGCTTCACAGAAAATCTTTTATGTCTTTTGCGCAATGTTGCATCTGCAATCCAAATGTGGCCAGGGGTCTCCACAAGCGTGCCGTGCGTGCTGCCGCGGACGGGGCCAGCGTGCCATCGGAAATATCGGCTGTTCGCGTAGCTCCGAAGGACCAGTCACGGACGAGCGCGCATGGACGCCCAGGCCTGTTTTGACATATCAAGTGCATAGATGCGCATCCCTGGCCACAGTAGGTAAACAACTCGTCCAGAAAACTGCGACGGCCCTCGCTCACGCTCGGCGGGTTATAGCGGGCCTCTCTTCGGGGTCGGGCATGATCGGCGTGCATATACGCTCTTTGGGAGAGGGTAAAAACCATCCTCGGACGCTTGATGCGACCAGAATGAATCGCTGCTTCTCGTTTTCGCATGAAGGGTCTGTGTTCTCCGGCGGTCGGACTCGGTCCCGAGACCGTCGTCCATACCTGGAGTAGTGCTTATTATGTATGTGACCCTTCTTTCGTTGTGCATTCATGCCGTGTATCGTCAACAGCGCTGCCGCGTGCGACACTGCCATTCCCGAAACGCTTCTCTCAGCATTGCCAATCCATCAGGTCGCCATCTTTTGCCTCCTGCTGCGCACGTTCGCGGCAGTATGTTGCGGCCGGTATTGCAACTTCTCCCCTCCAGCCCCCTGACTTCGGACTTGTGCTTCATGGGGGCGATGTGCTGCTGGACTTCCCCCAAGGTCGACGAGCCAATGCCTCCTACGTCCGAAATTCAATATTTTGCTATGCCTATCACTTATGCCAAGAAAGGTAGAGAAATGAGGCCCAAATGTGTTGCGTTGACAGGGGCAGGGGTTCAGACGAGACATCATCCAAACTTTAAATCGCGATCAGCAACAAGCTCCTTTCAATGTCGGTTCCATTCTACCGCCCCATTTGTGAACTCTGTTTCTTTTGCGCCCCATAAACCGTTACGGGGACTCAATTTAAGATTTCCTGTACGCACAGAGGGCCGAGCATACATGTTCGGAGCCGCGCCGAAGACTCGTGCACGTGGGCTCCGCGCATTCCCGGTAGCTGTATGCATCCCCGAGGAAGCTTTCTTTAGGCAGGTGGCCCAAGCGTGACAAATCGAAGAGGGCTTGATTTCCGGTTTCATCCAGTTGTTGGTGGTGAGGTGTAATAGGATAGACTCTTCTAGGCAAAATGTAGCAAGCATGTTACACACTCTATGTCGTTGGTGGAGGACATGATGCATCAGGACCTCAAAGGGGTAATTATATACTTAGCACGGCAAGCATACAGCATCATCGCGTTACATTGGTTCGGGATCATCCAAGCAAGGATAGGTTGTACCGATAACTCCCCGACGTACCGGCGAGAGACCACACGTGTAAGAGACGCGGTGTTGTTGACTCAGGGACCACGTCCGGGGAGTTGTTTTCGAAGCGACCCTAGTCTGGACATATGCTCTTGGAGTTCCCAGGGCGAGGCTGGCTCCTGAGGATATACAACCGCACGAGCTTGATATGTGTAGCAACATTTGGGGCTCGACGAGAGCCTCGCCTGGGGCAGGCACCAGTCCAATTTCGATCATGACAATGACATGACGATGACGACGACGGTGATGCATCATGTTGAGCAAAGACTCGGATCACAGCCGGTTATCTTCTTGGCCAGATGCCCGGTACAAGCTTTCCCTCAAGACGCACGAATCCGCGAGCTTTTTCATGGATTATGCCACGGAAACTTCCGTTTTGAGTTTACACTATAGCAACCAAGTCTCAATATTCTTCCGCATTAACAACCCACGGACTGAAAGGAACGCAGGCCGGAAGAATGCCATTCCCCTTCACGACTCGTAGGAGGTTGTCGACGATGAGGTTATTGCGAAGTGAGACTTGTGCGTCGCACTGATCCCTACGCGGGTGTCAAGTATGCGCATGGTGTTAAGCTCTTGGACTAAACCTTGATAGAAGCTTACTCGGCCATCTCTGTATTGATTTGAGTTGAATGATCTGCATCGTAGCCCGCTGCTATCAAGGAACCCGCAAAGTCTGCTTGTCTCTCTGCAGACAATGCATTTCCTTTGCAGAGAGTGCATTATGTACTTGACCATCGGAATTTCGGCTTCTTGGCAGGCACACGCAGCTCTCCCTTATTAACATGTGCGCGATCTCTCCCGTATTCCCGAATTCGACAAAGAAGGGTCCTCTGGGTTGTGATTGGCGACGATGCATCACAATGCGGGGAGCCAGCAAGATACCACAAAGGCTCTGGCGTATGACTCGATTTGCCGCTTTATGGAGATTCGGAAACCCAGGGAAAGCTTGGGATTGCGTCACTCTGGTATCACTCTTCCTACTGTAGTTGTGTAAACTGACTTTAGGCCCTCGCTTGTGATATGGAAAAGCCGGCCCAATGGGCGGTGGATGCTACGCGGCCGTTGGAGGTTGCAGGGAGCCAACGCGGACTGATTGGTATGGAAATGCACCTAGGATTGTGGCCGATCCATAGAGTTTGATGCGACTAACGCGTGTTTCGTTGTCATGACAAGTACCTATAGAATGGGCTTCCATTTCGGACGGTCCAGCCGTTGGCGTCGTAAGACACGAGGAGTCAAAACGCCGCGTAGTCTTGGAACATTTTCCACAGGAATGGCAGAAACAAGAAGAAGCAGAGGGAATAAAAAGGCCTTTCTCCTCTAAAGTGGTGTCAGATATGCATCGTGTTCATTACGGATTGGTCCGGAAATGACAGACCGCCCTTCGGAATGGCTGAAACCCTGCATACGCCGAGGACAGTGATTGGATGGGTCGCACGTATGCGGTCTCAAACCTGTCAGCCACTGCTGCCAGGATTCCATGCTAGCCGTTAGTGGATGCTCGTGTGTGTGTGTGGGCATGTGAGCACTCGTAATCGACAGGATTAGCCGCTTATTTATTATGGCAAATGCAGGAAATTCGATCAGCATGATAGCGGCTGTCCCTGGATATTACACATTACCGTCGGTGTGCACTCGGCAAAAACCAGAAAGCGGAGCCAGAGGAACCCTGGAGAGCAGAATCAGTGATGAGGAAATAGCGACTCGCGTGGTCATTGGTGGGCGAGAAACGTGATCGACTAGTTTTTTTTTTCTTGCTGCGCTTCCCCTCGTGTCGCAGCAAAAAAGATAAATGTTCCGTGGGCGGCATCCACTTTTATCATGACGAGTGACTGAAACAGCATTCGGCGAAAAAGTCAGGGAGAGATTAACGGACTGGAAAGGAACACGGAACAAATGTTTCAGATAACGGTTTCGGGAGTAACGCGAGAGCGATCTCTATGCCCGAGTGCTTCGGCCATGTGCGTTCCATTTAACACGCTCAGACGACGGGGTTTGGCGGCGACAAGATCTGTGTTGCAACTCTTGTATGTCATAACGTGCTCTAGTTAAGGAGGATAACGTGCTCTAGTTAAGGAGGCCAGGGAGGGTGCTCGATATTGCAGGTGGTGGTAGGCTAAGCAAAGCTCGGCGTGTGACAAATATTCGCAGCCACCCGAACGCAGACAGGTGGGCACAGGGCCGGTTGGTAGTCCGCCTGACAAAAGTATAAAAGTAGGCCTAACATAAGTCTTTTTGCAAGGGTAAATGCACTTAATTAAAGCAAATATAAAAAACTTAGCATATAATATAATTAAAACCTAATTAAAATCAGCTAAAAAAGTAACTTTAAACAAACTTTAAAAATACTTTAAATAACGTAAGTATAAATAGCAAATCACACTTTTTATTATATATTATTACAAATTAATAAAAAACTTTAATTAATTGCAAACCCCTTTAAAACTAATTTAAATTATAAATACTATAAATATATATTTAAAGTTATTATGCCCTAAAAACTTAACCAAAAT